CCTAATCGCTCAATAACGTTGTATAGCTCAATTAAGTCCGGGGTGTGAAACACATTCAGGGAAGCACCCATGACTTCTTTGTGTAGCCATGTGGACAAGGCCTCGTGTGGACAGTCAGATCGGATTTCCGTACCTCTGGGAACAAAAAAGCCGTTGCTGAAAGGATAAACCCGTCGTCTTGGGATGCAACATCGACTAGGGTGTACCCGAAATTCGACCTGTCACTTTTTTAGATTTACAGTCTTTCTTTTAGGAATTACCGTTTACACTCAAGGGAGACAATAGTCTCCTTGTCTGTCGGCCAATCAAAGACACGGTAAGTATTTGAGATCAATCCTGGTCGGCCTGCAAGGATCACCGCTGATCACAAGTCCCGTGCACGCCTCGAGATTTAGATTAAATGTTTGATACTGGATCTGATAGTGAGGCAGAGCTGGTGGGTACGGGTGGGATGGGAGGAGACGAAGGTGACAGGATAAGGGGGAAGGAGAGGAAACTGACATTGTATGATATCTACTTACTATACTCCGTACTTTCAACATATGAAATGATATCTGAATAGCCTTTGAACGTCAAGTTGGAAGAGTGGAGCGAACGGTCTCGCAGCTTCCTGACTGTCGGGCCTCTCTCGCATGGCTCTGCAGGGAGGCCCGAGCACAAGCGTTCCTGTCACCCCTTTTCCCGCCGTTTGGGTCACGTGTTGACACCTCGTATGGTAGGGAGTACACTGCATATACTCCGTACTCCGTACTTCAGGTAAGAGAGACCCATCGTGTATAAAAACTAGCTGCAAAGTGGATCCCACTCCAATAAAATCATAGCTGTCCAATTACCCTTTTCGTAATGATATACTTGTTTGTATAGAGACTCCTTCCCAGCTCAGCCATATACGAAGAAAACACAGGAGCAAGAAGGAATCAACCCGTGATCTCCGGGGTTACAGTACAGCGCATCAAGTGATTAGAGAATTATGCATAGGAAGGAATGGGATTTAGAATTGGTCAAGACACCGCGATTGGTGGGTCCCGGGCTTTAGCTCTCGGGCTTTACATCTCGGGGACCACTCCCATGGTGCCCGATCTGTGGGAAACCGTTTGGGCCTATGCTGTCACACCTTCGTAACTTCAACGGGATCTACATAGATTGAAATCCTACTCTATTTCGTTTACTCCGTACCACTGGGCATATTCTGTTGACCACGAAAATGTACAATGCAAGTTGCATTCCGACGGTATTCTCCGTATACAAGGTAAGCAATATATACTCGCTCCGTCTCGCTCTCGCTTAATACTGGTAAGCGAGCTTAGCTTGTATCCGATTATATTACACGGAAAGCGGAGAGAGCGAAGGGGCCATGTGTGTCAAGGGCCCGCTCCGCGAACCCGTCCGCGGGTAAAGGGGAGACCACTTTGGCTACAGTAAACTAACTACAGCTAAAACTCGTGTATGTGCACGGAGTACGGAGGACGGAGTACCAACCAAGATTTTCAGCGCACATACTCGTAAGCTCGTACGGGTCCAGGGTTGTACACACAAGTTTGAACTATAGACTATTAACCAATAATCACACAAAATCCGACGACAAAACCCGCGCCAACCCTATCTATCCGGTCTAAACCTAATCGTCCCAGCGTTAAGGGACACAAAGAACCCATTCAATCGGTATCTCCATTTGTCTACGGAGTACGGAGTACAACTATGTATTTCGCTGTTCTTTTTTTTTTTTTCCTACATCCTGGATCCTGGAATCAACTATTGGTATATTTTGTTTTTCCCAGTTTGATGGTACACTGCACCCTAGAAAGAAGGATTTTGTCTTGGCCGTTGAAACAAATGTCCAAGAACTGGACAGCGTCATCTGAGTTGGTCATAGCAGCACTCTTTTTAGACACTTGCATGACTTGGGAGGCGAAGAGGGGCGATGAGTGTCAAGGGTGGAACCAGGACGGAGCAGTTCCTGCCCGTCCACGGCAAATACCATAGCAAATTTTCGTAAAGTCCACCAGACCCTCTTTGAACCTGACCTTTTTCTCGGTTTGGTGTTGGCTTGAAACGAAGAGAAGGGGGCCAAAACCACTATTCTAGATCATACCTTATTGTTCCCCCCTTTTTTTTCCTTTTTTCTTTCTTTTTTCCTTGTTTCTCTTTTTATTTAAGCCTCGTTTCAGAGCGGGCTATGGTGAGACTAGTGGGTTTGCAGAGCGGTGCGAAGGCGCGTCACGTAACGGCCATTCCGTTCCAAGGTTCCATGGTCGTTTGAGGCTTGAATGTGCCACTTGTCCACCTTACCTATTTGGGCGCATATTTGCGAGCTCATGAATCATGAACGTTTCTGGTATATTCGGGTTCCAGACGATCACTGGTCTCAAGATTGAGGAGATCTCGGTCGTGTTTGGTACTATTTTTGCCCAGCTGATCGCCATACTATATTCCAGGCAGAATCGGTTGATTCCGCACTTATGACAGAGCACGTGCCTTGGCTTCATATACTCCCGGTGCAGCCCTATAGTAATTGTGCTTTATATTGCTCCTCCATGTTTGCCTACACACTGTCTAAGATAAACGAGATTTTCGCTTAGGTTAATATAAACGGTTTCCACTGGTTCCAGCTAATTTTCTTTTCCCGTTACCTAAGTTGATTCCTATATATATCTCTGATATATCCAATCTCACTCAGCACCTGGGAACCTTAGGATGCCATAGTATCCATACTGGAGCGTTCAATTCCAACCTTGGAAATAGTACCAAAAGCCACTTAAGCCATTTATCAATTTAGTCGGCAACCTTGGAATTATCCCGGAACTACTCCGTACCCCGTAAACCTTGGAATATTTGCTGAACAGCACCCAATCGACCGATCCAACGCCAGTATGGATCTCTGTGGCGCACATTCACCCGCGCCACACCAGTCACATCACTGCATAACCGACTCACATATGCCGGAAGCCATCACCCCGATAGTCGCCAACGATTCTTCCAGATTGGGATATGATACCGCACATGGAATCCAGACTGCATGACTCTCGTGGGAGTTAGGAAGTGAACGGGCTTACTTGGCTGAGACCGTGACGACAACGAGGTTTGACGCAAGGGATCCAATTACGACTCAGGGGGGCGCACGAGGATTGAAAGTCATAACCTTGGAACCTTGAAGCGCTTTGTTCGTTGTAATTTTCCTTTTTTGTTGTCGGTAACGTTGGATGCCCGATTCAACGGCGCTTTAAGGTTCATCGGTTGATCATGACTAGCATATGCATCGTACATCGTTCTTTTGTTCACTTTTCGTCTCGAGTACTGCGTACTCCCGTATCCTCTGTATACAGTGGGAGTCCCGTCTCCGTTTCTATCTATCCATGCTTTGTATATTCCAGGCAAACGGATGTCCAGACCCATGTCCCTGCCTCCAGATCCCAATTGATTCCCGACACTCGTGGACCGAACCATGTGGGAGCTTGTCTGGAAAGCTGCAGATGAGAGTGATAAATCGACGGCTATGCGCATGTCTTAGATTGACGCCATGGTCGAGGAATGTACATGTGAAATTTGCCATGCCGTATTGAGGGTATTTACATACAATGCCCAGCCCTAGAGTCATGGAGATGTAGACCAGTCACGTACAAGTATATCGATGTGGCCCATGGCTGCCTTGCAACCCTTGTCCAGTTTCCTGTCTGGTCACAGCCTTGCTGCACTGCGCGGTATCCAACGCTCTGGTATGGCGTCTACTCCTTGTATGCAGAGACCCTGGTTTAGCCCCAGTCACGCACAGATGGTGGACGGATTGGGTAGAGTTGTTCAAGTTTGGTTTGGGGTACTCCGTAATGAGTTGCTCAACGGGTGCTTGGACTCGCTTTGACTTTGAACACTTGCCTGTAACGGGATTGATCTGTCATTCATGCACGAGACAAGTGTCAGTGAGGCGATAGAGACATCCAATGAAGCCTTCAGGGAAGATCGAAGCGAGGTAATTTTGACGCCATAGCCATCTTGCATGCAGATAGCAAGCTAGGGGATGTCTTAGAAAGAGCCCTGCTACTGAGCAGGGTGGGACTCTGTTGTCCCAGTGACTGATGTCTTAGATCGGAGATCATGTCTCCGATCTATTGGACCGTTTGGGTGATATCAGACCGAATCATGTCCACAGGATGGCTTTGTGCTGCTTCACGCGGGGACCTGGGCAGGTTGGAGAGTCGAGCCGCGTATACCAAGAATCGAATGTGACATACTCCGCGGATACATTCCGAACTCGTGTGATATCTATCTAATAAGTCAACTTGGTCATGGTGTGCGGAGTACTCCGTACTCCGTACCAAGCTAGTAAGATGCAGTCTGACCTGCAGTACAATGAGGCAAAAGTGGTGATAAGCCTGAATAGACTAATGCAGTCCCAATCAATGAGAAGCCCTCAAGGTCTTGGTGCTTTAAGCCATTCTTTCATGCCATGTCGTCTCATACGCTTACATATTGATATGAGCTAGGTTCATGCAGTGTTCCTGCATTGGTCGCCTCTACAAGCCTCCCCGAGGTCACATATCAAAATGGTATGTGTCGTAGCAAATATCTCATTGATGATATCCATCATTCGAGTGAGGGACAACTTTGGAATGGCACTCAGCACCTAACACCCAGACAAGGAAAGCAGAGAATCAGAACCAACTAGGTATTGCACACCACCTGGTCAATCGGGAGGGGCGAGAGGGAGAGGGAGAGAAAGCAAGGCGCGGAAGACCGTTAGAAGACTCGATCTGATATTCAGTCTATTGAAACCCCTAGAAACTACATGTCTCTAAAAGAACGCCTGTCCAAAAGAAAGCCATGCGCTTAATGTACGTATACAGCACAAATCAACCGTGAGGGAAAAGAAATCCATTATGTAAATGACTCGGTCATCCAGACCGAGCCATAGAAATGCAAATGAACCCAAATGGAATGTCGTCAAAGAAGGAAAAAAGAAAAAGGGGGAAACAAAATCGCTCAAGGGGTATATATCGCAGTGCTCATCATAACCAGATATCGCCTTCTTCGCCTTTGACCCACTGCGCCCAAACAGCCTCGTAGGCGTCTTCCAAATCACGCACCCACCGTGCGGTATCAAACAATTTGTTCCTGTATCTGTCGCGGAACAGCATCTGTCGGATTTCCATGAGTCGACCGCGACCTTGACCAGTGGAGGAATGTTGGAGGTCGTAACATAGCTTGATCGCTTTGTTTTCGTAGTCTTCGTCCGAGGATGCGATGAGCTCTTCACGAGCGCGCTGCCCGGCATCAGAATTGGGCAATGCGCTGCTGAGGATACTGCTCGCCATTCGGGAGCACATTTTGTATTTGTATCGTGGGAGGGTTAGGAGTGGCGTGCCACTCCAAAGAACGTCTGTTGCTGTCGTGTGGGCGTTGCATTCTGGCGTGTCAAGGAATAAATCTAAAATCTTTGCTCGGGCGATGTGGGTATTTTTGGGTGCCACGTCTGTGAAAATGATTCGTGATGCAGTCTCTTCTCCGGCCCACGCTTTGGCAGTGTCGCGTAGATTCTGTTCACCCAGGTCTGGGAAACGGAGTAGCCAAAGAATGGCCTTGGGAATCCGTGCGAGGATCCGCAGCCATGTTCGGAATGTCGTGGGTTCAATCTGTCCATGCGTTAGGTGGGTAAGTTTGATACGTGGGGTTGAATGGGGACCGACCTTGTACAGCTGGTTGAAATTACCCAAGATAATGGTATCATCACTCAGATTGGGGAATAATTCTTTGCGCATTCTCCAGCGCCGGGCTTTTTCATCTTCCCAGGTAACGTGCGTTTCGCCCGCGTCTGGGGCACTTTGTCGGTGATCACAGCAGAAGAAAGTATCACGGGTGAAGACAATCTTCTCCCCGTAGACCCAATCTTCCAGGTCCTCTCCGTTGTCTTCTTCCAATGGTCGCTCCTCGATCCGCGTGGTGCGTCTTCCTGGGCTCAGTGTTTCCGGGGGAATTGAGAGCTGGTCAGCAAGTATATAGTCGCACCATTCGGCACCAAGAGTGCCGGCAAATCCCATGAAAGACATGTGAATGGGAGCCGGGCGAGCGGCAAAGACTTCGTTACGGGCTCCTCGAGTGTAGCCGTTCAAGTTGACCAGAATGTGAACTCCATCCTCGACAATCTGCTGGACGAGCCGGTCGACCGGCCATGCACTAGCATCATGAAATACAGGTGCTTCTTTCTCGATCTGTTGTCGGTGGACGGATTTATCACTTGCCGTCGTAGCGTAACAATATGATTTGACCCGCGAAGGGTCATGGAGTCCAAAGACCGATTGCATCAAATGTGCAAGGGGATGGTTGTTGAAATCAGATGACACATACCCTACACGAAGGTATGGAGCAGGCGGGGCAGGCGGAGGGAAGACTGTCTGAGGAAGCCAAGGCAGTCGCAAGGTTGAGGTTGAGATCCGCAACCCGTTCCGCTGGGAGATCTGGCGAATTTGTTTCGCCGACAATGGACAAGTGAAAGTGTGGAAAGGGAGAACTGTAGGGGCGTTTGGAGCAGAGAGAGCCCCAGGCAGCTGGGGCCGGCGATACTTTGCAGCAGGATAGTCTTTGCCGTAGATATAACGATCTTGATACCATTGCCAGGTAAGTGACCGAATCGCACGCTCAACAAGGCGCACGATCCGGGATCCTTCCCATTTTTGTCCCGCCCAAGACTGAAACAGTTTTGCCAAAGACACTCGATGCGCACCGGCAAAACGGGTGGACTCCAAAGCTGGGGCCAACTGTACAGACAGCTGTTCTGCCGTAGTGGCAGTCAACATGCCACGGCCCCAAGATTCGCCTTCCTTGAGCTGACGTTCGACAATGTCAACGACTCGCTGAATCCATCCCCATCCTACATCGCTCTTGACGGAGTCTCGAAGCATTCCTTTTTCATTGATATGCCATCTATCGCGGAACCCACGGGTATTGGCGACCCCGCCACGGCCAACCCAGTTGCAAACCGAGTTCAAGGCGTTGGCTAGTCCGCAAACCGCCTCGGCGAATTCGGGATTGACCTTGACGGCGCGTCTGTAATATACGATTGCATCGTTGACTTTCCCAGCATCTTTGACGGCATTAGCCAAATTGGCCAGGGCGATATCAAAATTGCCGTCACACTGTACTGCCTGCTCATACATCTTGATAGCAGCATGAAGCTGCCCGATGTCTTTGAGCAAACTGCCAAGGTTGGTATAAAGATGCGCATGCCGCGAGTCTAGGTGCAAACCATAATTATAGTAAGCCAAAGCGAGGGAGACTCCACTTCCAGGCATGACGCCTGGAATTTCGGGGTGCTGAACCTCGCCATTCGGGCGCACCAAGCCCCTGGCTGGCGGGTTATTCTGAATACCAGCCAACAAAATTCCAACGTTGTTGGCGGTTGATGGGCTGGGTTGGAGGGAAAGGGAGAGATAGTACAGGGCTAGGATGTCTCGCACGCCAGGTGAGGACCTAGGTGCTCCTGACGAGGAAACATTAGACATGCCATCCTGGTAAATCTTTGCCAAGGAAAGAAGGGAGTTGCTAGTCGTCGAAGTCGCCGCGTTGCGGGCCATGCCTTCAGGGACATACTGCAATCCTGGCGGTATGCCTCCTCCGGGGAAAACAAGCTTGGCGGTCTTCAAAGCTCGATCTGGATACAGCAAGATGCTTTCCTTGGACTCGTGCTCAGACTGGGGGATGCCATTGTTTGGCCCGGAGAATGCAGCAAAAATTTGTTTGATGATGCTTTGGATACCATGGCGTCTTCGCCCAGCTGCGATGAGAACAGCATCCTCAAACGCCGCAGCAGCGGCGACATTATCTCCAAGGGCATACAACATGTTTCCTTTGGCATGAACCAAGGCAAGCATCCTGCCATTATCGGTGCCTGCAATTGCATACCCACTAGTCGCAAAACCAATAGGCTTTGCATCTGGAGAGCCTGGCGCTAATTGAGGTCTCCCCATGTCATCATCATAGTCAAACGATGCCTTGTCAAACATGTTCACGTCAGAGTGAGTGCTTTCCGCATCGCTTTCGGGCTCACTTGCGTGTTCGTCGGTCTTGAAACAATCGCCGTCTTTCGGGTGGCGCAGAGACTTTTGAACAAAGTCAATTATATTAACAGCTTCCTTTCCTCGTTGACTGCTGCACAGTAAGCCTATCAAATGCTCAACGGCTTCGAAAAAGCTCGGGCGCAGTTTCACTGCTCGTAACCAGTTCTGCAATGCCTCTTCCCGACGATCAAGTGCCAGGAGGGTGGCAGCAAGATTGGAGATGGCTTCCACATGTCTGCTTGTTTGTTAATTTCGGCTCTCCCCAAAAAAAAAAAAAAGGATACACTCACGTTGAGTCACGGGTGATGATCCTAGAGTACCATCGCGTGGCTTTGTTGTAATCACCCAAGCCATAGGCCAAGCAGCCTCCAAGAAGCATTCCATCGATCCACTCCCAATGACTTTCCCCGCATAGATGGGAGAGCATATCCAAAGCGGTTGCTGCATTTGACATGGGCGAGCCCTCGTTGAACAACGACCCACGAGCTCGCGTAAATGGCGATATACCCGGAGCCCCAGTGTCGCGAATTCCGAGCATGTGGGTATCGGACCGGTTCTGGGCAAATTGATTCAAGGATGGGCGGCGGGCATGCCCACGGAGAGGTGCGGCATGTGTAGGGTCGTTGGATCTCTGATTGCCCATGGCATCGATATTGTGCCTTTGTGAGTCATATTGGCTTGATGGATAGCTATTATGACGTGTGAGGTCCGGGGCATGGGCTTGAGAAAAGTCAAGGCCCGGTTGCCTCGGTGGTTTGGGGTATATGCTAGGTTTCATGATGCGAGGGTGACCGTCCGCGGTCCCGTTAGACATGCTGTTACGGCGGGCTTGGTGAATCGTTGCGAGGAGGTCAACGTAGACACCATGGGCCCACGATAGAACCTTTTCTTTGAACTCTGCATTTGCTGCAGTTGCAGGTTCCGGTGGTTGGAACCCATGAACAGGCTGCCGGTTGGGCCAAGCTGTGTCATTATTAAGTGGTTGGTGTGATATTGATGGTAGAGGGCGATTGGCGCGAGCGTGAAAGGGTAATTGTTCGGAGTGTCGTGGTGGAAAGTGAGTCTTCATCAAAGAATCTGGATTAGGCAACCCAGGCATGGAGTGACCCCATGGAAAGCCCGAGTCAGAATGACTGACCAGCGGAGCTTGAGGTTGATTAAAAACGGGCTGGTTCAACTCGTAATAAGGCTGGCCGGGGGTGGCCAACTGTTTTGGAAAGGGCGTCGGGGATTCGAATCGAGCATCGCGAAACGCAGCCGGGCGGTATGGGATATACACACCATCAGGCCAGTATGGGCCAAAGGGCCCAGTACCTGCCGAAGCAGTCGGCCCGAGACACGACTGCAAAGTGGCAGGTAGGACCGTGGGTATATAGGCCCCATTGTGCAAGAGCATACGCTGGTTTCCTTGCAAGGGCAAGCTCTGATTCAACATCGAATCGACTCCCGGTGGATAGTTCACTGGACGAACCCAACTTGTTCCATTCGCATCTTGAACTACCTCACTTGGAATCGCATTGCCAGCCAGCTCGTTTTTGAAGACGGGTGGGAAATTCGAGGCTGCCTGGTCCGACCTGTGCCAATTCTCCGACTGCATGGCCGGGTGAGGGAAGAACTGGCCCGATTCCGGCGTGACCAGGATATGTTTGGATGCCGGAAGTTGATTGGTATCAATGGGTGTTCCATCGTACCCCGCAGCCAGAGTTCCGTTGGGAGTCTTCCTTCTCAAGGTGTGTTCCACGTTCGCGCTGGAGCTGGAGCCGGACGCATCGCGGCTATCAAGTCGCTGGACAGGATGAGGTAGTTGTAATCGGGATCGAGACATCGGATTGAAAAAAAGTTTGGGGTCGTTTCGGAGGGGGTCATTCGCATCGTACGCGTGAAGATCGTGTGTGCGGTGGTGTGGTTGAACCGGGTGAAATGGCGCGACGGACGGGTACATCTTCATCTAAAGAGCGCCCTGAAGCCGGAACAACGACTCAAGTCAAGATTAAACATTCAAAAAGCATGCTTGAATCGTTTCCGACACCTCATCATGTGAACCAAATCTAACGGGCGCAAACCAAGTTAACCGCACGGCACTTGGATTCAGATCGTCATCGAAGTCGAGATAAAGCACTGAAGATAAAAGTCGAGAGGTCGAAAGGGGAATCGTTCAGTGGGAAGGTTCAGACGCAAGGGAGAGAATGTCCCAGTTCACGATGCTGGCGTCCAACCAATGACGAGCGATCTCGATCTTGGCAAGAATCAAGAGGGCAGTGAAGTCGCAAGGAAGATGTCCGGGAAAAGGCGCAGAGAAAAAGAGAGAAAAAAAGAGACAGCGAAATACGAAAGCAAAGGTGAAAGGTGAAAGTCGTAAAGGCAGAAAATGGGAGTGGACACGGTGGATATGCAAGTGGGGGATTATGGAGGTGCTATATTATGTACGAGTACACTACTATATTAGATCTTTTTTGGCTCTCCAAGACTTCTTATATATCACTTTTGGCTGAATTTAATTATGGGCTCTTTATTTGACACTTATTGTAGAATATGCCCTCTTTTGTAAAACTGTCGATGTATAATATTTGATCATTAAGTACGGAGTCATCAAGAACTTCCCCTTTTTTTTTCTTCTCTCATCTTAACTCACCACACCTCAACTTTCCAACTTGCCATCTTACAACCTACCTCTCCACCGAGATCCACTCGTTCCAACGGCTGAACCCTCTCTCTGGCTGAGCGGCTCCATACCAAGTCGACTTCTGGTGCATCATTGGTCCCGACCCGGCGACTAGTGATGGATCGGTGACGCCCCGCCGGTGATCGAGTCGAGCCCGTTCTCCGTTTCAGTGGATTGTGAGACTTGGCTGAACCTACTTGTACGTGATCTTGTCAAATGCATCTCTCTAGACTTTTTGGCCACTCTGCTGCAATCGGCTGCACCCTGCACCTTGTACTGGGGCCAGCACTTGGGACTTTTGGATCAAGATACGCCACCTGACTTACCCGGCATGGCCGTGGGCTAGCCGCCCACTGTGATGACAGGCGCAGCCCCCCCTTTGTTGGCCGCCTCATCTGCCTCCGATCTTATCCGCTCTAGGATGATTCTGGGGTTGCTAGTCAAGGATGTCCACCACGATCCCTGCGGCCTTTTCCTTAGCTTGGGGGCTATTATCTGCCTATCCAAGGCTGTGTTGTGATTCGTATACCCTGGTCCATCATATCCGTGATAGTCGGGATAGTCGTGATATTCAAGATATTCATGACGATCATTTCATCTCCGACTTGGGTATACATGGGTTGGATCATGGATGCATTTCACTACAGAGTACTCCGTATACCTGGACTATTTTCGCAAACGACCTTCCACAAATTACCCTATGCGATAGGCTCACTAATGTTCTTACCGAACACCCATGGCCCTGTTCGCAAGACTCGGTGGCCCTTAAGACCTGTTGTCTACAACGGCTATGACACAGGTCGCAGAGATCGACAAACTTACTCCACTGTGTGTCGCATCCCTCCTTAGCCTGCACAACGCCGTACGGTCGGGTGGTACAGGCTAACTTGATTCTAAATATGTAAAGCATGATGCTCAGCCTTGTTGACGCGACTGTGTTAAATATTAATATTTACTATGTGTTGTTTGTACATATTCGGGTGCAGTATACGGAGTACCTGGTAAATAAGTGACAGTTTTCCTAGAGGGTTGAAAAAAAAAATATTGAACTCCACTTGATAATCCAAATTATCAAAGAGCCACTTGTTCCAAAGCAATTTCAAGGCCAAGCATCCTTTGTCTCCACTGTGGATGAGTAGATGATTTACACTTCGACAGAGCACGCTGCGCAGGTGTGCTATGTTCAAATACTACTTGTACTTGTACATAATTGAAGCACTTAACCTATTGTTTAACTATATATTGTTCGTGCATTTTCCATTGATGGATTTTTACTCTCACCTAGGAACCTTGCGTCATACAGGAACTTGGAAGGTGTACTTCGTAAGGTCATTCTCTATCCACTCACACACTGTACTATCTACTTTGCACAGATTGCGGATTCTAGTACTTCGTAATCACCATAGTATTTTTAATAATTCTTGGCCATTCATTCGTGCGCAACGCTCGGATACCCTGTTTGCTGTTGACCGTTGGCATGTTTCAGACCTGGAATACATATTTGCCCTACGTTGTACATCCTGAGCCACATCCATGGATCCACGTATAACATGTGCGCTCTACCAACTGTGCTTTACCTAGTCCTGGGTGGCTTTGAACACTAAATCTATCCATGGATACGGAGTATAGATGAACTGTGAGATTTGTGCGGAGACCACACTATAGTGAGAGTGGGGGTCACATTTGTGAATAACTCGGAATATATATATTGAAGTTTCTTTTTTTATCCCGTCAGTTGGAACTCTCGTTGGGAGGGTGGCTAGCCATTCACATCAAATCGATAGTCCATGTACCAATAGCATTGCGCTGCATATGTACATGCATGCTGGCGGCCTACATGCAGGGGAGTCTGGTCATGTTGGGGGGTTTTGGTTGGATATACACCGCTAGTGCATTCATGTATGGGCCTGAGCAAACTGGAGGATGAAAAGTACCACCTAAGCAAGATGAACTAAGATCGCACGAAGACTGGGTATTCTCTCAGAGGAATGTTGTACCTATTCTTGGAAGGGTTCAGGAGAAAAAAAAGCTTTAATTTTGGCGCTAGCTAACTACAGCTTACAAGACCAATCTCTTTCGCAAGAGATGTAGACCCGAAATATGGACCACTGCACCCACGGAGCAAGCTCCAAGGATACCGCGGTGAGTAATGGGACTGGTTTTATCTTCCCCACTTAAAATAAGCCTATACCACGTTTTGATATGATCAAACCCCGCAGGGAGAGAACAGTAAGGGCCAGAGTGTTGTGGGGGTTCCATCCGAAGGATAGACTGTCGGCTGCGCCGGGAATGGCCTTCCAATGTCCTCATCGCACAAGAGATAGCAAGAGAATAGTGGAAGGCGTCAGAGAGGGAAAGGGAATAGAGAAATACAACCGAAGAAGAAACAGCAGGCTGATCAATTTGTTTCAATCGAACGCCTGGCGCATTAATGGTATCATAGTCATGACTCATGAATATTTTTTGGTTTGAGAAACCATTCGTATTCTGCAACTAGCAACTCAACATTAAGAGTGCACGCCTTAGAAATCAGATAGGCCTCCTCTTTTTTGATCGTTCAAGAGAATAATTTAGTTCTCGGGAACTAAAAGCAAGTTAGTGGGTGAAAGAGAAAAATATGAGCGTTGTGTGGACTAACCGTCAATCTCGCCAGCCTTGACATCGTCGGAGACGTCCTTGGGGCTGCGGCCATCGACCTGGCAGCCGACGGAGAAGGCAGTACCGAGGATCTCGAGGACGGTACCGCGGAGCTCCTTAGCCATGGAACGCTCGCGCATGGTGCGGGCGATCTCGATAACGTCATCGAAGGGGATGGACTTGGAGTGCTTGATGTTCTTCTCCTTCTTGCGGTCACGAGGGGGCTCCTTGAGGGCCTTGATGACAAGGGAAGAGGCGGAGGGAACAACGGAGACAGCGGCCTGACGGTTCTGGATGGTCAAGCGCACGGTGACACGGAGACCCTTCCAGTCACCAGTGTTCTTGGCGATATCTTCACCAATCTTCTTGGGAGACAGACCGAGGGGACCGATCTTGGGGGCCAGGGCGGACTGGGCACCGACTTCACCACCAGTCACACGCAGGTGGCTAAGAAACAATTGTTAGTTTTCTGAACCGGAAGGAAAATTTTTGAAGAAGCTTCAACTTACATGATCTTCACCTCATTGGGATCGAACTTGGGAGCTGATCACGAGGGAATGTTAGTCGCCATCTTTCAGGAGGCCAAGTAGATGATACTTACGCATGGCGAGTGCGAAAGGTAGTCGATCTTCCTTGGTTGTCGAAGAAGTTGGTTACAGAAGAGAAAAGGAGAGGAGCGCGGAAATTGACTTGAGCAGTCGAGGTGCTAGCGGGACCCACTTTGCGCGCAAACCTAAGCGAGTGGCCCGATGAGGTGTTAGGGCTCATGTCACGTGATTAACTCAGCCCTTACATGGATTCCCGTTTAGGTAGGATGTTTGACAACGATAAAGCGTGAATATTAATGGAATCAATAACTCATATAACGTGGTATAGTCCATTCAATTTACTCAATATTGCGTCAAAGGATTTAAATTCACCGCTAAAGATACACAAGACCCGAGGGTCGACGACAGACCGCCCTTTGCTCTCATGATGGTCATGTCTCATCACATCTAGCTGGTTCCAGAAACAGCAAGCCTAAGACACAGTTAGCACAATTCAAAGTTCGGAAAGCGGGAGAACGTACTTCATCAGATGATCCATGAATGTTTGGAGTGACACATCATCAGTGAAGATGGTCTGTGACGAAACACCGCCGCCGTAGCCACCAGTAGTGTGGGTGGTTGACGGGTTCAGCTTGGACAGTAGGAAACGAGCTTGCGAACCACCGGCATCACAGACAATGAAACGAGGGAGCGGGAAGCGATCGGCAATGAGGTCCTGAAACAGTGTTAGTCAAAGCACAGTAGAGTGGTGGAGAAAGTGGAACATACTCTAGCGTCCTCCTTAGGCTGGTCAAGCAGCAGCTTGAGGTTCTCGTAGCCTTCTTGCTCATGGTAACCGGCTTTCCTCCATTCAGCAATAGTCTCTCCATTGAAGATCAGAATGTGGAAGAAGGTATCAAGAAGGAGAATATGAGCAGGCTGGATAGAAGCGGAGTCCAGAAGCACTGGTTGAGCACCCTCTTGCTCCAATGAGTATGAGTCGAGGGTGGGCTGAATCATGACAAGAGAGTCGCCCGCATCCTCGTGATTAAGCACATGGCGATAGAAAGCAGTCTCATCAGGAGAGTTGTTAAATACCTGCAAGAACTGACTTCGGCGGAGATGGAACATGAACTGAGGGTATAGGGTGAAGTTCTTCTCCAATCGGAATGATGTTGGGTCATCCTTGCGGTAGTCAGCGAATCGGGAGCACAGCCTGATCAGCATACGATCGACCCAACGGAGAACATCAGGGCCATCGTCAACCTCCGCCTTGAACACCGCAATACGGGCCATGAGAACAGCGGCGGCCTCTTGATCAAAGGATTGCGCCAGAGTGGGGTCACCAGCGGGTCCGCTAAGTGGGCGCGCAGCTGTGGTCACCCGCAGGTGGTAATGACCAGAGGAGTGTTGGTAGTATGTCAAGAATTGCATCATACCACGCTGAGGTCCAGGCTGCACAGCAGCAGGTCCGCCCTGGTTGGCAATCTCGAAGTAAACACCGTAGCTGGATGATGGGTCGATTCCGCACATCTTCCACGCGCATGTATTACCGATACCGCACTCGGTCTCGCCAATAGAGCTTGACTTCTTATTCAGCGAGATCGCATGGCCAATGAGACCAGTGACCTTCAGCTCCTTAGTAGTGAGCACCTCGAGAGAAGCGTTGAAGCCCATCAGGAGGTTGTCGTTAGCATCCTTGTCAAAGACACGAATAAACGATTGCTTGAATTGCGACGAAGTGAAGCTGTCTGTAAGGAGCATGTGACCTCCGGTGTAGTTGGAGAGATTCTTCATTTCCAACAAACCAACTTGATCAAGACATCCAGCGAAGATATCCACAATGTGACCATTGTTAGCAGCACGCTTGGCAAGGTTATCGTAGAACTTGACAGCCTTCTTGTAATACTTGATGTTATCACGGTCAATGTCGTGGTGGGAACGGATAGGTTCTCTAAGCTCAGGCGAAACGACGTGACCGGGACCTTCAGTGGCAGCACCGCTGGTGAAAGCCATAATGCGGCCTCCGGCGTTCTGGAAGGAAGTCTCAAGCAGACCAACGGCAACGCTCAGCGCGACACCGGTGCAGCGCAGGGGACGCTTGTCGTTGGCAACGGGCCAGGGATCACGCTGCAACTGTTCGAGGACATTGGTGATCTGGAATTCAGCTTGCTGAACTGGCATAAGGAAGCGCGCAGCTGGGCCGAGGGGAGGACGTGCGGGTTGTTGCTGAGGAACACCTGGACGAATACCACCCGCTAGACCAAGCATCTCCTGAACTTGCTTTGCGGTGTATTCCTTGCTACCTCTGAACACATATGACTTCGCGCATTCAGTGTAGCCGAGCTCGTGAACTTGAGCCTATGTAGTATGATCAGATTAATAAATTGCCAGCATCTGGAACATCAGTTTCGCCTACCATGGTACCAAAGGTAATAAGACCAACGAGCGCATTGGGGGGTAGAAGTGACAAGCTCATAATAAGAGCATCCTTCACAGCCTGCAGGCTATCATCCTCCTGGCAAGTATCGACGACAAAGACGAAGATTGGGGGCGCGGGGGCGGGCCGGGCCAATTGGTATTCGATCGTCGTGCTCTGGGGGTGGAGCTCTGGGGGTATCGTGTTCTCGGTAATGTCCTTATAATGAGGAGGAAGAGGGTTACGAGATAGACAGAATGGGCAAATCCAGATTCGTGCGCGGACATCCACAGTGCTAGATCGAGATCAGCGTCATGTTATCATCTCACGTTGACCCTGTACATACGCATATGGGTTGAGGACGGCGCGGCAGGGTTGCTTGCAGCTGACAGGCTCATATTGAAGCAATGGAGAATCGGGCTTCTCCTTCAGAGGGGTGTAGACGGCGGCAATGGGGACGACAAGCCGAGAGGCTTCCTATATCGAATCTCAGTGATGCGGTCAAACTGAAGCGGTGGTACCATCACGAACCATGCGAGTGCTCGGGAAAGTGTTCCAACTGAGCCTAATTCCATCCCGGTCCTCCACATCGCTCCATTGATCTTTCAGCGCCTCGAAGTCCATCTTGGTTGTTGTGTTGATGGAAGGGGGGTAAACGATGAGAAGTCAGTCACAGGTGAAACCTCGGTGTTTGAGCTCTCCAAGAAACTAATTTAAAGAGACTCCCGGAGCATAATCCAGTTCTCAGAAGCAGTTTAATCCCTGTTAATAGCTAGGGAATGATTGAACAAGATGGAGTATGTTGTGTGGAGTGTCTGCTCCGCGAGTAAGGCCAGGTTGCAGCACTGTTGGTCACTGCGGTGTCCCGTACCAAAACACCATTAAAACTCGGCAAACCGCACTCCTGCGCTCTTTTCTTTCAACTTCACGCCGGCTCCAATGTGTTCTTGAACATGTTATTTTTTGACAGCTTCCGTCATTCCATGGCGAAGTAGTCTTCCAGTTGAGCGGAGATTAACTTGACCCGTTGCTGGGCACCTGGATTTGAGAGGTCATTCTGATCCTTTCGGATTCTCTGGGAATCAGCTGTGGTCACACTCCCTATCAGTAATACTATCTTATAATAGATGAATACACAGAAATTTACAAGGTGGTTCTGAAATGAAATGATGTGAATAGATATGCATTATACAGTACAGCTTATGCCCCCTAACGCCAGCGAAAAGAAGCATGTGAAAGTAGCCCGGCATAACCTCATTAAACTTGACATGTGAACCCAGCAAGGCACCTCATGCATCCTTGGGCGCCTTGGACATCTGCTTCAAGAGGAAACTGCGCTTGAAGTAGGTGTTTGGATGAACGATGGTGTCCAGGTCAGTTTGGCTCATGGTTCCCTCCTCCTTGACCTTCTTGATCTCGTTCTTGTGCGTTGCCTCGAAGACCCGATTACAGGCGATGTGATAACGCATCTTGCCAACGTCCTCGCGGACACCACGCAGGACTTCCTTGTCACTAACGCCAGTGGCTTGGAGGAACCCAACCAGGTTGTCCACAGAATAGTGGCGATAGGGACAACCATGAGTCTGGCCAATGCCGGGATTCGAATCACCGAGGATCTTCTGGCATGAGTAGGGAGTGTATCCTTTTCCACGACGGTTCACATCACCGCCAACTTCACCGTATGCGTGACGGATGTTGTACTTGTACTGCGAGTTGAACTCATCATCGGTCTTGCCCTTGAAAGACTGGCGCCAGAACAGAATACACTCTTCTAGAGACAACCCAATGCCCTTCAAGAAAAGCGTGTATTGCAGTCGACCAAAGTGTTTGAGATGGTTGTTCTTGCGCAAGTTCACGTGCAAGCTCTTCATGCACAAGGGGAAGTGCTGTTGGGCCAGCTGATCAATGGAGCTGGCCGTGATGGGAGCTCCGTCTATGTATCCCTCGCCTTCGGAGTATACCGAATCGGCGCTGCCAAAGTTCTTCGAAAGATGGTTCAGAATTGGCGTAAGACGGTCATCCTCATCTAGACGGGGGAGGGCACGGCTCGTGAGCTGAAGAAATTAGTCAATTTTGTCCCAAGTAGCAATATGTCGATGTGAACATACCTCGAGTGCACGCTCCAAGCGAGCAGTGAACTCAGCCAAGATCATACTCATCTGTTCTCGTCCGGGGACATAAGCCTTTCCTTTTTTCAGGTAGACCGCACGTCTCTCGATCAATTCGGGAACTTTCTCCCAATCAACCTTATACCAAGTCTCGTCGTCTACTCGACGCAATCCCGCGGTAGAACTCATCAGAGCCTCAGCAACCTCGGTCTTCTCGAAGTCACCCAAAGGCTCCCAGTCGAGATTCAAACTATCGATAAAGGCGCGCTTCTCCCTCGAATCGTCTTGCTGGAAGCGGAACCTGAATAGCATGCTCTCAGCGCGCGCAAACCGACGACGGAGGTCCTCCGTGGCGGAGAAGGCCAATCGGAGGATGAAATGAGAATAGTGATCCTTTTGGCGTTCATTCTTCAGACGCTGATCGGCAGAGCCCGAGGATGACGAAGTGTTTGAGGAGAGAGGGAGGAATTTCTGGAGGAGAGGCGTGATGTAACTCGCGGTCTCGGCGGGGGATTTATTGCGATAAGAGCATGCTTCGATCTCGGCCAGGACTGTGTTCAGGTCAATATGCGGAAGAGGTTCAAGATATCCAAGGTGCACACATACTCTTCAGTCTATCGATGGCCCATTGCTCGAATTGCTCCAGAGTGATCTCCGCGGTAGGAGGCGTGTCATAGATGTTCATGCGATGGGGATAGTCTTGTTGTTTGAAAGTTGCCGGGGCGAACTGTCTTTTCTTGGGGTCAATGATGGTCCTCCGCTTAGGATCAATGCGATTAACATCTTGTCGGATCATGGTGGCGGTAGTGTGTATTGACAATTCAATCTCCGGGCCTATCTAATTTGACACCGCGACGCGTGCCACACGCGACGTTCACGTGATCGCACCATAATCCGGACTCCGCGACTGGACAGAGCGTCTGGGGTCAAACATGTGTCGAGGCATGTGAAACTGGCCCCGAGTTATAGTCTCCCCAAGGCCTTTTACTACTTTAAATATTTCGAAATGAATGTCAGCCATTCAGGTTATTCAATATACAACACTCGTTCCCCTGCGCGGACATTGTAGTTTCCCTCGGAGGTCGTTCACCGACAACCTAAAGGATCAAGACTTAACCCCACAAAATCAACGTTGAGCCCGAGATATGCGACTGCTTATCTCCTAAGTTCTAAGCTCTTCAACCTGCCAACCTGCCACTCCGTCGGCCTGTCAGACTGTATCATTGCTATATTGCCTGGGTGCATAAAATTCCATCCGTGGTTCCTTCCTCCCGCGCCCCAACATCCGAACCGTTGAATCCATCTGCCAGGAACCGAAACCTCGAGCTTTCCTGGGCCCACACAGCACATCATGTCGCACGCGACGAAGCAGCTCAAGAAGGCCGCGCGCATCATCCTCATTGGCGCACCAGGAGTAGGAAAAGGCACACAGTCCGAGCGACTGCTATCCCGATTCCCGCAGCTGGCCTCGATCAGCTCCGGTGACCTGTTGAGAGAGAATGTGCGCCGACGAACACCGCTCGGTAAGGAAAGCATTGGGCTCAATTGCGCATGAGTTAGCCGTATCTAACTTAAGCAGGCATGCAAGCCGAGGCCGCAATGCAGTCCGGCAACCTCGTCCCCGATTCCATGATTCTCAACCTGATCTCTGATGACATGAAAACCAAGGGCTGGCTCCTTCAACCCGACTCTCCTGCCCAATCCACAAACTCGCCATCTCCAGAAAACACCACATCCGCCCCTACAATTGATCCTTCTGCCTCCTTCATCCTTGACGGCTTCCCTCGCACCTCCTCCCAGGCTACAAGCCTGGACAGTCTAGTGCCAGTGAACTTTGTTGTACACCTTCTCACCCCGCCCTCGGTAATCCTTGCCCGAATCGCATCACGCTGGGTCCATGAGCCCTCGGGGCGAGTCTACAACACAGACTTCCACCCACCAAAGGTGCCAGGCAAAGACGATGTCACCGGCGAAACATTGACACAGCGCGAAGATGACTCAATCGACACCTGGAAGCAGCGTCTTCGCAAGTTTGAGGAGACCAGCAAGTCACTGTTGGACCACTATGAACGTCGAGGCTTCCTATTCCGCGCAGAGGGTAATAGCTCCGACGAGATCACGCCCAGACTGTTCGCCGAGATTGAAAGGCGATTCTGCTGAGTGTGGCTGAACCTTGTATACTTATCTATCTTATCCTACGATCTGAGGATCGTTTGAATCTTAATGCCCGTCCAGCCATGCGGGCTCGGGGGTAATGATCCCCCACGCATGTATAGCGAACGCATCCCGGTGTATTATATCTAATGTTCGCATCCTATAATTGCTTTCATCATCATTGAATTCCTTTGACGGTATATGTACAGAGGGTTTAGTCGTATCATATCATGATGCAGATGCCACAAAACATATCAAACGCTCATCAAAAGCCAAAAAGCTCTGCGAATGCCTCACTTCTTCCCATTCTTCTCGACATCACCCATCCCCATCCGATTTTTGTACTCCCGAGGACTCTCCCAATCACCCCCAACCTTCTTATAGTCCTTCCAAAGCCCCTTGGCCCTCTTCTTAGCCCACCACTCCGCCTTCCGATACTTCTTCTCCATCTTCTCCCCACCAAACTCAGACCCCATCTTCGCCTCGTAAACAGTCGCCATTCCGCGCCGAAGCATTTCATACGATACATCGCGCCGCCTGAATGGCGGGAAGTCGAATGCTCGCCGCACGAACACGCTCGCCACAACTCGCGAGTACTGGTCTTGGCGGTGGACGAGTGCGCGCACTCGTCGCCCACTCAAATAAGCCGTTAGCCAAGTGTGGGCGTCGCGCGCAAAGGGTTGTTCTGGGCGTCCAAAGTGCGCGAGCTCAGGGGCATCCACTCCTGCAAGACGAATATGGATCTAGATCGTGTAAGCTTTTGCGGTACGGAACGGTGGCGTTGGGGTAGGTGCGCTACGAACAGTGTTGTCTTTGAGGTCTTTTTTGTTTGTAGGGACTTTTTTTCCAGGGGAGCCAGCCCCATCCCGCTAGACGACCACCGGGCGTATGGAAAATGCGAAAGTTGTCTCCATCGCCGACGCTGGTCACTTGGCCGAAGACGCTCCGGCGTCGGAGGTAGGAGGAGGAGATACTGGGCGCGTCGGGGATTCTGCGAAGGTACGAGCGGTGGAATCGCACGGCGAGGAGTATACCACTTGTTAGGACAAGGGTTGGGACGAGGGTCCTCGGCTCTGTGTAGGCTTTCCAGTCGAAGATGGAATTGTTTGCGGAAAGTGAGCTTTCTTTTTCGTCATTGGTCGACTCGGAGCTCCATGGCGGCCATCTCATCACGAACCATACCACTCTTGTGGCAGCTGTGAGGTGGAGGGAGGTTCGGTGGTGGTTGTTGGGTTAGAGGGATCGACGCGGTGAGCCTGGAGAACCGCCCTGGATCAACATGCACGGATATACTCGGTCAACATGCAGCCCGGGGCGCTAGCACACCTAGGGCTTCCAAACACCTTCGCCGACGAGTTTCAGCGCCGCTTGATGTATGTTTGGCAAATTTTGAACAACTAATGGCACAAGGAATTCTATGCAATATTTGACTACATATAGTATCCAATGTGGGTTTCAGGAACTTGAGCCTTTGTTGGCTCGCCGATGAATAACAAAAATCGAAATGAGCATGTACAAATCTATATTCAAACAAGACCCATGATTCTATCACATCAAGTCTTCATAGAAAGTAAGTCCGAAAAGTGTATAATCAAGTAGACGGTTCATAATCCAAAATTGCCAACACAGACCAATGCGCCGAGTGACAGAAAATAGTGAATCAAAGGGAGGGGGCTGTAAAGGAAATTCAAAAGACAATTATTTCAAAGTGGCGGGTCGGCTGGCCTGGGCCTTTGCTGCTGCTGAGTCCACGACCTTGCTCAACTTGTCTTTCTTGATGCCCTTCAGGTAGGCGAACAAGACAATGAACAGGATTTCCATCCTGGATGATAGTCAGCTTTGAACAAGACGTTCACCTGAAATTCAACATACCTCTCCTTGGTCATCATCAGAAGACCCTGGACCAAAAGACCCTTCAAGATCTGAGGCCCAATGCCCTTGAAGAGAGCCAGAAGACCCTCGTTATCGACGATGTGCTTCATCACCTCCACAAAGCTCTTGAAGGGCTTGCCATTTCGGCTTGGTGGGGGACGAGACTGCAGGCCGACCTTGGCGACGATCAAAGGCTGGGTAGCGATTGTGGCCAGAGCCTTAGACATAGCACCGAGGACTGAGACATTGTTAGCGGGGCCATTGGCCAACGAGCGAGCTGAGACCACTCACGGAATGCCTCCCAAGGCTTAAGGTTGTTCTTTCCTGGGAACAAACCCTCCTTCAGACGCTGGTACGCGCCATATGTAATGGCCGGGTTGACGACCAAAATCAAACTGGCCTTCAGTCCGCGCCACAGGCCGGTCCAGCCGTCCTCGCTCTCAACCACCTCCCGACCCGTCTCGATCAACCCCTTCTTATCACCCTTCGGCTGTGTCTGTTGGCGGGTCGTTATAACGGCGACCGGGATTGTGAAGATCTGGGCCACGGCACCTGCTGCAGCACCGAGGGAGAGCTCGATTGCGGTACCAGGGGGTTTCGGTGATTTGGCCGAGGCCATGTACAGGGTCCTTACGACGCTGTACCAATAGAAGTATGCGAAGTTTGTCGATGCAACACCGAGAAGGGATCCCGCCATTCCAGAGTACAAGCCGCTAATGCCTTCTTTCTCCGCGATCTTGGTGATGGCATCAAGAGTCGATTCATAGTGCTCGAGGTCGGAGGATGAAGCGGCGCCGTTCTTCTCCTTAACTTGTACTTGCAGTTTCGTCTTGACCCTGAAGGCGAGAATGGCATGGTCAGTACGACTCCCTGAATAGGTGGATTGTATATCTGCCGGGGTCTCACAGGTCAAGAGGGTATACCATCGCGTTCGCGAGCACTGCACCTGTTGCGCCTGCAACGGCGCTGCCCCAAGGTGAGAGGGCGGGCTTAGATTGACCGGTCATTATGTAGGTGAATGAGGTTCTAAATCAAGGGAGTTCAAGAAAAGAGAGAATAAGATGTACCCCCCAAAAAAAAGATCGGATAGGAGAAATATTTGGCGGGGCCTGTCTGCTCCAAATCGCGGTCAGAGAGAGATCTAAGAACAATATCGCGAAAACCAGGAAAGCTCACCTCTATACCGAAGTCACCCGAGTATTCAAAGTATAAAAAAGAGAGCGACCGAGTTCATGAGCAGTTGCACCTCGGCGCTTCACCTTAAAATGAGCCGAGGTCCACTTTCGGTATTAGCTTATGTCAGGCATTACATCACGCTTTCACGTTTTATACTCCGTTGAACGCCTGTTGGTAGGATTGGTTGTGCTCAGATACGTCTCTGATGATATATAGGACCCTAGATACATTAAATTCTCGAATTGCAAAGACCCCAATATCACCATAGGAACATGCCGAACCACACGGCGAAATCAGTGCGTACGGGACCCTCTCGGCTCGCGCCAAATCCGGTAATTTACTTGGTCCGATCTGATTACTCCACGACCACCTCCAAGTATGTCCAAATCGGGGCCCACATATCTATCGCAAGCTTTGGTATATCATGCTGACGAGATCTACCATGATGTTCAAGCTAACGATGCAATAGAGCGCCGAAGAAGCGGTAGCCGCAGCAACCTCTCAAAAGGCGGCATTAGAAGCGGCTATCAATGCCGCGGAACATTACATGAGAGCGCTGCGTATAGCACCAGCCGACGAGAAGAAACAACTTGATTCGAAATGTAAAGAACTGATCATCAAGGCCGAGAAGATCAAGAGCGCTGCCGACTGGAAAGCCGCCGCATGTGCGGGGCCACAGAAAGCGTTCGCTTTGCGGCCGCCTGCCTCCACGCGGAAGCTCACTACCCGCGAAGAAATCATCATTCTGGAGGGCGCGAAGCTCCATGGCTATATTTTCCCACCCTGGACAAGGGCGCCGCAGAGGGATGAATTTGTCTGGGAAGGGCCGCCTTTTACGTACGTCGGAAGCCACGTTCATATTGACCGCTGCTAACCGGGTATAGGGACGCACCTGATCTGCACCTCTCTGATGTCCAGAAAGATATTTTTGCAGGCTGGAAACGGCCACAGGAGCTGTTGCAGACGTCGAAATTGCTCAACTCGGTACATGATGAAAAGAACCCGACTATGTCGGCCTCCGGGCCGACGGATCTCGTACAAGACGTTTTGACCGATTGTTCGGTAGTCGCGAGCCTTTGCGCTACAACCTCCAGATCAGAGCGAGGTTTAGGGCAGGTATGCATTCAAACATTCATGAAATATCAGTTTGAAGCTAATGCAGTGACTGCAGCATGCATCGCCCACGATGTACCCATGCAATGAAGAGAATGTTCCCATGATCTCACGTTGTGCAAAGTACATTTTTCGATTTTACTTCAACGGATCCTTCCGGAAAGTCATCATAGATGATCGTTTGCCCTCATCAAAGACTACGCGGTGTCTTCATGTGGTCGACCGCAACAACCCCAGCTTTCTTTGGCCTGCTCTGATCGAGAAAGCCTACCTGAAAGTTCGTGGAGGCTATGATTTCCCAGGTAGCAACTCAGGAACAGACCTGTGGGTTCTGACGGGTTGGATCCCAGAACAAATGTTTCTGCACCATGATGACTCCACCTCGGATGAAGTCTGGGGACGTTTGTACAATGCCTTCCACCACGGTGACGTTGTGCTGACGATCGGCACTGGGAGGCTATCTGAAAGCGAAGAACAAGGTCTGGCTTTGGTCAGTGAGCATGATTATGCTATCCTGGACATGAAGGAGATACAGGGTCGGCGCCAGTTTCTACTGAAGAACCCCTGGGCCGGCGCAGAGCCAAACATACAAAGTACCTCGACAGCTGGTTCCGATCCGTCTGATGCAAAGTCTCCCTTGTCGCCAGGCAAATTCTGGATGGATTGTGAACATGTTCTTCTCAATTTCGAAAATCTTTACCTCAACTGGAACCCTGGATTGTTCAAATATCGCGAAGATATTCATTTCACGTGGGATTTATCCCACGGCCGGCTCATTGCCGGTTGTTTTGTGAAGAACCCACAATTTTCCATCTCCAGCAAGACGGGAGGAACCGTATGGCTGTTGCTTGGAAAGCATTTCAAGACACAGGACCAGCAGTTGAAAACTGACCACGCAGAAAGCGGCCTCGGGTTCATCAGCATATACATCTTCCAGGCAGGTGGCAGAAGGGTGTCACTCAGCGATGGGGCACTCTATCGCGGTCCGTACGTTGACTCCCCCAATACGCTCATGAGACTAGAGATGCCGCCCAATTCTACGTACACCGCCGTGATTTCAGAGCAATCTCTTCCATCGGCGAGCCAAAACTTTACACTCTCGGCGTTTTCAACTGCTCCTGTTGCGGTGGCACCCTCACTAGATAGGTACCTCTGTCTGACTAAAGCAACGGGGTCCTGGACAGCAATGACAGCCGGTGGAAACGCCGAGTCGCCTCGATACCACTCCAATCCCCAGTTCAGTCTTACGATTTCCGAGAAAACAGACGTTTCAATCTTGCTCGAGACTACAGAAGCAGAGTTGGCCACCCACGTCAAACTCTTCTGGTCCAACGGCCAGCGCGTGTCGCGCGTGCGCAGTCGAGATATCATTGCCGACAGTGGTGACTATCGCCGAGGATGCGCCCTGGCCGAGACTAAGTCTTTGGATAAGGGAACATACACCATTGTCGGCTCTACATTCGCACCCGACCAGCTCGGCCGTTTCACATTATGGATCTCATCCACCATCCCATGCGTCGTTCAGCAATTGGCTTCTGAGTCTGCGGGGCGGCGTGTTGTCTTGTCGGATGTCGGCATTCTTCCACCGGGTAAGGACAGAATGCTGACCTCGCTTGGGGTCTCTCGTTTAACGCGGATCCGACTCATTGCGCGAAACAAACGGTCCACAATCGACTCTCGGGCCGCTGCACCCTCACCTGTGTTGATGACCGTTGAATTAGGCCAAGGTCCATATAAAGAGGTTTTGGCAACATCTGAAGATGGAGTTCACAGCGATACTGCCTCAGGAGTGCGGGTCGATGACTTCGATTTGTATCCCAACGTTGAGCGCAATGTCTGGATTGTCATCGAGCGCATTGGGGGTCCAGGAGGGCAGGTGGAAGACCATTTCGAAGTCGAGGCACTAGCCGAAGAACAAGTGAAAATTGGCAAGTGGACAATTGAGGACGAATGATACCCAGATAGAAGTTCAGAATATGAAATGACGCTGCCTCCAAGGTTGAAGGCAGACAAAACAGATCTCCAAAAGCGTAGCCGATAAGACCCCCCTGCCCCCGCACACGGGCGGTGTCCTAATCTCCAAACGTCATCTATTCTCCTCTCCACTACACAGCAAACCTCAACAATGGCGAGTAATGTTCCAGCTGCGCTACGATCGGCCGATATCGGTCGCTTTGCGATCAGAGCCGCTCAGGTTGAGAGTGCCAAACCGGTGGTGGCCTACTGGTGTGAGTCCGAGGACCCCGCGCAGGGCAATGAAACATCCAGGCTGATTGGATCTCCCACACCGTAGGCAATTTTCACATCGTGAACCAAATCATCGAAAGAGGTCTTCATAACTCCGACGACGAAATCAAAATATATACTACAAACCTGGTGGACAAGTTGGAGCAGGTCGGTTCTTCTTCCCTAGTGTTTCTCCCTATTTCCCGTTACCTGACCGCATCACGCACCTTTTCGACAATCGCTGATTGATTCGCTCTGAGTAGTTTAAAGTTGAGAACCCGGAAAATGAGACGGTCACAGATACCGTGGCGGCCAGCGCCTATGTTGAACAATTTGGATTGGAGGTCTTTGGTCGTGCCGAGGCGGCCATGAACGCCAACAAGGTCACAAAGTGAGCTATTTTGGAGCATGCCCGCGAGTTCGCAGATGACTTATCACCTTTGAAGGCAAACCGCAGACACGTTTCTAGCTGCTGCTACTTTCCTCGAACTATGTTCAATCTGGGGGGGCCGATCCAGAAATCGCAGGAAGAATCAAGTTTGCGAAATTCCACGCAGTCCGAATTGTCAAGGCTATCAAGGCCGGCGAAGACCCGAACGAAAGCAACCCAGCACCCAAACAAGAAGAAGCAGAGCTAGTCGACGATCCGGATGTCCAGGCATTCGATGAGTCTGTAGCTGAAGCCTCCAAGCCAAGACAAGCTTCAATCGAAGAGATCCCAGATGAGTCTGACCGTCTTGGACGAGACCTCGCTCGGAAATCGACTCTGGACGAGTCACTCCATCCTTCACGTACATCATCCGCTCCACGCCAACCTGCCACCCCCGAGATCCCCTCCGTGCCCCAGAATGCACCTGGCTCGCACCCGCAAGCCGGTGCTGACCATTCCCAGGGCGGCGGCTTGAACCTCCCTTCGACACCCGCGACTATCGGCTCGGGCCCGCACCTCCCAGATACCCCCACCGCGTTCCAGTCTTTCCCACCACCTCCAACTGACACATCTGCATCAGACCCGGCTGCATTCTACGATGCCCCAGCTAGTAACCCCACTCCTCCCCCGGCTGCGCCTACCTTTGTCCCAAGCCCAGCTGCCCATGCACCTGTTGCGCCTGAGCCATACGTGCCGGCTCAGCCATCTCATGGAGTAGACGATAACTCAGTGCAGTTGGCGCAGAAGCATGCCCGTTGGGCAGTCTCTGCGTTGACATTTGATGATGTTGATACGGCTATTAAGGAACTGCGCAACTCGCTCAAGTATCTTGGTGCTTCGTGATTGTGTTTTTCTATGTTTCTTGAGAATTTTGTCAGAGCACTACAAATATACCTTGTTTTGATTGTGGCCTATGAAGAATGGACTTGAAACGCCTCTGTGATTGTGCTTACTATTTTAGTTTATATCACTTTCAGATATCGGGTTTAAGCCCAGAGTTACCTACGCCCTCAAGGTGTTTTCATCGCATAATTCACGACTGGTGGACTAGACTGTCAGATGTGGATTGTATGTTGATCGTAGATGGTTAAGTATATCTCATAGCAACCACCCGAGTGGTTTGCAGATAGGATCTTGATGCACATCCACTACATCGATGAGTTTGGACACTCTCATGGTATTTCCAAGGTTTCTCAATGTATTATCAAATTTGTGATGTCTCATCATCTCAATGGGAGCCTCCAGAAAGGCATTGCCTTTGATTTACCTATCCTCATAGACAAGCAGCCCGGTGGAGGCTTACGCTTTTGTGTCAATTCCCTGCCACATAGGGTATTTATCCATTGGCATTGATTAATTCGACAAATTTCCTCGATGACCTTGGGAGTTAGGTAGCTTTACTACAAACTTCCATCAGTTGTCATCAAGAATGAGCCACACATCACATTGTGCAAGTCTCTCTCCTTTCAACTCCCCAGGTCGTCAATGATCCCATTCCCCATCTGACCTAGACTTGGAGGCTGGGCTTGTTCATTCTCACTCGAACGCCTCCACATAATTCTCATCTATTGACCATTATAAAAAGCCACTGCCGCCATCGCCCTCTAACGGCACCTCGCTACGACCATTTATATGAACGCAAGCTTCTAGAGGGTCATTCACTGAATGAGCCCTGGAGTGATGAAGCGAGACTTGCATCCCAAAGACCATGATCACGTCAATCAAAGATCTCATGAAGCCCCCCCACCCCCCCACAATTCGACGCAGGAAACTTTCGGTCCTAGAGTGCTCGGTTTTGCGCACGCAAATGCCCCTAGACCCTTTGATTTGGGCTCCACATACTGTAGACACACACGTGTATGCTATAGTTAATATTGCTCTCGCCTTCCAATGTTCTTGATCCAACCAGTCATGCGTGTGATCGTCTTTCCTGTATAACAGTAGACACAAGATCGTAGGGAATGCTACCCAAAAAAACCTCCAAGGCTACCCACTAGATCGACGGTCATGTCCAGGTGCTTCGAAGGAGATTTTTAAAGGGAAAGGAGAGCAAGATAATTATTCTCTGCCTATATTCTCTTATGTTTCGTCCCGAGGTCCGACAGTATCTTTCCGGGCCCTGGCCCCCGGTATCAGACTTTGTATGTCTTTATATCCCTATCACAGATTTCTAGTGGCTCGCTAAGAAACAATTGAGAGCATTACCAGGAACTTCATCTAATTGTCACAGGTGTAGTGGTGTAGTGGTGTAGTCGGAAACGGATCTATAAAAAATGCTTGGCCAGTTCGGGTGATCGGAACCGGTACCATGGGACTCGGACGCAGGGATGTTTACTCCCTACGGAGTACTGAAAGTATTGTCCAGGGCCCTTTTTTTTCACTTTTCGCTAGAACTACACTAATTACATTGCCAAAGACACACTAAAGCCACTAACTGCACTAACTGCACTAAGACACACTATCCTTTTGCCGACGTCACAGATAGATTTCTATTCGATTGAAATCCAAAATTGCCTCAATTTCTAGTGCAAACCCACAACCGGCTTGGCAGGGGAGATTATATAGCCTTATATAGAATTATTGATATAATTGCTTTTCCTCTCTTTTCCCCCTCTCCTCGTTCTTTGCTTCACTACAATACTCCGTACTTGTTTCGAGTTGATTGCTCCGATTCAGTCGGCCCCTCCTTTCTCCCGTCCCAACTTCCCCCCCTTTCAATCTCCTGAACCTGCGGGGAGAACTTCACCACAATGGACAAACCTGCTGTGCTGATTGTTGGTGGTCTCGGTAAATATTTCTGGACTCTGGTGATATTCCTGGGCCTATTCTAACTGTTCTAGGCTTCATCGGTCGTCACCTCGCCCTATACATCCACGAAAACAACCTAGCCTCGGAAGTTCGTCTGGTCGACAAAGTCCTGCCTCAACTAGCCTGGTTAGCTCCCGAATTCGCAGAAGCATGCTCTCAGGACAAGTTCGTTCAAGCCGATGCCAGCCGTGAACGTAAGTCGCCGACCCTGTACCCCGAACGCAAATTCTCACCCACCCAGAACACTTCCCGCGCATCTTCGACCGAGCCAATGGTCAACAATTCGACTACGTGATCAACTGCGGCGGCGAAACCCGCCACTCCCAACCCGACGACGTCTACGAAGCCCGCAGTTGTCGTTTATCAGTCGCCCTCGGCAAGGAAGTCGCCCGCCGCCGTATCCCCGCCTTCATCGAAACATCCACCGCTCACGTCTACAAGGGCGGTTCCTCCCCCGAAAGGAAGACGATAAACTTTCCCCCTGGCACAAACTCGCAGATTGGAAATTGAGGGCCGCCGAAGAACTCCGCCAAATCCCCGATCTGCAGTACTGCGCCCTCCGCTTGCCCCACGTCTACGGTGCCTACGACCCCGGCTACTTCGCCACCGGGATTTGTCTCTCGGCCGTGCACGTCGATCTCAAACAGGATTTGGTCCTCCTGCACACCAAGGACCTGAAAATAAACACCCTCCACGTCAAGGACGCCGCCAGCGCGCTCTTCGAAGCCGCGAAATGGCGCGCCGCTGCCGGCTTCATCGATATGTCTACCGGCCCCATTGCTTTCAATGTCGTCGACCACAACGACACACGGCAGGAGCATGTGGCCAATGCGCTGACCGAGGTCTTTGGCCTTAAAGTCACCTTCATCGGTTCGCTAGCTTCCCAACTCGCCAAGCTGAACTTGGACGATGTGGTCGACGACATGAATGAAATCAGTCTGCAGACTTGGGCGGAGCTCGTTGAGAAGGCCGGTATCACACGACCGGGGCCAATCAGTCCCTTCCTGGAACGCGATGTGCTCAAAGATCAGGATATGTCGATCGACGGGTCGAGGTTCGAGAGCGCAACAGGCTGGAAGCCTGCATATCCCAAGTTCGGCGCGGAGAGCATCCGCGAGATCGTGGACAGTTATAAGCGGATGGGCTGGTGGCCATGAGAGTTGATCTCTCCCGTTTCCCCCTAAATTTCTTTTCTTGTTTGAAGATATCCCGTGTGTCGGCTATTTAGTTTTTCTTTTTCTTTTCTCTTTCTCCCCCTTTCTCATGATTCATAACGGTCTTCGTTTCCCCAAGAAAATTAATCTTTGCATCGATTTTCAAGTTGCATCGATTCCACGACATGACTGCCATGAAATTCATTCAGTCTCTTATTATTCTGAGACTTATCTGACTGATTGAACCAGTCCGACGATGCCAGGCATGGATTGTGATTGTACTGTAATTGAGAACTCCTTTTCTTTGTGGGAATTCCTAATGCCCAGGTGCATATGTGTTTTCTTCTCCAGTTGCATGGTTCTGCATTAGCATTTTGAGCTCTGCTTTCTTTCTGATCGCCATCTATTCAAAATCTTGAAACCTATCTCAATTGATATTTGAACATTTCGGATCAAGCATGACCCCAGCGACTTCCCTTCTGTGTTACTACCATAGGCAGTAATGAAGATGAGTCCCACTTGATATGCATTATGCATAGAAGATGCACGGATGGCTATGTCGTGCAGGTCCCACAAAGGAAATACCCACTACTTCGTACTTTGTATTGAGTAACCTGAGAAATGTTGAAATACCTGCACATTGTTGGCTTGACTCTAACCCTGGAAGTCGACAAATATCCTATGTACTAGATAATATATTGAAGAAGACCACTGAAATGGGAAGATATAGCGAAGTGATGGAATGTATTGCTACCTGCAAGCTAATTTCTAACCCATGACTGAAGAGACAGAGGGCAGCAGGGACGAAGTGTGCAAATGTGCCCGACTGCCGCGCATGGTATGCATCTAATCAAGCCAACCAAGCGAAATGCAAAGGAGTCGTGTTTTTTTTTTGGGTGCTTTCTCTCGTGTTCTTCTTTTCCATAATATACCTCCCACCTGCGTCAATCGTATCGTACCCACGACCACCACTTATGCGGGCTCCATGAGCTACACCCCCTTAAACGAACAAAACAAAAGCTGTCCCATCTCGATGAGAGACCGCAGCTAAAACCGAAATAATGTACGAAGAAAGTAAAGCAATCGAAAAGGTGTGAAACGGCTGATGATCTAGAACTCCCAGTCCTCCTCGACGGACTTGATGGCCCATTCGAACTTCTCGCGCAGGGCCTTGGAGAAGAACTTCTCGATGGGAACGTCAAACTTCTTGCTGAAGACGACGGTGAGACGGGGGTCGATATAATTCTGCAGAGAACGTTAGATGATGGTAAATGATGGTTTGAGAAGTAGAACTCACAATCTTGGAGGTGCCCAGAGCGACTTCCTTGTTGTCTTCCTTGTCTTGAGCCTGGACAGACATAGTCTCAACACGCTGGTCGATCTTTTGGATCTGCCCATCGAGCTTCTCGACTGTCGCGCCTCGGGCCTCCGCCTCGACCTTGCCCGTCTTGTTTTCCTTCTTGAACTTCTTCTCAAGGTCCGTGACGGCGCTGAGGCGCTCTTCGAGTTCAGAAGCCTTCATCTCCTTTTCGCCATCGGCAACCCGCTTCTCATTGTCCTTCTCGAACTTCTTGTTGATCTTGGTTCGTTGCTCTTCGACCAGGAAGGCCTGGTGCTCATTGATCCAATCCTGATCAAGATCCTCATCGATTTCGAAGAAAGCAGCACCTCGCTTCTTTTTCAAGGTTGGATCCAAGTCTAGCATCATTTGCTTCAGACGCCATTTCTGGTAGCGGAGTCCCTTGATCTGTTGGAAAGAGTTTAATTAGCGATTTCACAGCAGCCATGATGATTTGGTAAAACTTACACGTTCTCCCATCTTCTCCATGGCATTGGCGTGACCAGCAGTGACCGTGCGCTTGTGGTTACACAGAATGGCAACCTTGCGGTTGGCATCGTTATATGCCTTGACCTTCTCGGCGACGGTACCACCAGCTCCATTCATCTCCTTGAGCACAGATCCCATGGTGTAGGAAGCGTTGTAGGTACGGAACACCTTGGCGGTAAGACCCGGCATGTAGTTGGCCAGATGCTTGTTAAGCGCAGAAGTCTTTGTGTTGTTAGTTATGCGTATAGCAATGGGGCCAGTGTAGGGTAACATACTGTAAGTCGATCGAAGATCTCATCACCATTCTTCTTGGGCGCCTTCTTGAAGATCTTCAAGTTCTTGAAAACCTGCAGATCGACCTGTACCTCATCGTAGAACCGGATACTATCCTTACCCAAGAAATCGAAGACGACAGTATTAGGTGGCTTGAGGGTGACGTTCTCGTACTTCAGTGAGCAACAACCGACGGTTTCTGCCTCATCTTCACCTTTCTCGTTACCAGCACGCAGAGCAAACTGATCGATAAGGTAGACTGCGGTGGCCTTCTGTCGCTCCACCATCATGTCGTGCTTCAAGTTCTTCTGGTAATCCTTTCGGATCTTCTCGATGTGCTTCTTGAGTTCACGAGCTTTTTCAAACTTCTTGAAGTCACTCTGGCCCTTGACATCGGAGTTGGCGGCCAGCATGACGTACTTATAGTTTCCGTTGATGTTCTCTTGCCACATAGCAAGCCATGTACCCTCTTGGTCATGCTTGACCTCCTTCCAGCGGTGGCCCTCAGGAGGCGGGGGCACATTGGCATCTTTTCCGATGTTGATGGTGATCTGCTCAGGTTGCACACGCGTCTTTACACGGCCGGTCTTGGGGTGTTCACCTCGTCCGCGGAACAAAGAGGGAGGCTCGACGCGGAAGTTGCCAACCTTTTGCTTGCGGCCGTCCCAAATACAGTATTGGAACGGCTCTTCCACCTTATCCTTCTCGGCCTTCGCGGCCTTCTTCTCCGCAGGTGTCAAGTTTCGCTTCTCTGCACGCTGGGCATCGTAGAAGTCGAAGATAGCCTGGAAGTCGCATTTCGCAAACTCCTTGATATCAATTTTGTTGCCCTTGGGGTCTTTCGCGCCACCACTCTTCTTGATGATATCCTTGAAGTCACCAAAGAAGTTCTTTTGGAAAACAGGGTTTTCCACGTTGTGGGTTGAGTTGAGCATGGTTCCAAAGAAACTGGCAACCTCTTCGGCCTCGGGCTCGAGGCTGACAGGAATCCCATCGTACTTCATCTTGACGTTCTTCGGCAACAATTCGTATTCGGGTGGGAAGACAACACCGGCGTGTTCCAATGTTGTCCACTTGATAGTGCCATCACCCTTGCTTTGATCTTCCCACCAGCGATACTCGTCTTCCTCATCTTCTTTGTCCTCGGCATCCTGGCTTTCGGCCTTGACTGGCTTGGCCTTAGCCTTCTTTGCGGACGCAGGTTCGGCCTTAACCTTCTTGGCGGCAGCGCTGCTGGCAGCAGACTCTTTCTTGACGCCGTTAGTTGCCTTTTTAGCTGCTGCAGGCTTGGTCTGCTTAGCAGCTGGTTTGCGCGCATCTTTTTCGGCTATTTTCTCGATCTTCAGCTTCTGCGCAGTAAGCTTCCGCTCAATGGGAACATCTGAATCGGATTCTTCCCCAATGGCAGTCTCAGAAGCTTTGGGAAGTTTGCGTCCATTGCGTGCCAGGGGCACATCGTCGTCGGTCTCTGGGTCTTCATGCTTAACGGAAGTCCGTCGCCGTTTACTCTGCCAAATGATTAGACGTCGTAACTAAGGGGGCTGTTGATACCGCAGTGGGAGAAACAAGCCCCAGCCGGTGTGGAAAGCGTACCAGAGGCTCCTCTTCTTCACTGCTCTCCTCCTCTGCGTAAGACTTCTTTTCTCCGATGCTAGCCCGGGACTTGCGCTTACTGGCGCCAAGCGCACCGTCTTCCGCGTCCTCCATCTTCACGTCCTTGTCCTCCACGGGGCCAAAGCGGATAGATACCCCGGGGTCAACATGACCGTTGGTGTCGGCAGGGCTGGAATTGGCCATTTGGGAATCAGTTGACTTGGGAGTAGCTAAAGGTGTAGGAGATCAAAGGTTAGCAAGATGATTGAACTTGGGTCCGAGATTGGGTGAAAGTGACGTCAAGGCGCAAGCAGAGAACTGAGGACTTGGATATAGCAAAAGGAAGTCCATGTAGGGCATTAAGACATCGAAGAAAGCGAGAAGTGCACATCGCATCTCTGCGACATAGTATAGAGTTGTGTAGTGACAGCCGAATCACCCGAGGAACTCACCTTTACCACGCCCATTGGTGCGCGCGAGGGGAATGTCATCCTCGGAGGAGCTCATGTTTATGTTTGGTGGTCTAGTGAACGGAATGCGAGGGTAAAATGAGACGAATCGAGGTTTTGCTAAAGGCGAGGGCCCTCTTGCGCCTAGTCGGACAAATCGAGCCGCTTGATAGATGGCTGAGGTGAAGGAAATCCTGACCAATGAGCACTGACAGTACAGTTAAAACATTTGCTGCATCAATGATGCAGGTAGAGAGGGGTGTTGCGGGTGGGATAAGAATAGAAATGTGAGATGAGAATGAAAAGAGAAAACAGAGGAATAAGTTAGAGAGGAATGGGGACTGGAGGAAAAGGCGCCTTGAGGCCGTGGTGCCTCAGGCAGAAAGCTGTAAATAAAGGGTGCCTGAGGCCAGCAATGGAGAGCTCAGCTAATTGAGTCAGTGGCTGAGGAATGTTTTTCCCGCAGTGGCCTGAACTGGCCTGAACTGGCTTGAGCCGTTCCGATTCTGCCCGGCGCGACCGCTCAGTCCGCAGCTCCCAGATTGCGCCGGAAGTCGGAATCGGTCACCGTAGACCCATACCACTTTCGGTTTAGCGGCGTGCCGGGACAGAGCCAGGAGTTCTCAACTTCGCACTTCCCGACCAGCGAGGCATCTGCGTCTAACCTTCGTCACTCCTCTCCACCGCAGTCACTACCTGCAAACCTACCTTTCTCCCTCCAACACCTCACACAATGTTCTCCCGTGCTGTCCGCCCGGCTCTTCGGGCTGGTGGTGCCGCCGCCGCTCGGTAAGTCTTCATCCGACACCTCGTGCAGTTCCCTTCCACCCGACGTACCCCGACGCAGCATCAACATCACCAAACCTGGAAGCTATGCTCAATGGGCACAGAGACGTGAATCGCAATTGCTGACATGGAACTTAAGCCCTGCCCCCGCCAATGCCGCCGGTTTCGCAACTCTCCGTGAGATCGAGGGTCGTCTCAAGTCCATTAAGAACATCGAGAAGATCACCAACACCATGAAGATTGTTGCTTCTACCCGTCTCACCCGCGCTCAGAAGGCCATGGACGACTCCCGCGTCTACGGTAAGACCTCCAACACCGTTTTCGAGCAGGCCGAGACCAAGCCTCTTGAGGACAAGAAGACTCTTCTGGTTATTGCCAGTTCTGACAAGGGTCTTTGCGGTGGTATTCACTCCGGTCTGAGCAAGGCCGCTCGCCGCTACTTGGCCGAGAACCCCAACGTCGACATCGCCATTCTCGGTGAGAAGGCCAAGGCTCAGCTTTCCCGTGCCGCCCCCGAGAACATCGTTCTGAGCTTCGCCAACGTCTGCAAGGACATCCCCACCTTCGCCGACGCCCAGGCTATCGCCGACCAGATTGCTCTCCTTCCCGAGGACTACGCCAGCGTTCGCATTATCTACAACTCTTTCGTTAACGCCCAGTCCTACGAGCCCGTCTCCATTGAGGCCTACTCCGAGGAGGCTATCACCCAGTCCGGTCAGTTTTGATCCAATACATACCCGCTGAATCCCGCACTGACGTCGTATCTAGCCAACATCTCTTCTTACGAGGTTGACGACGAGGCTCTGTCCAGCCTCCGCGAGTACGCCCTTGCCAACAACCTCTTCTGGGCCATGGCCGAGGGTCACGCTTGTGAGATTTCCGCTCGCCGCAACGCCATGGAGAACGCCTCCAAGAACGCTGGTGAGATGATCAACAAGTATGTGATGTCTCTTTTCCTTACTATGCATGATTCTAACAGTGCCCCAGGTTCCAGATCTTGTACAACCGTCAGCGCCAGGCCGCTATTACCGGTGAACTTGTTGAGATTATCACTGGTGCTACCGCCAGTGCGGACATGTAGAAGCTTTCTTCTACGGGACGAAGTCGCCTCTAGTGTAGACTTGTTCATATTTAGATCGACCTTCAGCTTGTGTAAAATCAGAGTCAATCCATTTTCAATTTCTTATGTATCCCCTTCTCTCGTAGCACTGATTTCATCTTGTGCAGGTCTTTGATACTTCACTACCACAGTGTTGAAAGGAAAACTTAGTCGTGTTTACTCACGCACCTTTGATGGGGGAAGTTCTTTTCATTTCCTACTTTGACTCTGATCTCTCGTCTTTGTCCTCCGCCTGGTGCTCCCCGGCTGCTCACACTGCAATTGTTATTCACACCTGAACTTCTTCGCTCTCGTCTTGCTGCTCTTGCGTCTTAATTAGTTGATCTTGCTTCCGGCGTCCACACCTTCGAATTGACCGTTTGTGAGTAAGTATATGGGCCCTCTATCACAACAGTCGCAACTGCCTGATCAAGATTAACCTTTCTCGTCTCCGTCATTTCTCTTTCAAATTCCCTTTATACCACCGTCACTTTGGCTCTTCATTATTAACTCGGATTTTGCTTTGACAGCCGCACCAAGGTGACGCTTGGCAAACATGCCGCCAACTAACGTGACGGTCGACTCATACACCATCTTGGGCATTGCCCGAGATGCTGACATCAAAGAAATCAATGCTGCGTACAAGCGTCTTGCCTTGAAATTCCACCCCGACAAGGCTGGAACTGGGGATGCGACAAACGCCCGATTCCAAAAGGTAGGCCATTGACACCTCAAAACACTGGCCATGCTGGATGCATTTCACTAACAATGATTTGGGTATAGGTTCAATATGCGGTTGAGCTTCTTCGTGATCCCTCGCGCCGTGCTCAGCTCGACAGGATCTTGGATATCAAGGGAAAACGGCGGTGGGCCGGGCACGCCCCCGGTGACTGGCCAGCTCCTGCAACTGACGCCGATGCTGGACGGTCATCAAAGAGAGGATGTCGTGGGACGAACTCTGGTCAACGTGAAGGGGGGCAGAAAATGCATTCCATGACCATTTCCCTACCAATCGACCGCCGAAGCGAGACTTCAAGAAGGACTCTCACGGGGTTTTTGACCAGCTGCCGAAGCGGAACAGATATCACAGATCAAATGACTTTGGATTTTCATCTGGATCCAGTCGCTACATGTACAGTTTCGGAAACAGTGTGCATATGGACCCGGATTCCGAGGAGTCCAAAGCCAGCAAAGCGAGATTTCGAGCCGAGAACGCCCAATGGCAACGGGAATGGGACGGAATTGACCTGGAAGTGGAGAGAGCACGAGCCGAGGCTCGTAAGCAGGCTATGCGACATCGAGTGGTCCGTGACATGGAAGAACAATTGGAGAAAGAAAGAGCGGAGGCCAAGAAACATACGCCTCATGTTGCCCCCTTTGACCAAGCCATTTACAATGCGGTCAATGGACTCAGGTCTCCTCCCGGGGTCTGGGGTCGTACTCAAGGCCCAACCTACTATTCTGGATACAATTCGATGGATTGGAACAACCTGAGCACCATCAATAATATTATGTACCAGGAGCCCAAGAGCACCAAGCCTACTGGCACAGAAAAGGACCCCATCCAGCTCGAGGATCCATTCGAGGCTCCATCCAGCCCCGCACCGTCTGTTAGCGACGTCTTAACACAGAGTTCTCCGATCAGCAGCAGCTCAGCTCGAAGCTTCTGCGCCAGCAATCGTCCCGCCAGTATCATTGCAAGCGAGTCCCCAACACGCCCTTGCTCGGTCAACTCTGGCTCGGGTGACCACTCTCCACTGGGTGAGCAATTGGATCCCTCTTCTCCTGCTGCTCAATTGATCAATACCTACCTGGCTAGCTATGAGTCGAGCTTGAGACCGTTGATACCTCATTTCAAGCAGAAGCTTGCTGACCCATTGGGACGCTATACAGTCAATGATCTAGCTACTGAGCTCCAGGGTGTGGTGCTTGAGAGTTACTCGGCCTGGTTGGAAGACATCCGCGTCTCAATGAGTTTTGGGACTCACGCAACAGCTCGGAAGAGCCCTGAAGCTTGTTCTCATCTGGGCGGCTGGTACAAGGAATATGGCCAAGCCCAATGTGTAACATGCCAGTTTTGGTCGCCTCTCTTTATTCTTACCTGCCGTGGATGTGGTCTGAAGGGCTGTATCCGTTGTAAGTTCAACGGCGATGCTTTCGTGCTCAAGAAGCATTGATTGCAGGGACGAAGTATTCAGTTTGCTTTTTGATTTCATTGCCTTTACTGCGCTACCTTGCTCATGTCCTTAGGTAAACACCTGAGTATTTAGTTGAATAAAGCATTGCACGTTCTTTTGATTGGTCTTTTGTGTGGCTCTTTGAGTATAAGTCTTTCAAAGTAGCCATTAGAAAGCTTTAATCCAGATTGGGCTCACCTGGATAATCTTAGGTTAGAGGAAGATGAGGGATTTTTGTCTCAGAATAATAACCCAGAGTGCTTTGAACTAATGTAGCAGTGGATCCAGTGTCCAGAAAATTCTCTTGTACAAGTAGTGAAATCAAGTAAGAAGTGCGTGGGATGTCCATTTTGTCGCGTGGGTCGCAAGAGGACGCCGCAGGAAGTCCCTTCCTATAAAGATCCCGCAGTTCCCCCATATCCGTTTGTACCCCCACGCTCAGCAATGTCAAAACCCCAAAGCCATGATTTTGCATATCTACCCAGTGATATCTTCTGGATGATACTGGGGTATTTGGGAACTACCGATATTGTCCGATCTCGTCGCGTTTCCCGCGCTTGGAATGCGGCCCTTAGCAACCCAGCCATGCTGGCCCCGATCTTGAAACGAGAGTTTCCATGGACGACAGAAGCCAAACAATTGAGCAAAAGCTCTGACTCTCAATGTCATGCTTCAGCTCTGGAGATGTTTGATCAGGTTGCTTCGCGATACTTTCACCTTGAGCAAGCAAAGCCCCGCTCTATCCAGAAATACCAACTCTGCGATGCCTTTGGCAGTACCAAGGAGCATGAATGGTATCAGGTAAAACCATGGGATACGCATTCAAGCCATAACATGGGAGTCATTGGCAAGATATGCTCCGAAGCTTTATGGACCGTCGAAGACCGTTTGGTAGTCTATCCGAGCGCTCAGCATCGATGCCTTGTGCTGATGGATTTGGAAACGGACCGGCAGTTTATGGTACCGTTCATCATCTCTGGCAAGGCTGTTCGCCGCGTTCGTCTGGCAAAACGTTTACTTGTAGTTGAGTGGGCGGAGTCGAAGGCTTTCCACTGGCTGAATGAAAGTGATGGTGTCCACCGGCATTTTGCGTCGTCGTTCGATATCTCCCAAGGTGCGAATGATGGCTGGAATATCATTCCCCGAAACGAGTGGAAAATAATGTTTTTGGGTCACCCGCTGAGCGAGCGTGATCGCTTCTTCTCTTCCCACAACAACACACACTACGTGATCTATACCTGGCAACCTAACCGGAGCCTCTACACAGCAGACGATGATGCGCCCATTGAATCCATGTTCGTCTGGGATATCTCCAGCCAGTCATCTTATCGGCCATCATCGGATCCATCGGGACGATTGAGAGATGATGCACCAGACGGCTCACCTCACATCGTTTCACGATTCAGCTTCCGCGACTTGGAATTCTTCGGCATCCGCCAACGAGGCTGTCCCAGTATGCAGAGATTGAGAGTCACGGATGATTCACAAGAAATTGAGATTACAGAAAGCAGAGTCCCCTCTTCGGGATATTCTGAGACCATGTTGCTCCCTGAGTTGATCTCGACAAGCATCCCTGTAAACGGACATGGGCCTCATTGGCGCCGGAAATTCCCTGGTGTGCTGCCTCCTTACCGGGGAAACTGCGGTCTAAATGCGGAACCAATAAAATGCGATGGCATGACGATTGATCAATGGTTTCCAATCACTTATCATATCACCGACAACGGTGCAGTCGACTTCCGTCTTACCTTCGATTTCACTGGGTATCATGGCACCGACAATTTGACTATCAAGACTCCTCGCTCCACTTTTACGGATGGCAAAAGCATGGATTTCATTAACAGGGGGAAGGTTGCCGGCTGTGAGAGATATATTGTAGGGGAGAATCGCAATCGACAACTGGTCATCTACCACTTTGATAGATGAACAATGAATCCAAGGTTTCTCGTCGCAGCTCCCGAGATCTATCCATTGAAACAATCATAACCTTGGAAATTGGTGTGCAGCTCTGGAGGTGCACAATGCCCAAGTGGGTTCCAAGGCCCCAAGCTTCATCTTGCGGTCTACGCGACAAAATAGACACCCAACGCACTTCTCAGTCGACTTCAATATAAAAGCTTGGAAGTTTTCTGGACACCGGATTCATCTACTGCTACATACGCAGGTCTGCAGCGGCCAATGCCAATCACAGTATTTCAGATACCATTGACCCTGACTGCTACTAGCCCTGGAGGTATACAGCTGCGTAGTATGTACAAATAAGGGATGTGTCACCATTAAATTTCTCAATATGGTACCTAATTTACTACAAGTCAAAAATTTGGAAAAATACAATGGTTTCAGGAAAGGACAATGTTCCGTTGCGGGATGATTGATATGCACTATCATACCAAGGTCCATGGAGGGGCACCGTTACAAGTGCGCCTGCTCCAAGGATTCTGTTGTCGGAGGCCACTTGACTCTCCTCTCTGCTCTCACATAGAGGTTGTTGGGCCGAATCAACTGGAACATGGGGTCATATTCAATCGGCCCATCGCCCTCACGAATGAACTTATACCGATAGATCAGCTTCGGAAGAAACACTTTGATCTCCTGCAAAGCAAAGTTGAAACCAATGCACATGCGTGGACCCATTGCAAATGGGACATACGCTGCCTTGTGTCTGTTTTTGACTTCCTCTGTATCCCAGCGGTCTGGGGTAAATTTGTGAGGATTGTCCCACAGATCAGGGTTGTTATGAATGTGATGCAATGCAGGGAGAACAACAGAGTCCTTGGGGATTTTGTAACCCCCAGGCAGTACGAGATCCACTCTGGCGGTTCGCGCTGGTTGGAAACTTGGGTTGTGACGACGCTGCATCTCTTTGATGTACTTGTCGAGGAAACTCAGACGATCGGTGACATCAGCTGTAATCTCCGTGTTCTCATCAATACCATTGTCAACCAGCTCTTGTAGAAGTCTTTCTTGCATTCCGGGATATGTCACGAGTCCGTAGATCAACCAGGATAGCAGGGAGCTTGTAGTTGTAAAGCCAGCACCGGTTGCTACAAGTAGAGCCCAAATCAAGCTCTCTTTAGGAAGCTTTTCTCCTTTGTTGTCGGTGGCACGAATTGCGTAGTCTTTGCTGTGTTAGTGACTTGACAATCGGGAATATATCCTATGATATTTACTTACCAACCATATTAGAGGCTTTGAGTGCTGCATCCTGGAGTGGAAGGTCCTCCACGCCGCCGCTCTCAGCTTCCTTGATAGATTTACCTATAAGCTCCTCAATTCGGGCTTTGATATTCCTGAGTCGCTGTGGATCACCAAATGGTAGTCGACCGTACCAATCTCCCTTCGATGAAACCTTCTTGTTGAGAGAAAGAAGTTCAGCAATGAGATGCACTATTTCGTGAAGCTGAGCGTCTGAAGAGACGAAGTGCTCAAAATCCATGCCAAGTGTAAGCTTGCCAACAGCTTGAGAACCGAGCTTCAACATGTATTGATAAACGTTCCATGCTTCGCCTTGCTTGTCAAGGGCATCGAAAACCTCAAAGGAATCTTCCACTGTCTTCTGCATCATAGGCGCGTAGTGACGGACCGCCTTGGGACCAAGAGCTGGTGGTAGAAACTTATGCGCAACTCTCCACTCGGGGGGTGTCGGTGTCTCCCAAGAAAACACCAGCAGCCTGTTGTTTCAGAGGATAAAGCGGATGAGCCTCATTGATCTCCTTAGTGAAGAAGTCAGACTCGGAAAAACAGATTGCTGCAAGTGTAGGATCATTGGTATGGTATGTGGTGCGCCCGAGGTTCGTCGTCTTGATGAGAGGTCCGTATTGTTCGAAGAGGCGTTGGTGATTGCCAAGGTGATCCGGATATACCTCGAAGAAATTTCCGACGAAAGGTAGACCCTTCGGACCTGGAGCATCGCGAATTGCGTGCCCGTCAATACTGATTGCGACTGGCGTGGTCGCCGAAGTGATCTCCGAAACCTCGCCGAGCTCATGGTCTTCAGCTTGGAAACCGATGCCTAAAAGTGATCAGTAAAGATAAAGTCTTGGAGAAATCAAAGCCATGCTTTCGACTTACCATTTGGCTCAACAATTGCAAAGTGGGCTGCGATCAAGTGTTTGAGATCTTCCAGGCCACTCGTTGGGTCAACATCAATATTCCTAGCGGAGGACACGTCCTCACCAAGGAGAAAAAATAGCTTCGCGGGCATTTTTGTATGACTTTGGTGTCACTGAGTAAACAGATGGCAGAGATATTACCTGGACCATTTATATCAATCCAATAGTTTCACCCTGATAAAAATTCCCATTCGGTGATTGCATAGTTCGGGATGCCGGTTCCTCGGAGGGTGGATCTAGCTCAATTCCGATTGGTGCGGTATCATATCTGACACTACCTCGGAAAGTCGCAGACGGGAAGTTTTCAACAAATAAGATGAGACGAAGTTCCGAGGTAGAATTTGGCTCCACTCTGTCTGTATCCACAAAGTGAGTTTAAAGCTGGTAGTGAAGTGGGTCCACCAGCAAATCCTTGTTATTGTGCGGAGCATGACTTCCGTTGGTGTGTTCTTTCAGCGGAGGGACATTGGCAAATCAGCATGTATTACAAATGGAAGGGACCTGAAACGTACTTCAGAGCTCAAGGCGATTACTCTCCATGGCCAGTATTTAATGTGTACCATAGTCCAAGCGGCAATCTATTCTATGGTTGAACTTGGTACTTAGGCACCCAGCATACCCAATGAAGCACGTCAAAAAGGTGCGAGACATGTAGACCTTGTTTATGCCTGGAGTAAGAAATAGGTGAGAATTTAGTTAGACATGTCTATTAGGGACTAAGTTCTTCAATATTCTATCTCGAGGGGGAGTCTAGAGATTGACGACAGCTTGAGTTCTAAAATTACAAAGGTGATCGAGCGAAATAGTAAATCAACAGGTGCATCTCAAAAGCAGAAAATCTGATCTGACATCTTCGCCACAGCCCCTGGAGCCTCAAAGCCTGCGGCAATTAAGCTCTTCTTTGAGGCATTAACCATGCCTGGTGGTCCACAGAGCATGATCTTGGTGTCGGGCGCAGAAGGAGGAAGTCTCGAAGCCATGACTTCAGATGTGACATATCCCTTGCCATAGGCCCAGCCTTCAGAGGGATGATCAAGCATGTACCAGAGTTTGAAGTTCTGGGGATAAGCTCGAGCGAAAGTCTCTAGCTCGCGACGAAGCAGGATATCTTCCTCAGATCTGTTGGCATATATCAAGCTGATCTCGGTAGTATCTCGATCGTCCTCACAAATAGCCCGAATCAGTTGATACATTGGTGTAATTCCAGTTCCACCGGCGATCATGCCTATTTTCTTGCAAAGACCGCTGTGATATTTCATTCCACCCTTCGGTCCTCGGAATTCCACGTGGTCGCCGACTTCAAGTGAAGCAAGATATTGTCCAGTGAGAAGGCCATCGGGGTAGCATTTGATGACTAGTTCTAGTCTTCCAGTATCGAGATTGTTTGATGTCGGAGTATAAGACCTCGAAACACTGGCACCGTTTATCGTGGCTTTGATAGCTACGTGTTGACCGATGGGGAGTCCAATCACGTCCCGCGAAGCGGGAAGTTGGAAGACAAAGCGGAAGACGTTCGAAGACAATTGATCCTTCTTGACAAGCGGCAGCCGTTTGTAGGTTTTAGGCTCAAGGAACCCCTTTGTGAGGTGTGGGCTTTGCTTCTTCACGGATGAAGCTTTGATATGCGGACGATACTTGGTGAACCCGGACTCGATCTTGGTGAAGCTCGATAGTTTGCTTGCAATGGATCCACCAACAACTGCACATGCCAGAGTGGCAGCAGCAAATCCACTCGAAAATCCACCGCGGAGGAATTCAGGGTATGGCACATGAACGCCGGTAACTCCCCAGGATGTGAAAAAGGTTGCGGCAAAGTCACTGAGGGCCCGATGGTTCTTGGTAGAGACGTAAACTAACGTCGTGGCAGTGAGGGCGGAGGCAGTTGCCTTCAGAGCTCGCGCGGCTGATGATGTTTCTTTTGGCGAGGTTGCGACGGAAGTGCTTTGTTGTATGACACGGACGGCCTTGGGTTGGACGAATTGCTGCGCATCCTTCACAGTCCCGACCAAGTATGTCCCGAGAATCTCATTTGCATCCTCCGAGTGTCCAACATCTTCATAAGCGGCCGTGGCATCTTCGCCAGCAACGTCCATCAACACATCTGCGCCACCGGGATGGTCTCGCACATAGTTTGTGATATCGTAGACTGGACATCCATGGGTGTTAGCAAGACCTCCCACATACCAGAGGAATGGAGTTTTACCTTTTCCATGAATGATGACGAATAAATTTCCCTTGGTATTATGAGTTGCCACTTCGCTCACGCTGAACTCTTTCAGAGAAGTCATTTTGGCGTGAAAGCTGCGAATACCACGGTGAGGAATTTTGCCGCGTCACCTGTCAAGGACAAATACCTTTTTATACTGAGAAGGAAGTTGATAATCCTTCCTGATGTTTCAATGAAATTGTTTGACCAATCAGCAATGAAGGCTTTCTCATGTCAATGCTTTCCGAGGTAGTCTACCTCGGCTTCGCTGCTCCGCAACAAACTGGACAATCCCACAAGCAGGAAGCAAGGACAACGTCACGCGTCTTGACAGCCCAGACCCAGACTATCGTCAAGTGGAACCATTATCCCTTATCCCTGCTGGGCTCGGGATCTTTTCCCCGTTTCACGGCCCGAATGGAGCACACTCCGAGGTATCGATGACGCGGGTCGCGATCTTCTTTGCCGGGTTACTCAACGGCAAAGCCGGCTACCACCAAACTGAGCTTGATTTCTGGTTCCAGCTTCAGTGGAGTGTTTTCCGAGGATGGACGGCATGGCAATGACAGTCATGGAACATAAAAGGGTGTGACTGCAACTAGATAAATCTGCACTCTCTGACATTACCAATACAGAATTTCATCGGAATTTACTCATATCGAGACATTTCTTGTTCAATATGAAGCAGACTTGGCAGCCTCCACGAGAATATCGCAGTCGACCAGTGACCATCCTCGGTGCTGGCGTACTTGGCCGTCGACTAGGTACGTTTTCCATCTGACACCTCATTCTGCTCCATCTCTGACCACTTTTCTCAATCAGGTTGCATTTGGGCATCTGCCGGCTACAGCGTTCGACTTCGGGATCCTAGTGAGCAGCAACGAGCGGACGCCATTGCATACATCCAACAGAATGTGCAGTCATACAGCACGAAGACCGGATGTGCTCCAGGGTCCTTTGAGGCATTCGAAGATATGAAAGAGGCTGTTGCAGATGCATGGCTTATCATCGAAGCGGTTCCTGAGAAGATAGAGTTGAAGATCGCCACCTTTTCTGAATTGGAGACCACTGCGCCGGAAGATTGCATTTTGGCTTCCAATTCATCATCCTACAAGACCTCCGAGATGATCAGCAAGGTCACAGAGAAGACCAAGAAGCGTGTCCTGAACATGCATTATTACATGCCGCCTCAATGTATGATCGTTGAGCTCATGACAGATGGGCACACTTCTCCTGAAATATTCCCTTTCATGGTTGAAAGGTCCCAAGAAGCGGCTACAGTACCCTTTGTTGCGAGGAAGGAATCAACTGGATTTATCTTCAATCGACTTTGGGCTGCCGTCAAGCGAGAGATCTTGACTATCATTTCTGAGGGTGTTTCAGTTCCTGAAGAGATCGATGACATGTGGCGCGAAATGTTTATTAAGGGAGAGACTCTTCCTTGTCGAATGATGGATAGTAAGTTCCTTTCTCCAAACCCTGCCATGAATGGCTTATCTGACTTAATGATTGAAGACATTGGGCTAGACACTGTTGCCTTTATCGAGAGCCACTATGTGAAAGAGCGCGGACTATCCGCCGAGAAAACAGTCGACTTCCTGAAAACCCACTACCTGGATCAAGGCAAACTAGGAAACAAATGCTCTCTGGGTGGTCTCTACTCTCTAGATGACAAACCAACTGCCAAAGACCTGTCAAGAGAGCCCGAAATCTTGGTGCTGGATGTAGGGCTCTCTGCTTCTACGCCCAACACATCTGCGGGGCAGATCCTTAAGGTTACTTCTGACGGAAAGTCCTATGAAGCAATTCTGAAAAACCAAGCTCTGCCTGATGGGTTAGCTGTGGACCGGGCTTCCGGCCGCATGGTCTGGACTTGCATGGGAGTTCCTGGAAAGCCTGATGGGGCTGTGTACTCTGCCAAGCTTGATGGGTCCGATATTATGACACTGGTTGCTCCAGGCGTTGTGAATACCCCGAAGCAACTCGCTCTCGACCACCAGGCGCAGAAAGTGTATTTCAGCGATCGCGAGGGTTGTCGTGTCTACCGGTGTTCTCTCGATGGCTCTGATCTCGAGATTTTGGTCGACAACAATTCAAAAGATCAGGACTCGCAAGAGAATGTGAGTAACTGGTGTGTGGGAGTTGCTGTTAGCCCTGCACTGGGAAAGTTCTATTGGACCCAGAAAGGGCCGCCCAAAGGAGGTAAAGGCCGCATCTTCTGCGCCGATATCGCAATGCCCAAGAGCCAGTCAGTGGATCTGCACAACAAAACCCGGTGCATTTTGAGCGACCTCCCTGAGCCAATTGACCTTGAAGTTGATGAGGAGACACGCACTCTCTATTGGACTGATCGTGGTGAAATTCCTTGGGGTAATTCGCTAAACAAGACCAGCCTGGATGAAGCCGGTCTCCCTTTGTCGGCGGGTTCCTCGGGTACACATGAGATTCTCACCAGGGGTTTAAATGAAGCTATCGGGTTGAAGCTAGATGTACCCAACTCGCATATCTACCTCACTGATTTGGGCGGATCAATCTACCGGTGCGATTTGGATGGCAGCAACAAGCGGAAACTTTTCGCTGAGGATTATCGGGCTTTTACGGGAATTGCTCTCTTGTGAAATTTGTGAACATAAGACTTATGTATTTTGTTTAGAATTGAATTGGACTTGTCAAAGTGATATTTGCATAAGAAATTTGCTAAAGGTGTGTACCTAGCGCCTTGTAGCCACCGGAAACCTCGGCAAGGAATGACGTAGGCTTACCTCGGCTTTTTCTTTTGTATTTGTCTCTCGGCATCCCGACCAACATCGCCAATAGAAGTGAGAACAGAAGACCTCCGATGTCAACGCGTCGCTATAGATCAGCTGCTGCCTGTCAAAATTGCAGACAGCGCAAAGTCCGTTGCAGCGTGACAGTAACCGGCATTCCATGCATAGGCTGTACACAAGATGGCCGGGAATGTCAACTTACGCCAGCCAAAGCTCAAACGTGAGGATATACCATACCAGTGCGCGATCGACACTAAAAATTTCTAGAATTCGTGAGCGACAGGCTCGTCGGGCTGCATCTGCAGTCAGCAGCCCAGTTAATACACACTCCGCAGGGGTGAGCGCTCAGCCCTTAAATCCAGTTGATGGGTTTTTGGAAGCTCCTCCAGCCCAGCAAAATGGTTGGGGTGATTCAAATGGCCCAAGAAGTGCATCTCATCCCCCGGAGTACCCTCAAGCTCGTGCTGAAGAGCGGACCGGCGTGGAGATTGCCACCAAAGCCCTCGGGAGAAACAACAAAATTGGCCAAGCGCCATTCTACACTGGTTTGTACTCTTTTTGCATGGCTTGTCTATCAAGGCTTACTATTTTCAAACAGGTGATTCGCCAGGGTTTGGTAGTGTCTTTGATATATGCTCATCTCCGCGTCAGCCCATCCAGCGGCACATTTTACTCACATCCAAGACCTCAACATATTTATCGAATGAGGATAAGGAGTATCTGCAGTACAAAGGTGTTTTCAATTTGCCGCAAAAAAGTACTTGCAATGAGCTTCTACGGGCATACTTTCACCATGTCCACCCCCTTACGCCAGTGGTGGACGCTACCACGCTACCGCATCTATATCCAACTGGTGAAAATCAAAAGCATAATCTGCTGCTGATATGGAGTATCTTCTTCGTCGCTGCAAATGTGAAGCTAATGCATTGTTTGCCAGAGTTGCGGTTCTCTGCTAACACAATTGATAGTATGTCTCAGCCGATACTTGGAAACTGGAGGGTTTCTCCTCCAGAAAAGATATGAAAGATTCAATGTACTCTCGTGCTAAGGTGAACCTTGGAAGAATGTCAAGATCAGTTTCGTTCCCCGCTAACAAATACCTCATAGTGCTTGCATTACATCGGAGGAGAAACAGACCACACCGTACTTTTACAATCAGCGCTACTCTTGGGCTTCTACCACTCCGAGGCTGATACCCACACACAACCATGGTACTGGCTTGGGGTGGCAATCAGTCTATGTCAGTCAATCGGATTGCATCGATGCTCGAGCGCAGTATGCGCTACCTCGCCCATTCCAGAGCAGCAGCAACGTCTGTGGCGTCGTCTTTGGTGGACCTGTGTCTTCAGAGACCGATGGCTCAGTCTTACTATGGGGCGCCCACTGAGAATTAATATGAATGACTGCAATACTATGATGCCATCTGCGGACGACATGTTGATTGACTTCATCGAGCTACCCGAATCCATGTCAACAGCATATATCCCAAAGGACCTACCACAATTGGCGAAGTATTGGGTCACAATGGTACAGCTAACTCAGCTTTTGGGAGAGACATTGACCTTGAGCTATCAACCATTTGGACCCAGTCCATCCCTACAGCAGGTTGAGAGTCTCGAGAGAGAAATCTTGCTTTTTCAACTCCCACAAAATCAAGATCATGCATCGAGCCCTTTTGCGACATTCTATCTGTATCACCTTCAGTTGCATTATCAGTGAGTTTGGCTTCGTTCAACGAAGGGAAATTGATTATCTAATATCGAAAAGAGCATTTCTGGTCACTTTCTACCGACCATTCATCACCAAGACACCTGAAGGACTCCCGGCGTCTGACCAAGGCTCGTGGCAGAGTCGAATTCGAAATTCAATTGACACTGCTGCTCTCCAAACCAACGCGGTTTTAGACAGCCTGGTCCGTGAAAAGCTGCTTGATTTCTCCGGTCCTATGACGTGAGTTTGGAATATTCTTTCAACAGGAACAAAACTGACAGTTGCACTAGACCACCACTATTAGTACCAGCAATGCATGTTCACCTTCTGAACTGCAAATCCACAGACCCTCTTTCTCGGCGTCTGGGACTTAACAAACTTGAGTTGTGCATGATGGTTCTGGAGCAGATGCAACATACGCACCCATCATCTTCACTGTTTCGAGGCATCTTTCTGGAAGCTATTCATTACATATTCCCTAGTTATGTGGCTCAATCAACAATACCGGAATTGGCCACATCTGAGAACCCACTCCGTCAAGATGCTGTGGTCGAAGATCCAATGGCTGGGATCACCATTGGCGAGGATGCTATCGATGCTCTGATGGATGAGGTGTCGATTTTCAATTTTTGGGAATCACTCAACAACATGCAATCATGACTCTCAGGAGAAGCCAAAGTCGATGCACCTCAATTCCCTAATTCAACTCTAGAAGCTCCACTAAACCTTAGGTTGTTCCAATCCAAATTCAATGTTGCGTGGCTGCCTAAGTACCGAGTTGACCAAACAGGGAGTCATTTCGAGACATCTCAAATGGGAATTCTGCCCTTAGCTATTGTGTAGCTTTGAAACACAGCACGACAATAGGGCTCAGAACCTATCAAGCGAAGCACATGAGCATCATGTAGCATCAATTTTATGCATGGCGGAGACAAGGAGGAAGAGAGGGAGGCTCTCGATCGACGACCATCTAGGAGCGCAGGGGCCCTGCAAAACAGGCAAACACCGCCGCCAACAGATCAGGCTCTTGAGAACCTTCCCGAGGACCGAGATGGGCTGACTCCTGAGCCAAAACGGGTGATGAATATCGGATGTCCCGATCAGTATGGGATTGCGACCCTCAGGTTTTCGCGCATAAGAATGTTGCACCCATATTCAGCTGGAATCTGATCTCTGATAGCGTTGACCACATCGCAATGATATGCTTGAAGCCTAGGTTTTCTAGTGGTTTCATTCGTTTTTTCAGCAGGAAAGTTCCTCCAGTCCAGCCATAGGCCCTTGTCAACCTTCGCCCAAAGCGACGAGCAATGGCGCATGGAAGCTTTCCCCGTGGGTGAGGCTCGTGAAACTGGATGTTTCTTTTGGGACCAATTTCCATGGGCCGGAATTGCCAAACGGAGCCGTAGATTTTCATTGCCGCAAATCCAGCGGAGACCATGGCATGGAGAAAATCATTCCATGCAATTTCGCCCGGGGAAGATGCTACCGCCGGGTTGTAAAAGATTGTGCGGAACAATTTCAATGCACGTGCATCAACGAAGAGCCTCAGCCGATTGCCGACAGAGTTTGCTTCTTGTGTGATTTCATGGGTTGTCCTTTCTTGAGCAGAACCGCGATTCCCGCGGGTCTTTATTTTTTCTTTTGGTCGTGCATCGTTCTGAGGCTCCAAAGTCTCAGAATGATATGATGAGATCGGTTCATAGCGATCATTATCATTAGATTCTTCTGCAAAGTGTGGAGCAAGATTTGCAAGTAGCGGATTGTCAATCTCACTCCACTCTTGGGTTCGTTGGAGCAGACGTGGCTGAGAGATAAAGCGATAAACAGCTGTGTCGCGTATGCCACCACCCTTCTCTATCAGAAGTTGGTCGATGACGGCCCAGAAGGCATCAAGGCTGCATTCAGCCTTACGAAGGGCGTCCACATTCTCCCTGGTACGTCGCTTGTGAATGGGGTACGTGAACTTCCCTCCCGTGGGTTCGCCGAGATCCGCAGCTCTGATTGCAACACTTCCCTCATGGAGTCCAACAAGCATGTTTTGCCATGCAAGATCTCGCTGTGAGAATTCGTTTTTGAATTTTTCCGCACGTTTGAAGGTCTCTGAGCTCCATGTTCGTGCCCATGGCTGGAACAATTCAAGCTGATTGGCGCATTGGGCTGTAATAAATAGGTCGCCAAGCACAGTATTCAGATAGGGCGAAATCAACTCACCAACGCGGTGTTCTGCTTGAAGTGATCGCTCCAGTTCATCAACCAAAACAGCCATGGTCGAAGGGAGTAATGTGACGCCCTCATCGAGCAAGCTGCGCAGCAGCCATATTAACTGCCCTTCAGACTTTTCAAATTTGATACCAGGCTTCAACCCAGTCACAACGGCAGCAGAGGATAGATCGGAAGGGATACCGCGACAGAAGAATTTTCGCAATGGTGGTGATGCAGGAGTTGTTCTTTTCAGCTTGATCAAAGGATCCCGTGTTGCCTGGTTGATATAATATCGGAATCGAAGCAATACATATTCATATTCTTCAGGTTAATCTTTAGAAGGCTCGATTTGGTCCTCATACATTTTTTGCAACTGAACAAGGTCTCCTGCCTGGTTGCTCAAATCGGAGAAGGTCTCGAGGTCCAGGTAAGCATCTCTGACGACCCTCACTATGACTCGTGACAACAGCCTTCCATGTTGATCAGCTTTGAGTAATGAATGACGGTTACCGGAAAGATCTTTCAAAGTCTCCGGAAGATGCTCACTGGCCTCGAGGAGTATCTTGGAGTAGTAGCCGGGATCCTCTCGCAAGGCCCAGAGGTGATCTTCGGCCGCAGATGCCCTCGCTGCAAGTAAACTATTCACCCTGGAGAGATCAAGCTTGGTCGGAGTACGATAAGGTGATTCCGTGACCATGCGCCAGTTGAGATGTGAGGTTCAGGTAAGATGGGAAAGGTGTCACTTGTCATAACAGATCTGGGGATATCACACAGGAGATCCAAGGATAATCGAACCAGGAATTCCAGAAGTCGCTCCTGGGTCTCTAATATGATCAAGCCATTGCCAACATGGTATTTCTTTCTGGTGCGTAACAACGCCACAGGCGTTGGATTCTTCCTTCACGCTCAGAACTCTTCCATACTCCCGGCTGTTTCCCAAAAGACCGCTCAGAATCATCACATATTTACCCACAAATACGGGAACGATGGCTTTTGTATTGAACCCATATTGCATTGCCCTGTCGTCGGCCGCTGCAAATAAGGAAGGCGGGTTGCGACCTCGGGAATTCAGGAGCAAGAGCATAGTCTTCGACTTCAAGAGGTCCTCTTGGTTAATGTATGGCCAAATGAAACTTTCACGGCTCGTTGTGCTTTGTATTCCACTACCCCCACCCTCCTTGCGAAATACCGTGATCTCGGGGCGGTGGGATGCCGGCATATCGGGCCAGGCAGAGAGCAAAACCTTTAGCCTTTGTACTCGAGTTCTCTTGATCCATCGTCTCTGGATAGTCCCTTCATGGCGGTCGAGAATCTTGCTCAAGGTGTCAAAACTGTTGAAGATGCTTTCCGACCTTGCAGCTGCCTCCTTGCGGACTTCACCGAGGGACTTGAATTCTGGCATTGATATGGTGCCAGGATGATCAATATTCAAGGAATTTATCAACGATCTTGTCTTCTCTATCTGGATGGAGTCAATTTCGTCATCGCTTGATCCATCCAGGCCACGAAAGCGGAAAACAACGCTGCTCTTGAGCTTCATCCAGGCATCAGTGCATATTGAATGATGGGTGTGAACAAGAAGAAATCAACGAAGATAAATCTCGCAAGATGCCGCACAAAGTTATGAGCAGTTAAATGAAAAAGAATGAAAAAAGATCAGATAGAGAGAGAAAGTAGAAATGTTGGATGTGAAAACAAACAACGAACTCGTCACGCGTTATCAACAACGAAGAAATGCCAACAGCCAAAGTCCTCTTCTGAATCCGAGCGCAGCATGGTGTTTGAGATAATATCACTGTTATGATTGGCCTCAAGCCAATTCAATGACTTTCTGGTATGCAAACCGCTGGGCTTCAGTCTGTCAGAGGGGTCGCAACCGGCCAGAGGCAGGAAGAGCACATGGCCCTAGGACCAGAAGCAGAGGAAAGAAGAAGCAACACAAATGTACTTTAACATGCATGCGCGTATGAAGCAGGAAGAGGACTTGAGAAGAGATGAGAGACAGAGAGACCTGTGGAGAGCTAAAGATTCCAAGGTTCAAGAGATGAGGCAAACCCTCCAGGGCTAAGGGGAAGGAAGGGAGCTCAGGTGAGTGTGACCTTCGCCCGTGGACTCCTCCACCACAAGTCCTATATTTATTCATCCTAATATATAATTTCGAAGGCTTAGGACCGAGATTCACTTGCAGCCTTGTATGTACCTGTGGACATGGTTCTGGAATTAACCGGGTGGTAAACCTGGAAAGATTACTATGTATATCTTTGGATGGAGGTCTGGGACCACCTGGGCATCATATAAAACAGGGCTTGAACATTTTGAAGCAATACGGGGGCCCGGGATTGAGCTAGATTTACAAGCTGAGCAAAGCATACCTAGTGTACACCGTGAGCCTTCAAACTGTATGCCATCATAAATGACGTTCACCTACAAATTAAGTAGGCTCGAACCAATCAGCCCTCGAGGTCTGTTCAAATCTCCAAGGTTGTCGGTGTCTCAGTGTTTGCGTTATCTATTTACACAGGGCCATGGCGACCAGGCTCTGGTTGTTACAAAGTTGGCATCGAGGCCGAATTTGGCATCAAAAATGTTCATTCATACACTATGACTGTTACACGTGTTCAAAAGTGAAAGCCAACAAAAACTGGCTACTCATGTTGAACCAGTGTAAAAGGCAAAACATTTCATCTCAATGCTCTCCCTGGGGGTTTCGTTGTTGTGGCTTGGATCGACAAAGGCAGAGTGCAGTACTGTCATACTGGATGCGACATCACTACTCAACTGGTTGAAAAGAAGAGGCTCATCCGGTTGCTGCACACTTAAATAATACCATGCATGTTTGTCGTTGAAGACCGGCATCCCAAATTCAAAGACTTGACCAGAAATGACCCTGCGGTCTGGAAAAATGTCTGAATCTGGATCAACTGACCTCCAGTCACACACCGCAAGAGGATCTCTCAGTATAGGTTTTATCGGCCTCCAAACGTTGATGACATCAAAGCGACAACCCATGAGCCGCTCAATCTCATCATCTGGTACTATGCCTTTTAAAACATGTCGACAGGAAGCATGTGTCATGTCGGTGTGAACGCCATGCGAAGGTGAGTTTAGGGTGCTCATTTTGTTTCCATTCCGGTTACCTTCAAACCTGGTACGAGTCAGGTACACAATAACTTCAGATGCACCGGTCCTATAAATTATGGTCAGAATGTGGATTGTAATGATAGGTATCACCTTTTCCGAAGCCAATATCACACGTACACTCGCTTGATCAGATCCTTTGTAGCGGGCTGAACAATTTTCTCAACTTGAGTCTGGTTCCTCCAATCTGTAACATCGTCCACTGGATGCTTGACATATTGAAACCCTTGAACTTTCAAGCTAAACTCGTCTTCTCTGCCGCGAAGATCCTTGATCACGACTTCTCTCACGTCTGTGATACCTTCGCGTTGAGCATTTCGTCTTTCAACTTCAGGGGCATCGGAAGTGATAGGCTGCAGTCCCTCCCGTCCAGGTGGTATCATGTAGTTTAGAGTTGTGAAAACATCGTGGCCATCGTGACATATAGGCCTGGGCTGAAGTTCGTGAAGTGCGGCCATGTTTGCAAAGGAAGGCTCGGAGCAGATAAAAGCCTGGGAGATTGTAACATGGGCTGGTAATGAAAGAATGTTTACTCCTTAGTTTTATAGGCAATGGGCAAAGCCCCCGTAGCGGGGCCGGAATCCAAAAAATGGGTCGCCGATGGGGAGGGGGTTCGGGTTCGGGTTCGTATTCGTATCTATAAATGCTTGAGTTTCAGACCTCCAGAGTCCACTCTGCCTTAGTGTTGGGACGGGTGATGGGTGGTCAGATGACGGCGTTGGACAGGACCAGCTCGCTTTCTCCCTCTCTCTCTCCCTCTCTCTCTCCCTCTCCCTCTCCCTCTTCCTTCCCACGTCCGTCATTGTTTCCACGGAGTTGAAATCTACTGCATCAGCAATTCCTGCTTCTTTCGTAGAATCTGCCTATGTTATCACTGATCACTTACTATTTTCTAGGTGATATGAGATCATTTTACAAAGACCCTTTATGAATTTGCTTGCCGTGCTGCGAATTGGCAGCCTCGCCGACGATTCAGCTTCTTATTGATTCTCAGTCAACCTGTATAATATCCTCCACGCAGCCACTGAGGTCATGATATTCAACAACATTGCCCTCAGTATCGATCCATTTTGCTATTCCATTCATGTACGCGTCAATTCCTATCAGTACAGTCCTGCATGAACACTCAAAGCACGCTTTACATGGGATTTTTAATGACAGGGTTCAACTAGACTAAAAGCCTAACGTATCAGAATATAAGGCTCTTTTTTATTTCCAACAGAGTTAGCATCCGGATAAAACAAAAATCCTGCTTAGATAGGCATGCCCATTGTAAACAATGACTATTTCTACCAGTCGGGTAGCTTTGTATCTATCTGAAAATTGATACCCGCGATCCCATATTCATGTTTCAAAGGTTCGAACACATCCTCGGCTGCTTCTTCCACGTATAGAATAATTTGCGCAAGTCGAGGGAAAGAAGCCCGACATTGAATCAAGTGTGAAAACTCTTCCGCCAGATTAAGATATTCATCCTCATCGATTTCTAAAATTTCCAGACTTCTGAGCGAAGAGGGAAGAATATCAATGAGCGGTCCACCTGTCACACAAATTGACCCGGAGGTTGATTGTAGTCCAAGATGGGCATGTCGTATACGTAGACTCTCCAGGACAGCAAACTCCTTGAAAGACCCAAACGGCCCAGTGTGATCTGCAATAGGAATTGGGTCGTGTTGGAGTGAGGTACAATCCCGTCAGTCCCGGTATCATCTCCAAAGCTGCCGGCTGCCAGGAGATCCAACGTTCTGCAGGGAAATTTATCGCCGCGAGCCCTGTTCGTCGCGTCGGGGCGCCACAGGATGATGTGAACACTGTCTCAGTGTCGCTTCGTTTATATGGGCTGGTTCCAGAATTCGAATACCGTTCTATTCTCTTTGTGTGCAAGATGAAAGAGGTGGTCAAGTCCAGGCGGAAGATCTCTGTCGTTCAATTGCTGAATTGCTGAATCATGACAGAAGCTAGAGCTTTCGGTCTTCCAGCTTTGGTTGAGTCGAAAGATCCTTGCGTATTCATTTTTCGGGGAATATGGAGGCCCACGGTTCGATCGACGAGGTGCAATGTTCCAAGGTTGGTCTTCACTGCAATCTATGAACTATTGTTTTCTTCAGATCGGACTGGGCAATGGTCACATAAATAAGTATAAGACGTGTGAATTGCACAGCTACTCGATGAGGATGGACGACCCGGATGGGTCTTGGGACAGGGTTGGGTTGACCCATAAGCCGATATGTTCCCTATGTGTGGAGCGCAGATTTTCGATGCATCTCCACATTAGATACGTGATTCATAACTGGTCTTTACATTGTGAGGTATCGATCCAGAACCTTGGAAGTTGAGCTCCTTCTATATTCATGAATAATGATAGCACACAAAAGCCTTCCCCGGAAATCCTCTTTTCCTTCCAAGGTTGCAGTCCGATTCCAAATTTTGACATCGAATGGATTGAAACAGTGGCCCGTCAACGATATTCATATCCATCCATGGATGTCCTTCGGACAGTGATTGCATATACCTCGGGACCGGCCATGAAGGCCAAATAGGCTTGAACGGGCTTTCTTCTCACAATTCTGCATATGACCAGCTGAACCTCCAGTGTAGTAAATATGCAAAGTATACCATTAACTACAACCGCAGATGGGGGCTGGGTATCCTGCAGGGAAGGCGCATTTGCAACCTAGGGTGCCTGCGCAGTCGGCGACCATCGTCCAATGTCCAAGTGAATCACAAACAATCATTTGCTCCATAAGGGTGTCGCATTCGTAGCTGCCTGGATGGTCGCAGACATAGCCAACAATACGTTCGGAGTAGACGCCGAAAGCCAGCGAGGTGAGGAGGAGCAGATTTTGGAGTAGCTGCATAGTTCAAAACTGGTGCCCTCAAATTGCTGAAGGATTTTGTAACGTGTGTAGTAATTTGATTACTTGCCAGTTGAGGTACCTTCAGAGGGGTATTTATGGTACCTTTGAGGCGAAGAAAGAAGCTGCTATTATTGGCTTTACAACAAAGAAACTCTGGAAAAGCCTCGGCCGCGGAAAATTGTTGAAACTGAGCCATTGGCTTTTTCTTGCTTCTGTAATTATCTCGGACAAAAGTAAGCAACCTTTATCCAAATCAGGGCTCTTACCCACCTCATCCAGAGATGGGTCTGGCCAATGTGTTGAAAATGGCGATTCAGGTGTAAGAATATTGAGTGGGGAGTAGCCAATCGTATTGGATTTGAGAGTGAATGGAGATGAATTTGGTCACAATGTGAATGAAAGATATCTTTTGGTAGCCAGTCAAGTTATTACAAAAACCGACCAGCCGAGCCACTGCGTCGTGTATGAGAACCTAGCGAAGTCAAGTTCTGCTGTGAGCATCTTATGTCCCAACCGAGAGAAGTTAGTGATACTGTATGAGCCGACTTCAAGTCGAGCTCTTGGTTTGACTTCTTTCCGCGCCTCAACACAGCCCTTGGCACATACAAAGCAGAGCCTCATGTCTCAAATCGCCTCGACTCTTTTCATAGATCCGGAGTATCTTGGTTGAGAGCAGCCATGACCCTGAATATTGTTAATTCTTGTGCAACCACCATGATCGAAATTCCCGAAAGACTTACGAAGGACGGTACCGAGGGCCTTCTATCTCCGCATTCTCCGCCAGATTGCGGATTTTTCTCACTTCATCATCGCTCAGGGTAAGCAGTGCAGCGGATGCATTTTCATCCATCTTAGAGGCTGACTTTGTACCGGGGATCGGTATGATATTTGGCCCTTGCGCCAATAGCCAAGCCAGGGCGACTTGTGCTGGGGTGACGCCATGAACATCCGCTATATCCTTAACACCGTCAACCAATTTTAAAATAGCAGGAAAATTCTTCTCGGCATATTTTGGGTAGTACATTCGGAGAGGCCCCGGAATGTCTTCGTAGGATTTGAGTTCGCGGGTGAATATACCGCGAGCAATTGGACAAAAAGCGACAAGAGTGACGCCCAGCTCACGACAAGTTTCGAGAATCTCCGAGTTAGGTGGTTCGATATCCAATGTGAACAGGCTGTATTCCCATTGTAGGGCGGCAATAGGGTGGATGGCGTGTGCTCGGCGCAACGTTGCTGCTGAGACACCAGATAGGCCGATGTGACGGATTTTTCCTTCGCTTTGAAAAGTTAGGAGCTTCTCCATGAGATTTGGATCTGGATATTCGCCTACTTTTTCAGCTCCACCATAGCTTCCACGGTCTTTTCAATGGGTGTGATTCCATCGACTGCGTGGCAATAATAAAGGTCAATGGTCTCAACCCCGAGAGTTCTAAGGCTTCTCGTGCATGCCTCTTTCGCGTAAGCAGGATCAGAATGAAAAGTGTGACTTCCATCGGGCTGGCGTTGAAGCGAGAATTTGGTGCCAATGAAAACGTCGTCGCATTTGCCTGATCGCTTGATCCATTCACCAACAACGCTTTCAGAGTCTCCATACACATCGGAGAGGTCCCAAAAACGCAAACCAGAAGCATATGCATGATCTAGAAGAGCTACCTTCTCATCCAAGGTACCTACTGGCCCATAGAAGCCACCAATACTGCCAAAGCCGAGGCCGACGGCAGAGATTTGGGGCCCATTCTGACCTAGCTTTCGTAAAGAGAGACTCATTCTGGGAATTGCAAATGTGGAATTATTCGAAGATTTGTGTGATTGAGGTACTACATTACGTCGGGCGGTTTCCACGAGGTTTTATAAACAAGCTCAGTGCAAAGACTGCTTTTGGCGACGAGAACCTTGGAACTGCTGGCATGAACCTTGAGACTCGACTCATATGGAGTCATACCCACGCTATACCCGTTCGGTTTCCCGACATCGATTTTGGTGAGAGGTTAATCTTACTCTGGGGGCCTTGAAATTCTGAAAACCAGGTTTCCTTGGCGATCAAAGCATACTGTACATATTATAGTGGGATGAGCGCGCTGGCGGTCTGACATCGCAGACAAGACGACGAGGGTGCTCAGTGCTCGGCGGGATCAGGGAGCTACGCAGGCCCCCCAGGACTACCGGAATAGGAAAGAGATGCTGTTCTTGCGAGAGATGTCGAATGCTTGAATTGCTATGCTAGGGGATTGGGCCTAGAAATACCCCTGGGATGCCTGAGGCACAAATGAGTACTGGCGCGGTTTCCCCATTACAATATTTTGACATCATTTGAGGCGTAATTTCATCCAAGCCCGTCCGGGACACCCCGGCGATCCAAGTCTAGTTTAATCACAAAATATTTAATCGCGTGCGAGCCAGGCTTTTGCAGCTCTATTGCTTGTAACACTAATAATCATCGCCTGTCGACCCGTAGAGATGAGTTCCTCGGTCAATAACTTGGATCTCGTCGCCAACCTCGACGTACAATCCCAGCCCCTGCTCTTCTGCGGCCTTCAAGCTCGAGTCCTCGGGAACACAATGCATCCCAAGATACCCAAGTGCTGATTTATTTCCAGTCTCAATGGTGCGGTGTTCAACAAGTGTGGTGCTAGGCTGTGGTTTGCCTCTTTTCTTCCCAGGAAGCGGGATATCGGTATCAAAGACTCCCTTATCCGGGTTGACATTAGGCATCGTACATCTTGATGTGCGACAGACGACGGACAGTGTCGGCGCAACAGCCGCTCGGGGCAGTGTAACCCCACTTTTGGGCAGAATGCGATAGCGTTTCCAAGTCTCTTCCTCAAATGCAGGAGCATTGGTGATCCATATGTTTGCCCGAAAGCGGAGCGCGTTCATTGGTTGGTTCTCAGCGGGTAGGAGTGCCGACACGGCATGCACAGATGTCAGACTGTTGATGTTGATGGGTTGTTGATCTGTGTAGCCATGTACGGCTGGCGAGCCAATATGTGCGAGTGGTGCAAGGTTTTTATCGGTACGAACCAATGTGTCCGGGGTACATTTGAAGAGCGTGAGACGTTGGCCTTCCGGGATTTCCAAGAATCGCTTCAATTTTGGCAAAGCTGCTGCGACGGAGGGAATACCACCAAAGTCCAGGCCCATTGCATTGCGGCTATGAATACCGAAGGCTTTCAAATCCGTTTTGGTTTTGTCTGTCAGATAGCTTTCGATATGCAGAGGCACAACAAAGGAGACTTCTGGAGTTGCGAAAGGATTCCACGTCTGACAGAAAGCATCGAGTCGGGTGACCCAGGTTGGGGTGTCAGGATCATCAAATCTCATGACCAGGCAACCACTTGACTGAACATTTTTATCAGTTGGATCAATTTCCTGGCGAGGAACCCATAATTCTGTCTTGACCAGTGACATGAGTGGTTTCGTGCGCTGGCTGATGAATCGCCATGTTGAGGCCGCGGCATTGTCTTTCTCGGTGTTTTCTGTTGCCAGCGCGAAGCATCTGTCATACATGAAGCCAGTCTTGGTGAGCAAAGCCCGATCCACTTCAATAGGACCGCACGATTTGACGGGATGGAGATACAATGCTTTGATCTGCATTGGACCGTCGACAGCAGTACCTGGCGGCAGATCGAACTCAGAATTGTACTGGTCTTCCATATTACTGCTGACACTGCCTAGATTCTGTAGGTTCCTGAGACTTCGGCGGGTGCAGTATGAGTTCCCCAATTGCATAGCAATGGTAAAGCCAATGCTCAGCAGGAGGACCGACGTCATAACAAGATAGAGAAGAGCATCTCCAAGGGATACACCCAGGGACTGGAGAAGCTGGAGAAGCATGATGAGATGTTGCAAAGTCGGTATCCTAGTTTGACATTCAAGCAATGTCCTTATAGCCCAGTATCGCGTGCAGTGGAGGAAGAAAGATGAAAAGCAGTTCGGCTGTAGCAGAACAATTTCCCTCTTAGGCAGTTACGAGGAGCGGACCCACCCGAAGAGTCACCGATTTCAAATTTCGAAGTGTCCAGTCGGTCTAGATTATTGCTGTTATTCGTAAAAGATCTTTCAGGAAGATCTCTCTTCACACGGCTCCATTCTCAGGACTCTGAAAATCCGGGGAAGAATTTCAGAACCATTCGCGGTGCTGTACAATTGGCGCGATATACTCCACTGAAATCGCCATTCAACCTCGAACATTGGAAAGCTCACCATCCGACGAAAGCCGTGGACCAGGCAAATATGAGTGCAATTTATGATAAATGGCAAAAACTCCAAACTCTTGGTCATACTAAGCCATCTCGACATCGTGTTCAGCCCTTCCACCCTTCCAGTGATTTCTCCCGTAGGCCTCTCTGCCTTTGGAGCTTGTGCAATCCTTTTTCTTTTCTTTCTTTTTTGATTGAAATGGATATAATGGACATATTGATGAGACAACCCGGGTTTAGAAGCGTGTACCACGTATTTTCCCGATTCATTTCGCGTGTCGGAGTGCCATCCTTGCACATCTGTAGCAACTATATAACGGGACACCTGGGCATTTTCATCTAGGGAAGAGCATAATAAACAACCCCCCAAAGACGAATGTAGGTTGGAATTAAGTCCAATTTCATGTATTCAAAATCCCAAATACTTGACACCCTGAGATGCTGAGCCGAAGAGAGCAAATTGATGGTATAGTTGTCGGCGTCATAGAAATACACTCCGCGCGCCAAGAGCTTCAGGACACCTTGCCTGATGTCCATTCGGACCGTTTAGACCTGTTGGACTTTTCCTTACACCCGAGTCTTCCACTCGCCCAACTTTGTTTTATATTGGATCTGATTCTTGATTTGCGACTATGCTATCCAGTGCGAGCATTCTGTTTGTCGCGTCGCTCTTCGCGGCATTGCCTGTGCAAGCCGATGGCATTTACACCAAGAACTCGCCGGTGCTCCAGCTAAATGCCCAGACCTATAACTCGCTTATTGCAAAGTCAAATTACACTTCAGTGAGTCACTTCATCACCAATCCTACGTTATTGACTAACGCGTGGCTCCATAGATCGTCGAGTAAGCTATCCCGCGCCGCACGATAGCTGTCGTACCGAGGTCCCTTCGCAACGCAACGTACTCACCATTTTCTTCCCAGATTCTACGCTCCCTGGTGCGGTCACTGCCAGAGCCTCAAACCCGCCTACGAGAAAGCCGCTAAGAACCTCGACGGACTCGCGAAGGTCGCCGCAATCAACTGCGACGATGACGAAAACAAACCCTTCTGCGGGCAGATGGGCGTCCAGGGTTTCCCAACCCTGAAGATCGTGACTCCCACCAAGAAAGCCGGAAAACCCCGCGTGGAGGATTACCAAGGTGCGCGCACCGCCAAGGGCATCGTCGACGCGGTCGTCGACCGCATCCCCAATCACGTCAAGCGTGCATCGGACAAGGACCTGGACAAGTGGCTCGGACAAGATGAGGAACGACCAAAGGCAATCCTTTTCACCGAGAAGGGCACAACCAGCACGCTCATTCGTGCGCTGGCAATTGATTTCCTTGGCGCGATTGACATCGCCCAAGTCCGCAATAAGGAAACAGCTTCGCTGAAGAAATTCGGTGTGACTGAAGTCCCTGCCCTGGTCCTCATCCCTGGCCCCGACGCCGAACCCAAGATCTACGAAGGCGAACTGAAGAAGAAGCCCATCACCGAATTCCTCAGCGAAGCGGCAAAGCCCAACCCAGACGCCTCTGGCCGCGCCGCCTCAGACTCAAAGCCCAAGCCCAAGCCCAAGAAGAAGTCCAAGCCCGCTTCCAAGCCTACCTCCGTCGCCGATGAACCCGATATCAACCCCACTGCTTCTCAGGACCAGGAGACCACCGAGCCATCCTCCAAGCCTGCCCACGTGCCGATCCCTGCTCCTCCTATCCCTACTCTCTCCACACCCGAATCTGTTGAAGCTTCCTGCCTCGCCCCAAAGTCCGGCACTTGTGTCCTTGCTCTCCTCCCAGGAGCGAGCGAACCTGATGCCGCGCTTCCACAGCCTGCCACTGATGCTCTTGCCAGCCTTGCTGACATTGCACACAAACATGCCCAGCGCGGTGCCCACCTATTCCCATTGTACGCGGTGCCTGCTATCAACAGTGGCTCTGCGATTCTTCGCGATGCGTTGGGATTGGCGGCCGATGACGCTCATAGCGTCGAGCTTATCGCGCTGAACGCTCGTCGCGGATGGTGGCGCCGATACAGTGCCGAGGAATTTGGTGCTATTGCCGTTGAGTCTTGGATTGATGCCATTCGACTCGGAGAGGGCACTAAGGAGAAGTTGCCTGAGGGCATTATCATTGGTGCCGAGGCTGAGACTACCGAGCCTGTCGCAGATGCCGAGACTGCCGAGGCCGAGGATGCGGAAGAGAAGACTGCCGAGCATGATGAACTGTGAATTGTAACAATTATAATCCGTACTTCAGGCTATTTCAAATGCTTTAAACCCAGACTGTTATTTATGTGAGCCAAGACAAACGACCAGCGCTTCTCCACTGCTGTCTTTCCCGGAAGCATACCGAATCTCTCCTATTGCAATGTGTATACCAATCTTCTTTCCCCGGGTCGGAGTAGCAGAAACATTGGAAAACAGTGAAAAATAACGGACCAAGGTAGAAGTAGTGACTTCGGAGACATGGATTTCGTAGACTCAGGTATGAACCTTGGAACCAGGCTAATGGGAATCCCATTTTGTGATGAGGCCTATCTATAGATACACAGGAGGTCTGAGTAAGAAGTGCCAAAGTGGTTATTTATGTAAGAATGAAAAAGCGTGATCCACATATTCAAAGGGCGGACACAGAAAGTTATCGAGACCCAAACCAAACACCGAACATAAATGCAGAAATAGTTACAACATTCAACGCTTTTTGCGGCCCTCGGTGCCCTTCTTGATGATCTTCTGTCTCTTTGAGTCGATCTCCTTATCGTAGATATCACGCGCGGTCTCAACCTTCTTGCGCTTGGATGCCTTTGAGCCATCTTTCTCATCACTGGCTGGGAATCAGTTATTGTTGTTTCGGGGAATGTGAGACTTTGCGTAACTTACGTGTTCGACTCGGCCATGGCTCGCTGCTTGGCGCGCATCTCCTCGTCGATCTTCTTGCTTCCTTCACGGAGTTCGTCTTCCAAGCTGACGGACAACGGTTGGAGCTTGGCTTCGGGCTCATCGTCGTGAGCGGCGGAGGTCACGAGAGCCTGCTTCTTAGCGGGGAGGGTATCCTCGATACTCTTCTCGACCAGGGCGCGGAAGTGAGTGGAGATCTTGCGGATGATCTTAAGGAACATGGCGAGGAGTTGAGATGGGGGGAGGTTCAGTTCCTTCTCGAGATCATCGAGGTTCTTGTGCTGCAAACCGATGGCGAGCAGGATGGATTGCTGAACGCCAGAGAGGCTGACCTTGCCATCCAGACGGTTGCTGAAGTAGTATTCAGAAAGGATGGGGACCATGTCGAGAATGACGTGGTAATCCAAAAGGTTGTTGGCGTAGCTATCAAGACGCTTGAGATCGAAGGGCGAGAACTGGTCATCCAGATCGGCCTTCTTCAGCAGGCGGGACTTGAACTTCGGGTCCTTCTTGGCACCGGAGTTGGCGGACTCACAAATGCTCAGTGATAGAACAGATGGGAACTGGCCGAATTGGTAGGACAGAAGGGAGAGGAAACGCTTGTGGAAATCGCGCGTGTAGGCGCTCAGCCAAGCATCGTCGGTTTCAGCGGTGGACAGAGTGCGGACCATGACGCAAGAGTGCTCTCCGGTGAGTTCGTTGGGGGTCTGGCGCAGGTAAACGGGGTGGAAAGAGCCGCGCTTCCAGAACTTGTGAAGGGATGATGTTAGACCGTAGCTGACACCGATGTAGTCCAGCGCATCAGGACGACGCTCGGTCAGCTTGCCAAACAAGGGAGGCATGCTGCGAATGTCCCGAACTTGCACGTTATCTTCCAGAAGGCTAGAGCTAGCGAGCTCCTCATCTGTAACTCGAACCATTTCTTCCTCGGGAGCAATGCTGTTCTCTTCCAAGTTGGTGAACTTGCCCTCGAAAAAAGTCAACGAGAAGCTCCATGGCGCGGGAACCGTATCCCATACCCATGTATTCGGGGTTGGTAGCGATGCGGACCACACGAGCACCAGAGAGACTGGCGAAGTTCTCGTCCTGGAATTGCTGGCTGACCAACCAGGGGATGAGATCACCTCCGGCGCGCTGGCCACGGCTCAGGCTGTTGAGCACACTTTGACGACTGATGCGACCCTCGAGGGCGACTTGAATCACACAAAGGGGCTCGGGCAACTTGGTAGCTTCCTCGTCGATAGGAGGAACAAGGACATAGAGTTGGTGAGCGGGGGCATCACTCATAAGCTGCAAGTCGTTGGGAGTGTTCTTGTAGTGACTGGCAACGTACAGCGCCATCATCTGCTGCAAGAACTTCTCTGAAACGGGGTGGAAAGAGAACAGAGTGTCACGGTTGACCTGAAGCAGCTGGCACTGAGAGGGGTGGGGACAGCCTTGTGTGTTCATGCGCGACTTAGGAAGGGTAGCGTCAAGGCAGAGGACCTTGTTCAACCACTTCTCGACCGAGTCACCGGGCGCATAACGAATGGGCTCTGCGAGGGTGATCTCCCGCAAGCTTCGGCCGGTGAGGTTCTTGTCGGCAGACTTGGCTGATTTGCCGGTGCTGCGGTCAGCAACGTCGGTGTCAGCTGCCTGAACTCCACTTCGAGACTGTTCACGGAGCTGCTGGATCAGCTTCAAAGACAGGGACCGGCCCGTGCCTTCGTATCCATTGATAGTGGAGGACATGAAGACCAGGTAAGGTCCCATGAGTTTGCGCACCAAAGGCAAGGGAATGGCGGCAGCTTCATCAATGACCAGAAGCTCAGCCTGGCCAAGGACGTGTGCATCTTGGGGCTGGATGTACTGAATAGTTTGACGGTGGTTGCGATGGATGTTGACGCGGACAACTGCCTTGTTGAAATCGGGGTTGGTTGATTGGAGAATAGTGTAATCAATGTGGTCAAGGTATCCAAGAGCATCGAAACCCTTGAAAATGAACTCAAATAGAGTCTTCAAGTTCTCCGGGCTGGGAGAAGTAATGAAGATGTTGCTGTATCCGTGTGCAATGGCTGCAGCAATAGCGACACCAAGAGCAGCGGACTTTCCACGTCCACGACCAGCAGTCAAGGCAACAGTACTCTTGAGGGTCTTCTCGGCGATCGCATCAACGAATGTGAGGAGGGCCTTGGCCTGATCGGTGGTGCGGGCCAAGTTGAGAAGTGGGCCAACGGGCTGCGCGTCGGCCAAGCTCTCCTTGATTTCCTTCAACTCCTTCTTGGTTCCAGTGACGGTATCATCGGTGGATTCGGGGGCGGGGAGAGGCTTGACGGTCTTGCCGCCGGAGATGGGCAGCACGTTCAATTCGTCGTCGACCACGAGACAGGAATCGCAGCTTCCCAGAGACAGGATGAAACGCTCGTTGAAACGAGCGACAACGTCGTCGTGGGCTTCGGTTCGGTATCTGGAGTGAATGTCCATGGACATAGTGTAGAGTTGCTTCAAACTGGTCATGCTCTTAAGCAGCAGAATGACCATACCACCACCCTCGACAGTCTCAACGGTGCGAGCGAGCAGGTTGGGGGTCATAGCCTCGAAATCCTGCAGCACACACATTCCGTAGGTGTTACCCAAAATCTTCTCGGTTTCCTTGTAGTAGACATAGCGGATTTGGTTGAGGGTGATGAAAAGCTCGAACGGATCTTCCTGGTTGGGTTCGCGAATGCCACGCTTGACCTCCTTCTTGATCTTCGCTTCGCGCTTCTTGCGGTGACTCGAGAAATTGAGCAGGTCCTTCTTGTAGGCCCACAGGACTGACTTGTTCTGCTTCACATCCACGCTGGACATGATGTAGTGAAGGTGAACGATCACATCCTTGGCATGGTCACCAACGACCACGAAGAAGCTGCGCTTCTTCTCCTGGACACCATTTCGGATGAGAGCAGGAATCCGCGAGTCAATTGCCTTGCGAGGCATGGCGAAAAATGGATCGGTATTGATTGGCAAAACACTCTTGCTTGCGACCAAAAATGCGGCTAGGAAAAAAAATGATATTGCCAACAGACTCCGCCTAAGTCACACTCACCGCCTTCGGTCTATTCCATCGTTCCTCGCTATCATATCCACCTCATTCTCTTAGATTTAATATACACGTACTTGGAATTTTTCAAATTCTGAGGGGCATGTTCGCTTCAGGCTCATGCGCCTCGCAAATGGTCTCACCAACTAGCCCATTTTTTCTCCAGAGAAGGGCATTCTTAGCTGAAGAGGCTTAACAAGATAGTAATTCGATGAGACAAATACATTTGTGTAGAGGCGAGGCTATGCTCAAAAGAGTCTTTAGTTACAATCCCATGCAATTCTTTTGGCTTATGTATTATATAGTCCATTCCGGAAAGTTTGAATCAAAAGGATTTTTGCTCAAGTAAACACATGGTCATCTTTTAAAAATATGAAATGGCATAACTCGTCGTAGCTTGCAGGCTGTGAGATGGTCTGTCGCTTCTTTCCTTGAGCAAATCACTCGTTTCAGTACGAGCGACTCCGCAGCGCGCATATCTACTTGTCACTCTGTACTCCGTACAAGTAGTACTTTACGGAACTGGAACATTGAAGCCCCGTACTGGACACGTGATGTAGATCCCTTCTGTATCCGGTATTGAGGCATTAAGCCTTATGCGGTGTAGCGCGTGACCCTTTTCTCCCACCGGTGCGCTCATTGGCTCAAGTCGATGGAACCCCCGGCTATCTTTATTTCAATGCATTGCTGTGAGCCTTCCAAGCCTCCAAGCCTTCTTGGCCTTATGACGCGTGTACATACCTTGGCTTGCTCCCAACGTGCATGCATGAGACTATCTTTCACAGGGGTTCATGTGGCGGGGGCTGTTGCGCGATACCAGCACGGAGTACAGATTATATGAAGCCACTGCAACATGACGTTTTGGTGCACGATGTGGGTCGGCAGGCCGACCAAGGCTTGATTCTGGACGCTGATCGGCCCGGCATTTCTTGCTGACCAGCCCTGTTATTCCCCAGAACCAAAGCGGCTAATGGACTAAGACAGGTTAAGGGATCGGGCAACGGTGGCTGGAGCTATTCTACCGCCCATCATTGGTCTATCCAACTATACACCTGCGCTAATACCCATCCAAGGTCCGTGGTTGCGTGCGCGAATGTCCAGACAGCCCGCGTTGACGCAACCCTAATGGATCAGCACTCCGGATGCCTCTGATTAGCCGCGGACGGATCTCAGGGCCCTCCTAGCCTACCCTGTTTTTTGCTATGTTTCGAGCAATGTCAATCCCCTGATCCACACGAGGCTGCTTCTATTCATGTCATTGACTTTTCCCTCTTAGCATTCAGTGCAAGTACGCGATGGACTGGGACACCTTTAAGTCATAATATTGGGCGCAAAATGGTCCAATTATCTCCCGACCTCGGGCTCAAGGTCTCTGTGGGGTATGTTGCTAGCCATTCCCTGCGAATGGGAAGCTCAAGCTGACCGTCATCATTTTTGGATAGAACATTCATTCTTAGCTCGCTGTTCCTTACGACCTCCTATGACACTACATTCGCATTTGGTAAGTCGGCGAAGCACCGCTTGAGAGAACTGTTCTAACGGTGGCGACTGTTCAGACCGACCGATCAGTACGGCTGTCCTGGTGTGTTTCCTCACCGGAGTTACTTTCTTGACATGGAGTCGCTTCATATCATTGTCGTCAACACCGTCGTCGCCAACAAGCAAACGACCGGGCATTCCTCTCGCAGAGCAATTTGAGCTTCCCTCCCGCGCATCGAGCTCCTCATTCCCCGTCGGCGACCTCGAAACTCGCCCTCGACTGCGATTCCAGACTTGGTGGATTAAAGTTGCTCTACTTTTGGTTCTATGTGGTGCGCGTATCGAATCATTCCGTCAAGTGACCCGCAACACTGAATGCGCGCCCGTCGGATATGCTGTAAGTAACCGTTTTGCGACAAGTGCAGCACGACCAATGCGACTGACACATATCCCTGGATAGTACGCGATTCCCTTCGTTATCTCTCTCTACGACTTTTGGCGCAACCAGCGGTCTCAGCAAACAGAAAGATATGTTCCTGTACAGCGGTTCCAAAAGTTGCCACTACAGGTAACATACTCAGTATCTCGCCGTGGGTTCTATTACTTGACCCAAAGTCGCTTCCGAGGTGTGATCGCCACATCCTTCGTATCAGTCGGTGGCCTCTTGGCTTCTTCGCTCCTGGCTGGCGCGCGGTCATCCTACATTTGCCCTATAGTGTTGCATGGTGCATCGAAACTGCAATCTGTCAAGGTCTTCAATCTCCTAGTGGACTCCGCATTACTCATTGGGATTACTGAATTATGCCGAATTGGTGGGAAATTTGACGATGCGCTGAGAAAACGAGCTTTACTGTTCCTCGGAGCTGGCCTCCTGGTAAGTAGCTTAACGTGAGATTCCCGAAGTACACGTTTTAACAATCTGCTAGGGTGTCTCTTTCATTTGGAGTGTTCTCTCGTTTTGGGTACCCAACAATTCTCCTGAGCTTGCAGGACAACCGATGTTGGATTTGGAGTATTCCCGCGGGGCTTTCAGTCAGTCTGTTCTAGTATTGCTACTGATTGTGTCTGCGTGGCACATGGTTGGTACCTTCTCAATTGGGATCGTGTGATAAGGACTAATTTTTAATAGTTACCACACTTTGATATCCTGGGAGTCTCGATCATTGGTGGTTTCACCATCATCTACTTCTCTTCTCTGTCGGCACTGACCGGTGGCCACGAGCCATTCCCGTTCATATCCTTGACGCACGCTATTCTACCATTTGCAGCTTCTTTGACAGGTGCTGTGCTTTTCCTCCTTGCACGAATCGTGCATGATGAAGAGTCAAAACCACTTTATCGCACCAACATCGCAATTCAGGCATTCTTCATACTACTCACTGCAATTGGGCTGTTCTTTGCAGTCAACAAACACCACTTCCCTCACATGCATCCTATTGATTTCCTCATCCACGAGGGTAGGATTCAGCACGACAACTTCATGGCACAGGCTTCGAGTAGCAAGAGTCTTGGAGATGCCGTTTGGGAGTATCGAAGGAGATATGAGCAGCACCCTCCACCGTAAGCTTTAGCCTCTGCAATGATTTTGTGATTTGGCTAACTAATCGACCTAGGGGCTTTGATAAATGGTACCAATATGCCACTAGTCGATCATCGGCTGTGATCGACGATTTCGATCAGATCCACCACGATCTGCTTCCCTTCCGCGCCTTGGCCCCGGAGCACATCCGCGCAATGACCCACGAATTAGCTACCAACCCTTTCAACGATCTTGGTGGTATCAAAATCCGCAATGGTACAGCTTTGGTGCAGGAAGGAATCAAACCGACACATGCATGGATGATCAAGGGTGCCGCAGATATGATGGAGAACTTCGTCAAGCATCTTCCGGATATGGATCTGGTGTTTAATTTGAACGACGAGCCACGTGTTGCGGTACCTTGGGAAAAGGTTTCTGGGCTCACTCGCCAGGCTCAGATGCAAAACATGGTCCCAGAAGAGCATGCGACAAACACTTGGTCATCCAACCGAGAAGAGGGCTGGGCTCCAATCGAACCTGCCGATCAAACCAACATCACAGTGTTTACTGATGGAGCTTGGAGAGGTGTCTTTGACCCCTACGTTGGTGCTGTTTGCCCGCCCTCGTCCAAAGCTCGCTCCCAACGAATCTGGAATCGACGCGACATCTGCTTGTCATGCATAGCGCCTCACTCCATGGGCCAGTTTCCCCTGGACTTTAACATTGCCTCCGAAATCTGTCACCAACCGGACCTTGCATTCCTCCATGGCTTGTTGATATCGCCAGCTTCATTCAAAGTCTCCCAGGAACTCATCCCCGTGTTCAGTCAGAGTGCTCTAGCCGGGTTCAACGACATTCTCTTCCCGAGTCCTTGGAATTACATCGACAAGGTGAAATATGAGCCTACAAGTGAGCACCCAGATCCGGAATATGGACACAAGGAGAACTCCCTCTACTGGGTCGGCAGCACATCTGAAGGCGTCAGCCGCTTCGGAGAGTGGAAAGGCATGCCCCGACAGCGCTTTGCTCATCTCATCAACAACAACACGAACAACCAAGTCTCCGTTCTGCTCCCTACACGCGACGGCTCCTATCGCTATGAGATAATGGACGGCTCCGCCCCAACCCAAGAACTTCAACTCCAAACGAACGTTCATCTTGCCAACCCCATCGTCCGCTGCGACGACTGCGAAGAACAAGCCACCGAAATGGGAACGGTAGGCTGGGCCGACTTCCAGGCCCACTGGTCTCACCGCTACCTCTTCGATCTGGACGGTGCTGGCTTCAGCGGTCGCTTCCTTCCATTTTTGCACAGCCACAGCCTACCGTTCAAGACTGGTCTTTTCCGGCAATGGTTTGACCCGCGCGTCTCTTCCTGGCTGCACTTCGTACCCATTGATATCCGTCTCCACGGCATGTGGAGTACCCTGGCGTACTTCGCGGGTGTACCCGCCCCTGCATCAGATCAACAGGGACCTGACGCGCCGCGGGCTCGCATGAAAAGTCATGACCAACAGGGAAAATGGATCGCAGAAGAAGGGCGGAAGTGGGCACAGACCGCACTCCGCAAGGAGGACATGGAGATCTACTTCTTCCGACTTCTTTTGGAGTGGGGTCGGCTCACGGATGATCAGCGGGATGTGCTTGGATTCAAACCTTAAGGGAGTCTTGCACGATTGTTTCCTTCAAATTAATGTTAATGTCAAATACATAGACCAATATTCAAGTACATACATGTTTATCACACCTTGGGGTTTCTCCGCATATCGGCCTCGGAAGCTTTGGCCATTTCACGTGTCATTCAAGCCTCCGGGGCTTGGAAGGCTTGGCCTTTTCCCCCAAATTAATTCCTCTGGGATTCTCATATGAGATAAACTATAACCTAGTATGCGGTGATGCTATCAAAAAACCAAATCTATCTCAGTAAACATAAACAAAGTCATGAGGTCATCGAGTGAGATTACCTCAACCATGCAACGTTGTACGAGGCAATTATAACGACCCAGCACCACTTGCGTAGTCTGCCAAGAACCCCCCGCTCCTATAAGTCCGCTCTAGTCAATCATCAGGAAGATCACAGCCCCCCAGGAAGGCAAATTGATGACGCTATTTTAATAGTGTCCTTTTGATGTTTCCTGAAACTCGATTTTCAGCGCTGGGTGGACGAACCATGAGGAGCTCTTCAGCTGCCTGGAATCCGCCCACGGAGAAAAACTAAAAATTTGAGTTAACAAAGAGTTCTGTCAAACCTTGACTGGTCTTCTTTCAAAACCCAAGAGATTTGAAATTTCAATCTTGTCAACCTACCTGCACGCCAAGATGGAAGTCGACCATGCCGAGCAACGTGTGCTTCCTGAAGAAAGCACCAGCCCCAGTTCTCCCAAATCCTCATTTGTCGACTTCTTCAAGCGAGGAAGCTATCATTTACGCAGATCCAGCAAGCAAGATAATGCAACCGCCTCGAACTCATCCGATCTGCCGCCCATTGATACAAAACAACCACCCGGCCTCGCCAAGCAAGATAACCCGGCACCATTCACAACTATAACAAACGATGTCGACGAGAAGCTCCAACCGGATGAGCTTGCCTCGACTCCAGAGGCTCCCAAGTCCGACAGATCAGCCTCAGACACCGCAGTCGCACCCGAATCCATCCTGCGTAAGCAAAACCCATTCAACCTCGATTCAATAATATGGGACGACTCGTCGCGTGACGGATTAAATCGACGAGCATCTGTCGATCTAGACGATATGATCGCCCGACTCTTGGAAGTCGGACATTCAAAGCCTACAAAGAAATTCTGCCTCGAACCCACCGAGGTCCTATCTATCTGTTCAATCGCACGCAACCTATTTCTCTCCCAGCCAGTGCTCCTGGAGCTCAACGCTCCTGTTAACATAGTTGGCGATATTCACGGCCAATATCCGGATCTACTGCGGATCTTCGAGCAATCCGGATACCCTTCCACCACTAATTACCTCTTCCTGGGCGATTACGTCGACCGTGGAAAACAAAGCTTGGAAACTATACTTTTGCTCCTATGCTACAAGCTTAAGTACCCTGAAACCTTCTTCCTCCTTCGAGGCAACCACGAATGTGCCAATATCTCCCGCATCTACGGCTTCCACGACGAATGCAAGCGCAGGTCTACAATCAAGGTGTGGAAGACATTTACGGATGTGTTTAACTGCCTTCCCATCGCGGCCGTTGTGGCGGAGAAAATATTCTGCGTTCATGGTGGTCTTTCGCCTAACTTGGTAGATCTGAACGATATTCGAAACATTGTTCGCCCGACCGAGATTCCTGGACAAGGACTTCTGACCGATCTTCTCTGGAGTGACCCGGCTAATATCAAAGACTGGGGACCGAACGACGATCGCGGTGTTAGCTGGACGTTTGGAAGGAAGGTTGTGGCAAATTTCTTGAAACGACATGGCTTGGATTTGGTGTGCCGGTCACACATGGTCGTTGAAACAGGCTATGAGTTCTTTGGGGATCGAAGTCTTGTGACGATCTTCTCTGCGCCGAATGTGAGTCTTTGTTTCAATTTGAATCAGTGGAGGAATTTACTGACGTGTCTGAAGTACTGCGGTGAATTCGATAACTGGGGAGCTATCATGACCATCTCGGAAGATCTCCTCTGCAACTTCGATGTGATTAAATCGCCGGTCATTCCTTCTACCAGCGGGCGTACGAGAAGAAGAAGTGGGTCGACGGCGTGGGAGAAAGCCCTGTGAGTACTGAATACCACCACTTCCAAGATTTATCACGAACAATGACTGACTTTTGGACAGGCTCGGACAATGGTACGGGAAGAGTCACGGAAAGGGATGTTAACTTGAGAAACGGGTCTCGATCTATCCGGCGATATTTCTTAGAGCTTCATGGCTCGCTCATTGCATGACCGTCAATAACTAGCTCCTAAGATGCCTGACAGAGCCTTCTGTCTGTCCTTTGCTTCTAGGATATGTAAAACCAAGAAAAATCAATAATCAGATTCGTGAATGACAATGATCTGCATCAGTAGCTCATACGAGAGGAAGGATGGTTCTCATTCATTGAAGCTTCCTCGAAGAACGGAATTTCATAACTGTCATCTTCAAACTTGGAAGTCGTCTGAGTCGATGAAGTCTCTCTGCAAACTTTAGGCGGTGCTCGATGAAGTCGGAGCAACAATGCCATCTCACTCCCACGAACTAATATACCATATGCTGCTCTCTCGACTTTCTCCACGCTATTTTGCATGACCTCCATCTTGTACTGCAGATCGCGCAACATGAAGTGTCGTTGCGGCGCACTGAGCGCTTCGAACTCAGCCCTCATTGCTCGCAAATCCACGACAATATCACCCTGCGATGAAGCCAGTGTTGGTCGGTGGTCGCCTTCTCCTATCTTCCATCTCCGATTCATTTGAGAGAAGAGAATTCGTATACTGTGATGTAGTCCGGTTTCTCTTTGATTTGTGGGTGGTCGCCTTCTCCTATCTTCCATCTCCGATTCATTTGAGAGAAGAAAACTCAGAATAGTGTGATGTAGTCCGGTTTCTCTTTGATTTGTTTCTTCGCTTCTGCGGACCGAATTCAGCTTCGATCTGCTCGCAGAATTGGTTCAGAATATCGGCTGATTTGTTGAGAATCAAGATCTTCTATTGGAGGTTCGTGTTTGAGATCCTCCGTTCGGAGTTTGTCTCATGTCGTGTAAGGATTTCGCCGTTCAAGGTCAGTGTATCTTCGAGGATTGCAATTCCGCGCCCGCGATCTTCGACTCCAACTGCATCCGGTCTTTATTGGAGACCACACTGTCGAGAGCCGACATGTATGATAGAATGTTGTATTTGAGATGAGGAGAGGAAAGAGAGGGGGGGAGAGAGTGATAGCAGCAATGAGATCCACAAGGATAGCGTATTGCTGAGCAGTAGATCGATTTCTGCTAAAGCAAACAAGGACGGGGAAAAGAGAAGAGAGGAAGAGAACGAGAGAAGCGAGCTAGCTATGCACTGTCAACGCAGGGTCATTTCACCAACAACCATCCCCAACAGAGGGAGAGATATCGATCTACGTTATTCAACCCGCTGGGATCCTAACAAACCTAGTGTCCACCGGCGCCAATAGTTGCATTTGTAGTACAAAGGTCAGAGGAAGAGAGATCAATGTGATGGTATTGATACTATGAAGATTCGTGAGAGTGAGAGAAGGAGAAGAAGAGTGAAACAGATGGAGTGAAATAAGACACTAAGGCAACATGTTACCTGCCACCTGAGTCACTTGACAGAGATCTCCAACATGGTGGTATGCTTAAAATTGAACACTGCACAGTCAATAGATAGCAAAGTTACCCCCGAATGGTATCACACGTCCTCAGATTCATCCTCATCTTCTTCCTCCAAAGCCTTGATGTTCCTCCCGTGATAACTAAGAAAAGGATACTGATCTGGTGTATCAATGAGTGCTGCGGAGACCATCCAAATACTGCGTGTGAAATATTCGCCATTTTGACCCTCTTTTCAAGCACTATCTTGACCTGATATTTTTGTTCGAAAAGAACTTGGATAATGGTAGAAATTCATTAGAGTCGGTTGGGCAAAATGATATCTGTTTCTACAAGGATAACCTTGGAACAAGACTAGGTACCAAGAAACCTTGGAATAACGTGATGGGAGACGATTCTTTTATTTTGAGCCAAGCTGGCATCCATGGATACTTTGAAGCATCTCTCAGGGCCAAGTTCAACCTCTCAGACCTTCCAAGTTGGGATTTCTTGGACTGCAATGTCGAAAGAAAGATCAGTCCAGATACATGACCAGGTGGGCCTCGCGTGAGGAACATTGGGCGCAAAGATTTTCAGGACAGACAGAACCTTGGAATCGCCCGCATCAGCTTATGGTAAAAGATGCTTCATTCGTTTTATTGGAAGCGTATTCAGTTGGGGTAGATGATAGTGTAATTGTTCCTATCAGAGGATAATAATTCAATCTCAATTTCGAAATTTAAATTAAAAGATAGACAAAATTGAAGATGTAAGATCTATAGTAATGTCCCCATAACGGCTTCGGCTTTGTCGGACTCCCCTTGGCACCCCTTGGTTCCCCTGGCCCACGTGGAACCGTTGGCTGTCTTTTGGCCGTCCGGGCCGAGTCGAGTGGGCGAACCATGGCACTGAAAGAAAGAATCTAGACCTTAGACTCCTGATTCTAGATTCCAGAAATTGAGACGGCCAAGTTCCTGGGCGTGTGGGGCATATCGGATCTATCGGTTGTTCTCCGCGCTGCTTTGAAAGGATTTTGCAGATTTCTTTGCTCATTGTCAATTTGAACAGAGAATAGTCTTGGCGTCTTGCCATTCAAGCGAGGGCGTTCCATTGAAATGAAGAGAGCTGGCGACGGCATTCTATTAGCAGAGTCCGGTCCGAGACTTCGTGATTTTCGGAAAGTTTAGCCTCAATCTTCAGTCCTGCGAGTACGCGACTTGGTGGCCATCTGGTGATAACCCATTCTACTAATTTCTACTATCCGTATTGAAATGTGCAAGATGCAATTCATTGAACGAAAGTGCAGGGGTATTCACAAACATAAAAGGTCTCAAACCCCTCGTAGCCCATAAAACGTAGCATATCAAATGCGCTCCAGCCGTAGACTAGCACAGGCGCGGAGATGTACAAGATCGCAAAAAATGCAAAAGAAAATCGCTCTGCAAAACACTATTCCTCCATCGTCAAAACCATCTAAACCATCTAGGCATGACGGTGTCCGTGGCGACGACCGCGATGGTGCTGAGGACGAGGTCCGGGGCGGATGTAAGGTGGGTTCCGCTTGGTGCTGCCGATGTTCACATCAAGATCGAGATCGACGTCAACGCCGATATCAAGTCCGGAGCTCGACTCCTGGTAGACCTTGAGAGAGTTCAGACGCCAGTATGTGTCTTCGAAGGCGGAAGGGTTGTTCTGGACCCAATCGTTGCAAGTGCTCGCCTTGCTCGAGCAGGACGAGGATGACCAGACGCTGTCTTCGCCGGCCCAGTCGCCGCAGAAGGTAATGTCGAAGACGATTTGGAGATCCTTGAAGTGCTCGTCGATGTCGCAGCTGCCGGCGAATTTGGCAGCGGGGGTTCCCCAGCCGCTTGGGTCGGGGCTTCCGGAGGAGATATCACTGGGGATAGAGCTGGAAGGGAAGAACCAAACCGAGATGGCGGAGCCAGTCCATTCAGTCGCGTAGACACCACCGCCGGCATCGTTGAATCCACTTCCGAAAGACTTGGTGTCGGAGCTCATGATGGCGCAACCGGCGTTAGCACTCTGGCCATCAGCGTCCACGTAGCAGTTGTCCGTGTCGAGGTGACCACTGAAACCGGTGTTTTGGATGGAACATCCATCGCTGGTGTGCAGGGTCATTTGGTTCTGGGATTGCTCGTTGACACCTTCGAGGATGTCGATTTCTCCGTTCTTGGGCCAGTTCGAGCCTAGCATCCAGAATGCTGGCCAGCTGCCGCACACGCTACCAGGCATGTGGGCAAGATCGAGGATGACGAGGCCGTGCTGGTATGTGTTGGAGCTTTCGAGGCGGACACTCTTGCGACCAGGCTTGCTGGCGGTGTTGCTGTGGTCCACTCCGATGTACACACCATTGCTGGAAGAGGCGTTGATGAGACCATTGCTTTGGGCGACGTTGCGGTTGACATAGTTTACGTATCCGTTGGTGGGATCAGAGTCCTAGAACGAGTCAGTATGTATATCAGATCAGACGCGTCGGGCTCTACATACGGTGAAAAAGTTGAACTTGTCGAAGAAGCTACCGTTGGTGCCATAATCTTCATGCAGGCTGTACTTGGCCGAGACCAGAGAAGCCAAGCCCAGAGCGGGCAGGATGGTCGAGAGAACGTGCATTGTCAAGAGAAGGATTGAAAAGAGTCTGTCAAAGACTACGTGAAGGTGCCTGAATAGTATCGCAGATACTCCAGCAGGACTAAAAAGAAAGAATGGGTCCAAAAGGGAGTCCCAAAAAAGGAAAGTGATAATGCAAGACAATGGGCGAAAAGGAAAGGCTTGAAGCTCAAAAAGAGGGAGGCGGGAAGTTTTTATACATGAGACTCATCCCCCCACTTTAGGAACTTTCCACAGTGGATTAAAGAAATTCATAAAAAAAAAAGAATAAAGATGAATAAAGGTGCACGAATGAGATGTCAAAGGACCACCAAGGCCACGCGGATGGATACATCCACCAGACCCGATCGCCAGGGACCATGTGAGAATGTGAAACGGCAAAAGGGGAGAACGGTGGGGTCTGAAACGTCCGAACAATCGACCAAAGAGGATGAGATATTATCCACTGCCATTCAGGTGGCTAGAACGGCATGGCTGGAACTTGAGAGGCTGATGTCTGGTAGACTCATTGTGGAACCCGGAACCAGTAAATCATCAAAATCCTCGGCCTGGACGGAGTACAAGGGACGTAGAGTCGGTTGATCTTGCCGATCGAGCTAGTCGTGTTGAGTGATTAAGGGCATGATCTGATCAGGCGGTCATATTGTAAATGACACATACTCCGTAGAGACGTCTATAGTCTATATCATATCTTAATTCGAGACACCATTCGGAGGTGACTGTGAGTGGAAAAGTTATGCGCCCAAAACAAAGTTTGGAGGTTTTTGTTTCGGAACCAAAAAAAATGATCGGTACCACCATCTCACTGGCGCTGGCTATTGCTCTAAACGCAAAAAAGCGGGAAAAGGGACAAAAGGGCAAGGGACCGAAGGCCTGTCACTGGTTGTGACCAGTGACACCTTCGCCAATCACATCTGCTGCCGCGCACCTTTGCTGCAAGGTTTTGGTGGCAAAGGCACGATCGACAAATGATAGGTCGCGGCTCCTGATCCCGTGTGAAGATTCGAACCTTTTTTTTTTTTTTGTGGGCACCGCGGTCGGGATAATCTTCGGCACAGGGTGCGTCTAGACTTGGGAGAAATTTTGTGCTTGACGTGGCTTGACGTGGAAGGGAGACGTCAAAAGAAAGGTGGCGTTGTGCGGATGTCTGTGGGTGTGGTTTCCGATAGAGTGTCAAAGTACTCCGTACTTTATGCTTATGTACCTTTTGGCTTGCAGATGACCTGCACCGGTACATCTTCCGCCTGTACTCCGTACTCCGTACCGGTGTCATCAACCCATTCAATTTTGTCTATTCTGTATTTTGTACTCGGACACCACTACAAAAGGATAGAACATGTTACATGGTACATTCGTGAGCTCTGAAGTACCGAGTTGTATTGTACATTCCACAAGTGCCCCTCATCGCTGCAGATCAAAGGCCATACCAATCCACATTGTCCACATTGCAACCCGGTGACTCGGTGAATTGGCGCACGGGAACAACAATCCGGTCAGATTCGCACAAACAAAGTACATCTACACTACGAATTACCTGTACAGGGGTACACTTGATAGAGTGCCGTGTCTTGGACGATCAAAGCTGGAGAGCGGAGAAGCTGAGGGCGGAATTGAGTGAGACATCGCACCGAGATGGTCATGATCAACATCCAGCCCACCATGCTGAAACGATGAGACCCTGACATAATACTGTACAGTAATCAAACCACATTTCCACATTGAACACAAAAGTAGGCTATGCAGGTCGGACTGAGAAAGTACAAAGTAGAGAAAACAAAAAAAGTCGCTACACTAAATTCACTATGTACAAGCCGGACAGAACAATTCGGGCGGCTCACTCCGAGTCGTGGTTTCAGGACGGGCGGCCGCGCCAATAGCAATTGACACGCACCGACGATGGAACAGGTGTCGACAAGAGAAAATCACCACCGGCTCAGGCATCGGGGCTCCGACCGGTCCAGATGCAACCCCTTCATGGTCTTCGTCAGGGTCATGCTGGTGCTCGTACCTATCCAACCGTGATGGATGGTGCCCCACATCGGCGGCTTTGCCTTTGCCCCGCTCGGAGGGATTGTAGCTGTCCTCCGTGCGACGCGCGATGCGGCGCGAGTACGAATCCGCCTGTCGGTCTTGCCAGGCGGACCAGTGCGCGTCACCCACGCTGGGGCCCCAGATCCGGACATGGCAGATTTCGCAGACGTGGCCACGGGGTCGCCAGCCCTGTTGGCGGAGGCGGGTGACCTCGTCGACATGGACGAAGAGGTCACGGTCTAGCATGCCGTTGGCAAGGGTGAGGAGGGATTTCTCGTAGGAGTAGGCGGAGAAGATGGAGGCAAGAACGGCGCGGAGCTCGAGCAGGGAGGTGGACCACGTGGTGGCTCTGGTGAGGAAGGCGCGCAGGATGCGAAGGAACGACATGTCTGTCCTTTCGGAAGTATTGGCCTTGACCGTGCTCGCGAGGAGGGCTGTGAAGACCTGCTGAACGAGCGTTCGGAAGGATGTTGTTAACTGGCTGCTTTCGCCGAGGGGGTTGGATTGAGTGTTTGTTTCGTTACTGTCCTGGATGAAGGCGAAGACATTACTTGCGATTCGCACGACCGCTTCAATGTGGTCGAGCCAGAGAGATTCATCAAATGCAAGTGGCTGTTCGAGCGCCGGTGAATTACGTTGACCGTTGGAGCTACCGAGCCGGGATTGCTTGACAGTCTTGCTCTGGCCCTGACAGAGCCAAGTACCAACGCCTGCGTACTTGTTCAAGGACTCGATCAAGTCGTCAATTGCCTCTGCGGTGGTGGCTGAGTCGGGACTGTCGCGGACACTTTGGAGAATTCCTATCAGACCAGACTCAAGGGTTTTCAGATGCGCAACGAGACGGTCTAGAGCCTCACGGACCTGGCCTTGCCGGGCGAGGAGAATGACAGCAGCATCGATGGCTCCACTCTCTTCTATGAAGGGAAGCAATTCCTCCAAGTGGATGTCACCCACTCGAAGTCCGTCGACGAATCCTGCCACGTGAGAGGGATTGTACTTGCACAGAAGCTGCACGTAACGCTCAATCATCCAGTTCTCCACGGCCGGTGGGGCTCGATTGTCCGCTGTTTGAGCATGCGGCTCAATCAAGACACGCAAGTATTGATACTGCTTCTGGGGATCCTCCTCCAGAACCCGCAGGAACGTAGAATGTGTCTCAGGGGCTAGGTCCTGCATTGTCTGGGACGTGCGAAAAACGTCAATCGTAGCAACCTCGTGGGCATGCTTTTCTATAACGTCAATTACGTCTCGTCTCTGCTTCTTGCTAAGTCCTGACCCCACGCGGAGACAATCATGCAAACAGGTAAAGATCATGTCGCGATCGTTCGGGTCCTCCAAGTAGGTGAGGACCAGCTGGGCGTATTGCTTTTCTGACTTGAACGTTGATTTCAATACTCGGAAAAAGCGGGCTTCCTTGAACAGAGGAATCATACTTTGAATGTCGGGCGGATGATAGAAAGAGAGCAGATACTCCGCACTCAACTCGCAGTCATCTGCCATCTCTTCTTCGGAATATTGACAGACACGGACCAGAACTTGTTGCAGGGTCGTTCCGGAGAGCAAGATGTACTGGGGGTATTTGGGAAGATTGCGCGCAACAAACATGTCTAAGTAGATCGTCTCGAAGGGTGTGAAGAATGGACCGGTCATGACCTGGAGCAAGATGCTGATCAGATATTGTCGATTGATTGACATTCCCGAAGCAGAAGCATCTTCGCTCTCGGGCTCATTCAGAAAACTGTCCTCGAAAGCCTCATTGAGCATGCTCATGAAACTTGAAGGATCGAACTTCAGCATGTCTCGGAGTGAAGAGAATGAGTCGGTGCGCTCAGCACCACCTTGCGATGTGCTATTACCACGCCCTGAGAACAGGTATTGATACATATCTGTTTTAACGCGCGAAGCTTCAGATCCTTCCATATCGTCCCCAGTGGGGTAGATGCGGCCGGTCAGGATGAAGGACAAGTACGGGAACATCTTCATCGCATTGTTTTGCCGTCTCATCTCGTTCGCGTGCTCGCCGTTGACCAAAGTCTCGGACTGTGTCGGGATCAGGCTCACTAGTTCTTCTAATGGCCCAATATAGTCCATCAGACAGCGGTTCCAGACATATATAAAAGCATCGTACAGATTGTTCTGCTTGCATAGAGTGGTGACTTGGTCAATATCCATCGTAGTTGTATCGAGCAAGCAAATAATTTCTTCCAGGCGTCCGGGTGAGTGAGTTCCAACAAAATGGTTGATCAAAGCCTTGACTGCAGTGGGAGGTAGTGAACGCAAGGTTCCATCGACAATTCGTGGCTCCAGAGCAGATAGGAAGGTGCCTGCAGATTCTTGCTCCTCATACCAGTTGAAGACCTCTTCCCAAAGGAATTCTTCGTCAGCCATGCAGAGACATGCTGCAATTGAAACATCGGCTAGCTCCTCCAGTTGCTGGTTATCAAGGCGGTCGCTATTCGCTTCAGAGTTTCGACCAAAGGCGTATTTCAAGGATGCGGAAATCATTTCGAGAAGCTTGTCTTGAACGAGCGGTTGTCTCAGATTGTCTTCCTCGGGAAGCCCAACAGTGAGCTTCTCCGCATCTCCTGTGTAGTAAGAGGTTGCTAGACGAATGGCTGAAATGAAATCACCAGCTTCCATGAGAGCAAGCAATCGATCTGCCCAGTTTGAAAGTGTGCCCACTAAAGCTTCGTTGTAGCCAAGAAGGAACAATCGACCTTTATAAGAGCGGAAGCTCATATGGAATGCATCGGCTACTACCCCGTGCATCGAGTCATCTTCCTCATCAAGCTGCTCAACCAACGAATGAAGCTGTGAAGAAAAGAGATCGGTATGATAAATGTGCCTGTTGGCTAGATCAATTGAATCGGTAACGTTCATTGAATAATCCTCAATGATCAAAAGACGCTGAGTGATTGTGAACACCGCGAGCACGGAGCGGCTTAGCCATTGGACGGCTACTATGGCCTCATCGGCCCTCCATCTGCTACGTGCTCTGAAGAGAAGACTGGGGGGGCTTGTCCTTGTCCGTCGGCTCGTCGGTCTCGGCTTCCGTGACTTCGAGCACTGTCAACACATTTGACCAGCAGTATACTAGCTTTGTGTTTGATGTCTGGCTATCTTTTCCCTTGAGTCGGATGGCTGGAAACCAAGCCAAGGCACCAGTCATGGCACCATGAGCCTGCACTTCCTTTGGTCGAGGGGCTTTGTGCTGGGTTTGAGCCACCGGTGTTGTAGACACGATTACCAGAAGATAGGGAGTAAGCATAGCAACCAGACCCAGTGAATCAGTAGATTGCTCCACATTTCCGAGCGGCAGGGGAGAGAAAGCAAGGACCGAGCTAGGCTTCCGACGCTTAGTTTCTGTTATCGCCTGGGGGTAACGGCCAAGGATTCGTATCGTTTTCACCGTACGCCCTACAGCACCCATACCTCGTGTTGCTAGGTGGGAGAATGCCATGCCGCGCGTGTCAGCCGATACCAGCGCCGTGCGCCTAGTTCCGAGGAACCCTATATGGATGACGGCAGATCCTGAAAGATGGCCATCAGACGTCCGAGTCTCTACCTGATTGGCCGGCATTGGTGGAATATGAAGAAATGGCTTCGCGGAGCGAGAAATCTCCCAGGTGAAGATGTCGCCCGAGTCATGACCACCTGCGACCGTAGTATGGTCTGCAGAGAGCGCTAAAGATGTAACAGCACCGCATTCAACAGCTGTGCTATCATCAGCATACAAATCAATATATTACAAACTGAATTTCACATACCTTGTGTGCCGGTTCCAATGATGGTCTTGAGGCTTTGCTGATAGTCGAATACGAGAATGATTCCTTTCGATGTGCCTACCACAATAGACGTGGAAACAGCAAGACAAGTTGGCCGACCAAAATTACGCTTCCCAATCTCGGAAAACGCCTGTCCAGAGATCTTCCGTAGCTTTGTCCATCGCACCACATCCCAAGGCCCCTGCACTGGCTCCTCTTCCGCTTCTGGTATATGTGAAACTTGACTGGTTATTGAGGACTGACGGGAGTGTAGATGCGCAAGGAATGGCGAGCCAGCTCGAGACACACTCTGCGGAGATGAAGATAGGCGGGACTGGAAACGAAGATCGAAAGGCCGACGTGCCGGGCTGGGACTAATTCGCGGGGAGGATTGGAGTGCAAGCGCACTACTGCTCAGTGAAGATGGGACTGAGCCCTGTGAAAGTCAGATTACAGGTCTTGTTGCGCGCCAATTGTGTCACTCACATGTAGAGATGGTGAATCGTCAGGGTTTGAGGTCGTTCCATTCAAGCTCCCGGTCGCAGCCCAGTCTGCATGGCGCTGCGGTGGTGTTTCGGGGAGGAGTGAATCCTTTGGTTCCAGTGTTTGATCAGAATCACGGTCCTCCGCATGCTCTATCGTGTCCAATCCATCGTCCACCGGTTCGTGCGGGGAAGGTACAGGGTGTTCGGGGATGTCTTGGTCGGGCTGCCGTTCATCTTCCTGACCTAGGTCAAGCTCATCCTCGCGCGACCAGCCCTCACTGCCCTCAGCCATCGAGCTCATGAGCGTGATCTCCGAATGACCATTGCTCCCGTTGTTTGGTTTGTGGGAACCGCAGGTGAGCGGTGTGATGCGCAAGCAGTCGGAAACCAATTACGGAGGTACCAGGGATACTGCAAGACAAATGTAATATTAATTGGTCATTGACGTCGAGCTCGAGGGGTATGAACAGTGGAGAATGAGAGTTCCGAGCTCCGTTGCCTGGATCGGGGCCGCCATAGGGGCCGCGCTAGCCGCAAGTGGTTGCCAAGCACATCACACTCTGTACGTACAACCACTTTGCTGTACCTGAAGTATTCAACACACAATATGTTGCCATTCTTGAAAGTCTGTCTGAATTTTGCCAGCTTTGTGATCATAATTTGGTATTCCAATTTTGCCTATCAAGGACAAAAATATCCATCTTATCTCGTATATATTTCCACATACTTGAGCGTGAATTCACTACTGACAGCTGTCGACTGGTGGGCAAAACACTTATTTCCCTTGCAAGGCTGACATCTGTTCTCTGTTTCCAGAGCTGATTAATATCCTCCTATAGAACATATGGGCATCTCATCGCGGCATTTTCCACAATCATGATCAATCCGCACTCGTTGCACCTCTATGTCCAGGTGGTGGCTTCGAAAGGATGCAAGACATACCTAGTACTCCGTACTTGAAGCTTGTCATGTAGCATGTCAAACCTCGCAAGCCCCTAAGTTTAGGGAGCGGACCCCGACAAAGGGGACCAATATGTTTTGCAACACGAATACCCAGGTGTCCCAAGGCCGTCGAAAGCTCAGTGATCAAAGATCCAGACCACCTGGGTAGTGTAGGCTTTTCATCAATTATGCCCAGGTATTGGTCTTGAATAGCAACACCGTAGAGAGCGTTCTTATTTGGAAACGGTTCGAGGATAGGGTTGATTATTCCATTGGCATCGAGGGCAATGGTACCCGTGGACCTGGATCCGTGATGTTGTACGTGGATGGATCCTATGCCCAGGTGTAGGTCAGTAGACCTCGGGACTGACAGTATTTATGGTGCAAATCTGGGGATTAATGCAAGCACAACACTCCGTCCTTAACCTTGAAATACTTCTCTTAATCAAGTACTCCGACTTGATAGATTCCTCCAGTATCATCAAATACACAACACATATCCATGGACATCATTGGCCTATATGAATCACATTGAGGACTCGTAGATAAAGATGCTGGTGAATCACACCGACAAGTTGTCAAGATTGAAACATCTCTCGTGTCTCTTTTTCTCATGCTTGCTTTACCCAAAACGTTTGTGAGGTGTCGTGTCCTGGGAGTCCAAGCCGGTCGTTCCCATAATTTTAGACGTGGAAGCTTCTCTCTCCGTCTCTCTCCAATCAATAAATAAGAGCATTATAACCATGCTGCCTAGAACCCGATATTCTACGAATTTCTCTCCCGAGATATCGAGAATCAATTTCATGGATCGCCATGCTCTCCTCGGCCACAAATTCTCTTGATTCAATATCCCAACAGCGTTGAGGTGTCTTTCTCAAACATGCCATACCGGAAGCATGCCCATTTCATCGAAATATGGCATGGAAAACGTCGAAGTTGGCTGAAGCACCAGAAATTTCTTACTTTTTCTTCCACCGCTACGGAGTAAATCAATCGGATCTATCAACTTCAAACATATTCCGTACTCCGGAATAATTATCGATAGTCATACTCCTCCGTACTGGTCTCTTACAATAGCTCTCACTGGAACAGATATGGTCTAGCGCCATCTGGCGGCACGTGTACACAGGACAATGCGTCTTTTCAAATCGCAGTATCGGTTGGGCATGATAGAATGGTTAAATGATCATTGAAATTTGTTGTGCTGGGGTTGAAAGTGCATGGACGATTTTTGGGAAACTGGACACCGAGGTGGCGATGGTAGCAATAGCCTAACAAACCCTTCTTGGAATCAAGTCAATATGGAACTTGTGAAAGTCAGCCTTGTGACCATGTCATTTATGCAAGTCAAATGTTTCGCCACATGGCTAGTAGAGAGACAAATGCTCCTCCGTATATGGGGCAGAAACCACGAAAGCGAACGTATTTTATCGTTCAAGCACGCATGGCATGTAGCATTTAGCTATTTCGTGGCTCTAAATATGACCCGATCTATTCTCCGATAGCAGAAACATTGCGCAGGACTTGAATCAAAACTTTGGGGAAGGACAAGTGAAAAATCCAAACAAGGTAGGGATATGAGCCCCTTAAAAAGCAAAAATAGAATGCCCCTTGCATAAGGACCTGGAGGTCTCCGTAGACGCTACTTACTGTCTGGGGTCAATCAATAGTTCCCTATTTGACGGATTCGCCCCCGCAGGGTCTTGCTTGGCAGCAATATTCAAAGCCCCTTCCTCTTAAGGGGGGGAATTTCCTGTACAAATTTCTCTGGGGAAGTAAGGTGATCTCCGTGCGTCGGCTATATACACTTTGCCAGTGGCTGAATTTCCTTGGCCAGTGGGAAATGAGTTTAATATCCTCGATGCAAATCTGAGACATCACGAATGGGCGCCTGCATTGTGACTGTTTTGTCTCTTTTTGGTCTGAGGCAAACTCCAAGATGCCAGGGCGCGTTTCGTTTGCTTTTCGGGTCCTGTATTTAATGCTTTCTCTGGCCTTTTCTTTCTTTTGTAGAATACCTTCAGCTACAGTCGCTACCTTCCAATACTATCATTTTTGCATATCTGACATTTCATCCACATCACGTTTCATCATGAAGTTCACATTCCTTGCTCTTTCGGCTCTGTTGGCCATTGCCGCGGCTGATACAACCACCGCGGAGGCATCCGTGGTTACTTCTACCCCGGAGACTGAATGTGCAAAGCAATGTAAGAAAAGACTACGAGGGTTAATAAAAAGCCAAGTTAACCTTAGGTCTCTATCTAGGTGACCCCAGGGACATTTGCTGTACTGCAAAGTGCTACAAGGTTCCCTGCCCTAGCGATAACCAGGCCGACGACACCAACAGCTGTGTTTCTGCCTGCCCCCAGGGCACCGGCACCCCTGCCGATATCCAGAAGTATGCCGACTGTGAGCAGTCTTGCTACAGCTCTCACTTCTGGGGCGGCCACGGTGCGACGGCGACTCAACCTACAACATCATCCACCTCGACTGGCACTTCTGGCACCACCGCCACTTCAACTGGCTCGAGCTCGTCAAGCACAGATTCCTCCGACTCAAACAGTAAGTTCCTTTTCTCGAAATCGTGCCACGGACATATCTAACAGAGGTTATTAGCTTCAAACAATGACTCGGACAGCTCTGACTCTTCGGATGGAACTTCGACTAGCTCTTCAACTTTCTCTCAGCAGACTGAGAACGCCGGCGCTCATATGAAGCTTGGTGCTTCTGCTGCTAGTCTGTTTGGCTTGGTCGCGGCTGCATTTGCTCTGTAAACATTCTCTGATAGAGAAGAGTGACAAGCGAGTCCCAGGTCTGGATTTATGGGGATAGCTTGGGTACTGGACAATATTCTTTCTTCTTGTGATAGTGTGTTGCTCGATCTGGAAATTTATGTTGATGTAATTCTCCTGCTTTTGAAAGCATATAATTTCATTTTTGTTGTCCCGTAACACGATCCATGAATAGGACGTTGCAGTTCCAAGGTTCGGCCTTCGGGGCATTTTGGGGTAGTTACAAGACCAGCCGGTGACTGCCCAGGTGTCGACCTCGTGAAAGAAAACCTGTCTCCAACATTTTGGACTTTGATAGGCGGACCTTGAGAGCGTAAGGGAAAGCCCCAGAGCGAGGGACACTGATCTAGATAGACTAGGGATATCGTCAAGTGTTTTCGCGCTCAGTTCCCTCCAAATAATCAGTCGGGAATGGTTTGCTTGTGAAGTAATCTCATTGAGCCCCTCGGGTCTTGTCAGTCTAGAGCCTTCAAACGTGGGCATTTGACAATCTTGAAAAACTCTCAGAGATCTCAGAGCCCCGCAATTTGTGTGAGCTTTAGAATTGCATCCTTGCTATGTGACTGAGAATTGCTGACGAGGCACGAAGGCATGTTTTTCTCTCAGCTCACCGCCAAAGTTTGTTTACTGAGGTCAATTCCGGAAAAATATACTGATGAATGTCACCAATCATCAGTGCCGTATATCAAACGCTTGACTTGACACAGATTGCGAACATACGAATTTCCAAAACACCAACGAAGATTCAGATCAAAAATCCGGAAAACAATTGAGCTCCAGCAAGATGGATGATGCAAGCGAGCAATTCCAAGTGCTTTTCAGCGACATGTCCGCCTTCGTGACAGACTGCATGGCGGGCCACGATCCTTCGCACAATCCAGCCCATGTCCACAGGGTGGTTGCTCTCGCCAAAGAAATCCTGGAAAAAGAGCGGAGCATCAACACAACGACAAATTACAATGGCGCAGTCGTCAAATTAGCAGCACTCCTGCACGATATCGGAGACAGAAAATACCTGTCGAAATTGGAGCCAGGACCTGGAGGTGAAGCCCCAGATCCTAATACCATGGTCCAGTATGCTCTTCTTGCACGAGGCGCGCCACATGAACTAGCCTCACGAGTCCAAACCATCGTGTCCCACGTGTCCTACACCACCGAGTGCAAGGACCCGGCTGTGATCCGTCGATTAATCGACCGAGAAGGTTTTGTGGAGCTTGCAGTTGTTCAAGATGCCGATAGGCTAGATGCAATTGGTGCCATCGGGATTGGAAGGTGCTTTACTTTCTTGGGTGCTGTCGGCAAGAAGTATTGTGTTGATGGGAAGTGGGAGATGAATAATTCCATCGAACATTTTGAGGATAAGCTAGTGAAGCTTGAGGGAATGATGAAGACTTCAACAGGAAGGGAGATGGCCAAGGTTAGAACCGAAAGGCTCAAAATATTTGCAGGGTGGTGGGAAGAAGAGATGCGTTTGACGTCTGCTTGATATCTTAGGCGTGTGCCCATGTTTTCCACCAACATATTGTATGCACGGTGAGATGAGACTTTTTCTCATCTGTTCATACCTTGATAACATAAGAGGATAGAATAGCCCATTTTTATTCCAGAATTTCATTGTTTATTGAGTGATGTGGTTTAGTCTCACACATGGCTGCTATTACCACCACTTGGGCAGTCTTGTCGACTTCCCTGAAAGGCAAAATAAAAATCGAAAAGACAGCAGAGCTGCAATGGAAAGTTAAGAAGAAATGAACAAGAAATACAACCAACACAATCCATCAAATTCCTACCATCCTCCGCGGAAGCTCAAATAATCGGATCGATATAGATCTAATGCCACGCCGAGGCTCAGATATGCACGCACCTCCTCCGCCTCGGATGACCACTGTCATCCGCCGGCGAAGAGGGTATAAACCATTTCCATACTTCGCAACAATGGCTGATGCACAATTTGACAGTGCGCTGTGAGTACCACTCTTCACATTCTTGGGATTTCCACGACTCCTTGTCTCGACCCTGGAGCCTGCCATTGCAATCCAGACTCCGACATCACCCCGCCCCAATGCAGACGGAGACCACCGAGCTGACCACCCCTTCCCAGCGATTTACTTCGGCGCCTAAACCCCCGCGATACCAAGGCCAACCTCCAGGCTATTACTTCGATCGTCCCCGAACTCACCGAAGACCTCCTCGCCTCTGTCGATCAGCCCCTGGAGATTCGCCGGTGCCCGCAGACCAACCGCGACTACCTGCTCTGCGATTACAACCGTGACGGCGATAGCTACCGTTCACCATGGAGCAACGAGTTTGATCCCCCACTGGAGGATGGTACCGTGCCCAGCGAGCGAGTGCGCAAGCTCGAGATTGCTGCTAACGAGTCGTTCGATGTTTATCGCGAGTTGTACTACGAGGGTGGTGTCGGAAGCGTGTATTTCTGGGATCTGGACGATGGATTCGCCGGTGTTATCCTGTTGAAGAAAGGTGAGCTAGGCACTGGGCACCGGCTGCTGTTCATGGGAACTCGCGACTGATCTTCTGTGAATAGGTGTCACTCCAGGCTCCCAGAGCTCCGGTGAATGGGACAGCATTCACGTCTTCGAGGCCACCGACCGTGCTCGCATGTGCCACTACAAGCTCACCAGCACCGTCATTCTCCATTTGGCCAACAAAACCGAGGCACTGGGCGAAATGGACTTGAGTGGAAACATGACTCGCCAGGTTGAGGTTGACCTGCCGGTTGAGTCGGACGCCAGCCACGTTGCCAATGTTGGCAGACTGGTAGAAGACATGGAACTGAAGATGCGCAACCTGCTCCGTATGCTCTTGCTGCCCGATCGAACGCAGTGGATATTTGCTAACCTGGACTTCTACATTACAGAGGAGGTGTACTTCGGCAAGGCAAAGGATGTTGTTGGCGAACTGCGCAGTATGTCATTGCACACTCCACAATCCCGGGTCTCCTTACTGACAAAATCACAGGTCTTGGGCCTTTGTCCGCTGCGAACAGAGACCGTGAAACTCAGCGGGAGATGATTGCGTCCATGCAGAAGTAATCTTTTCTTGTTTCTGACAATCATATCGCCCCGCTAGGTCGATGTTTCGATCCGTTATTGCGTTTTCGTTTTGCATAGCTAAGTTCTGTGAACATGCTTGATCATTGATCCACAAATATTCCAGAATCCAATATCATATATTGATCTAGATGGTTCCTCATTATCCTTGAGTCTCATTTCCAGAGGCCATACAGCCCGGGGTATCATAATTGCACCGTAACTACCACCAATCGCGTCTCATGTATCATTATTACCCCTTCAGTCCACTTGCATGTTGTCGGGGTCATTGGCGGCCTTGTCTTCGCTTGACCCAGGCTTGTCTAGCTGCTCGACAAATGACCGAGCAGCAGCCCACAATTCAGCCTCCTTGTCCTTTCCAACTGTATCCTTCCGACTGTTGAGCCAGCTGATATCCAGTGGGTTCTCAGCCCCTGCTGCACCGCCTGCGGCTGCGTCATTCCTGGTGCCTTTGGTGTCGCCCGCGCGCGAGGACGTCTCCGGTGCCAGCAATGCAGCTTCCTCCAACGCGTAGACCTGACGACGGAGCCGTACATCGATTGAAGACAGCAGTGCAAAGTACTGGGATGTTGCCTCTTTGAAACGTGCCTTGTGTGAGTCGAGCGATCCATCGGGTGCGGGGGAGGAAGAGTCCGGTTTGGCGTTTGTGAGAGCTTGAATCGCGAGACCGGCAGAATGAATCAATCGAGTAACATCCTTAGTGGCGCAAGTCAGTAGCCGTATACGCTTTCCATTGAGCCGGTCGGAGTACCTTGTCTACCTCATTGAGCTGTCGAATGCGATCAGCGGAGGTGAAGCTCTGGAGCTCTTGCTGGGGCGAATCTTGACTCATTGTGATTTTTGAGGTAGCCGTAGAGTCGGAACGATATTGACGCAGGTAAAAGCCTCTCCGGGTGAATCTTCAAGAGTAGATGTCGAGATTGTGGGCGCGTTGGAGAACGGCTTGAAAGTTAACATCACGTGCGCGAATCCGGGGAGGCTCTTCATAAGCGGTGAGGTCGCAGAACGGGATAGTTATCAAATCCAAGCTACGCAAGATACCCATCCATCTCAATTTCGGCGAAACAAAAGTCTCCATCGGTTTTATCCGTTTCGGGATAGACAATTTAGCTATCGAGTTGTCGGTGCCTTCACTGGAAGTGGCCCTTATCATTGTGCGCAACTGCTCAGCCGGAGATCTCACGATAGTCGATTATGTCGGCGCCAGGCGGGGCTCCAAGCCCAGGCCCCAGAGGAGGGAGCATGGGACCTGGTGCAAATGCGAATGGCATGTCTATGCCATCCCAAGGCTCTCTTCCCGGCACGCCAGTACACTCTGCACCAACCCCGGGACCTAGCGCACCTCCAAGTGGTGCTATGTCCCAGCAGAACCTCAATCAAATTGTAAGTGTTGCGATTTACTCTTCCCTTGTTCAAAACCCTTTTCATCCCAACATGCCCTTTGTTCTTTTTTTCGTGTGCCTTTTGCTCCTCATCTCAAGTGGTTGCGTGTTGTGTGGGTTTCATACTTGCAAAGACCTACACCATTGGCCCAATCATTCCTCCGCTCCAATCCATCAGGGACGAGCTCCTCGGCCAACTCAAAAGGGTTGCTTCTCTCAAATTATCATCCTCGATACATCTACACTACAGTCCCAGCATGCCACAAGACAGACGCGGTGGCAAGTACGGCAACCCAAATCGTCGACATCATCTGGCTTTCAAGAAGAGGCCTCTGACGACAGAGCACGAACCTAACGAGATTGCGGATCCTGCATTTTCTTCTTCCCAAAGCCCTGGATTCGATTCCGGCACAGGGTCTTCCCTGCTCCATGTCCCCAAACGTCTTCATGGCCTGCGATCCCGCACATGTGCTACCAATAGCTCCACCTCAAGACGAAATGGACTTTCATCTTGCGTTGATCCAAAGCCACAGCTATTCTCACTGTTCTCTCACTCCTCCCAAGAAGGCGAGAGCAGAGAAGCCCTCCCCCCACCCTGACTACGTGGAGACCGCCAAAGTAGTCTCGGATCAGTTTGGCCCATATCTAGGCTATGCTATAGATAGCAACGGGAGACTGGAAGGAACGCCGCCTCAATCCGAGAGTGAAATTTCAGTTCCATATCATTCATTGCAAGACAAAGAATTTTCGCTTCCTGGCCGGTAGGAATGCTTTCTGCTACGCAATCCACCTCGCGTTTTGGGGCACCGACAAAAGGTCCACAGCTTGATCAAATTCTCTGAGATCTTCATTCGCCCCTGCATTGAGACGACCTTCAGCTCCAGAACACCCTTCACAAGAAAAGGAACCTTTATCTTCCACGTTCCGGAAGTCTTTTTCCTATCAAACCCGTCAAGCATCCAAGGATTGACTGCATATCACGGCAATGGCGCCCCCAGATCGACGCCCTCGTGCACCTAGCTTTTATGGCAGATCTGAAAGCCCTGCTCTCCTGCCACAGGCCCTTGCAAACAGAGAGCGAAGGGCTCGAGAGATGCAGACGCAGCACAATCTTTCGCTGGATTGGCAGAAGGCCCGGGACAGACGAGACCAGGAGAAACGTGATCAGGAGAAACGCGATGAAGAGGAACAGGATAGACGAGACCGGGAGAAATGGGCCCGGGAGAAACGCGTGCAACAGCAACGAGCCCGGGAAACGAAATCCCAGGAAGAACAAGCCCAGGCCCAGGAGAGCCAAGTTCATGCATCCAAAGGTCCATCTGGAGCGAGAGATGCTGTCGGTTGACCTGGTCAAACTTCCTCTGCACGTTTTGATACTTGTCATTTGCTTTCTTTGCGTTGATGGTCAATCTTGGATATATGTGCTAATCTTGATCTCATCTAGGTCATTGACTATCTTGCGAAAAAGGGGTACAGTCGTACCGAAGCTATGCTCCGTATGGAGTCTGCAAACCAGGAGATTGACGGACGTCCCCTTCCACAATTGGGAGAGGACTCTCGCCCAAAGACTCGCCAAGGATTCGGTATGCTCAAAATTGCCCCTAGTTCTCTCTACCCGACTGACGTTAGAAAGACCTGCTGAAGAATTGGGTTGAGGAGAATCTCGATCTGTACAAGGTGAGTGAGATAGCGCCAATTTGTCTGATGTTGGCTTATTTGTTACACAGCCTGAACTGCGCCGTGTCCTTTGGCCACTCTTTGTCTATTCGTTCTTCAACATGGTGACATCCTTCTACCCCCAAGATGCCAAATCTTTCTTTGAGGCAAACAAAAACATGTTCCTCCCTGAACACACTGATGACATCCGACACTTCGAACCACTCAGTCTCCCTGAACACTTGCAGGATAACTCTGTCGCAAAGCTCTACCGCACAAACAAATATCGTGTGGTTCTAAGCAACCCCGCCTACACCAATCTGCTGCAGTTCTTGGAGAGCAAGGACAAAGAAGGTGGATCTGTGATGAATGCAATTCTCAGCAGTTTCTGCTCTGTGAAAACTCTTGATCGAGCGGCCGACGACCGTTTCAGTTTCGCTGCTATGCTGAGCCAGATTGGCGCTGGTCAAACCTTCCCGGCTGAAGATGAAGGTATTCCAGGACATCATCCAGGTTCAGCTTACACGGGTGACAATCCCGCCATGGCTGGCACACTCCCCCGCTTGAGACTTGGAAAACTCCCCATGGAGCAATTGTTGGAGGAGGATGTGCGGGCTGAATTGGCAGAAGAGGACCAGAAGCAAGGACCTCCTGCTGGCCGCAACACGCTCACCCAAGAATTTGAGGACATGATTAAGAAAGAGGACGACGACGAAGCACCCTCCCGTTCTGATATCCCCTTCCCTGCCTCTACTGCTCGTGACGTTCATACCGAGGTCAAGAAGGTCATGGAGCACCGTGATCGATTCGAGATTAAGGGTCGGACCGGTGGTGTTGGGCCTGGAGTTAGTGTGTGCATGTTCACGTTCCACAACACCTTTGATAAGTAAGTCCTTTGCGGCACTATCCCCCTCATCATCACAGATATTAACCACTCCCCAGTCTTACTTGCATGGATGTCTCCGATGACAACATGCTCATTGCCACGGGTTTCCAACAGTCTTACATTCGTGTCTGGGCCCTTGATGGCAACTACCTCCCAAAGTCTGGACCTGAGTTTGCCGACATCCCCGACGCAAGCTCTCGCCGCTTGATCGGCCACTCAGGTGCCGTCTACGCAGTTGCCTTCCCGCCATGTGCCTCCGCCCGCGACAACATTCCAGAGAGGGATCGCGTTAATACAAGTGCTCGTTGGCTACTTTCTTCATCGGCGGACAAAACGATTCGCCTGTGGTCGCTTGATGCTTGGCAGTGTATGGTGGTCTACAAGGGCCATGATCGCCCTGTATGGGATCTGCGCTGGGGACCATTCGGTCACTACTTTGTCTCTGGTGGCAATGACCGGACTGCCCGCCTCTGGGTCAGTGATCACGTTCGCCAGCAGCGTATCTTCGTCGGTCATGATCAGGATGTCGACGTTGTGTGCTTCCATCCTAACTCAGCCTATGTCTTCACTGCCAGCTCTGACCACACCGTCCGCATGTGGGCTGTCACGACTGGTAATGCTGTCCGCATGTTCACTGGTCATACTGGAAACATCACTTCTATGGAGTGCAGCCGTGATGGAAAGCTTCTCGCCTCGGCCGATGACCAAGGAACCATCATTCTGTGGGACCTTGCCCCTGGTCGCCTTCTGAAGCGCATGCGTGGCCACGGCAAGGGAGGTATCTGGTCTCTCAGCTGGAGCGTTGAGTCTACTGTGCTTGTTTCCGGTGGAGCAGATGGAACTGTCCGCATCTGGGATATTGCCGGCCCTCAAGAAGCTCAAGGTCGTGTCATCGGCGAAGGAGGTGTCGGGACCAAGATCGATGCGGGTCCTACTCCCGCAGGTCAGAACAAGAAGAAGAAGGGCAAGGAGACCGTTGTCACCGCCGACCAGATCAGTGCTTTCCCGACTAAGAAGAGCCCTGTCTACAAGGTCAAGTTCACGAACATGAACCTGGTCATTGCGGGTGGTGCCTACTTGCCTACCTAAATGCCACGTCGGTCCGCTTTTGCACTGGCTGCATTTTCCTTAATTTCATCAATACCCTTGCAATTCTTGTCTTAATACCTTGGTTCTCTCCGGTGTTTATTGGTGGGGGGCATATGCCTTGATTTTGAATTCACATGAGATGAACACTGGGCTCTAGGTCAGAAAATAACTGAGTGCCAGGTTTCATTTCTTTTAGCTGGTTACAATGAAAACGTTCAATTCATCCCGAGGTCCTTTGCATCCACATTGTAGATTAAGCACTGATTTCTTGAATGAAGTGCTAGCTTCGGTACACTTTGACTTCTTCATGGGTCTAAATAGTCTGGCCACGTATGGTTGTAGTTCTCGGCTTAGCTCAAGTAGTTCATTTTGACATCCATGGTTCAAATGCTCATCCAGTGGACCCCAGAAAGAAGAGATGTTATGGGGTCATATGGTAGTCAAACACAGTGAGTGGTAGAATGTTATCATAAGCCTTGCTATTTCAAAAGCGGAGGACAACCATAAACATCCCCTCACTTTTTCATAGCAGCAGATGCTTGCATATCAGCAACCTTGGGCGGCAGCACCAATGCACTGCGGTCATTTCGACGGTAGAAGTCTGCCAAGATCTGTGCGGTTTTTGTAGGCTGGTCTTCGTGGACAAAGTGTCCTGCTTCAGGAAAGACCTGAAGTTGATATTTTCCTGCGCGGATGGTCAATTTTACCAAATTCGCTAAGGCAGATGGATACCAGAGGGAACGCACCTTGCATTTGGCCGATCATTAATTCTTTATCGAGACGATCTGTCCCGGCGAGTAAAAGCAGCTTGCCGCCTCGTGCATCAAGGAACTTCCGACTCAAGCCAACAAACCAGTTCTCCCAGAAAGGCTTCGTGGCGGAGAGGTTGGTGCGCCATACCCAAGGGCGGGATAAATCAGTAGCGGTGCTCTCTTCATATAGGAGTGATGGGACTGAAGCACGAGCGGAGGTAGTGTTGCGGATTGTGCGAGAGCGAGTGCTGTGAATCTATTAGAGAGAAAGCAACCTGGCAGTGAAGTGAAACATACTGCCATTCAATTCCCGATTGAAGCGATGGAAACCGGTTTGGCCTTGTTGAAAGATACATGTCCATACTCTGCAATGCGTCTATTGCAGAACCTATTGATAGTCCGGTAAGTGACTGAGGCCACAAAAAGAAGAAGAGTAGGGAGGGGGCAATTATACCTTCAACCACATCCAAAACCGCGTACGCCAGCAGCTTCGGACCCAGCTCCCCATTCTTTGCAACGTCTGTTATTACTGCACCGCCTAGGCTGTGTCCCACGAGAATGATATCAGGAAGATCTTGCCATCCCATTCGAGTCTGCGTTTGACGAATGACGTAAACCAGGTCCCGGCTCAGCGTCTCAAGGCTGAGATCTAGTTCTACCTTCCCAGCAGCCTCGGTCTGCGCAGCATCGGCAGTGGATGGGCTTTCGTCATTAGCCTTAGTATCCGTGTCCTGGGTGGTCATGACCGTGCGGCCGTGACTTCGTGCATCCAAAGACAGGATGCCTGCCTTTGGAAGGATTTTGCGTATCTCATCTGCGCACGTGGCAAATGACAATCCCGATGACCCTGCTCCATGGTGCATAACAAAGAGCGGGGCTTTATCGACAGGAGGTGTCAAATAAATGTGGTGGACAATGCGGAGGTTCCCAACGTCATCCGGGAGGAAGAGCTCTTGTTCAAAGAAGCCTGTCCATTGGAGAGAAGTTTGCGAGGATTGCCTGTGATTACGACTGATTAGCTGGACTTGACATATTTGATCCAAGATGGATCACGGTGAAGTGTATGGGAAGCAGACTAACCGTCGACCAGCCCGCGCAAACAGTTGACGGGTGGGAGATGGTACCGCTGTCCCAGTAGATGAGACCGACGATGCCGAGGACCCTGACTCCCAGGCCTCTTCAATCATAGGTTCTTCCATGGGAGCTTCAGGTGGGAATTTGGCCAATTTTGACTTGGCGAAAGATTTCTGGAGGTCGCTCATCTCAAGTGGATACTTTGTCGATCACAAAAGGGGGACGATTCAGTTTGCTCAATCCCAACCATCGCTAATAGCAAACAGAGACGTCTATATCAAGCTCCGCAACCCACAAGGATATCAGGTCGGGCGCATTAACGTGCCGTCAGAGCCCCGCCATCAGGCCGCTGACTAAGGGGAGCTTCTGCGCCGCCAGAGGTGCGGTCCATCACGACGTGCAAAGTCGGCGCACGCACGTTGAGGGAGCTCAGATTTTGCTGGGTGGCATACCTTTACTTTCGCTGGGGTACCCAAATTCTGCTGATGGTATCCAGCCGTACAGCCAATCCGCCCAACATTCATTCGTCCATCATGTTTGTCTTTTCACACAAGGCCACAGTTTTGACCTGAGCAAAAGGAGTGTTCTGCTAGTTTGTGTCATGATTGCGCTTCTCCTTGGTATGATTGGAGTCGGATCAATAATGCTGTCCTAGATTTTCTGGGCTGCTGTTTGGGTTTAACTCAGTGCAAAAGTACGGACGATCCAACACAAGATCTGGGCTTCAAAATATAATGATTATGAATCTGATATTGATTGTTGATACTGACTGACTCATGTCTCCTTCGAAGCCTCTTAATTGCCGCTCTCTTGGATCAAAGCTCGCAGTCCATTAAGCAGATCTTGTTGCAAATCCTCCAGTGTCTCAATACCAATGCTGACCCGCATTATATTCTCTCCAGCCGTTGGATCAGTCATCTTCCTCCATTCAATGAGACTTTCCACTCCCCCAAGACTCGTCGCATGCTGGAAGATTCGCAACTTGCTTGGCAGACGCCTAGCCTGCTGCGAGCTTTTCATGACAATCAAAAACACCGGTCCAAATCCACCGGGCATCTGCTTCTGAAGCCATTCCATATCGGATGTTTGCAGACTCGCATGTTTGAGACTTTCAATCGTGGCGTTCACTGCGTTTGGAGTGGAGGACTTGATCATCTCGGATAACCACGTCACAAGTGCAGTACAGTTTTGGCTCTGCCGAATGCAACGAATGTCCAGTGTTCTCAGACTGCGGAGACCGAGCCAGGACTCGAACCCACCCATTATATTTCCCAACGCACATCGGTCCTCCCAAAGCTTCATGAACAGCTCGGGCCGCTCGGGAGGAACACTGATAACACCGCACATAATGTCACTGTGGCCTCCGATATACTTTGTGCCACTGTGAATCACCAAGTCTGCACCCCACAGGAATGGATCTTGCAGGGACGGAGGACCGAATGTGGAATCCACGACAAGATATAACCCCTTTTCCTTGGCTATCTTTGCATATGCGGCAATACTGCGGGCCTCTCCTGTAGGATTGAGAGGTGTTTCCAGGTGAATCACATCTCCCTTCTCGAGCTGGTCCGTTTCGTGCAATCCAACCTTTTTGCACCCTGTCAAACGCTCCTGGATACGGAGGACGTCATGTGCACCGTGATAACCACCCGTAATCGCGACTCGCTTCGGGGTAAGACATGTGAGATAGGCATGAATAGCGGAGAGCCCGGTAGCATATGTCAAACACTCCCCCTTGAGGATGGTTGACAGCACGAGCTCCAGTCGAGAGCTGGTGGGTCTGGCGAGTCTAGCGTATACATGCTTGGTTTTCTAGCAGATGGCACGGTTAGACAGATCTCGATAATATGACTGTTGCCTTGAAGCCATATAAAATACTCACCGAAAGAGCTTGCTGTGGCTCTAAGTCATCCGGGTTGTGAGGATATCTGAACGTGCTCGTAGGGTGCATGGCTGGTGCCAGCTCCGGTCCAGCATATCGATCATCAACATGGATAGAGTTGGTAGCAAGAGAGAATTGACTCTCCAGATCCGTGAGAGAGATTGCCATTGTCCCAAGCTTGTTTGTCTGGCGCCAGTATACTAAGAAGGATCGAGACCACGAAGGGTTTCGGCGCCACTTTATAGGACTACTTTCCACCAGAGGATTATTCTATGGTCTACGAATACGTTGCCAATCACAATCGCTCAGTTACATAGGATACCTGTTACACAATGGATTTTTCAGAGATGCTCGCAAGAACCCTCCAGATTTCCGCTCAGCTGAGCGGCCTAATCTCCGCGGCTCCCCGCTCCCGATCGACACTTAATCGGAGTTTCGCCGTGCAGGAATGGGAGGGATTGATATCCATTGAATGTCGCCCCTAGGTGATAGAGCTGCCAATGCCTGAAATTTTGCCAGGATTGGCGTATATTTTATTTTGTAAATTTTGTTGAGGTTATATACAGTGGTCATTAAATCCAACCCAAGCAGCTTCAGGTTGGTTTTTTCATTCCGAAGTCGTCATTTGTTTCTTTCTGGAGCCTTTCAGTCACTTCGACTTTGATAGGCAAACTGCGTATTTTCCCTCGCACCGAGATGGCGATAAGAAGCACCTTGCTGAAGGAGTGCCATTCACCGGAGAAGGCATGGCTTTTTCCGGGAAAGCCCATGGTTTCACCAACGCAGCTATATGCGGAGATCACCTCGAAAATAATATTGAAGGTAGAGAAAGCCAGCGGGTTGGCTTTGTAATTGTTGGACTCGGTGACAGTGATTAAAAGGATTGCTAAACAAAGCCACCACATGTCGTTGTTGAATTGGGAGCGAAGTTGTTGGTAAACGAACCGAGCACGAGCAAACTTCGAGAGATCTGCACCGGCAGTTTCACTTGCGTAGTCAAACTCATTTTTGGATGATCTCAAAAAAGACTCCCGGAAAGTTTGAAGGTTACTGCGAAGTGTCAGAGGGAGGTTTTGTATTAGAAAATCCAAAGGTGCATACCTGATTGTAGTTGACACTGGAAAGGCAGATAGGTACTAGAAAGCATTTTGTCAGTGATCGGTTGTGAGTCTTTGTATAATGATATTCTTACCATCATCAACCCTGCGATGATTCATGTTAGTGATTGTTCTGGGTAAAGGCTGAACCAAAAGACGAGCCGAGTAAAACATACCGTAAAGAATAATGAGCCCCTGTGGTAGTCTGTCAAATACCACGATTGAGAATCCACCACCGCGAACAGCTAAAAGGATGAGATTAACTCTTCGCCCAGCGCAGCGACAGAGATGTTGACTCACACAAAGCTTGGAAAAGTCCGTCTAGTATGCGATAACCGACAGGCAGCGAGCCGATTTCCTCGTTGTGGATAGCGGAAAGTTCGAAACCAGCCCACATTATACAATTGAGAGTGATGACGGTTCCCAAAAGGAACCAAGTATGCCAGGAGGGGTATAAATAATCGCAAACCTTCAAGTTGGGTTAGCAAAAACCTCACACCGAAGAGATTAGGAGCATCTTACATGTTGAGATTGGGTGAGAGCAAGGTCAAATGCGTGTCGCCATGTATCCCAGCTGGGGTGTCTGGGTAACGCCTTTCTGGTGGTCCAGATGAAAAGCCGAAGCAAGCATGGGAAAAGCGTGTTGCCAGCAAGAACCAAAAATCCAGCGGTAAGAAGAGGGAAAGATCTGTGAGTCAGATGTCAGTGACAAAATTCATATGGCTGCAATCAGAGATCAACCCACTCGCGTTGAAAGGGACCCATGTTGGTTGTGATGAGCGACATTCCATTATTGCATAGTGCAGAAGTCCCCAGAAAAGCACCTCCCCAGAAAGCAGAAACCTCATCTGCATGAGCAATATCCGGACGAAACGTATGTGACCAAACTCCGAGTCCGACGACGCCCAGTGTGATGAAGCTGACAAAGTATATGAGTACAACAGCTGAAACCAACATGACGGAAAGGCACTCTATTCCACCAGGTTGATTGTAGTTGATGGGTCTGTGAGGGCTCAGGTGTTCTTGCATCGCTTTGAATCCGGCGATCAGTCGACGCATGCGCTGTTTCACGCTCGGGATAGGAGTGTTTTTGGTGATAGTGGTCGGCCTGGCTCCTTCGGTATCGTCGACATGTGTCTGATCCACAACTGTGATGAAGCCATAGTCTTCTTGGGCAACATCGGACTCAGTGGGAGATAGCAAGCTTTGTGGCAGCTCCTTCACTGCTGTAGTGGCCTTTTCCTTCTCTGCATCGACAACATGGCGCTCAATTTGATTGTCATGGTCATTTGCTAGTGCACAGCGGAGCGACAACCCTTTTATCAAGGAAAGTACGCCGCAAATAGGAATAGCGTGACCAACGACTATGAGTGCAAAGAGAATACCTTGTTGGAACGATGTTTGGCTTGAAACATCGACCTATGAAGCGTCTTAGCCACCTTCGTCAACAGAAATGTATCATTGTGCTCCACCTACAACATCAATTCCAGTGCCTGTGATAGCACTAAAACACATGAATAAGGCGTCGACATAATGAAGATCGCCGTTGTGGGTCGCAGTGTAGTATATGACACTGACGATCATAGGCGTTAGGATGAAATAGGCATAGAATAGAGTGAGGGAGTTAAGCTTAAAGAGATCTGCCATGATCGGCATCCTCTGCTTGAAGTCGTCGTAAGCCGTGAAGATCAAATTCAGGGTAGGGCCATTCAATTTCATATAAGGCTGTCGAGCCGTTAGATATCGCAGCAATAATTACCCCTTCCAATTCAATAGTGTCTGGCCATGCATCGATTCCCACACATCCCCCCTTGTGCAAGGAATGTTGCTGGACCCTTCCTCCAACCAACTTCTTTACTAATAGATGACATCCCGTGGGCGTCAATCACCTTATCACTTGCTCAAATGAAGTGCTATCGCATTACTATGCTGGCTAAATGAGAGCCAAGACGTAGTACATTCTCAGGAACGGCACGCTGAATTCTTCGGATGCAAGGCCTGGGCATTTGGACTCAGAATAATTAGAAAAATCTCCGCTTTCCAGGTTCTGGGCCTGTTGACGTCGAAAGCAGAGGAAATGAAAAAAATGCCCCTGTGGGCCGGAGTGTAACTCCCATAGGTATTTTTAGTGGCCAAGAAATTTCCGATCACAAAGATTGTCGAAGGGTGGAGGTACGGAGAACTCCGTATACTACATAGAACTGACAAGTTATTGTTCTTGAAATCACTATGCCGTGGTTAGGCATTCGAGGGTTTTTGAACGACATCGGGCATCAATGCAATGGTCTACCCTAATAATAGATTGTGTATGTGATATCTCTCACCCTTTCTCATTGATGTCGCCTTCAGTGAGGAGTGCCTTTATCTGAAGTTGCGATTATTGCGAAGACCCTTTCCTTCCCTGTATGTTCTGTCTCACCCTTCTCTCCTTTTCTCCGAATCTCTCTTTCTCATCGTTCTCCTCCGGGCTACCCTCTCTTGGGACAACCTCAGAGCGTGAAGAGATACGGAATGCTTTGCTTCGTTTATTTCGCCTCCTACATAGAAGCCGCTATTCTTATCGCACGAGGAGTACGGAGTATTGAACTGCAAGGCAAGGGAGCTGCTGAGATCATACTGGAAGATAGACCTATCCCAGAGTGGCTGGGTGAGGTTTCCGCTATTGATCTATGAAGCACAGTGTGATAAGCTCAAGACGCAGCAATCAACAACACAAATGATGTCGACAACAAAACATCTACGATCAAGCTAATGACCCAAGAGACCATCATCTAAAATGCCACAAAAAACGTGTGATCAATCAATCAATCTCCTTTGAAAGCGTTGATCCTAAGGGTCTAGGCCCTGGGTATATATGTCATTCTTTCTATCTTTCTATCTCTTCCTCTATCTGCTGTCCAGGTCTCTGGTGCGTTATGTCGGCCAAATTGCATGGTATGTGACCTCGCTTGGTTTTGTGGCCATTGATTTCCACCAGTCTTTTCCGGGATCTGCCATGCTTTCTCGAAGGTTTATCAAGAAATCCTATCTGTCGCAGGCCGATCGATGCCTTGGAAAGCAAGCTTGATCGCTGCTGCACTTCTTCTCCACTGCTTTGCTTGATCGAAGGGCCACATGCCGGGAAAGGCCGGCCATATCTGTGTACCCCTGTGCATATGAAGTAGACTCCTGAACAGCCTGACTGGCCTTCCAACCCACAAATGGCCGAATCAAAAAGGCCCATCTGATTGATGTCTTTCTTGTCTTCATGTCGAGAGCAATGCCAGTAAATCAGTATTACCTGGTATTACCTGGTACTGTCATTTATCGGGGACTTCCCCGCCCCGTATCAGAAAAGTGGGGTAACGAGGGTGAAATCTCGGATTTGACGCCGGTTTTGACTCAAAACCTCGAATCAGCTGACCGGTCTTGGCTCTGGTTATAATCCTTGTCAGTTTGCTGATCTATGATAGTAGATGACATTGCAATGCCAGTCAAGATGAAGACTAATGGAGTGAGCAAAGATGTGGAAACAAAGTGAGTTCATCATCGGGTCATTTTGCTTGCTCAGCGCTAAGTATACATAGAAAACTGCGTAATAGGGTCTCACAGCAAGCATTCCGACGCCGACAGTCAGAATATATCAAACAGCTGGAGCGGAAGGCCAAAGATCACAAACCGGACAATGAGCGCATCATTGAGCTAGAAAGGGAGAACCAATCCCTCCGTGAGAGTCTGATCCACTGCCACACTAAGCTGGAGAGTTTGCGCACAACGATATGCTCCCTCGGCGATGGTATCACCCGAGCTCTAGATGATTCGGTGAGCCATCTTCTTATGAGCCCATGTCACCCGCATATTTGGGTATCGCTAACGATGAGTCAGGGTCAAACCAGCAAGTCAACAATAAACAACGAGGTTGCCGAGATTGCCGCACCAATAGAGGTCCCTTCTCCAGATCCTCCATTACCAAACCCTGATCCGATCTGCGATAATGAAGTTTCAGATATCGGATTCGAGTCGCCATTTGATCTAGGCCTGTTCAAACGCTCAGGCCAGAACGTGAAGATTGATAATTTCGAGACGCCAAAAACACCAGATTTCACTTATTCTGAATTGATACATCAGCCTGAACCAAGAATTTTATCGCCATTGCCGAATATTTGGACACATCAATACCAGATGGGTCCTACGCCCTATGTCGACGCGCTCGGTGCGAATGAAGCAATAGCCGAGCACTTGAAAATAGACTGGACGCCATCAAATTCTCCATTTTCAGAGCATGTCAGTGCATTGAAAAATATTCTCCGAGAAAAATGGGACGGAATGGGTCGAAGCCCCGAGTCCTACCCCGATCTGTAAGCGCCAAGGATGTTTCAAGGAGCGAAGAAGGGTCGGTTTCTAAAACATTTAGTTTCTATCAATCCGTTTCAACTGTTTTGTCCATGTTCAACAGCATCTCAAGACCGGATGCCATGACCTGGTATGCAAGGACTCGGTTCTATCACATTGTTGATTTGACAGTCTCGCTGTTGAATCCGACGGAGCAAGCAGCAAAGAAGGTTCATCCGCTATATCGACTGACGCACGTTCAATCGACCAACAAATACCCTTCAATCGTCGATTGGATTCCTTTCCCTTCCATTCGTGACAAGCTGATCCTCCTCCATTCCGGCAACCCTAATGTCGATGACATCTTCTGCGATGCCGTGAGCGGATATGTGGTGCAAACAAACATGTCAGAGCTTGTCGAAGGTGCTTCTGTACTTCCTGTACACGTTCGTGTTCTCGATCTTATAAAAGCAATGGATGAGAAATCCAAGGCAAGTGATGTCGGAAAATTACCTGCATCCAATGCTCGTGCCATTTTCGACTCGCCCGCAACTGCGCGCTTAGTTTTCCAAAAGCTGCGCATGGATCACGGCGTTTCGCAGTACATGATGGACCCTGCATTTTTCCAAAAGTACCCCGAGCTGTATGATCCTGCGGCTAACATCATGGCGCACGGGGTGGCTCTTCGACCTCAAAAGCAAGCAGTCTTGTCAAGACCGAAGTCTTTGGATTCGGTCACATTAAAGGCGTACAGGGACTTCACGGACTTTTCGTCCGATCTCATTTGGAAGTCGTACCAGGACACATTGTTGAACGGTTGGGTTCCAGATATGTCGGGGATGGGGGCTTTGGATGATTGTCAAGTTGTGTTATAATATTCCATAAAATAGCCATTGTTCCAAATTAGATTAATAATAGAAATAAAGCAAAAATTAACTAACAAAAGTCCGACTTTGTAGGTTAGTTGTGACTAAATTGACGATCGAGATGCATTATGTCACTAAAACATTACCAACCTCAAAACGTCGGGAGCTTCCCCTCAGGTCAAATGACCATGCAGCCACAAAGCTCCCAACCGGGTGTAACCGAGTATTAGAAGCTCTTTTCTCCCCTCTTTTGTCTACATTCTTTACACACTTAGTAAAGCTACAAAATGGGCTTCTTCTCCCTATCCGCATTCGCCAATGTGCCTCCACCGCCAGTAAATGAGCAGGTCGAGCTAACAAAAATCCACGATGCCGACCCATACGAGCAGAAAGTGAACCTCACTACCGAAGAATACAAAGACAGGAATGGAGACCTGTGGGTGCTTCCGGTAGTACGACAAGTATGAAATGTCATGCACCTCCGATGAAAGCTTACTGACCCCAAGTGTATAGACTGAACTAGAGTTGATCATGGACACTTCTCTTACACATGGAAAATCAACAATGTGGGGTAATGGCGAGTTTATAAAAGCTGCCCAGGATATGCTCTTTGGAACGCCCTCAGCAGAACTGAGAAGCAAGGTCGCTTCTATTCAAACAGTTTCCGGGACCGGAGCTTGTCACATCGGCGCAAAGCTTCTATGCGACAGTTTGAAACCCAACACGATCTGGACGTCGGATCTTTCTCATACTAACCATGACGCTGTTTGGGATTTCATTGGAGGCGTTGAGAAACGCACATACCCCCTACAGCCTCCCCGATCGATCGGGCGTTGACTTCGATGGAATGATAAATGCTCTGAAGACACGAGCTCGCAGAAATGATGTAATATGTTTACATTCGTGTGCGCATAGCTCAAGCGGACTGGATCTCACGCTGGAGCAGTGGGTCGAATTGGGTAAAGTTTGTCAGAAGATCGGCATTTTCCCATTCTTCGATTCCGCTTATCAAGGCTTTGCGTCCGGAGATCCTGATGCAGATGTTTGGGCTATTCGGTGCTTTGTGGAACTCGGGCTGGAGGTCTGTGTTGCGCAGTCATTTTCCAGGAGCTTTGGGCTATCTGGCGAGCGGGTGGGATGCTTACATGTTGTTCTCAATTCTTCGGCGCAACGACAGTCAGTCTTTGGCAGGCTATATCATTACCAGCGTGGCCTTACCTCGACGCCACCGACATATGGAGCGAATATTGTGTCCACGATCTTGACATCGGAGAGTCTTTACAGAGCTTGGCGGATCGATCTCAAGAGCATGACTGATCGCATCCAGAAGCTGAGATTGGGGTTATACAACGAGCTGATTAAACGGAGGGTGCCTGGAAGTTGGGAGTATCTTCTCATCCAGGTAAGATTCTAACATGCCTCCCAACTAGCTCCCTGCTCATGAGAATCCTTGTAACAGAGAGGTATGTTTGCACACACAAAGCTGTCAAAGCAGCAGGTCGAGCTGCTGCGCACCGAATATCACATCTACATAATGAGCACAGGTCGAATATCGCTTCCTGCATGTAGGTTGTCACCAAAACTCTGGAAATTGTATTTGCTAAACATTTGCAGTGAACGCTCAAAACATCGAATGGGTGGCTGGTGCTATAAACGAAGTGGTCACAAGATTTTCACTGGAGGAGAAAGCGAATCTGTGATGGCTATCTCTGCAAGTATAGCATTTTTGTGCGCTATAATTCAGGCGCTGGCGTTTTCATTCTTAGCGTCGGGGCGGAGGGGCTGTGCTAAATCTCGTATCCGCCATTTGAACAGCAATAAGCGCAGCCTGAGTATGTTAGCTTCATCTTCATCTTTGTCTGTGTTTTCACTATTGACAGAGCGCTTACCAGTGACATGTCAAAACCCTCAGCGACAGTGATCTCAAGTATTTGCCTCGGCATCAAGGAAACATCACCCTTTGCCCTCCCCTTTGGTAAACTCCTGTTCATAGTAATGCTTTCGCGTATATCAAGTACTTTCTGACCCTTCACGGTGGCCGAGCAGCCGGTCCACGCGGCAGTGTCCATATCACGAACTTCGACTTCCACCATATTGTAAGACTTTTCTTCAACCTCCGGGGCCATCGCGTTGCGAAATGAGAGCTTGGACACTCGATTCGGGCCCAGTCGGAAGTCAACCAGCTCAGTCTCCTCGTTACCCGGTAATCGCACGCGCAACGGTCTCTTCCATGCTAACGCTGTCGCGCGGGATTGAAACATCGGCAGACCTGATGCATCGCGGAATTCGCGCGCTGGAGTGTCGCCATATTTGTGTCCAGTGATTGTGAACATATTGGAGTCGTCCCAGTATCTTTTTATGGTGTATTCATTGGGCGAGCGGTGATCATACTGGGGTTTGAGATAGAGGAGGGTTTCCTCGTCGGCAATATGCTCTGGTCGGATTCCGACAGGCTGCGGTAACCTTTTGACGCCCTTGATCACCGAGGCAGGCGCTGCGCTAAAGGTAGCATAGACGGACATGGTGGGTTGAAGATGAAACGAGGTCGGGTGTCATTTGACCAGTGATCGACGTGGGGGGGCCGCGTCGATTCCCAAGGTTCTGGCCCTGCGCAAATGGGACCCAATGGCCGACTTTCTATATTGCCGTCGTTTGTTCACTTTGAAAGTTTTAAGTCGAATCTACAAACATGGAATCCTAAGAAGACCTCGGGAGTTGTCCGCTTCCGAGGCTGTTTTGGTGCAAGATAGTGTATTTTACATGTCATACCAACATCTTTCAATACCAAATACCGAATATCATCGTGACTCTGGCATTTGGATATAGAACAACAGATTTCTCTTACAGCCACTTTTCAAGGTTTCTGCATTTCTACGAGCAATATTCTTGGACTCCCAGTTCTTTATTTAGCAGGTGTTTTGCGGTCTGAGGAACCTGGGCATTCGCTAGTCAGAAAAGGTGCATGCTTGGGGTACATTCCCCTCATTCCACGATAAGCCAGGACTCTACCTGTCCAACTTTAAAATTGCATCAGCACTTAGATACATTACCTTCTTTCTTCATCAACTGAATCAAACCTTGGGAATTATCTAAATATGGACACTCACATGCTATGGCTGGCGGGTAAAGAGCAGGAGGGCCACGGCGACCCGTACGAATATGTATCTGGCGCGCCGAGATCAAGACCATACTGACATCTCAATAGCATCTCCATCGAAGATCCAGCAACCGGAGAAACCTTCGCCATGTGAGTCTTCTTATGTAGAAAATCGATGGGATTGCCCTAACATGCGTCAGATGTCACACAGCGTCCCAATCAGATGTAGAGATCGCCATCACATCAGCTCACCAAGCATTCGAATCTGGCGTATGGTCGCGCGCCAGCCGTCACCATCGTGCAGATGTTCTCGAGAAGTGCGCAGTGCTTTTGACAGACGCTTTGCCTGATCTCATTCCTCTAGAGTCAAGACAGACTGGTCGAGTCATTCGAGAAATGAATGCGCAGGTCCCTTCGCTCACGAGGTGGTTGAAGTACTATGCCTCGCTGCTTCGAGTTGAAGAACGTTCTGTTCTACCGACCGTGGGGAAGTTGCATAACTTCATCGATCGTGTGCCACTGGGAGTTGTCGTTCAGATCACACCTTTCAATCACCCATTGCTGATCGCCGTTAAGAAGCTGGCGCCTGCGCTTGCTGCAGGTAACAGCGTCATTATCAAGCCCAGTGAGCTGACTCCCTTGACGACACTTTTACTCGCCAAGATTCTCCAGAAGGCCGGTATTCCAGATGGCGTGCTCAGTGTCCTGCCTGGACTCGGCGCTGTCACTGGAAAAGCACTTGTTGAGCACCCTTTGGTTAGGAAAGTGGATGTGACAGGTGGAACTGAAGCTGGGAGGGCGATTGGCAAGATCGTGGGCAGCAACCTGGCAAAATATACTGCGGAGTTGGGAGGAAAGGCGCCTGTAATTGTGTTTGAGAAGGCCGATATCGATATGGCGGTCAATGGAATTGCTTTTGGTAGCTTTATTGCGAGTGGGCAAACATGCGTGGCCAGCACTCGGATCATTGTGCAGAGCACTATCATTAATGCCTTGCTGCATAAGCTCAAAGCCAAGGTTGAGAGTATCACGCAACGCATGGGAGACCCGAGCAACAAGGACTCCACGATGGGTCCCTTGATATCGGAGAGACAGCTTCGACGAGTGGAGCGTCTAGTCGAGCAGGCCCAAGAGCATCGATACGCGGTCCCTCTTGTTGGCGGAAAACGAATGACGAATCGAAGTAACCTTGACGGATTCGACTTTTCCAAGGGATATTTCTTTGAGCCCACTGTGCTGGTGTCCACCGAGAGCCAAAGTGTGACCAAGACTTCCCTCTGGAAGGAGGAAGCATTTGGCCCTGTGATTGTTATGGCCACATTTGAGGATGAAGAGGAGGCGATTTCCTTGGCAAACGACACCGAGTTTGGCTTGGGCGCCGGTATCTGGACTCAAGATGTCTCTCAGGCTTTCCGAGTATCAGAGCGAATTAGAGCTGGAATCACTTGGGTCAACACCCACCACCGAAACGATCCCAGCAGCCCATGGGGCGGTGCAACAAATGCCAGCGGAGTTGGTAGTGAGAATGGGGTTGAAGCTTATCATGCGTACACCACCACGAAGAGCACAATCATCAACTATGCTTCTCCAGAGGAGTCCTTGGCAGCAGATGACTGGTTTGGAACCATGGAGAAGGTGAGATATGGCTGATGGATTGAATTATGCTCGACACGCGAAAGTCGATCCAATCTTTGCTTGCTCGATCAATAATTAACGGTGAGCCCTGCTTGTGGCATGAAATCCAAATATACATTGTACCGTGGCATACAAAAAAAGACGTATGGGAGCCCTGGAGTGAAGCCAACGTCGATCAAGTGTCCACAGCAGTGCATAGTTGAATTCATTAAAGCCAAATAAAGCCGAGAAACTCAAAATCCCAAGCCCTGGAGTGCAAGGGTTCTAGTGAGTGCAGTAAACAGGTAAAATAGGTACGCTTGTCCCACTGCTGCCATAGCCGTCGATCGATTGTCGATCCACAAACCGGGAACGCCTGGAGAATGCATGATGTCATCGCTCTCTTACATATACTCTTTGGATCCCCTGACCAACATCGAAAATCTTCAAGATTAATTTCAATTTACACTCGATCAAAATGTCTCCTTGGGGAAATAAGTCTACCCCAGAGGCATATGAAGCCCCAACTCATGAGGACCATACCTCTGAGACAATCGAACCAACCGAACACAGCAGATTGCTCCCCGATAACGAGGGGTACCTGAGCCCAGATGATCCAGCAGTAAGTCAACTCAAATACAGAGATTGATGGGAGAATCCAAGATCTGACAATGAATTCCAGGTATCCCCGTATAACCTATGGACCGTACGCGCACTCCGCGGCGTCTCGATCATCGCCCTAGCGCTCAGCTTCATATGGTGGACTTTCCTACTTGTATCCATCTTCGTCAGCCCGCCAATGATCCACCCACGCGGATCAGGATTCTTCGCTTTCTCATACACAACTCTCGCGACGGCGTATTTGGTGGTTGGGCTGCTATTCTTCGCAGTGCCTTCGAAGCCGATGACGATCTGGGGGATAATCCTTGCCGCCCTCCTTCTCGTCGACATGATAATTATTCTCGCGGTCCCTCGGATCCGACTCGAGGAGGGTTGGGTCGGAATAGCCTCTGTTGTTTGGGTGACGCTGATCTCCACATATCAGGTTGCGCAGAATCGGGCCGTTGCATGGGGTAAACGGGAGGAGGAGGAGCGTTTGACTGGCCGAGAGGAGACGAGAAGGTCGCTGATTGAGTGGGTGGCTGTATTCGCAGAGACCATCCTGCTCGCCGCCATGGCGATCGCGACTGTGTTGTTCACTGCCACACTTATCCTGCGTGCTTTTGATGTTGGGCTGGAGGCCCCTGGTACGAGGTACCTGGTCCATGGCGACTCTTACCAGGTCCACCTTGCGTGTTTCGGGAACAAATCATCCAGCAACGATGATTCTCCGACGATTCTTCTCGAAGGTGGCAATGGGCCTGTTGAACACACCTTGCAGCCTTTCATTGATGATGTCTACAGCAGGGGATCGATCGGCCGATACTGCTACTGGGATCGTCCAGGTTTCGGGTGGTCTGATAATGCCCCCTCGCCTCACTCAGCAGGTATGTCGGCAGATGTGCTAGCCGAGGCGTTGGCCTTAGCAGGCGAGACTGGGCCCTGGATCGTTGTCTCGGCTGGAGTTGGGAGTCTCTATTCCAGGCTCTTTGCGAGTCGCAACCTCCTCGAAGTACGAGGCATCTTCATGATCGACCCGCTTCATGAGGAGTATTTAGCAGACGTTGGACGACCGGGTCGCGGCTTCCTGCTCTGGCTCCGTGGCGTTGTTTCCCCGTTGGGTCTGGATCGACTTGCCGGTGCTATTCTACGAGGCCGCTCCCGTGAAGACCGCGTGATGGGCCGTTCAGCTTACCAGTCTGGCAAGTATATCAAGGCCAAGCTGCAGGAGAGTCTTGTTGCTGTGACGATGACCGCTGCGGAAATCCAGTCTGCCCGTCATGTCCAAATGGGTCACGCTCCAGTAGTTGTCGTCAGCTCGGGCCAGGAAGTTCGAAAGAGCTCTCTTTGGGAAGAGCGTCAGGAGGACCTGTCGCACATCACCGATAATCTTCTTTCTTGGGATGTGGCCAAAGATGCACCGCATGAGGTTTGGAAGACAGGTCAGGGCAGAGAACTTTTGGAACGACGATTGAAAGAGTTGGTTGAGGCAACTCAGGCATGATTTTCAGTCCTTTCCGATGTCTTATTCTGGGATTTGAATATGGGAGTTATCGATCTTTTTAGTGTTGACGGAAAGTGCAACGGCTGCCCAAAGCAATGATGGATCACGCGTTACGATTTTGATGGCGTTTTGTAATATGAGACTCGACGTATATAATTTTAACACTCATACCTTATCAACCAAACCATCCGTAGGCATCTATGGATACTATAAAATCCCTTTTCGTGGTTATCGCCGTAATATCCCCATAGCAAGTGTCTTCTGGTTGACCTCGTAGTACCTGGATCGAACCCCTTCCAAGGTTTGAGATCGCCCCAAAGACCAGCCTAAGGCGGAGGGTTAAGTCAACATCGGGGTTGAATTCAGCTCCCACGATACTGCCCAGATGAAGAGCGACCGCGGGAGTCAAATGGGCTATAGTTAGGTGACCGTGAAAGTTGGGATTGACCTATGAGTCCTCAAAAGGGGATATCAGGGTTATACCGAGTACACGCTTGTGGAATCGAGCGAATTTTATTTGATTAAGTTCTGGAGGAACATTTATGGATGCGCCCTGGCATGAGAGGCATCGGGATAAATCATGTTCGATGAAATCAGCTGGTCTAGGTGCTGTCTTATTTCAATGTATCTGTTATCTCTAAGTCTCTCCCAATCCGACGAAGTCCACCTCAGCCTCGGGGCCGATAAGTCTGAGCAAGCCATGCGACCAAACCATTCAAGATCCACCCAATAACCCATGCCCAGTAGGGGGATGCGACGGGGAAAGAAAGCGGAATCGGATTTTGGGACGAAAAACGGCGAGAGTACGAAAAACGTCACTCTAAACTAGCTCCCTTAAACCTCTTAGCAAGCTGCTCACTCTCGGGGCTGGCAGAAATGGAGCGGGGTAAATTGGAGGGTTGGGGGTTGCGACGCTTGCGGATTTGGGAATCCTGGGAAGACGTCCGAGAAGGCTCGGCCGGGGTGGGCCAGGGGCGCTTAGGGGGGCGCTCACCACTCTCCTGAAGAATTGTCATCAATGTGGCCCATCCTGGGGTATTCACAAGCTGAATTCCCTCCGCCGGGGATCTCGTTCGTGCGACGCGGCAGAGCAACGATTCCTCGTCCTGTGATGATAGAGTCAGCTTCATGTATATTGTTCTGATTGCTTGTTGGGAAACTAACCTTGTTGAATGTGCTGAGACCATGCAAGAAGCACAGGATGTGGAAGTCGGAAACGCCTTGGATAGCCTTGTCGGTGTCACCGTGGGACATAAGCTTCTGGGCAACGTGTCGGAGTTCTTGGCTTTCGCCAATAACTTCTCTGTTCTCAATAGGGAAGCGGCTGTTGGTGAATATGGGGTTCGATTCTGTTGGGAATCCGTGGGTGAGGGTCACTAGCAAGAAGTCGACTGGGAAACTCGGCTCAGCGTTCTCCTGAACGCTGGCACCGTATTCATTAATTCTTCGATAGAAAACTTCGGGGATGTATCTGGTCCTGCTTCCGATATCTTCGTCATGCTCGGATTGGACCAGCATCACAGCTGGGTCAGCAGAGGGTTCAATGATGTCTCCTCGGACCATCTCGACAGCAGAGACAGATGCTTGGTACGAGCTGATGGCAATAGCTCCTGTCTCATCACCGGTGAGAACACAAGTTACGAAATCGGAACCGAACTGTCCCGAACGGCTCCATTTGGTAGCCTTGGGGTTTTGCGCTTGTAGTCTGGCGGAAAAGGCGATCTCAAGGGATGACAAAAAGTATGAGTCGATGTGCCGCTTGCATACCACGGAGCCGTCGCCACGACCGGCGTCAAGCAGGTCAGTATAGATGACACCGACCTTTTGCAAGCCACACAAGCTGGCCACCTCATCGACCTCCTTCTCGTTGTGCCAATCATGGAGTGTGATGCCGTCAACTTCTCCCACTTGCGGGGGCTCATAGATTGCCTGGACAACGGCCTTCACGCCGAGGGGGACCTCGGTGTATTCCTCGTACGTTCCGTACAAGAAGCCAAGTCGTTGAGAACCAGACTTGCGCCAGAAATCAAGGAGGGAGTTGATCAATTCAGGTGAGGCGAACTCGACATGGTCAACCATGCGGAACTCTTGGGGCTGGAGACTGATTGCGCTCGGTTGGCACTTTGTGCAAATCCCCTCTGGCCATGGGGAATGCCCTGAAGGGCAGTCGGGTCGCACTCGGTAGTATGGTTCGTTGAGAGGTGGCATAAAGGAAGTTCCAAGCTCGGGCTTGTTGGTCGCGGCGTTGATCTTTCGTAAGTACGAATGGAAAGAAAGATGCTTAATCTTCTTCTCTGCCATATTATTCTTGTCGTATGGCTCAAGTGGCATGCAGTAGTCACACATTCCCCGTGGACCATGTCTGCACATCTTGTAGTCCATCCCACGCTTGATTTTCCCATCTTTCTTGTCCAGCAAGTTGTCCAGCGGAGATTGTCGCACCAAGTCCCACGGGTTCTTGAGGGAGGCAGAAGGGTTTGGCTGTGGGCGGATCGGGACCGTTTGTTGCGCCGGAATAGGTGCGCCATTGAGCCGGTGCTCTAGGGTGGTGGTTGTGGTACCATTCGAAGATCCATTCTGTTGTGTCTTTTCGTCGTACCCAACAAAGAGTTTATCGCCATGCCTAGACACCAGGGCGCGTAAGTGATGTCCCCAACCTGTACATAGAGGCCATCGATAGACTTACTTCAAGCCAGCCTGTTGCAGAGAGACACCTTGGAGGTCTGACAATTGTCTCTCCTCCCCACCTGTGCCGATCGGTTTATTTGAAAGAGCGATCGATGAAGCTTCAGTGTTTGCTGGAAGATGTTCGAGGATCTGGCATCAAAGTTCGGATTAGCTGTAGGCATTCACTAAAAGTAAATCAGCGCTCAAAACTGATAAATCCAATACCTTTTGGTTAAGCGTAGGGAAAAGTTCCTGCGGGCTGACCGTGAGTCGAAACTGACCGTTCCGACTCTCAAATCGCAGTAGGATGGAGGCCGTCATGGCGCCTACGAAAATGCAGGTGAGAGTAGATGAAGGAGTGAGAAAGTTGATAGGGTTACAATCTGAGCGTTTATAGATCCATGGAGACAGAAGGGCATTGAGGTTGGAGATAAAGCCGAGCTCAACTCGAAGCTTCCCTGGTCACGTCACAGGCGGCGGGCGGTATGGTAATGCACGAACGGCCCCCCGCCGTGAGTAATTTTGATCGCTTTGGCATTCTCGGTAAAACAAATACTGTAATCTTGAAGTGAAGTCTGAGTACGCAGTATAGCTAGAGAGTATGAAACAGATTATACAGTAGTTATCTTTAGCTGTCAAATGGCTGACTAGACATAAAGTTCCAAGGGAGATTACTAGACAACTAATTACACGGGAATGCTATGTGGAAAGTACACAAGTACTTCAAAGAGCACTATGTCGGTGGATATGATACCTGGATAGAGCCTTCCAAACGAGGCTACATTGTCAAGTATTTGTAGTCAAGAGAATGCCACATTGAAACATTATTCAATTATGTTATGTTGGACCAAGGTCATATATGTCATAATCATCGAACGCCGAGAGAACGCCCCAGGGTGGATATCAAGAAAGAAAATTACCAGAAGAAGAGGGGAGTCATTTACTGAATCACACACTTCTTAGGCAAGCCGCAAGGGCCTTCACTGTCCTTTTCCTTCTTGGGGGTGTCCTGAGATTCCTGCTGCTTAGGCGTCTTCTCGACAGGCTCAGCAGCAGGAGTCGATGGCTCCGGCTTCGAGTCGGAACTGCCATGCAGTCACTGGCCCTTGGAGACGGTCTCGTAGAAAGCCTTGCCCTGGGCAGTGGCAATCTCGAGCTCCAGAGGGCTAGGCTTGCGGGAACCGTCGGCACCCTGTGTAGCGCATTAGAAATGAATCTCAGGAAGAATGTTCGTATCAACTTACAGCGAAGGTACCGGCACCCCAGGCGGATCCACCGTGAACCTCGTCAAGGTTGGAGAGCTGGGCGAAGGTGGTCTTGTAACCTAATTAGTGAAGATGGGTTAGCCTGAATCCACCTCATGGGCCTGTTGAGGAGTGAATAGACTTACCCAATGGAACGTAGATCATGCCGTGGTGAGTGAGGGTGCTCATGGTAGCGAGAGCAGTGGACTCCTGGCCACCACCCTGGGTACCGGTGGAGACGAAGAGACCAGCGTGCTTGCCCCAGTAGCCACCGGAGGCCCAGATGCCACCGGTCTTGTCCCAGAAGGTCTTCCACTGAGCAGGGAAGTTACCGAAGCGGGTGGGGATACCGAACAGAACGGCATCGTAGGTAAGAAGATCGGCGGGCTCAGCAATGGGGTAGCTGGCCTTGGCGGGAGCGTACATCTTGCCAAGAACCTCCTCGCTCAGGGTCTCGGCAATCCTAGGGTGCCATTGTTAGTAATTGGAAAGCAGTTCAGACGAGCGGTGCAACATACTGGTAGATGGTGGCTTCACCACCGGCAGCCTCAATACCCTTCTTCTCGGCCTCGGCCAGGGCCTGGATGTGACCCCAGGTGGAGTACTGTGTGAGGGATTAGCAGCGAACCGTAATATATGGCGATTGTGAACAACGTACGTAGACGATAGCAACCTTGGGAGCCATTGTAAATATATTGATGGAGTATGAAAGAGGAGAGAATAGGAACCGTTGTTGGAATTTAAGTAGGGCGGGGGCAGTCTAGATATACTCCTCCAAGCTCTCTCTCCCCGCCGGGAATTGGTCTTTGGTCTTGGGTACATGTCTCACCATAATAGCCAGTATGGGAACGTAAGTACCGTCCGCGATTAGCAAGCTCCATAGCACCAATCAGTCATCGATGACAGATCAATTGGGTGACATAATTGGTCGATCCGACTCCACCCGGATATACAGCTTGGTTAGGCAATTCTTACTGAGGACTGACAAATGAAAATTTATGCTAGTGGGCTCGAGAATTGGTTCTGCAGGTCAGACTATCGACTTTGTTATGGGGGTTCGGCGTTGCTTAGGCCATTTTTGCGGATATAACACGATGCACGGAGCATTCCGCACATGTAGATTATCTAGCAATTTCTAAGACTTATTTATCATGATGTCATTCACTCAACGTTTACGTCTTTACCGACTCATCGCCCTTGTCGACACCGTTGCTTTCAGACTACAAAATTCGTAGGCGCCCACGATGTATTGGCCAGGGTCTAGCTCGATCGGTAAGCTGACTTCGGCGCGTACAGCTCCGGTGGCTTTCACTCGGCACTAATAGAGATACTCGGAGCTTCTTGGAATACCATTTTCCCAAAACGCCATGGCAAGATATGGGAGGGGTGGAGTACGATTTTGCTAGCGGGCACCCATTCCGAAACGGGGCTGTTGCATCTCGGAAATAATCACCAATATTTTATCTTAATTGTTGTCTGATCGTATTTAATAGGGTATCTTAGGGATGACCCCAGCAAGTGCCATGGAACAAAAACAATAAACGAGCCCTTGCTGAGCTCCCCCACTCCATGCCATGCAAATGTCGCCAAAGAGAGAAGAAAAAAAAGAGTCGGTGTACAAAGAAAGCTAACCCCTTCCACGCCCGCGGAAGCGGCCACGTCCAAATCCACCACCTCGCCCACGTTCGTTGCGCCATTCTCTTTCCCGTTCCTTCTCCCGCTCTTGTTCTTCCCGAATAAGTGTTCGTTCGTGTTCTAGCTCTTCTTCCGTCTTCTCGGCGCGCATTGTAGGTCGAGGCAGGTTTTCCGTCCATCGGGGGTGAGCATTCGCACAAGCTTTTCCATCGGGACAGAACCCAGCCAGGTAAAAGACACACAGGCGTCGACGCACATGTCGCTTCGCGCAGAGGGGCCCCAGCTCACAGTATCCGCGGTCGTAGTGCTCGCATGGTGGTAAACGTGCCTCTTCGCGGACGTGTTGGTATAGGCAGTCGTCGCCGTTGGTGCAGTATCCGGATCGTGAGAATGACTGGCATTCCGGCATCCGGCGAAGGTTGTACTCGTGAAGATATTCGCATTTCAATCCTTTCTTGCACAGTCCTTTCAGGAAATGCTTGCAAACTAGTGACCCATGCGTGGTCGAAGGTGCCATTCCGGATGCTGTGGTCGTTGAGGTGGTGACGCGCGACGGAGTAGGGTGGCGATCTGGACAAGCAGGTCCTAATGGACAATGGCCCTCGCTGTAGGCTTTGCAGACGGGCACATCGCTGGCGAGTCCGAATCCGAAGCTCTTGCGCAAGAAGGGCATGAAAGTGAAATCATTGTAGCTGGAGTCTCGTGTCGGTTCGGCAGAGATAACATGCGCAGCTGCGCTTGCGGTTTCGGTGGCCATCCTTGGTGAAGCTCAAGTGCCAGTGCCGGGATAAAAGGCGTGTCGAGAGTCGTCGCGGTTGCGGCGAGGATTTTGCCGGGGTCGGGTATGTGAGTAGAGTGCGGGAACCCGATGAAAAATTAGGAAGAACCCTGAACCACGGGCTTATGTAGACTGTTTTCTGGACAAAGAATACGAAAGAATCGAGTTACGTTGAAGGTTGGAGCTGTCCAGGATGTTCTCCGGTCCTTCCTTGGAAATCAGGCACACATGTTTGGTTTGTTTGCATTTGTCATCTCCCCCAGTGCACCATGGACGTGTGCACTCGGTGTTAGTTACGCTTTATGGCTTCAAATCTTGATGATTAATCCATTAGCTACTCCCGGACAAATTTAGGCTGGTCCTATTTTACACAAAGGCAAGCTGCTGATCCATGATCTCCCGAACCATCTCCTCGTATGAGCGCCACTGAATTCCAAGCTCGGCCTCAGCCTTGGTCGTATCGGTTGGCCAGACGCTTCCAACAGAGTTCTCATTGACCAACGCGCCGGAATCAGGATAATATTTCTGCACGATGCTCGCAATCTCCGCGCCAGAGGACTTTGGTCCCACCAGAAGATATTTCGAGCCATCCACGATCTTCGGATCGAGTGTTTTGACGTGAGCCTCGGCCACATCGCGAATGTGGACTCCAGTCAGAGAGCTGGGATTGTTTTTCATGATCAATCCCCACAGGTTGGCGTTAGAGCCTGACCAGACACCGTCGGCGGAAGTCTGTACGAGATTGTGTCCGTACACAAAGGCGGGATGGAGCGTGACCAATGCATAATGTGGCTTGGTGGTTGTCCAAAAGTCCCAGGTTGCTTTGTTTGCAAGGTGCTTCGAGGCGACGTACAGTCGCATTTGGGTCCCAGCTGGGTTTTCCGGGTCCTCGAACGATCCATTCACATCGACTGAGAAATCCCAATCATTGTCCTCTGCAGGGCGTTAGTGTTGAATTTTGAATGTGAACCGAACTATCATCCCAAATACCTTTGATCACACCACCTTCTGGAAGTCCAGTCAATGGAATCAACGCAGCGATCGAGGATGTGACTACCACTTTCTGGATGCTCGGCACCTTTGCCGCCGCCTTCAACAACGCGGTGGTCCCCTCCACGGCCGGTTTGAAGTAAGTCTCCTTGTCGGTTCCATGAAGTAGAGGCGATGCAAGGTGGAAAACGTAGTCCACGCCTTGTAGCTTGCCATCAAACGCCGACTCGTCGGTGATGTCTGGGACGATGACGAACTCAATCTGCTTGCTATACGCTGATAGTACACTCTTCAGCTGTTCAGACGGCTTGCGAAGGCAGATTCTCAAGCGATATCCGGCTTTGACAGCCTCCAGTGCAGTGGCACTGCCAATAAACCCAGAGGCTCCGGTGATGAAGATTAATCCTTGCGACATTGTGATAGATTGTTGATCGGTATGAAAGCCCAGATGGAATGGTGCTCCTTTTTATGGTGCATCTGAATTTATAATCCGTTGACCTCGTACCGCAGCCAAAATCCATGTGTGATGGATTGAATTGAGTCGGCTGGTCCAATGACCCGAACACCGATACGAGCTGTGGGTGGGAAATTCGCCATCGCTGATGGGCCTCACTTGGATGACTCGTAGATATCTTAGACAAATCAAGTACAATTCAGATTAGATTGGTCATCTGTGCAAGTGTGTGTTCACATTTGCTGATATGGTGATCAGTGTGGCCACCGAGGTTGATGAAATGATCAAAAATCCGCAGTTCCACAAAACAGGTCGCGGGTGAATGAAGGGTCCATTCTGTGTTGCGACATTCCCCCGAACGCTTTTAGCGATTCAAAGCAACATCTGGGCATTTAATCATGGAATCAATTGAACATTCTCATCGGGCGTTGGAAAAAAAAAAAGATAGCCTGCAGGTAGTCTACCCGAATTGGGTTCTTGAATCCCTAAGGGTCCTTGTGGCCTCGAATCTATCGCGATGAATAGTACTGTGGGTCTATAGCCTTGAACTGCTGGGTTCCTGCACCTCAACGCTATAGTACTGCTTAAACTGATCGAGGCACTCCGGATTCATGACTGTACTGCTGATAGTCTCCGGCAGTTTACCGGACGAGACTACCTGCTTGACCAGCGTCTCAACCTTCTTTCCGTTAACCGTCATGGGAATCTCTCTCACACCGATGACAAATCGAGGAACATGTTTACTGCTCAGTCCCTTTCGAATTGCGTCCTTGAGCTCCACTGCAATCTGGGCAGTGAATTGCCTGCTCACCTGCATGACCACGAAAAGGAACACGACTTCGTTGGTATCATGCGGTCTTCTTCTTCCGATACACAATGTATTTGATATCGTTGAGTTGAATGGCGCAGATTCAGTGATTGAATAGATATCGGAGGAGCCAAACCGAATGCCCTGTGGGTTCAACACGCCGTCGCTGTGGGGCTTCATTAGGATGTTGGTTCTTCTCAGCTCAAATGAGGTCAAATTGGTGATACTGCTCACCTTCTTCCATGAATTTGCCATCCTTTTGTTTGCGGGTTGTAGCTTGCCCAGTCATGCTGGGCCCAGCAGTTCTCAAACTTGTCGAAATACGTGCTCTTGTACTTTGCGCCACTTTGATCACCCCAGAAGAAGACCGGCATAGACGGGAAAGGCTGGCGACAGACAAACTCGCCATGCTTTCCAGTATGTTTGACCGACTCGCCAGTGAGAGGATCAGCAATATCCACATCCTGCCCAAGCATGGGCAGCTGAATCTCCCCTGGGTAGACCGGGCCAGCGGGGTCTGTTCCAACCCAGGATGTCACTAGATCTGTTCCCCCTGTGACGCTTGTAAGGTGGACCCTTGAAGGGAAAGCACGGTAGAACCAGTGATATTGGTCTTCACCGAGATGAGAGCCTCCGGTTTGTACCATCCGCAGGGCTGAAAGATCAAACTCATTCTTCGGAATGCACCCTGTCATCTCAAGTTCCTGCAGATAACGCGGGGAGCATCCCCAATAAGTTACCTTGTGGTATTCAGCAATCTTGGCTAATCCTTTTGCAGTTGGCCATAAGGGAGATCCGTCGTAAAGAATCAGAGTCGGGCCGACAGAGAGGTGACCGATCATGATGTTCCATAAAACCCATGAAGTGCTGCTGTACTGAAATACAACATCATTAGGCGTCAGTGAGTTGTGCAATACCGAAGTTTTCTTGTGCTGTAGAATCACACTGTGACTGTGGACCAGACATTTCGGTTGGCCTGTTGTACCGCTGGTATATAAGATGTAGAGCGGTTGAGAGAAAGGCAGCCTCTTAAATGCCAATTCATCGTCCTTTGAAGCGGACAAGAACTGACTGAGGGTGTAAAATGCGGGCACTGGGACATTGGTAGGGTTACCTGCGATGGGGATCAGGAACACCCGTGGTTTCGAGCGCAAAGCGTTGACGACTTTTTGTATCTTGGTGACGTTGGACCGGAAATGGCCTTTATAAGTCGACTCCTGATCAGCGAACAGGATGCTAGGGGCAACTTGTTGTAGTCTTGATATGCAACCCTTTATGTCCCAATTAGCTTTGCAGAAGTCGTGGGTAGAAAGTCAACAAACCTCTTCTCCTAGATCTGGAGCAATACTTGTCCAAATGGCACCAATACTCGCAGTGGCCAAAAACAAGGCGACTGACCAAACACTCGTGGAAATAATGGCGGAAACTCGGTCGCCCTCTTTGACACCCATTTGCCGAAGTCCACTTCGAGCCTTCCTCACATTCTCTCTTAACAACCCCCATGTCCATACCTCCCCGCCAAGATCTTGACCTTCACGGATTCCAACCAACGCAACTTTGTCTAAATCGCGCCCGGAAAGCACATTCTCGGCATAATTGACTGTGGCCCCGCGGAAGAACTCAGGCACGGTCTCTATTGGGGCTTTGGCATCAAATGCGGATGTTATGGTCGGAGGTAAAGCCGGGATGATCTGTGTGTATGCATGCAAGTCTATCCAGAAATCCTGAAGATTGGATACAGACCATTGGTGCAACTCTTGGGAAGATTTGAGTTGCTCATTGAATTTCTGATTGATATGATCCCGATATATATTGATGGGAATTTGGTGCGGCGGCGTGCATGGCTTCCAGATGGGCTTGGGCTCCAGGACCATGCTCTGAGGGGCTTTTGACATTTTTGTCTCTTGCTTCCAAAGTTGACTCTTGATGTTTTAGGTTGCTGAAACGAGGCCACGCGACGGTGATTGTTATACAAGATATTCATTCACGACCTTCAGGACTACACCATCGGAAACCGGCACACGGCAATTACCCCCGCATAGATCGTCGCCTTCGGCGATTTCGAGCATCGAGTCAAATTTCATTTGAGCATTATTCCGGCCGGTCTCGGTGATATTCGGTGCCAATCGGTGAGGCATCTCGTTGCCAGCCCCTGTTTGCTCGGATGACAACTATGGAAAGACACAACCCCGCATGGCGTTGCAACCTTGGAGACTATAATAGGCACGCGAATCATTGGAACAGCTACTAGCATCTTCAAATTTGGAGGTTTCGATGGTGAGAAATGTCAAACCTCAAGCCCTCTACAGCAGATGAAGGTTTCATCCTCTCGAACCCGGCATTGGAGAATCCGGCCACCTCTGATGAAGCCTTTCAGAGAATCTTAAAATGTGAGCATCTTTCTTTGCAATAACATTTCGCGTTGGAGTCCCGGAAAAAATACTAAAGCCCGTCATTATTCGTAGGGCATCTTCCGCAAGACTTGCTCGCAAAGATATCACCCGAGTTGCAGAAGTTCGGATCGGAGGCGATCTCGGACGAGATCAATAGTTTGATTGGGAACGCCGAGACAGAACAACCCCATGTCAAGACACGCAACGTTTGGGGGGCAAGATATGAGAAGGACCGTCTTATCACTAGTACCGGATGGAAAGAACTGGGCAGATGGGGTATCAGCAACGGGTGAGCAAATGCAAGACCGTTTGATGAAGTGAAGGCTGAACCACAGTCAAGTGTCGTTGGACTCGGATATGAAGAAGGATTTGAATCGTATCGGCGCGTGGTCCAACATGCTTTGTTAGTATTGCGGCTTTGAACGATGGTCATTGGCTTATGAGTGCAGCAATTACATCTTTTCGGCTTCATCCGCTGCATACTCATGCCCGGTTTCCATGACTTCGGGGGCGGCACGACTAGTTCGACATCAGCTTGCGGGACTCCCACAAGACCATCCTTTCCATGAACTCTATGCACGTCTCATTGCTCGAGAGAACAACTGGATATCTGCTCAGTGGATGACAGAGCGCCCGGGTGGTAGCGATGTTAGAAATAGCGAGACTGTGGCAGTCTACTCTCCGCCAGAACACAAGACTGGTCGCTTCGGTAATATTGAACAAGGCGACTATCTGCTCTCCGGTTTCAAATTCTTCTGCAGTGCCACCGACTGCGACATCGTGTTGCTTCTGGCGAAGACTGAGTCAGGCGAGCTATCACTTTTTGTGGCCCCGACTACAATTAAAATCACTGGCGAGAATGGAAAATCAAAGAAGGTATCGAATGGCATTCGTATCCATCGACTGAAGAACAAGATGGGCACAAAGGAGCTTCCAACAGCCGAGACGGAGCTCACAAACGTTCGCGCTCATCTGATCGGACCAAAAGATCGCGGCATTGCAACTATCGCATTGCTATTGAACGTGACTCGCAGTCATAATTTTATAACAGCCCTTTCGTGTCTGCGCCGGGCATTGGACATTGCCAAAGCATTTGCTCGTGCTCGCACGACTATCGATCAACCGTTGTGGACATTCCCCATGCATTTGAATGTACTGTCTCAGTTGGAAGTGAAGCACCGTGGCTGGTTGCACCTAGCATTCTTCACCTCATCACTTCTCAGTTTTGTCGATAATGGGTTTCCAACAGATTTGCCTTCTTGCTACGATGGCCTCCGGGGTTCTCCATCAATAGCAACAACAGTTCTGCGTGCCCTCACATCGACTACAAAGGCGGTTGTCTGCAAGTCTGCCACGTTATCTTTCCAAGAATGCCAGGAAGCGATGGGTGGCGTTGGGTATATGGGTGAGTCGGCACACGATCTGCTTTGGAATACCACATAATAACCCGCGTTGTTTAGATGAGCCTGAGGAGCCCGAGTTCAACGTGAGTCGTCTTTGGCGTGATACAGCTAGCAATAGCGTATGGGAAGGAACAACCAATGTTCTTGCCAGCGAGACGGTCCGACATTTGACGAATGGGAGGAGCCTTACAGTTTTCGGCACTTGGATCACCGATTGTACTCGCCATATCTCACACAATAGCCTCAAAGTTACGCTCGAAGCTACATGGAATGACTTGGCTGTAAAGCTTGCATCTGGCCAAGATGAACGTGGTCTTGTGGGTGTATTGGCGGTCGGTCGCCAGGTCATGTTCACTCTTGCATGGCTGATCAGTGGGGTCCTTCTCTCACTAGATGCCCAGCGAGATCGCGATGGGGTTGCATGTGAAGTAGCACGACGATGGGTACTTGAAGGACAAGGAATACCTGCTGAGTTTGGATTCCCAGAACTAATTTATCGGCATTCTGCCATGTCGCCAGAAAGCATGAGCCAGCATGAGAGGACTGCGTGGGACTGTCGCATCGTTTGGGGGGTGGATCTCCCGCTTGGAGCGTCGACGGGTTACCGGGCTGCTAAGATCTAAGTTGAAATTATTCTTTTCATGCGGTAGTAATGCACTCTCATGATTCTCCTATATTTACGTTCAGCCGAGCCCATGTCACAAATTTAGAAGGCATTGTTAACGAGCCAGTGAATACAACCTGGCCACATATCATTTGATAGAAACACCCGAGATTTATCGTAGCAAACTTAGCAAAAGACACAGCCAGGTACAATGAGATTAGGATTGCACTAGAGCTTGGAGCCCGCTTTCTGCAACGATCTATGACCGGATGCTCGCCCCGCTGGCAAGCCAATTCCCCACGCAATGCGGCAATCCCATTGCAAATGCTCCTCACCATTTGAAGCAATATTTGCTACTTTCGGGTTTGTAACAATATCGTGGAAAGCTTGGTCTCCGACACCACCCTCCGCACTTAGCACCCAGCGACGTGCAATCTCAGCGGTCGTCGAATCATGATCACGCTCGGCATCGAGAGCCAAAAGGGCTCCAGACACAACCCAAGCAAGAGAGAACATGAAACGGCGACCATCAGCAACGGTTGAAGCGGGGTCCTGAGAAGTAAATCGAGCGCGAAGGGTAGACCAAGCCGCTGTCAGCGCTTCGCGAAGGTCCGGGTTATGGATGAGTGCCAACGTTCGCTGCACCCACGCCGAAAAGACATCAAGATTATCGTTCTTGATAAGGAATCGAACAACCTCACTAGCAAGAACATTGGTTGTACCCTCCCAGATGGAGTTGACAGATGTGTTGCGCAGAATGCGCGAGATGTTGAACTCCGGCTCGTCAGCTTCATCCATATAGCCTACTCCGCCCATAGATTCTTGGCATTCCTGGATCCCGAGGGTGGCCATCTTGCTGATGACAGCTTTGGCGGTGGCAGTCAATGTGCGGAAAACCACGTTCGCCTCCTTGCCCGGCTGGGGTAAATGCGTGAGTGTGGTAGATGAAGACGTGTTATCCTCAACAACACCAAACAAGGCGACTGTGAACCAGGCAAGGTTCATTGCACCACGGTGCTTCACTTCCAAGTCTGCCAAAAGTCGAAGATGCATTGGGATCAACCAAAGAGGCTCGCCGACGGTCGTTCTTGCTTTGGCGAAACTCTTGGTGATGCTGATAGCCCGGCGCCATCCGGCGAGTGAGCCAACGAAGGTATGTATCCGGGTGACGTTGAGAAGAGGTGCGATTGTGACAACACCGTGATCCAGCTCGCCGATAAGATGCGCCCGCATATCCTTCAATTCCAACTCGGCAGTAGGCAGTTCCTTTGTGCCAAGTTTGTTTTTCAGACGATGGATTCTGACTCCATTGGACACAACCTTGGAGGCTCCATCGGATCCCACCACTGTACGCCGTAGTGGTGCGAGAAAAGTGCTCAGCTTTCCAGATGGGGTCTTTGCAAGCAGCAGGGCAAGATTGGCATCGGTTGCTGAAGAAAAGAACTTGAATCCATTGATCAGGTAGTCACCATCGCCAAGTGGATCAGAGCCTGATTGAGCTAGTGGTGAGTAAGTAGCCCAGGTTTCCGTGTTTTGCACATCGCTTCCGCCAGCTCTTTCGGTCATCCATTGCCCTGAGGTCCAGTGGTCATCTTTCTCGGAGATCAAACCACGGTATGCAGCGTGGAATGGATGATCAGAGGGTAAGTCCTTGATTCTGGAAGATAATATAAAAGCAGCTCCATCCGTCATGCTGATTGGGCAGGAATACAGCCCAGAAGACGGTGAATAGAGGTAGTTGCTGCATTCAATGAGTACTCGCCACAAAACCTGGTTACATAGAGCGTACTCACAGCGCATATTGAACAGTTCTTCGGTCAACTCCTAGAGTCTGGTCATAGCCAGCCGACACTATCCTATTCAAAGTCAACGTGCTGCCTCGTAAACGTTAGAATTGGCTTCAAGATCGTACTTATTACGAGCACCCCATTGACCAAGTTGTTTCCAACCCTCAGTCGTAACCAATCGATCATAATCATATCGTTTACCCCAAACGTTGTGACTTTTCACATAGGGGACATTACGTTCGGCATCGCCACTCCATTCCCGGACCCGCTCAGAAATAGCCTCGGCACCCAGTTGAGTGAAGTGTGGTCGTACAGCCTGCAAGGTTGTTGATGGCAGGTACCCTGTAAGGGTGTCAAAGAGACGTCCAGCCAATGGAAAACCGGAAACTTACATTCCAATGCCCGTTGGAGACTGGAATCCGAGGAGTACGTATTCTCCAGCGGTGCCGGATCAGTGATATAGCCACTATCCGCTGTAGCTGGTTGATTCGGTGACATAATGAATATACCAAAACAGTGAAGAAATTTGAAATACCACTCTGGAAGTGTTTCAGAGATGAAGATATAACTAATGCGGGGTGGAGTTGTGTTAACTCCAATCGTACCTCGGCGGTCGGTTGTCCCATGATCGTTCATCGGCTTCCGTAAAAACACCGATGTATCTTTGTAACAACTTCATAACAAAATACTAACTTCTGTATTAATGCATGGAGGAACAACTTAGTCCTCAGACAATAACAGTGAACCGGCCCATGAGCGCATAAAACATCATGCGCTCCAAAACATATTGAAAATCCCAACTCCTTGCCAAGAGTTGACATTCCTTTCCCCAAAACTATACTTCCACCTTTTTCGTTGACCAACTTGACAAAACCTTGAACGCTCACATCTCGTGTAGGGTATTGTAGCCGGTCTCAATGAGACTGCGCGGTCCTCGAGCATCAGAACAAACATGCCAGTAGAATAGACCACCCAGCTTTTCCGAGGTCACAAATTCAGCTTTTTGCTTGACGGTTCCCGGGGTATCATAGGTGACGAATCCACCGTCAGCCCCAACACAGGATGCTGCACCTATTCTTGGATCGTGGTACTCCTGAGTGCCCGGTCGAGGCAGATCCCGATAGTCAAAGACACCCTCCTCTCCACCGTGCCCCGTGTAGCGCTGGCCTGGCCCGTTGCTGCCCAAGAAAGAACGTCCATATACTGGGACACCAAGGATGATCTTTCGACGGGCAACACCTTGCGACACGACGTATGAGACGGACGAATCACCCGATACTCCCGATCCATAGAGCTGCGCCTGGTGACCGGTCTCGGATTCCCAGGGCCCGGCAAAATCGTAGGTCATGAGGTTAATCATGTCTAGATACTTGGCCGCTGCTGAAAGATCGATGTTCTTGAGTGCCCACTGGCCAGCAGGGAGCGCGGTGGTAAGGACGTATCGTGGGGCGGGCAGCACCTCGCGAAGGCGCGCAAGCAAACGAACATAGTCCTTGCCCTGCTTAGAATCCGAGGGATGTTCCCAGTCAACTGCAGGTAGTGTCAGTATACCAGCTAGCTTCGTTGAGATCAGATCTAGGGATCTTACTGTCAATTCCATCAATTCCAAATTGGTCTACCAACGCTCGAGCCGTCTGAACAAAGGTGTCTGTCCGAGAACGACTGTGAGCGACTGCGGCAAAGTTCTCACTGCCCTTGCCACCCCCTCCAACAGAAAGAATGACGCGCATTTTGGAATATTGCTGTTTCAGCTGGGCAAATGCCCGCAGGCAACCTTCAGTGCCATCAACGGGCATCTGAGTATCAGCCCACTCATCGCTCAACTAGGAAGCATTAGCATGGAACTGAGCGTGGCATCCAGAGAAGTCATACGTAAACAGTGCCGTCTTCTTTGACCCTGCAGGAAGCCGATTTGAGGTTAGCGCATCAGCCATCTAAACGGAAACCTTTTAGGTGATTGGCTGGAATTACCAGGCAAATGCGTAGAACACATGTGAAATAAACCCCAGTCTCAGAGACGAAGGTGGTTCTTTTCGATAGATGCGCCAGTTTGGGTAGTAAGCTGCATTTGTGTACAGCGGGACTTCGTAGTGAGCGCTGGTGGCGGGGTCACGGCCCGCACGCCGGCGAAAGAGCGAGCTGGCGGCTGAAAACATTGACGGCTCGTAGAATGGGTCACTGTGAAGCTAAAGAGAGACTATCAAGATAGAAAAGCTGAACAGGATAGCAGATAGAAGGGAACAGAGGAGAATATGTGGTTTGAAGATCAAATAATCTCAGACAATGTGTTTCCCTTTCTGGAAGACGTCACGTGGGGGCCTGTCGTAGGGGCCTATTCTTACCTTCCTGACGATTTTCTTTAAACATACACTGATTGGATACTAACAGACACTAAATGATCAGCTGCAGGTGCAAATCTGAGGTCATTTCATTTCCCTGAGCGTAAGTCTCAGGACACTTGGGATGCGGGGACGGACTAAAGAGGCAGCCTTCCGCGTTGAGCATATGCATGCACATTTTTTTTTCACACAAAAGTACCTAACAGCTGATGTTTGCTTCTCATTCCCTCCAGGACATTCTGTGTCACTGTGGGGACAGTCTCTGGCCTCCAATGGTTCAGCTAGTATCCTCGCGAGCTATTGCTGCCCGACAATCTCATGCTCGGCTACCAAATACCCAACAGAGAAAGGCAAAGATACGAGTGATCCTCATATGACGCGCGGTGAGATCTGACCAGGGAATGTTATTGAATTCAGTAGCGAGCGAATCCGATTAGACAGCACATGCAGCTAGAGTTTTAGTGTGGATCAACCTGCATAAGCCATGCACCCCATGTTTGAAGATTGGCCCAGAGTGGTGCCAGACCTTCGACGGCAAAAAGGCATCGTTGATGATCAGATCAAGATCCACGGTGCGGATGCGGCGTCAAGTTCGCGTTCAGCGCAGCAGGATCTGAGATTGCGGAGCCCATTTCCTGTAGACCAGGCTAGAGTAGTGGCGATGCAAGCTTGGCTTTGACACTAATGTTTGCTTTTTTCTTTGTTTGCTGATCAAACAGTTTATAGATGGCTTCTGATTGGCTAACTCTGAGCTTATATGTTGAGGCTGGACGGATATAGACAGCGATGTACCGTTGTCTCTCGTCTCACGGGTCTTTGCTTTGCCGTGTTGAAGACCAAAGCTACGGAGTAATCCTTCATAGAATATCCTTGAATCTGGATTGCAAAGGGAAGAGACAAAAGTACGAGGCATTAAATAAATGGTCAAAATCTGTCCTCTGAGCCGTGCGAGGCACCTATCACACGCGACTTATTAGCAACCCCAGGATCCAACCATATCCATCTTTTTACATATCCTCATCTTCCACGTTGTGGATGCGGTGAGAGAAAAGATACATTGGACTGCAAACTCTATGGGGCCCTCTTGGCGTGATCTGATTCAGACACCTGGGCATATACTCATGGCGAGGTTAGCTTGAGAGGAGATTACTCCGTACATATTGGGGCTAACCTTCATTCCAAGTGGGTCTCGTTTTGAGCCCGAAGGGGGAGAATGAGATGAGCTCAACGAGCACTAATTCCAAGCTCAATTGTCCTCTCGCAGGAGCTATGCCATTATAATCAAACTGGTTGAAGGCTCATGCCTGGCTAGACAACTTTGTGTGGAAACTTCACAGGTTGTTGGGAATTGGACAGCTCTAATTGGAGCAAGTATTCAATTATGTCCAAAGTCTGTACAAACGATGTCATTGATAGCACCCTCGATTATACGGTTTCGCGGGAAAGCGACATTGTATCTGATTCGGTTCCTCGCAGTCTTTCATCCTGTGACTTGGTAATCCAGATGTTGAAAGAGAGACAGAAAGAAATGATGATCAAACCTATCATACACATCATACATGAGCTCAGAGTCCCAGATTGAACCAGGTTGGTTCTTTAGAAAAAACCCCCATGAATAGTTTGGTCGCGCGTGCGCGGCGATCCATTTGCTTGTGTATTACACATTGAGCAGCCAGGAACCACTCCAATCAAACCCAGCTCCTTCCCAATTATTACTGAACGGATCAAGACTGACATCGAGAGACGCAAAGTCGAAATTATCCGGCTGTCCGGAAGGTGTATCGAGAGATCGAAGTGCATCATTTGAAGCGTGAATATCCGCCAGATTACATGTCGGTGAGATTCCGGAACTTCCATTCAGAGGCTCTGGCGAGTAACCAATAACTTGCCATTGTTTGCACAATCCTGTGTCGAATCCTTCGAAGAAGGAGGCGGCGTCGGGGTCGAGCTTTGGTGGTGTACCCTCGAACGGGCCTTGCTCTCGGACCTTTTCAGTCAATTTGTTCAAGGCGCGCAAAGGTCCCACTGCCGACAGCCATCTTTCTGACAGCTTCTGGAGGCAAAGTTTCATGACGGTCAGCTCGTGCTCGGCAGTGCTCTGTAATTGGGTATACCGGTTGCTAGACAGGAGCGATAGACCAGCACACAGCGGGTAAAATGCGAAGACGGGGCCTAAGTAGCGGAGCTCGTCACGGAGGAGGAACTCCTCGTAGATTCCTGCAATGAAGGACGACGCAACTAGCGAGGCGGCGGGTGGTGATCCTCCCGGCGTTGGCGAGCGGTGGAGGATAGTGAGAACCACGAAGTACATAACCAGCAGTTGTTGAACTTCGAGGTTGCAGATGGCTGTATCTTCCTGGGATGGCACAGCTGATTGTAGTTTAGGAATGACTTGTTTCGCCCATCGGTAGACGGCATTTTCAAGATCGACTTGCCGTTGGCGAGAGATCTCTTGTCGCAGGTGGGACTCGACCGTGTCACCCAGGAGTCGGGCTATTGTGCAGTATCCCAGAAACAATTGGGATTTGAAGTTATTCACGGGGAAGTCGTTGAGTGATGGTGGCAGCACGTCGCTGTCTCGCAGGTTGATGGTTCGCGGCCGCCCAACACCAACAGATATAATATTGTCGCGCACCTATGGTCATCAGCCTACAATTTGAGTCAAAGGAATGTAATGCTTACCACTAGAGACCACCACAGCCTTCGCCGTAGACCGCGATCGCGGGAATGTGGTGGCGGTTCCTTATGGAGGCCAATCTGGAAAGCCATCGCTCCAGCCGTGCGAATCCAAAATCCACTGGTGTCAGTGGAAACATCTTCAGGTCCAACGGGATTATACCAATGCAAGAGGCAAGCAGCGACAATGGAAATGAGAGGGTCGTCGCAACCACCGAAGAAGAATAGCAACTTTGCTCGCCGGTAAAATACTTCGCTGGACCCGTAGTCCAGATGCGCCTTGGAGACACGACTTCCGGCGAGGAATATTGCCTGCAAAAGCAACATTGAGGGCTCATTCTCGTCCATCCACCTAGGGTCGACGACGGGAGTCCAAGGTGCACAATGCGTATTAAAACTAGCCATCAATTCCTGCTGAACTGAGAGCGGCGGAAGTTCAAAAGCGCCTTGGTCGCGCAGCATCTGCAAATCCGTCGCCGATGCTTTGGGGTTGGTGTAAGTAGTCTCGCGACCGGGTTTGACCATGTTTTCATCAAACGGTACGCTGCCGCCGAGATATTCGCTGCGACCGCGATAGCTCTCTTGTTTGATGAACGGCTCGTCATGATTAATTAATTTGGACGCTGTCCTATCTCGCTGAGACCCGCTCAGCGAGGTGGACGGCGCGTCGGCGTCTGGGTCATCGGCAACATGCGACCCCCGTGTTTGACTCGAGGGTGCAGAGTTTGACAGGTTGCGCCGTGGCGACAAACTGTTTGTGAATCTCTTGCGCTTCCTCGTATAAGGCCTGAACTGGGTCAATTTTCGATTTCTCTAGCAATTTCGGGGCTCGGATCTACTTACCTGCAATCCACATCGGACTTTTTGCAGTTGGTGCACGGGTCCTGCGTTGCAAAGTCGCACCTCACCTAGACCGATCAGCCATCAACCATCAACCACGCACGGTGAGACGAGTATGGTACCTTTCTCTTATGACATATTATACACGCGGAAGACATATTGTCGATCCGGTTGATGGTTGGAGGAGATCAAGTGGGGGTTTGCCGAGGTTGCGAGGGAATATAAAATGCTCACCGGCCCAGATGATATTTGTTAATGATGACCAACGTACACCAAATTACTACTGACTCCTCGGAGGAAGGAATATCGGTGATTACTATCAATCGACCTCAGAGGAAGAACGCTGTTGACTCCCTGACGGCGGAATTGCTCTACCACGCCATCCTCGGCTTCGAAGATGACCCCAAACAAAAAGTATGCGTGCTAGTCGGCGCGGGTGGTACTTTCTGCGCAGGCGCCGATCTCCATGGTGTTGCGCAAGCGAATCATGACAAGCCCGCCGCCAACCTTCAGCCTGTTGATGGGCGTAACTTGGGCCCCATGGGCCCCTCCAGGATGATGGTGAAGAAGCCAGTCATATGTGCTATCTCTGGATACGCTGTTGCCGGAGGTCTAGAGTTAAGCCTGCTCGCCGATATGCGTGTCGTCGAAGAAGATGCAGTCTTTGGTGTCTTCTGTCGACGATGGGGAGTTCCTTTGATTGACGGAGGAACGGTCCGCCTGCAAGCCATTGTTGGGCTTGGCCGTGCGCTGGATATGATATTGACTGGACGGCCCGTTGGAGCTCAGGAGGCATTGGCCATGGGCCTGGCAAGCCGAGTGGTGCCCAAAGGGGAATCATTGAAGGAGGCTATCACGTTGGCGAAGCAACTGATCGCCTTCCCTGAGCTCTGTCTGAATACGGATCGCCAATCCTGCTACTACAGTGCTTACGATGCATCCTCATTTGACGATGCCATGAAGCAGGAATTCAATACTGGACAAAAGGTCATTTCAAAGGAAGCCATTGCAGGCGCCGCCAGGTTCAGCGGAGGCTCTGGCAGACATGGCAAGTTTGATAACAGCAAAATGTGACTACTGTCTACACCAGCCAATCGTGGCCTACGATGCTCTACAGATGTGTAGTGCCTGGGAAAAGACACAGACCAGAAATATCGCTATATAAGATGTATCAGATGCCCAGCTAATATGTGTTGCTGAAGGTGATTAAACATCAGATCAAATATATCACGAGAAGCACAGACACTTCCAATGTTGAGTGATAATTCCGCGAATCCAAGCCTGGTTAAGCTGGGTCGCAAAGATATAGGTAATAACCAGTTGCTACTCATGGGATAGCTTTCAATAGTAATAACACAGCTCGTGGAAATCTCTTGATACACCACAGAGCAGAAAGCGAAAATATAGGCTCCATCAAGCCAAAGATCTAGTTAGTCTTCTTCTCGTCGTCATCCGCATCCGCCGTGAAGACGATACGCTTTCCAAAAACGAGCGGTGTGCGGGAAACAAACGAGCCAACGGCATAGCCGATGTATGCTCCAGTGAGGATTGTGATTGGGAATGCCTGCCAAGGTCGATCCCTGAATAAACAATTAGCCTGTGTTACAGCTTATGCGGATTGCATCGTGCGACTTACCAGTCGAGAGGGATGGGGATGGCACCGAACCACGCGCCGAGACCTGTGCCCAGGGCACTACCCCAGACCGCATCGGCGGGACGGGCGATTCCCCAAACTTCATTCCAGACAGATCGGTCCAGACCGTGTGTGTAGATCAGTGCCGTTGCGGACAGAACGGCCATATGGGCTGCACCGAGGACCGTCTCGGCATTGTGGGTTGTCAGAGGAGCGCCGAAGAGAACAAGGAGGACCGCCAGAATCGGGGTGGCCAGAACGAAGGTCAAAGCGAGCGCGAGCAGAGCAGGCTAGATTGTGTCAGTGCTTGGAATCTTTATATGCAAGTTTGATTGTTCCGTACCAGTAGTCGGGACCAGATGCACGTCCAGCTGTTGACGTGCTGTTTACGCTTGCTGTGCTTCGCATGGCGCGAGGCAGGTCCGGGTGAGCGAGAGCTCGACTTGCCCTCGGCGGGCGCGCTCGTCTCCGTTGACCCTGCGGGGGGTAGGCAGATAATCACGTAGGAGATTTGAATGAGGGTGAGCCATGGTAAGGTGGTGAGAAGGCCTTTGGTGGGGTTTGCGACTAAGGGTTCGAATTGAGTCGCTCCCAGTGCCAGGAGAAGTGCTGGGTGGACGATCGAGTACACGCGGGCGAGCGGGGAGGATAGGATGTTGACGGGGGAGCGGAGGGCTTTTCGGCAGGAGGCTGTGGTGTGGATGCCCCTGGCGAGGATGGGTCCGAAGCCATTGTGCTGCGCAATTGAGTACGATCCCTGAGGAGCTCCGGCTGGGCCGGGTTGATGTGTTTTTGGTGAGCCAGTGACTGTTGGCCTTGGTGCCTTGATGCCTTACGGTATAGGTGTCATCGGCATCTATCCGATGGGGATGGGATATTGTCCATGGGCGCCTACGTGCTAGTTAATTTGTAGCAGCAAAATACAATGCGCAAAAGTTATTTTTCTTGATAATTGATTTTTGAAGTGCCATTCTCTAATATTCCCACAGAAGGCGAAAAATCTACATTCATAAGAACAAGTTATAGCTGACAAGGACCAACTAGAGTAACCCGGTCCTCGTGGTCTTAGTGGTAATAAGATCAGAAATATCGCAAGCAGAAATAGAAAAAATGGATCACGGAAAGCGCAAGACAGACCGGCTGCAATCGCAGAGACAAACGTACATTCATACCACATGGCAACATGATCAACTGGAATCTGAAACAAGGGCTCAAGCCTTGGATAAGGGGGAAACAATACAGTCGGATGGCAAGATCATTCGACCAATACGTAGAAGGGTACGATCATGAGCTTATTCGTCAAAGGGAGAGTGGAACGCCTAAGTGACCCGGCACAGACGTTGAGGACGCAGATATAGTGATGGATCTCGAGAGGGTTAGACGGCCTTGGAAGGTTCGACGCCTTCCTTGGGAGGTTCTACAGACAATGTAGGCTCTGAGACCGGAACAGACTCTGCAACTGGGGCAGTGGTTGGAAGCGACTCCGGTGTCTGGGCCAGATCCGTTGGTTGAACCGAGTCCGCGGGTTTATCAGAATCGGTGTTGGGGACGGGGATGGGGTCTTTCTGCTCAAGGACAGGAGCAGCGGTGGTCAACACTGGGCTATGCGGCTCTTCCGGAATGGGCGGGGGCAGACCGGCACCAGGGAAAGGTGACACAGGCGACCGAACTGGTTCTTCTTTGGCTTGTTCGCGTGACGCCTCAGTGGACTGGTTGCCATTCATTGAATCGGTTATGATGGGAGACAGAGGTTGGCTGGCGATGGAAGGATCGGTATCTGAGCGGGTTGGGCTCTTCGTGCGATCACGCTCATCCTTGACACCGTCCCGGACTTGAGCTACCTTTGCTTTGAATTTTCCGAACAAGCTCTTCTTCTCCGGTTCGAGGGGTATGGAGGAAGTGCTTTGGACCCCGGCATCCAAACTGAGCGGGTGACTTGCGAGTTCGGAGATTTGGTGATGCCCGCTCCCAATCGAACTAGTACTTTGCTCAGCGCCAGGATTGGTGGCGATCAAGGGTGGAGATGAGAGTCCGAGTCCAAGCTGCTCGCTGGTGCGTTTGGATGAACGATGGAATCTCCAGCTCCTGCGGTGTTCATGACGATCACTGCGAGAAGCATCTTCTGGCTGATCCAAATCAGACTGATCAGTGAACGACGATCGAGAGTTCATTGATGGGGTGCGGGACTTGTTTGGTCGTAAGGAGTGGTCTTGATGAGATTGAGAGGTACCCTCGGTCAGGGCCGAGGTGGACTCCGAAGCACTCTCGCGTCGGTTGCCGAGAGTTGCAGTATTGGGAGGCCTGGGGGTGGTGTCACCGATCACGTCAGGATGGTGCTCGGTGCTTGGCTGCAATTCCGCACCAGAATCAGCACCATGGGCGTGAAGAGAGGTTGTTGAGCTTTGTGCGCTCATGCTTGCACTACCTGGAATGCGCTTCTTCCTTAGCCGATTTGGCTGCCGCGGTTCTCTGAGTTCACCTTCAGGGGGCGGTGACTTCGTGAAGAAGTTGGAAAGCTTGCGTTCACGAGAAGGCGTCACAACCTGTGGGGGTGAAGCAATAGGTGTGTTCAAGTTTTCATGAGGCCTGTTTGGTTCGGCGATGCTGAGACGCTCAGCAGCGGCAGGAGGCAACGGACCGTGAGTAGACGTATGCACATACGCGCTGCCTTGCGTGGCAGAGAATGAGGTTGATGGGTGATTCCTTTGCTGGCTGGAACTCTCTCCTGGTGTTTCTTGGGAAGTCTGGGTAGTGTTGTGGGCAACTGTCTCAGCTGGCGCGGGCTCGGTGGCCGTCTGTGCGATGGGCTGGGCAACATGTTGAACTGCAGGTTGAGCGACAGGCTGGGCTATAGGTTCAGCAACTGGTTGGGTGGTTGGCTGAACAACAGGCTGAGCGACTTGTTGCGCGATAGGCTGCGCGGCAACTTGAGCAACCGGCTGGACAACCGGCTGAGCGACTGGCTGAGCGACTGGCTGAGCGACTGGCTGAGCGACTGACTGAGCGACTGGCTGGACGACAGGTTGGGCGACAGGCAAAGCAACTGGTTCAGCGACAGGCTGAACAGGCTCAGAAGCTTGCTGGGAGGCCGGTCGAGAAGTCGGCCGAGGGGCCTGCTGAGCAGCCGGGGCAGGAGCGCTACCTTCAGGTTCCTCACGCACCGACGGCGTCCGACTGGTAGACCGAGAACTCTGATGTGAGACCGCCAGACCACCCGGGTTTGCCGCCGCAGGAGTCTCGTTCGCGCGCGCATAGCGAGCAGACGTCAGAACCGGCCCCATCTTCGAAGGCAGGGTGTTGCTTCTGTGAACACCACCTCCAGTGATAGAAGTGGGAGTTCCTGGACTCTGGGCAGTGTTGGAGTGACGGGAGTTGCGAGAGGAGACGGAGACATTTCGGCGAATGCTACCGATCTTGCGGTGGCTTTCGGTGTTCGCGCTGGCGTTGGAGACGGATCTCCGGACGGTGGAGTGAGCAGGGCGGGGAATACCGGCTTCGACTTCCTTCATGGTCTCCTCGTCGGCGGCCGTGCCGCTCATGCCGAAGAGGAAGTGGTCCTGGTTCTCGATCAGGAAGATCAAGACGTCTTGGCTGAGCTTGTACTCGTCAGGCGACATGTCGTGGTTCGGATGGGAAAGCATGCCCGGTTGGAAGATCGCGGAGAGGTTGTTCGAGGGCATGCGGTTTTGGTCGGACTTGGAGGCGAAGACGGCGAGGAGATCGAGAATGTAGAGGAGAAGCTGCTTGTTAAGAGGAGGCAATTCGATGATGAGGCGCTGATACGTATCCACGGCCTTGGCATGGTCGAACTTGTCGGCATCACTCGGCTCCTTGCCTTCCTTGACCTGCTGCTGGTAGATGCGCAGGGGATCGCGGAAGCGCTCGTAGAACTCGAGAGGCACAATCGGCTCAGGCAGCTGGTTGAGGTACCGACGGAGCACATTCGCCGCGTCGTGCACGGTATACCCTGTCCAATCCAGTCCTTTTCCATATCGCTCGGGGGAGTCGAAGACCTCCTGCAGGTCTTTGATGCGCTTGGCCGATCCGTTCAGTCGAAATATCCCTTCCACATCGGTTGCTGTTGGTGAATGGTCAGCGACAACTCCGCCAGACGTTTCGGTGGTCTACTCACCCTTCTCCTTGAGAAAAACACCGCACTTGGCTACCACGATGGGCACGTATCCATAAATAAAGCTTTCGCCGTGATCGTTCGTCAGGGAGATTGCCACATTCGCATACTTGATGCTGACATTCAGCGGAACTCCGAAGATGCCGCGGGGTGGCTCTACTACAGTTAACGAGTCATTTTTTGTTCCAACGGTGAGCGGGTACAGCAATCCAGAACCCCAGCGACCAAGCGAAACTCGTGACGTTCTTTCGTGCGACTGGGGAAAGTAGATCCGAAAGCTCAGGGGCCATTTGTTCTGGTGACTTTTGTTCTGGATTGATTTCGGTATCGGAGAACGCACCTTTCAATTCATCCTTGCGGGTGCTGCGCTTGAACTGTTTCCACCACGACGCCAAATCGCGCCTCGAGGGCGGGGAGCTGGTGACGGGATCGGAGGAGGTAGGGAGCGGATGGACGGGGTCACCGTGCGATTTACCGACCGTAACCATGACGAATACCCGAGATGGTAGTTGAGAGGCAGTGTCGAGGGGGAAAGTTGAGGCCCTGCGTCACCGCCTATCCCAAGAATAGCAGAAATCGAGATCGAGTATAGAGGTCAAGTTGGAACAAAGAGTGAGGGAGGGGGAAGGGATGTAGTAGGGGAAGGGTTCGGGGGCACGAGCCAATCCATGAACCAAATATGACAGCCCTACTTTTTTTGGCCCTTCTGGTATTATAGCGAGTATCAGAGTATCAGAGTATCAGAGTATCAGAGTATCAGAGTATCAGAGTATCAGAGTATCATACAGGCTTTCTGGTAGGGTACGTAAAAAAGTACTATATACACGCTTGCTGCGGCTTTCGTCTATGTATAGCTCACGTCTACAAGGGGGCCCGTGAGAGTCTCAGGTACAAGTTGTATGGACAGGGTGTGAGAATTACAGGTCTTTCGCTCCAAGTGGCTAGTCCTCCGTAGCCGCCGTTAATGGAGTTCAGAATAGATTAATTTGCTCCGGGCTGTTCTACTCTGCAGAGAGGATTCAGGTACCAGCCTCGTTGAAGAACATTTCTGGAACCGATGGAGTCATCGACTCCCCTAGAGTGTGCCTGGGCCCTGCTAGGGTCACTTTAGGGTGACTTTAGGGTTCGTTTAGGGGTCTGGAGATTGTTCCGTCATCACCGGTTTCATATCCTCGCCCGATCAGGTACCGATTGTCTCGCGTTCCAGTTTTTTTGGCGTCGTGGGCTGGAATTTTGGGGATGTCGGGGCCAATCAGCGCCCTAGTGGGCATGAGTCCATCCCGACCCTTGGGCCCTGCGCGCAGAAACAATGTGTCTCGGGTAGATCGTACTCTCCTGGAGATGAGTTATGACCACATCCTACTTTTGGATGGGTAGTCGGTCACAGCTGAAGAGGATTTGAGCTGATGCGATATCCCGGTGCTTGAGTACGGAGTAGCGTGACCTCACTCCAACCTTGGACATCTTGGAAGTGAGAACGGCTGACTGCTCACAGCGTTCCTACTTGGTGCTAGGCCCAAACAGGGTTAGAGTGTTTTCTCGGGCATTTCTTCCTCAGGCAGAAATAGTCTATCACGTGAGTCGAGCGGTATGCACGTCACGTGTCAATACTCCCGAGCTGAATCTTGAGCTTGGTGATGGAGAGGTGAACCCGTGTTTGAAACCCATCAACCATCACTTGAACATCAACCATATCACAAAATGGACGGGTAAGCATTGATATCGACTCTATTTTCACGCAATATTTTTTCGATTCATTGGCTAATTCATTCCCGTACAGACTTAACGCATCGGAACAGCGCGAGTTCTCCGCTCGCATGGAGCGCAAGCAGCTCAAGGAGTTTATGACCGTACGTCACCAATTCATCTCGCAACCCAATCTCCATACCTCAATTCAGATCTAACAGTATCGCTTTTAGATGTACTCCAAGATGGTCCAGCGCTGCTTCGACGACTGTGTCAACGACTTCACCACCAAGTCCCTCATCAACCGCGAGGAGACCTGCATCATGCGTTGCGTCGACAAGAACCTCAAGAGCTCTGCCCGTCTCAACGAGCGATTCCAGGAGCAGAACGCTGCCATGATGCAGTCCGGATCTATGCAGCGTTAAATATTTTAATGTACGGGTCGTGTGTGGACACATTGGATGAACCATCTGGTCAACTGAGATAGCATCCGACGCGCTTTTTCCTTACCCACCGGGGGTAGATAGGAAAGGTCGGTCGGCCCTTGGGCATGGAAGCAGACAGGATCGGCTTCCTGCCGTGTATCATAGAGAATTCGCGTTGGGCAAATTCCTTCGCGACAAAAATATTTTTTTTCACAAAGCTTCTGCAAGTCTTATGGTGCTTGCATCTGTAGCTGCCCCCGGGCCAAGATCTGATACAATGCCTTGCCGATCCGGCCGTACATGGCGGCGTCTGACGGTCTGGCCTATCGGTGATGCAGCTTGTCTCGTGTTGGCATTTTGCTACATATAAAGTGTGGCATCCCCCGGTTCACACGCTCGCCTCAAACACTGACGTCTCATCCTCGTCCCCAATCGGCAAACAGCCCCATGGTTCGTTTCATCAAGTCTTGAACTGCTACTCCGTACACAGCCGGACTCAGTGTGAAAGCCTTGGCATTGGGGCTGCCCGTTTCGGCCGAGTCACTACATGAGCTTCCACAATCTCAGTAATGCGCAGAGGTGTTGCAATATTGATATCCCTTATTTAAACGGACGTAGACACCTCAGCCCAAGCAATATCAGCGAGTATGTCATAAAAAAGTCCTTGCAAGTGCGGGACCGGAGATAGGGCCGTGTTGACCCGGATTCCGGAAGGGCTCCCGATCACGGATTCGCAGTGTCTAAGGGGAAATGGACGGCTTATCTTACTCGTTCAGGTGCCCGCGGCCTTGAGGGGTGGGGTTGAAAGGTGAGGGGAGCCGGATCTCCAACTTCACGGACCGGCCTTTGTCACTTTCTAGAGCTTTCCCACTGAGCTCTCTCCTCCCCCTCATCGAGCCCCACCTACCGCATTCCTTCAAAAGCCCTCTTCCCGTCCTCTTCTCTCGAATCATCGTATTCTGAATGTAAGTGCTGTCACTTGGATTTTCTCTTCGGTCTGCTAACATCTCAGTCTTTTTGGATTGATTATACACAATGGCCAGCACAGTTGGACAGGTAAGCCATTTCTTCTTCTTATTTGTCTTAATGAACATTGCTAACTGTCAATCAGACCATCACTTGCAAGGTATGCGCAATCCGAACATTCCGAGACGTAGATGACGTCGTCAAACCCCGCCTCTCGACAACAACGCGATTCAATGCGATGCAATGTACTAATCTCAATAGGCTGCCATCGCCTGGGAGGCTGGCGCGCCTCTGTCCTACGAGGACATTGAGGTCGCTCCCCCTAAAGCCGGTGAGGTGCGCATTCAAGTTCACCACACTGGTGTCTGCCACACCGGTAAGCCCCGCCAAACCCACCACATTTGCCGGAACGTCCCGACTAACAACCCCCCAGATGCCTACACACTTTCCGGCAAGGACCCCGAGGGTGCTTTCCCCGTCGTCCTCGGTCACGAGGGTGCCGGTATCGTCGAGTCCGTCGGCGAGGGTGTGACCTCGGTCAAGGTCGGCGACTACGTTGTCGCTCTCTAGTATGTTTCCCGTATGTGCCGCTTTTTTTGCAAGATGCTGACCACAACAGCACCCCCGAGTGCCGCGAGTGCAAGTTCTGCAAGTCCGGCAAGACCAACCTCTGCGGTAAGATCCGTGCTACACAGGGTAAGGGTGTCATGCCCGATGGCACCTCCCGCTTCCGTGCCCGTGGCAAGGACCTCCTTCACTTCATGGGTACCTCCACCTTCTCCCAGTACACCGTTGTCGCCGACATCTCCGTGGTGGCTGTCACTCCCAAGATCCCCACCGACCGCTCCTGCCTGCTCGGCTGCGGTATCACCACCGGATACGGCGCTGCCGTTGTCACTGCCAAGGTTGAGGAGGGCTCCAACGTCGCTGTCTTCGGTGTCGGCTGTGTCGGTCTTTCCGTTCTGCAGGGTGCTGTCAAGAACAAGGCTGGCAAGATCATTGCTGTCGATGTCAACGACGGCAAGGAGGCCTGGGCCCGCAAGTTCGGCGCCACCCACTTCGTTAACCCCACCAAGCTTTCCGGCAAGACTATCCAGGAGCACTTGATTGAGATGACTGACGGTGGTTGCGACTACACCTTCGACTGCACTGGTAACGTCGGTGTCATGCGCGCTGCCCTGGAGGCTTGCCACAAGGGTTGGGGTGAGAGCATTGTCATTGGTGTTGCTGCTGCTGGTCAGGAGATTGCCACTCGACGTAAGTTTTTTCTTTCTCTTTCCTGCTGGGTTTGGGTTGTGCTAACTCTTCGCAGCATTCCAGCTTGTTACCGGTCGTGTCTGGAAGGGATGTGCCTTTGGTGGTATCAAGGGCCGCACCCAGCTGCCTGGCCTTGTGGACGACTACCTGAACGGCGAGCTCAAGGTGGACGAGTTCATTACTCACCGCCAGCCGCTGAGTGCTATCAACAGCGCCTTCGACCAGATGAAGGAGGGTGACTGTGTTCGTTGCGTTGTCGACATGAAATAGGTAAAAAGCAACTGATGTGAAATATGACTTGAATTTCTGGGAATCTGCTATATTTGTAACATTTTCGACCAAGGTCCTCACCCTAGTTCTCCATACCCGTGGACCTTGTAGCTACATTAGATCCGTAGTACTATAATTAGTCGGAGCATTTGACCATCAGGAAGAATGATGAAATTCACCAAGACTGGTCACGTCCTCAATATACGGGGTACTACTGTTATAATAGATCTCGGGAGAAGCTCGACATCCAACACCACTATGATAAGCAGTCCGATGTCGGTCCACGGGTCCAACCTACCTAGTCTATTGATAGGACAATGATCTCCACGCCTATCATACGTGTACCTATCTGAGTCCCTAAACGGGTCCTCCATAGAAGCGGGGGTGCCAACACTCGCCGCGGGAATCGCCGCGGCGATATCCAAAAACTGAAGTATAAAGAACGAAACAAAACTATCACCCAAAAACCCAAGTGAAAACAAAACAATTCTCACCTCTCTCTACGCAGTACATTCATCATGGATCCAAACCCAATTACCCTCCCAGCCCCCTTCTCCTCAATCCCCCGCTCATCCCTCCTCCTGGGCCCATCTCCAATCCACCCCCTCCCCCGCATAACAGCCGACCTCCAAACCCCAAACACCCCGAAAGTCTCCATCTACGCCAAGCGCGATGACCTGAACTCCGCCTATGCCTACGGAGGCAACAAGACCCGCAAGCTCGAGTACCTGCTCGCAGACGCCCAGGCTCAAGGATGCACTACCCTTGTCTCAATCGGTGGTGTTCAAAGTAACCACACGCGCCAGGTCGCTGCCGTCGCCGCGCGTTCCGGTCTCAAAGCCCGTCTTGTACAGGAGCACTGGGTCGATTGGACTGATAAGGGATATGAAGATACCGGGAATATCCAACTGTCCCGATTGATGGACGCGGATGTCAGACTTGATCCCTCTGGTTTTGGAATCGAGCATAAGAATACCGCTGCTGCGGTGGTTGAGGAGTCCAAGAAGGCTGGCGAGATCCCTTACTATATCCCAGCTGGTGCGTCTGATCATCCACTTGGAGGACTTGGCTTTGCGCGCTGGGCGTTTGAAGTACGTGAGCAGGAACAGAAGATGGGTGTGTTTTTCAACACTGTTCTTGTGTGTGCTGTGACGGGGTCGACGTTTGCGGGTATGATTGCTGGCTTTAAGTTGTTGGAGAAGGTCTACCCGGAGGATCCTAAGAGGAAGGTTATTGGTATTGATGCGTCGGCGACTGTTGAGGCGACGTTTAAGCAGGTTTTGCGCATTGCGAAGAATACTGCTGCGAAGATTGGTTTGTCGGAGGATGATATCACTGAGAAGGATGTTATTCTTGATGATCGGTACCATGCGGGTATTTATGGTATTCCTGATCGTCAGACTTGGGATGCTATCGAGTATGCTGCGAAGATGGAGGCGTTCATTACTGACCCCGTGTATGAGGGGAAGAGTTTCGCGGGTATGATGGATATGATTCAGAAGGGTGAGATTGCGGAGGGGAATATCCTGTATGCGCACCTCGGTGGGCAATTGGCTTTGAACGCCTACTCGGACCTGGGCAGGACCCAGTAGTTTATATAGATTTAGCAATGAATACATATATTACGATAAACAGTTTGCAGCATAGTATGCCTTTGCTTGTATTGGTAAAGAGCGACTGAAGTTAACTAAGAACGATCAAAACGAGGCACTTGAAAAGATCTGATTCCTGCTTAGAAGAGCTTGTGCTCAAGGGTCATCTCCGACTCGGGCTGGAGACCAACGCAAGCACGGAAGATGTTGATCAGAGCAGAGCGCTGCTTGCCGAGGGCGTTGACGACCGGGGTGCCGGGGGAGTCAGAGGGGCCTTGAGCATGTAGCTGAGAATGCTGAGCACGCTGTGGAAGCCCTTGTACTCGGCGCCCTCGGAGTCAGCCTGCCAGCTGATACGAGTCATCATCTCGGCGAGAATGACCAGATCGATGATGAGAGGCGAGGCCAGCAGCGAGTCCTCACAGATGTTGAACAAGCTGATGGTCTGGTGGCCACCCATGAAGATCTCGGCGTAGTACTCGTCCAGGGCACGCTTGTTGTCACCAACAGCGGGCATGTACTTGATGACGACGGTGTGGTCGGGGTGCTCGTCCTTCTCGTACAGGATGTGGTTAGCTGCGACCATGTCATCCACGACGTTGGACTTGGAGATCTCCTTGGAGCGGAACTGCTTCTGGGAGCTCAGGTTCTTGCCATCGTTGTTACCGAGGTGGTTGTAGCTGGCAATGGAGGTGAGCTTGATACCAGCGTTGATCAAGAAGTCAACGAGGGCGGACTTCATCTTGGTCTGGCCAGACTTGAAGTCATCACCACCGATGAAGGCACGACGCTGCTCAGCCAGCTGCAGAGCACCGGGGACAAAGGTGTTCTGAGGGGAGCCGTTGATGAAAGGAGTGTCCTCAAGGATAGAGGCCACGGCGAACACGGTGGAGGGAGCAACCTCGAGGTGACCAGTCTTGATCGAGTTGATGAGGTTCTCGGCAGTGTCGTTGACACCGGGGATAATGTCGGCGTAGCGCTCAGTGTTGGCGGTCCACATGACAATGACCTTGTCCAGACCGTTCTGGGCCTTGAAGTCGCGGATATCCTTCTGGATGTGCTCCACGTGCTCCCAGCAAGCCTTGTCGCCCTTGACGACGTTGTCGGCACGGTCCTCCTGGTTGGCGGCGATGAAGTCGGGGTAGTAGATACTGGGCAGCGGCTTCATCTCACCCATCTCCTTGCGAACCTGGTTCTTGAGGGTAGGCTCCAGCACCTGGGCACGGTCCATGGACTCGGCCAAGTTCAGGCTGCTGATGTCCCAACCGCCAATGGCCAAATCATTGGGGTGGGCCATGGGGAGCAGGTCGTGGAAGGGAATGTTGATCTCCTCACCAGTCTTCGCGTCCGAGCCCAGCTTGACAGTGGAGCCCATGACGATCGACCCGTAGTAGTTGGAGGTCTGCGTGCCATCACGAGTCTCCCACGAGAGCTTGCGACGGTTGGCCAGGATACCGGCGGTGACGGTGGAACCGTTGTTTCCACCCCAGCCGACCAGCATCATACCGACCTTGCCAACCTTGCGGTTGACCTTGAAGTTGTAGTTGGTAGCCTTGGGGGTGGCCACCAGCTTGTTGTCCGCGGTGCGGGTAATCTCAGTAGTCTGATAGGCGTACTTCGACTTGATTTCGTCGTCCGTGTAGACGACATTGGGCGATTGGACAGTAAACAGAGAGGGCTCATGGCGAACCGACCCGTTCAGGGCGCCATTGACAGCATCCGAGCTAGCGTGAGGGGCCATTGCGGGATGAATTGAAAGGTGTTAGGTGTGTGATAGCGTAGCTTTAGCGGATGAAGGGTGCGCAATCCGATGCTCCTCCACGGTTGGATGAGCGTCGGCCGTTGAACGGGTGGTGCCGGCTGGGGGGAGGTCAGTTTTGCTCATTGTATACAGCATGAGGGGTGTGGGGGAGTATGGGGTTCACTCACGAATTAAGACTTGTCGCGAAAATTTTGGCGGTTGTATATGACCACTGTCTCTAGGAGAAGTGATCTGACCTGTTGAAAAGGTTTATACGAACCTAAAATAAACGGGACAGAAAAAAATGAAGTTGTTGTTAGAAGACAGGGAGGGGAGGGGAGGTCGGACTTTAAATAATATGGCAGCTCCGCCTGACTCCGGAGCCCCGACATCCCCCTATTTCCCTCCATTTCTTGGGCTCTCCCATTATGTTGCCGTGGCCTGTTCTTCGCTGTGGCCTCTCATTCGCTGGAATTGGCTTTCTGGCTCTTCACCGTCTGTTTGACCGTGGTTAATAGACATCCAGGAATGTTCCTTCCACGGCTAGGTGTGCTATACAACTACGAACATGTGCCATCATCGCCATATGTTATGGTAGACCCCCAATTGAAGCCATTGAGCAGACTGTTCCCAATTTCCTCGGTACAATGCACTCATATTCCACACACGTTTAGCCCCGGGAAATCTCGACTCCAGTTTTTTTTCTTTGCTGTACCGAATGATTGCCGTCTGGGGCGGTTCCGCTTTCGGCTTTCTTTGGTGCCTGGTGCCTACCCACACTCTTTGCCGAATACGAATTGCAACTCAGGGGTCAGAGTTTCGAAGCTACGGCTCTCTGTACTCCGTACACCGTGAGATCATTTAATTTCAGATAGCACAAGCATACGATTTGTAAATGTAAAGCCCACGTCAAACCCCATACGGAGTACTAAAGATACTAAAGGTCGATCAGGCCACGAGCCCTCGGCTGGACCGTGCCCGAAGAGCGGTCTGTCATTGCCGAGAACCACTTTTCTTCTACTCCGTACCTTGCGAGATTACTCTTCCACGCTCTTTGGGCTATCATTTAATGGCGCCGTACCGTTTGGGGAAAAGAACTTGGAACATGGAATAATAATGAAAATGAAAATTGAGCCAATGCTAGTCTGGGTGAAGTCTCGGCGGAGTAAATTCGATCGTCCCCATAACCGGCAGTGACATGAGCGGGTTTGTCAATTGTAACTTTGGCGTTCCAACTCTCGAAAAACTCCAGTTCTTTCGCAGGGATCTCATAGCCGGATCGCCTGCTTGTTCAGAGTCTCCGCAGAACCGACAAAGGAGAATAGAAAAGAGAGTTGGGGAGAAGGATTCGACCTGCTTTTATATCCCTTCCCCTTCCCAATAGGACGTAGTGTTTCTTTTCTATTCACTTGTTCTCTCTGCTTTTCACCTCACTTTATTTATATTACTCACTTCATCCTCACTTTACTTACTTTACTCACCTAGCTCACTTTGCCTTCACTTTATCTACCTTCCTCACTTTCCTTTCCGCCCTTATAGGTGTCTTCTATAGCTCATCTACATCTAGTACTATATTACTTATATACCATGCGAGCTGCATGTGCCTCCCGTTAAACCTTTTAACATATGTCAGATAGATCTGTTCAAATTGGATTTAAAGATATTTGAAAAGACCCCCCCAAAAGACACTTGGACAGACGCTAGTTACCGTAAATGCCTTTTCGCCTTGTTTGAACTTCCAATTTTCTTCCTTTTTCATCTACTTTGGGAACCTTGGAAAGAGCATGAACATGGATAATGATATTCAAGACTAAGCTGATATCCATTGAAGAGAGATCTCGACGAAGCAAACTCAATTATCATCATCAATGGCAGTGACATGAGCGGGTGTATTCACTGTGACTATGGCTTTCCGAGTTTCGAACCACTTGTACAATTTACCGGGGGCTTTCAGGCCGTCTCGCCCCCTTCCGTTCAAACTGGCAGCGGAAGCGACAAGGTAGAAACCAAATCTGCCACGGCTGCAAGCAACGTTCAACCGGCGGAAGGATTTCATGAATTCGTGTTGCTTTGCGGTACGAACATAATCGAAAATGATGATGTTCGCTTCATTGCCTTGCATCGCGTCGATCTTGGTTGCTCGAACGTTGCCCCATGGCACACTTGGATCAGTCTCCGCCAGTGCGCGCAGGTCCTTGACGTATTGGCGCCATTGCGCCTCATAACCCACCAAGACAACAATGTCCTTGGCTTCAAATAAACCATCGCCTACGATCTTGCGAACCAGACCCAAGACGACTTCGCGGTTTCCCGGGTTTTCAAACGATGTGCCGATGCAACTTTCGCTGGTCCATGGTATATCTAGCATCAGAGCATTTGAATGGACACTGTGCTGCTCTTGGTTCCATAATGCCAGGCTTCGGGCCTTATTGTCTGGGTCGGGGGCGTCGCTTTTCATCTCTTTGTCACCGTAAAACAGATCAGATGACAGACTGTGAATATCGCCGGTCATCCGTCGCTGATGAGTGAAGAATGTTGCCATAAATCCAGCTGTGCTCATGCATTCTAGGAGTCACTTTGATATCTGTTTGCAGAACGGATTTTCGTCTTTACCGGCCTACGAGTACGGTTCGAGCTGCCGACTGTCTCCAAACAGGCCGAAGCTTATCGGGTACAGCCAGGCAAAAGCGGCATGCAAATCAGACTCACGGATCATGGAGGCCTCATCAACAGCGACAAAGGAGGGATGCAGGCATGTGAGAATGCTGGGATCGGTAATGCCCGCGGGTGTCCCGATCACAATATGGGCGGTCTTCAGTGCATCGCGTTTCATGCGCCGACAATCTGCCTGGAAATCCGCCTCGTCCTCTGCCTGAATGCCCTCACGATATTTCCAGAAGGAGTCAAATCCGAGGTACGGGCCTAGACCAAGAGTCGCCCATGGGCTGCCGGGGATCTTTCCTGCTACGCCGAGCATAAGAGGGTATGGAGATATAAAGAGTCGCTGATGGATTGCTTCTGTGTTTTTTGGGGTGTGTTTTTTGGGAAAGAATGTTGACTATGAGATTGTTGTAGACTACCCTCACCGGGCGTTTGATGGAGAGCAAGAAGAGATTGTTGTAGACTACCCTTACGGGGTGTGTGGTGATGGGGAGCAAGAAGATATTGTTGTAAACTACCCTTATCGGGCGTGTGTTGGCGGGGAGAGAAGAAGAGAGAGTTGAAGAGGAGGATTTGGTTTGCTTTTATATCCCTTCTCCTGCCCAAATAGCAAGTAGGGCTTCTCTTCTCTTCACTTGTTCCCTTTCTTTCTTCCTTCACTTTGCTCACTTTGCTCACTTTCCTTTGCTACAGGAGACTTCCGTGACGCATATATGCCTAAAAATGTGTTCATTGTATGTCTTACTGCTTTTGGGATCCTCGGAGCCATGCCTTGTATTGTCTTCACTTTTGCAGACTCCTCTACCGTGATCATTCAACTCCTGTATTCTTCCTCTCTTAGACTGATGTTCTCAATGAGCGGGTCTTTTCTAGGAATGTTGAGTTCTCCAGCGCGTGAATGGATCTTCGCCTCTATCCTCACTATTCAACGACATATTTGATATGATGTCCATTAGTCCGCAGTTCTACAATGTTTTTCTCAAAACCACTCGCTCGTGGTAACAGTACAATGGCCACACAACAATCGTAGGCCTTTTCGCCGTCGAAAGTCTGGTCACCAAACATTGTGATATAAAGAGTAACATACTAGAGCTAGCAAGTCTAGATCAAAGTCCGTTCATGGCAATGGATGTGTGTGATTGATAATTACCCCCGTGAGCGTCGTCCGTTTCGGTAGGCACATTGCACCCGCCTGTCTAATCCTCGGCTCCAACCGATTGGCTGAAGGGCCCAACAGCCCATCAAGCCCGGGGGTTTAGGGCTTGATTCAAAATCATTGAATTCTTTGGTATTATTTATAGTATCGATTTCGGCATCGACACAACCTTCTATGGTATACCTTAAAATAGTACTGGAACCGTTCAGCGTTGATCTGAGCCTGATCGCATCCGGTAACGCTGGAGACAGGCTCGGTCTATAATTTGGTATGGCTACATTTTCGAAGAACAGGAAATACTTACCCGCGCGGATTCGACAGGCACATATTCGTGGGCAATAAAATGGCAGATACCAGTTTCTGGTGCGACCTGATCCTGCTCTTTCTGTCGAGGCTCTTGTGGTAAAGGCTCTTTTTCTTGATGCTCTTACGGCTGAGCCTCTTGCTTTCACCACTCATGCATATTTCCCCATCCTAAAAAAAGATCGCCGGCTATGGAAGGCATCGTCTGAAATCATAATGATCAACGAGTTACTCCATAAAGAGCTTCATTTGATAGACTCCCGTTCGCTTCGGATATAGCGGCTCACCTGGGGTGAGCATTGACCAACACGGAAGCAGAACTGAGAAACTCATGATCGGATTTGTCGCTTAATTGAAGCGTGAGCCACATGTAGTACCTGGGAACGCCTTTCCATCTATACATGACTAGACAAGAACCGGTATCTAGCCATGCGGTTCTCTGTTACTGCTGGGAAACGGATTAACACTGACATGTGCCGGCCCATTCGGTGCCCAGGTGGGTTACCGGCATATGTTAGGCCGATATGTAAAGACGGAAAGATGTTCACGAAGTTGAGCCGGTATTTGTAAGTGCAGATTCCAGCATGTTGCCAAGTTTCGCTTCAGATATCCTTGGAGGTGTCTTTTCAAGTATCTTTCATGCGCAGCTATGAGCTACTTCATATATCAGCTCCAAGGTTTTCAAAGCACTTTATCACAGCGTCATTGTACATTCGAAATACTAAACTCTCCCTCCAGGGCTCAGGCATAAGTGTTTTCGGCAGAATGCTCTCATCCTCGCCAAGCCAACATATATGTATATTTTTTGTATTTGCCTCCATGGCTTCTGTAGTAATGCAGGCTCATTATTTCGGACTTTATATATCAGCTATACCATTCGAACTGGCATGGTCAGAAGTTCAAGATCAATCTAGCCCGGAAACAAGGTTCGGCGATACGATGCGGTCCGTGGTTGCAACAGTAACCAACAAAAGTTCTTCAGCCGCTCTAGATACCCATCCGGTGGTGTCCACTCGCTATATCCTCTTCATCATCTCGTGTTTGACCACGTTGTTCAAATCAATGACCAGTTGAGTATTATTTCTACAAGTGACACGGACGGCTATATCAGCGTGACGTAACATCACGCTCATTGCCTATCATTAAAAGAAGCAAAGCGAAGCACTGAATTTGCTGTCGCCCGGTCTCTCAAGCTCAACGAGCATTGTTCCTGTAACATTCCGTCTCGCCTACAAACCGCACATATGCCTGCAGGATCTTGCTTGTGTGGCAATCTCAAATATGAGTTTACCTCAGAACCCGTCACGAAGGTAGGTTTTGTGGGCGGTACAAACGTCATTTATTAAATTCGTCTTTACAGGCAACTTGTCACTGCCTATCGTGCCGAAAGATCAGTGGCAGCACCAATACTTTGAATCTACTTCTTCCGGAGGATAAGCTGCAGGTCACAAGAGGCTCCCCCACGAAGCATACGAGTATGCACGAGAGTGGCCTGAATTTGACCGTTCACTTCTGCAACGAATGTGGATGTGCTATTTACAAGACGCATGAAAAGTTTCCAGGAATGGTGGTCGTCCTGGCAGGTACACTCGATGGGCCTCATGGACTGGAAGAATCCAAGCCTGAGGCAGAGTTATACGCGCAGCACCGTGTTGCCTGGCTGCCAGATTTCACCTGGGCGGACCAGAGGGTAGAGTTCTAGACCCAAGCACTGGAATGGACGACGTTATTTGTACGGGGTATTTGTTCTACTCTGCTGGATGCGTGAATGTTGACTCGATCACCCACCCTCGACAACGTATACCGATGATGCACAGAAAAAACAGAGAAAAAACAGAGAAAGAAAGGCGGAAAAACCCAATGAAAATGAAATGAAAGGGAAAAACCAGCCCGGAAAGCAATCTTCTTTGAAGAATTCGGTACGCAGTCTTCGTGTGATATATTTTTGCTCCAACACAAGCCGTGTATATGCAAACGAAAAATATGATACTGCTCGGATCTCTTCTGCCCAGATAGTCCCTATTGCTTCCTACGATAGTGCATGCATAAAAAGAAATTCCTCCTTGCCCTGTTGTAGTAGCTCAATTCGAATGTGCTGGCTATTCGGAGTACGGAAGAGCTTGGGGGCGGAACCGATCCCCCCCACAGTTACAATGCGGGGAAAACTTCTCGCGAAGAAATCCAACACCAACATGCCGGGGCCAAAGAACCCCCAATGCTGGTAAGCCCTCGAATGATATCTTGGGGATTCTGCTAATTCAATCTTAGCGATCCATGTCGCGTTCTTCACCATAAATGTAAGCCATCCGCACCACACCCAGCGCGCATCGCTAATCCTTCAGGCGACGGAGTTTTGCCACAATGCGGCCGATGCGCTCGAACAAGCCGGGAATGTACACGAGGGAAACGCGAGACCAAATTTCGACAAGCAAAGGGCCGCGCATCGCGCACCAAGTTTCCTCAGAATCAAGTCTGGCTCCGGCCACCACCGCGAGGTTTGACACCCGGCGCTGTTTCTGAGATTTTGTCTGACACCGTCTAGTTGATTTTGTGCTGGAATCAGGAAGCGGAGAACCAGACGATTTGACAGAGAGGGAAGCGAATCACTCGCCAGATAGAGGTGCTCAGTCCATTCCGAGTCCGGAAAGGCCGTCGTCAAGGTCCTCGTACGCTGCCATACTACCGAGCTACGAACATACAGCGCACCAGCTACCCAGCAGTGGTCGGTCGTCCATTATACCTGGCCCAGATACCCCTGAACAGCAACATGAGCGGCGATGGCCTTTGCGCGACCCGGAGGAAGCTCGTCTATTGCAGCATTTTGTGAACAATGTTGCCCCATTCGTGAGTGCCTCATCTCCATTTTGGGAGCTTATTGCTGATTGATTTCAAGTTTGACTGCACCGATCGCCAGCAGCATTTCGCCATCCATATCCCCCACCGAGCACGCCGTTGCGAAACCCTGTTTAACGCCATAATGGCCATGTCGGCCCGACATCTCAATCGGACTACACAATTTGATCCCTTCGTATCTGATCACTACTACCAGGCGTGTCTGGAAAAACTGATTCCAGCGCTGGACAACCATGGGGTGACAATGGACGATGACCTGCTAGCTGCCACCGTTATCTTGCGACTACTCGAAGAATTTGATGGTAGGTGGCAAATCAAAGCTCCGTACCCACTGTCATGTCAATAATTTCTCTGACGATCACAGTCCCACTCGCTGGGTCGGATATTCGGGGTCACTCCTTCGGCACGAAAGCTTTCATACGGGGCCCCACGCTGAAGACCACAACGCCTAGCCTAAGACAGGCTGTATACTGGAGTGGATTGCGGCAGGAAATTTACAACGCGCTCAGTCTGCAGCAGGCCCCTGACATTGATCTTAGTTCCCTTAACCTGAACTCCGAGTTCAGTCCACTTGGACCAGATGCTGGTGATTGTGCTTGGGCAAATCAGGCCATCGCACATTGTGCGGATGTTTTAATATTTTGTTTTGGAGAGGGCCACCGCTCGACTGCTGTGCATGCAGAACTCAAGGCACAGAATGAGCAGTGGACTGAGACCCGGCCAGATTCGTTCGACCCATTCTTTGTGGGCGAGGAGGTGGAGATTGGCACTGCATTTCCTGACATTCGTTTTGGCTGTCCCTGGCATGGTAAGTTCTGAAACAACTCGCCTCGACCCGACCCAAACTAACTGCTGCAGCAATTGGAAACCAGTACACTGATCTTGCCCGGATTTTGCTAGCTGTCCATGATCCAAGCTTGCCGACTGTCGGTCCTCTGCGCAGACGGTTGATTCAAGAGGCTGATGTAAGTGGCTGACATGCATAATCTCCTGCTTAAACCTACAACCTTGAAGTACTCCGTATTGACTGACAAATAAAGGATCTAATCCGCAAGGGGGTCTGGACTGTATGTGGCGCTGCACTATCTAACGCACATGTACCTCCAGCGATGGTGGTCGGGTGCATGGCTATTCATCTTTGTGAGCATCATGATCACCCGTAAGCACCAAAGCTAACGACAATTACAGGCGGGGACCGATTTACAGACCCACAGCAGCAAGACCTGTTGATTCAGGTTCTTGTTCGAACAGACACCCTGCACGGCTGGCCAACTCATGCGCTCCAGCGACAGCTTCGGGAGACGTGGGGCATTCACTGATCCAGGAGCGAGAAACCCAATCAAACGTCAGAGCTTGCAGACATTACGTCTGTGCCGTGTTTTGGTCGATGTGGACACAGGTGCGACATTGGCCGCCTTTTCTCGGTTCATGGCTATAGCACGCCACATCACTACTCTAAATTGTTTGTGTACACTTTTCCCTGGGCAACAAGAACAAACAAACGAGTTTGACGCTTTATCCCAAGCTGAGCCGAGAGGCTTTCTGCTTTGGGCTAAGTGCCAGGGTCGTGCATGATTCTTTTTCCCACAGCAAAGACCACCGACAGGAGCGAGCTCGGAGTGAGAGTTGGCCCCGCCGATCGCCAGGACACACGGGTAGAGAGTCCAGAGTTGACGATCTTCGTAACTGACTGTTCTAAGAATATCGCCTCGCCACATGATTTCACTCAGGGGAGTGTTTGCCTGCGAGGGAGAACAAAAGTTTGCAGGATCCATGTCAAATTCCAGATCGAGCGTCTGCCCCCTTGGAATCCATCCCCACCGATCGAGAGACTTCAAGCCTCGAGAATTGGCTCTGGGATGTGATTGGTTGTGGTGGAGGCCAGGTCCGAGAGTGCAAAATCAGGAACGGACCAGTCGCGTTGCAACCTGGTGCCTTTTCCAATGCTGTGATATGCATATGTCCCCGAAGGGACCTTCTGTGAACACAATTCGGATTGATCCACCAGTCGATTGCGTGGTTTCGTCGGTTCAGGGGAGTGCATATAGATTGCATTCCGCTGTTTTGTATATGCAACAACACTAGATTTGGAGCTACCCATGCATTTAAATTTAAAAACCTCTAAAACAACACAAAGCGAACAGCAAAAAAGGTGAAAACGGCGAAAAAGTGAGCAAAATGTACGGAGTAACCCCTGAAGACTTACGCAGCCCCTTTCCGCGCTGGAGACACTACCACACTAGTGCTGTTTTCCCACGTACCCACCGACGATCGACTATCTTCCTCCTCGACTTCAGCTTTCCTTTTAGAATCAATTATTCCCCAGATTCCATTTCCAATAGCCCCATCTGTATCTAGTAGTTGGATGCAGGGGCAGGTGGCCCACTGAATTTGATGCGTGATGCCTTCCAATATGGGTTTCTTGCCCACAATCAAATGCTCCAATTGCGGTAGCAATGTCGAGATAATGTCCATGGGTGATCACACTTGCGCACCCAATGATTTCGGTAGGTTCTCCCAGTCCCTAATGAGGTAACAGTGCTGAGATAAATAGTCCCCGTGGCACCGATGCCATCGCCGCCTCCATCGGCGGGGTTAGAATCTCCAGACCGACTATCCACGACAAAAACTCGCGGAGGACCTCCATCACGGATTGATCCATCTACCGCAAGTATGTTTTATTTCATGCGATGCCGGAACCATACACTAACCGCATAGACCGAGCGTTCCTGCAGCCCAACATGCCAACACCGGCCAGCAGCGTTGCCCCGTCGCCTTCCATCAGCTCGGCGCCTCGATCTCCATTCCACGCGCCCCACGATGCGGCTGATAACGAGTCTGTGCTCGACTTGGACAACGTCTTCTCGTTCCCGATGCCCGGGAATAGGTCACCGACCCAAGTCAGAACACCAAGTCCAATGACCGAGGGAACGGCTAAGTCACTACCGCCAGTCCCATCCCCGGCACTGGGATTGGGTCTCAGACCGGAAAACGTTCAATTGCCACCCAGTCCAATGCCGCCAAAATCCCCAGCGGTCAACCACCATAGAGGGGATTCGTCAATCAGCCACAGCAGTTATCGCTCATCCTTCGCCAGCAGTCGTTATGGGGATTCAACTAGATCATCAAGCAACGGATCTAGTGCTCAAAGATATGGTGATGAAATGCCACCTGTACCGATAGCACCACTTCGCACGCCCAGCAAAACGTCTTTCCCCCGTGATTCGAACCTCTCCGTGGTCTCCTCTCAAATTAGCGAGGAAGAAGCCAGTGGATTCGACTTCGGTCTTCCTACGGGATCTAACCCAGTGACCGGATTAGCCGACCTTCCCGAGGAGTCACCATCGGCCGAATATGAGAATAACAAGGAATATCCCGCGTTCGAGCCTTCAACACAGACTCATCTCCACCCCGCGGCGGCGGCGGAGCCCAGTCACGAAACCCAGAGGAAGAACTCCGATGCCAGTACTACAAGTGCACTATCGGTCACGAGTTTTGCCCGTGCTCTAGGACTTGAAGAACAGATGAACAAACCCGAGAGCTCTGTCTCATCAGAATCCTCGCCAGAGTCCTCGCGCTCAGACGCTCGAAGTGGAAGCTCCATGTCCAGTCTTCCCTCCGATGCCAGCTTGAACCGACACAAGACCTCAGACCCCCTCAACTTGGGTGTCCTAGTCGAGGAACTCCCAGCCCGTACTCGACAGACTATTTTGGAAATGCCTGGCCGCATGCGAAGCACCATGGAAGACGTCGACAACGTCGAAAATGTCCCACCCATACCGGCAGCGTTCTTCAGCCCCGACTCCCCTACAGACCCTGCCATCGGCCAAGGAGGCCTGTCTCTGATCGCAGACCGAAAGGACCCAAGCCCAAGCCCGACTCCATCACAACCACCACACCAAAGACCACCGCCTCAACGGTCGTTCACCGCACCCATGCCCCAACCCTCAACGCCACAAATACCCCAAACACCTCAAACGCCCCAAACGCCATCCCGTTCCGGCACCCGCTCCAAAGGCAAATGCAAAGGCTGCAACGAGGCTATTACAGGAAAATCAATCTCATCCTCCGACGGCCGTCTAACGGGCCGCTACCACCGTGGCTGTTTCGTCTGCTTTGAGTGCCACTCCCCCTTCCAAACAGCCGACTTCTACGTCCTCAACAACCGCCCCTTCTGTGCCCAGCACTACCACGAACGTAACGGCTCCCTTTGCGCAGGATGCCACTCCGGAATCGAAGGGCACTACTTGGAAACCGTCGAGCGGAACCCTACGCGTGCTGACCGCCGACGCTTCCACACGGAGTGTTTACAATGTCGCACATGTCACGTTCTCCTTAAGGGCGACTACTTCGAGTGGAACGGTGAAGTCTTTTGCGAGCGTGATGCTCGTCGTGCTGCAGGCGCTTTCCAGCCTCCTCCTCCTGGTCCTGGCCGCCGTAGACCGACGCTCGGCTCTTCGCCTCTTGCTCACTCCGGCAAATTCCCACCGGGTCCGTATCCCCCTGGCCCCGGCTATGGTCCAGGCCCAGGTCCCGGTCCAGGTCCCGGACAAGGACTAAGGCCCGGTCCGAGATTCCCCCTGGTGGCGGCGGTGGACGGTTCCCCGAGCGCCGGACTACGAGACTTATGATGGCCTGAGACACTTGTCTCATGGGTCATTCATAACCCCGTTGGCCATTTTTGCGGATGCCCTTTGACGCATTCTTTTATATCGCGATATACCCTGTGCTACCTCAGCCATTTACTTTCGCTGGCGTTGATCGTCTATCACCCCTTTTGTCTTGGTGTTTACCAAAACTGATGTTTTCTGCTGTGCTCGCGGCTGGTTCTTTGGATTTTATCATGGCGACATGCCCCTAATGTATATTTGTTTTGGATCGGTGTTTGGGCATTTGTCTTGCCAACGGTTTGCAAGTGGAGGGAGGATTGTATTCATACATCACACTGTAATGTTATTGACTTCTCAACCATACAAAATTCTGCTTCAAGTTAAAAACGATCTTAGGAGAGGGTGCTTGAGAGGCCTGCAGGGGAAGGGTCACATGATCATCCTCTTTGTGCTCGCCATAACTATCCCTGCATGTACTCCGTAAGCCCCTGGCGATTTGACGGACAAGAATCACAAGTCCTCTGCTATAGCTTGTGGCTTCATGCTTCTCTCGACTGCCTTGTTTGATAATGTGACTTTCCCTTGCATGCAGTTGCGGAAACACTAGGGCATTGATTGGTGGGACAGGCAAGATATCAAGTATGGGGATACAAATGAAGCGGAAACATTCGTAAATACCAAGGTAGACGAGCTCATGGCCCACCGAAAAGTCAAGGAGAAGGCTGAGCACTATGAGAGCCTTATGAGTGGTAAAAAAATTGAAACGCGGAGAGTTCATTGGCCATATCTCTGCGCTCCTCGACTTTCATTGACACATCCCTACCGTTAGTGTTTGATTGGAGGGGTCAACGCCATCCGGTAACGGGGTGGTTTGATTGAGAATACAACAGAAATGTTTTCAAAAGAATATCCAATTCCTTCTCCAGCCTTTCGTTCCAAGGTTTGTATAACAAGATCATGAATGGAGCATGTTTACCGTCTACCTGCTGGATATTCTGTGGCAGCATTTGACGATGGAAGAAGACTGGACAACTCGCGCATGTGCTTGGCATTGGTCTCAATAGAAGCCCAATCAATGGCGAGGAGGGTGAATATGCGAGGTACTGCCCAGGTGTTCAAGATAAAGTGATAAAAGTGAAGATTCGCTTCACAGCAATGTATGACATCGGGTGTCGGCAATGGACCCTCTATCTGGCTATAAGCCGTGGATGAGTATAGGAATCCAAGAATCATAATTCTTTCAGGATCGAAACTCGGCCAAGCCGGAATAGTGAAGCAACCCTAGAGTATTCAAGTTATCGAAATGACAAAGGATTGCAATATGCCGCGATCACCGAGTGTGCAGCTAGCTATGCGAGGGTCGATGTTGCTGCGATCACCGATAGCATAGATACCGCCGAGAGCACCGCGTGTAGATTCCGTGTTGTGCGCGTTTCATTGCTTTCGGGAGCCATTCCGTATCCTATCCCTGCCGAGAACATCTACAGCACAGATAAACCATGCAATTAAAGGTCAACCTTCCACCCTGGAAACATCCTACCTTCAAGCCACGAGGGTTGTGGAAATCGACATTGGCAATCATTTGTTTGAATATGGCGGGTGTTCATGTGGGCTTCTACAGAGAAACGGACTAAAGTGGCTTTAAACAAATTTCAACAGTAGTTCTCAAAGATGGCTATCAGGACTAGGCCCTTTGATACACTCCAATGGCCAACGGTCTCAAATTTGAATACGAGCAGCCCTCCAGCGGTGGTCCCGAGGTCATGGGATTCCCTTTTTTTCATGAAAAAGGCGGTACCGTTGGAGTACTGAATATGCGAACCGGCCTAACAACAGACTTTTTGTCCACCTCATATCAAGCCATTGCGGACACGTTCAGAACTCGAATGATGATGGAGAGGAACAGCTTGGAGAGTCTCGGGTGTTACAGATACCTGTAATTTTGGAATGGCCAGAGATTCGCCATCCTAGCCGGATTTCTCTCCGTCATAATTGAGGTAGCGGCCCTCGAGCTTATAAAGTGCCGCGTCATTTTGACTGATTTCTTTGCCCGCATCGAATATCGATATAATGCTTGGTTCCCACTCGAAAGAAAAAAAGCTTTCCGACTGAAGTACAGAAAACACAAAGTGGTATGAACTTTCACTGATCTCGTGGTGGGCTCAGTTGTTGTTGAAGATGGGAGCCTCGGCGAAGGAGATCTTCGAATGCTAATTGGCAAAAATTTAGCGGCACGGAAGATGATCACCAAAAAAGAAAAGAAAAGAAATAGCTTTACCTTCTGGCAGAGGGTCATTCGGCAAACTGGGTTGGACTGCCCGATACGCAACAGCTGTAGGTGGAATCGAAACCTACAAATATCAGTTTATGCCTAGTGGCGTAGGGAGAATGTGGGCTCACATCATTGGCTTGAAGAACAGCATACACCATTCCTGCTTTCTCCTCAATATTCCGCAAATCTTCGCGCAAACTTGCCGTCTGTGATGGCATCGAGAGAAGCGGAAGTTGGTATTTTGGAAAGATCTTCTTCCAGCTATACCACTTCACTGACGTTGACTCCGTGGTGTAGTTGTGCGTTACGAGCCAGGATATCAGCTCTATATGGGTGTAGGCAAGGAACAAGCCAGGATTGATAGACCGAGAGTTTTGTCGTGAAGCATAGATGAGTTGACCATCTGAACCAGCTCGAGAAGCGTATTCGTATAGAAGCTCCTGAAATGCTTTCCTGTCGAGTCTATTCTCTCGCAAATTCGCTGCGATAGTTCGTATGATAGTGGCCAGTTCGGTCAATAGTACAAGACCGGGAGCGGGTTCCTGGGACATGTTTGCCGGGGAAAAAAATTCGAATAACGTTCCAAGGTTATATCACAATACGTGATGTAAGGTTAGGAATGTATTCGAATCGGAATTGTAAGGCTACAACTGTATATATAGGTGCCCGGATGGATCATGCTCGCGGCGTTTCGTATGACGTAACCATTCCGATCCAATTCAGATTCGCGCGTGACATAAAAATACCAATCAGGAAGGGCATTTGAATGACCGGGTGTTTGGCTGTAGTTCAAAGGAACTTTACAATTGATGGTGTAGTAGTTTACACAATCTCTCAAAACGGCGCATCACCTTTACAGCCACTACGGCCTGGAATATCAATTACACATATGGGGCGTATGGGGCCCTAAGTTTCAAATTAAATATCCACAAGTTGAATTGAAGATTCTAATATCTGCCCTCTGCTGACATGAACTATCATATAGACTGGAACTTGTGAAGTAGAGCGTCGGTACTATGGTACCCTAAACGGAATGTGTTACTAAATTCAGTAATTGTAACTAGATAAAAAATAAGTAATTGCATACATTCAACGCCACTTACCTCGGAGAATGATGTTGAGAATTCTATCTCTTAAAATTAGTGACCGACTGACTTTGTGGGTTTCAAATTCTATTCCTCATCCTTCTGGCCCTTTAGCAATAAAAGTCCTTGTTTGGTGGTCATCACTAGTACTCTGTGAGAACAGGCTGATCTACGGAGAAGAAGCACGAATCGCTTCAAAACAGTAGATTCTGGCTGTGAAGCAAAAAGACCGACCGGGGAAAAGAAGGAAGAGAGAGAGAGAGAGAGAGAGAGCTATCTAAGCAAAGGGAGTCATCTGAGCTCCCAACACTCTGTATCTCCTGGCCCTTCCTCTTTCTTGATATTAGTCAATTTTGATATGCACTATGTACGCGCGATATTTGCTGGAATTCCTATGGCAAAGCAGTCTATGGTACAACGATATTAAACTTCTCATCAAAGCTTGCAATTAGAGACAGCAACTTCGAAAAGTACGAGCGATCTCCCGTTTCACTCTCTAAGTCGCCGAACTTCCCTGTAGTCAATAGGGTCAGTAGTTGAGAATGGGTCATCGAGCATGAATAATCTGCTGTGACAGCGTCTGGCCTTTCCTGCTTGAGCCCTGTTCGATGAATCAAAGCTCCGTTGCTGAGAATGAGGCGGCATTGCTCCTTCAGATCAGTGACGTACAAATCGATCTTGAAGCTATGTGCCTGTGCCTTGTGCCCATCAATTTTCACTGCAATGGATGCAAAGAGCTGGTGCAGAGATAAAGACTCCAGCATCTGCGTCTGATCAGACAATAAATTGTGGGTGGTCATTTGGCCGCGTAGTTCTCTAGCACCAGAAAGGTAGAAATTTCGCCACGGGCCATTCTCAGAGCCAAACCCGAGTCTTTCGTATGTCTGAGCCAGCATCGCCTTGCCGGCTTCGTTGTGTGGCTCGGCAAAAACGACATGATTGAGAAGTGTGGCTGCAAATCGTAGATCTCCTTCTTCGACGAATTCATTGGCCCTCTTGATGACATTTTCGACACCGCCCATGCAAAAGATGTAACGTGTCGAAGACTCTACTGGCGGGTGTTCCCACAGGTGAGATGGATTGCCATCGAACCAGGTCATGTAGCGCTGATATATTGCCTTGACGTTATGGCTGACCGAGCCGTAAAAGCCTTGTGTATGCCAAGCCGTCCGTAGTTTTGGCGGGAGCGTGAAATGCTCAGCGATTTCGATGCCCGTAAGGCCCTGATTCATCAGACGTACTGTCTGGTCATGCAAGAAGGCGTAAAGGTCCCGTTGCTCGCAGAGATACGTGTATATTCTCTCTTTCCCCCATGTCGGCCAATGGTGTGAGGCGAAGGAAATATCCGCTTTATCTGAATAAAGCGCGACGGCTTCGTCCAAATACGATGACCATGCAAGCGCATCACGTACAGCAGCTCCCCGAAGCGTCGAAATATTATGGAGACACTGAGTGGCGTTTTCGGCCATGCACAGTGTTCGAAATTGAGGGAGGAAGAAGTTCATCTCAGCTGGTGCCTCTGTTCCAGGCGTGATCTGAAAGATGAATTCTACACCGTCAATGGTCTCAAATTGGCCCGTGTGGGTGACATCCAAGCTCGGTGGAACGATAGTAATGGTTCCTGAGGAGACGGTTGCACCTAAACCAGCACTGATTTGGCCCTGGGGACTTTTAGGTAATTCATTTCCATACATATATCCCGCCCTGCGAGCCATGGCGTTGCCTGCAAAAATGTTTTCGCTGACAGCATGCTCAAGAAAACTCTGAGGGGCAACCACCGGTATTTCGAGGGCTTCGCTTCGGGATAAGATTCCCCCAGCACCGCCAAAATGATCCGCGTGACAGTGCGTGTATATCATGCCTAGCACAGGTCTGCTACCGCGATTCTTGCAATACAGGTCTAGTGCAGCCTTTGCACACTCCGCAGAAGTAAGGGGATCGACCACGATTATACCCTCCTTCCCTTCGATCACAGTCATATTCGAGAGATCGAAACCCCTGATTTGATATATGCCGTCGACGACCTCAAAAAGTCCTTGTTTTGCAACAAGTTGAGCTTGGCGCCATAGTTTAGGGTTCGTGGTCTCTGGGGCAGGCTTCCTATGGAGGAAGTTGTAGGCTTCATTATCCCAGACCACACGGCCTTGGCGATCTTTAATGATACACGGATCGAGACGATCAATAAACCCGCGATCTGCATCTTGAATTGACTGCATATCCTCAAATGAAGGCTCCATTGTGCCAAAACTTGATGAGGTTTTGTAGAAATACCCCAAAAGTGATTTGAAGGAGAATGTGAGTATTAGGTATTTATGCTGGGAGATCGGGTCCATGACCGAATCTATGACGGGTGCATCTTGGGAATGTCAGTGGAACGAACCCCATATTGGACCACGAGTTAAAAACAAGGATCATTCGGAAAAAGTAAACTAAACAACAGAGCACAAAAAAGAAATCTCAAGTGTTTTAGGAATAGCCGATCCATCGTGGGGGTCGCACCGGCAGCCTTAAGGTTTGTTAGGATGATCCCCTGATTACGTCCTAGTACGATATAGATACGAGTGAGGAGTGTGAGATATGCCTGGTATGAGTATGATATTTAGATTAATCGCTGGTCCTCCTAAGAAGATCCAGCTCCTCCTTTTCTCGGAGATGTCTCTGTGCGTATGCAAGCAGATAAGCGAGGTGATGTATCAACAGGAAGTTTCGGTGGTGCGTAGGCCCTTTCCCCCGCACTCCCTATACCTCATTGTATGGTTGGCGTAACAAGATTAAGAGTCGTACGCTCTATCGATTGAGCTAGCCCGGCTGGGCCGTTGAAGACGGGCGGGAAAAATAGTTACTTATAGGATACGGCAACCCTGGCTCAGATATTCGCTGCACTTTTCCGACGTTTGCAGCAAAGCCGCATCGCAGTTGCTCTGGTGCATATGCCTAGTTCCACTGCCCAAGCGTCACTATGGCCCGTCTCGGGGGGCAAATAGCGCTGACCCGACGCGCGGTTGGCGGTCCAGAGTCCCGAGTTCTCACCAGTGTACTAATCGACGGCAACAAACCCCCATGATCCGGCTTTTTGGACGGGATGGCTGTCACAGAGCATCCAACCCGACGTCGTGGCCGCCAATATAACAGTTGAAGCATAATTTCGAGGCTCGAACCCGCTGCTCCTCATCAGTCTTTCTATCGAGATTTGGACCATGCTACCCCGTGACAATCCTGTCTACAGCTTTGTCGCCCATGTTCACTCCGGCATCTTGGCCACGCCACTGAAGTCCACTGTACTGTCTATCAGATCTGGGTATTCTTTTGCGACAGATAACAGTCCTCCCCAGGAAACAAGAGTGTGATACTGGACCACCCACACAAGAACTGAAATCACCTTTCGCACCTCATTGCTAGAAATTGCGCATATGATAGTCTAAGCCACCCACGGTAGCTTGATAAAGAGCATTGTTTATGGTCTAGAGTCTCTGTGTATTAATGCCCTGTATAAAATGAACCAAGGTAGAATGAATTATTGAAAGAATAGAGCGAAAAGTGGAACGACTTACAGCATGGTAAGGTTCCTGGTTGATGAGAGAAGATGTAGACGACCACATTCTACTTCACACTGAACAGAATGAGCGGTCTTTCAAAGGTGTTCACATTGAAGGTAATCCCCAATCCCTAATTCTCTGTTCACGGCGTAGCCAAGACCTCCTTTCTCGATCAATCATGCTTAATCCACGATTAGTTGAAATGACAGCTAAAAGGACAGTTGAAAAGAGGTCCCGAAGTCGATGATAGCTCTCTGCCGTTAAAAATCCAAATACGAGATTAAGCCAATAAATACATGAGTACAACTGTTTATAACTATCGCCCTCTTTCTGGCCGCGCGTGAGCGCGGCACTGAGGTTTGTTCCAATCCCTGAGTTTGGGCGTTAAAAACATTGTCTTTCTACTTCCAGCTTTACCTTTCTTTGTCACCTTTCGGCTTCTCACTTCTTTTCTTCTTTTCTGCCTTTCACATCCAGATACATCCAGTTCCCTCATACCATTAGCAATTCCTCGGGCAACGAGCAAGTGCTCATCGCATCGTGGTATACTTCCTGTCCTCCCAAACGCATTTCCAGACGCAGGACTAGGAGACTCTTCAAGGTAAGTGGATCCAAATTGACATCGGCAAAACCTTTTCATCATCTTCAGGTTCCTCGTGCCGCTTACACTCTCAGACAACCTGCAAATCCTTCTCCTACCGTCCCACAGTCCTAAGCAGTCCTTTGCGACTTCCCGCCGGCCTCAAACAACTTCTCACACAGAACAGTGACGAGGGCTTTCAAGGTAAATGATGTGACATTGTCGTCTGTTTCCCTTTTCTGACTGATTTCCATCCTCTAAATGAACAACGCGAACACGAACCGAGGGGAGATTGATAGCCGGCTTGCCGAGAGCCCTACCTCAGACCAGCACCCGGAGACTGGCACTTCCACCAACATTCCCCGCCCGCTCTCAGCGCTTGCCGATTATGACTCTGAACATCGCGATGAGTTATCTGAGGCTGGCAATCCCGCACCGCCTTGCGAAATACTGCACTACTTGTCTAATGGCACATCTGGAGAGCGAGGGGACCCTCAGCATCACGACGAGCAATTTAAATTTGTTGGTCTTGCCACATCTCTGCTGCAGTTGATTCCCTACGTCATCCAAGATCCTCAGCGCTCTGATGCTTCGCGAACGGCATTCAACACCACCGACCCTACTATTCGAGGAATGTATGAGAAGATGGATGATATGCCATATCTTATGTCAGCATCTCCAGAAGAGACTCAACAATGGGAACAAATCCGGACCAGGAATTACCCCATTCCTGCCTTCCCGGTCAGCAATGACATGATTTCAGCAGTGAGACGACAGTCCGTCTCTCTTCGCATGCTCAGGGCGTTATTTGGACTCGACGTTCAGCCATCTCGAGTGGGAGATATTACAATTTCTGAGCTGCGAGAAGAGTTTCTCCAATTCGCTCGGATCGGAGACTACACGCGTTTACTGCAAGAGTGGACTCTTAAGAGACTTCCATCCCTCAATGATGGTATTTCAGACCGACGATAGACATGAGACCGCAGGTGATAAAAACACGGTGGACGTGGAGTGAGGGCTCGGCTCTCTTTTCTAATAGTGGACACAATACTTTTATCTCGAAGAAATCCAGCTCTGTTTCTATGAAGAAAAAAAAACCCGTAACCAAAGCAAAGAAGACACACAAGCAAAAATAGTGGTACGTATCTTGGCCATTCAAGCCTTCTGTGGGAAAAAGAGGGAGAGAGTGGAGGGCTGAGCAAGAAAGTAAAGAGAAGAGAAACCCTATTTCCAATTTGGGCGGGGGAGAGACATAAAAGCAGTTTGAATCCTCCCCTTCAACTCTCTCTTCTTTTCTCCTCGCGACCAAACACCCGATAAGGGTAGTTATCAACATTTTCGCCCCGAAAGGGCTGTTTTCAAAAACTTTCATGGTCAATCTTTATCGTCAGAAGCAATAAACAAAACAAATTGAATCTACCGCCGTCTATCAACATCACCATCCCAGCTTCAGGTTCGTTACCTGGGTTTGAGGGCTTCGTTTGGATATCGCTGATCTCAACTCCTACATTCAGATTCTCTCATGGCCGTACTGCAGTCTTTGCATTCGCAAGATTAGCTGTATCTTCTTAGTGTTCGTTTCTCGATGTTGATCATTTTCTCTGGATTTCACTAATCTTGATTCGCACTTTCAGAGTCTCTCACCACCTCACTGCATCGGAATACCCATTTTCCTCTCATCACAAAATCCATAATCTCAAAGTCAAGATGTCCGAATCTCCGATTGGGCCCCCACAGCTCAGCGTGACCTTCAGTGAATCAGGAATCATGACGGAGAGCCAAGGATTTTCGTCACCAGTTGGACTGGACGAGACCGGCGGAAAGTCCAACACCAAGAGACTGTGCCAGGGTGGAGATGACTCGGCCGCTCTGCATCGTCATGGAGAGAAAAACGGAACATCTTTCAACACCGAGGTATTAAATGATGACGGCGGAGATGCCAGACCCCCGCGCAAAAGGCTCAAACACACAGCGGGTTGGCATGACGCGAGGAAAACAAACCAGGCAGATCTACGTCAACAGAAAAAGTTTGCTGAAATGTCTTGGTTTTGGAGCATGGGGTGGGCTCTGAAATACCTGGATGTTGAACCACACCGTTAGGAGTCAAGGCGGACGATGTGCTCTGAGAGACGGATGGAACGAATGAACAAAATCGAGTCTACGATGCTGCTTCGCTTGACGGCGCTGAATCCAATCTTAGTCGACTTCCGTTGAAGAGGAGAATGGACAGTGTCTGTTGCGCGTGCTTCGAGGACATGTTGAGATCGAATGGTGGGACCATTGCGCAGCTGAAAGCTGAAATGACCATCTACACAGCCTATGTTCAACAGTGATTCCCGATACCGAGAAAGTCGATTGATGCCATGTCTCAAGTTTGCGAACAGATTGAGCACGGGTTTGGTGGCAACAAAGGAATCTGCACACCTGCTCAGTGAGAAAGAGGGCTTCATCAAGTTATCAACCCAGGCCACATCAAATACAAAGCTGGCCTGGCTGCACATACCAGCGTTTGTCGCAGCCCGGGATGACTTCATACAGTTCTCCTTCCAAAGTGCAGATCCCGAGGCTCCAGTCTCTCATTTTCGCGAGTGGTGTTCAAATGTCTCCGCCGGCAAATTTCCACTTGCTTGTCCCACTGAGAAAGCCCATCATGAGCCCCCTCAGGCCCCTCAAGAGACAGCCCGCTCGGCGATGAGAGCCTCAGTTCAAACCCAGCGTTCTTTTTCTTCCGCTCCTTCGATCTACAACAACATTTGCAAGCCCGTACATGGTGAATCCCAAGCTACAGGGGGACCTTTTTCACATCCCAATCACATCATCCTCATGGTTGACAGACAAATCCAAAATTGGGGACAGTGAATACCAAATTCTACAGGACTGAAGGCGCTGATTGATGTTGGGATTCTGAAAGACAAGCCTCTGCAGTTCCGCAAAAGCCAATTTTCAGATACCCAAGAAGGATTTCCATTTCCAGCAGCACATGGAGCTATATTCTGCCGTTGATGATATTCTCCAAACCCTAACAGTCCCGGCTAGATTCAGGGAGCTGAGAATCAACCACCGGTCTGCCAGAATCTAATAACTCTTTCTCATGACACGAGCCCAGTCCTGACGCGGTGCTGGTCGCAATTCTTTTCACTTGTATTCACCACTCCATTGGGCACGGCAGGCGGTAGTGCTGGACCTGCCCTTTTCCGGGGAATGGCACAACTGCCGCGGCGCTGAAGGGGGTCTGGTTCGGCAAATGTCGGGAATCGACGCTTGAGCATAGCAACGGATGATATTATGACTTTCGAGGGGTATGGTTGCTGGGCAGGACTATGCATATGACGAAGGTTGGGAGAAGGCAAGCCCCAAATGCTTGCTCATGCTTGTTTTCTCTCTTCCCGCCCCTGTTCTTACTTATCCAGCTTAGCTTTCCCGTAGAGAAGAAGTTCTTATCATCCAATCGTCAGCTGTGTAGACTGTACAGTCTTACAAAATGGATGGTCTGTACAAAAAGTAGGCGCTGACCATTAGACTACTGCGCGCTAATGCCGTAGTTTATGAATATGGGATTTATGCAAGGCTCTGGGGTTTGGCCCCATGGGTAGGCCGCTGCTGGCTGTGCCGGGCGCCGGGACTTTCGGGCCTGGGCCAAACCCGGCTCATTGCGGACCTCGGGAGGCCTGGCGCCCCTTGAGATCACATACAAAGTATTATCGAGTTGGAACTTGAAAATTATAGTGATGATATAGATTTGATGAATGACAATTTTGCGCTTCATAGCCTCTCTCGTTATCCGATGGCAAACGGTAAACGTGAAGAAGAACCCCCGACCGAAGAAACGGTGTCGAGTCTGGTCGGAGAGTAATGTTGGGTCAGTTCGTTCACATCGCCAGCAGCGGCGCGGAGAGCAGCAACAATAGCATGCACGATGAAGTATTATAGACCCCACTATGGTCTGCAAAGTTTTCTGGGACTGGGCGATACGTTTGCCCAAGATCAGCTAGAGGAGCCCACATCCTCTACCTGCTCTTCCGTGGGATCTTTAATGGCCAGACTGGGCTTCACTCCACTTTGCTCTGCCAAACGGCTTTCGATGCCAAACAGCCGGGACATCTCTTCCAAGGTTCGACCGCGGGTTTCAACTGCAGCAAGATCAGCACGCTTCTGTCCGGTTTCGGGATATACGAACCCAAAGCGTATCGCACGAAGAAGAACGCAACAACGCAGATACCAGTGTAAATTATGTAAAGTCCCCAGCCAATCGCATCGGCAATGGGGGGACTTGCTTGTGCCACGATATAGCACGCCGCCCATAAAGACGCGGTTGTTAAGGCGTTTCCCTTGGCACGCATGGAGACAGGGAAGATCTCAGCAGCATAAGTCCATGATCCGACCCCCCAGCTGATATTGAAGAACGCGTAGAAGATGTATGGGAATATGATAATGGTATAATTTGCTGGATCGCCAGGGTTGTGCTCCGCGTGCCATTGCAGCACAGTGATACCGATCATGGCTCCCATCATCCCAACGGTTCCAATCTGCAGCCATGTCTTGCGGCCCAGTCTGTCAAAATAAAAGATCGGGATCCACGAAAAGACAAAAAGTACGATTCCGACACCTCCAGTTGCGAGGTTGGCGGTGCGGGGATCTGTTATGCCTCCACGCTTGAATAGTGATGGCTTGTGTGTGTCAGTCTCGATGCATAGATCATTTTCCCTCATGGACTCACGGTATAGTAGAGAATTGAGTTAGTTCCAGTGATTTGTTGGAAGAATTGAACGGCCATGCCCAGCGCAGTCACGCGAAGAACAGGCATCACAAACATGTCGCTCCAACTGGCCTCGCTGACGGTATGTTCAAACTGAATGGAAGCCTGAATCTCCTGCATTTCCAGCTCCGCTGTCTCCGAGCCATGGAATCGAGTCAGAACCTCCCTCGCACATTCGTGGCGATCCTGGCTGGCCAGCCATCGTGGACTGGGAGGTACCCAGAACCAACAGCCCACGCCGAGAATGATGGCAGGGACAATTTGAATGGCCAAGGGGATGCGCCACCAATCCTTTGTATCGAGGAAGTTAAAGCCGTAGTTGAGCCAAAATGCAAACAGCTCTCCTAGGCAAAGAATCATCTGCTCGATTGCAACAATTCTTCCGCGAATCGCAGGCGGTGCTATTTCGGCGACGTAGAGGGGAACACCGCCTGCACAAGCCCCCACTCCAATCCCCAAAATGACCCTACCAATAGTCTATTGTGGGCATTAGTGTGCTGCAAGGGGTACTGTGAAAGGTTGACTCACAATCTGTACAACAGTATACGATGCGGTTTGAATAACAGCACCGACAACAAAAACCACACACGCAACGGACAGAGTGCGCTCACGGCCCAGTGGATCTGCGAGGTATCCAAGCGACATAGCCCCAATGAAACATCCGACATCGTACAAGGAGACGACTGTACCGGTGACCCCTACGACATTTGGTTAGAATTACGCAAGTTCCACTTTTGCAATCTTGCGTCTCACTCACAAGAGTTCTTAGGATGCATTAGATCAACCCACCGCGCATCAGCAACGATCACTCCCATAACACCTTGATCATATCCGAACAAGAATGCACCTAACGACACGAATGCCGTGACTGTATACAGAAATCTGGAATTTCCAGGCCGTGACTGCAGACAGTCGACATCTGGGGGCGGCCGAATAAGCTTGGTCTGCTTGAGAGACTCCATGGTCTCATTGATCGAAGCGTGAAGATTGCGAAACCTGTCCCAGCTCATTATATACACCGCAGGCAGTATTTGAGCCGAAAGTCATACCCCAGATCCCCGTGGGGAATTGTCTGGGGTAAGTTTCGACTATTTGCATCATTCCCGCCAGCTCGGCGTGTCTCCGATCTCCTGCAGGGGCATGTGACGGGCAAGAATTCCCTTTCTCGGTTGGACGTGGGGATCAAATGCCGCCGATCGGCCCAAGTCTGAGAGCAATTTCCCCGATGCAGACCAAAACGGCAATTTTGCAATCTGCGGGGAAGTACATGATTGTCGTAGGATGCCGACTGTGGAGTACTGTCGATCTTCGTGGGGAAGGACTTCAATCCTTTCCTTCTTTTCTCGGATGGAAAGAGGAAAGTGATAGAAATGCAGTCATGAGGACGACTTCTGCGACTATAAATCCCTCCTGAGTTGGAAAAGTTGCCAGTCACCAATTTCACATCTGCACGTCAACATGCAGCTACCCTTGGATTTCCAGCCTAACCTCCTGGCTGTAAACGATGGCCCCCTACAAAATGTCAAGTTCTTACATGAGTCGCATCCGACAGAGCCGCTGGCGACGCTGCGACAACGATACGACGAGGATGGCTACCTCTTTCTCAAAGGCGTTCTGCCGCGTGCCGATGTCTTAAAGGCACGCCACAACTATTTCAGTATGATGGAGGTGACTGGAGTCCTGGAAGTAAATACCCAGCCGGTACAAGGAATCTTCAATCACTTGAAGTCGCCCGTAGACTTTCCGGGCATCGGTGCCGGCGGCGCAGGGAAGAATGGTCGTCCAGGAGGTGATAAGGCGGCGCAGTTTGTCGACCTAGCCATTGAAGCCCACTACCGTGACTGGTATGCGGAGGACTTCTGCCGACACCCGCAGTTGCTGGAATTTATTGCCAGGTTCACAGGTTGGGAAACTGATACTCTCGGCCTTCGGAGGTCACTTCTACGAAATAACATTCCTGGCACCAAGCCTATCGGCGTACATTACGATCAGATCTTTCTCCGGCACGGCGACCCAACGAGTGTGACTGCCTGGGTTCCTATCGGTGATATCAAAGTCAGCGGAGGAGGGCTAATCTACCTTGAAAACGGTATGAAATTATCCTATTCAACTTGTTTTTTCTCCACCTTCTGACAGTAGGCAAGGTGACTCTGTCGGTATTGCCTGTGAGGAAGACTTTAAAAAGAAGGCGAAGGCAGCTGGCCTCACCGACGATGAGGCCAAGGATGCATTTAACTCAAATATGATGTCAACAGGATTGCTATCGGAGCTTCCTTTGGAATTCGCTCGTGAGAACCAGCGATCGTGGTTAGTAGCCGAGTACGAAGCTGGTGATGTTGTCTTGCACAAGCCACATATGGTATGAATGCTGTGGGTCTGCTTTGAGATCTTAGTTGCTAATTTACCAGATTCATGCGTCAACGATAAACAATGACCCCGATCGAGTAATTCGCTTGGCCACTGATTTGCGATTCGTGAATTCTTCACAGCGATTTGACGAAGTATGTTAATCCGAGAATCCAGAATACCCTGATGCTGATCATGCGGATGAAAATTAGAGATGGAATCAGCCTTATCGAGTGGGAGATGGAGTTTAACACGGTGGGTCAGTGCAAGGTTGTTCGTGTGGGAGTACCATGTACACAATCTTAAATTTTCGTCAATTGCAAAGATGAGGTATACCAGATTGGTTCATTTCCCTGCACTGTTGATGAATTAGAGAACAATTCACATATCTGTTCGCTAGCCGTTCCAGGGTTGTCCATCTTGTGCCAGCCCAGCCCCGTCCGCAGATGGGCTGGGCTTTGGGCTTAGTCCTCTGGTCCACTAGGGCTATGGGCCCCCATTGTGGGCCCCAAACAGTGCAAATTCCCATCCTACACATACATGAACCCCAATTTTGGGCCATCGGGCCAGAATATTCCGAGTCATAATGGCACGTACGTAAAATGCAAGTATTCATAAGCAAGTTTATGAGCGTCAAAATCAGAATTATGGAAAGCAATGGTCCTGAATGGGGGGGCCAAATTAAGGGGCCGTGGTCTGGGTTGGGTTTTGGTGATAGGGGCCCAGAGCCCATTGATGGATGGGTGGGCTTTGGGCTTTGGGCCCGGGCCCAGCCCGGGCCATTGAAGAGGTCTAACCAGCCAACATCACCCCAAAGTCGTCCCATTGCCTTTGTTAGATTCAGTGTTATCCTGACAGGGGATTGTGACAGGTCTCCTTTTCAGCTGCCTGGCCACGTGAACCGTATCCAACACCCCTGTGGACATGATGAAAACCTCGTCAACATCTTCCAATGTGAGACCAGCGGTCTCGGGATAAAAGTAATAGACCACAGGTACTGTGACGGCATTCAACCCTGCAAAAATAACAAAGTATTTCCAACCGATACTGTTAAAGGCAATAGGTGTCACCAAAGCGATCAACACATTCAAAGCCCACCATATCCCAGAACCGACCCCGTTAATTGTGGTACGCAGGCTAAGTGGGGCTACTTCAGATGCGTAAAGAAATGGGATTCCACCAAATCCAACAGTCGTACTGAAGTGGAAGAAAAACATGAAGACAACCGCTGCGTGTGAAGCGATGTTGTTGGTTGCCGGAGAGCTCAGCCCAGCAACTAGACCCATGCAAACAGTGTTCGCAACCGCACTCCACAGCATTAGAGATCGGCGACCAAAGCTCTCAATGGAAAAGACACAGACGCCGCCCCCAATGGCACCGGATATTTGGTAGACTGCCCCCAGAATCCTCGATGTAATTGGACTGAGATGAAGATGAGTCTGAAAAATAGTTGTGCCTAGAGGATAATGAGCAAAACGAGTCGCATGCATAGCTTGGATCTCAAAACGCACTGTACAACGTGATGCAATTGATACCTGTCATTTGGAGCATTATCAGACCTCCTGCCGCAAGTGATGCACGGTGAAACAATCTCTGATGCCCCATTTGAAAGATTTGGGTAAAGGGGCCTGTTCCAGCAATCGCCAATGAAGACATCACATCTTTTATTTCTTGCTTTACCGCGTCATTGTCCGCCGTTGTTTGCCTGAACATTGAAATGACCTCGCCGGCCTCCGAGAATTGGCCTCGCTGGACCAGCCAACGGGGAGACTCTGGCAACCGAGAAACAAGTGTGAGGACCGGTAAGCACATCAGGATCGGCAACGCCAGAGGGAGACGCCAGCTCACACTCCTATCAGCGAAGGACATGCCAAGATCCACCAGTAGCGCCAATGCGAGGCCCATTCCTATGAAGACACCAGCCGTTCCAACATGAGCACCTCGCTTTTTGGCGGGAGATATCTCGGACTGCCAGATTGGAACGGTCGCAAGCTGACCCCCACACCCAAATCCTAGTATCACGCGCGACACCACAAGCTGCGCAAGATCAAAGGAGCTCGCCGCGAGGAAAGCTCCGATAAGGTGGATCACCGTGGCGATTGTGATGGTGCGCCGCCGTCCGAGGACATCTCCCAGAGCAACACAGGCAATGGCCCCTAAGAGCCCGCCGGCGGCATACAACGCCACAACAGTTCCTTGCACAGTTGACTTGTGATGCCGCTCGGCAGGAAGCGCATCGCCCACATCCATTTGCGGAAATTGCGCCTGGAACCAGTCCATCGTCAATACTCCACCGAGCAATGCCTGGTTATAACCCAGTGACATCATGGCGGGCATGACCACTCCAATTAGAGCCACATGGTTGAGACGATTGCCTCTAAGATCTAGGGGTTTCGGCATTAGAAGCTCGAATTTGGAGCAGCGGAGTGCTGCTCGGATGCGCTCAGATGATCTTGGTGGGTCGTGTAGTGGTAAAGGTTAACGGTAAGCTAGAAAACAAACGCAAACTCCTTGGGTCAATTGCCTGGCCAAAGATCTGGCGGACGTGTTGTCTCACAAATCTGATCCTTGCATTATTGGTGGTTGCATGCCATTCTTCGGGAGGCTGCAAGGGGTGCAATATCTGTACAGTATTGTCTTTCATGAACAGGTACATCACAGCTGAGGGGAATCAGAGCATTCATATCATTTGTTTCAGCCCTCTGCGATATGTCATGTTCCTCAATTCTTCTCAATTCCTACTCAATCTTCGAGACCTGTCGTTATACTCCGTAATGAGGTTTCGAGATCGGTGTGCCATGCCCCACTTTCTTTTGACGGCCACCTTGGAACCTGATACTATCAATCCGGTTTATCGCTGCATTGGAGCCCCTGATCCCCCAAGCCGTCTCAGACTTATCAAATTTCACGGATATCGTTGATTGGGGAATCTCTTATGGAGTCTGCAAACATATGAAGCTTGAAAGCAGGAAGATCCAAATAGGGAATAAATCAACAGTGGACGAAGAGGAAGAAGATAAAGAAGACGGAAGTAAGATATTCAGTTACCTCCCTCTTGTCACAGCAAATCATTCCCAATTTCCCAAGAAAATATTGTTCGATGGGTGTTTGCCCCACCTTCCTTTCCAATTAGGAAGTGAGGCCTCTTCTTCTCTTTCTTGCTATAGTCTCGCTCAATTCCCTTCCTCTCCCTCTCTCTACTAGCACCGCTTTACATGCTCTCACGATCATAGCCTAGTTGCGCATATTACTTCTTACTTGGAGATTTATGGATGTTCTCTGTCTGTCATCTGTGGGCATTCATGGATTGCTACGACTAGACTCTAATTTCTGCTTGGAAAAAGTCACCCGTGGCTATGCGCAGGCGGAGAAAGGGACGAGCGAAATCCAAACTCTCTTGACTCGCATAAATACTAATTGTGTCGCCATATTGTCTTTTTAATATTGTTTTCCATTAGCAGATAGCCAGAGCACAGACAAGATTCAATGTAATCACTCCTTTCATTACGCAAAACCCCGACGACACAACCCTCACAGTCGAATCCGTAGGTCGAGTTCAATGAGCCTATAATTCGCAATCCAAAGGAAAAGCGTGATGGCTGGACATCGGCTTTCACTAGACCAACTGCCCTTATGTGAAGGGCAGTACATGACAGCCCTGGGCCAGACAGATATGTTGTAAAAGTTCCAATTAAGAGTCCAAGTCGGCAACATGGCAATAGTCACCTGTATCCGCAAGGTACAGTCCCCGGGATTGACACAATAGGAGATGAGGAAACGGTTTGATCGTTGCATATTGATGTATTGTGTAACAGAGATGAGACTACTGACATCGAGGTTGAGACGGAGTGAGTCTACAACACGCCCATGCAGCATCACTTCCGACCTCTGTTCATCCTTCTGGTTGTATGATATGGGATCACAGCTCGCGCATGTCACGGTTGGCGGCTCGCTCTTCCACCTCACGTTGTTTGAGAAGGATGACAGTCCCTTCAGGCTCGGAGGGATTCTGGTTGGTATTTCTGGGGCAGCCTTGATCACTGGCAACTTGTCGGAGGTGCCTGCTCTGCACTTTGGCTCTTATACCATCCATTTCGGCCGGTGAGATTTCAACCGTTGTCGGAACGGGGGTAGTGAGTTCGTATTCCCATTGCGGTTGTGCTGCACTGAAAGGCCGGGTTTGTGTGATATGAGGTCCCATCCATTCGCGCCACCAGGGCGGCTTCTGCTGAGGCCTATGACGAGGAGGAGAATTGCTAGGCTGGGCCGGGCCAGGGTTGTCTGAGGATGTTAGTCCTTCTCTTTGTATATGAGTAGAATGAGCGATACCTGATCGCTCTGCCATATTCTTTTTAAAAAAAGACTGGGAGCTTTGGAGTCTGGAGTGCCCAGGTGAATGTGGAGATGATATGGTGGGGATGCTGGGAGATGAAATGAAACACGTCGCGATCTATTCTAGAAGTCAACCTTGGAAACAGCGAATCTCAGCTTTTTTGAAAACGCCAGCCCTGCGGTCTTTTCCACGATTCACTTAATTTTTCCATCCATTGACTATATTAGCATGGAAAAGCAAATCCACTGGGGACAACGAAGTGGAAAGTCGTTCAAATAGAGAACCATTTTGATATTCCTAGAAGGGCAATTCGGGTTATAACACAGCCTCTGATGAGTTCCCGTGGTACCGATGCGTGAGAAATCGGCCCTTGGATATACACTTGAATGGCAAGATTGTCATTAAGATCTCCAAATCAAGCCGTGGATACTAGTAAAGATAACCATGAAAGTGTTAATGATTCCAACGTGGAAGGGTCGAGAGTACAAAAGCTTCGGCTACTGCCTTTTCTCTACATATTCAACCTTGGAATTCTCAGAAGGAATATCTTTATGGTCTTCAAAACAAATTCCATGTAACCTATTTGAGGAGCCAGTGGAATACCCCGGTTTCACTGCATATTGACATCGCCACTGCCGTCTGTGGGCTCTCCACCACCACCAGTAATCGCTGCATCGTTCGCCAGAAATGTATCAAATGTCCAGTCGATTATCATACTTTATATCTCGTGCATTTGACAAAATTATGTGAACTGTACGGAGTAGCTGCAAGTGGGATGCTGTCATATCATTCAGGGGAGGTGCAGGGCTTCCGATAGCACCCTGGACATCAAGAATGACACCTGCCTCCGGACTGATGGTGACGCCGAAGCGTTGTCAAGTGATGGGGTGGCGTAGTTCTCAGCGCAAATATCCGCCCACCGCTGTCGTTGCTCGGGTAATATTGCGACACGTCCTGGTGGATGATGAGTTATAAAATCATCATCTCAATCCTCTGATACTACTCTAGCAGGTCTGGTGTTCAGTGGCGAGGAGAGGGTGTGCACGCGTGAGTGTAAAAAATCACAAAACGAGGCCAGCATAATTCAGAGTAAAGTGAAGTAATTAGGTAACAAATCCAGGACAGTAGGATGGTAGGTAGTTTACAGGATTGAAAAGTTTTCATTTAGGTATCTCCTGAATTGAATAGGTATCTGTATATAATAACCAGAAGGACTCATCTATAAAGCACTGTATAAGATCTTATATTGGCATATAGAAGTAAGAGAAAGAAGTGAAAGTGAGAGTGAGCGTGAGAGTGGGATCTTGGGAATAAACATTAGAGTGAGAGTGAGAGTGAAAGTGAGAGCAAGTGAGTAAATGTAAGCTTGAAGTATTTGGGGTAAACAACTACGGATAAATAAGATAGGAACTTCAAAGAATATACATATATCTATTCACCCCAGGGCAATTTTTCATACCGAGGCATTTTCTCACACCACCTGATCTCGACAGCCTTCGAGGACTGTTCCTAGAGGTGATGGGTGCGCACCTACTCATCACCGGCTTCCTGGTTATCATGTCTCTCCAGATTACCGGTCTTGAAGTATCTATGGATTCTTCCAACTTATACACGGTAGCCTGACCACGGCACTTGTCAACTCCGTAAATATTCTCAAAAAGACTCGCAAAAGAGGAAAGTTCTGACGCTGGATGTCTCGGGCTAAAGCTCAGATTGCAGATCGGCTCTACGGGGATCACAACTGTTACTCATGCTTTCGTCCGTGACCTTCGCTCCTTCTCCCCGGGGTTTGACAAAGGACTGCGAATATTGGAGAACATGATCGATGAAATGAAACCGAATTTGCGACGGTTTCTACCTTTCAGAACGGGAGGAAATGATTGGGCCTTGCTTGTGGCCAAGGAACCTCTAAGTGATTTCAACCCGGTCGGCAAGGAGGTGTCCCTTGTGAAGTCCAACAGAAGGGTATGTTCTCCAAGTCAATTTTACTCTCGTGTTCTAACTCTACTAGGTCGGGACTATACCCCACACGTACGAGACCCCAAGCAACCGACATCCATACCCTGCCGGTCACAACCACGATTTGTGTCTAATTTCGGGTCTCTCGCTTCCCGATCTAGTCAGCCCCCTGGATACCCGCCGATGACAGGGTGGGCGAGCTGTTCGGGAGCGCTGGATGGACAAACATGCTATGTAGTTGCACAGAAACCGGGTCCCGAGACCTATCAACCGACCCGTCACAGGTCTCATCGGCTCGACGTTACTCCACAGGGCAGCCGTTCTTGGGACTGGCTACACCTGGAGCAAACTAGAAAGGCGAGTTAACGCGTTCTTACTCTGGGGAAGAGAGTGTGAGATGGCCCCAGCGGATGGATATACGCGTGCGCCTTGTGTTTAGGCTGCACATCCGACACGGCCGCTTCCGCAGTGGTGTTTCAGAATTTCCAGCAAAACTGCAGACTCCGCGTTATGACTGGAATATGGATGAAAAGATCCTACACCACGGCGAAAGCAGGTTTTGTTGTCCCGCAAGAAATTAGGGATTCTATCATTCTCGGCGGAGAAACACCAACAACAGGGCCGCCCTGTTCAATACCATGGAGCCGAGCAACCGAGCTTCAACAGAACACCACCAAGAGCGACGTGCTTTTTTCCGAGAAATACCTCTCGCCAACATTGAAAGCTTCAATTCGAGAATTCCACATTGCTTTCCTTACATGGCGATTTCCGAAAGGTTGATACCTATCATGTTTCCTAGAAGTGGGAATTTGTTGCAATGTCATTTTGTCGCAAAGGAGTTTTACGCTACAAAGTAGAATAGACCTAGACCTTGAGACCAACAATGCAACGTTCTCCTATTCCAAGGTTATATTAAGACTCAAACAAGGAGATTCAAGATGGTCATCTTCGTAGATGGTGAGTGAAAATATCGTGCCAACCCGGGCACTACGATCCCGATGCATCATATTTATAGAGCAACTGGCATTTACAGCAGAGACACAACCCCTGACCCAGAACCATATGTTTCATTATGTCATTAACAATGTCACCAAGATGACTGGTGCATGAGAATCTAACCCAACTTGTTTGCACTGAGATCCACCCTCTCGATAGGAGAGAGGTACTTGCGTCGATAATACCAGCCAAAACACTTGATGTAAAGCGCAATGGCCAGGACTTGCATGCGCTGCTTGAAAGTGATGCGGACCTTCTGGGGTATGACCTTCAGGTCCGAATGTTCCCTCTCCCAATCGTCGCAGACCTCGTGGAACCGACCAGGCTCGTTCGAAACAACACCATCAACCGCGTGTTCAATAGACCAGCGCATCAGGTTAGGCTCGTCCACCGTCCAGACGTAGATTTGGCGTCGCGCTGCACGGGCGTCCTCCAAGAACCCCTTGCCGAGCGGGCCCATCAACACCTTTTGATTGATGTTGAAGCCCACACGAGGCACTTCGAGGAACTGCCGGGCGTAGCTGGGGTCGGCGCAGATGAGGGATAACGAGTAGCGAGGGAGATGCTTCGATGCGGCAGAGATGAAACGACCGTTCCAGGTGCCGGCCACGATGCGACGGTGCCAGTCAGGTCCGATGGCGGCTATGGGGACTGATTCTGTAGCTTTGGCGATGCCCTGCATGATGGCGTCCGGGTCTTGGGTAAGCTAGAGCATCGTTAGTTGTGCCGGTACATCACGAGCTCAAAATTTACCTTGATGTCGAGCAAGATCCAGATATGCTCCCGACCGGGCTGTCGGAGGTATTCCAAGACATCGACAAAGCGAGGGATAGGCTCGTGGGGAGCCTGCAATGTTCGCAAGGTCTGAAGGTACGACCAGTCACAGTCTCCAACGTTCTTTTTCACGCCATAGCATCGTTCGAGGCTTGGGTCCTTGTGTCGGTGAGCAGAGGTCGGGAAGAAAGGGATGTGCACCTACATGTGAAAGCACAACGACTCCGTCACGGGAGATGTGAAGATCGATTTCGATGGCGTGAGCGCCTACTTCAATACCCTTCTCGATTGCCAGAATTGTGTTCTCGGGGTATTGGCCGTTGAAGCCTCGGTGGGCGATATTTTGGGGTAACCGGACATCCTGATCGACCGGTGAGTGGAGAAAGTGGGCTTTGGGCATTCAGTTAGCTCGACAACCCCATTTCCCAGAACAAACACTTACCAGGGACGTTCTGCGAGTGTCTAGATGATGAAAAGCTCATGTTGACAGTAGTTGGAGAAGAGAAGACGAAACGAAAACCGGACTTTGACGGAGTTAGACGCAGACCCCGCTTGGGTTCGCATTCGCTTAGACATGCAGATCGTTGCGCATCCAGCCATGATCTTCGAATTTGCCTTGAATTTTGAAACAAGAGGCTAGAAGCCCTCATTTGGAACAGGCAGACCCCAAAGCTTCGAAGCTTTGACGCTTTGAAGCTCTGAAGCTCTGGAGATGATGGAGATGGAGACCAGTTGACCACCTCCACGATTACTCAGCTTCATCTCCAAATTTCTCCGAATTTTCCTTATAAGTGGGACGTCATAGCCCACGTTTGAATCATTATTTCACCCTCTGAAAATGGCAGTGCAACAATGGATCACGCCCTTGAAGGGCCTCGATAGCCTCAGTCAGACTGAGGCCCCAATGCCCACACCAGGACCAAGTGAAGTCCTCGTAGAGATTCGCGCCGTGTCCTTGAACTACCGGGACGTGGAAGGTGAGTTCAAAAACCCCACTGCCAGGCCCAATGCTGATGCTTCACAGTGACCAAGGGCGAATATAAACACCACAAAACCGCCGAACAAGATGCCACCATCGTGCCGTGCTCCGACATGTGCGGGGTGGTCACCCAGGTTGGCGCGGGCGTGACAAAGTGGTCGGTCGGCGACCGCGTGCTTTCGACCTTCCTCCCCGATCACCAAACCGGCCAAGTGACCGAGAAGGAGCTTGGCAAAAGTCTGGGACTGCCCGAGGACGGTGTCCTAGCTTCTCACCGCGTCTTCTCCGACCACGGCCTGGTCAAGGCGCCCAGTTTCATGTCCGATGAGGAGGCGGCGACTCTCCCCATTGCGTCGGTGACTGCGTGGATGTCTATCAATGGAATGCGCCCGATCGGACACAGCGGCGGGAAGGACGAATATATTCTGCTTCAAGGAACAGGTGGTGTTGCCATTGCGGGGCTACAGATCGCCAAAGCGGCTGGGGCAAAGGGTATGTTTGAGATCGATTGAGAATTCAGCAGCGCTAACTTGCACAGTGATCATCACCTCCTCGTCGGATTCTAAATTAGACCAAGCCAAGCAATTAGGTGCTGATTTCACTATCAACTACCGCACTAATCCCAACTGGGAGGCCGAGGTGATGAACTATACGCAGAACCATGGCGCGGATATTATCCTCGAAGTTGGCGGCGCAAAGACTTTGCGGAAGAGCTTTGATTGCATCGCTTTCGGCGGTCTCATCGACTGCATTGGCTACGTGTCGGGAAAGATGGATGCCGACGATGATCGCTTGAACGTGAATCTGCTGGCCCTGCGCCGTACTGTGACTCTAAAGGGTATCATCAACGGCCCCAAGGACCGCTTCGAAGAAATGATCCGTTTCTACGAGGAACACCAGATCCGCCCAGTGGTGAACCGGGTGTTTTCGTTCGCTGAAGCTAAGCAAGCGTTCGAATTCTTGGAGAGCGGCAGCCACTTTGGAAAGGTCGTTATCAAAGTTACATAAATAAATCAATTTCCACTGGGCTTGAGAACCCCCGCAACCGGTCCAAGGTCCTCTCCCAATTGCTTCCCATTGACCTCTAGCTTCTGGCAATCCTGCAACACAAACAGCATGCGGGTCCATTCGGTCTCACTGGGGTTGCGCCATCCATGCATCGTAGCCCGCTGGACGGCGACATCTCCTCGCTTCAAAATTACGGGGTCGCTGTCTTCGAGAATCATCTCAACCTCGCCCTCAAGGACAACACCGTAGTCAAGACTCTGTGTGCGGTGAACCACGGCGTGGTTGTTTGGCGCAAAGTCGACGATACGGCATACGGTTCCGCCGGGGTTGACCAGACCCATTGGCTCTGCCGTGGTTTGCTCGTGCTTCTTGACGTCGGCCTCGTTGTTGAGGTCCGCGGGGAATTGACTGGTGTAGACCACGTTGAAAGCCATGCCGGCCGCCTCGTGCGACTCCCACTCGGCAGGGCCTGAGGAATGGATCACGGCTCTGCCAGCATCATTATGGCCGGTGATGTGCCGGGTAATAGGTCGAAGAGGTGAGATTTGGCCGTTGGTGGAAGACATGGTAGAGGGGTAGATTGCGATGAGGCCCGAAACTTACAGCCCCTCCATTCTTATAATCTCGGTGGATCTCGACTCACACCGAATTCGACACGTATCTTCACTCCACCCTGCGGGCCGATTGTAAAGTCGAACAATAAGGTCTGCGCGTGTCTTTTGTGCGATCTGGTCGTGCCCAAACCGATCTCATCGCTCATATGCGGGCCTGCAAATGATGACCAAGCTAATTACCCTTTTGGGAAATTGGTGCTGATGATGTACCACAGGGATCTCAATGGATCCCGCACTTGGAAGTAGAACATTTTCCGAATCTCATCCTTCAGCCCCTGGGGGTTTCTTCAGTTATTAGTAAGAATCTGACGTCGGCAAAAATTTGCGAGCGCACTGTCTCCACGTTGCCGTCCACCCCACGCCCCCAAACCTTCACCTCGCCCGCCCCTGGGGATCCGAAGCGAGATCTAAAACGGGACAAACAATCTGGGGTAGAAGCACCCCCACGCCCTTTTCCTTGCGGGGAAGACATTGCGTGGGACCGAGACCCGTCAAAAAATATAGAAGTGGATCCGTTGATATTCATTTCGCTCTGCTAAGTACATGAAAGGAAGGCTCAACCTTCCCTTTACAAAAACCACCGGAAGTCGGCAGACGCCGGTCCATCTCTCATGCGATCGGTGGGGATATCCCGCGCATGACGTGTGACTCCATCGCGACGATCGCGACGCTTGTTATCCAGCCACATGTACAGACCGAGGCAAGCAGCCAGACAGGCGCCCGCGGCTCCAAACGCCGCCACGCTGATCAGCGCAGGCATGTACTTGGGCGCGTCTTGCTTGCGGAACAGATTGCTGCTGACTAGGCCCATGAGATTGGCCAATGGCACGCCGATACTGGTCAGCAACACACGTCGGCCTTCGTGGGCGATGTTGTTGTTGTACCATGTGCTGAGCATCACGGATGGAGCCGATGTGCCCCATGTCATCATGAAGCAGGCAAAGTACGCGACCTGGAGCTGCGCTTGAACGTCATCGATAGAGGCGTAGATCATGAATCCGCAGAAAGTCAAGAGGAATCCTAGAACAATAAATGGCGATCGAAGCTTCACCCAATCAGACGAGAAAGCGAGAATCAACAGCATTACTGCGCCTGTCACGTTCGGCGCCACGGTGAACAGGTTGGTCTTGACCGTGCTGTAGCCCAGCCGTGCGACAATCTGCGGCATGAAAAGCGCCACGCCTTGCAACGGCACACCGAGACAGATTTCAATGCAGAGGAAGACATATGTCGTGGGGTGCTTGAAGATGGCAATTGCCTCGCGGAAGCTAAACTCCTCATTGACTACCGCACTGGAATCGACTTGGATTCGGTGGAAGGCAAGAGCCTTCTCTTCCTCGGACAAGAATTTGGCCTCCGCTGCACTGCGCGGAAGGTAGAAGAAAGCGAATGTGGCGAAAAGGACGGTAACACCACCCTCGATGATGAACAGATAACGCCAGTTGGGGATGCTGGATCCCTTAATTTGGAACACGCCAAACGCAATGAGCCCAGAAAAGGCATTTGCGATGTTGGACGCAGCATAGAACACAGCCAGGCGACGAGCCAGCTCACCACGGCGGTAGAATGTGGTCAGGTAGTAAATGACCAGCGGGAAGAAGGCAGCCTCGGACATGCCCAAGAACCAGCGAAGCGCGAACATCCCGCTAAAGTTGAATGCTGCTGATGATAGCATCGTGAAGGAGCCGAACGAGAACATGAGAATTGGTAGGACCCGTGCAGGGCTGTACTTCTTTCCCAGCATCGAGAACGGCGGTGCAAAGATCACGAATGGCACAAAGAAGATTGAGAGCAACAAATTGTACTGGTTTGGCTTGAAATTGAGGTCTGCAAAATTAGAGCGAATTCTTTCAAGCATGTGCATCACTTACCATCTGTCATTCCATCTGTCTCTGCATTTCCCAAATTGCCTTTATCCAAAGCATTGAACAGGTCTATTCGGGTCAGCATGGCCCAATGTCAACCAGGTAGCATACTCACACATAACGGCCAAAATTGGTAGCAGGCGATAATCGAACTTCCGACAGAGGCGTCGTTCAGCCTTGTGGTCGACCACCCGGGTCACTTCATCCATGATACCCGGCACAGACTTGGTGGTCTCCTCCGTAGTGCCCACGGTATCTGTCTTCTTGACAGTACCCGCTGGGGATGAGGGACGAGTAGAGCTCGACATCGTGAATCGTATATCCAAAAAAAAAAAGAACAATATACAGAGAAATTGGCACAAGAAAGCGTCAGTAGCTACCGGCACTACTGTCAAACGATTTTACCCTCTCAGCTGCGAGGTCTCCGACTTATCAAGTCCAGCCAGAAGGTGACATCCCTTGCTCTATTAGATAAGAATAATGTTGCATTACCGCGATCAAAGAGCCGACATGTCACCCCCACGCTTCTCCGCATCCTGGAGAGATTAAGGGAACGGGCAAGGATCGCCGTTTCGCGCCAGACGGTTGCATCCGACTTCCCTTTAGGCTTATCTGCGGAGAGAGGTACTTTGGGCCGACGATATCGAGGTTGTCTACATCTGCTAATCTACGTGCATTTTCTCGGAAGATAAGCCCTTCACCCCCTTGATATCCCGTGCAGATCTTGTTTCACTGCTTTCTACATTCCTTCTAGACACTCTGTCACGTTTTGGTCGGGAAGCTTGATTTAAGAAAGGGGCGTTCCCATTCCGGTGCAGGGTTGCATCCATCTGACCTCACCAAATCATCCACACCGATGCCGGCTCTCACTTCATAACCAATCTTGAACGCCGTCAAGATGTCAAAATATTAACTTTCTTCCGAGTTCTAGTTTTCGGGATTAGCCCAATTCATTCAGTGGCAAGATATAGAACAATGGCAATGGATTTGTTTCTCAGATCCAATTCAAATCACATCCCTCTCGGTCTTAAGCTAACCGGCGGGTCATTTCGGCGAGTGATGGTATCATCATAGAAAAGGGAGTACTGCATTTTTGCAGCTGTGGACGCTATAGAAGGGACTTACCGGGATCACTTCCAAGGTTCCAGGGTCTCTGTCGACCCCGCTTTAGGAAAATTGTCGCTACACATACATCTTGTCTGCGACGAGCTCGACATTTAAATATTTCCATTCGAACATCTAATTGATTCCCCTGACTAACTCTTCGTCAACAAGGTATCCTCCACGGGTGCCTGAAGCTCAACGCAAAGCTCAATTATGACTCTTCTGTAGAGCATTATGAGTCAAATTCAAGACCTAGTCACACAGAATCTCGTATTTGTTGTTGATTTCTGCATTGCAATATGCGCTCGGGCCATTTCGACTTCCTAATCGGGTGCCCGTGCGAGCGGCACTCTAGCTCGTTGAATATACCCTGTCACGACTGGTCGAGCTATCTAGCCAAGGTGGATCATCTATGACTCTGAATGCTTGTGTTTACGAAATACCGAAGATCTTCATCTCGACATACTGTGAGGAAATTCAGGGAAGATATGTGGAGCCATCTTGATTCTCAGTAGGCCCAAAGAAGAATGCCCCGAATCTATCTAAGTTCAACCCCTGCGAGTTTTCGCATCAGCTTGAATGGCCTCCTCCGCACGACTCTTCCAGTTGTCCTCCCACCGCGAGAGAGCCGGGCGGTCCTCATATACATCTTCGCTTCCCCATTTCATTCGAGCTTGATCCAGGGAACGGTCAGTCTCCCCGTCGGGGCAGATGATATAGAACGATCCCTTCTCGAGACCGGCGAATAATTCATCGGCGACCTGGCTCGAATGCCAGGCTCCGTCCGGCTTCTTCACTTCTTCTTCCTTGACTGGTCCCACGTTACCCATTAGACCAGTCCATGTCCAGCCAGGAACGAGGAGATGGACAGAAATATGCGAAGTCGATGGGTCGGAACGCAGGTCAAAGGCGAGATGCTCGGTCAGACTCTTGACCGCTGCTTTGGAGGCGTTGTAAGCGGGGTTGCCTCCCCCTGGTGGGTTGGTGATCCCCTGCTTGGAGCCGGTCACCACGATGGACTTGGGGTCCTTGGACTTTGATGCCAGCACCAGTGGTAAAATGGCTTCCAGTCCTTTCAATGGCCCAAACACATTTGTCGCAAATGTCTGTTCACGTCAGATGATTCTGTTTGGTCTTAGCGATCGAGCGTCTTACCCTTGCCCAGTACTCAGAGTCAACCCAAGGGTTGACTCGTCCTCGATCTTCTTGTACCTCTGGTTTGAACCCTTTTCCTGCATTCATCACTACCAGATCGATCTCAGTGAATACCGTCAAGATCTTTTCGCCGATATCTTTCCACGCAGACTGATCCGCGACATCCATTGCGTAAGCCTCGGTGGTCAACTTTGGATTTATTTCGGTGAGGACCGCCTTTGCCTTGGACAGGTTGTCCCTGTCATTGTCCAGGAGGGCGAGGTGCATTCCTTTCTCGCGGCATAGCTTGGCCACGGCGAAGCCAACGCCTGACGCGGCTCCGGTGATCAAGGCAGTCTTGTCGGCTTTGATAACGTTTGACATGGTTGTGGTGTTGGATTGTTGTAAGAGGATAGAGGAATTGACGCAGTTGAAGCAGGTTGGCGACAGCGAGCGATTATTAATGATCTGCGTGTCATCCGGCTTTAGCGGAGATAGACCTGTTTTGGGGCGTTATCGATGCACAAAATTGGAAATCCAGACGGCAATTCTTTCATGATCGTGCAGCATATGGGATTATATTCATCCCATAAATCTACATTGATGGGAAAAGATACCCCTTGCCGTTACAAGGTTCCTGATTGGACCCGGGGTGTACGTGAGGAGAAACTGCGATTGACATTACCACGATACCACACCCGCGTCCTTTGACCACTTGGCACGGAATCCCTTCAGATCTGCCCCAAATTACCATTTCAACAGCTTCCTCATTCCGGCTATCGTGTATAACTCGTGTAGTCTGAAGCTGAGCCGGTCAAACCGATGACGTCATTTCACCTACCCCACGTTGCGATGATCCTCCAGCAAGTTTGACGCTCCACATATAGTCTTCGAACGTTCGAAAGTCAGTTGGATTTTCAATCTCGGTGATCATATAGAATGTATTGTCTGTATTCATATCATGTACAGAAAATTGACAACTTCAGCAAAGAACTCCCAGTGATCGCCCATGTGATAAGGGGTAAAGCTCAGCATATTTACGATTTCTTAGGTTGTTATGGACATAAGTAACCTTGAAATTATCTCCAGGTCTTCTTGCCCAGATTTCAAGCTGAATTTTACAAGTACCTGATAAGCGGATGTTTAGTATCCTGGGCATCGCAATGTCGCCAGAACTAGTGTTGAACATTAGGCTATACTGGAACGTTGCCCCGCCCCTCGCAAGTAGGTACGCTGTGCGGAGTAAGACCCAAGAAGCGGCAATCCGGAATAACATGGGGATTTCATGTTCTGTATATCCATGAATTGTGTTATTAACCAGAATAGCCGATTATACAGCGAGAGATGAATGTCAGTATAAATTCTCCAATGTCCATCCATAACCTTGGAATAGGACAATGATATCGCCCGCGAGATAAAGTCCCCTTACTCCATACTATTCCACGTGGATACAGTCCAAACCATGTTTTCACCGAGACTACGCATATTGATGACTCTGCTCGCTCTCGTGAATCTGGTATCGTCCTTCCCAGTCTTAGCGAATGGAAACCATGCGACAGACGTAGATCAACATTGGGTCAACATCTGGACCACCATGCCTCAACTAGTGGAGCCTGCCAATCTCCCACCAGCTCCATTTGTATGCTACCAATTATGTGCTGTCTACAATCACTGACAATTTTCAACAAAGAATGGTTCGGATTCAGTATTTAGAAATGCCACTATTCGACAAACCATCCAAGTCTCTCTAAGAGCGGATAAGATTCGCATTCGCCTGTCCAATGTATTCGGCACAAATGAACTTGCCATCACCAAAGTGACTGTGAGTATACCAGCGACGCCAGAGGTCGGTGTGAGTGCAGCACAGGACGGGTCTATGAGAACCCTATCCTTTGACGGAAGCGAAAATATCGCAATCCCAATTGGAGCACTGGCTGTCTCCGATCCAATCAACCTTTCCATCAAGGCAGGCTCACCACTTATGATCAGCATTTACCTCGAAGACGGACAAAGTGGCTTCTCAATCACCGGCCATCCGGGGAGCAGAACGACTTCCTACCTTGCATTCGGAAACTGGGTTGATGCGCAGAACATTACGGACCCATCAGTCCAAAGCACAGATCATTGGTTTGTTCATTCTTCGAGATACCACTTCAATCACTGACAGCGCCCAGGTATTTCATCAGCGGTGTAGAAGCCCTGCTGCCTACTCACTTCAAAAGCTTTGCCATCATCGGCGACAGCATTACCGATGGAAGAGGAAGCACAACCAACGCAAACAATCGGTAAGAGCAAATTCACGCAAAGTCGTTCACTACTGACTCTCATCAGTTGGCCTGATTTACTACTGGCCAGAATGCAGAAGCACAACTCGACTTCGAACATAGCCATCCTCAACCAAGCAGCTGGTGGGAACCGTATACTCCAAGACGGTCTCGGACCGAGCGTGGTGAGCCGTCTCGATAGAGATGTGCTAGCACAGTCTGGGATTGAGGTTGCAATGATATTTGAAGGCGTCAACGATATCGGCGTCGCTGATGCAGATACCACGTCGCAAGCAGAGATCGAACGTCGTCTGATTTCAGCTTATAAGCAAATCGCAACGCGAGTTCATGCGCTGGGGATTCCGTTCTTTGGTGCAACGATTACCCCGTTCGGATCATCGGCCACATCTGATTATCTCCAGCCTTATTCTGGCGTTTTTCGTGAGAGGACCCGTCAGAATGTTAATGCATTTATTCGGGAGAGTGGTGTTTTCGACGCTGTCTTGGACTTTGATCGCGTGTTGAGAGACCCTCAAGCTCCTGATCAGCTGTTGGAACAATATGACTCGGGTGATCATCTTCATCCCAATGTCGCGGGGTATCAGGCTCTGGCAGACTGCTTTCCATTGGAGGTGTTTGCTTAGCATTTCAAGGCTGAGGACGGCTCAGGGGTGTGTATCCGTGGACATGCTTGGAAGCCTGCCCCGGGGCCCCTTCGGCACTCTTGCATCCTTGATATAAACGCGCTTGGAATCACCGTTTCCCATGTGGAAAGTGTTGGTTTATAGGTAAATATTTTCTGTGGCTACCTAGAATTGAGGGCTGTTATCTCGATTTCTTCGTGTGACTTGTCTTCGGTTCTACATTTTAGCTATTTGCTATATATTGTACATGCCATGATGTCTACAGGAGATTCTTCATCCAAATAAAATTTAACCGCGACGCTGGAGGCGGTTCTGAACGCTGCGCTTCCTGTACGCACCGCCGTCAATGAGGGCCTGCTGACGACCAGGGCCAAAGTCAGGGGTACCACCGAGAGTACCGAAGATGTCACCAATGTAGTTCTTGGCCTTGACACCATCAGCGAAAGTGGCGTTCCATCCCTCGAGAATACCCTCAACGACCTTGATACCAGCCACGTAGAGGTTCTTAAGCGCAGGCTCGAAGCCACCCTGGTCAGAGTAGAGCAGGTTGTAAGTAGCGGAAGCGCCGGGGTAGGGACGGTCAAAGTCAGACGCGGTGCGCATGATGATGATGCGGGAGAAGTCGGTCAGCTTGTGGGCCGAGGAGCGGAGGAGGACTTCCAGGGTGGCGTTATCCTCCTGGGCGCTGGCGCAGTAGTCGCCGGTTCCGTTGGTTAGGACCTTGGTGGTGTTCTCGAAAGCGGAGCCGAGGATGTTGCCGCTGTAGTAGACATCGGAGGTTGCGACGTCGCACTCGACAACGCTAGGGGGCAGGCTAGCGGCCTTGAACTTTCCGCTGGGAGTCTTGTAGTGAGCACGGTAGGCCTGGGCGGTGGCGGAGTCGGAGAGGTTGGCCTTGCGGGCGAAGTTGGCAGCGATGGTGCGCAGCTCGGCGTTGACCTCGAAGACCTCGGTTCCGTAGATGCTGGTCGGGTACTGGCCGGGGTATTTTGCGCCCTGGGGGATATATCCGGTGGAGTAGGAGCTGTTCAGCTCACGGATGTCGATCTCATACTGGAGAGCGACCTGAACCGCGTACCGAGCAAAGGTTGCGGATCCAGTGGTGGTCTTCTTGGGGCTGACGCCGGCGATACCGGCGACGAACCAGTAGGTCTGGGTGAGATCGAACAGGGGCGAGAAAGCGACCGAGGTGACGGTGGCGGCGGCATTGATCTCGGATTCACCGGTGATCAGCTGGCAGATCTCGTAGTCCTCGGTACAGTGGACATCGGGGAACAAGGGGGAGAGGCCGGGGATGGTGACGTTGCGAGCCAGCAGGTCGAATTCGGGGATGTTCCACCAAGCCTGAGCTTCCGGTTCGAACTGTTTTGCTTGTCAGCTTTGTGCGATTGAGTTTCTGTGCGGGCGCGCATACCATTGAGACAATGAAGACCTTAGGGGCGAACGCCTTGGGCGTGCCAGTGGCTCCGGCGCATAGTGAGCTGCCAGTGAGCAGCAAAGAGGCCGCCAGTGTTCGGATGAGCTGCATGATGAAGGTGGTCTGTGGGATTCAAATTGACCAGGGCCCTTATTTGTAGCAGTCCGTGAAGAATTTTGCTCATTCGGCGCTATGCAGGCACCATCGTCCGATAAGTGGACATGTTGATGTATTTGGGCATGATCGGCGATCGAGCGGAGCGAATGTGAAGCTGGTCCGCAGTGTTATTGGTGCGTCATGGAGCTCCCAGCTGCGATTGAAGAAAATTGTTGGATATCAAAAGTGGGCTCCTTATCTCGGATTTTTTCGAGCTTATCTTCATTTGTGTCCGGAGCTTGCCGGATTTGCGCAACAAGCATTGTGGCAGAAGAGTAAAGCCGTTGAGCATATCAATCTCGCATTATCTCTGGCCTCTTACGTACAAAGATAGAGGTCAGCATACGGAGTAACGTACGGAGTAACGTACGAGGTACTAGTTAGGAATATTAGATCGAACACTATAAGTAGGCCCTAGTCCCACGGCTCCTGCTTCGGTACCGCAGCTTAACCGCGGACACACTTTGACCTTGTTTTCTGGTCAGCCAACGGAAGAGTCGCAAAGGCCTGCCAGGCCTGTCTAGGTTCGACTTTTCCATGAAACTCGGCGCATGGCATGTCTTCTGGTACCCGTCCTAGAGCCATGTGGCATTCTCATGCTTCAACCCAACCACTTGTGTTCACCACCGTCAATGTCAGCTGGCGATTCCCCAGGTGATATCCAGTTTCGACAAGTAAATTGCTTTCTGTTCAGGTGAATCTGTTCAGGTGAAGACAACAAATTACAAAGTATACGTCGCGCGATGTTGATTTTTGTGTAACCAATGTGATGGCACGTTCCGAGTACGTAGAAAAGAAATACTGTCAGTTTCAACGAAATCAGGTGAGAGCATAAATCGCAGCAAACACCACCAGGGCATACGTTATACGTTATATAAGGGCCGAGCCTCCAGTGACGCGGGGGCTTCAAGCCACAGGACCATAGACCATGGACGTGGGGCATGACGCATGTCAAACCGAGAATAGAACGGCAGTGACAGAGTGACAGAGTGACAGACAGGACAAGACAGGATATGCTGATCCCCGGAGATTAAACGGTCTTTCGTCATCTGACGTCATTTTAATCTATACGGGTGTCGCATAATAAAATCAAGGCCTGCTCGTATTCTGCCACTCCAATTTTGAGGCACTTCTCCTGCATCGCAATACCAACAGTTTTCCCGATATACACTCCCATCATATCTACCGCTATGCCGTCAATGCACGAACGGATCCGCGAGGATCTCTACAACAAAGAACGCGCGCTCTGGACCGCCCTCACATCTGCCGATCCAGCACCGGCAATCTTCAAACTCAGTAACCCGGAAGCAAACTTCATGTTCCCTCGACGAGAGATCCTCACATTCGATGACCAAGAAGAGTTCGCCAGGATGGTGCGCCCGCCCTTCCACCGATTCGACGGATACCAGTTCGAGCAAGTCAGAGTAATCATCGTCGATCTTATGGCTGGCGTGGTGACTGGCAAGGTCCGCGCGATCAGAGGGAAGAAGGAATATATTGCGTCGTTCTCAACGACTTGGAGTCAGGGTTCCGATGGAGAATGGACGCTCGCGGCTCATCAAGAAACATTGCTGTGATAGTCGTTCACTGTCAGGGATATATGTGGTGCAATAGGGAGGGGTATAGGCGAAATTGTATTTAAATGATATGATGCTACGCATCACGAGTCAACGAATCTTAATGCTATGCTGCATTCTTCATGCATACGCGAGAGTGAAAGTTGCGGAGTAGGCCCATCGAATCCACGTTCGGTCTTATCCATGGATGGAACCTGATCCCAAACAAATTCCACGAGGGCGTAAAATCCTCATTGGCTGGTAGGAAAGAAAGATGGTGAGACATGTATCAATTCTGATTCCTAGTCTCAGCTATGTTTGACGCATTGTCTCCTCGTGTAACGTCGGATGCAGTGTTTCAATAGCGCCTTGCGTGGTTCTTATGCAAGCGCCTTGGCATTATAACAATGTGGTGTATAGAAAAACACACCATAAAGTGTCGAGTATTCTAGAGAGATAAATTGTTAGGGAGATTCTTGTTCAGTCTGATTTATCAACACCAACTTTGAGGTCCTAGGCCACAAACACCCTCATCCGGGGAGATGACCATTTTCCTGTATGCAACATTGCATCAAGAAACAAAACTCATATGCACCGTGCCAACTCAGCTGCAGCAAACTTTAGGCGAGGATCTTCCAAGGTTTCCTCTTGCTGCGACTTCTCGACTCACTTTTGCCAACTACCTGTCCGCACTTCTGGCTCGATGGTTGCATTTTCAAGTCCACGGCACTGAAAGACGCGAAAGTCACCATGTTGAACCGACTCATTCATGATGAGCCATGGGGAGCTCAGTGGAGGTCCTCTATGTATTTTGTTGTTGCGACGATGGCAGTGGCTTTGCTAACGGGTAAAACTCCCGCGTCGTGCAAACAAAGGTCGTTCTAACCATGCCACTAGACATGTATTTGTACGGATTCCTGGTACCACTGCTTCCATACGTCCTGGAACATCGTCTGGGGCTCGACGAGGCCCTCACTCAGCGCTTCAGCACGGCATTGTTATCTCAGAACGCTCTGATAATGGTCGTTGCAAGCCCTTTCATCGGATCGCACGCCGATCGCTCGGGCGCAAAACGTGCATGGCTTCTGAGCGGACTTGGAGGTGCTCTGCTCGGGTCTTTGGTTATCGCGCTTGCGACTTCTGGTTCGTGGTTATTGAGCTGGCACCCTGATTGAGTTAACATCTAGTCGTCAGTCTTCACCTTGTTTGCAGGAAGGCTCATCCAGTCTTTTGCCAGTACTTCTGTCTGGGTCGTGGGATTTTCAACACTTGCGGACCATGTCCCCGCAAATCAAATTGGCAGGATGTACGGCTTCGTGACCGTTGCCGTTGCAATTGGGACTTCAGCCGGGCCGCTAGTCAGCGGAGTGCTGTTCGACCTTGGCGGGTACTGGGTGGCCTGGTCAAGTGTGCTATTCATCGTGATAGTTGATGTGATAATGCGATGTCTGATGATAGATAACACGGCGCGGGATAGAGCCGCCCACATAAAGTCGGACGAAGAAGAATCTGAAAGACAGACATTGCTATCACCTTCAACGGATAGCGAGGAAGAACAAACTTCTAGGACAGAGAAGACAGGCATCCACTTCTACAAGACCTTGCTTAGCAATGGCCGTTTCATAGGAGGCATCGCCTGTTATTTGTGCTTTGCAATCCTAACAGCCAGCTTTGACGCGACACTCCCTCTTCACGTGCGTGACACGTTTCAATGGGGATCTATGCCAGCGGGGCTTTTGTTTGCCTTTCTTCAGGGCCCGGGTGTGTTCCTTAGCGTGCCCATCGGCTGGCTGAAGGATCAAGTGGGTACACGATACCCGACCACGATTGGCTTTGCGCTGCTCGTACCTTTGTTGTGGGCGATCGGGATCCCGGGGACGAACGGTTTCCCTGGGCCAGTGCAGGGAAATTCGGACCGACCATGTACAGTGTTGCAGTGTGCGGTGCAGGGGTTGTGATTTGTCTATTGAATGGGGTGGGGATGATGGAAGCGACTCGTAAGTTTGTCTGATATTCCGACCCCTGACCCTGGCTAATAACAGTCGTTCGTATCTGCAGAGGCCGTGGATGAGATTCAAGGGAGGAGTCCTGGGATCTTTGGACGGAATGGTGGGTATTCCCGAGCCATCTCGTTAGTAAGCATGAGCTGGACGGCGGGGATGTTCATTGGGCCCATTTTGGCGGGATACGGCGTGGAGCAAATCGGATATTATGGCATGAACTGTGTTCTGGGTATGTTTGTCCCCTGTCAGAATCATGTCTCGGGGCTAACGTGACCAGCGGGGATGTGCGGACTTTGTTCCTTGGTCGCGTTCTGGAATTTGAAGTCGTCCGTGCCCCAACGGCCTGCTAGTCCTGTGGGGTAGAGCGAGAACGGGAAGACCAGCCGTGTCTCGATATATTGAAGAAAGGCCGGCGTTTGGGGTTAGAACCTAATGGAGTAAAGAAGGAGAAAAAACTTGGAAGACCAGCACTAGTGCGACAAAAGCACGAAAAGGGGGACCCAGAACTCACGGACTCCACATAACTACCTTTCGCACTGAAGGACATCATTCAGCTGTCACTACTCCGTATGAGTAAGGGGAGTCTAGAGGTCTAGAAGCACAGATGAAACAAAGAGTGGTTGGACCTCGGGGATATAGATAGTCTGAACCATGGAACCGGTGGGACCAGGGGATCTGTGTACCAGGAAAGAGCAATGAAATTGATCATTCCGACCAATAGGAATGCTAGAATCCAATCAGCCACTGCAAACTCAAATAAAGTACAAACGCACCTGTCAAAAAAAATCCTGACTCCTTCCTGAAGAGACTGATTTCTTTGTTTGACATTGTCAACGCCACCTTCTCCTGACTAAAGCCGCTCGCTTACTGGCGACGCCTTCAAAAAACCCAACTGGAAATATTGTGATCGATCAACAGTGACACGAAGACTCCACCTCGGAACCACGGATGCGACTGGGGAAAAAAGGACCGAATGATCTCCTCTCCGGCCGAACTAGTTTAGTTTTCCGAGGCCGTTTAACTAGTTTAGTTGGTCTTATATTATATAATAGTACGATGGGGATTCTGCAGGTGTGAAAAAAAAAAATCCTCTAGCTTATGCCAAGTCAGAGATTTCCTTAGCGATACACTCCACTGGCATCGGCAGATCAGGAACCTAACACTCACACAGCGGGACAACCATGATGGACACGATTCGTCCGAGAAATATTGTCATTGTTGGCGCAGGAATCGCCGGCATTGCATGCGCCATATCCCTGTCCAAGGAGCTCACTCCGTTTGTCCCAAACTTGCAGATCAGCGTGTACGAACGTCATGACATATTATCGACCTCCGGTGGCGCTATCAACTTGACACCCGTCGCCCAGCGGCATCTCGCACAATTGGGGGTATTGGATGAGCTCGATCGGATGGGCCCGGAGGGAGGTGCCGATGTGGATGCCATAGAGCTATTTTCCTGCCGTTCTGGCCGTTCAATCGGCTCCATCAACTTCACCGACCACAACGGCAAAGGCTTTGGCGGATACAAGGGCCGAAGAGTGATGAGGATCATCTTGTCGATGGCCATGTTGAACGTCGTGGACCGAACGAAGAACATCGAACTCATATTTGGCAAAAAGGTCGTCGGGGGCGAGGAGTTCGACGATAGAGCCGTTTTGCATTTCCAGGATGGCACCGAGACTTCCGCTGATTTAGTGATCGGCTGTGACGGCGTCCACTCGGCGGTCCGAACCCAATTCGTCGATGTGGATCGGCCTGCCGAGTACACCGGGCTGTCCTTTCTGCAAGCCACCATCGAAGCGGATACTCTTTCATCCCCCGTCCACTTCAAATCATCATCCCTCAATCTCTCTCGTCATGGCTCCATGCTCGCCAGCTATTGTGATCGTGAGAGCGACCAGATTTTCGCGGCTGCCATTGTCCAATTTAGCCAAGAAGCGCTGAGCCGCTATCGACTGGAGGCGGGCCAGGACTGGGCCACTCAGCATCGGATTCGTTGCGCTCTCCGCGAAGAGGTCAGAGCTCGTTTCGGCAAGACCTCTATTCCCTGTATCCGTGAGATGATTAACAGTCAAGCGGATTGGATGCTTTACCCCGTATACCAAGTCCGCCCCGGAGGCCGATGGTGTCTCAACCGGGTGATTTTGCTTGGCGACGCAGCACACGCTGTAAGTCTTCCCGATCGTGGGACATGATTAAATCTGACAATGAAATAGATGCCCCCGCGTGATGAGTCTGCAGCATACGCATTAGACGACGCGATCCTGTTCTCGCGCATCTTGGCGCGTTATCGCTCTGAGCCTCTGACTGAGGTGTTCGACGCGTATGAAAGCCTCCGACGCGATACAATCAACCACGCATTCAAAGAGTCCCGCCGCATGTGGGAGCGCAACCGTGACATGGGATTGCTGGAAGGAAGACTGAAAGAATGGATGATGTCCCTGCACCTCAAGTCCCACGAAACCGCACGGGAGGCTGCATGGGAATTTGACGCGACTAAGATGGCGCTCCCTACACCGGCACCGAGTGAAGACTTGGTGTCGTTGAACTCGTTCCTTCGTGAACGTACCATTTGAGAACAAGCATTTGATAAAGTGACGGAGTTTGGGTGACTTGCATGGAATGGAGCGTGTTAATTTTTAACAGATACCCGGCAATGAGTTGCATCTACATCATGTCGCGACTTTAATTAGCCTTCTACATACAGAATACTTTCTGCGATTTTTCATTTTTGATGATCGAATTAATTATTTTCCTTCGATCTAGCTCGTCTGATCAATCAATGATGATTTGCATACTACCGATCGACTACATCAACCACTTCCGGTTTTCTTACTATGCATTCCTGTTAGGAGTTATCGTTTACATGGTAGATTTGATACTAATGCTATCGCTTAATCAACGGTGCCTTCGCATGTATGGCTGAAGGAGGCATTCAAGCTGCTGCCATCTCATTGTTTCACTTCCAGCCCGGGTAGAGGGAACCATCAGTCTGGGCATCATCGTCTCGCTTCTTCCAGCCCGGGTACAGAGGACCGTCAGTCTGGGCATCGTCGTCTCGCTTCTTCCAGCCCGGGTACAGAGGACCGTCAGTCTAGGCATCGTCGTCTCGCTTCTTCCAGCCCGGGTAGAGAGAGCCGTCACCCTTGGAGTCGTCTCGCTTCCAACCGGGGTAGAGGGGACCATCAACGTTCGGGTCCACACCGTCGCGTTTCCATCCATCTGTTGGTCTTGGGAGAGCACTAGCACCTGCCGCAAGGCCAGCAGCGAGAGCTATGGCAAAAGAGAGCTTCATTCCGGCGTGCGATTAGCTGTTTGGAGTCTTGGGTCTCGTTAGCTCGGAGTTGAGATCAACGACGAGAGCAGACACACTTGAGTTTTGAGATGAGATTATGATCTGGAATTTGTTGTTTTCCGGGTGAGCGCAGGGTGAGAGACATTCTCCTGTCATCTTTCTAGTATTTATAGTCCATTGCCATGGATAGAATTGAGACTGGGAGGCCAAATATCAGTATCCGCATGCCTAATCGGGCTAAATCCGCCCAAGAGGTCTCATCGCATCAGCATGTCATCTTGGCAACGGTTGACCACAACCAAATATAATCCAATTAGATCATTCTTCTGGACGCCATTCGAAGGGTTTGTTGCCCCAGAATAGTTGTCAAACAAAACCACCATTGATTGACCTATCATGCAGCACTCACAGAACTCGGTCGCCCAAGGCCAAGGACCTAAAGTTGATGACCGCATTAGATCATGCTGTGCTATTGGCGTGTTCAGGCCAACTTGTAGTATGGCAACAAGCACCAAAGGTGCTAATTTATATCCTAGTCTTATATGGCACAATCCTGTCGCTGGCTTGCTACCAGTAGAGGAGGGCTGTCTCAGAACCCCAATATGCTTGAGCCTGTACCTTCCAGTCAAATCATGGATCGATCGCCCACTGATTGTGATTCACCCTCTATCATGTCCTCATCGCACTTTTAGTTAAAGGCTATTGCCAGACCGAATCCGTTTGAGTCTAGTGGATCCAAATGGCGCTTTGTAAAGAGCCAAAGTAGATCATTGTGGCTTTTCTGACTGCAGAACAAACTACAATGTCAAAGTGGCATTACTTACGACCTTCAAGGTTGCATCAAGGCTTCTGGTCATGCCATATTTGAAGGCGTAGGGCCCATGTAACCCTGGAGTGAGGCTCTTCACGAGTTTGCCGTGGATCCGTCGATACCACCTTTGTACTTGGACTGATATACTCCGAAAGATACGTAAATCATAACAAAATGCTGTCATGTTTTGATTTACTTGTAGTTGAGGATTGTCGATATGTCTTTCATATCGTAAACAACCTTGGAAAGACGTGGAACAATATGTGTTGTCGAGATGAGACACCCAGCATTTGCTGTCCTTGAAACCGAATGAGCGATCTAATTCCAAATGAGCCTCAGAATGTCTGGATCTTGGATAATTGCCGGGGAGCTACTAAAAATAAACCGAGTATAACTTTCTTCCCAATATTGCCCATCATGTTTCGGTCGGAAAGCCGCGATCCATGTAGTAAGATGGCACGAGGCTCCCCGCCGATGGAACTTGCAGTAAGCCTCATAGGGTGGCGTAAAATTGAACTAGAACAAACGAGGACATTGACAGAAAAGATAGAAAAACAATTGCTGACTCAAAAGAGGCAGGAAGAACAAAGAACTTCCACTGGGACTTTGGGAAAGAATGAAAAGACCCCGTTAAAAGCGACGGGCGTAACGAAGTACGAACCTTGGAACGTGCTTTAACAACGACTTCGCGTGTAGCATCGGCCATACCTAGGTACTTTCCAAGCTTTTGAACGACTCGAACTAGCTAAAGACAAGCTTCGAAAAGAGCCATCGCATCGGCAGCTCTCTCATAATGTAACCAAAAATGTACGACCTGCTGGTCTGTGCTCTAAAACGTGGAGAATATTTACTTCATAACTTTATGCAGCCAGAGATAGTTGAATTTGATCCACTATTCAAAACACTAACATACAACTCAACCAAACACAAGCTCAATCTCAAACATTGCTCACAATACTAACCCGCTGATTCTCTGGCTGCCTCCACCACTACTGACTTCATCGCTTAGAAAGTGAGAGTCTGTCCAGCGGTGCCAACAACAGCGCTTTGGACCTTGGAGGAACCGAGGAGGGTGTAGCTGTAGGGCACAGACTTCAAGGTACCAGCGGAAGCAGTGTTGGATCCGGAACCGAAGTCGTTGTCGTTGGCAACGGCGTAACCGCCGTCGGTGGAGTAGAGAGGCTTCTTGCTGCCGGAGAAGACGTTGGACTCAACCAAAAGCTGAGCACCCTGGCGGGTGTTGATGCCGTCGGAAACGTCGAGGTAGTAGCTGTTGTAGATGTGACCGGTACCGAAACGGAAGGAAGGACCGCGAGAGTTGATGTTGTACCAGTAGTTGTTGCTGTAGGTAACACGGAGGTGACCGGTGTCCTCGTCGCCGTTGCTGTCGGAGTGTCCAACAAGGGATGCCTTCCAGTGGTCGTGGATGAAGGTGTTGGAGACAGTGACGTAGTCGGCAGCGTGAGTGAGCTATTCCGCGTTAGACTCTGTCCGTGCTTGAGGTGTCAACACATTGTGCTTACATCAATCAGGCCATCGTAGTAGTCCTTGTCGTGATCGGTGTCGGAGGACACATCGCAGTGGTCAATCCACACATTGGTCGATTTTTCTAGAGGGAGTCAGCTGCTTTAAATAATTCTTGTAGGTTGATACACTTACGGACACCAATGGCATCGCCATTGTCAGCCAGAACCTTCTTCACACCCAAGTTGCGGATGATGACATTGGACTCTTCCTTGACCAGGCTGTATCGGGTCAATATCGGCAACGCGGACTTTTTTCTAGGAATATACTCACATTCCGAATCCACTGAGGATGGCGTTGGAGTCCTTGCCGAGAATGCTAGTGTTGCTTCCAACACGAACCTGATCGGCGGCCTTGGTGATAGTACCACTCACAACGACAACTTTGGCGGAATCGCCAGAGACAGCGGAGGTGAAGGCGGCGTAGGATGAAACTGTAGTGGTAGTTCCACCAGCACCTCCGGTGGTGCCGCCATTCTGGCTAGCATAGCCAGTGGCAGCCTGTAGAGACTTATGTTAGAGCGTACATCTTCAAGTCTTCAATGTGCCAATGCTCACATCATCGATGCTTGCGCGCTTTCCCAGAAGCTTCACATCATTCACAGTCGCGGTGGGAGCTCCCAGCGCCAGGCTGGAGAGACATCCGACCATCGCAACTGCGATCTTGCTGATAGGAGCCATCACGGTCACTTGTGTGAAGTTTAGAGAAAGAACGGAGTGGGTTTTCGTAAGGTGACAGTAGTAGTTGCTGGTAATCAGAAGATAAACAACATCAACGTGTGCAGAAAGGTCTTATATAGATATCTCACAGTCGTCTAGTGATCCCATCGGTAGCTCAGCATAGCCACAGACTATCCTCTTAGTCGTGATAGAATCTCCGTCATGGATAATCTCTCAAAGGTCTAGTCCAAGGAACTATCACACAGGTGGACATGACACCACTAATTCTCCGACGCCTCAAGTATCAAACTGATACTTCAGGGGTTGTTTTGACGGTTGCCAAGCCTAAGCCCATGCTCCTCCTCCGGGAGTCAGAGCTTGGCATTGTGAAGGATAGCTGCCAATCCGCCACGGGCCGAAGTTTCACAGAAAGAAAAAGGCTAGCTTGTGCATGTCGACCTGTGCGGAGAGCCTGTGAATGGAGCGATCATTGAGACCGATGGGAAGAATAATTCCACTTGCGCTGTACGAGAGGAGCTCGGACATCCGAAACACGCTGTGGAGGTGACGAATGCCGCCAAGAAAGCGGGAGTTTGAACACTTTTCGCCGATCTTGGCGTCTTTTGAAGCGTCACGCCGAGTATTTTCCATCAATTGATGCATTTTATGACATGACAAAAGTGGAAATGAAAGGGGGAATCAGAGGCTCTCACTTCGGTAGAACTCCGGCACTTGTGAACGAATTGTGCCTGTTTCATCACCTCGCTTACGGGCGATTTCCAAGAGATTGCCTAAAGGCTCGACATGTCGAAAGCTGCATCATGACTCAGTCAACGTGAAGTGATCTCAGTGCAGCCGTTGTGTGACTGACAGAATTACTCGGTCAAATGACGTGACGAGCGGCATAGATTTCTCCCCTCCTCATTACCCATGCACACAAACACAGCGGACCACCTTCCGCAATTTATGGAGACGTGGCGACTTCAGCAGAGTCCTGAATACCTGCATATTTGCCATTCAGCTGCAACGGACCCAAGTGTTGTGGCTGAGTAATCCCTGTCCCTGGCGGGAGTGTGAACTTTGTCCTTGCGGGGTGACTTTGCGGGGAATTAAACATCTCAAGACACTTCATCATAGGCGGAATGGCAGGAGCATTTTCATCCGTGCCAGTTGTCGACATCGCTCGCTTGACCGACCCTGCTACGAAGGCTGAGGAGCTTTCGAAGCTTCGTAATGCAATCTTTGTTGTCGGGTTTCTGTACTTGACCAACACCGGATTGGAGGTGCGAACATCCGGGGACTTCTGGAGCTCCATGCTAACTGGAGCAGGGTCTGATCCAACGTATGCATGACAATCTCCCAAGGCTCTTCGCGTTGTCCGAAGAGACCAAGGAAAAATGCAACATGATCAACTCGCCATCCTTCCTCGGGTACACCCGATTGGGTGCTGAGACCACTGCGACAAAAACGGATCTTCGCGAGGTATACACAAGTTTCTCCGGACTGTCACAGCTCATATCCTGACCTTACTTTCCCAGCAATTCGACTTTGGTACCCCCGGAATGAAGGCCTGGACAAAAACGGATCCCTTCTGGCAGCGACTCGAGGGTTCAAACCAGGTATCTGCCCCCTCCCCGCCAAAGTTGATACCCTTCATTTACTCTTTATAGTACCCAGACTACCCTGGTGCGCAAGACCTTGTGGACGGCTACCTCGCAAGAATTGACGATCTGGCGCAGAGCTTTGTGCGCCTTGTGGCCGAGTGCCTCTCCCTTCCATCGGATACTTTCGATGGCTTCAAGGGAAACATGAGTCGACTGAAATTTGTCAAATACCCGCAAGCACCGGAAAACTCGCAGGGCGTTGGACCCCACAAAGATTCTGCGGGTCTTTTCACATTCCTGTCTCAAGACAACACAGGCGGTCTACAGGTTCTGAATAAAAACGGAGACTGGATCGATGTCCCTCCCATCGATGGAAGCTTGGTGGTCAACATCCAACAAGGGTTCGAGGCAATCACTGGTGGTATCTGTGCAGCCACCACACACCGAGTCATCGTATGTCCAGAAACCCTCCCAGATTTCCCTTCGTTGACTCAGCTGCCTTTAGGCACCCACCTCGCAAACCCGATATAGTATCCCATTCTTCCTTGGAGTGAGACTTGATCTGACACTCGAACAACTGAAAGACTCAGCCGCCCATATTGTCCAGCGCATACCAGTGTCGGATGACAAGAAGAAACGAGCTGTGGATGTGCCAAGTGAATTCCTTTCGCCCCTTTACTCCTGTGTAAGTGACTCATTGGCCAGCCAGTGCTTTATTTTGAATTTGCACTGACGAGTCGCAGTTCGGAGAGGCACATTTGAGAAATCGGATCCTTAGCCATCCTGATGTCGGTCGCCGATGGTATCCAGAATTGTATCTTACATACTCCAAGCAGAGCTTAGAATAGATGTGTCGGGGCTTTGAGGATAAATGTGGCGATCCAATGAATAATGAGAGGAGGGTTTAATGCACAGGTGAACAGAGCTGTTCTGGTTGACTACCTCCACGGGTACGCAGTAAGCCTCGCAACACCCGTGGACCTATCCTGACCCGGGATCATTTCCACACCTCATCTCGTGGTGCCTTTTTGCTTGCATCCATTTATCTGTCCGCAGTCCTGGAGTTGAACACCTCGAAAATTTTGATCAGAACTACCTAGCACCTGCACCCCATCCATGGATGTAAGTGGGAAAATGTGCGACGAATTTTGGGGGTGATTGAACCGATATATACTGCTGCAGGGAATGACCACACTCGTCTCACCAAAAAATGAAAATCAATTTTTGAAAAGTCAGTGGCGGCTGCATGGGCCAATTTCAAATTCATTCCAAGGTTCCAAAGTTACACACGAGACAAACGATCAGATATATGCACGCACTCTGTGCAGGCAGAATTGTGTTCGTCATAGAGCAGATGGGGATTGAGACCCCCAAAATCCCCCGCGGGGTAATTTGTACTTCCCTTCAACAATCTCGCTAGAATGACAATCAATACTGCTGCCATCGAGGCTCTGAAGAGCCGCTTAGAGAATGCAACCCTCTATACACCGGATTCGGAGAATTATAAACAAAGTCTGATCCGCTGGTCGGATACCGGCATCAAACCCGCGGTACGTGAGATAACTCGCCGGATGTGATACACACCTAACTCTTTCCCAGGGAGCGGTAGTCCAGCCCACTCAAGCATCTGATATATCCGTTGCTCTACTGTGGGCACAAGAGAATGCCATAGAGGTCGCCGTCAAAGGTGGTGGTCATTCAACCGCAGGCACGAGCTCGAGCGCCGGTGGGCTGGTGATTGATCTCTCGCGGATGAACGGAGTCACTGTGGATACTTCCCGAAAAACAATCACTGCCCAAGGAGGAGCGACGTGGAAAGAAGTCGACGAGACCGGTGCGGCTCATGGATTGGCCGCCGTAGGCGGCACGGTCAACCACACCGGCGTTGGGGGTCTGACTTTGGGGGGCGGGTATGGCTGGCTGAGCGGGCAGTATGGTCTGACCATCGACAATCTGCTTTCCGCGACCGTGGTTTTAGCGGATGGTCGCGTCGTCAAGGCTTCTCTCTCCGAGAATGAGGACTTATTTTGGGGCCTGCGGGGCGCCGGGTATAATTTTGGCGTCGTCGTGGACTTTACCTACCAGGCCTATGAGCAAAAGGACCCCGTCTACTCCGGCCTGCTGGCATATACACCGGACAAACTTGAAGGAGTCATAGGCGCGCTGAATGCTATACTAACGGAACCTGACTCTCGCCTCGGGGCAATGTGCGCGTTCGCACTTTCCCCTGACGGCTCGGGGCCGATGATTCTCGTGGTCGGTTTCTTCAACGGTTCTCGGGAAGAGGGTGAGAGCAAGTTCGCCAGCTTCACGACTCTAGAGCCTGTTCTGAACACCCTTGATCTGATTCCGTACTCCATGGTCAACACACTCCAGAACCCACAGGCTACCTACGGCGATCGCAAGACCCTCAAAGGTATTTTCTACCAGCCGGCGCTGGACCCTAAGTTCGCACGAGTAATCTTCAATGATTTCATGTCCAAGATTCAATCCGAGCCCGACATGGCGACTTCGGCCATTCTCCTGGAGTTCTATGATATGCGCAAGACCTGCGAAGTGCCCTTGGAATCCACGTCGCTTTCCAGTCGCAACTTCACGCAGAATGGACTCATTTCCCTCAGATGGACCGATGCTACAAAGGATCTAGAGCACCGGGCGTGGGCACGAGAGGCCCAGAATAAGTGGAAAGCCGAGTTGGACGCCAAGTCCAGTGACCAGGGCGACGAGTCAAACGTGCCTCAGTACATCAACTATGCAGAGCGTGAGTTCTAACATGATGAGACTTTATTTCATCGAATGCTAATCCATTCTAGCCGGTGACTCGGCGGTCTCAAGCATTTATGGCCAAAATCTTGGCCGATTGCAGGGGCTGAAGGTCAAGTATGATCCTAACAACGTCTTCCACAAGATGCATGCGATCCCAATCGATGTGTAAATGGTATACTTGATCAAGATACGACATAGTATCGTTGCGATGACAAGGGTGCTTGATACAAGCGCAGTCTTGGCTGATAGAGCAAATGTTTTCTACAGCAGACTTCGTTTTTTACAAAGTGCTTGGAACTTGGCCAATGAATATATGATAAATCATTTGTACTCAGAATAATCTGCAAGGGCACCGTAACGAGTTAAAATCCAAATTTCTAAACTCACAGCCGCGGGAAAATATTGTACTTGACGGCTTTCACCGTGGTCCAACTTTCTAGAGCCTCCTCGCCCATGTCTCTCCCGAAACCGCTCTCCTTCACTCCTCCAAAGGGAACGTTAGGACTGAGCATAGCCCACGCATTGACAGTCACTTGTCCCGACTCTAGTGCTTTGGTCACACGATGGGCGCGACTGACATCGTTGGTGAAGATAGCCGCACTTAGACCGTGGTGCGAGTCGTTCGCCTTGAAGATCACTTCTTCTTCCGTGGAGAACTTGGCGATACTCTTGCAGACACACAGCCATTAGTCTTCAATTCTTGACACGAGGAAGAGAAAGATTGCTTACCGCGACCGGACCAAATATCTCCTCCCGCATGATCGTCGCATCATCACCGACATCCGCGAAAGCAGTGTTTTCGACAAAGTACCCTGTTTTCCCTATCTGCTCTCCACCAAACAGGAGCTTGGCTCCGGATTGTTTGCCTTGGCGGATGAAATCAAGAATCTTCTCATGTTGCACCCGACTCACCACTGGGCCCTTTGTAGTGGAAGCATCTAACGGATTTCCTGCGACAGTTGGGGCCTCGGCTGAAGCCTTTTTATAGGCTTCGATGAACCGATCATAAATTGACTCTTGGACATAGATCCGGGATCCCGCAGCACAGATCTGACCATTATTGGCTGTGATTCCGATCCGAGTCCACAGTAGTGCGTTCTCGAGATCGCAGTCATCAAACACAATAGATGGTCCCTTTCCACCGAGTTCCAGGCTGACCTTTTTCAGATTGGTCCGAGACGCGGCTTGCAAAATCTTGCGACCTGCCAGTGCGCTTCCAGTGAATGCCACCTTGCGTACCTCCATGTGCTCCGATAATGCCTGGCCCGCACTGGCGCCGTCACCTGTGACCACTGTAACAACACCGGGAGGGAACCCAGCTTCTTTGACCAACTCCGCAAGTCGCAAAGCGTAAAGTGGCGAGTTCTCAGAGGATTTGATGATCAGTACGTTGCCGGCCACCAATGCAGGGGCGAGCTTCCATATAGTGATCATGCTGGAAGAAAGTCAGTATCACTCACGCGGCATTCTGCGGTAGGCGATAAGACTTACAGAGGAGCATTCCACGGCACAATGGCGGCACAAACACCCAACGGTTCTCGATGGGTATAGGCAATGCCACCGTCCATATCCAGAGTCTTACCATCAATCTTGTCCGCCCAACCCGCGTAATATCGGAGACACCCGACGGCCTGAGGAATGTTCATCCCAATCGAATCGGTATAGAGGACACCGGCATCGATGGCTTCAAGGGAGGCCAGGTCTTGTGCATTTTGCTCCAGCAAGTCCGCCAACTTCAACAACAGCTGGGCTTTGGCAGGTCCAGAGACAGTCTTCCATATCTTAAACCCCGCCTTTGCAGATTGGACAGCATTATTGATATCCTCCGGTCCGGCAGCGGAGATTGTCCCAATTTGCTCACCAGTTGCAGGATTCTCTACCGGAAGTACCTGACCAGTGGACGAGGGCACAAATCGATTGTTGATGAACAACCCAGTCGGAACTTGTGAAAGTCAACAAGGGGATATGCTAGCCGACGAATGGCAATCTTACCTGTAATTTGGCGGCCTTGAAACCCGGTCACAGTCAGATTTGAAGCCATTTTTATCACCAGAAAAAGTTAAACACAGTCTTACAGCCAGGAGGAACAAGCATTTGATATTGACTTTTGTATCTCACCTCGGAAAGCATTCCGTTCGCGCGGAACTGGCCGTGAGATACCCGTTGTGCCCAGAGTGTGGGGGCCGATCGCCAAAAGAGGGGCGTCTGGCTTAGTTGGACCGCCGTTCATGAATTTGCAATCAATTTCCAAGGTCCTAGGTAAATGTATCATGCTCATGAACGAAATACCAATATGAAATCGACATGACCTTGGAATACCTATTTGGTTGTGTTTCCATACATGAGCAGTGTGCCAACTCCAGGATTTTTGGTTATGTTTTGCTCTAAAGAGGTCTCGCTGTATTTGACAAAGGAGATAAAGCACCAATTTTGAAGCAAGGAAGACTCGTATGAGCATATTTCCTTCGATAACTCTCTATACACGACCGTTGTACTGTCACCAAACCACCTGAATTATTGTGTTGACCCAGCAAGTGGAAAGGGTCGATAGTGTACAGAAATACACTTTTAGTCTATGCATGCGATGTCAGCGCGTCCATTCGTCACTCACATGGAATCCAACGATGGATATCCTTGGAGATGACTCACTCCCTCGGACTCTATTTGGCCTTCCAAAAGCCCCAAGCCAAAACAAGCAATGCTTTGATCCCGGCAGAGAGCCACAGGATAGGAGTAATCGCACGAGTAGCCTTGGTAACCCAACCGCCCACGATCGCACCCACGAGTGTCAACACAAAGGCAATGACTCTACGATCACGCTTCTCATTCCGTAAGAGGAACAGCTTCGGATCCGACATCAGATCACACAGAAGACTGGTTATGACCACGGTCGGGATCTCATTGAAGCCCAAGGCACGACTTGCCACTATCTGACCTGCCGATTGGAGACTGAGAAGCACAATAGGGACTTCTTGGTCCCACGGCGGCACTTTTGTTGATAGCTTCCCATCAAGGGTACTGGATATGGCGCCCCCTTGGACAAGTCCAGCTGTCAGCAGGATCAAACAGGCCTGGAGGGTGAAGGAGAGCATCAAACTTCCTCGCCGCCGCGCACCGAGGAAGCGATGTAGCTGTGCAAATAGGAATGACCCCAGGATAAAAGACCCGATCGAGGTGAGCGAGCGAGCCCAGCCATAGGGGCGGAGATTTTGTGAGGATGCACCTAGTCCGACGAAGATGGTATTTCCTAAACACCGATATCATCAGTCTCCGAGCTGGAAAAATGTCGAGATCGAAAGTGAAATGATCATACCAGTTTGCATAGATACGAAAGTGTTATAGGCTATGAGAGTCAGCGGTGCCAATTCAATAGATATGGGACTTTCTCCTACCGCTGTATATCGTGCTGTCCATGAGTCCCGATATCAAACAGCAGGCGAACAGGAGAAGGTCGGCATATTGCGGTTCGAGCTCCGCTTGGAAGGACGTGGAAAGTCCGCCAAAAGTACCCTTTTCAGGATCCATTCTCATGGTCGTCAAATTGCTCCAATTGAAGAAAGACAAGTTTAGTTCAGGGAATGAATAGTAAAGACGATATATTTTGTAGCGAGTGAAGAAACTCTCATTAAACTGTGAGTCCGAGCACAGCCTCCCTCGGACTTCTCGGTCGATCGCATCGTGGTCATCTCTACAGACAAATGCACCCTAAGACGGAGCCAAGCCGTGAAGAAAATCCCGTCAGTCCGTGGAAAAAGGTCGGATCTGCAATCTTAGAGACGAAATAAGAATAGCCACTATCACATGTCGCGCATAATCATCAATGTGTTTCTGATATGTTTCTGTTGGGCCCCATACCGAGCCCGAGTTGCTAACTCCCCGATGCGTGTGTAGAGCGCCAAGGAATACGTCGGTGGAATAGGTGATGCCGAGAAACTTGGCGGCAAACTTCTCCTCCCGAACTCCACTTGTAAACATGATCCGTGTTACAATGGGTTCTCATGGAGGGGTTGGTGTACTACCCGCTGTGCATGATCGCATAGCCTTGTGGCAGCCAAGAGGTTGTTTACAAGTCCTGGTTTGCGAAGGCGACGGAGGCGTTGGGGGCCAAGGCTCAGCATCAATGAAGCAGGGTCCTGTTGAACGATCCCGGGTTTCAACCCTCCATTTCGGCTTTGAGCACATCGACGTCCAATTCGGTCATAACCCCAAGCACCACGCCCAGACTTTCCATGAACCCGTTTACGGACACACGCAGCATCCGGTTGGTCGTAGCCGAGTATGTAGTTTTGAGCACGGTCTTAGACTCCTCAGGGTCTTGTTTTTGTTTCTTTTCGCGTGGCTCGGATGGCGCTTCAGTGACTGGGGTCTCGAGGGAGAAGGTCCGTCGTACGAAAGGAGATAGTTCGGCGTCAACGCCCAAAGCGCGCATCGCGGACGAAGCTAGGCGATTGGTAGGCAGGGGCAGACAGATAGTGCTAAGGTTCCCAAAGTTAGTGTGTGTTATCTTTTGCTGGCATGTCGAGACCGATGAGGGGACCCGTACAGTGAGTAGGGGAACTCGGCATTAGCGGGGGCCGCGGAAGCCATGGCGCAAATAATGAAGCCGAGATATACGTGTTCGGAGTAGAGGGGGTGGCCGATTGAAAGTGGTTAGCGAGAAGCACCCGAGTGGGAATCGTCGATTCTGGCGGCCGGGGAGGAAAAATCCTGCTGACTAAGATATCTGATGTTCCAAGGTTTCAGCCCTGGCACTCTAGGGCTGCAGGATCGACACTCCCATCGCATACAACATGTTGTATTCATGCTAAATAGCGCTCTGGGCACTCTCTTGCCTGCGGATCTCCCGTGAAGAGCTTGGCGAACTAGGGTCCTCCTGTGAAACGGTGCATTTGGCCAAGGTTTCCCCTCTCTGAAGATTACTGTCTTGCATATCTCTAAGCACAAGGCGCAGCTTGCGCAATTTACAGTCATTTAACCGAAGCCTATTAGATTGAGGTGACCATGGTCTGCGCCAATATTGCTCCAATCCAGATCATCAAATCAATATTACCCCCGAAATATGCATCTCAGACCTGCGTTATCTACACCCCGGCCCCAGCAGATGACGATACCTACCCCAAGGCTATTGAGACTACCGATTGATGGGAAAAGTCCGAAAATTCTTTCCGAGGGTCTAGCGTTGATCTCGCGTAATATGGCCTCCTCGTGGAATCATCGGAGCTGAAGTCATTTGAAGTCTAACGAAGGATCGGTACGACGCGAAGGTGAGATAGGATAATCGCGTGTACTTGGCAAGGGGAGGAAGGTTGCATTCTCAGAATACCAAGACTTTTCTGTGCTTCGGTGTGAGTCTGCTGTCCTCTTCGATCAGTCAACCGTCAATGCCCTATGTTTCGTCACTCGATCCAACGAGACTACGCAGGCAGACCGGCCTGAAAGCTATAAAGAGCTGTGTTCCCTTCGAGCAAGTGAATGTAGTACAAGAATCCAAACACAAAGAAAAGTACCTTTCAATCAGACATTCCAAGATGACCATCACTATCACTGTCGAGAAGGACGGATACTACGAGGTCAATGGCGCAAGGCAAGAGCCCACTGTGTCCCTATACGTGATACCCGCAGCCTCCAAGCTGCGCCGCATGCTCAAAGACACCAAAGACTTGATCGTGTGCCCTGGTGTTTACGATGGACTCTCCGCTCGCATTGCCATGGAGGTTGGCTTCAAGGGTCTATACATGGTACGTACATGGTCATCAACCCAATGGACCCAATGCTGATTAGGCACGAAGACTGGCGCTGGAACTACCGCGTCACGCCTGGGAATGGCAGATCTTGCTCTGGCACAACTTCATGACATGAAGACCAATGCCGAAATGATCGCGAACCTGGATCCATTTGGCCCACCTCTGATCGCAGACATGGACACCGGCTACGGTGGTAAGAAATTATCACACGCATGCGAGCAAAGGAATATACTGACAAAATCGTCATTAGGCCCCTTGATGGTGTCAAAGGCTGTTCAGCAGTACATCCAGGCCGGTGTGGCCGGCTTCCACATTGAGGACCAAATCCAGAACAAGCGATGTGGCCACCTTGCCGGAAAGAAGGTCGTTGGCCTCGACGAGTACCTGACACGCATTCGCGCCGCGAAGTTGACCAAGGACCGGCTGCACTCTGACATTGTCTTGATCGCCCGAACCGACGCGCTTCAGCAGCATGGCTACGATGAATGCATTCGCCGACTGAAAGCCGCCAGAGAGATTGGTGCCGATGTCGGACTGCTCGAAGGTTTCACCTCCAAAGAGCAAGCTCGACAGGCAGTGCAGGACCTGGCACCATGGCCTCTCCTTCTCAACATGGTAGAGAATGGAGCTAGCCCCCTTATCACCACCAAAGAGGCCGAGGAGATGGGATTCAGGATCATGATCTTTTCCTTCGCTACGATTACACCGGCCTACCAAGGCATCAGGGCTACCCTTCAGCGACTCAAGACAGAAGGGGTCGTCGGCACTCCCGAGGGACTGGGACCCAAGACAATCTTCGATGTCTGTGGGCTGATGGAGGCCATGAAAGTAGATACGGAGTCTGGAGGTGATGGCTTTGTTGATGGTGTTTAAGTTGAAGCATTCCACGCTTGTAAATGTCAATCAGTCTGCAGATAAGGAGGTAGTGAGATTATTCAATCACTTAGAAGTTCAAATTGCAAGCAAGTATCTCATATCCAGGTGTGACTCAATCATGCAATCAAGCACGTGGGAGCACCGTCCGCACTATGGCTTTCTCAACAATCAAATGCCCATTTTTTGACTCTTTGTAGACCCCTGGCCAGACGGTATATTCGATGACCTCTCCTATGGCATGTTCTTTCATCGGGTTGCGCATGCTCTCGGGGCGGAAGGGAGAATCCGCGATGTGGGTCCAAAATGTGTATTTTGACTCTTGATATTCGAGTTTGGCTTTCAGTTCAATGCATCTGCGCAAAATATTCCTCAGCTGGTTGTCTTCGGTGATGGCAATACCGCCGTTGTTTCCGATCTGCTGCATGATGAAATCACACTGCGACATCAACCTCGGCGCACCAATATCGAGGGCGCCCGTGCTCATAGCAAATCGCCAGTGCTGTGAAACATGACTTGGGCCTAGGAAACAGTTAATCAGTCAATGTTCGATGTGTGACATGGACTTCAAGACCAACATTTATGTCCAATGACATTATTGATATCTGTCATATACTGGTTGCTTTCTGCCCCACAACCAACGAAACTGCTGGTCCAGAAGTGTTGATGAATTAAGCAAGATATCTCCGACTGAATTTGTGCAATCAGCGGATCTTCAGCATTCAAGGAACCGAGTCCGGGCTGCGCATCGAATAAACTCCTGATGTGGCTCAATACCCACTGCTCTAGATCAAGATAGAGCACGGTCATCTCTTTTTGACGTCTTCGTCGGTTAATGTCTGTACTCCAGTTTGAAGGGTTGCAATATTGGAAGTTAGAATGTTGTTCTCCTTCCTGATAGTAGCCGCTATTTCTTCAACGTTTTGTAGAGCTTCCAAAAGACGACGAACTTTCTCACTGGCAAACAAATGGGCCTTTTCCGAAGCTCGAAGTTGTTTTTCAACTCTCCCAAGAGCTCGGAAATACTGTGCTGCCTTTTTTTCCGCGAGATCTTTGGCTTCACCCAGGGACTGCTCATGTGCTCGAGATTTTTCGATCTGCTGTTCGTGGGGTTAGGCTGGGACAAGCAATTTAGTGCCCACCCTGGCGTGACATACCTCGTTCAAACTTGCCACCTCCATCCATAATTTTTGGGCATTCGGGTGATCTGACAAGTCAGCAAATCTGCTCATATGGAAGAGGTTAAATCTCACCATCATTTCCAGAATCCGCTGACAGCGACGTGTTGATTCGGTGACCCAAAAAATCGAGAAGCCCCATTTTGGCAGGATGGGGAGCTAGATAGTGGATTGGGGAAGAAGCATCACACCCCTGCTGCCTCAGAAAACAGAGCTTTTCTTTGACGCGGCAATCACTTACCCGTGGATCAAATACGTTTGATGACACCACAGCGAGCCATACTTCACGACCCCACCACCGTGGAACACCAAGCAAGCATCCAATCAAGCTCCTCAGTCATTTTGAAGAGGGATGTACATACATCTATGTTTGAGAAGACCGACAGAAGCCTTTGCTCCTTCAACCCATCATCTCCTTCTCGCATACATTATCAACTTCCTGCTTGAGCTCTTGTTCTCTACAATCTTGGTTCAAATACTAGCAATGGGAAAGCCCAAGAAAACATCCTTGGAGCGCCGAATGTCAAAAATTACGGTTGTGGATGATCGGGCGCGACTGATCGTCGGCTTAGATTTTGGCACAACATGGAGCAGGTATGTGTGCCCCGCCATTCTCTGCTCAATACATAGGCTAACATTAACTGCAGAGTCGCCTTTGGAATGGAGAATTGTCCTGGTGATATTGAGGTCATCCAGACATGGCCAGGAGGCAGCAACAGTGAGCCCAGTGTGCTTAATCGGATGGGGCATACCTAAACAAATCATCACAGGAACCACCGAGAAAGTACCTACCCTTATTTCGTATCGAGGGACCAAACTCGCTTGGGGCTATCAGATAGACTACACCGAGGAGGGGTCAAAAACCACTATTCAGGGATTGAAACTTCTTCTAGACGAAAGCCAGGCTTATCGATTTGAGCCCGCCAGAGAATCGAAACTCCTTATCGAGGAGTTGGGCAAAACACCAGTTGGCGTTGCTGGAGACTACTTGGAGCATGTCGTGGCTTTTTCGATGGAGATCCTAAAACGCCGGTTCTCAACTGCCTTAAAAGCGATGGAGATACACTACTTTTTGACAGTCCCGGCTGTATGGTCAGACAAAGCGAAAGATCTCACATTGCGAGCAGCTCGTCTAGCTAGAGTCCCAGCAACCGCTTTGACCTTGCTATCGGAGCCAGAGGCGGCAGCGGTATATGCTATACAGACTATGCAACCTAATTCAATCAAGGTATGTCATCATCATGTTTTGTCGCTTTGCGCAAATGTCTAAGATGAACAGAAAAACGATTGTTTAATTGTCTGCGATGCCGGTGGGGGAACAGTGGTAAGCTACGCATCCTTGCATTCCTATATGGCGTGAACATAACGACCGCGGTGTTTAAGGATATCATCACATACCAAATCACCCAGACGGAGCCATTGAGATTTGCTGAAGCTACCGAGGGAGCAGGTAAGCAACCAAATCCGTGTATGCTAGAACTCCCTGAATATCTTAATAGGTGGCGTCTGCGGATCCATCATGTTGGATGAGCAATTCGAAGCGCTATTGAGGCGGATCTACCGTGACGACTTTGACAAAGAGATTCCCCAACATGCCTTGAGGGCTGCCAAACAGTATTGGCAGGACTACATCAAGCCTACATACAAGGGGGTGCTTCATGGGGAGGAATTGAAAGAAACCCCATACCAGGTGCCACTTCCAGGATTGACAGATCTCCCAAGAGCGAAAGATTTCGATCATGGTATATGGTTCATGGAGCAGTATATTCGACGTTCTGATTTTGAAGCAAGCAATTCTGACATGTTCTAGTGATCAAGTGAAAGGGATCTTTGACCCGATAGTCGAAGAGATAGAAGACCTAATTGGGGACCAATTGCTTCGACTGAAGCAAAAGACACTTCTCCCAAAGGTCAGTCCCGATGTCGCTGTTGTCAGCTCCAATCTCCAAAACTGATTAAGGTTTGTGATAGGCCATGCTGTTAGTGGGAGGGCTAGGCTCATCGGAGTACCTGTTCCGACAACTCCGCGCCTCATTTGATGGCATAGAAGTCATGCAGCCCAAGAACCCGTATGTGCAAGATGGTGAAAGCAATGTTCTATGCTAATCATTGAGTAGATGGTCTGCCGTTGTTCGGTACCAAGTGAAAACGTAAATTCTAGGAGTTTCTCAGCTGACAGAACTAGTGGCGCGGTTCTTCGTGGTCAAGAAGGCAATCGTGTCGACAATCGTGTCGCTCGATGCAACTACGGTATAAAACACTGGTCCCGCCGGGCGAAGCCTTCGCTCAAGACTAGATGGTGCCCATACGAGGAGAAACGGTACCGGACTGATTGCATGACATGGTATATAACCAAGGTTCGTACCGAAATCCCGGTGATTTATGACCTTGGGAAATCAGCTGGTTGTGAAATCACTTGCTCACTTCGCGCCTAATAGGGGATGTCTTTGGACACAAATATGCCCATTTCTTTTGGCTTCTATCGTACGGTCCCACAGGCTGACATTGACACAAACCTTGTGTTTCGAACGAAGTTGAGATGCAACCACAGCTCCAAAGGCCCTCTCCACCTGGATTCAAGTAAGTTCGCCTTGGAATTTGATCCGAGTGTTGAGGTTTTGACAAGAGCAGGTGTTTCTAATCTCTGTGAAGTAGAAGCAGACTTACGCAAGATACCTATTTCCTCATTCACAAAAAAGCGAAACTCGAAAGGTGCTGTGTATTACGTTATTGAGTACAGCTTGGTACTAGTACCATCATCTGCATCATTGATCTTTGAGTTGCATTTCAACGGCCTCTCCTATGGAATGGTTCGATCTCGCTACTGAGTGCCAATCTCTGTGATGGTGAAGATCCATGGGGTCCTTGTCATTCGACTCGCCATGATACTACTGTGGAGTCTATCGCTTTACTCGACCAGAAAGATTCCTTGGCTAAAGATTCGATGAAATTTCCTAAAGTGAACAGACCAGAATTTAGTATTTTCAAATCCAAAAAGTAATTGATTAAAGTTTCAAAGGACTATATCAGCAATCATGAGTAAGCAGTGTGAAAATTGGGACAAGCAATCTAGGCAATGTTTTGTTTGAAACAAGCTGAGTCGCATGAATGGGAAGACAACGACTTTTAGCTAAGGAAAGTTGTAACCTTAAGCAGTGTTTGTTAAGGACAGCTTACTTCCAAGGTTTCATTCATAGCTGACTTGCGTCTTCAGCGCTTTCACTTTTCCAACCCACGCATTCGTCGTAAGATGTTTCAACCAGTTCCTTTTCAACAATGGACGTGTGGCCTGAAGGTGAAATTTTGACTAGACCTGGCCAGAAGCTGCACAGGACCTTTGACTTGCCCTTCTTGGTTTCAGATGAGCCCAGCATGCTGGGCTCATCGAAGGGCATCATTCGAGAAGTTGACCAAAACACATAAGTATCATATTGGACCTCAAGCTTTTGCTTCAACTGAATGCAGCGCCATATCAAACCGTGCAGCTGGTGCATCCGTCTCTTGCTAAGTGTGTGAGAGTGGTGACCGAACGTCTCCTCCATGTGATTGACCAGGTCAACAACCATTCTTTCCATTTTTCCGCGGTTGAGTGAGGATGCAGCAACGCTCATTGCTCCTCGCCAGTGATGTGCAACATGACTCGAACCTGCAATCATTAGAAAACGCATTAATATAAGGCATCGATGAAGTGCACCCACAGTTTCTTTGAGCCTCCAAGTCAATATCAAGAAGGTGTTCACTTCCAGCCAATCCTTCCCCGACAATATGGGGCTTTAGAAACACTCTGTATACCCCTTTTGACAGTTCCAAACGAACCGCATTCAATTTGAGGATAGCTACTTCCTGAGATTGTCCAAGAGGAGCCTCTCCATTTGGCGTCGTCGGATTTTGGAAATGAGTGAAGCTCCATTGAACCATATCATGGCGGAGAGTCGTGAATTCTCGTGAGATTTCCTCATCGGTGAGAGCCTTAAATCCTGCCTGCAGATCTACTAACTTTGCTGTGAGCTCACGATTTGCTTTCATAGCCACATCTGTCTCTTGGATGGCTTCCTCGGTCATCTCTTTTGCTCGTCTGGCCTGTTCCTCCGCCATTAATATATCCCTTCGAAGACTTCTGGCGAGCTCCCCCGCCATGAATAGATCCTTTTGAAGGCAATCTGCCTCTCTCGTCTTATCTTGGAGAGTCTAGTATCTATGTTAGAAAGAGGGGTTGGGTCGGATTAGATCTTGACAGACCTGTTTTAGGATTGCTATCTCCTCACACGAGGCCTCTTTGGTTTTTTTGTCATCCGTGGGAATTTCAAGGTTGTCTAGTTTCAATGGCTCAACGTTTGTAATAGTATCGGGAGATGGACTTGAGACATATGCCCCGGCAGTGCTGTCCGTGGGCCACGATAACATGTTGAAACTCAACATCGATGAAAGTCTCAGAAAAATCAAAGTTTTGAAAAGGATAACCAGGTTGTTCGATGGATATATTAGAAGAAGAAAATGTTCCTTGAATGAAGACTAGATTACCGCAGAATTATCCGTGTACTGTTTGTCAAACTTCATCCACACTGCTTTAGGTGACGGGCCAAATCCGCGGATTTATGATAACCTTCCAATAATGAACGCACTTGCCCCAGTTAGTCTCGGCGAAATCCAACTTTTCTTACATTCCTTTCAGTTCACACTTCTTCTTCAGTCACCCTCGATTAACAAACCCCTTGATACATCGAGATTCATCAAAATTTCAACATGGGAATCACAGAACGCCCAACACTGGTAGTGGGTGTTGATTTTGGTACAACCTTTAGTGGGCAAGTGATAAATTCTCGCCAAATACAAGAGATTAAGCTAACAGCCAAAGGGTTGCCTGGGGATTCAAAGATCGCCCCGATGATGTCGACCTCATTCAGAGCTGGCCGGGCGGTGGGAATGGTGAGTCGTGGTGTATCACAAACCAAAGAGAAACTACTGACAATTGCCAGCTACGAGTCAAAAAGTACCGACTGTCTTTTCGTACGAAGACAAAGGAGTGCGGTGGGGATACCAGGTCGACCAGAGTGCCTACCTAGGCAAGAAGCGGCAGCCCATTCGAGGTGTCAAGCTCCTACTGGATGAAAGCCAAAAATACCGATATGACCCCGCGAAAGAGTCCGAGAAAACCCTGAAGACCCTCAAAAGATCCCCCGTGGAAGCTTCAGGGGACTACTTGGGCAAGATTGTTGCCCACGCTCGTGACATCCTACTTCGTCGCTTTGGAACTGCCCTGGAAGCAATGGACTTACAATACGTTCTGACGGTTCCAGCTGTGTGGTCTGATAAGGCCAAAGACTCTACTAGGCAAGCGGCATATGCAGCTGGCATAGACTTTGCTAAGCTCACTTTGCTTTCGGAGCCCGAGGCGGCGGCTGTTTACGCCATTCGCACCATGGTAAAGGATTCGGCTACGGTATGTGAATTCTTTCAAGAAGACTCACAATCTAATGCATTCCAGAAGGGAGATTGTTTCGTCGTCTGTGACGCTGGTGGAGGTACAGTTGTAAGTCGCAATTTCTTTGATGCCGAAGCAGTGATCTGACTTGCGATAATTGGAAGGACATTATCACCTACCGCGTGAACGAGGTCGCTCCTATGAGATTTGAAGAAGTTACAGAAGGAACGGGTGGGTCCTCATATTCTCATTTATGCTCTGAGTTTCAGTCAAGCTAACAAGCTTACAGGAGCTGTGTGCGGCTCGGTGATGTTGGATGAGAGGTTCGACGCACTTATTAGAGCGACCATTGAGAAGAAGTCGGGCAAAAGGCTACCTGAGGCGACCGCTGCTGCTGCAATGAAATACTGGCAGGATTACATCAAGCCAGGATACACTGGCCCCCTCGAGGAAGATGAGTATGATGACCCTGGTTATTGGGTTCCCGTTCCTGGCGTTGTCGGTATCAAAGAGGTCGAGCTAAGTCAGGGTCATCTTTACGTTGACAAGTCAGTACATTCTCTATTTGGTGGTTGTTGATTTTACGAAATGTGCTTACTTAGGTTGAAGGAGCCAAGTAAAGGATATATTCGATCCCATTGTTGATCAAATTCAAGAACTCATCTCCGAGCAACGAAACAAAGTCAAGGAATTGGGTGACGTGACTAAGGTGAGCTATTGAAAACCCCTTGAAATCACTTATGAACCGAGTTAAGTTTGGGTAGGCTGTCATTCTCGTTGGAGGGTTAGGCGCTTCTCAATACCTTTTCGCTCGCACACAAGCAGCGGCTGGGGGTATTCAAGTCATTCAACCTCCAAATGCGTGAGTCGAACCATGCTTTTGGTCTATAACTCTCTTGACTAACTTTGCATTAGTTGGTCAGCGGTGGTCCGGTATGTGATCCATCCTTTCACTTTTCTTGATATTTTGACACAAGTCTAACGGTACCAGTGGTGCTGTACATCGTGGTCAAGAGGGTAACCAGGTTGATGGCCGTATCGCTCGAGCAAGCTACGGAGTGAAGCATGAAGTAACCTGGGACCCTTTAAGATACTCTAAAGAGGAAGCCCATTGGTCCACTTTGACGGAGGCATGGTTAGTGTCGAATCGGATGAGCTGGTTTATCAACAAGGTAAGAGGATCCCATTAGTTCGTCACGATAAAATCAACCTTTGGTATTTTTGTTCCGAAATTGACATGTTAAAGCAACAACCTCTGTCCGAGAGCATGCCCATCAAGAAGCGGTTTTGGCGTCAGACTCCCACTCGAAACCCAAGTTTGAAGTTTGAAGACATTTTATATTTTTGCTCGGAAGACCAGCCCCCGAGTAAAATCGATTCTAGTGAGTCCATCTCAACGAGCTACCCGTGGACATAACTCAGCAATGCTAACATCAAAAGGCGCGGTACCTCTATGCGCTGTCAAATCAGACCTCACCAGGGTGCCAAGGGAGCTTTTCGACACCAAAACGAATTCCAAAGGCGAAAGTTATTATGATATCACTTTTGATTTGGTCTTCACGCCAGTGTCAGCTGGACTACTTTTCAGCCTTGACTTTAATGGAATGTCGTACGGCAGTGTGCGAGCTAGCTACTGAGCTTGGCGAGCTGGGATGCAACTAATGACGTTCCTTTGGCGATTCCTTTTATCACACGAGAATGTCTTAATAGGTGGTTTTTGCGCGTCTGTTTTTGCTGGTCAGCTCAAACGATTCCGGGATTTTGGCTTAATATCCATGTGGACAGCGAAAATATGTCGGTGGCTTTGGGAATATGGGAACTTGCTGGTTGCTCAACCCAGACTGGAGATATCTAAAATAGCAGATGGAGGAGTTCGTGTTGTCCAGATGGGGAATCAATAGCTAGCACACACCCCCTTGGTGCATCAAAAAATAAGAAGAAATTTGCTGAAACATCATGAGAATGCGGGTAGAATATTGGTGCATTGATAGCATTAATTAGGATTGAACGAAACTATCTCCAGAGATAATTTCGAGATGCTGCAAGCCCGAGCCTTCCAATACATCCAAAGGGGCAACAAAAGCCATTTGAGTCCAAGAGAAGACCTTATTCTTTCCACCGTAGATAAAGACTTCAAATCTTCCTGCGAAGACCCCATTGACCCAAACCCGACTTCCATATTTTGCGTTTGTAGAAATCGTGATTGTAGATTTTTGGGGAATCTTAACAATCTCGTGCGTCGACGTAGTTGCATTGGCCCAGATTCTTCCGGGCTGATCTGTGCCGAAGCCATCGGTCTCACCAACCGATTGGAGAGGATAGGGCCAACCATCAGATTCAAAAGTCAGTTCGCCATTCGGCGATAGGGTGAGAATTGCATCAGAGGACTTCAAGGTGAATGGGCCTGTGACATCTAAGCGGAGAGTGTAATCCATGCCTTTGCTTCCATGGCCAAGATTGTACTGTTCCTGTGCCTGCTTTGGCTTTGTCCAGGAAAGCAGGGTTCTGCTACTTTTTTCTCCAGAGAGTCTCCGATCAAGATTTTGACCAACGGCGCGGGCAGTCAGTTGAATGATGGACTGTTCCAAGGTTTGTTCATTCAAGAGGGGACCCCGAGAGCCAGACCACGCTCGGGATGCGACCACTGGTATTCCATCACGAATGGCATAAAACGCCTCGAGCTGTGTTGTGGCATCCGGGCCACTGTCATTCCAAGCAGCCAGGAGGGCACCGGGTACGGCATCGGCCTCGGGTTGCTCCGTGATATTCACTTTGTTGAAGAGTTGGGGTGTCCACTGCCATCCGGCACGGCCGGCAAAGTTGAGAATCCGAGTGTTATTGAAGAATTGGGGGTACGGTGCAGGAGTGATAGGCACATGATCACTCTTCAGTGACATGTATGCCCACGTATCCTCTGAGTTGATGACCTTGTAACCGCTGCGAGCTAGCTCAACCGGATCTGATTGCCCGTATTGCCAATGCTGGATGGTCACATTCTTATCAATGGTGATGCTCGATGGCTCATATGTTCCCCAGATGCGGACACTCTTGCCAGAGGTCTGTTGGACGTACTGAGACATCTCATTGACAAATCTCACATAGTCATCCGCCAAGTCGGCGTCGTACTCGTCAGCTCCAATGTGCACTTCCTTGGTGTGGAACCAGGGAAGGAACTCTGCCCAGATAGATTTCATCAAGGGGATGGTCTCAGGGTGGGAGATATTGAGCAGGTCCTTGGAGTCCAAAGCTAGTTCAGGTTTCCACTTGGTAACCGAAAGACAGTGCCCCGGGCTTTCAATTTCTGGCATGACTGTGATTCCTCGCTGAGCACAGTGGTGTTGGAAATCATCAAACTCAGCACGGGAGAGAGTTTCGTTGGGACGCTGGACGAGCGGGTGGAGAGCAGGGTTCGCAGGATGCAACGCAAACTGGGAGTAGACCTTGTCCCAGGTCACATTTGGACCGCGACTGAGCGGAAAGTTGTCGGTCGCATGGTAATGGAATTCGGAGATCTTGAAGAAAGATGCATAGGTGCAGAGATCCTTCAAGAAATCCAGTGAATACCACTTGCGACCGGCATCGAGCAAGAACCCTCGCGTGGCATACGCAGGTACATCTTCCACTCGCCCCGGTTGTATAGCTGACGGTGTCAGGGCGAGTTGCTGGAGAAGAGTGCGCGTTCCCCACCACATGCCACGTGCTCCGGAGCCCCTGATGAACACCCTATCATTGTTGACTTCCAACTCATATCCCTCTTCCGTTTGTTGTCCGTTCTCGTAGGCGAAGCCGGTTGTATTGTCCGCACGACCGAGAAATATGCCTGAGGCGCGTTTAGGGAATCGATTGACGGTCCGGAGCTCCCAAGAGCTGTTTGTCAATTCTTGCAGATCGGCACGAAAAGTGGTCGCGAAGTCGTGTGCGGAGGGTGGAATCAAAGTCAGGCCACTCTGGTCTCTCCAAGAGGCGAAGCTGCTGTCTAGGTAAATCGTTCGGTTGGCGGTTTCCAAAGAAAAGCCGCGAGAGTCGATGCTATCGATCTGTACTGGAGGCAGGGTCTGCAGCGCCGACGCGACTGCGGCGAAGGTGAGAATCCACTTCATGTCTGCCCATCGTGATAGTTGTTGTGCTCGCCCTTATATGGCAGCTATCAATGGCAGTGTTACATTCCTGTAGGAAATGAAAGGGGAGATAGGCGTGGGGGCGCGGGATGAATACGGAACAATCCGACTGCGGCGAAGGTACACTGAAGAGCTCGGCTACCACGTTCCAAGGTTGGCGCTTGCCGCGTATCGCGTGGCGCTTGGGGCATTGTGACCTCGAGGGTTGCATTGATTATTTTGAAAGCGTTTGCTTCTCCCGCAGCCATCTGTACGAGATAACCCGTGAAGTTAACACCTCTTGGCGCTGGCTTATAGTCACATCCATTTGTCCATCCCGGATCTGAATGCGGGAGCTATTTCCAAACAGTGCTAGTGTCCGTCCTATTTGCCGATGGGCTTGACAGAATGCTCAGGTTTTCTTCTCCGGTGTCTATCATAGTGAGTATTGGGGAACACAACACTTCATGGAATTACCAAACTGAAAGGGCACGTTGATAATCTGCCTCCGTGGAAACTGCCCATTTGTTCCGCGTGTTGTAGGCCCGGTAAGCAACGCCCACAGGTGCTATATATCAACCTACAAGGTTTCCCAGCTGGGCTCGGAACGTTGATGATTGTATGTATACCGTGAACCATGAAAAGTTTCGTCTTTCAAAAATGAATTCATTAAAAAGTGGTCGCGCGATTCGTGTATCAACAATTCTATAGGCCCTGTATCAGTCCGAATATTTACAAACAATTGCTGTCAGATTAGTCGATCAAGCCTCGGGAATATCCGGGCTTACTATAGCCTCTTGGACATGCAACGGCAAAACAAAGGTATTGCCAAGTCCTGCCCAGTGAAGTGCATCGAGACGCGCTAGGCCAAGCTTCACAAGTGGGAAACTCTGGCTTTGGCACCTCAACACCTGCAGCCACGAGTCTCGTAGGTGTCTCCCTCGGATAGCATGGGCAATATTGGGCGCCTGTACAAGTAGCAGCATTAGGTAATTAGAAATTGTGGCAAACCCGATTCGAGACCCTGTTCATGTTAGCAAGCTGTGAAATAGTACGTGCGAGTGGAAAGCAACTTACAGGAATACCAGAATGCCGTGAAGTCACTAGACGTCAGCCGTCTGGTAAAGTTCACCAATATAGAAGCGCACTTTTCTGCTGCTTGTAGTGTAGCCTCGCCCGTGCCAAACTCATCTGACATGGACATCTCCGGTAACAATTCTATCTCCGGCAGATCTGAGAAGTCCAAAATAGACTCGTCGACAGGTAATGGAGAGGCAGTGGTCATATCTTCCAGGTCGAAAATCAGAGGCGGCTCTGATGACCGTGCCATCGGTCTGAGCATGGCTCGGTAGACATAGACCACCAGCAAGAGGTAGGCGAAGTGGATGGACGTAGGGTATGGGGCAAGACCATTGACGGACTTGCTCCAGTTGGGTAGTCGGAATGTCTCTGGGAGAGATGAGTACCATCCATTCAACCTTTCCAATAAGTCGCGACCGAGTTCAGAAGAGGTAGCGAAATCAGCGTTGAGTATCTGCGAGGCTCGAAGGGTACTGCAATCAGCCATTAGTAAGTGTTTCATCTCCGCCGAAAACAGGGGGAAACAGGGGTCCGACTTACTAGAACGTGTCATGGATCTCTTCGCCGATTCGCGTAAGGTTTATAAGGTAGCGGAAAGGGATCTCGGTGTCACAAGAGCTGGTCGAGAATCCCTGGCGTGGGCCAACTAGAAAGTCCCCTTCGTCCAGGTCGCTGACGTCCCACTCTGCAGGGTGGATATAGGGCGGGCGACCCATCAACAAACTGCGCCATTTATCTTCGGCATATACGGCCCACCACAACCGCCGTCGAAGGCGCTTTTCCCATGCCGGGATGCCCCACATGCGGCATTCGATATGGAGGCCGAGGGAGCAGGCCAGTCCGACGATCTGGCCAACAAATGACCACAGGAATGGAGTATCGGCGGTAGTGTGACGGGCCTCGTCTCTTGGCTGCTGGTGGACGTACAGTAGGGCGGCCTGTAGAACTGCAAGCCGGGGACTGTGGATCTCCTCTGTCACAAGCTCGTAGACCATACGCCATAGCGATTCAACCGGCGACGCATGATAGGTGCTCAGGACGCACAGATAGTCGTCATGGGCCACAAATGGGAACGCCGACGCGTAGATGGCTGCGAGAAGGTGCACGGGCACTTTTTCTAATACCGACGCGTCGGGTAGCTGATATGACGGGGCAGTCAACCCCAGCTGCGAGCGTGAAATAATTGGCAAAGCAGGGAAAACGTACTTGACAAACCTGGCCCCCTGTTAGTCAAGATCTTTGCGGGTACGAGGGGAACTGGGGAACTCACAGGGCGACTAGTCTTCTGCCATACTCGAGTGGTACTAGGAGGTTCAGACGTTCTCGTGTTGCTTCACCTACTCCGGCCCTAGTCTCATGCTTGATACTGTTGGTAAGCTCCTCCGACGATATCATGAAGTGTATCGGGATTCGTTGTGCAGTAGGGACGCCTCCAGCGTTGCGAAAATGCACTTTGTAGAAGTATTTCATGCCTTGGTCATCAAAACAGCAGTGCCGAAGTAGCCAAGGATCAGATTCTGCGGATGCGCCGAAGAGCTGGGCATGGCCATGCTCCAGTTGATCAATACTCTGGACAAACTGAGTCGGGGGTCTTCCGGGGCCTAAGATCCCGGAGGCCGGAGACAATCCATGACTGCTTGGCTCCAAGCCGAGAGATGGAAATCGTGGTACGGCGCTCTGGGTCCCACTTCCTGCTACGCTGGACTCGCGCGTGATCGTACTTTCAAAGGGCTGCGTGATGGGAGACTCGGCGACGGGTTGGGCGAAGGGAAGAGAGTCCGAGACGCGGGCCCTTTTCGGGGGAGGATTATCAAAGGTGCACTCCAATTTCGCCGATCGGCATCGTTGACAGGGAGCTCCGCCTGTGGTTTGACATCCTAGCTTGCGAGCGCGACATTGATCACACGGGCGCTGACGTTTTGACCGATAGGGTCGGGCAGTAGGAGAGGACATCGTTTCGAATCGGCGAACACAAAGAATGCAGATTGACACGCATTTTATCAGGCCGTGCCGATGGATAAAGCGGCAAAGTGGTGGCCGAGATGGCTGGAGTGAGCCATGGGAATTGAAGTTGCCCGTTGCGCACGCACTTTCCTCACTACGCGCCTTCCCGACTTGGTCTGTCATGACGTCATCCGCCGAACTCCTCGGCGACCGGCGAACCGCTCTACGCGCCTCATGCTGTACCAGACCATTCTGCTGTCGGCGAATATCTTCAAGGGAAAAAAAAGTTTTGAAGTACAGAAGAGAATTTTCATGGCTTCTGGTATAAATGAGCTGTTTGAATCCATTCAGAGGAGAATCTCAAGACAAAAAACTGGCTTATACAAAAAATATTTACACTACACCATCAAGGACCATCTACATCTACAAGGTTTCAACCCTATTTATTTGAACTCGCAGAGTCTAGATTTTCGGCTTGGCCATCAGAATGCCCGAAAATAACAACTTGAGCCGATACGACCACTTCAAGGCTATTTTTTCCCGACGTCCTAGTCAAGATTCTGATGTTGAGATGAAAGATGATTCAAGGTCAGAAATCACACTTGTCCCAGGGTGAGAGGCCCCCCTATATTATTTCCCAAGGTTGACATTGACATGCTAACATGAAGCAGACAAACCTATACAGTACCACAGAAGAACCGCCAAGTGCCTCAAAACTACAATCGTAAGTGATTAACCCGAAGTTGCTGTGCCGAAAACGGCTAACGAGTGGATACGATATAGCGGCCGACATGTGCTTCGGCTCTTGTTGCAGGAACAGATAGGAACCTTCAAATGCAATTGAAATTAATGTACGAATACCCAAAACCCTAGCAGGCGCTCTCGTATCTTATGACTGGTAGAAATTTGTCCGACATCTCTATCATGTATAACAGTCCCTCGTAGGTGACATTGTGGCCATGATTCAAAGCAGCCTTGAAGAGTGCGACCTCGGTCCACTTGCGTGAAAATCATGCTTGACGAAGTTTGCTGGCTTGTGTGCCTCCAACGCAAGGGAGATCGGAAATAACTCGGCACGCGCGGTATTTCTCGGTCCTTGCTTCCATCTCTCTTCCTTTCCGCCAAACAATTGTGACGCAACCAAGTCGATGGGAGAAGTACTGATATCAGACAAGAGCAAATAAAATTGAAAAAAAGCCACCAAAGGTGGTATATCTCAAGTCGCTCAGCCCCACGCGAGAGAAGCCGGGGGAGCGGGGAACGCGGTCGGGGTGCATAAAACGTTCTGCCCTGGACACGTCTCTATTATGCACCATGAGCTCAGCTGCGACCAAAGCATAAGCCAGTTTAGGCTTGACTGGGAGCTTGAATGCCGGCTACCAATGAGAAATCTCACCGCTTGAAGCCGATCGTCCATTTGGGACCTCAGCCCATGCGCGACCGAGTTCCGAGCTAAGAAGAGAGGGGCTCAGCCGGAGCTACGGATGCTCAAATGGATGGCCATTCGGTTGTTTGACAAGCTAAAATTTCTCTTCTTTTGTCCGTTTTGATACTTGAAGAAAGTGGTGGCTTCCCACATCCTCAATCTCGTCAACCTCACGCGCCCACGACCTAGCGAAGCATGATTTTTGAACCCGCAGAGAGGACTTTGCTCCCCACGAAGGACCTGTTGTCCTACATTTTTGACAATCCATCATACGACCAGGACCAGCCAGTGAGATTGCGGACCCCACTATGTCACATTTCGCCGCTAAGTCAATACTGGTAGATCTACATCGACGTCCACAATCCCTCGCGCTCAATTTCATGCAATCAAGCCCGCAAGTTGATCCGACAGCTGATTGCCGGTTTGCGAGCAGCTGGAATTCAACAGGGCGATTGTGTGCTCATCCATTCTTTCAATGATGTACGATGATGAGACAGTTGAGACGAACATATCAAGGCTGACTAGCACAAGATAAATTATAGCATCCTTGTTTTAGCAATTATTGGAGCTGGGGGTATTTTCACAGGTTCAAACCCATCGTACACCCCGCATGAGCTCGCACATCACATCAATGCGTCCCAAACCAAGTTCTTGATTTCGGAGCCCGAGATTCTGGATTCTCTGCTCAATGCAGCAAAGCAGACGAAGATACCTGAAAACCGTATATGGGTGTTCGATAATTTGGGACAGTCTGTACCGAATGGAATGCGATCATGGAAGCATTTGTTTGACGCTGGTGAGGATGACTGGGTGCGATTTAATAATCTAGATACCGCTCGCCAAACCACAGCCGCACGATTATTCAGTAGCGGAACGACTGGTCTGCCCAAAGCTGTGATGATAACGCACTACAATCTCATTGCGCAACATGAGCTGGTCCATGCTGCCACTTCTCGCCCGTTTCCCGTAAGTTCGACGTCTTGAATAAGAACAAGGCGCGACCAACCTACCACGAGCATCGACTGACCTGTTTCGAACTCAGACCTCGCGTGTTATAGCCATGCCGGTCTTCCATGCATCAGCTGCTCCTGTCACCCATATCACAACACTGAAAGCAGGAAATGTTGCATATATGATGCGCCGATTTGACCTCGAAAAGTACCTCCAAACAGTGGAAAAGTACGATGTCACGGACCTTGCTATGGTCCCGCCGATCGTGATTGGGATCCTCATGTCACCCATCTCCAAGCAGAGACCCTATCTCAAAAAGACCCGCATTGCGTCTTGTGGCGCGGCACCTCTAGACAAGGGTATCCAGGCGCGCTTCCGGTCACTCATGGGTTACAACTCTCCTTTCACCCAAGTATGGGGCATGACCGAAACATCGTGTGTTGCTACTTGTTTCCCTTACCCAGAGCATGATGATACCGGATCTGTTGGGCGTCTCATTGCAAACCTCGAAGCTAAGTTCGTTTATCAGTACCCATTACTGAGAGGAATTGATCAGCTTATACATCTACCACAGACTGATAGACGAGGATGGCAACAACATCTCGGCATACGGCGTTCGTGGTGAACTGTGCGTTCGAGGTCCCACAGTGACACCAGGCTACTTCAATAACTCTGAAGCGAACTCGGAATCATTTGACTCGGATGGCTGGTTCAAAACAGGAGACATTGCGTATTGCGACAAGAGTACCAGAAAATGGTACATTGTGGACCGAAGAAAAGAGCTAATCAAAGTTCGCGGCTTCCAGGTTGCACCACCAGAACTCGAAGCTGTACTCCTCTCGCACCCCCAGATTGTGGATGCAGCAGTCATAGGAATCACCTTCTCAAATGCGGACACAGAGTTCCCACGCGCTTATGTCGTTCGAAGACCCGGAGAATCAGGCTCTCATCTTACGGAGGACGACATTCAGAAGTTCATCCTCACACGTCTTGCAAAATACAAAGCGCTTACCGGAGGTGTGAAGTTTGTTGGTGCAATCTCTCGCAACCCAAGCGGGAAGATCTTGAAGAGGGTTCTGCGTGAGGATGCGAAGCGGGAAATCGAGACCGGGAGTATCAAGCCCAAACTTTAGGCTGCCGTCACACCAGGAAATACCCATTGAATACTATGTAGTCTATCTTGCCTGGTTCGTCTTCGAAATATCTTACGTTTATGAATTCATGGTATTCAAGATCTTAAATATGACTCCCATTCAGCAATAAATTCCGGCCCGATATCTTTAAATTGAACGATTGGATAAACATCTCCGTAGTGACTTGACAAATGGCAGCCCAGACATTGACAGGAGAAATTCAAGGGCAGACCATTTGGTGTCTGAGCCCCTTGATACCCCATATTATTCAGGCTATTGTCGAGAAGGGTGGAGAATGTGGAGAAGCCGAGTTCCGCGGTTGAGATTGTGCGGGGAAGTGATGGCCGTGCAAGCGTGAACAACTCCCCTGGAATCTGAGTTAAACGTCTTCGCTTCTTATTGCAACCCTGAGATCTCTTATAGAATGCTTTCGGTGTTAAAGCTAGCATATGTTTAATTTTGGGCCATCGAGACACGAAACATTCTGGATTCGCGCTTTATTATAGGAGTCGCTCGCACATAGAAACACAGCAAAGGCATTATTTGTGGGGTTATTGAGTGACTGCTATAAAATAATTCTATAGCCAAAGACTCTCCCTAAATTTCCTCTTCTGCCAAGAGCAGCGAAGCCGCTTCAGCGCGAGTGAATTGAGGTGGAGCTTCTACAGGATTATGAGTATACTTTTGGCTATGTGAGCAACACAGCCGAAATGTTCATGGAAGTCGGCTTCTTGATCACCCGGGTGTTGATCATCCCCACACGCCACTTACCCACTTGCCCGCAACCAGCACTTCACATTGCCCATGCTGGAAAGTACCATACTCTCACGCAATGCTTCGACGCACGAGAAGAGCCCCAACGGCCTGCTCTTGGTGTCAACATCGCAAAGTGCGATGTGACGCGTCAATACTGGGATCGCCATGTACCCGATGTCGACAAGACGGCCGTGAGGAGTGTGTAATGCGTCCAAAGAACCCTGGGCAGTGAGTCACCACAATTTACTGTCTCATATTTGATCTGGCTATTCTTGGTTCTAACCACAGATCACATAGCCCAGTGTACACTACATCCTCTTTGCAGCAATCTCCAGAGGAGAGCAATCAATCCCACGACCAAGTTCCCGGCGGACCAAGTCACGATCAATGTTCGGACGACGATGTTCCTGAGCCACGACCTACATATAATTACACTCCATATACGGATTATCGATTTGTTGATCAGTTTCAGCTACAGTCGCTGGCCGCTGACGATGCCGCATTCCTGGAATCTGAGGGCTGCTTTAGCCTGCCTGGCCCCGCTGCCTTAGAGGAGTTTATTCGACAATTTTTCAAGCGAGTCCACCCATTGGTGCCGGTAATAGATGAAGCCGGGTTCTGGGACATTTATCGGAACAAGACGCTGTCTTGTTGCAAAGTTTCCTTGTTTGTCTTACAGTCAATGCTTTTTGCAAGTAGTACAGTGGGTGTCTCTCCTCTTTCATTTTGACTCAAGCTAATTTTGAACTAGTTTGTTCTCATGAAAACCTTGAGGCAATGTGGCTTTAGAGGCCGAAGGGACGCAAGAAAAAAGTTATACAATCGAGCCAAGGTACCAAACAATTCTTCTCCTTAGCGGGGAGGCACATGCTGATTGAGTCTGATCTAGCTGCTGTTCGAGCTCGGAGCAGAAATGAAACCCCACGCAAGATCCCAAGGAGCCGTTATGCTTACACACTATACATCTGCAGACGACCCACGCTCTGGGAGTCTATGGGTCACTATAGCTATTGAAAATGCCATGTTAATCGACACCAAGCCATCATTACAAGAAAATGTGTCAGTATCACTTCGAAAGCGACTAAGGTGGTCTATTCTCCTTCGTGACCGAAGCCTGTGCATTGGTCTACACCGTTGCCCCCAAGTGACCCCGGTTATGTTCCAGGGGTGTAGTAACTGGCTAAGCACTGAGGACTTCATGGACGAAATGCACCATTCCGAGGTCTATTCATACGAAAGCAAAACCCAGATGCTCATGGCCCTTGAACAACAATGTCAGCTGGCAGTACTCGTCACCGATCTTGCAGCGCTGGTTTTTACCCGTCCTTGCACTTCGAAACGCCATCTGACAGTCCATGAGTTTCAAAGCCTCATGTCAAGAATCAAAAGCAATAAAGAGTCCTTGAAGAACTGGCAAGCCCCGCGGCTTATTCCAGACAACTTAGTATCCGAGGGTTACGATGCGATTGTAACTCTAAATTTCTTGACTCACATGTATTTCCAGTGAGTGGAAGAACCAATACAGCCCTCTTCGACCGCTAACCTGAGAATTGTCATCATCAGTGCAGCAAGAGTGGACTTGGCCCAATTTGAGACAATCATACTGGAGGAAAATTCAGTTTATACTGGCGATTCGTACAACAATCTGATGACGAGGGTCAGCAATGACCTTCGGGATGGGATCGAAGGGCTTAGCGTTGTTATGGAACATTTCAGCGCAAATTGCCACATCGAGAGCTTTCCACTGAGCGTGTCAGTTTTCTCGATCGCGGGCTAAACAAAGCCTTTCTTTTTCATATCCTCTCACTGACTCAACCTCAGGCTTGCATATGTCAGCATGCCCCTTGTGCTGGCAGCTATAGATCTGAAGCTTTCTCCCAACCGTGCTGTAATGGAGAGAAGACAAAAGCGCCTCGAGTCGCTGGGTTTGATAATAAAGCACTCCGAGGGTGTCTATGATGTTACCGACTCTGTGGCAGTTGGGACTAACCACATTCTTCAGCTTGCCTATTTAACGACTCAAAATCTCTTCTTTAGCGGGGAGGAATCCCAGATACCTTTCGACCACACAGCAACGGAGCAGGCGCTATCAAGCAGCCCAGGCCTGGACGTAATTTCCAGTCCGGCAAATCATGCAAAACCCGATCGTCCAAGCAATTGGCAAGAGGCTTTTGTGTGCTGTCCGAGGGCTTATCTGTTGATATCAACCTCGGTGGACTATAGTCTTGCGATGGGACGACTTCCTTACGCTGAGAATCTTCCCGATATAGTTCGCGATCTCCCGGTGCTGGGTGTTATTCCTCGACTTCCGTGGACGTCGCGGATCCCCCAACATCTCCACCGCCCCAGCGTTCAATCATCCAATTGCACTGAAGAGAGCCACTCGAATGATGGCAGATTGAAATGTATCGTCAAACAAGATGATGCACGTCCACAATCAAATCATGTCGATAGCCCGTCGTTCCTTTCCCCTGCAGGCTCTCCTACGGTGTCATCTTCCTTGACGGATGATCAATCACGATACACCAATGTTGAAGCCAGCCAATCATCTCGCCCCACTCACATCATTAATCTTGACTACATGGACTTCTCTGCCTTGAATCTAACAGCAAATCTCCAGGAAGCTTCCAAATATGGCTCTTCTTCAAATGCCACAAGCTTTGAAGTTCAGACTGACAGCCTAGCGCAGCATTCGGCAATCAGCACTCGCACGGATACTTTTCCATATTCAACTAGCACGGTTGATAGTCATATTTTCAAGTCATTCTTTCATGAAGCATTTGAGCAAGGCTGGGTGACCCCACAAAGTGGATTGGTGGTCAGTAACACCATACAATAATCCTTGTGGTCAAAAGCATCAACTATGTCTTAATCAACAAGGCAGTCCTCCGCTTTTCATTCTCATTACATCACAATTTGGCCGCTAGTGAGCGGTCATTGTCAGCCGCCTTTCGCAGTGACTTCCAGTATCTATCCTTAGCTTGAAGAATTTCAAACCCTTGTTCTGCCCACCGATCTTCCCAGGGAGGAAGTTCATATGCATCAGTTCCAGGTGCCGGGGGACCAGCCAATGCTGTCAAGAAGCCAAAATAGTCCGCAAAATCGGGCTTGATCTCATGGAACAGGGCTGTGGGGCCTTTGTATTGGAGCCTCTTCACCTCCCAAAGATCTTGCTCTTGAGGGCTTGGCAAAGGCACTGCGTTCCTTCCAGCAAAGTAGCGGGCCACAGCCACAGCCTGGTATTCGTAAACGCGGAAGCTAATTGCTGCACGGACTTGACCAACAAGCGCCAATGATGGGTCTCCAATCTTGAAAATGTGTTGGTAAAAGCCGGAAAGTCGGTTGTTGGCGGTGACCGGGTCTGGAACCATGAAGGGGTATGAGAGCTTGTACCCTGTCGCAAAGATGACCTTGTCAACTTTCTCTAACACAGCATCGTCAGAGAAAACAACAGTGATCCCATCTTCAGTAGTTTTGAATTCCTTGATCGTTGGTCGTGCATTGACATTAGGTAGATCCCAAGCTGACTGGAGTGCTTCGTTTTTGCCTCTCTGCGACAATTCCAGTGAACCTCTTACAATTGCATGTAAATCAGCCACTAAGTCTGCCGAAGAGACACTGCCTCCAACGACCACAACGCGCTTGTCAACGTAATCATCCGCTTGCCTGAACTCCTTGGAATGTTCAAACACTTTCGGATAGCGTGTAGCGGCATCACCTAACCCGGGGATGAAAGGAACGAATGGCACGCTGTAATGACCTGATGCAACAACCACAGCGTCGAACTCTTCTTGCCACCAATAGTCCTTCGGACTCTTTCCATCAGAGTGCCCGGATTGACGAAGTGTGAGGTGCCACTTTTGACAATGCTTTTCCACCTTCTCTACCGTCGTGTTGAGAGAAGCGAGGTGAAGGTAGTCCTGGAAGATGTCCTCCAAATATTTTCGAACAACTCGAAATGGTCGGGTCGCGTTTAAACGTCCCAAGTTTCGAGTGGATGAAGCAGAGTTGGCTTCAGGAAACGGTGTGTGCGTGAATGACATAGCCTTGGCACCCACGTTGCTATCGAGGCCTTCATAGATACCAGTGCGCTCCGTCGTGTCTTCGGGGGAAGGGGGCTCCAACGATGGAAGGCGAAGTGGTAGCTTGTCATCTTTTAGGTTTGGTGAACGTTGCACAGGGAATTGATCGGGCGTTTCATCAAGATGCCATATTCCTCCCACTTTATCGCGTCGCTCGAATAGACGGATATTCTGAAAAATGTTTTCTTCTTTCAGCGCCTTGACTGCAGAGATACCCGATGGACCTGCGCCGATCACGGCAACGCTTTGGTAACGGGGAGCCATAGGTTCAGATTCGATGGTGCTTGGTTATCTTGGAAATGGAGTTCCACAAATCTGAAGCTTTTGGCGGAGGCACGCCTTTATATTGTAGGTCCATGGTGTCAACATACTCCACGTTGTCGGAATACAAACTAAGGCGAGTTGGCGACACTTTTGTAAAGTACCAGAGGAAGGCTGGGTTGTGATTGGAGATAGATTGGAAAGAGTGATGTGGGCTGAGATTGACGCCATTTCACGTTCGGATAGTTTAATTTTGGCGTGCCGGTATCCATCGCGTAGTGACCATGGGTCTCCGCGATGTTTGGGGATGAGAGACCAAAATCAATAACAAAAGAGCAGTAAATTGAGCTGCTTTCGAGGGGAAACTCGCGAATACCAGTACATAGTCCGGAGTACGGAGCATAGACCCTGATATCCGGGAGGTACCCTGTGCCAAGACCCAGCCAAGTTCAATTATTTCGTACATTCCCACTCAATCTCGCTCGGCTCTTTCCAATAATCCGTACCACTCGGGGTAAAGCCGAGTTTCTGCAAGAGCTTCCCACTTCTGATATTTCCCCTCTCGGTCTCGGCGATAAACCTCCTAACTCCTCTTTCGTCCACAGACCACTGCATGATGGCCTGGGCCGCTTCTTTGGCAAGACCTTGTCCCCAGAATTGTGGTCCAACACCATAGCGAACTTCAATCATCTCTTGCCATGGTGGTAGAGGTGGGTCTCCAGCCTCTCTCGATGGCAGGGAAGTCGTTGTCGCATCACGGACCCCCGCGTACCCCACCCATTGCACCTCACTCGGGCGGACCTTTTCCATCAGCGCGACATAAGAATCATCCTTGACTATGCTGAGCTCCACATGGGAGTCGTTTTGGAGTATTGAAGGCAGTAATCCTACGGCGAAATCGCCCATGCCGCGTCTTTTCCAGCAACGTTGGATGTCACGCGTCTGAATTACATCGCGGGTCTCTTCGTCGCTCCAGGTTCTAGGAGGAAAATGGTGACCGAAGGCCATCTCACAAAACGCTACATCGGCATGGACGGACGAATACAGCGCTCGGTATGAGCTGAAGGAGATTGCAATTGGAGTGGGAATTATAATCAGCCTGGGGGTAAGAATGGCGAAAGCTTCAAAAGAGCATTCCATTTCAGAGCCCATGTTGATCTGGCGAGGGGAATTGAAATTTGAACGGAGCCATGTCAGAACGAACAATGCCCCAAAAAAACCACTACCCCGGAGAATTCATCCAAAGTCACGTGGCGTATATCAATTTGGAAGAAACAGCTTATCAGCCCCACTGTTACGAGAAACGGAGTTATGTCGCATGGTTCCGACGGAAAAAAAACAACCATCCTATTTCGAGATATTCTTTCATACATAGTCGATTCATGCCCTATCGCACAATGTTCATCGAAATGGAGCGCTCACGTTTTTAAGCGAAATCATGGTGCTTGGGAGGGATATCACACATCGGAAGATTTTGACCGAAAGCGAAGGCAAGGTGTGACATGCGAGTAGATTGAATAATGCAAAGACCTTCGATTTGGCAAAGATCAACCATTTGTCCGATCTTCAAGGCGGTGTTGTGTCTCTCACGTGCAGCATGCATTTGATCGGCCGGGACTCGGTTGACTCAATTGTACTCCGTACGGAGTGCACCCTTGCGACCTCAACCTCGTCGTATTGAGTACCCAGTACTTTTGCTCATCGCACACAAGCGAACAAAGACCAACAAATACAGAATATTCCGTACTCCACACCAGAACAAACCACAGACTTGTTAGGAACGCGACTACTCCCGTCGGTGATCTCCCGCATAGGAATGCACTATTTAAATGGTAGAACTTGAGACCCCTTGCCGCCTTTTGTGGGCATCCTACGACTTCACGATTTTGGCCCCCTTTTTCTGTCTTTTTGTTTGAGATCCCGAGATCGCTCAAGTCCCATGACTTGTGGAGACATGACCAATGGTGCACCGATTATAGGACTTTACTCCGTACTAGGTGTCACTTTTAGGTATGGGGGCACTCAACACATTCTTTGTTTCAATGATACTCTTCCGACACAAGTCTGCTCGAGTATTGAATTATTCCTAGTCAGGATACGGAGTACTGTAGCCTTCGACGGAAAGCGCCGAAATATTGTCAGTCGGACAGAAATAGCACGTGTAAGTAGTGATTTGTGCCATTAGTGACCCTAGTAGACGTAAACTCAATCGGCTGCGCCTCGGAGTTCCCCTTGCTAGCTAGCGCACCATCAGGAGGCGATAATATTAGCCGCCAAGCCAACAATTTAAGTTTTTCCCAACCGTTGCCCATTGGTGGACCCATATCATCTTAAAAAGGGGCAGTAGGGAGGTTCCCGTGCGGTGAAATGGCGAATAATTCGTGGCAAGTTCCTTCGATCCTGTGTAGTAACACAAGAGGGACTTGGCTCAGGAATCGGACCACCAGGACTTTGCATTGCAGTGAGTGCACGCTATTGAATGAAAAAAGAAAGAAAAAAAAAAAAAACAGAGGGAAAAAAAAGGACATATTGCCGTCGAAGAGAATCCGTTGAGCCCCAGAAACGTTGAAAGAAAAAAAAAGAAAGAGGCTAGTGCAAGGCTAATCCATGGATCAAACGTTCACCCGAGAGGAAACTGACCAATCACGTTGCAAATCCCCTGTCTGTGCCCCGAGTTTGACAGTCTTCTGGAACAAATTTTGTAGAAATCAGATTGGTCAATATTTTCCAATTCCGCTGATCTAGAGCTCCTTCCTTCCGAGCTAAGGGGACAATTTCACGGGGGCAAACGGGTCCGAAAAAATAAAAAACTAAGATAAGCTAGAAAAAAATCACCTTGTTTGGAACTTGCACTTCTATCCATCCCTCTCCTCTAGTATAAACCATTCCTTCAAGATGGCTGCGACGGACATCAAGCCTGTCACACAGACAGTCAAGGTACGAAACAACCCTAATTCTTTGTCTAGAAAGCAATTGAGTTCAAAACTGACATGTGATTCTCGCAATAGGACGAAGTTCCCACCCTCAAGGAGCTTAGAGATGCAATCCCGAAAGATTGCTTCGAATCCTCACTCCCTATCTCCCTCCTCTACTTGGCTCGGGACATTCTCTACTGCGCAACTTTGATCTACGCTGCGCTTCACATCCACCTCATTCCTTCACTGGAGCTGCGCATCGTCGCCTGGATTACCTATGGCTTCTTCCAAGGATGTGTTGGAACTGGACTTTGGATTCTTGCCCACGAGTGCGGTCATGGAGCGTTCTCCAAGTACCAGACTTTGAACCACTTCATTGGCTGGGCTACTCACTCTTTCCTTATGGTCCCATACTTCTCGTGGCAGATTACCCACGCTCGCCACCACCGCTACACCGGAAACATGGAGAAGGATACTGTTTTTGTCCCATGGACTGACAAGGATCTTGCTTCAAAGAAGAACCTGAAGATCGAGCAACTGAAGCATCTTGCCGAGGAGACCCCAATTGTCTCCTTCCTCCAGCTCATTGGCCACCAATTGATGGGCTGGCAGCTGTACCTTTTCCTCAACGTCACTGCTGGTCTCAAGAGCGGCCCCGAAGGAAAAGGCAAGATTGAATTTGCAAGCCACTACAACCCTTCAAGTGCACTCTTCGCCCCTAATCAGTGGATCTTGATTGCCTACTCTGATCTCGGTCTCTTGATCATGGGTTCCACTGTGTACTACTTCGGCACTATCATTGGCGCATGGAACATGTTCCTGCTTTACGTTGTTCCATACCTCTGGGTCCACCACTGGCTGAGTATGTCTTCAAAATCCAGACTTTGTTTTTCTCTCATTGGGGCTCGACTAACTCAATCTATAGTTGCTATCACCTACCTTCAGCACACCCACCCCGAAGTTCCCCACTACACCCCGGAAGCCTGGACCTACACCAAGGGCGCATTGGCTACCATTGATCGTACCACCGGATTTATTGGTCGTCACTTCTTCCACGAGATCATCGACTACCATGTGGTCCACCACCTTTTCAGCCGCATTCCTTTCTACAATGCCGAGCGCGCCACCAAGGCTATCCAGCCCCTGCTCGGTGAAAACTACCATGAGGAGAAAGAGGAGAGCTTCTTGTACTCGTTGATGGTTACTTTCCGCAAGTGCATCTATGTGTCCGAAAAAGGACGCCCCGACGCACAGCCTGGTGTTCTTCACTTTGTGCAGAGCGAAAGCAAATGATCTCGAATCTCCGAGGAGAACTACTAAAAAAGATACTTTATAGATTTATATAGACTAGATTTATTTCAAAGAATTTGTCGATCAAGACACAGTGAAAGCTAAATATCTTGATTTTCTTTTCCAAGTCCGGGTTGACTCGACAACGATTGTAACCATGAAGGGAACACTCTGTAAAGATGCACCTGCAAGTACGGAGTACAAAAGAATTTTGTTGGATATGTGAGATTATCTTCCTAATGAATGGAATCATACCCTTCGAGGCTAGCTCAGTCCGCAGAGCCATCATTCCTCATGGATCATGGGTAATTGTGAACATGCTCAGCGGATCAATGAGGCCGCAAAGTGATACCCTTGGAGATTTTTTTTAAGGGCTGTCATGATATTCAATCACACCAGCCACAAAGATAGGAGCCCAATGGCCAAGACCACGAGTGGCCATTTTTGGGCTCCGAGTGATGAGACCTGTCACATAAGACATACTCCGTCCTCCGTATTGATTTATCACATGCGATCCGGTGTCATCCAAATATGCTCCGTACCGTACCCACGATGGCTTGAGCCGAATATTCATTGGTTTTCAAGGGGTTGGCTATCCGAGTTGGTATGAGACACTGTGTCCGCCGTATCAATGACAAACATGGACTGATATCAAATGGGCCCTGACTCGACCACCGCAAACAAACAACATTTTCGATATCAGACGTCTTACCTGTGATTCTGTTTGGGCCGATATAATTATACAAATTTAGTCTCCCAACTAATGTCGATCCTGCAAGCGTTTATTAGAGCGACCTGGCGAAGCAATTTGCAAGTGGGGAGAGAGACCCATCGCTCGGGAAGCTCTGGTCAGATTGCACGGTGGCGATGGTTACGATTTACTTCTTCTGGGTCTTCGGTTATAGCCAAGATTAGGGACGGATTACGGTGCACAAAGTATTTATATTATGAGCCATATGAAGATCTCGGGGTGCGCAACCTTGGAAGACCTCGGGATGGAGATCTCGGTATCCCACTTCTGCCTCCCTTTGGGGCTACACACCGCAAAAGTTTCCGTCCGATCAGGTGACCGCCCCTCTATTTTGGAAGTCCTTGTGCCCATCCTTTTATGATACCACATCACGCACAAAAGATCTTTCAATTGGAAAGTAAAAACATGGTCTTCAAGATAGGGCTTGTAATCACTTTCGAGCTCTGAAGGTGATATATCCAATGCACGCAGCGCGGTGTTGTAAAGATCATGGTGAGTAAACTTCTGAAAGATTGGGGCTATCACCTGATCGAACGGAAACTTTTGCGGAGCAACGTCCATTCTTCAGTTCGGCCCGCGGGTCATCTTTTCTTCCCAACCCCGCAGGTTCCAAAATCGCAATATTCCTAAGCTTTAGAGGACTCTTAGCATCCGCGGATATCTTTGAATGCTCCTTGGATTTTGCTACTTCTGAGGCTGTATCTACCCACGTCTCAACGTCGGCTCTAAACCAAGTTGAATATGTCGGAAGTTCCAGAGTTAAGTCAGAAAAGTAGATAAACATCCACTCTCAATGTCATATTTGCGGCACTATTCCAATAAGAATCATTGTTATTATCTTAACATCATCATCACCTGGCATGAAGAGAAAAAAAAAAAAAACATAGCCGTCCATGAGCATGCCGCTAAAAACGCGATACAACAAACTGAATCAAAGAGCAAAAGATCAAGGCCATCACAGGTGAAGGATCACGCTTCGACATCACTTTTTCTTCTACCCTCCCGGCGCCACACGAACCAACCAACTGTGATTGAGAGCTTCAGCCCCATGGCAAACCAAATGCTAGAAGCCATGCCGGTAGTTTTTGAAAGACCACCAGCAGTCATTGCACCAAAGAACAAGGCAAGGAATGCACCTATCCGGCGGTTTCGCTTTGGGTTGAACTTGGTAGTCAATTTTGGGTCAACGAGCAGGTCACACAAAAGTGTAGTAACAACGACTGTCGGTATCTCATCGAGACCAAGAATACGCGAAGCGCAAATTTGACCACCTGCCTGGAAAGACAACAGGGAGATAGGAAGAATTTGCATCCACTCTATCGGTGCGCGAGGGTCCTCGGGTTTGGGGAGAATGACGTTGAGCTGGATTAAAATAGCTGTGGCTAGCAAAGCAAGAGTTTGAATGCCGAATGAGATAATCATTGTCGAGCGACGTCTCGGACTGAGAAGGCGATGCATGTGTATAAAGAATATGTTGCTGATGAGGAAGACAGTTATGGCGATCAGGGCCTTGGCCCAAATGTATGCAGGATAGGCTGGCTGGCCCGAGACACCGAGAGCTAAGAAAACAGTGTTTCCTGTTTGGTTGGGTCAGTATCTTGCAGACGAAAGAAAGAAAATTCTAAACAAGACTGAAGAATACATACCTGTTTGCATACTTGAAAAACTGCCCCATGCGTTGAATGATAATCCATCGACCATACCACCGACAAAGCCGCATATTATCAAAACAATATCGGTATGCGTAGTATCTATGTTTGATCGGAAGTGGCGTGAGAGGGTTGCAGGCATCGAGTTCTCATCCTGCCCTTGGTTGCCTGAAAGGGACACCGCGGTGCTTCCCCCTGAGGACCACAGTCCAGGTGTATATTTTGTTTCATCGTTTGTAGTCTCCAAACGGAAATTTGCTGCCGTCAAATCGTTCGGGTCGATTGCAGGGCTGTCAGGGGTATCGTATGTGATAGTCTTGGACTGTTCTATATTGTTCGTGGGGGAGGGAGGTTGGTCGTGCATTATGATATGTGATTGAGTATATAAATTTCCGATGGCAATTTTATAGAAAGAACCACCAATTTAGCCAAGGTCCAAAGATGGAGGGGAATGTGCTGATAGATCAGGCCCAGCAGCCTTGGTCTTCTTTAATAGTGACCCAGATTTCGCCATTATTCCGACATCCCCCATGCAAGGAAAACACTGGATCAGCGCCAAGAAGGAGATAAGAAAATACCCCGGTGACATGAAACAATGATACCTACTTCATCCCTACCGCTGTTGTGCAATGTAACACGGCCGGTGGATATATGTCGGACAAAATCCCTATCTAGAGCAGATCTATCTTCACCAAACAACCACCAGGCGAGAACAGTCAGACCGAGAGTTTCTGCGCAAACTATGCTCCGTAGTCTGAATACCAAATTGGTTTCTGACGAAATGAACATACTGGTACGGTTGAACACCGGCAAATGGATTGATCTCACACTCCACCTTGGCGGAATCTGGGCCTAATCTTGGCGTGACGATCGTTCTTCGCTGCAACCGTTCTCAGCCCCCCGGACTCTACCAAAGATCACAGTTCAGTAGAACCCCGGAGTTAATCCGCTGTCATACCCTAACTATTATGGGTCGGGTGGAGTACGTACGTCAAGAGCCCATGGTTAGGCTTCCGCGTTATCAGGACTATTTGAATCCGCAGCTTTGGAAGAAACTATCTTGGCAGCGGGATTACGCTTTATGGCCCTGATTGGTGCTCATTGGCGATATAGACAGCGATGGACGAAATCGAAATGTTGGAATATTGACCTGTCAATATTTTATCCGGAGCTTGCATGCTTCTACTCCATATGCCCTACTGCCTCGATGCAAAAATGCGTGCAGCCACAGCAAACATGTCTAAGACGGAGACATCGGCTGTTCTGGCCCCTGAAAACGTTAAAGGTAGAGTTTATTTGCCAAGGGATCGACTAGCCCACCGAAACTAGTCCTTTCGTGGGGCCCAAGATCTGTAGTGAGACTGGTTGCCAAGAGTGATCTCCAGAAGCGTGGCCGATGGTTCATCACCGGGGATTCTTATCTTTGCGTGCCCACGGCTGAGTTTCGACCACACAGCCTCGAAAACTAGTTCTTGGCGTTGACTAGATGGCTGCGTTGAACTTGTTGATGCTGACAGTTCACCCTTGGCGTTTTTTAATCCTTCGCTCTACTCCGTGTTGTGTGCTCCGTAGTTGGGTGAGCACTCCGACAAATATTCCACTAGTAGGCACACGATAACTAGTCCACGGGTACGGAGTAGGTCAGAGCGTTATGTCAACTGGTATCATGTTTCCACCCGAACAAGGAAAAGCCCTACGTATGACTCTTTGGTTGGGAAATTGCTTTCATGTCGGAAAAAGCAACTCCATGCCAAGAAAAGATAGTCGTGTTAGTTATGGACTTCATGATAACTTCAGGCTCGGCAGAGCCTGACCACCCCTCCTAGCTGGGCTGTTGATGCCGAAATGTGCCAAGCAGGAGTCATTTTGAGTTATTGCTCAGCAAGGATTTGGCTTTCCGCCAATTCGTCGGGTATTCCACTTGGCAGGATTCATAGACTTGGCTTGAAACCGTGGTTGGCCTGCAATCTGTGACATCACCATGTGACATGGTCAAATCAAGGGATCGGAAGTGTAAACGATCGAACCATCGATCGTTCAATGTAACACCTGAACGCGACGAAAATATCGAGAAGTGTTCAATTGAAGCTCGTCATCTCTGAATCATGCTGGGTGTCAGGATAAGTGAATTTCCGGAAAAAGGAAACACAGGTCTCCGGGGGGGTACCTCGGAATATGTCAGCATTGTGTGTCAAATGCTTATCAGTAGGGATGATCCTAACTCAATGTATCGGATGTGAAATCAATCTTAGCCCGATCTGTTTATTCTGACCTCAATCGGCCACTGCGCCACTCCGAGAGGAATTCTCGGCGTGGGGTGGGCGTCGATCACTCCCGCAGCGGATCCCGTGGTCTCCGCCGTTGCCAAAATCCTAGTGCCACTATCCCCGCAGTCAATACTCATGACGCTCTCCGCCAAGGCATCGCGTGAGTCTCGAAGATCTCAAGGCCCAGGATCAAGGTTCTCCCTTTTTACCGCCATAGAAAGATCCGGTTTGCATTGCATTGATGGGGATGGGCCCTTTCCCTTTCGTCTCGGCTGTGCAGCGCGTCTAGGCCCCCTGTCTGCCCGACCGGTTCATTATCGTGAGTGAATCGGGCCTTCAAGGTTGTAGCCTAGCTAAAAGAGAGCCGTTGCCGAAAATTTCGGCATAATTTTATTTTGCTGGGTTTTATTTGACTGCGGGTGATGTCCCCAATCTGATAGGTTGATCTTAACCTCCTCACTTCAATGCATTATTTTTGGAAGGCTGCATTCTCCGTGGAGATGTCGTGCTGAAACTGGCTTACCATGTGGCGTGAATCAGCCAGTTGCATATCCCGTTATCCTGCTCCACCCAGAGACATGCTGCCTAGGATGCCAGAGTAAACATCGCCAATATCCAATACTCCGTACAGTGCGGAGTAATGCGCTTGGGCACACAGGCGTTGGCTGTACGTAGAACGTCCCGATGAGTGCGAAGCCTGAAAGTTTGACATCCTGATATCCATACATCCGAAGGAGCAGATTTTTCCACCTTACATGTGAGACGTCCAAGCTGCAGGGGTCCCGATTACACAACCACGCGGCAGATCTCGATCTGATGGTTCTCCAAGTAATTGTGTAACATCAAGGCCTCGACCAAATACTTCGAAAGAGAACAATAGCTATGCGACAGTGCGAGGATGAGGGTCTGGCTCCAACCATCAGCACTCTGCTTGAAACGCGGGAATGACAAAGTGGAGACGCTGTCGTTACACGGGGCATCATGTACGGAGTACTCCTCCTTCATGTTCCGCGGGGATGAAAGCCAAGTAAAAGTTGAATGTAAGCATACACCACTTGCCAACATAGCGCTAACACGAATATTGCACTACCATCATCAGGCAGAGTCCTTGATGGTTATATGGTAGCTCGTATTTGCCAGGAAGAATCCCCAAACCTCAAGTGAGGCCATGGAGTTTGCCTGCCTTCGTTGAAACCTTTGCAGCGCTGCACCAGAGACCCTGGTACTCCAGCGTAGTTCCGATTTCTTCCTCAAATCGCAAACAAGCAGCCAAGGCTACCTTCTTCAAACCACGTCTTTTCTTTCGCCCACGCTTGGACAATGATATCCCTCCCCACCTTGACCACCTCCTTAACCTGCTCTTGGCTTCCCCACCCGGGGACCCTGCTTCCCCAACAAATCAAGTGCACACCAACGTGAATTGCCGTGCGGAAAGCCATTTCATCGCTGATCGGTCCATAGCCTGCCGTGAAGCCCTGGATGATCTGAAGCCCAATGTCCAGATGTTTGAACAGCTTTGTCTCATAAAGTTCAGCAATCATTTGACCGAGATCTAGAGCCCGATTGCCAACTTGAGACAATTCCCAGTCAACAACGAATAGGTTTGTCGACCCTTCTGCTGTGTCCAGTGAACTTCTTTGAACAAGCACACTGGCATGATAATCAGCTCATGTTTTCAAACCAGGGAAAAACAGACAATAAGAGCAGTCTGCAAAACATACTTTCCCGTCCAGAAATCGCCATGAATGACCCCATATTCATCGTCATGAACCCTCCTCTCCAGTTCCGCTGCTGCTAGATCGCGAACTTGTTCAAAGATGCCGCGGCTTTCCTCCAGAATGGCGGGGAAGCTACTGACACTTTCGACCAACAACGTATAGTTGGCATAGAACTTCAGCTGTTGCATCGGTTTGTTCTCACGCAAGAACTGCTCGGAAGAAGCCTGCCCCTTCTCAGCCGCCCAGACATGAAGCGAGCGTAGCCATGAGCCAAGCGCGCGACCGATTGCCAGGGCGGATGATTCCGATAAGGAACCAGAGTCCCCGGAGAGAAGAAATGTTTTCAGGTCAAGGGAGTTGGGAAGATCCTCAAGCACTTGCGTGTGTGTCGCTTGATTGGAGTACAACAGACGTGGTGTTTTGACTGTCACGTCATCTTTTGAATGGGGTGATAGGCTGTCCAGGGCCCGTAAAATGGCTATCTCATGTTCCTATTTGGGTATTAGTACTTGCTTATGAGAGACTTTAACTTGACGAACGCAACGCGTGATATCGAGGTTGAAGCTTTTGTTGCTAGCGAGGTAATCTTTGGCATGCTTGATGACGATCGATTCCCCCGTAGACGCCAGTTTGCCCCGATATACGAAGTTCGCCGTGCCGCCCGATAGTCGGCTGAGTGATGGGCATGCGAATTCCGTTTGGGAGAGCTCCTCCTTTATCTCATCGTGAACCTCGTCCATCTTGTGAGTGATCGGATCCACCTGGGCAAGGAGGAGATGTCAAACAGGACCCCTTTTTGGACACATCACGTGCAGTGAGTCAACCATCGAGATCTCGTATTTTGTGCCGTCCAAACGCGCGATCAAACTCAAATTCAATATCTTCTGGGTAAATTCCAGCCATTGCATACTCCGTACTCTGTGCAATAATTTTGAATCCAGCGATGTTTGCAATCGCGATGAATAACACAGGTGTGTCGCAGGATCCACTTTGCAATCGGCCGGCACCGTCGGTTTGACCCGAGCACTCGGTCATCGCCGGCATTCGCTGGTGGGTCGGCGGATAAGGACTTTCCTTTTAATCTGCGGGGTGACCGTTTGCTTTCCTTCTTCGCCTCAACTCCTCCTCCTACCACCATTGACCCTCTACCGCACCAATATGGGGAACGACAAGAAGATCGGTGCCTACTATGCACCAACTGGTGGATTGCCACCCCAGACGCAGATCCTCACCGACCGAGCCATGTTTACCGAAGCCTACGCCGTTATCCCCAAGGGCACATTCAGCGATATCGTGACAAGTTTTCTACCATTCTGGGACAAGACGCGATTGTGGGTGATTGCACGGCCGTTGTCGGGTTTCGCTGAGACGTTCTCACAATACATTATGGAGGTACAACCCGGCGGCGGCAGTGACCGTGCCGAGCTCGATGAGGGCGCGCAAGGCGTGGTATTCGTTGTCGAAGGCGAAGTCACCATCACCGTGGGAGGAGAGAAGCACACTTTGACCGAGGGTGGTTACGCATACCTGCCCCCGAAGTGTGGTTGGACTCTTCGCAACAACGGCGAGTCCACTGCTCGGTTCCACTGGGTGCGCAAAGCCTACGAAGCGGTCGAGGGACTTGACCAACCCGAGCCTCTTTTCCTTAACGAGAAGGAGATTGCGCCAACATTCATGCCCAACACCAACGGTGCTTGGGCCACTACGCGCTTCGTTGACCCCAATGATCTGCGACACGATATGCATGTCACCATTGTGACTTTCGAGCCCGGCGGTGTTATCCCCTTCGCCGAGACCCACGTGATGGAACACGGTCTGTATGTCTTGGAAGGCAAAGCCGTTTACAGACTCAACCAGGACTGGGTGGAAGTGGAAGCCGGTGACTTTATGTGGTTGCGTGCCTTCTGCCCCCAGGCCTGCTATGCCGGTGGCCCTGGAAAGTTCCGCTACCTGCTCTACAAGGATGTCAACCGACACATGAAGCTCTCACGACTCTAAAGAGTCGATTCACTGATCCTGATACGATTTTATGACACTCGAGCAATTGTTTCACTTACGACCACAATTGCTTGCGGGAGGGAGAACATGCCATGTGCACACTCGTCATAGCACGGCACCAAGCTACCTTCCGCAACTCATCATCCCGAAAAGCCCGAGGGCTGGGGGTTGGCTCTGCTGTCTCGTCGCACACGTGTGTCTTCATCGGATAAAACTTGTGCAGGCGACGAAGACTGGCTGTTCTGTCCGTCTTTGTTGTGTCTTTGTAAATACCATTAACAAGCTCGTCATCTCTTTTATATGATTCAATACCATACAGCTTTTTCTTTTTTTTACTTCTCCGTTTTGATCTTATCACCAGATCTCACTTGCCACAGGTCCGGCGATGCTCTTGCTTCTCTTCTAGGTTGGCGTAATACCATTGATCGACACCTGTATTTGTGAGAAGCCCGTGGAAACATAGACTCTCGCAGCTGGTGCATCGCACTCGAGTTGGGATGGATGATTGATGCCATGTATAGTGTGAAAATTCGACCACATCGGAGTTGGAGCGGGAGGGTTCCGAAATCGAAAATGAGGGTTTGCACGCTCAGACCTTGGCACGAGGCATCCTAGTCATATTTGATGGAAAGAAAATAGCTCAAGCTCTGACGAGATTAGCTTACCCCCCCGAAGCATTCCACTCCAGCTCAGCCATTTGTCAGACTCTCGGGGCTTTCCCAGCAACTAACAAGACGCGAGGTCAAAGCGGGACCCTCGTGCTAACTCACAATTCCATTCACAGGAATTAACCCGCAATCTAGAAGTGCCACAAAACACCCGGGGCCGCCAAGCGACCTTGGCATCGAGGACCTTGAGACTACATGGCTTGGCATTCCGCTTTACAGTGGAAGTGTGAGATTCTCCCATACTTTTTCAAACCCAATTTGCAAAATGGTTTACAGCGTACGGCGACAGGTGCTTCTCATTCTAGCATGTGTTGCCTGGATCGAGTTTGCTATTCGATATTCGCCTCAAATTGAAGTAAGATCTTTATCTGAAGAAACAATGGGACCTAACTCACAACCATCTATAGAGATTTGCCCATAATGCTCTCGCATTCAGAGCGACTACGACTCACGAAATTGCACCATTGATCTATGGACCAAAGGAACATGCTCGTCTCCTACAAACACTTGACCGATCCAGCGGGAAATGGGACTCTTCTCACCCACGACATAGATTGCTAGCTGCGTTGTATGGATTCGCGCGTTACGAAGATGGCAGTCAATCCGATATCAACCGATGGAAAGATTTGTACAAAAAGGTACCCAAACGCCAAAGATTGGTAAGTTACTCAGAAAAACAACGTGCACTTTTCACCCAGATCATACTAACATTCTCAGCTCCTCGAGTCAAGCGTCAACTACCCACATAAGCTAGAGAGCGTTGAAAAGTTGCTGAAAGTAAATGTGAATCTTGCTAGATCTATCGCTGATCACGGTTTGCGCTTTTACAATATCACTCAGCTCGAGCTAGATGATTTCATCAATGAAGCGGAGACGCAAGGCAAACCTATCGATAAGACCAGCGTCACACAGGGAATGAAACACTTCGTCCGTGATTGGTCTACAGAAGGCAAAGACGAGCGAAAACAGTCCTTTCAAACGATTCTGGACTCACTCAACCGACAACCGAGGACAACGCATGATCCATTGCGCGTGCTACTCCCCGGAGCAGGGTTAGGCAGGTTGGCGCACGAAATTCACAACTTGGGAGGTGTGTTTGTTCTTCTTTTTTTATGTATTATCGTCTGCTTACTGACTGCATGACTAGGATACCAAGTCACGACGAACGAATGGTCGGCCTATATGAATTTGGCCTATCGATACCTATCGAGTCAAACGGAGCATAACAGCTTGTCATTACACCCGTACATAGACTGGTGGTCTCACCATGCTACGAACGCGGATTTTCAACGATCTGTCACATTCCCGGACCAAGTCGCCGACCCTTCATCTGTTTTGCATGTAGAAGGGGATTTTACTACGGCTTTCAGTGGGTCTACGGGCCAATACGATGTTCTGGTGACTCTATTTTTTATCGACACAGCACGGAACCTGATCTCATACATTGAGAATATCCACCGATTACTTCGCCCTGGAGGTCTATGGATCAACTTGGGGCCTCTTATGTACGGAACAGGTCCATTTGTCCAACTCACAGTTGATGAGATTGTGGCCTTGAGCACCAGGGTTGGATTTGAATTCCGCGAAACCGATGCCAATTATGGCAATACGACAATCCCTGGTCTGACTGTTCGAGGCTCAGAGATCAGCTATGGGCGAAATCCAGAAGGATTGAACAAGAACGCTTTCCAGGCTCAGTATTGGGAGGCAGTGAGAGTTTAAGATAAAGGTGTAATAAAGCCCATGAGTACGTCGTATTTAGGATACATTCAAACCCTTAGAATTTGGGCCATGTTGGCCAAGTGATAGTCGAACGAACTATACCTAGACTAACTGTCACAGTTCATCTCCGAACTTCTCATGGCATAATCAGATGTTAGGTTTACCTATTCCCGAGCCGATGACCGCGGGACATAATGCTCCATCAACTCGAAAGCCGAAAATTAGCCGCTTAAACTTTCACACCTCTTCTGAGAAGACCCTCCGTTACATCCACCTCTAGCGAGGCTTCTAGTTCCAAGCACGGTCCCTAGTGAGATCATTTGAGGTTACGATCAACCAGGCACAACAAATGAGAAGAACATATCACTGAAACAAAATCAGCCACTGGCTGACAGCGGGCCAACCTGAGAGTGGAATGATTCTTCCGCCAAGATTATATGAGAACCTTTGGGGCACCAAGACTTTCTTAATTCTTGGCACCAGGACCCTTCCATAGAAACACGGGCTCTGCTTGGGGGCTATTCCGCCTGACTTTGCAGGTATAAAATTCGGATGTGCACTCACTGCGACATTCCTTCTTCATACTTCTCTCAAAAATCTTCGACTTTGTATCCCCAAGCTGTACAAAATGGGTTTCTCCATCCGCCTACTGGCAATTACTGCTTTGGTCGCATCTACTGTGGCTGGCCAGAGTGCAGGCCCATCTCCTACTGAATCTATCGGCTGTGAGCCTCACGGTGACCACTGGTATGTTCTACTACCTGCGCGCACCGATTCATATGCACTAGGAGTGTTTTAATAACTGTATATACAGGCACTGCGACGGCCCAGCCTCCACTGCTGTATCTTCTGTGACATCAACTGCAGCTGAATCCGTGTCCACGACCGCAACCGCCTCGATAGCGCCTAGCCCCACAGAATCTATCGGGTGTGAGCCACATGGTGATCACTGGCATTGCGACGGCCCAGCATCTACTGATGGGTCTTCTGTGTCATCAACTACAGCTGAATCCGAGGCCACGACCGAAACCGCTTCGATAGCGCCTAGTCCCACAGAGTCCATCGGATGTGAGCCACACGGTGATCACTGGCACTGTGATGGCCCGGCTGAAACATCCAGTGCGGCTTCTACAAGCGCCTCGGCTACCGCAGAAGACCAGGACAATGGTGTCGGAGCTCAAGGCGTTCACATCCTTCTCCTTGCAGGTCTCTCAGCTGCGGCTGCTGGACTTAACTTCTAATTTTGAGGATTGAAAGGTTGATTGTGATCTATCTCTTTGGCAATAGTTCAGGTGACTTGTACGTTGATTGAAATCCTCATATGGGAGAAGAAAGCCTGTATATACAAGAGAAAATCAGTAATTGGGAATGCTTGGTATGGAGATAATTGAGAATCAGGTTACGGATCTCCTACCATACCGTGAAGCACCTTGGAAAATAACAAGTTTCTTGCTTCTTCTTCCAAGGTTCTTCTTCTTCTTCTTCTTCTTCTTCTACTTCTTCTACTTCTTCTACTTCTTCTCTTCTTTCTTCGCTTTCTCTTCTTTTTTCGCTTAAAACTCTTGGTCAAACCTTTTTGTTGCGGATCAAAAGTTTCTAGTTCTCGCTAAAATCCTCGTTGTGACCTAAAGATGGTCTCGGGAAAGCTGTTAGACCGACATGGCGTCGGAGAAAGTCAATAATATCCTCCAGCTCATCTTCAACTCGATACCAATGCCCCAGTCCGTCGTATGATTTCCATGTGACATTCATCCCGAGACCAGTCGAGAGGAAATTTGACATTTTCCTGCCCAACAGCACTGATACCTTGGGATCTTCGGTGCCGTGACCCATGAACACAGGTGTCCGGAGTTGAGGAATCATGAATGACGACTTGCTGTCGGTTGAGAGACGCCAAGCAGGTTCCAGTAAGGGGAGATCCAAAATACCCCGGATATGGTCAATTGTTTGGATAATTAAGGGTGGCCTCTCCTCCTCCTCATCTTCCTCAAAAGGATTGAAGTCATCGTTTACATCGAGACTCTGGCCGAATGGATCTTCATTTTCGGATTCTGTTTCGAGTTCGCCGACCGAGACTAGATCCTCTTCGCCTGAATAACTCTCGGCGCTCGATTCATCATTCGCGTTGATCAAGTCTTCCGAATCATCCGAGCTATCCAGATTTGTCTGTGGTGGCGCAATTGAATTGGCATGTTGAGGTGAGCTTGGAAGTTGATCAATCTGAATAATCTGCTGCAGCTCATTCTCAAACGGCAACCACCCACTCATTCCAACGAAAGCCCCGATCGCCTCTCTCTTAGTGTCACTGAAGCCTCCTAGGAGGGTGAAACCACCCGCAGCGCACCCCTGGCTGAGGCCCAACAAGATTATCTTGCCATAGGCCTTGTCCCCTAGAAGTGCAGCCTCTTCATCAATCAACCCACGAATGATCTCGGACGTCTCTTGCAGACCCTCAATCTGTAACTCGGTTCGTTCGCCAGGGTCGACGAGGGAATAGTTGTCAAACCACTGGTTGATAGGGATCCTCTTGAGGACTGTCGACCTTCTCTTGGATGCTGTGGGGAAAACAAATTTCACGGTCGGAAGCCTAACCTGTAGGTCTGCGGCCTCTAGAAGTGTGGGACCAAAGCGACCGGCGTTGCTACCTCTGCCATGAAGTGCAATTATTGTATGCGTGTGTTTCTCATGAAGGGGCTGGACGATCAGCGGGGCGAGGTATCCTTTTATAGGCATGCTAATCGGACCCCGGGAATGACGCTTGATGAGCAGTGTGCAAATTTGGCCGCTAGGACAGAGAAGAACGGCGCTGTTAGGCAAATTGGGGAGGGAGGTTTTTGCCAAGAGCGCTCACGCTCTTTCTTGCGCTGGAGATATCTTCAAAGCCATGTTGACAATTGGTCGGGCCCGGGGTTACTTTCATTTTGTTTGTCTCTCGAAGTCCTCTCGGGACCAATTTTAGCATAGCGGCACTATAGACTGCTAATCGAGTTTTTGATACTTCGTAAGAAAGCAACTCATCAAGTTTGAGCTTCCAAGTCAGGTTTACATTAGCTCAAAATTGATAACCTTCAACTGACGTCTCCTCCAGGGTTGCCAAAAGAATCTCGCCAGTAAATTTATGACACTGAGCTTTGTCATCATGCCGATGCAGCGTGATCAAACTGAACTATCACGAAGCGAGCTCCATGGAGAATTTCCCTGTTTGGTAAAACCACTATCCGGATTAATAGAGGTTCCGAGGCCGAAATTGCATTCTTCGGAATGCCTTATGCCGACATCGCCGAGTTCATCTTAGTATGTCATGCGGGGAAACATAACAACATTTCAGATTCCGATGGAGATTGGGAGTCAGGGTCAATTTGACCCCAAGGTCACCTCGCTCGGCAGAATTTCGGCAACTTACCACCAATCATCATTGATCTCAAGCCACCAGTTGATGGCTACATGACACCAGGAGATGTTGTGCCAAGCTGCAATCTCCTCTTCTTCTAGTCAACTCGCCAAGACTACCTTCTTCCGCATGCTCATAGCTCCGAATGATGGCGTCAATATGCCTTTAAAAGGGGGTATCCTCTCCCAACGCAGAAATGCGTCAAGATCTCAATCGCCCTGACAGCACACCATGTCGAAAGCTGGCTTAGCTTTGCTGGCGTTTCTCGGACTCATGAGCCATCGTGCCTTGGCGGACTATTGCGTCTCTTCTTCTGCAGTGGTTAATTGGCTGGGTGACAATCCAACCTCTAACGCGGGTGTGACATTTGGTCTACCATGGCCGCAAGGAAAATACCAACTGGAGAAGACCAAGTTCAGCCTTCTCGGCGATGACGAGGAAATAGCAGGACTGGGCTCATGGGCTACCGGCTACTGGGCCGACGGCTCTGTCAAGTGGACGGGGCATGCCATAGCTGCATCAAGTGCGACCTATGATCAATACACAGTCGTTGCTTCGTCTTTAGGATGCTTCAACAAATCGTCGTCATCAACAGAGTCTGCCACGTCAAGGGATTCCCTCGCCATTACAAATGGACCCGATGCTCTCACCGTGAATACGGGAGAGATCACTGTCTCGTTTCCTAAAGAAGGCAATGTCCTAGTGAGCGATATCAAGACCAAAGGTGGCAAGTCTGTGGGATCGAATGGAAGACTAGTTCTTCAATCCCAGGACGCAGTGCCTGACAGCTCTGATGGCCGAGTCAATTCATCAATTCAGTATTCGAATTTCAACAGCAACATCGAGAAGGTCTCCGTTAATTCCACCTCGGTCCGCACTCTTGTCACTGTCAGTGGAAATCACACGGTGACTGGCGGTGCTGACCATGATCCGTGGCTTCCATTTGTTGTCAGATTCTACCTATACGCCAATTCCTCCTCTATCAAAGTGATACACAGTCTTGTTTTCGATGGAGGCGAGAAGGACTTTATCACTGGGCTTGGTCTACGATTCGATGTTCCCCTCAAGGGCGAAGAATACTACAACCGTCACATCAGGTTTGCTGGCGTGGATGGTGGTATACTCAATGAGGCGGTCCAGGGAATCACTGGGCTACGACGCGACCCCGGTCAAGAAGTCAAGACAGCTCAATTCGAGGGTCGTGAATTACCAGCCACTGATACCTGGGATAGCCGGGTTACCACTCGATTGAAATGGATTCCGACGTGGTCAGACTACAGCCTCACTCAACTGACAGCTGATGGATTCGGCCTCAAGAAGAGGACCAAGGCCGGCCAATCATGGGTCAAGATTCCCAGTGGAACGCGTGCCGAGGGTCTGGCCTATCTCGGAGGTGCTACTCAAGGTGGTCTCGCTGTCGGCCTGCGTGACTTCTGGAAGCGATATCCTTCCGGCTTCGATGTCTCGAACGCTGCCTCTGATAAGGGCGAAATCACGCTGTGGCTATATAGCCCTGCCGCTGATCCTTTGGATCTTCGGCCGTTCCACGATGGTCTCGGGCAACAAAACTACACAGATCAGCTCGACGCGCTCGAGATCACATATGAGGATTTCGAACCCGGCTTTAACACCCCCTACGGAATCGCTAGAACTAGCGAAGTGTATCTTTTCGCATTCGAGCAAACACCCACAAGTGACACATTGTCTTCCCTTGCTTCGTACATCAATGATCCTCCAGTGCTGGTACCGGAGCCGAAGTATATCCACGAAACGAAAGCTCTCGGAGAGTATTGGGCCTTGCCGGACACCACTAGTGAAGCTGCGAGCACCCTGGAAGACCGGCTTCACTTCATATTTGACTTTTACCGAAACCAAATTGAGCAGCGACGCTGGTATGGGTTCTTGGACTATGGCGATTTCATGCACACGTACGACACCGATCGACACACTTGGCGGTATGACGTCGGTGGTTATGCCTGGGACAACTCCGAGCTCTCACCGGATCTCTTCTTCTGGCTTTACTTCCTTCGCACCGGCAACGAAGATGCATACCGGTTCGCCGAGGCCTTAACCCGACACACTGGCGAAGTCGACGTGTACCACATTGGTGACTGGAAGGGACTGGGCACACGACATGGTGTCCAGCATTGGGCCGATAGCGCCAAGCAAGCTCGTATCTCCCAACCCCAATACCGAAAGTACTTCTTCTATCTCTCCGGTGGAGACGAGCGCGTCGGGGAGCTGCTGGAGGAATTGCTTGACACGGACAAGACGTATGGAAAGCTTGATCCACAGCGAAAGGTCCGAACAGATGGATGGACTCCTAGTCCCGATTCAACGGTTTCGTTCGGACTTGGAACCGATTGGTCGAGTCTCGCTGCCGGGTGGCTTGTCGAATGGGAGAGGCGTGGGTCAAGATGGGAGGAGGCGAAGACAAAGCTGAACAACACGATTTCCGGAATCGCAAACCTCACCAACGGCTTCGTGACTGGCTCAGGGTTGTACGATCCGGTCACTTGGACTTTGGGCCCTCCCCCCTGCTGACCCCAATAATCTCGGAAACGTGTCTATCTCTCATCTTAATGCTGTCTTCGGTCTCCCCGAAGTCGTCTCCGAAGCCATCGCTTATCTAGCGGATGACCTTCCCAAAGGATTTAAGCAAGCTTGGCTGGATTACTGCTTCTATTATCATGCTTCGGCGGCTGAGCAGAAGGCTCGCTACGGAGAGAGCTTCAGCAAGATCAGCTTGCTTCAAGCTCACTCCAGGCTAGCAGCTTACGCGGCATATGAAACTAAGAATACCTCATTGGCGCTGCGCGCCTGGAAAGACTTCTATGACAGCGACGGACTGGCGCCCGATGCCCCCTGGAACACCACACACGTCAATGGAAGTGCTGTTTTGGTGGCCGTCGACGAGGCCTCATGGCTGGCAACCAATGATATCGCGCAGTACGGATTGGCTGTCATTCAAAATTTGGCATATGTCGGGGACTCCCTTGCTGACTACCAAGCTTGAATTGCGACGCTGTAAAGTTGTGATGTTCCGGCACCGGGGCCCCGGGGCACTGGGGTTCTGTATGCCACAATATCTTAGGTACTACATTTTCAAGGGAGCACATTTTAGCACACTTTTAACGTTTCGTTGAATCTAGCACTATTCTCAATTAGGATGTCGAAGGCTTTGGTATCGGGTAATTGTCACTTTTATGAAAAACTTAGGCTTTCCCAGATGTCACTCCCAGTATTCCAAGGTTGGATACTACAGACTTTATCCACGGACCTTCGCAGGGTTTGCTCAACCTCGGGAGGGTAAGAGGTACCATGAGTCAAAATATACCTTTTTCTGCCGACTGCCACCTAATTCCTACGCAAACCTTCGACACTTCGCTCGTTCTCGTTTGAGTAAATTTCCATGGTGACTGTAATCAAATATTTGAATCACTCTTGAAATATAAACACTGAAATCTTGAGGTCCTTCCATGGGTTTTGCGAACCCCCAAAAGTCCCGAGGTCCCGGGATCACTTGTGAGTAGGTGTCTGAGAACATTTATGGATATCGCAAGAATTCCCAGGCGAAGTAGGTATTAGGCAAAAATCCGTCAGATAGGGCAATATCCAATTGAGAAGGTAGTTGCTATATAACACATAGTTTGACTAGACCCCAAAAGACATTCTCACACCAATTCAACAATGACTACAATATAAACAACGGAGTGGACCATCACTTCGAGATTTAGGAGGGGGGAGCACCACCAGCACCACCGCCGCCACCGCCACCGCCCATGCTGGAGCTCTCGTTCTCAACACCACCCTGCTCAGTGTAGTAAGCAGCAGGGGTAACACTGCTGTCCTGGGTAGGGTCGATACCGAGAGAGATCCAAGCGAAGATTCCATCAGAGACGTCATCTCCAAGGTAGACGTACTCCATGAAGGGGTCAATAGTATCAGCCTCCTCAGAGAGAATGGAGTCTTCGGCGTTGGTGGTGAGTTCCTGGGTGTTGGTGGAGTAGGGGGAAACCTTCTCAACGGCAGTGATGAGGTCCTGGTCGAAGAAGATCTGACCAACGTAGGAAGAGCTGGAAGTGTAGAGACCGGAGATGGTACCGTTGGCGAGAACTTCAGTCTCGTTGGAGGGGTGGGTCAGGACTGTGCCCTAATTAGTATGGGGTTCCATCATCTTGCTGGAGATTTCATACCGTGGATGTGGGTAGCACGGCTGGTGTAGTGACCGGGGAAAGTGGTCTGGAAGTGAACAACACCGTTGGAGTCACTTTCCTGGATACCGCGGAGGAAGGTGGAGTTGATGTTCAGTGTGTCGGAGGAGTCACCGTTGCCGCTGGCGACGATTCCGGAGTAGACGCCCTGTGAAAGTCAGTAATGTGTTCTTCAAAGGTGTTTGTCGGGTTATTCCCAGTGCATTGCTTACAGTGGAGTTGCAGTGCCAGAGATCAGTGTAGATCTCGGGAATGGGCTCGCAGGTGTTGGTGTTGATGAGCTGGATGTCCATGAAAAGGGGAACACCCTCTTGGTCCTCAGCAATGTTCTCACGAACAAGCTCACCAGTGACATCTGATTCGTGTTAGAGACGAATCTCAGTGCGTGAAACGTAGGGAGGTCATACAGTAAGGTCCCTGGGTCACATCGGGTCCGAGAATGCAAGTAGACTCAGAGGCAAACAGGACACTGGGGTCGGTGGAGGCATCGACACCAGTAAGGCTGGAGTGATGAGAGGTGCTCAGGGTGCTGTTGAGGCTGCGAGCCTTCAGGTAGTGGGGTGCTAGATGTGCATCAGTGAACTGTCAATGTTGTGGATGGACTTGATATCATACTCTGGGAAAGACCACGGCTGGCGCGGAGGTTCTTGACAGCATGCTGGCGACGAGCAACGTTGCGGTTCTCAAGGCCTCTGGCTCTCAGCTTGGAGGCACATCCAGCGAGGCTGCGAGACTGGACAGGGACAGTCTTGAGGAAGGCAGCACGCTCGGCGGCTTCAGCCTTGACGTCGTGGCCAGGATGAGCAGAGACAAAGCCAGCCAGACCAGCGAGGCCGACGGCAACAGCGGATGCGAGGTGAACCATGATGGAGAAGCCCGTTGAAGGATTGCAGACAGAGGCAGATGAAGTTGTGTGTGTGAGTGATCAACACATCCGGGTATCTGGGGGTCTTTTATATCCTCCCGGTCCGTCGACGGAGAATATCCACAGCGGGGAGATATGTGGATTAAGAATAGCTCCGCTTGACATAAACGACTTCGTGATGAAGCTGACGAGTTCTCTGGTCTGCCTTGACAAATGAAACGTGGAAGATTTCTCAGCGCAGAGGGTCCCTTGAAGCTGCAGGCCCCGCAGCGGAGCATGCGGTGTCCATCAATGAGATGAGGCAATGCATGGTGAATAGTTTGGAATGAAATGCCATTCATTGGGCCTCGGCGTCTGGCGAACGGAGAAATGCCATGGTTCGGTAACGATTATGCTCGATTCCATGACGAATCCACTGTCGATCATGTTGCAACTAGTGCCCCCTGCCAAGGAACATTAGTCGACTGTTGTTGGGGATGTTTCAAACATGGGGATTTAAGGCTTTCGGCGGGTGTAAAGGTTCTAGAATAGGGCTGGCGCGGAGTGGACCAAGTGATCGACATGACTGACGAGGCATAAATCAGCGTCGAAAATGGGCCTTGTTCTACATCATGAGGCTACATTTGCACTCACAGTGACTGCTATCAATCATTCAGTAGAATGGACTTCTTCCAATGGTTGCCATCTGCGGCAGTATAGCGTCGTAGTCGAGTAACACCTCTCCCCCGGCTGGGCACGGAGAGATAGGGAAAGTAACAATTGAACATCCCTGTCAATTGCCACCAACCAGGTTTCAAACAATACTAAGCTGTACTCTAACCTCCGAGGCGGAGGCTTCGTGGATATTTTGCATGCTAAAGTGGTGGTGTACGTACTTCGAGTCTTGGCAGCCGCGCCGCTACGATAACAGTCAGCGGAGATTTCAGCGCCGAAGGCTGCGCTCGAAATTCAGCCAACTACAAACATGCCGCGCCCACCCCTGTCTGTCCGGTTTTCACCCCTTTCTCTGTCCAAACAATACGCATGCGAGGTCCACTTTCCAAACTTGAGCACGATTACTCCGTAGAGTTGATGTATCGAAGGCGACTGGCTCGAAGCTCTAATTTTGCCAAGTCGCTGATGTAATCAACACAAGGCTTGGCAATTGCTTGCTGTTCCGAAGATCTGCCGGTGTTTGAGGCCGAGGGTGGAAATATTAATAGTTGCCGCGGCTCTATTCCGTACGTGTGGGTATTTTTTCCCATAACCATGTGCACCGCTCACCCTTCCACTTGGCGCATGCGCGGCCGCTACAAATACTCATACATCAGCGTTACGAGAGAGTTTCGTGTATGAAACACATGGAGCAATCCAAGCAAAAAATTATTAGAAGATTATGGTACATGCAACTGGGTGGATATCAAGACAATGTCTCATAAAGCGTCAACGCATGATAAGGATAACAAGCAACTCTCGTGATCGTGATCATCGAGGCAAATTCAAGGGGGCTGCGACCTTGGAGGAAGGCCAGCACAGAACCAGTCTGGCACATTAAACCTCCTGCTGAGTGACAGTGGGGACAGCCTGGGCCTTCTCATCGATCATACCGATCTCAGCGGCGAAGGTAGTGTGGGGCTTCCACTTGGAGGAAGTGCGGGGAGTGGTCTCTTCCATCATCTTGTCGACCTGCTCAAGAGTAAGACCCTTGGTCTCGGGGATCAGGAAGTAGGTGTAGACAAAGGCGCAGGTGCAAAGAGAACCCCAGATAAAGAAGACCTTGGAACTGAGGTTGCCCTTGTCAGTGTCGACCATGTAGGGGGTGATAACGGCGATGATGCAGTTCCAGAGCCAGTTGGAAGCGGTGGAAAGACCGACACCACGAGAACGGATGGGCAGAGGGTAAATTTCACCGATCACGACCCAGGCACCAGGACCCCAGGTACTGGCGAAGAAGAAGATGTAGATGCAGATGAAAGCGATCATAGCACTGATGGCCTTGGGGTTGTCACCGTCAGTCACGCCAATGATGGCGACAATGAACTGGCAGATAACCATTCCCAAGGCACCCCAGAGGAGAAGAGGGCGACGACCGAACTTCTCAATGGTGTAGAAGGAGATGGGAGTGGAGCAAACGTTGACGATAGTGGTGATCATGCTCAGCAAGAATGGGTTCTGAATTGTGCCGAGCTGAGTGAAGAATGTGGTTCCGAAGTAGAAAATGAAATTGACACCGGTCCACTGCTGCATCATCTGGAGGGAGGTACCGAGAATAGTGCGACGGAGGTTGCTGTTGGGGTGCCAGAGACTTCCAGTGAAGCAGTTGAGCCAAGAGGTGAAGTAGCCTCCCTGGGGGATAGCCAGAAGCTCGTACTGGTTGTTGGCGTCGATCTCATTGAGCTCAAGCTCAACGTACTCGGAATCAGCAGGCTGGCCACGAATACGGGCCAGGACGGCGCGGGCCTTCTCCTTCTCGCCCTTGCGAATGTAGAAGCGAGGAGACTCGGGGAGCAAGAAGAGACCAATGGCGAGAATCACAGCCCAGAGCATTTGAAGAGCAATGGGGATGCGGTAAGCACCAGTGTCCATGCGGTTCTGGGTAGCGTAGTCCACACAAGAGGCCAGCATCAGTCCAATGGTGATGCAGAACTGGTAGCCAGAAACAATAGCACCGCGGACCTTGCGGGGTGCAATCTCTGACATGTAGAGGACAATGATAGCAGAAACGAAACCAATACCGAATCCGGCAATCAAACGACCAGCAACGAGAAGTCCCAGACTGCTAGCGGCAGTCTGCAAGATAACACCAATAATGAAGATACCACAGCCGGAGATAATGGTCGTCCGACGACCATACCAATCAGCCAAATCACCAGCAATCAGAGCACCGAAGAAGGTTCCAGCAGAGAGAATCGAGACAATAAGCGACTTTCGGGAGGCAGGGATGACAAAGGCGTCCTTGTCAGTGATCAAGAGGTTGGGGTCCTACAGGTTGAGGTCAGATATATTTCAGATGTGAAGTGCGTGTAGATCCACTTACAAGACCCTCGTATTGCATGATGAACTTCTTCATGCCCAAAACACCACTGATGTAACCAGAGTCATATCCGAAGAAGATACCACCAAAGGCAGCAAAGGCGCACATCAAGTAAGCCTTCGCGGTGACCGGAGCCTCGACACGCGAGGCATCCGCAACCGCGGAGACAACACCACCGCCGGGCATGGTTGTCAGTTGATTAGATGCTGTAGAGTTTGTGTCTGACAATATCCAAAGATGAAGAGTGAGGTTGAAGAGATACCCTTTGAAGAGATAATCAAAAGAGATGAAGATGTAGTAGAAGGAAGAGTGAAACTGGAGGGGGAGGAAAGGCAGTTTATATGCAGTCTAAAGTGAGCCACTTGAGCTTGGAAGTCTTCCCCCATGGGCTCCCCCAATCCCAAAAATACCCGTAAAAGTATAAACCTCTCTTAGACCCAGCCTGTCGGCAAGAAATAGACCTACATCGGCTGGGACGCTTGAACGGGGCCAGTGTAGCCAAGTCGGCCCTGAAAATGCCATCGTTTAGTGAATACCACGCGACAATTGGAACCCGGGGAAGCATGGCACGGCCCAAGCCGTGAGGCGAATGGAGCACCCTCATTGGCTCGTCAACATGGAGTTGAATGTCCGGGGGGAAAGAATGGGCCCCAAGACCCTAATTGCCGTGGGAGTTCAGCGGTGGTTGGTCAGAATGACACATCTGGAACCGTGGACAGCCAAACAGAGCCTCGGGTCTAGCCCGAACCCCATAGTCCTGATTCGTTTCCTTTCGTCTGGTCGCATTCCTCGCCGGCTCACGTCTACTTCAGGCTGTGAGTCCGCGGGGAAACCACCGCCCATTGGTGCTTCCGCCAGGGTCGTGCGCCACGTGCCTCGAAAGGATTTTCTTCGTTTATTTTTTATTTTTTTTTAGTTCGTCTGTCTTTTTTTTACAAGTCATTTGTCCAGTCAAATACTAGCGTTCTATTTATTGTACGATATACATCCAATCCATGAATCTCATCTGAGTCACCTCCATCGCCTGCGACAGTACATTTTATTTGGGTCTGCTGACCCCCTCCAGGGCTATACTTGGTAATCTATACGGAAACACCGAAACTTGGGAAATGGAAAGGGGAACATCCCAATGTCACATTGGAGGCAAGCCGTGTAAAGCACAGACCCTAGAAGCGCCACGAAACAACTTCCTTCTCCCTGAGAGGAAAAAAAAACCTAAGAAACTAAGGGTCTTGGCGTAAGGCGGGCTGACGGCCAAGTGCTCGGAGTATATGGATACAGTGGAAGAGAACAGAAATCCATCCAGACCACGGGAGCCCTCGAAAGAGTTCTGGAATCCATGGGTAGAGTGCTGGAATACCCCCGTAGACAGAAAATAAGATACAAGGAGAATAAAGCGAACCCAAAATCCGATCGATCAACATGTCAAGCAGCTCGGGCATAACCGAGCCAGTCTCCGGGGCCAGGGTGGTTCCACCGAACCCCAGAACACAAGATTTCTCATGGCTTTTCACTCCGGGGAAAAGAGCCATTCACACGCGGACTCGCTTGTGCCATGGGGTCTTGGGACGCCTTTCATCTCCGCATTTCTCTTGGCCGTCACGTGAAATTGATTCTTTTCTTTCTTTCGTTTTTGTTCTTGACGCGGTGTCGCAGCAATACCGGACTATTATCGGTAAGATGTAAGAGGGCCCTTGCTTGCCGTCGCTTGGGGGTCTGTCGTGGTGGCATGCTATTCGACACAGCTGGAAACTTTCAATGTCGGTCCTCTGACCTCTCTCCTGTGGCCAAATACAGTAAATGCAAACTGAACTGGCCATGTTTCTTTGCGATGGAACCATAGTGGGGCACTGTACCATAACATCGAGCCCGAGCTGCTCAAAAAACTGGACATTCCGACCGACGGCTTTTGTCTGGAGCCGAGTATTTCATTATTCCAATACCGGCATTTGGTGCCGGTGAGCGCTTTCCGTTAGAACTCGACCGGGGAAAATTTTTGCTTCGGGCTGTCAAAGCTCGGTAGGTGCCGATATGTTGGGGGTTTTCTGGAGAAGTCTCCGCCCGAAATACGGAGTAGTCTGGGGAATGGCCGGATTCAGTCCCCGGTGAATATGTCGTTCCATTGTTGTTGTCTACTTCAGATTGCTAGTCGTGATTCGCCAATATCCATGGATATCTTAAAGTTACATCTGATCTCGGCATTTCGACTGGCCGACATTACTCAATTTGGCAGCCCTGGAGGTGATACAAAAAGTAAATGCGACCTGGGATAGCATGTTTCTGCTTAATTCTTCACAAAAGATCATTTGTCTTCATTCACTCTTACAAAAAAGATAATTGAGCGCAACCTCTAGCAGTTCGCAGGAATTCGGGACTTGTTGACAATGAACCAAAGTTTGTTTAGTGTTTAGTGATGAAACCCGATAACCTTGGAACAAGACTCCGAACTCCATTGATTACCAGATTTCCTACACGCGTGCTCAAACCCTAACTACAGAAACAGTCCATGATGTATGCTCCACACTAGCGAGAGACAATCTCAAGCCCATCCAGTTGGCCGTTGTTCCGCCAGTCCTCAATCTGGGTAACAAAGCTTTTGATACCCTCTCCCCAAATGCTAAACCGAGCTGCGAGGATGGCTTGATCTCCACTCAACTGAAGCCCCTCCCGATTCCAATAGCCTGGGGTGCAATTGAGGATCCCCTTGAGTGCTCCTGCTCGCGACAAAACCTTCCACGTCCACTCATTTTCGGCTTCAACGCTGGGCTCGACGGAAAACCTAGAAGATGTTTTGTCGGATTTCTGTACATTGGCATTGCTTGCTTGCGAGATGATATGCGCCACATGGATGGCAAGTTCATCCAACACATAGACCTGGTTGACGGATGCACCTGCCTGATAGGGACCTGGCATGAATAGATTAGGGAATCCATTTGTACACACTCCGTGTAAAGTTGCCAGACCACTCTGGCACTTCTGCTGGAAGGTTTGACTTCCGCGTCCGATGATTGGAATGCTCCCTCGGTCCGCACCTCCGCCAAGAATGTAGCCGGTTCCAAAAATTATCGCATCCAATTCAAACTCTTTTTCGTCAATCCGAATGCCTTTGGCGGTGACATCCTTGACTCCTTTCCCATTTGTGTCGACTAGGATGACGTTTGGTTGATTGAATGTCTCCAAAAACGTGTCACTGAAGCAGGGACGCTTGCACCAGCCGTGGTACCAGGGCTGCAGGTTGGATGCGGTTTCTGGGTCAACCACTGTGTCGGTGATGCGGCGGCGGAGCGAATCTTGGCGATGCAGGTCTGTCTTGGACATTCGTTCTCCGTAATCGGATTCGTGGGCCTGAGGACCCCCGATCAGCATGCTGAATGATGGCATCGTGGTCCATTTATCTGCAACAAGGTTGGCTTCGGGAAGAGGATTTTCGTTCGACACGAATGCGTTGAAGTTCTCTCGTCGGCGCTTTTGCCACCCCGTACCTGTCTGTTTAATCCATTGGCGCAACGCCAAATCGGGTACACAGTTGTTGCGTAAGTCCACAGCGGAGGAGGTCCGCTGGAATACAATGAGCTTCTTGGCTGATTTGGCGAGATGAGGGATTGCTTGAATGGCAGATGCACCAGTGCCAACGAATCCAACAGTCTTATCTTCCAGTTGACTCAACGCTGGGTTTTCCGGAGTGCCTCCGGTGTAGTCGTAGTCCCAGCGCGATGTGTGGAAGACCTTTCCCTCATATTGATCCAAGCCATTCAACTTCGGAATCTTGGGGGCGTCCAACAACCCAGTGGCTAGAATGACAAAATCGGAGACGATGTGTTGTGCCGGCTGACCGTCTTGTCTAATTCTCGATGTCCATTCGCCATCTTGGTCATTCCAAACCAGCTTGTCCACCGTCGCGTTGAATAGTCCCCTATCACTCAGTTTCCAATGCTCAGCGATGTGATGGGCATGTTCTTTCAACTCTTGTCCGGATGCGTACTTCTGGGATGGCATGTAATTTGTCTCTTCCAATAGAGGCATGTAAATGTAGCTTTCGACGTCGCAAGCAAGTCCGGGGTATCGATTCCACCACCACGTTCCCCCGAACCCTCCGGCTGCGTCCACAAACATGATCTCATTTTCCAGGACGAACCCTGACTCAAGCAGTCTGACGGCAAACAGTAACCCACCAAATCCTGCACCGACTATGAGCACGCGAATCTTCTCCATGAGACCTTTCAGACGTCCAAGATCTTCGGAAATGGCTTCGTTGTCTGAACTGCTGTCCCCGTAACTGGTGTACTGGAAAGGGCCATCTGAACGCCATCTTTTCTGTCTTTCCTCATCATATCGAGCGCTTTTGCGCCGCACTTCGTTGTCGCTGGTTTGATCCATGGTGACGGGGTAGGAGGGAGAAGAGCGAGAAGAAAGAGAAAGAGAAAGAGAGAGAGAGAGAGAGAGAGAGAGAGAGAGAGAGAGAGAGAGAGAGAGAGAGAGAGAGAGAAGGGAGAGCACGAATGCAAGAGAGGGAGAGAGGAGGAAAGAAGCTCTATAGATCTCGGGCTATCAACTTCAGCAGCGGAGAGCTTAAGCAATCAATAAATAATAGAAACTGACGAACAGTCGGAATATCATGTTAATAGCATCGTTTCCATTCTTAACAGGATGTACTGTCCTGAACCCTCTGACATTCCTATTGAAGGCTCACTACAATCGGAATTATTTGAAGCAAACGTTGAACGTTCGTTCGTCATCCTAACTGGGCCTCCAGATATGCTCTGGGTACATGGATTGGACAATCCTGCTCCCCAGTAAGAATTTTCTGGAAGTCGTTTGTGCTGCATGTTTGTAGTCGTAAAGCCTCCCTGTGGTGGCTTTTCTCTGTGGCTAATTGAGGTTATTACGGAGTACGGAGTACGGAGTAGACTGAAGTGGTTTCTCGCTCTCGCACTTTGGCTCCCAATCGGGAAGTCTTTGAAGGTGGATCGGGAAGTCCGACGTTTACCCTGAAAGCGCCACTAGTGCCTGTGGTTTGTATGGTTTGTTTTGTTTTTGGTGGTGCCAAGAGCGCTAATGGTTTCTGTTTGGTCGGTGGCCGGCTTGGCTTGCTTCCGATCCAGCTTGGCACTTCCCATTTGGTCCACGAGAGGTGCGATTTGACGAGAATGCTGTTCAAACTGCTGTCAGATCAGAAGTGATCTGCACCTTTTAGATGAAATCGAATTCCGATTCGAGTTGTTCCACCTGTTGGGTCAGCGCTAATGCTTAGACCCTGAGGCTCCATGTCCGGATGCTACAGGCTATGCTAGGAAGCTATATAAACCCGGCACAAATGAATTCAATCCAAAAAGGAGAAATAATCAACTCTTTTCGTTGGCATCAATTTCCACACAAGATGCATCCTTCGGCCCCCACGTTATTGGGGCTGGTTTCCCTGTTGCCCTTGGCCTTGTCCGAAAAAGTTGGCTACTTTGAATCTTCTTCATGTGCGCATCCTAAAGGTTTCGCATCGTGTTACAAGGATATAGTAGACGTTCGTTACACGACTTGTGTAAATGAAAATTGCGGTGGTGGAGGCGAGGCCTGTGCCAAATCATGCGGCGGAAGTATCTCCTGCATGAACCAAAAGTGCCCTGATCTGGGGATCGATTGCGTAAACGCGTGCGAGTGTGAGCGATCCGCCCTCTATATCGATTGCGCGGGTACCCATTGCTGGAACCAGGTGAGAAACCAAATTATCAAATGGTCTGAACACAAGCTTACAAACGCCTCGCAGGTCTACTCCTGTGAATACCAAGACACTGTCATGGACTTTGTGTCATCATGTACCAATCCCAATCGCGAAGGGCTACCATACTGGCCAGTACCCGATGATGCCCCTGGCTCTTGCTCTTGCAACCTTGGCAAGATTGATCTCAAGGAGTCACAGATCTCAGACCACATCACCCAATGCGCCAATAACGAGACGAACCTTGCTCAGTTTTCAGAAGTTGAGGACATAAACAACTATGGCAAAGCTTGCCTCTGCTGCGCCTACAGTGGTATCATTTCTGCGTATATTGGACTCCCATATCTCCATGGCAATCTGTCTTTACAATATCACGTACATCAGTTGCTAACCTGGTTTACCAGTATTTGGGACACCTGCCCGGACACTAAGCCCTCGCTGCTGAGTGCAGACGAGTGGTTCAACCAACTCTTGATTCCAGGTGACTGGGACGAGTGTGGACCGTATTTGGAAGCCTACGACTGCGCTGGTGACTTAGGCTATGGTCGCCCAGAGAATGGTGGCATCAGTAAATTCTGGAGCCCAAGCAGCATGCCGACAAACGGCACTAAAACCGTTTCAAATATTGCAGGCGTCATCTCTAGCCCGGTCAGCGGTGACACTTTTACTTGGACCTTTGGCAGGACGACCAATGCACTAGGAGCGACTACCAGTCCTGTAATTCATACTGTGACCGTGTCTTCTGCCAATGCGGTTGTGACTGACACCAAGGCCAAGGCCACCGGTGACAGTGGAAGTACTGCTACCAGTACTTCGAGCGGTTCAGCAGCGAGTGAAACAAAGCCAGGCATGGGGTCTGCCCTCGAGGTTCCCCGGTGGACCACAAGTTGTATTATTGTGGCTTTGGTTATCTCCGCTTTGTGATTCAGGATTTGGCACTTTCAATGTTAATGAAAAGGGGTTGATCCATTCTCAAGTAGAAATAATTGATATTTGAACAAAATGTCTGCATGGAACAGGCAAACACAGAGTGAACTTTCGACGCCCTCCCGTACACGAGATCTGATCGCTACTTCAGATAAGCTCTCCTGATGCGGTGCTTCACGCATATCGCAAGCTCACTGGATTGCAATGTCCGCACAGGACAGATAAATCTGACCGGTCTGGAAGGAGTTCCATTTCCAGGACATCAACGTATGGTTGGAAACATAATCAGGAATCTTGATCTTCTTCGAAACTGTATAGCCGCCCGAGATTGTCGTATCACATGAGTATAGCGCGGCGTTATCAACGCCTTGGCACTTTGTTCCATCGAACGCGTTGCATGTAAACCAGTCGTTACGTTGACACGCCGCACCGCTGGGGCAGTCAGGGCTGTAATCACAGGCCTGCCCGTCCACATCGGTGCATGGTAAAAGGCCTGCCTCAAAGCAATCTTCGGCTTCCTGCTTTTCCGCCTCTGTGGGGAGGTATTCCGGGTCCAGGAATTTGTCCACAATGTCCTGCTGTTGGCAGATGCGGTAGGTGAACATGCCTCCGTGATCACCATTGTGGTCAAGGCACCAAACAACATCAACAACCTCACCAGCTGTATAAGTGGTGACTACACTGGATCCCCAGTCACTGCCTGGCTGGTTATAGTCAACGCTCACGCGGGCATTGTAACCACATGGCCCACTCCGGCCGATGGCTGCTGAGTCGAGGTCAGGCCAGGAAGAGACAGGTTCCAAGATACTACACTCGGGGCAAGTATCTACGCCAGCCTAAACAACGGTTAGTTGAGATGTTTGGGTCACTCTGTAGCTCCCCATATCTTACCTTGAACCCTAGTTTTGTCCGACTATCTGGCTGCCAGAGATAGCCATGACCTGTCGCCAGAGTCACGAGTGAGACCAGAACAAGGGCTCCAGACTTCATACTTCCAAGGTTTCGTTTGCGTTGGCTGGAGTGCGAGTAGGAGTTTCCCGCTATGTGATCTTATGGGAGTGAGAATGTAGGCTGCGATGATGAACATGAGGGCTCACAGCTCGGCGAGCTTCATTTATGTGTGTCCTCAATCCTCCAACATCCACCCTGGAGCTTGGGAGGCCGTCTGGGCCGGGTCACCCATCTGCAGGGGACGGAAGGGGAAGCCAATGGCAAGTTCGATGTGTGATAAATATATTCACGTAGCCAAAATCGAAGCAGCCAGCGGATATGTGCGCAGTGGGATCAACGTCGGTACTACCAAGTGTAGCACGGGGTTTCGGAATCACGACGGTCTAACGACTTTCAAGGGCCGAGACAAGATTCGAAACTCGCTTAAGTTGAAGGTCCCTATTTTCTTCGATTGTTGTTAGAATGTCCTGTGCTGGATTTGGTAGAGCATGACCTGCTTGGCGATCCTTGGCTGCAGTCGCAGCGTCCGATATATCTCCGCAGCAGAACACCCGTAACCGACGCAAAATGCAAATTAGAAATTAATTTGAGAAATAAGTGAGTGCATATTTGTTGGCTCCGTAGATACCTGAGCATGTCTTGACCCCGGGAGGGGCTGAAGGTGGACTAAGAGTTTGGTGTGAAACGTTACCCAAAATATCTCAACTCCTGGAGAGTCCCGCCCGATCGTCAGATTTCCAGAACTTGCAAGGTTGAAGCACTTTGATTTCTCCACACAGCTCGGTTAATCTCAATTCAGTTACTCCAACCTAGACTTCTACGGCCTCCGCATTGGTTTACGTGAAACCTGGGGGTTAAGCGAGTCATGAGCCAAGCAGCCCCTATTCTCGCCATCGCTATGGTGGCGGCGGGCTACCTCTGCGTCCTCTGCGCCACCCCGCCCAACCTTTCCCCAGACCAGAAGGATCGCCACCAAAATGATCGCTTAAGCGTTGTGTCAGGCAACTTCGCCCTCGTCGCGCGCCGGTTCACACTCGCCATAGCCATCTATCACGCGTTGTTGGTAATGACACCACACTACGCGGCAGGCCGAATTGGACAAATTTGCCCCAATCCTCAAAACATCAACCCTGATGTGATCACGTGGAGTGCTATTCCTATCGCATCTCTTTTGTTGATATTCATTGGCGCGTATATTCGTCTCTCGGCCTTTGGCGGGCTCGGGAAATCCTTTACCTTCCACCTTGCCACACCGGATCATTTGGTGACGACCGGCGTATACAACTGGGTTCAGCATCCAAGCTACACAGGAGCCGGCATGGTTCTCACTGGGGTGGTAATATTGTTCTTTAGGTGGGATGCAGCGCCAGCTTGCTGGATTGCTGAATCGGCTGTTACTCAATTGCAAGGATGGGGGCTAAGCACTTCCCTGATGCTATTAGGCACAGGCTTCTGGGGAATGGGAATGAGAGTACTTGACGAGGAGAGTATGCTAAAGCAAGCCTTTGGTCAGGAATGGGAAGATTGGCATCGATCAACAAAGAGGTTTGTCCCTGGCTTGTTTTGAATGCTGAGATTCTGAGACCTTTATTGTACATAAATCTCAATATGTCTCTTGGAAAACGAGAACAATGCAATAACCACCCTTCTCGTGAATATTTGGCCTCGAGGTTCCGGGTAGTTGGTCTTGGGTGTTCGAACACATTCAAGTTGGAAAACGATGATGAACTATGACTTTTCATGCACGTTGGGCCCAGTATCTTCTCTCGTGGGCACAGCGTCCAGAGCATCGATGGACATATCAACACGGGGTCCCGTGAAATTCTTTCTTCCGTCTACAATCCATTGGAAGACTGAAATGATGATGATGACTGCAAATGCAGCAATGCAATAGTCTGGATCGAGAGATTAATGAAGGGCTTGTTAGAAATATTGGGAAAGCAACTCACTCATACTACTTCCCGTCACTGTGCGGGAAGGCGGGAAAACGAACAACACAGTTGTCAGGAGAATGTATGATAATGCGACCTAGTCCAATCAGATGAGATCTCACTTGCTGGAAGGCTCGCGACTTACAATATCAACAAACCACCCGACGGCATTTGGTAGTTTCCACTTTCTTTCCGGTAGCGAATTGCGGCCCTGGAGGCAATTAACGGCAATGGGTATTCCATAAGATAGATCCAGCGCGACAACCGAAGCAGAGATGATGGCGTTGAAGGCACTTTAAGTTGTAAGCTATGTGCCAATATTTACCAAAAGTGAGATTACCTTGATGAGCCCAAGAAAATGCACCCAAAGGCAATGACGACGACAACACTTAGCATCAGTGCGTTGAGTGGTATTTTCAAAGTCGGATGAACTGTCGCGAAAAAGCGAGAGGCAGGAAGGCCTCCGTCTCTGTGAATGATCTGTGAGTTACCGCTTCGAGGATCATCCTCATATTGTGGATTAATTACCTGGCAAAAGCAAAGATCATTCGGCTGCTTGTTGTCATCACGCTGATGATGGCGAACACCAAGCAGACCAAAGGCAACCTTTTGTCCAATGTCAACATTCGTGGCTAAGAAGGATATCCTTCGAAACGTACATCAAAAGGCAGATAGCCCCAGCATTACTCTTGGTGGCGTCGATCAGGATCTGCAGCAAAGGGCCTGCAGCAGATGTCGTCACCTTTTCCATATTCCCAGCGACGAACAGAAGGACTATCAAAAAGATGGAACCTGTGACTGTGCCGATTCCAACACAAGAAACCATGATTTTCGGCCCTTCGACATCGGCGTTGGGTACCTCTGGTTGCACTGTCAGTGCATTTCCCCTTTGTTGTCATTGTAACATTTTACCTTCAATCATATGTGCGACGGCATCCTGGGTTCGATTAGCTGGGTTGCATATGATTTCCTCGCTCAGAACTTACGAAGGCCGTCACGCCAAGTCCTCCCTGAAGCAACTAGACTGACGTTAGTATGGTTTGGGTGTCTGATCAAGATACTTACACCCAGAAGCCATGCAACCCCATCAGGCCCTGTTTGAAATTAGCCATGATTCTCCTTGAGGGCTTGAATGGTAACGAACATCCGGTGGTGTTGATAAAGTCACAGAACACAAAGCTGAAAATGTTAGAAATGCTTCGAAAAAGAGAAATTCCAACACTGAGAGGGACCCGTACTATGCTGAGTTGTAGTTTGGAGAAGCGCATGCAAGAACTGTAATCGAAACAAGCACGAAGCCACCAATAGACCACATGACTGTATTTTGTCAGACATGCACTGAATTCTGGCTATGAAACACGCACAGGCTCCACGGTAAATGACCGGCAAAACGGAGTTCATGAAAGCATTGATGATAAAAGATCCCAAAGTCAATCCAATGTAGATCAAGAATTGATGCCACCGCTGCGGAACATAGCTCTGTATAGGGGATCAGCGACCTGTGGGATTGCGCGTTGGCAAGAGGGCAATTTGTTACCTCATGAAGGACTGAGATGATGCCCACAATCAATTGACTCGAGAGAAGTGAGTTGGTCGCAACAAGCGCAACCTTGAGAGCAATCAGCTTTGATTCTTCGAATATCCATTGTGCTTACCCAGCCCGCGACATTGATCCAACCAGTTATCCACGATAATATCGGAACGGTTCTTGGCCAAGCGACTTTTCTCCTATTAGCGGGAACTTTGAGGTTATCTACGTGCACTTACTAGCTGAAATTGAGATTAGCTTTGGTGCAAACGAAGAGTGGGCCAACTCACCTGCAACCCAATGATACTGTCCCCCAGCCCTGCAAGAAAAATCAACAAACGCACATAAGAACCAAGTGATTTTCAGACATACGTCGGGTATGCCGATAGGAATTCAGCGAGAGAGCATGCAATGCAAAGATTGCAAAATCCTGCAGTCACCAGCCCTGAAAATTGCGTGTCAACGAAGCCCCTAACCTGATGTATGGCAGGACCCACCCCAGATAACGCTGGTGCTTCCCCCAGATGTAAGACTGATCGACAAGCTAGCCGAAAGTGCGGTCCAAGACTGTTTTGACGGTTAGTAACGCAATCCCGGTCGCGGTGCCTAACATACATTGAGAACTGCAAACGCCAATCCCAACATTGACCTGTCAACCAGTTAGCGTCAACTTTCAACAAGCTGTCAATACATCATACCAGGTAGAATGGCTACGCTGGAGCTCAGGCCGGTGGCCCATAGCCGCCAACCGAGCATCATCACCTTCAAGCGGGCCGTCCTTCATTGTGGAGTCTGTTGATTTTGCGGAGAAATTTTCACCAGCACCCTGGGGCGAGGTGCAGTCTAAGTATGCCACACACTAACGTAACAGGCAGGCATTGCCAGGTAATCCCCTTTACGGATAGCTCCGACAGGGTTGCAGATGTATGCGGGGAAGCTGTTGGAGCCGAGTATCAGGAAGCTCAGAGTAGAGACAATGAATGCAAATGCTGCCTTATCTGCGCCTTATCGCCCAGGCGCGTTGACGCTAGAGTGCTTAGTTGGCTGCTTTGGTCGATCTTCGCATGGACTTGCCCGACATCTCATAGACTAAGCATGAGACGAATCATGATAAGGCTAGGTTCGATATTGTTTTTTTACATTGCATCCTGCGACCTCGGTCAAATACCATTCGGAGTGGTGTTCTTATTGGTCACTCATAGCTTTTAGTCAATATTCGCATTCAATGATCCGTTAGTCACAGGCAGTTGCTTATCCTCTCGCTGTCGATTGCATCTCTTCATCTCCACTGTGGGTGCAATCTGCGCTACTGTAGGAGCCAAGGAGGCGGAGAAGTAGACAATTCTAATCATCGGAGCATATCTCCAGAGAATATTTGATCGATATTACATTATCTTACTACGTTTTCCATGCCCATACATCTGGATCTCTTCTATCGCCGACCATACGAAGCCCCTGGATTGGCGATGGAGTGAATGAGCGCGGTCCGAGGTAAAATGCAAGCGAAATGTGAAACAGTCTCCAAGCATCCATCCTGTTTATATCTTGATCATCTGCAGCCCTGGAAGTTAAGTTCCAAATATAATTTGTATTGTTGGTACAATGTGAACACTAAAAAAAAATATGCCCATACAGTCTCAGCGCCGAGTGTGGACGGCGCACCAGTCCATTGTGCCAAAGAGTCAAATTCACAGTCCCAAAACTCCACCATGAAATCGCAAATCGCAAATCGCAAATGAAAGATCGAAAAATATCCGTCACTTCGAAACTACCAGCATTTTGAAGCGTTGGGGAGGAAGAAGGTGTCGTTCATTGAACGTTGTAGGTGTCAAGGGCCTGCTGGATATCGTGGAGACTGTTTTTGTCGCCATATGCGTCCATGAGTTGTTGGTTTTTCGCTAGGCGTTCCTGCTCCTCCAGCATGGAGCGCTCTTGTTGCAACTTGGCCTCGGTATAGTAGTTGTATGCAGCGAATCCTATACGGTCAGCGCGAGTACAAGATGATACAGGATATCAGAATGAACATACCCAGGCCGATGGTCGCCATCAGGGGGATCAGGCTTGAAAGTCGTTAGAATGAATTTCATTAAGGGGGTGGTTAAACTTACACCCGCCCTTTCGGCTTCATCATGGTCGGCCCGGATGGGTTGGCATATCGCTTGTTGGCACCGAGTGTGAACTGAGACATGATATATAGTACAGAGTGTGAGATCCAGAGGGGATGTGAATGATATTGAAGAGTTTGTTCGAGGGATAAATTCAAGGGCAAGTTGAAGGATCACGGTTGAACGGAATGGGAATTGCGGGGAATGGTGACGTGGGGAGCCGAGGGTTGTCGGGGCTCTTATGGCAAGGGGTCAGGCGATCATGCGATCATACAATCATACAACTCAATCGAATGATTTCTGCATGAGCGGAGTAAAACCTGCAGGATTCTACTCCGTAGATCTGATGTATTTAATATTATTTCGTGCCCTACACTGACATGTCATAATTGAATCATTGTGTCGTTTAATCGTGTTAACACTCGGCAATGATTAACGGCTTCTCATAACCTCATTGAAACATCGTTCATATCCGCGTATATCCGAATATTGTCTGACCGTCTTACAAAGGGGCCATTAAGAAAATGAAACACAGTCACTTCACTAGTCCAAGCTAGTCTAGTGGCCATTGTTCTGAGGCGCAGGGGTGGCCGGGCCCTCCGGGGTAACATAAGCCTGGGGTTATTCGTCAGCTATCGCCATCGCGGGGAATGCTTCCATGCCACACGTACCTTGGTCATTCCACCATCAACAACGAAGTCGGTTCCGTTGACGAAGCTGCTCTCGTCGCTAGCGAGGAAGACGACGGCATGAGCCTGCTCAATTGCCTCGCCGAACCGACCGGTCGGGAAGTGGACCTCGCGGCGGTGGCGCTTCGCCTGGTCATCACCCAGCCAATCTTGCAGAAGAGGGGTGCTATATTTTGGTGAGCAGCTGTGCAAAATGGTTCTGTTGTGATGGAGACCTACTTCAGGGGGGGCAGGGCACAACGCATTGAAGCGGAAGCCCTCACGGGCGTGGACAATGGCCAGCTCCCGGGTCATAGCGAGAACAGCGCCCTTGCTGGCAGTGTATGCCAACTGGGGAGTGGCAGCACCAACCAGAGCAACCACACTAGCGGTGTTGATGATACTGCCACGGGCCTTCTTGTGACGACGCAGACTGAGGACGGCATGCTTGCTACCGAACCAAACGCCCTTGACGTTAATGTTGTGTGTGAGATCCCAGATCTTCTCGGGGGTGTCGATGGCGTCGGCATCGTTGGCGTGCATGATTCCGGCGTTGTTAAAGATCACGTCGGTGCCACCCCAGCTATCTTGTGACTCGACCATCGCCTGTACGTCCGACTCCTTGGATACATCGCAGCGAATCGACTCAACACGGGGTGCGGCAGGCACAACCTCCTTCACCTTGGCCAGTGCCTTTTCGAGCGCGGCGTCCGATACGTCAGCCATCAAGACATTGGCACCCTCACGGGCGAATAAGATACTGGTTTCGAGGCCGATACCACTAACAACGCCAAAATGAGTTAGCAAGATATTGTTGAAATACTTCGCAGCGACTCATACCCGCCTGCACCGGTAATGATGGCATTCTTGCCTTGGAGACGTCCTCGGGGAGTAGTTGCGGCCATAATGTGTCAATATGCGAGCTCTGTCTTGATATGGGCTGTTAGCGATGTCTCAACAGTTCAGGCGTTCTGTTCCCAAACGACTCCTGGCACACACTCACTAGAATTCAGTGCAATGGGTCAATCTGAGATATGTGTCAATAATAAGTTGTATACGCGGGGCATCGATTGCTGCTGTGGATACCATTAAGTAAGCGGTGACGATGTTGGCTTAGAGTGGGAAAGCGTCACTGATAAGCTCCCGAGCTTCGGCCCCCTCGAAGTCCCCGTGACGAATACCTTGCTTTCCTCTTTCACTTTCGCTTTCAATTTTCCTTTTGTGAGCCCATTCGTCCTTTGTCACTATGTCGAGCAAAGAGCCCGAGGTCGAGGTCACGGCTGAAAATGTCGCTGAGATCCTCAAACACGATACCAAGGTGAAGGTGGCTGGAGTGGATGTAGATGGCATCCTTCGAGGAAAGATCATGAAGAAGGACAAGTTCTTGTCTATCATCACCGAGGGCTTCGGATTCTGCTCCGTCATCTTTGGCTGGGACCAACATGACGCAACCTACTACAAGGAGCTGACTATCAGCAACAAGGAGAACGGATACCGTGACCTTGTTGCGGTGCCTGACCTGCGCAGTTTCCGCCGCATCCCATGGGAAGGCGATGTACCATTCTTCCTGATCAGCTTCCTGGACCCCGATACCCGCGAGCCGGTCTGCGCTTGTCCGCGTGGATTGCTGAAGACAGCGGCAGCCAAAGCCGAGGCGGCGGGGTATCGGGCAATGGCAGGTGGTATGTTGCAGCAAATCCTTTTGAATGACTCAATGGCTGACTTGATCGATCTCTGCAGCCGAATATGAATTCTACCAGTTCCGTGCACCGGGCAATCACACAACCCCCGAACAGGGCGCCTCTGCGACGGCCGCGTTCCTGCAATCGAATCCTCCTCAAGCCCTGCCGTCATTAACAGAAGGCATGTTCGGATATTCGATCACTCGGCCGCTCCATAACCAAGATTACTTTTATGGCATTTTTGACGCCTGCGAGAAGTTCCGTTGCGATATCGAGGGATGGCATACCGAGAGTGGGCCGGGAGTGTTTGAAGCTGTGGGTTGAACTGAGGAAGACGTGGTTGCATTGGGGCTGACATCGGACTAGGCATTACAATTCGGTGAGGCGAAAGATATGGCCGATAAAGCTGGGTTATTCAAGTGAGATCACTGTGCTCCGTTCACAGTGCGTGCAATGGCTAACCATCTCGGATGTTTAGGTATACCGTTAAGGCGTTTGGAATCAAGCACGGCATCACGCCGTGCTTTATGGCCAAGCCCCGTCAAGGCCTACCTGGCAACAGCGGACACATGCACATTTCGCTCGTCACTGCCGACGGCAAGAACGCCTTCATCCGCGATACCCCCGACCCCTCCCCTCAATACCCCGATATCGCTCACCTGTCCGACCTGGGTCGACACTTCCTGGCCGGTCTGCTGGTCGGCCTGCCGGACATCATGCCGATCCTAGCTCCGACCATCAATTCCTATAAACGACTGGTGGAGAACTTCTGGGCCCCCGTCACAGTCTCCTGGGGACTGGAGCATCGGGCGGCCTCCATTCGACTCATCACTCCACCGACAGCGAGCGCCAAAGCTACTCGGTTTGAGGTGCGAGTGCCAGGAGCGGACACCAACGCACACTTCGTGTTGGCCGCAATCCTGGCCCTGGGATGGCGCGGTGTGGAGAAGAAGCTCGAGATCCCTGTGCCGCCCCTCGCCCGTGGTGAGGATATGGGCGGTGCCAGCGATCAGGGCGTCCGCCTAGCCAAGTCGCTGAAGGAAGCCATTGTTACATTCTCAAGACCTGAGAGTGTTGCACGAGAGGTCTTTGGTGACTCATTCGTGGAGCATTTCGCGGGCACACGGGAGCACGAGGTGCGCTTGTGGGAGGAGGCCGTCACCGATTGGTAAGTGCTTTTCTACAACCCCATCCACATGCATGCTAACCTTACTAGGGAGATGAAGCGGTACATAGAAACCGTGTAATTGCCATATCGCGCCAATCTATACACTCTATTTTGTACATAGTCACGTTAAAGCATACGCAGTAGCAGGATCACTACTTCAGACAAATATAGTACCCTATTTGGATATATGTACCTCTTACTCCGTATGCAATCTTGAAGCGTCACATGTCGTCACATGCGACACATGCGACAGGGACGGGTCAATTCGGTTACTCCCATCCTCTGCCTGCCAGCGACCATTGGCTGTTATACCGCGGCTGATTGGACTTCCGGGGAGTTTTGTACAGTCATCGGGTGAAGCAGGGACAGGGAAGGTGAGTTTGGCAAGGTTTGAGGTCAGACGTGAGAATTCGTGGTGATTATCGTCACGATCATTATAATAGAAAAACGAGAGAAAAAAACTATATAACCATCAGGTCTTCCGGACGAGAGAATTGACGCGAAAGCAACACTAAGCCGACGATAAGACTCGGTATGCGGCGTCTCCCGAGTTCATCGGTGGGGGGAAACCGCCCTTTTTGAAGCCGAACGCCCTGGCAGATCGTGTGGTGGCCTGAATTGGTGCCTGAAAACACGCGGGGAACGGGCAATGTCGGCCGAGAGGAAGAAAAGCGTAGAGTTTCCCGCGGCAAAGTGGACTGGGCGAGAGTCTGGGGCAGTCCAAGCTTCTCGCCGGTCGCGGTCAAACGGTTAGCAGCTGCGGGCGTCGGCATTCCGCTTATCATAGGCGGGTCAACGATGAACAACCGCGGCACTTTCGGGGTCTGTGACGTATTCTATCGGACAGATGGGTTCTGTATATAGTTGTTCCTATAGCCTTGGGAATGACTCCTCATTCTGTTTTCTTCTCTAAAAACTAAGATTTCTCTGGGCTTGAGATATCTACTTCTATATATGGACCACTAGCATATACATCTACCTCCCGCTATCGCATATACCTTCCAAATATGTCTCACGTCGAAACACAGCTCAAGGATGTGTCCATCCTGGGCGCCATCAGCAACGATGCTCGCAAAATCCTGACCAAGGACGCATGTGCCTTCCTCGCTCTGCTGCACCGCACCTTCAACCCTACCCGCAAAGCGCTCCTCCAACGCCGTATCGACCGCCAGGCCGAGATCGATAAGGGCAACCTCCTCGACTTCCTCCCCGAGACCAAGCACATCCGTGAAAATGACGCATGGAAGGGTGCTCCCCCGCCCCCGGTCTGGTGGACCGTCGTGTTGAGATCACTGGTCCTACCGACCGCAAGATGGTGGTGAACGCCTTGAACTCTGACGTCTGGACTTACATGGCCGACTTCGAAGATTCGAGCGCCCCTACCTGGGACAACATGGTCAACGGCCAGGTCAACCTGTACGATGCCATTCGCCGCCAGGTCGACTTCAAGCAGGGTGGCAAGGAGTACAAGCTCCGTACTGACCGCACCCTGCCCACTCTCATCGCCCGTGCCCGTGGCTGGCACTTGGATGAGAAGCACTTCACCGTGGACGGCGAGCCCATCTCTGGTGGTCTCTTCGACTTCGGTCTGTACTTCTTCCACAACGCCAAGGAGCTTGTCGCTCGCGGCGCCGGTCCTTACTTCTACCTGCCCAAGATGGAGTCTCACCTCGAGGCCCGTCTCTGGAACGACGTCTTCAACCTTTCCCAGGATTACATTGGTCTCCCTCGTGGTACCATCCGTGGTACCGTTCTGATTGAGACCATCACCGCTGCCTTCGAGATGGACGAGATCATCTACGAGCTCCGCGATCACAGCTCCGGTCTCAACTGCGGCCGCTGGGACTACATCTTCTCCTTCATTAAGAAGTTCCGCCACCACCCCAACTTTGTCCTCCCCGATCGCTCAGATGTCACCATGACCGTGCCCTTCATGGACGCCTACGTCAAGCTCCTCATCAAGACTTGCCACCGCCGCGGCGTCCACGCCATGGGTGGTATGGCAGCTCAGATCCCCATCAAGAACGACCCCGCCGCCAACGACAAGGCAATGGAGAGCGTCCGCGCCGATAAGCTGCGCGAGGTGCGCGCCGGTCACGACGGTACCTGGGTTGCCCACCCCGCTCTCGCCGCCATCGCCTCCGACGTCTTCAACAAGTACATGCCCACCCCCAACCAGCTCTTCATCCGCCGCGAGGAAGTGAACATCACCGCCAACGACCTCCTCAACACCAACGTCCCCGGCAAGATCACCGAGGACGGCATCCGCAAGAACCTGAACATCGGCCTCAGCTACATGGAAGGCTGGCTCCGCGGCGTCGGCTGCGTGCCCATCAACTTCCTCATGGAGGATGCTGCCACCGCCGAGGTCTCCCGCAGTCAATTGTGGCAGTGGACCAAGCACAACGTCAGCACCTCTGACGGCAAGCGCATGGACAAGGCTTTTGCTCTGCGTCTGCTCCAGGAGCAGGCTGATAGCTTGGCTGCTAAGGGTGGCAAGGGTAACAAGTTCCAGCTTGCTGCTCGCTACTTCGCTGGCCAGGTCACTGGTGAGGATTACGCTGATTTCTTGACCAGCTTGCTGTACAATGAGATCTCCTCTGCTGGCAGCGCTGCTAAGCTCTGAGCGGGCGATGGCTTTATGATGATGAATACCCTTTTCCTTATTTTACTTCCCATAATGGAGTTAGCATTGTTGTATAACAATTAACATTTATTTATTTCGCTTTTTTCCAACTTTCGTAATCCATGGATGTCAATGAACAATGTGGTACGGGAGTAGATGTCAAACAGGCGTGGCAAAAGACTGCGAACTACTCCCGAGGTCGATGTGTACTATGATGTCATGAAATGAGCGTCCAGAGGTCATTGGACAATTGTTCTAATCGGGCAATATCTTTGTTGTTATCGACTATTTGACTCCCCCTCCCGCTTTTCGTTTTTCATATGTTCATCAATCTAACAGGTCTGGTATTAATGGTACTTAGGTGACCTTGAATTCTCAACAGCATCCAAGTGTTGGGAATGCTGGTTGACAGTGGTCCGTAAATGTCTTAGAAACTAGACACCAAACGGTGTGTCAGACCAGAGTAGCTTCTCAGCTTCCAACTCTTCTTCATAGCCACCCTCCGTAAATGCACCTCGAATGATTTGTCGAAGTTCTGCATCGTGCATAGCCCCATACGTCAGCTTAGTGAACTCCCAGTACTCAGGAAAGAAGCCGGCGCATTCCCAGTCCACAATCCCAGACAGACGTCCACGGTCTATAAGAATATTGCTGGGGTGGAGGTCCGTATGGGTGAAGACAGATCGGTACTGACGGGCATGCACAGAGGTGATTTTCGCTTTTGTCCCTTGGCGTACACAGCCATGGACGAGTAAGGCATTGAATTCAGAGATAAGGTGGAACGGGCCACGAGATCCGGAGGGAAACCGATGATCTATCATTGGGCCACCGCAAGTGTTACTGAATGCGTGCGAGGTCTTATTTGGAATGCAACGCAGCTGCGAAAGGGCAGATTTCAAGTCTTTTGACAGTTGCTCGCGCTCTGAATACGAGAGCCGGTGAAATACCGTGTCCAGCGGTTGCCCAGACACAGCGGTCATGACGAGAACGGTCAGCTTGTCGTGGTATTCATCCACCCAAAGGGGTGATGGTATCGAGGTGTATTGCTCTACCAAGCGCAAGGCTTCGCCTTCGTTATCAGAGGAGCGGCTGCATTCTTTCGCGTACAGCCCGAACGGCAGGTGATGCACGAGGCCAGTAAAGGACCGTTCGTAGAGATGTTTCCCTAGTTGAGAAGAATGCGATAGCACTGAACATGAATCGCCTTTGGTACAACATGCCAGAGAGAGCGGAGCCTCTTCTGAGATGCTAGACTCAAGGAGACTGTCCAAAGTAGATAAGTTAGCCTCTCTTGTTCCGCTTGTGAAGGATCCGTGTTTCATACATGACTGAAGCGAGGGCCAACCCTCAGAAATTCGCTCTTCGACATAAAAAAGATGTAATGAAACCGCGAGACGGAAATGTGTTCGTAATAGGAATGGATCTGGGAGAGGTAGATCGGAGTCTCGTGTCTCCATTATGAACATCTGCATTGCATTATCCCATTTGCGGCCATCGCTGAGGAATAGTGAGCCACAAGGCTCGGGAAACTGCCTGGAAACAAAATACTGTGACCCAATCAGTTATACACTTATGCACGAAAGCGGTACGGGGTACAGACATAAACTCGCTTTTATGTCTTGATTTTTGCCTCGGTCCATCGCTCCACGGATTGCGTGTTTCGGTTGGTGGAAAGAGATAGATGTGGGCATCTCGAAAAGCCGAATGAATACTAGGAGAGAGTGAAAGCAAGTTCCTGAGTTGTGATTCCAAGACGCGAGTCTGCAGCTGCGTCCGAAGCTCGGCAATTACACTAGGAGTCAGAAATGCTTGCAGAATGTTGTAGAGAGGACCCTAGCAACAATACGAGATATGTAAGTCAGGCAAACATGTGTATCTGCTTTGAAATATCATATAATCGAATAACATACCGGAGGATCCATGTCATGGCCGTCAAAGAGACTCGGTGGGATCACCCGAACATGATCAAATGAAATGGATATGCTAGGGCTCGATCGCTTTCGACATAACATGAAGCAATGTGAACCATCACGAGTCTCGGTCAGACATTTTGCTTCAAAGGACACTGGGTCTCTCCGAGCCACTGTTTTCCAAGGTTGGTGGTCAGCGAAATGGCAGGAGTAATTCCATTTTCAACTGACGTTTTGTGACAACTTGCTTCCAGTGAGATTTCAACTCATCCAACACCTGCTCTGGAGAGCGACCAAAAGAGGTATTGATACTTTCCCAGATATATCGAGCTGCGTATTCCGGATCGATCGCCTCGTCCAGAAATGCTCTCCAGATCGAGTGCTCAGTCGGTGTAAGCCGGGCAGCTTCAATAAGCCGGACAGTCGCCTCATACGAGGTATACCTTGTTGGATTTGAGTCCATTGTGTAGAACATTTCTTTTTCAATACATGTCTTTCTTATTTTTGTCCGTCTCCAGGGCTCGGGAGACTTGAGAGGGGATATGGGGATGAGAGGGAGTTGAAAGTAAATCACGTGTAACCTTCGAAGTACTGCAATCAATTGGACTCTTTCAAGTTTGAAATGGATTTTAGCATTTTCATATTTCGTAATGAGTGACAAAAGCTAGACAGCAATAAAATAATTTAAATAGCAATCTTTATACAACGTAAGATAAACCGTGATGAATAGCGATACAAGAAAGTCGATTGCATCCTCGCCATCCAATCAAGACCTCATCATACACCTCGAATATACATTGCAAGTATCAAGCTCCAGGCTCAACACTTTAGATGTACTCCCAAGTGGGGATGGTGCCGTTGGCAGCAACGGCCAGAGCATCGAAGCCAATGCAGTCAGCAACGTTGCCGGAGGGGACGGTGGCGTTCTGCAGGGCAGCGAAGACCTGGTACTTGGGGGCGGCAGCAGCGCGACGGGCACGGCGGGTGGTGACAGTGCCGTTGGAGGAGGGGCAGGCCATGAAGCCGGAGGCGCCCTGGCCAGTGTAGCTCCAGTGACCGAAAGTGGTACCAGGAGTGTAGGCGAAGGGACCGTCAGAGGAGCCAGCGGGCTCGTAGGCGGAGTGGGGGGTGGTGAAACGAAGAGCACCCTTGGGGTCAACGTAGATGGCCTGGCCACCGGGGACAACAACGTCCTGAACATAAGGTAAGCAATTGTACATATATCAAGTTTTTGTGGTACATACAAGGTAGTGGCCACCGGTGATCACGGTCTGGTTGGTCTCGGGAACGCCCTCGACGGGGGAGTAGCTCTGGGCGTTACCACCGAGCCAGAAGTAGCTGCCAGCAGCGTTGAGGGGCAGCAGGTGGACGGGGGAAGCAGAGCGAGCGGAGATGACGCTGAAGGAGGCATCAGAGCTCTTGGCCTGCTTGGAGCCGGGGATGGCAGCCACCAGAGGGGCGAGAGCGAGAAGGGCAGAGAACTTCATTGTGAGCGAAGGTGGATTGGAATTGAAGATGGGAGTTGAATTAAGAGATAAAGAGAGTCTATGGAGCAGCTAGGAAGAGGCGTGGAGGGTCATATATAAACGTTGGGAAGAGGGACGTGCTACTGAAACTCCATAAGCGGATCCTGCAAATGTAGCAATCCTCCCCAGGGTTGATCGACATCATAACAGTCCGGCACAAGCGGCACTATGAGCCACCTTGGAAGCAGCAGAGCCCGATCTAAGCTTCGCCACAGCTGCGGGAGATGGAGAACTCCGAGATTGGTTAGAAAGCCGAATTAGGTAGCAGCGATAGTGAAGACTAGCATATTTTCCACGGTCCGAGTTCGAAAATAGTCCATTCAGGGTCTCACATTCAGAGATATGACAGGATGAGAGCTGCAGAAGCTCCGCCACTAGAAGATCGGACTAAACGGACTAAACGGCCCAAACGGGTACATGTTCACCAACACAATCATCTTCTGTCAAGCCGTGTCAATTAATTGTTGCACTTCTCGAATCAGCAAATGCGACGTTAATTCATTCCAAACCAACACGGCAGGGTGAAGATCGCAATGGAAGACCCTGAAGAGGTGTTTCAGAGAAATCAACAGAGTTTGACGGAGTAAAGATCGACGTGTGGCTTCGGAAGCCCGACAGAAATTCACTAAAAACCAGTAGAAGGCCGCTAAAAAATCACTAAGAATAACCAGGAACGAGGGCAATGAAATCTCAGCCTGTTAGCTGCGCCGAAATGGATCCACGATCCCCACTTTGTCTCAGGGTGCATCACATTTGACATCATTGGCCTATGTCGATATCTGATGAAGTCTTTGGACTGCCAAGCGAGGTATACATCGTAGTACCATGGACTCTCTTGACAATCACAGCCTTGACGTATTCTATCCCTAGCAAGTGCATTCACTAGACATCAATGCAATTCATGTGTACAGAAGTCAACATCCACTTCAAACTTATTTTATCAAATCACCTGGGAAATATTTGTACGGTAAAATGCAGCACATTCTTTAGACTCTACGCGGACATCCTTGAGGATCGATCCTTTCAATATACTCCGATGATCCCTCGTAGGATACCTACCGGCGCTGCCCCGACTCTACCATATTCCTATCTTGTCTCAGCCCCCATCACTACTCCGTACTTGGTTCAACTTTCACCGCGAGACATGTCTGCGAACCCAAAAGTCGGTTATCAATTAGCGTACGTTGTACGGAGTACTCCGTAGTGCACGCATTAACGCGCTAGTCTCTACTAGCCCGACTTTTCCAAAGTGTGGAGTCAACGAAGTTTAGGCAGTAAGAATAGAAGGATGGAATAACAATAGAACACTGCATATTTTGGGCATTACGTAGTTTGCCACATTTCCATGAAAAGAAGTGCCCAATTGATTCTGTCGTCCATTTCACTTGTTCATCTTGAAGATGTCGAGATGCTGCGATGTGATGTATAAAGTAGAAAAGGGGTTAATGCACGTCAGGTGACCACGTTATTCGCCGCAGCATACTCCGTACGTTAGAAATGCGAAATGTAAATGCATCATGCACAACACCAAAGCCTCTCGAGTATCCGCAAAAAAATAATGGGTATTGCAGATTGAATGGCTCCCCCACATGCCAAGGGAGCCTCGCGCTCAGTCAGGTTCTCCAACACGCGCGAATACGCGTCCCTCCCCGACCAGTCGACTTCCGGAACCCGCAAATCACGCGAAATCGACACCTCAAGCGAAGACGAACTGTCCGATAATGAAGCAGATGTGAAACTTTTACCTCTCAAAAAGCACGATTCCCAATCAAGCTCCCAGTCGAACGACCGAAAATCCTCCCCGATCAACGTACCAGAGAACGAACGCGATACGTCGAAGCTCATTGAGGAGCTTCTTGCTTCGGATCGCAATTTCCTGCCCGATGCATTCGATACAGATTTAGAGGATGGAGACTCGAGTAGATCTTCACTTGCTCTCAGCGACGACTATGGTCTGCCATCGGACAAGGGCTCGCTGCTGAAACGTCGCGATGACGGTGATGGCAAGCGCTTTGACTGGAGGACATTATTCCGTCTACATTCATGGTGGAATGTCCTTGGACTGTTCACAGTTGCCATAGTGGTTGTCTGGCTTGCGATCAGAGGTCTGCCCTGGTCCTCTGCTCCGGCCGCTCCAAGCGGTTTTGTAGGTCGCCCTTTCCTTGATTGTGTTTCCACGGTTTGTCTAGAAGTCCAGTGTCTGACTGTCGCAGGACACGATACCATGGTACCCGACACCTCTTGGCGGAACTAGCAGTCAATGGAAAGAAAGCTATGCGAAAGCCCAAGAGATGGTCCGGGTCATGTCTATCGTTGAGAAAGTGAACGTTACAACCGGCACAGGCTGGCAGATGGGAATGTGTGTTGGAAATACCGGTAAGTTGTGGTTGTGTTACATGTCTGTTTTATACGCTAAGCCCCTTGGTATTGTCTAGGACCTGCCGAACGAGTCAAATTTCCTTCTCTATGTCTGCAGGATGGTCCACTCGGGCTCAGATACGCACACAATATCACGGCATTCCCGGCCGGAATCACTACAGGCGCCACATGGAATCGAGAGCTGATGCAACAGCGCGGCTTCGCCATAGGCAATGAAGCGCGTCTGAAAGGTGTGAACGTTGTTTTGGGCCCGTCGATGGGCCCGATTGGTCTCATGCCCGCTGGCGGCCGTGGCTGGGAGGCATTTGGATCAGACCCAGTATTGCAAGGCGTGGCTGCGGCCGAAACCATTCGAGGAATCCAGCGGAACGGGGTCATGGCCACGGCAAAACACTTTATTGGGAATGAGCAAGAGCACTTCCGGCAGTCCTTCGAATGGGGACTACCGGATGCCATGTCGTCGAATTTGGATGATCGTGTGTTACACGAGGTTTTCGCTTGGCCGTTCGCCGAAAGTGTGAGGGCCGACGTGGCAAGCGTCATGTGCTCTTACCAGATGGTCAACAATACATATGCTTGCGAAAACAGCAAATTAATCAACGGCATTCTCAAAGACGAACTTGGCTTCCAAGGGTTCGTTCAGTCGGACTGGCTGGCCCAGCGATCTGGTGTGAATAGCGCTCTCGGGGGGTCTCGATATGAGCATGCCTGGTGATGGTCTTCACTGGGCTGATGGCAAACCCCTCTGGGGAGGTGAGCTCACTCGCGCCGCGTTGAACACTTCTGTGCCCATGGAACGCTTGAACGACATGGTCACTCGAATTGTGGCCGCCTGGTATCACTTCCGACAGGATTCGTGGGAAAAGCCTGCACCGGAAGGAGACGGCGGTCCAAATTTCTCGTCTTGGACTCAAGATCAAGTCGGTCGCCTGCACGAGGGCTCTCCTGACAATGACGCCACTGGTGTGGTCAACAAATTTGTCAATGCCCAAGGCACAGGCGCAGACGCGCACTCTGTTGTCTCCCGTCAGGTCGCTGTGGAGGGTACCATTCTTCTTAAGAACTTTAATAACACCCTCCCTCTTGCGCGCGAGCACCCCACGTCGGGTGCGAAATACAAGGTAGGTGTTTATGGCGAGGACGCGGGTCCCGGTGAGGGGCCAAACTCTTGCGCCGATCGAGGGTGCAACCAAGGCACTTTGGCTTCTGGTTGGGGCAGTGGTGCTGTGGATTTCCCCTACCTGGTGAGCCCGTGGCAAGCACTTCAGCAAGCGTGGTCCAAGGAAACAGTTGATGTTCGTGAATATTTGACGAACAAAGTTCAGCCTGAAGACTTGATGCAGCAGGATCTTTGTTTGGTCTTTGCGAATGCAGACGCTGGAGAAGGCTTCATCCGCAGTGATGGAGTCGATGCAGACCGAAATGACTTGTTCTTGCAGAAGAATGGCACTGAATTGGTAGAGGGAGTGGCCAAATACTGCGGCGGTGGCCAAGGCAAAACGGTCGTCGTTGTGCACTCCGTTGGCCCTGTTGTAATGGAGTCTTGGATTGACCTTCCTGGAGTGCATGCTGTTCTGTACGTCAATCTTCCTGGACAGGAAAGTGGCAATGCCCTAGTGGATGTCCTATTCGGTGAAGTCGACGCTAGTGGTCGTCTACCATACACCATCGGCAAAAGCCTGGAGGATTACGGTCCTGGGGCCCAGGTGGTATATGAACACACAGACCCATCGGTGCCCCAAGTCGACCTGAACCAGGGCCTGTACATCGATTATCGCTATTTCGACAAGTTCAACATTACCCCTCGCTATGAATTTGGCTTCGGTCTGTCTTACACGACGTTCGACTATTCAACTCTTGGGATCGAAAAGTTGCAGAAAAAGACCCAGCACCCCTCGCCTCGCCCTGAAAATGAGGTTGATGCTCCGGAGTATGACAAGCGACCGCCCAACCCCTTCACCGGCTTGTTTCCCTCTGGCTTCCGCGCTCTTCGCAAATACATCTATGGTTACTGTGACTCCTTGGTGGGTACTGACCCCGGACCATACCAATACCCTGACGGGTATAACACTCCTCAAACGCCATCCGCTGCAGGCGGCGGACCAGGCGGCAATCCCTCGCTCTATGAAGCCATGCTTGAGCTTTCTGTCGAAGTCACGAATACCGGCACTCGAATCGGACAGGACGTGGTCCAAGTGTATGTGTCATTCCCTGAGGATGTCGCCGAACATCGCGGTCTAGGCTGGTCTCGGGAGACAATCGAGTTTCCTGAGCGCGTGTTGCGCAATTTCGAAAAGATCACCTTGAAGCCGCGCGAGAGCAAGACAGTCAAGATGACTTTGACGAGAAAGGATCTTAGCTACTGGAGCGTTCGTGCGCAGAACTGGATTCTGCCTACTGAGGGCCAGTTCAAAATCTGGGCTGGGCGGAGCTCTAGAGATTTGCCGCTGATGGTAGAGTTTTGATCTTCGTTTCATTTCAAAGTTGTTCCCTCTGTATTGCCCCTAGAGAATATAAGGTGTACATTTATCCATAGATATGGACTTATGTAGCCTAACAATCATAAAAAATTTGCTGATCATCGTTCGAACTAGTCTTTGATCTAGATGCAAAGCCCCTTGGAGTTATACTGCCAAGGATTGACAAGGATATCTGGAAATGATCAAGTGAGAATGGTAAAAAAACTTTTGCTTTCGCATGGTAGATGCACTAAGTATCTATCCGAAACATGTACAGCACTCGCGCAAGCGACGCATAACGAAATCTATGCCGAGAAACAAAAACAAAGCGCCCGAACACCGTCTATCAGAATGCAGACCAAACAAAACATTAACATGGTGCTCATGATGCGAGGACAGGCGTATATCCTGGCGATTACGAATCATAATGTTATAGAGCGCGTTTATTCATCATCGGAATCCACGGGCTTGGGGGTACCCTTGGGGGAGTTCAACTGGGAGGATGGTTAGCACAATATCAAGCAAGCAGCAAACAAAAGGAAACTTACCCATTCGATGTGGCGCAGACGACGGCGGGTCTCGCGCTCCTTCTGCTGAGCACGGGTCATCTTCTTCTTCTTCTTGGCGCGGAACTTGAGTTCACCAGCGCCCTCATCGCCGGAGTTGACGGCAGATGGAGCGGCACTGGTGACGGCAGAGCCGGTAGCGGGGGTACCAGGGGCAGAGGGAGAGTTGGCGGCGCTGTCCTCGAAGCGGTCCAAGCTGATGGCGTTGTTGGTACGGCTGACGACACGGCCATCGGCGATGTGAAGCTGCTCGGGGCAGAGAGCACCGACGAACTCCTCGTTGTGAGAAATCATAACAACACCACCCTTGAAGTCACGGATGGCAACGGCGAGACCACCGAGGGAGTCACGATCCAAGAAGTTAGTGGGCTCGTCCAGGACCAGCAAGTGGGGGTTGTTCCACATGGCACCAGCCAGGACAACCTTGACCTTCTGACCACCGGAAAGACCGGAGATCTCGTTGTGGTTGGCAATCTCGGGGTCCAAACCAATGTCCTCGAAGTGCTTGCTGATGGTCTTGGGTTCAAGGACACGGAAACCGAGACCTTCACGGGATGCCTCGTGATCGTCGAACTCCTGAACCAGCTTGGAGAAGCCGTGCTCGAGCAGAGTCTCACGCGAGATCATGGTGTTGTTCTTGGGAAGAAGACCAACCCACTTGACCTCGTATTGGAAAGACTTCTTCCACTTCTGACGACCGATCAGGGTCTCGATGCGGCGAGCACCGAAGTCGGCGCCCAGATCAATGGGCTTCTCAAGCTGAGCCTTGTCCTCAGCGGTGAGGATACGGGTCTGCTTCATGAACACCTCGCGATCGTCACCGTTGGCGTAACGCCACTGGAGGTACTGGCTAGGAGTCTTCTCCAAATGCATCTCAACGTGCTCCAAAGCGTGCTGCTTGATGTAACCAATACGCAGGTTGGGGTGCTTCTCCATCTTACCACCCTGGGGGATGGTCTCACCAGTGAGAATCTTGATGAAAGTAGACTTTCCGGCACCGTTTCCACCGATAATGGCGACACGGGAGGAGAGAGACAGAGACAGGGAGGCATCATGGAGAGAGGGCTTGGCAGCGCCAGGGTATGTGAAGGAGCAGTTGGTCATACGCATGATGGCACGTGTTTGAGACTTGATACCGGACAGAATACCGGGAGGAGGGAACTTGAACTGCACGTTGGAAGCGGACAGAGTGTAGTAACTCTTGCCCTCGGGCTTCACCTTGACGAAGTCGGCAAGGTTACCCTTGTAGCAGACAAGCTTCTTACCCTCGTAGTGGTAGATATCGGTACAGACTTCATCAAGGAAGCCGGAGTCGTGAGAGACAATCAAACTGGTAATCTCGGTGTGGGACTTCAGGTACTCCTGCAGCCACTTGACGTTGGCAACATCCAAGTGGTTAGTAGGTTCGTCAAGCAGGAGAACATCGGCCTTCTGAAGCATGGCACGGGCAAGAGCCAGCTTCATCTTCCAACCACCGGAAAGAGAGCCCACGGGCTGGGACTGGCGGCCCTCAGGGCCGTCAGTGAAGCCAAACTCAATAAGAACCTCGGAGATGTGCTCCTTGCCCTGCTCGGCGATCTTAGGGTCCTTGGAGACGTACTCGAAGATGGTAAGGTTGGCGTCCTCACCCTGGTTGTGCTCGACGAAGCAAGTGCGGACCTGATCCTGGGGAGGGAAGCCCTCGAGCTTGTCGTTGGCGATACTGCGCATGAGAGTGGACTTTCCAGCACCGTTGCGACCGCAAAGACCATAGCGGTGGCCCTTGAGCAGACGCAGGTTGGTGTGAGAGAGCAGAAGCATACCACCGTAAGCGAGAGAGAAGTTGGCGTTGACAATCTCGATCTCGTTGGGGTCCTCGGGGGGAGGCTTGCCGTACTTGATCTCGTCCTGCTCGATGTAGTGGGCCTGGACAGCGGAGGCAACGGCCTCAGTGTTTCCGTCCGCGAGCAGACCGCGGAGGTAAGGATCGATGCAGCCAGGCACACGGTCGTGCATGCGGACATTAATGTCTTCGCGGACCATTTCGGCGATGAACTTCTTGGACAGATCCTGGAACTTGGCATCTCCAAATCCAGTAAGGCCGCCGTGCTCCTGAATCTTACCGTTCAACACGGCCAAGACCTCCTCGGGGGTGGTCTTGGAAATGGCACCGGTAGCGACATCGTTGTCCTTCATGGCAGTCTCGATAACATCAAGGGCACGAGTGGCGAGCTCACGGACCTCAGGAAGAGACGCACCCTCCTTGACGGACTTCACACCGGGCTGAAGCTTGGGAAGGAAAGTACGAGCCTCGGCGGGGTCGTGGACAAGCTTGGTGAGGTTCTCCACGACGACGACGGTCTGACGGAGGGTTTCCTGGGGAGTGGCCGGGGTGTTGAGGGAACGAGCGAGGAGAGGGGTGAGCATGGCCAACACAGGGGAGGTGACGATAGCAACGAAGGTAGTCTGCGAGAGAGCGTGGATGGCCTTCTGAAGAGTCTGGGCAGAGGGCTTTTCCATGGTCTCGATCAGAAGGGGAATACGAGGGGCAACGTCGTCGTTAGACAAGAGGGTGGTGAGGGCAGTCATGGTCTTGAGGGACTGCTTGGCCACCTCGTTCTTCAGATCGTGCATGCCGGACTCAACAATAGGAATGAACTCCTTGAGGGTCTTGCCCATAGCCTCGCGCAGGATATCCTTCTGGCGTTCCTCTTCCATGGTACCAGTGCCGAGTTGGGCCTTGACAGCCATCTTCTCGACCAGCTTGTAGGCACCGACGAAGCCCTGCCACTTACCAGAGCCCTTGCTCAGGTAGCGCTCGAGCGCGGGGAGGAGACCGTTCACCATAGCCTCGGGGCTAAGGGATCCGAAGAGAGCGTCGATGGCGTACTGACCAGCGTCGCGGACGACGGCGCCCTTGTCGGCCAAGGCATCGAGGGCGAGGTCGAAGACACCACCATCGTGCAGAAGGAAGACAACTTCGCTGAGAGGGAACTCGCGGGGGAAGCGCTCGAACAAGGCACCGATAATCAGCATGGCGCTCTCGCGCTTGGCGCCGTTCTTCTTATCGGAAGCAGCCTTCCGAGTTTCGGCGAGGACATTGTAGTTCAACAAGCCGGCAACACCAGCGCCCTGAATGAGCAGGTTGGCGAGAGCGTATGCGCCATCGAGAGACTGCTGGGAAGATTCGGAGGTGAAGATGGTGGTGAGAAGGGAGGAAATCTCTTCGGCGGTGGGGGGCACGCCGGAAGGGCCCTTTGCGACGACGGTCGGCATGGTCTCAGGATCGACAGTGTGTGGCATCGTCCAGAAGATCAGAGACTCGAAGGACGAGGTTCGATATCTAAAAGAGATATCGAAAAAAAAAAAAGAAAGGAAGAAAAGACAGCGGCCCTTGAAAAGATGCTTAGGGGCTGAGGAGGGGCAATTTCACCCTAGTGATAATTTCCCAAGCGCACAGTTCGCACACAAAGAAAATCGAGTATGGCGAAACTTGAGTATATACACGATTCGTATACACCCGAACCCTGACAAAACACAACAAAAAACACAAAGAGGGGAGAGTTGGTCAAGAAACACAATAATTCTCCTTGCGCTGTTGATTGCATTTTTTTTTTTTAAGGCTGAGTCAGCCAATCAGTGGGGGCATCGCCGCCACCTGGCCGGCGGATGACCGGGGTCTAATCGCAAGTTCTCATTGGCTGTCAATCTCTACCTTGTGGCCTTACTGCCTGACGTGGCTGGTGCCTGAACTCTTATCTTTGAGCCTGAGAATGCAGAATCCTGCCTGAGGCCTAAAACTAATTATGTCATCATCACAAGGGCGGGGCCCCAGAATTGGGGTCCGAGCACGCTGCCATTGAGAAGACTCACTCACATTACGGAATATTCCCTGCTCTGTCCAGTAGAAGCAACTGATCTTAAAAGCTTTATGCTACGGGTGAATGGATATTTGATCTCGGCTTGCGAAAATGGGCCCGACAATCCTGGTATGTTGCCGCCGTTCCGAGATGTCCTCCAGCTTTCAGCACTCCAAGACGATCGAACCATAGAAGCAAGGATGATAGGTTTCACATTCTAGCTATAGAAACACTTAATGCTGCTGTAAATTACACTAGAAAGGAGCTCCAAATAGCTTTGACTATTGTGATATGCCCGTATATCAACATATTGGACCGAACTGGACCGACCTGGCCGCATGCAACCGCCCCCGGGCCTCGGTAGAGACACAACCCCTGTGCCCCGCGTTCAACCGAGTTGCGTGTTGGCCGATCGCTGCATAAGTCCGACTCTTTTGGTTGAGCTGCTTTCTCACCGTTCCTTCTTTTCTCTCACATACCCCAATTGCGGTTCTGTTCAGCTTCAACTCTGTGCTCCCCGCAATTCTCATCTCCCGCCCCCGCAAAATCCACTTCGGACCCATCATGGCTCTCAGCTGGAGATCAACCCGCCATGTTTCTAAGCTCGCACAGGTGTGTTCCAGGATCCAATTCCTGCAATTTGAATTCAATTAACTCAGTCCAAGGCCACTCGGCCAGTGTTCTCTCGTCACTATGCGACCGCGGAGCCGGACCTGAAGACCACTCTGAAGGAGGTCATCCCGGCTAAGCGGGAGCTACTCAAGAAGGTGAAGGCGCAGAGCGAGGATGTCATTGGAGATGTCAAGGTCGGAAACACAATCGGTGGCATGCGTGGTCTGAAGGCCATGCTGTGGGAGGGCTCTGTTCTGGATGCCGACGAGGGAATCCGTTTCCACGGCAAGACCATCAAGGACTGCCAGAAGGAGCTCCCCAAGGGCACCACTGGAACTGAGATGCTCCCCGAAGCCATGTTTTGGCTTCTTCTGACAGGCCAGGTGCCTTCTACTGGCCAAGTCCGCGCCTTCTCCCGCGAACTGGCTGAGAAGTCAGAGCTCCCCACTCATATTCTGGACTTGATCAAGTCTTTCCCCTCCAACATGCACCCCATGACACAGCTCTCCATTGCCGTCGCAGCTTTGAACACCGAGTCCAAATTTGCCCAGGCCTATGAGAAGGGTATCAACAAGGCCGAGTACTGGGAGCCCACTTTCGATGACAGCATTTCCTTGCTGGCCAAGATCCCCCGTGTGGCCGCCCTTGTCTTCCGACCGAAGGAGATCGATGCCGTTGGTACCCAAAAGCTCGACGCTGCCCAGGATTGGTCCCACAACTTTGCTGAGTTGCTCGGCAAGGGTGGCGCTGAACACAGCGACTTCCATGACCTCCTGCGTCTTTACCTCGCTCTCCACGGTGACCACGAAGGTGGTAACGTGTCTGCCCACGCCACACACCTCGTCGGCAGTGCTCTGAGTGATCCTTTCCTCAGCTACAGTGCCGGTCTTCTCGGTCTTGCCGGTCCACTTCACGGACTAGCTGCCCAAGAGGTCCTCCGCTGGGTGATTGCCATGCAGGACAAGATTGGTACCAAGTTCAGTGATGAGGATGTCCGCACTTACCTCTGGGATACCCTCAAGTCCGGCCGCGTGGTGCCAGGCTATGGTCACGGTGTCCTGCGCAAGCCCGATCCTCGCTTCGAGGCCCTGATGGACTTCGCCGCCACTCGCCCCGACGTTCTGGCAAACCCAGTCTTCCAGCTGGTCAAGAAGAACTCGGAGATTGCTCCCGGTGTGCTTACCGAGCACGGAAAGGTATGCTGAACTGACATTAACTTGACCATTATCGACTTTTGACTAATGACTTTCTGCAGACCAAGAATCCTCACCCCAACGTGGATGCCGCCAGTGGTGTCCTCTTCCACCACTATGGCTTCCAACAGCCCCTTTACTACACTGTTACATTCGGTGTCAGTCGCGCCCTTGGTCCCCTTGCCCAGCTGATCTGGGATCGTGCTCTGGGTATGCCCATTGAGCGCCCCAAGAGCATCAACCTCCTCGGTCTGCTCAAGAAATAAATGCCGACATGGCAGCCCGGTGCAGCCTTATATGACCTCAACGCAAAGCGATTATTGTTTCTTTACCTCTTGTTCTCTCCTTGGTGAGGTTTTTCCTCCTGATTTTTGTCGTCTTTTCAGTACGAAAAGCCAGTTGTTCGATAGACCAGTGACCAGTTGATTTATGAAAAGTGCAATCAATTGAGTTTTCAGATTTCAATATCTCCTTTCGCCCTAGAAACGTTTAGGTTTCATCCCATCATGGATTATCGTCAATTGATTCCTTAAAATTCCAAAACATTTACAGGCGAGCACCCCCGTTCGACAACTGCTCCCACTCCTTCTGTCCGTAAGGCGAATACGTATCCTCGCCAGGCGCAATCCACAAAAAGTGATCATCTTTCCCTTCCGGCGCCTTGGTCCCAGTAAGGGAGATGTCTACACCCTCGTCACGAAGCGGCACTTTATTCTGCTTGTGGTTATGGATATGGGTGGGGTTTTCGACAATGCGAAGGAACAGCGGGACTGCATATCGCGGTAGCTTGGAGCGGACGTATTTCGCAAGTGCCGCGTAATCAAAAGTCTGGCGGGCATCCGGGCTGATCTGGATCGCTGCACAGCCGGCACGGCCCTCGTGGTTTGGCAAGCGGACACCGTAGACATTCGCCTCAGTGATGCCGGGGTACTGGCCTACGACTTCCGAGACTTCGGCTGTCGCGCTACACATGTCGTTAGCGTTTCCAATGATAGGGAGGACCACAAGTGTACTTACACATTCTCACTCTTCCACCGGTAGGTGTCACCAAGACGATCGAGGAAGTACCAGCGGCCGTCACTTTGACGACGCAGAGCATCTCCAGAGCGGTAGTAAAGATCGCCTTTCTTGAAGACGTCCTTCAAGAACTTCTTATTTGTTGCTTCATCATTACGCCAGTATCCTTGGAAGGCTTCTTTCCCGGGCACGTTGACGATGATCTCCCCACCTTCTTCGTAACTCGCGCGGGTCGCAAAGCCAGTCTTGGAATCACGCAGAATGTCACCGGTCTCCGGGTCGATAGCCACAGGAATGAAGACATTGTGCAAGACTCCTCGCATGATCAAACCATGGTGTCCGACACTGCCTGACGTGAAAGGCCCGCGATTGTAATTGAAAAGACCAAAGATTCCCTCCGTGCTATTGAAGAACTCGCCCACCTCAGCGACTCCGAATCGCTCGCGGAACTTCTCCCAAATATCAGGCCTCAGACCGTTGCCATACATACAACGGACTTTGTGGTTGCGATCCTGGGGAGAGGGCGGTGGCGCCAACAAGTAGCGCGCAGTCTCTCCGACGTACACGAATATCGTGGACTCTGACTCTCGGATATCGGTCCAAAACTTGCTCACGCTGAACTTGGGCCCAATCGCAATACTGACACCCATGGTCAGGCACGCTATAATAGAGATAGCCGCTGTTCCGTGGTACAGAGGCATACAACTATACCAACGATCACCATCTGGTCCAGGCGTATCGCCCATTAGAGCCCGGCGCATATACAAGGTTGTGTATAGACGAGACATGGTAAAAGCGCATCCCTTGGGCATGCCAGTTGTTCCAGAAGTGTAGAGCAAAATAGCCGGAAATTCGCCCTGGATGTGTTTTCCCAACTCCTTTGGTGGTAGAGTCGTTGGATGTGTGCTGATCTGTGCTTTCAGCGCATCATCTAGCACCATAGGCTTCATGCCTAAGTTTCCAATGATCGCATCTTGAGATTCCTCCACGCGCGCACGACAGCCGGATTCTTCATCCACGATCAGAATCTTCGCACCACTGATCTTCAAACAATGCAACAACGCATCCCCGGTCAGGTTGTAATTAATTGCTGCTGGGGCGCAACCGATACTCCAAAGCGCTACCCAGGCGAAGATATACTCTTCGCGGTTTTGGAGGTATACAGCGACAAGGTCGCCCTTCTTTACTCCCTGTGACAGGAAGAAATGCGCATATTGACATGCGTGATCCTGTACTTCGCGGTATGTGTACGATCTCTCTCTCGTCCAAAGACATGTCATATTTGGGTAACGTTTCACGGTTTCCAGAAGTACGAACCACGGGTTTCCTCGGTTATGGCTCACTGGAATTGATCAGTTATTTCGTCATTGAGGGGCAATTGGAGCTTACCAGCGTTGGCATATTGGCGCTCTGCATGCTTCATCGAAAGCAGCGCCGATGCGTCTTTCTTAAGATGGAACTTTGCATTCAAGTATCCTGCGACAGTGACTCCTCCAAGGAGCGCAGCAGCAGCGGTTCCTGTAGCAAGTTAGAAGCTAGGAATTATGAGGCGGTACAACCAGTGCCTGGGTTCATAGCTCACCTATGTCCATGTTGGAGCTAATGCAGGCGTCCCGGCGAGCTGTTCGAGGGAAAGTTGTAAGGTGAAATTACTAGAGGATTGAGGATCAACGCTGGGAATATGAGTATCTAAGAAAGAAAGCGGTCGCACTTGCGATCATGACATTATTGACGTTGAGGGGAGTTGCCGTTTACCGAGACTCCATGAAAACATCCTCGGCACAAATCGAAGCTCCGCACTTAGTCGACCAGTAACTTCGTTTCTCAGACCCAGTTTTCTATGCCAAAAAGTGGAAAGAAATGCGGGGAAATCTAAGCTAGCCCCTTCCATTAGCATACTTGTGCACAATCTGAGGTTCATTGTGCACACCGAGGCTAGGAGGTTCAAGACTTCGTAAACCCTGGTGTGACATGCGTCAACCAGCCTTCCTTGAATAGCTGTATCTTCTGCAAGCGACAGTCCGTGGGGAACCATCCGTGGAGCCACAATTTTGAATTGAACCCACCGTGTCCACTTGACATTTTCCGTTGGGAAGGCCTCTGGCACTGGTTTCAAATCCGACCGTTGAATTTCGATCTCCCTTCGCGCCCGGTGAGACTAATCCCTCGAACTTTAAAAAGATGAGACTCGCTTGATTTCACAGGGTCGTTCCTCTCACCACCCTATAAGCCCCTTTCCAATGACTCAAAGTGAAAGCCGATGTCGGGGGTCATCGACCCGGTGATAATTCGCTAGGGCGGCAGAACCTGATGTCTTGAGTCACTTGAGCATTAATCAATTAATTGGAATATCTCCGGTGCGTCCGCCGGGAGGGGAGAGGAGCCCTTGCTGCATTCGCTGCGGGTAATCGACAAATCGACATCCAATGCCCCGGTACGGAGTACGGAGTAGCTCTGAAGACGTTTTCAGCACTATGGTCATTTTCCTCAATTGGGATTCATTTTATATTTGCCCCTAATTATAGCTGTACAAAAGTACGAGCACACCTTCATTTCATTACTTCCAAGGTTCAGCCATCGTTTCTTTATCTCTATACTCTTTCCCCTGGGTGGTTTGATAGGTGATTCCCGAGGTCGTATTGTCTTTAGACTTATTTCACATTGTTGAAGCCATTCGGTTCCAAGGTTTGTTCCGTCAATCTCGGTTATTGTTGAATAAGTCTTCGGATACTGTCAAGATACCAAATAAGACTATTGAGAAAGTTCTAGGAAATTTGGAGGGCATCGAAGAGATGTTCGTCAAAATGCAAGATATCAAGGTTTCTGGTTGTCACTTTATGTGCTTTATACAGAGCTTCCACGGGTAGGCAATGTTTTCCAAGGTTGCAACCTTGGGGGCTTTCGTTCCTGTGTCGATCTCCCTCATACCCGTGGGTAGGGGTGGGTTCGTACAAGTAACTGCCGGCGGGCCGCCCTACTTTATGATATGTACAAGTGAGCACCTTGATCGCTGTCACAATTGAATCGGAACCTTGGAAACCACCTGAGCAACTTAACAGTTACAAAAGTGTAGTGTTGCAGCGCCCGTCGACTGAGCATAATGCGGTCCAGGTAATTGAATCGATGACGTATGACAATATTCTCGACACATCTCCAGCCGCTCCAGCCTTAGACTTAGAGGGGTTGACGATCTGATAATCGTCCGAGTCTACTCCGTACACCGAATCTCCAAACTGCATGGAAGCCAAGCCCAATGAGCTAGAACACGTTTAGTGGCACTCAATTGGGATTCAGACCGGGATTTGCTCAAGAGTGACCTCATGGCGACTGATCCGACCTGGATGCCATGGGTGTTATCAATCTATGATCATTCGTATTATGTTGAGATTTTCTCAAACTGTTGATCCCCAATAATTTCGTCTTTTCCTTCGGTCCGATCGACAGGTAATAACAAAGCGTTCATTGGCGGAGGCCAATATAGTGGGGTATTGGAAGGCATCGGTGACGCAAACGGTAGGGATGAGCTGGGAGAGCTCACTCTGACACACACGATGACTACGTGAATACCGTCATGCCGTTTGTAGGCGAACCCTCGGAAGTGGGACAATTAGGAAAGGAGTTCCGGGTCAATTACTCCGTACCACTGCAGGCTCTGAGTCTCCGAGGGAAAAGGATGTCCAGGTCTAGGCCGTATGTTGGGGAAAAGAGGAATTCAACGGAGAATTCAACAGAGTTCCTACTTCCCCCGGCACAGGCACCCGTAGCCTGTGGAAATAAACAATAGCCGCTGAAAACTCACGATCTCCAAAATAGCCCAGGGGAGTTAAAAAACGCTGCCTTGGGTCCAATCAGTCCAGGCACTTTCCCCACACGATTGGCTCGGTGAATCACCCCTCTTCGTATATCCTTCACACCCTCTTCCCTCTCCCCCTCCCTGTACTACCTCTCCATACTATATACAATGTCGCTTCCTATCAGGTCATTGCCCCGGACACTGGCACGGTCCTACGGGACTGTGCAGGGTGCCCCCAGCCCTGCCTCCCTGTCCAGCCGCATCCCTCTGACGCTGACCGACGCTACGGGTGCTACCGCCCCACGGACCACTTGGACTCGAGATGAAGTCAAGCAAATCTACGAGACCCCATTGAACCAACTCACATACGCCGCTGTAAGTGCCATTGACTTTTGTAGTGATACCTCAGCTCACACCTTCTAGGCGGCCGTTCACCGCCGATTCCATGATCCCGCGGCTATTCAGATGTGCACGCTCATGAACATCAAGACTGGAGGATGTAGTGAAGACTGTTCATACTGTGCCCAGTCATCCAAGCACAACACCGGCCTCAAGGCCACCAAGATGAGCCCTGTCGACGATGTCCTTACCAAGGCCCGTAATGCCAAAGCCAACGGTAGTACCCGCTTCTGCATGGGTGCCGCCTGGCGTGACATGCGCGGCCGCAAGACCAGTCTCAAGAACGTCAAGCAGATGATCTCTGGTATCCGCGAGATGGACATGGAGGTCTGTGTCACCCTCGGCATGATCGACGAGAACCAGGCCAAGGAACTGAAGGACGCCGGCCTGACCGCATACAACCACAACCTCGACACCTCCCGTGAATTCTATCCCACTATCATCACCACCCGCTCGTACGATGAGCGCCTGAAGACCCTCTCTCACGTTCGCGATGCTGGTATCAACGTCTGCTCCGGCGGTATCCTTGGTCTCGGTGAGACTGACACCGACCGTATCGGCCTCCTCCACACCGTCTCCAGTTTGCCCGCCCACCCCGAATCCTTCCCCGTCAACGCCCTTGTCCCTATCCCTGGAACGCCCCTCGGCGACCGCAAAATGATTCCCTTTGATCGCTTGCTTCGCACCGTTGCCACTGCCCGTATCGTCATGCCCAGCACTATCGTTCGTCTCGCTGCCGGTCGCATCGCTCTCTCCGAGGAACAGCAGATCGCCTGCTTCCAAGCCGGTGCCAATGCTGTCTTCACCGGTGAGAAGATGTTGACCACCGACTGCAACGGCTGGGATGAGGATCGCGTCATGTTCGACCGCTGGGGTTACTACCCCATGAAGAGCTTTGAGAAGCCTGGATTCAAGGCCAGCACTGGTGCTGGTACTGATGCTGCGGCGCCCCCTCCTCCCCAGCCCGAGGCTGCTGCGCCGGTCGCAGCAAGCTCCTAGATTGCTAGATCTCGCTTGTCTGATTCATTAGTTTTGGATGCGAAATGTCACTGCGAACAAGTTTGAATCCTTTTGTAGAGCATCGCTATGATGATTGAAGAAGTTCGGATGGGTCTCACCAAGCCCCCATCCTCCGTAGATGAGACACTAAAACCCGTCGGCTATTTGCCGACCTATGCTTCAGGTCAGGTGACCAATAACAAACATGCAGGTACTTTTTGTACAACCTCCTACTCCATACAACGTATAGCAGATCTCCCCGGAAAATGTCCCATACACCGGGCTGACAATTTTGAGAAAAAGCATGATTTCACGCTGTGAAGAATAGGGTTCGAAATGCTGAGAAATGCCGGACCCAATCGACTCCGGTCGTGACTCAACTCTACACGATCAAATGCTGCGATACCGAGGCGCAAAGCGAACGCACGCTGTCGATTCACCACCTTGACCCACGTTTCTGGTGTCTATTATTGGAGGGAGATCAATATCAATCCATCGGATCGCAATGCTTCCCCTTTTGGTTGCAATGACGCTCAAATGACCCATCTTCAGGGCCTCAATGTGCGGAGAATTCACATGCGGCGGACGCCGATCTCGCTAATTTCGCGACGGCCGTCTATGATCTCCGGTTCATTTGATGTGTAGGTTTTGTTGGGGAACTTTGATCCACAGCGAAGATTCCACACGAAGCCTATTCACATGGACTGGTGCCCTCATTAGGTCTACCGATATAAATCAAACGGCCGCCGCTATGATACAAGGCAAGATCAACCATCAGCCATGGAGTCCAAACCGCTATCAAAAGATTCCATGAAATCAACATGGCCGACGGCGCCTCGCAGTACGTGGAACTTCAACCATCACCTGCTAGACACGCTGAACGTTCATCCTATCGACCTGAGCAAGGAAGTGCCTGTTCACAGCAAAGATGAGAAACTGCCTTTCATGCCTCAGTGGTCTCTCCAGCGTTGGGTGTTGTTCTACTCCGCCATCCCACTGCTCCTCCACGAAGTCTACATGCGGTTCGCCGGGAAGACCATCGGTCCAATCACAGCGTTCAACTTTTACTTCTTCGTCTTCAACGCAACAGTCATCTGGCAAGTCCACGTTCTCCGCCGCCTAGGCCATATTCACGGTTTCCTGGATGGCGACAAGCACGAACGCGACGGTATCCCCGATGTCGGCGTTGCCAAGGTTGTGACCTCGCTTTACAAGACCACCGGCTCCCGAATGATCCTCTCGATCTTCTTCTCCTACACCCAAACATCCAGGCCCTCCCAGATGTCCTGGCAGTGGCTCCCGCTTGAAATCGGTCTCTACGGCATTGTCCTCGACTTCTGGTTCTACTGGTACCACCGTCTCATGCACGACGTCGGCTACCTCTGGAAATATCACCGTACCCACCACCTGACCAAGCATCCGAATCCTCTACTGGCCGCGTATGCGGATCACGAGCAAGAGTTCTTCGACATGGTCGGTGTGCCCATGATGACTTATTTCAGTCTCAAGCTCATGGGCCTTCCTATGGGCTTTTATGAGTGGTGGATCTGTCATAACTACGTTGCTTTTGCAGAGGTTTTCGGTCATAGTGGACTACGTGTGCACTTGACTGTGCCATCGACGCTGAGCTGGCTGTTGCAGATGTTTGATGCGGAGATCGTTATTGAGGATCATGATCTACATCATCGCAAGGGTTGGCGTAAGAGTCATAATTACGGTAAGCAGACGCGCTTGTGGGATCGGATCTTTGGCACTTGTACAGAACGCATTGAGTCTGTTCCTGAAAATGTGGATTATGACAATACGGCTATGATGCCTTTGTTTTGATATCCCAATATGGGCGGTTGTACATTCCCAGGTTGTTGGGAACTTCCAGGGCTTCGGATGTCGAGAGTTGTATATACTCGCTCGTTTATGATTTATGTAACCAGACTTCAACTACAGATACCAAATTTTGACTCCTTCGATTTAGCCTGCCATCTTTCGAGTTTGTATCCCAAGCTCTTTTGTTATATTATCATGGTTTCAGGCCAAAAGGTCTCGAGGTCCCGAGGTCACAGCTGCCCCCGGGGCCAGTTGTGACATCAGTCCGCGGATCTCGGAACCTTGGAAGATTTCTCGTTGTAGTCAACCTTCAGGGCCTGAAACCTTGGAAGTCTCTTCAAAGATGTAGCCCTGAAGCCCTGGAGTCCCTGCGGGCCTACGCAAGTATTCCAAGGTTTCCCACAACAAGGGAGTGATTTGATCACCAGGGAACTATCCATACCACCCCGTATTATGAGCCTATCTACGATCTGTTTCTTCTCATAATGAACCTTCCAAGGTTGTAAATAAACGGACAGAATTTAGAAGCAAGTCCAAACATGTGAAGATTTGCTTAAACAAAGGTCGATATTAAACAAAGGTCGATATTAAACAAAGGTCGATATTAAACAAAGGTCGATATATATCCATTGATCTCTTCAAAACCTTGGAATGGTATTATTGCTACCGAGCTAACGTTGGAACCTTGGAAGTCGTGTGAATTGAATGCTCATTTGCTGAGCGCTCCAACATTGGAACACCGTCTTCATATCAAATAGGTAGGCATCCGGAGATAAGAGGAATGAGGTTACCCAGGTGAACCTACACGTTCACCGGGGCAACTCATAAGACCTGGAGCCAATGTGACATTGGAACCCTTGAAAGACCTCTGGAGTCCAACATTTCACCAGCAATATGTGTCTGGAGACGTTTCTATATGTCCACGGGTCTTTGAGCTCAACAATGGAGACCTCAAACTATCGGGAAAAGTGACCCAGACGGGCAAATTTGGAATTCGAGAGAATTTCCTACCCATTCCAACATCCTCAAGTCGAGTTCCATGTGTACTAGTGTCATCCTTGACTCCTGCTACGATGCCTATGTCTAGGTAGCCGCTACTAGCCTATCTGGACAGTCTCACAAAAAGGCTTTATATCTTCAGACCGAACACCGCGGCATTCGGTAGTGGTCGGATTCACACCGCGAGAATGAAGCCTCCCACATGCCGAGTACTTTGCGTGAATCATGCACACCGAGGGATGTAATAAATCCCAATTCTTTGTGATTTTGAGATCGAGCTACTCTCTCTACAATATCGGAACTCACATCCACCCTTCAATATCTAGATCGGAGAAGGTTTCCGCATCGGACCAGCACCCGGTCAGACCAGACTCAGTGTGAATACTTAATTAAATCTTCCTATCAAGACACGCAATTGCCCATGAATCAACTACCAGCATGAAAACTCTCCGTGGAAAAACATCTGTGGGGCCTGGTCGTATTTCAAAGTTCTATTTAGGCTTTACTGAGGGGAACGCCATATGCCTATACGATTACGTTTTGGTCCCCAATGGGGGAAGTCGAACATTTTGACAAATACCGAGGTGGTTAAAGTTTGATGCAATTTTTTCAAACCTCCCTCACATTTAGATCTCGGGGTTTCCACGATATATGGACATCAGATAGTCTGTAGTCTGAATAATTGCTGACGGCCCCACCCTAGGGCTAGCCACCACGAGTCAGTCCGTCCGGGTGGTCGAAGCTTATTCCCGACTATTGTTTTCGAAGGAAGCAGCGCTTATGGTTCGGTTGAATTCCGGGTTCCTGGCGTTCGGCAGGATGGGCCATGGACTGTGGCATTCAATAGTGGCGGGAGTGTACCGAATTTCCAAAATTTACAATTGTGTGTACATAACAGTTGGTGCCTGGTCCCACAAGCCAAGCATTGGCAGATGTTGCCGATGATTGTTGTCTATTTCCAGTTTTACCCTTTTAAACGCGGACGATGCTCAAGCTAGTCGTGAAGAATTGGGGGCTAAGAAGAAATCTATTGAATCCCGCCCCTTCTAGATTTTCTTTTTCAAGGCCAACCTTGCTCTGCAATGATCCACTTCTGTGCACTGTCTCACCGGTAGGATCCATATCGCATCCGTGAACCGGACGTTCATGCAGAGGCGTTTTTGATATCTATTACGGAGTACCAGTACACTTATGTCTCGTTATATGGCTTGCCTTTGACCAGATCGAGGAAATCCCGGCGCTAGCATCATTTAGCGCACAGGCCAGTTGGATCGGATGTGTTCAGGTGTTCGCGCTAGTTGTCGGTAATCCCGAATCGCCGGGTTACTGGGTTAACAAAGCGATTGAACAGCTCAGAGCTCCGACGCTATGGAACACAAGCTCGGAGCATGTTTGTGCATAAATCGATCCATCGATCTCAAATTTAGGCTCTTTTATGCTTTGGATGTATCAAATCACACGTAAACAACAATATATTCGTGACGGCATATGCTAAGTTTGAAATCTAAATATCTCTAAATATACACAAGAAAATATTCCAAATTGGAATCAGAAGTCCCTTATCTCGCTAGGCCGACTATTGTTGTCGGAGATGACGGAGATCTCGACCTGCTTCGTAATACCAGGCGCAAAGAATGTAGGCGATTCGGGCTGACCGCCGACCGAGGTACTGGTGTGGGCACTTTGGTCGTGCTCCAGAATGTGGTCAATGCTACCGTGTTCAGGATCGGGCTTGAACCTGCGGGTGCGGCGCGACTGGTTTGTCTCGTTTGGGAGAGCACCGGATTTGCGACCGGAGAAGGGTCCGCTGAGCTCGTATGAGCGGGAGAATTTGCCGCTGGAGATCTTGCGGACGGAGGAGATGATCAAGGGGCGGATGCAAGGGATCGAAGAGGTGATTATAATGATTGTGTTTTCGATGTAACCCCAACGGATCAGTTCGATGCCGCCGCTGGCGCCGATGTTGGTGATGCTGGGTAGCGATGTGAGTTTGGTCGTCTTGATAATGGATGCGACCATTGCGCTACACAATTAGTATACTGAAGTGAATATGGGTGCATAGTAGGCAGACTTACACAATACCAAGGCTGAGGAGCACAATCAAACTGATCTTGATGCGCAGTTTGAGGTTCAAGTTCCAGAATACCACTGCGGGGAACACGGCCAGAAACAGGTCGGTAGCGGAGTTGAAGCTGTTGGAATAGTAGGCGAAATTGATCACTGCTTTCAAGTCACCACAGGTGGTTGCCTTTGCCACAGTGGGATCCCACAGCGCAGCGACATCGCGACAGATGCTGAGCGGTAGTACGGCCGATGCGGTGTTTCCAATGAATTGAATGACCAGGAACGCCCACAGCACGGCCTGGTAGTATTTGTTGGTGCCGAGCAGAGGGATGAGGTAGATGATAAAGGCGGTTCGCGCGAAGGTAGTGCTGAAGGTCACGACAGGGATCTGGATGGCGATATACTTCAAAACGGCTTCAAGGTCGGCGGTTGGTAATTTGGTCAAATCCGTGCCGAAGCCGTGCTTTACGGATAGGGTCAAGAAGACAGTTGATGCGATCGCGAGACACTAGACAGATACAGTCAATAAAGGAACCCGGAATAGAGATGCTCGCAAGGGAGATCTACCTCGGCGAAAATCATGATGCCATCGTCAACGCCAAACCGTTTGATTTTAATTTTAGCAACCACACGTAAAATAACGATCACCGCGGCGATGATCACCGCGACCCAAATCCCCTTCTCCAGGGGTGGTCCAATATTTGTTGACATGGTGAAACTAGCTGAACATGGTCAACACGACACGGGGCGATCAGTTTGGATTAAATGTCTAAGGCAGGGTACCCTGCCCAGTGAATATAGTTTAAGCAAAGATTGAGATATATGCAGGTTCCGGAAATGTGACCTTAGTTTAGCCGAGTCCAAGGTTTGCCAGGCAATCAACCCCGGATGGAGCTATTTTCTTAATTTTCTTACTTATGAGAACCTTGCGTCGACTGGACCAACAGCCAATGAGAAAGGGAGTGCACCTGAAAGACCAAAAAAAAATGCAAGTGGTAAGACCATGGATTGGTCTATGCCGACCTTGGAAATGCGCAAACTCTATTGATTGTGGAAAATCACTTCTTTTTTGCTTTTTTTTGCTTTTTTCGGCTTGCATTTCTGCATTTTTGCCTTCTGGTCTCTGCTGAATGCCTCTTTTTTGTGCTGCACTGAGGGCTCTTCGACCAATGAGATCACAATATGGAATCAGGTTCCTTGATCTGGACAGAGGGCCCCCACTTCAACCAGATGGAGATTTGATTAATATATATGAATCCTAGACATTTTTCATTTCCTCTTCATTTCCTTCGTAGTCCGTCGGAAGCCACGGAGTTATGCTATTCTAGAAATATTCGACATGCCAGCCACCAAACTGTAAGATATTAAGGAGAGAAGAGGCTTGCATAAATGCTCATGCTACTTAGGGCTGAGCCTCCGGCACTGTGGGGATCGGTGGCGCCTGCTTTAGACAAAAGGCCCACAGGACAGCAGTTCATTGGACCAACTGCACCAGCCCCAACTGTGCGATTGGGTCGATCGGATCTCGCTTGATGGAGGCATTGCCGTGGGATTCCGGTTAGCGTATTGTTTGGATATTGACTTCAGGTATGATGAAGATGGCAAACGACTGTACTTTAGGATCGTCATGTTCCTGACGGAGGATGTGAAGGGAAATGGAGATTCCATGGAAAGTCCCCAACCTTTCGGTTACCGTCGATCGTGGAATTGCCGTCGATCTCTCGCGTGGACGAACGCTTTGACTCTCGGCCGCCAGATCCTGTCTCGGTATAACTCCGGGTCAAAAAATTCCATAATCCACCTTGGTCCTCGTACGAGGGCTAGACGCACTTGGGAACATCTCCGAGTTGATTAAAGTCAGTATATTGAATTTGGTTATCAAAGGGACCGAGGGCTGTTGAATGCGATTGTATAAATACAACTGAGGGATCGACGTTTCTCCCTCCAAATTTGATCTTATCCCTTCACAACCTCCTCTCCACTATGAAGGCCTGGACATTGGGTTCCCTCGTGGCTCTTGCGGCCCCAGCAATTGCCTCTGATTGCCACTGTTTGCCGACGGACAGCTGCTGGCCTGCTCCCTCCGCTTGGAATGCCTTGAACTCTACCGTTGGTGGTAGTCTGGTTGCGACCGTGCCCATCGGTACCCCCTGCCACGCCCCTAACTATGACGCCGCCGCCTGTGCGTCTCTCAAGGCCGAGTGGTACAAGCCCGAGCCTCAGTGAGTGATGCCGATGATTTCATTGTCTTTCAATACTAATTTCCTATAGCCTTGACTCCTCTTCGTCTGTGATGCAGACCTACTTTGCCAACCAAACATGTGATCCTTTCTCTGCCAAGTCCAAGCCTTGCACTCTGGGCAACTACGTCAGCTACGCTGTCAACGTCTCCTCCAGCGATCAGGTCATCGCTGCTGTGAACTTTGCTCGCGAGAACAACATTCGCTTTGTTATCCGTAACACTGGCCATGAGTAAGTGCTACCGTCTGAGTTGATGACATTGAACTTGTACTAATAAGATCTCAGCTACCTTGGTCGCTCTACTGGTGCTGGTGCCCTCTCCGTCTGGACTCACCACATGCATGACATTGAGTACCAAGACTGGACCGGCCCTTACTACCAGGGCCCTGCTTTCAAGGTCGGCGCTGGTGTCGTCGGCTACCAGATTCTCGAGGCCGCTTCCGCCAAGGGCCTCGTCGTCGTCACCGGTGAATGCCCTACGGTCGGTCTCGCTGGTGGTTACACCCAGGGTGGTGGCCACTCCGCTCTCAGCACCGAGTTTGGTCTCGGTGCCGACAACACCCTCGAGTTCGAGGTTGTTACCGCTGCCGGTAAGCTGGTCAAGGCTTCCCGCACCGAGAACGAGGATCTCTTCTGGGCCCTCAGCGGTGGTGGTGCCGGCAACTACGGTGTTGTCATCTCCATGACTGTCAAGGCTCACCAGGACGCTCCCATCGCTGGTGCTACTCTCCAGATGGCTGCGACCGGTGTCAGCACCGACACCTTCTTCGAGGCTATTTCCCAGTTCCACTCTCTGCTGCCTGCTATGATCGACCAGGGTGTCACTGTCATCTACCAGATGACCTCCAAGGTGTTCCTGATTGCCCCCATCACTGCCTACAACCAGACCTCCGATGATGTCAAGGCTATTCTCAAGCCCTTCACCTCGGCTCTCACTAGCCTTAACATCACCTACAAGACCACCTTCACCCAGTACGACTCGTACTACGATCACTACAACCACTACATGGGACCCCTTCCCTGGGGCAACTTGGACGTGGCCACTTACCAGTACGGTGGTCGTCTGATGCAGCGCCAGAACCTCGAGCAGAACCACAACGGTATTGCCGATGCTCTCCGCACCATCACCGGAGCCGGTGCTATCGCCGTTGGTGTCGGTATGAACGTTTCCGCTCCTACCAACGTCTCCAACGCCATCTTCCCTGCCCTGCGCAACGCCGCCGTGACCATGCAGATTGGCACACCCTGGAACGAGACCGCCCCATGGGCCAAGATGGTCGATGACCAGTACAAGATCACCAACGAATTGGTGCCCCAGCTCGAGAACGCCACCCCCGGCAGCGGTACCTACCAGAACGAAGCCAACTTCCGCCAGTTGAACTGGAAGGAGACCTTCTTCGGTAGCAACTACAACCCTCTCTTGACTGTCAAGCAGAAGTGGGATCCTAACTCCTTCTTCTATGCTCTCAAGGCTGTTGGCAGTGATGCCTGGACTGTCTCTAAGTCTGGTCGCATGTGCCGTGCTACTACTAGCGCTCGTAGCACCGGTGCGTGCCAGGCTTAAGCCATGCTTCGGTCTAAAGTTTGAGATATGTTTCACGACACGACGCAAATTAGCGATTCCCGAATTATCTTTCTGTGGTTTAGATATCCATCATGTACCATATATTTAATTATAGAACAGAACTGTGCTTGAATGCACCAAGATTCCCAAAAATTCCAATTTATTCTTTACTTATCTCTTTCAAGGGTTTGAAAAAGTTTTCATGTTATCCATGTCTGGGATCCCAGGGTTACAGACCCCCATGCCCCACTCCAAAGCTGGAACGTTAGCTGCATGTCTATCTGCACGAGTCAGGTCCACAGGTTTGTCTCGATATTCAGATCACTTAGTGGTCGGAGTTCTTCCTTTTTGGGCAGAGTGGACCTTCGCTTCCACATGGCCATGGCGTGACCGTTGGCACGTGTGACCGACGTTGTGGGTGGGGATAATGCACAGAGCCTACTTAATTTTATGTCCTGATTTATGGATGGATGTTATAAATAAACGTCATACTAAAACATGTGAAAACAGTGCTAATCTCTATATGCAAAATGGATGGACAAACCATAAACCAGGGGATATCGTACAGTGCAAACACAATATCGCATAATATTTACAAACAGCCCTGAAACCTCAGACCTCGGCGTTGCTTGCACACGAGAAGCTGTTGCTAGAGGCATCGTCGTGGATAGCCTTGCCGGAGACGTAGAGACCAAGACCACACATGACACCGCCAATCAGAATGATCAAAACATTCACGATGGTAAGTGCGATCTTTCGGGGAGAAGAGAACCACTTGCCCTTGTTGATGTGCAGCCAGTACACACCACCAAGACCGTAACTGAACCAACTGGCGAACAGGGAACTGATCAGACTCAGCAGGTCGCTGAACACGGGAATCGCATCGGCAATGATCCAGGCGATGATCCAGCAGGTAAGAGCAATGCCGACCCAGGAGCCAATGGCAACTGCGTCACGCTTGTGCATGCGGTCGGTACCGCGGAACAAGCGCACATAGATGTACTTGAGACCAATGTGGCCGTTGACGACACCAGCACCAATGATCTGAGATATTAGTCAGAATTGTTAAATCACAATATTGGAAGACAAGACATACTGTTGGGATCGCAATTCCGTAGGCAACCTTCTTCAGGACAGGACCGGCAGAGCCGAGAGCAGGGGATGTCACCTCCTGGCCAACGTAGTAGTAGATAACCACTGCAGCGACAGTGTAGAAGACAATCTCGAAGGTCTGAAGCATGATCAGAGCCTTGGGGAAGTCGCGAGGCTCCTCCATCTCGGCGAGAAGACCGAAGAAGGCAACATGGGCACAGTAAGCGAACACAATGTTGGTGACAGCGCTGAATGCACGGAAGAGATCCGTGTCAATTGTCGCCTTGAGGTTAACACCACCCTGGTTTTGAACACCGACAGCAATCATTGTGATGATGACAGCAGTCAAGATACTGAAGAAGGCTGTTGATATGATTAGCAATGATCCCTTCAACACGGCTGATGAGTCCAACTTACACATGCACGAAATGTATGTCATGTTCTTCATGGTACGGGGCAGAGAGCAAACGAAGCAGATCACGAATCCAACTGTTGTGAATACCATGGTGCAAGTTCCGTGCTCGGTAACAGTGTTCATCATCACACTGAAAGTCAGGATATGACTACCCATGATGAAGATAGAGAAGAGAAGCTGTCCAAGACCAAATAGCTCGCGTCCAAACGCGCCAAACAAAATCTCGCCTGCATCGCCCAGGTTTTGAATATGAGGGTACCGCGCGCGGAATTGGTGAATTGTGTAACCGGTGTATGTGGCAAGGAGGCCCAGACCGATGATGAGGACGAGAGCAGGTGCGAGACCAAGTTCGGCCAAGGTGGCTGGCAGTGACAACACACCGAGCGAGACAGATTCGGCAATCATGACTAGATCCATGTCAGAGTTGGTCCTCGAGATATGAGTATACTTTCGCGCGTGACTTACACATTCCTGTCTGCCACCACTTCATAGTCTTGTATTTGACCTCTGCGCCCTCCTCATTTCCAAAAGCATCTTGATACTGAGGTGCGGTGTCATGGTCCAGCTTCTTCTCATTGTATCCGGACTCTGAGTCGGTCCGGTCGAGTTGCGGCGTCACTCCATCGATAGTCATAGTGTCGACGCTGATATGCCGAACAAGGATGGATAGGTCAAAGCGAAATGAGAGTATAAGAGAAGAGAGTAGGTCAACACGGATCTATGTGTGAAAAATTATTGAGCCAAGAGGTGGATAAATCCCAACGTCAACCGAGACCCCGCGACAGAAAAGTCGGGGCTTGGGGCTCGGAAACGTGGGGCCCGGGACTTCTGGAAGCGGGTATCGCTATCGGTGGCAATCGAATTTCCATTGCATATTCACATTATGTTTAAAATGGGGTAAGCAATGGCACCTGGGCTACAAGTGCAATCACTACTACAGATTGATGCCGAGTTGCGGTCATTAGCATCAATTAAGCGTCTGGCGCCCCACTTCCGCGCCAGAAGTGGGGCCTCTCGGGGCCCGCCTTCTAGATTTTCGGCCAATCAAGCTGTCGGCTCGGAATTCTATTACACAAGAAGAATCGCCGGATTTGCCTGACGGCCGAATGTAGCCGCTTGGTCCATTGGCGGGCCAGTCCCGACACCGAGTGCCTTGGGGTTGTTACTTAATGCCAAGGATCCTGCAGGGGTTGATCTTGCTTAAAAATCCATTTTAACTGCCGAGAACAAAACTGAAGACCGCGGAGATAAGAAGTCTTTGCTAGCTCATGGCTAAATTGACCAGAGTCTGCGCGCTGGCAAGGAAAGGAGATACATAGTCTTTTAACCGTGGTTGGCACCCTTTCGCCACTGAAAATTTCAATCTCTGACAAGCCTTGCCAATCCTTGGCTTGGGACGCTTAAACGCGCCCTACCCGTGACAGCTTTAGCCTTCTCAGGTACTCGGCTTTTATGGAAGACCCGGATGTCGGGTTGTGACCGAGCAGGAGTATAGGGGGTCAATGCACGCACAGACATGCTGCCCATGTCCAAGTCATTCATTGCCATTAAAACTCAATTCGGTAAAGGGAGCCACCGTTGTAGGTAACGGAATCCTGCTCGATCCTGCTCAAATGGCTGTTGGTAAGCTCAATTTTGGAACTCGAAAGTTTGATGCGCCTCAATACCACGAATGTCTCTCACCCCAGAGCTCATTATAAATCATTATATCACATTTTCCAATTCGGGACATTATATCACAAATGGAAACATCACTTGGGGTAGTACTTTGCATCTCTCTCCACAATCCGGCCCCTTTACCTCCAACATTTCCCCGGATGACCCCGGGTTACGAGCAATCCGAACGTAACCCCGAGTCTAAATTCCCGAGTCATCCTCCTCCACACTCAACCCGGTCTGAAAAGCACTCCAGGTTTTGCAATTACTGTGGAGAACGTCGTAGTCAATCAATGGCTTGATTTCCGTATACCGCTCCACAAATTGGATGGCGAATCCTTCTTCCGTATGCCATCCAATATGACAATGCATCAACCAAGCACCGGGATTGTCCGTCTTGAAGGCAATGACCAAGTGTCCGTTCTCCGGCAGCATAGCCGTGTCACGTTTCGGCGGGTTGGCCAAAGTGGTCCCGTCGCCTGAATAAGTCCCCGACCCCTGAGCAATTACGATGAAGTCATGACCGTGCAGATGAATCGGGTGCGGCACAGACATCGTCGTCTCGATGACAATATAGGTCCATTTATTTTTGTGGGGAAGCTCAACAACTCCACTGACATTTGCCCAGGTGTGGTGGCCACGGTAGACTTCTAGAAGAGTTGGATCTTCCCAATCGACATGCATCGAAGTCGAGTTGAGCTTCCATCGGTACAAGCTGCCTCCGTTCTTGCCTAAAGACACCGGCTCCGACTTGTTATAGTATGCGCCTGAGACAGTTTCGCTGACTATGGGGACCAGATCGGACATCGCCTCGTCGTCGCAGCTGTCCGTGTAGCTGTAGCCTGTTGTGGAAGGAGTCGAGGGAGAGCCACCGTAGTAGACAATTCCTTTGATGTTATTGGGGTTTGCATTCTCCGAGCAAGCATTCTGAGGAATGGTTCGTAGCCAGAAGTTCTTGGCCACGGAGGCCTGGTCTGCTTTGACGATGACGTCGTACCGTTGCCCTGGATCGTCAGTTTCATTCCAGAAATAAAGAGATGCATCGCTTACCCATAGCAATGTTGAGAACATTGGTCTGATATGGTTGAATAGGCACAAGGTCATTTGCAATGACAGTCATGGTATGATTGTCGATCGAGAACTTGTAGTGTGTGTCGCAGGCAGCATTCACCAAACGAAGTCTGTACGAAGTTCCTTCCGTGAAGGAGGTGTTGAACCGAGTACCCGTTTGGTTAACATTGCCATCGTACCCAAACACATTGGTTCCGTTAATCAAACCAGAGTCAAGAGTCGGAGGGCCATCCATCTGTGCTGACATGAACAGCTGATCCACGGTGTTGAGATCCCAGTCATTCATGATAATCACGCCTTTATCCTCATCATAGTTGGCACTCGCAGGCCCGTGAATAATTATTCCACCAAACAGACCTTCCCAAGCTTGCAAGCCAATGTGGGAATGGTACCAGGTTGTTCCGTACTGCATCGCTCGCCATTTGTAGGTGATGGTGTTATTAGGGGCAGTAGGGCACTGTGTGATAGAGACAACGCCATCGTTCTGATTGGTCCAAAATTGGCGGATTCCGTGGAAGTGAATACTTGTGCCATTCTGCAGAGACGCGGGGAGGCTGTTGGTGAGGTGGACAACGACTTCGTCTCCCCAATTCGCCTCGATGGTGGGACCAGGGATGGATCCGTTGATTGCAATGGCAGATCTCGAGCGGCCATCAGGGGCAACTGTCACAGACTCCAGGTTGAAATAGTACTCCCGGGTGACATTTGTTTGAGGGACCGTGGTAGTGTAGTCGGTGTTGATATCGTAGTCACACCATTCATCGCGGGTGGTGGCCGTATTGCCAGAACAGGCCGATGAAGCACTACTAGAGGATGAAGGAAGTGCTGAAGACAAAGAATATGAAGGAATAATGTGTGATGACTTCGTGAGGCTTGCAGCAGTGGTCTTTGAAATCAAGACGCAGCACAGAAAGGTTACCACCAAGTCTGTCTTCATATTGCCAGCAGGCTTCTCAGCAATTGAGAAGAAACTTGCTCATTAAATGAGAGACAGAATTCGGAGAGAAAGCAAAAAAGATCTGATGAGTGTGAAGAATAACGAAAATATCTATGACCGTGTTCTCACATAGGTTAAATGTCTATACGGCCTGCTGGTAAATACCGCAGTCTTCCATAGCTTATGCAGCTATCTTTGCTGACCTTCCCCTCTTTTCCAAAAATATGCCTCGTCAATGGGAATGCCCATGAAAAGAATCGATCAGTCAAATCGAAGAGCAGCTAATTGAGGTTACGCGGCCCGTCAACCCCATATCCAGCCCACAACCAAGGAATAATCACACGGTACCTGCGTTCTCAGCCATGTTTGGCACCACAGAGTTCGTGTACTGGCGTGGATCTAGCGCAGATCATGCAACTAAGAATAAAATGTTTATCCGCAGGCATTTTCACCTCTTTAGTCCTTATCATGTCGGGTGTATCAGCATTCAATGTTGTGCCAATTCAGGGTCTTTTTTGACACAAAGACGAGCCAAAGATGAGCATACACAACTAATCAAACGCGTGTTATACAAGATTTATCTCAAAATCCTCATAGGTAGCATATTGAACACTGAAGCAAATAAAGATAAATAAGGTCTATCAGGTACGAGTGCCAATGCGCCGGCCCATCGGGCCCCACCGGACTAAGATCATCGCAATAGGAAAAGATCACACACTAACGTCAGCTCCGCGCAAGCATTAAACTATTTCTGTTTTCAAGCTACACTTTCACTTCGAGGGGTAATTCCCTGTCTGCCTTGCCCCGGTGGACTACTAGCGTGAGCTTGGGCTCACTGCAAGCTGACGACTCAATTCCACGAACTAATGCGAGTCGTCGACGGATAATGATTCCCTGAAGCTGAGAAGACACGGGAAATCCGAATGCGCAGTGTCAATTTGACTATGGCATCGTAGATCGGATAAATTGGTTCACTTTGTTGTTCTTATCCTACTCCAGTTGTCACGCGCTGTCTCTCTTTTGAACCTGGTGGTCCTCTTCGTCTTTTCCCTGTAACACTTGTCTCTCTTTCTTTCACCCAAAATCATGATGTGGGCAAGGTCATTGGGTATATGTCTTCTTGCTCTCGGGTCGGATGTATCTGCGGGGATTGTGAGCCAACGAAGCTCAGATTCGTTCAGTCTGTATGCATATGGCGACAGCATCGGCGGGCTTCCTCTTTACTATGCTGACGGTAAGGACGCTGGAAGACGTTGTATCCGATGAAAATAGCCAGCCAATGCTCATGATGATATTTCTAGGTAACGCCGTCATCGCCAACCACACACCGGACAACGCAACCGATGTCGGCCAGGTCGCTTGTGAGCACAACATCAGTGTTATGGACTTCTTTTTCTGATCTTGTCACAGTCACCCCTGATTCCTCTGGTCCTCTGGTCGGAAACCCAGCCAACGAGACCGGGTCTAGCGGCAAGCGAAGCAGCTCTGGCTCGTTCTCAAACCAGCAGCTGTTCATCCCGAGTGCCAATTCCACGGACCATCAGGTCGGCTTCACCACCAGTGCATCCTCGGATCAGGTCACTACCAAGTTTGTCTGGTACGGACATTTCCTTCTGGTCGAGACAGATGATGGCGGTTATACTTCGCTGTTCTATGCCAAGAAGAACAAAAAACAGGAAGGCGCGTATTCTCTGCAGTGGAATATCACCGATGATGATGACGATAGCGAGTATTATTCTGTCTCAATGAGATCCATTGCGCCATCTAACGCGTGATCTGCCCCAAAGTCCGGATTACGGCGCCCCAGGGCTGAGTTCATAGCTTTGGATACTTGGACCATTCATACACGCCGAATTTTGCGCTGCTTGACCGTTACCTGTACCCGTGGACAGTGAGTGCGAGAACCTTGAAATACTATATCTCTTCTCAAGTAGGCTCAGTTGCCAGATGGAAACCATCAGGTACTCGAGCCTGCACAAGCTATTTGGATAGAAAGTTAGATGCATTCAATTGGATTGTTCATATATACTCATATAGTCATCTATTTATACCAAAGAGGCTCGGAGTAGCCTTTCCATCTCGCGCAAGTTCTCAGGTTTAGATGTCACGCTAGACATCAAGTACAGAATGTTCCCGAGGACACGCGAGTGGACATTGAACTGGTCACCTCCAGCAGCCAGCTTTTGTTGCAGTCCCTTGGCAACATTAGAATTGTAGCCGCCACCGTCCGCATCGCGGAGCGAGATGCTCAACACGGTTCCAATTGCAAAGACGCTTTCAACCGCCTCTGCGCAGGACAGGTCTTGAAGGAGGCCCTGTGACCAGGTACTCCAAACAGCAGGCGCTGATGTTTCATTAGAAGTCTCCGAACTGCTGCGCCAGTCCTCGCGATATCCATCCCAAGAGCCGTCCGTGTCAAGTTTGGCCATCGTCTTCAGCGAGTCTACAGCAACTGTGCACCCAACAGCATGGGCAGTGTAGCTGTGACCATGAAGCAGGGCGTCGCTCTTCTCGGGACTAGAGAATGCGTGGAAGATCTCCTCGCTAGCTACGGTTGTGCAGAGAGGGATGAGACCTCCTGTCAGGAGCTTCGCATTCACAGCAACATCAGGGTGCACGCCAAGGAAGGAAGCGGATGTCCGGCGACCAAGACGGTAAAGTCCAGTGAACACTTCATCGAAAATTACGGGCAAGCCGGACCATGAGGGAGACTGTTTGGGGGCTGGGGTGGCACTGGAAAACAGCTCGGGATGATCACGGACCACCTCCGTCAAGCACCTTTGGAACAAGGGATCACTGAAAATGATGATTAGTACAAGAATATTCGAAAGAACTGGGAATTTTCAGCGTCACTCACCAGAAGAGCATTCCACCGGCTCCAAGAATGACAGGCTCTAGAATCAGGGCACCGAATTTCATGCCCTGGCGTTGAACAAGATCCTCAATGGTACGGTGAATGTACTCCTTGTAGCGTTGGGCCGTAGCAGACTCCAGGCGCTGGGTAAGATCGAAAACAGAGCCCAAGGAAGCAAAGTCAACATCCTCACCGAGGTCCGCTTTCAACTCATTAGGAACCTCAACTTTCCAAGCCCCGTCAACCATCTTGACGAGAGGGAAGTCAAACCAATGACCACGGCCACGGTACCACTCAACCTTTTTATTAAAAGTAGATGGCTCTGAGCAGTCCATGACACCGATGGTGTCACCGTGGTAGCTGCCCTTTAGTCCCAAGATCCCGATTTGCTCCTGGCTTGCGTCCCAACCGTATCGGTCGCAAGATGCACGGAGACCCATCTTCACCGCAACCTCCATACCGGTGCTTCCATTGTCGGTATAGAAGACCTTTGTAAAGCGAGGGTTATCAAGAGTTTTTAATAGATCACTGGCTAAAGAAAGGGCCGGTTCGTGAACAGCGCCTGCGAACATGACATGGCCGTAGCGACCGGCAGCATAGGCCGCAGACAACGATAGGTCGGGGTTACCATGGCCCAATCCTTGGGTCCACCAGGATGCCGAACCGTCAAAGGTCGGGCGCAATTCGCTTTCGGACTTGGATTGGTTGGCACCAAATGTTTGGAAGTAGTCATCGTGTGCAGAATCGATCACAGTGATGTCCTTGGCTTGCATGCCTTGGTGCTGGGTGAAAGGATACCAAATCAAATCGCGGGCGCGGTCCGCCATTTCTTCCAATCGCTCGATGCGCCCGGTGTTCTTGGCGGTCATATCCTCGAGAAGCCGGAGGATCTCAGACTCCTTGGCCGACTTCTGGTAATAATTAAGCATAGCTTCCTGATCCTTCAATTGAGAACTGGCATCCAACTCTACCGGTCGAGTAGGCGGTGCTGGAAGTGAGACCAGAGGAATGCTCTTCCCCTTGAAGTACTCGCGCAGATATTCATGGTTTTGATAGTATTCGTCTCGGAATAAGACAACAGACGAAACGTCATAACCGCGAAGTAGTAGCGACTCGTATGCAGAGATAGATGAGGAGATACCCCCTAGACGTGAGTCCGCAACGAGGACAATCGGCAGGCGAAGTGGCCGATACAAATCTGCCTGGGAGTTGCCATTGGGGCCGGGGGAGTGCACCCCGCCGGCTGTTTCAACGAGGGCGAAGTCAATGTCCGACTTTGCCCAACCGGAAAGGGTCTTATGTATAGATGCGAGAAGATCATCGTCGCGTGGAATCTATTTGTCTTAGCCTTGCAGCTGTAATCAATTTTTGAGGAACCCGTACCACTTTATTTTTAGCCGCTAAATGCGGGCTGACTGGGTCATCGAATTGGTAGAGACACTTGGTAAGCGTCCCCGCACCGTAGCGCCTCAAATGCCTGCGGAGATTAGCAATTGAAGCTCAATTCGAGTCGACCACGACGTACCGATCATCGGCATCGTCCAATGCGCCTGTTGACACGGGCTTGAGGAACGCGGCTTGCTGGTTCTGACGCTGAATGGCATTACACAGGACGGTGGAGATAATGGTCTTCCCAACGTCAGTGTTTGCGCCATAGACTTGGTGGGCGCGCAAGCTGCGCCATAACGCAGCGCCAACTGGGGGCATGATGTGAATGAGAGAGGTGAAGGTCAAGTCGGGGAGTCAACACTCCGGATTGAGTTTCCCGCTACGTCAACGAATCAGTGTCTCCACTCAACTCCACACACTTCACTTTCACCGAGGTTATTCTGGTCCCGTTGGGCTCTCAACGAGTTTTGGCTCTGAATTACGGAAGATCTTGGGATTGGAATGGCCAACTAGTCACATCTTCTGCATTGACACGAACCCACTTTGCAGACGTCGGTTCGCAGCGGAGCCCCTGCAAATTAAAGTGCGGGCAGATCATTGGACTCAGGAACCAGGAACCAGGGACACATATCTGCAGATTATACTTGATCGCATTGCGCTGCAGTATAGCCGCAAAACATGAGTCCGTCACAAAATCCATTGTCGTCTATCGCGCCCGCGCCCATGACACTGGTTGACTCATTCTCCGCCGCATTGGCGCAGCGGGAAGCTAAATCAGCGCGTCGGAGACTGACTGTGCTACCGCGGACAGCCGTGGACTTCTCCTCCAATGACTTCCTGTCTTTATCAACGTCTTCTGCGTATCGCGAGCGATTTCTCGGTTTGCTCAACAACACTCCGCCATCATTTCCATTCGCAAGCGGCGGTTCCCGGCTGCTGGACGGGAATTCGGCATACGCGGAAGAACTCGAGAAATTTGTCGCGGAATTCCACCAGGCTCCAACCGCCCTGCTCTTCAATTCTGGATACGATGCGAATGTCGGCGTGCTATCTAGCATACCGCAGCCCGGTGATGTGATTTTGTACGACGAACTCATCCACGCCAGCGCGCACGAAGGAATGCGGCTGTCGCGAGCCGGGCCTCGGAAGATGTTTGCGCACAGCTCGGCTGCCGGGCTGAAGGAGGTTTTGCTGGCGCAAATTGCAGAAGATCCGGAGATTGCAAAGGGCTCTCGCAACGTGTTTGTGGTCGTAGAGTCTATCTATAGTATGGACGGCGACGTGGCTCCCATCAAGGAGTTCATTGCGGTCGTCGATGAGCTTCTGCCTTGGGGAAACGGGTATTTCTATGTAGATGAGGCACACGCAACTGGTGTCTTTGGGCCGAGAGGTGCGGGTGTGGTTCAAGCACTCGGAGTGCAGGATCGAATGTTTATTCGGGTCCACACGTTTGGCAAGGCGCTTGCGAGTCACGGAGGTATGCTTTTCGTCTACCGGGCAGATTGTAGAAACGTATGACTGACTCCAATGCAGCAATGGTGCTTTGTGGCCCTGAGACAAGAGACTATCTCATTAACTATGCCCGGAGCTTGATATACACGACGGCCTTGGGCTTCCCATTCTTGGCATCGATTCGTGCGACGTATGAGCTGCTACAGACGGGGGAAACCGAGTCAGTAAGTTGACCGCGATGCTACCATCATTTCTCAGACTTTTGCTTACCATCCCCCTAGTTGCAGCGCCGGCTTCAGCAGCTTATAAGCCATCTTCGACGTCAGCTGGATGCTCTGCGGAGATACGAATCAGTCATGTTCGAAGTTGGCCACTTTCCCACTTCCCCAATTATCTCACTTCGCACCTCTCAGCCGCGGCAGCTCGCCAGTGCCTGCCAAGCGAAGGGGTTCATTGTACGTGCGATCATGCCTCCTACCATACCCGAAGGCAAAGAACGAGTTCGCGTCTGTTTGCATTCGGGAAATACCGAGGCGGAGATCGATGGACTGGCGCAGACGATTCAATTGTGGTTGGATCAGAGTTCTAGACATTCCTCTAAATTATGAAAGACTACAAGCGATTGTAGCGATCCTCTTCCGGGTATCTAATAGACTGTCCTAGCCTCGTAGATAAGGCATGAACTGTAGCTCTCGGGTGCCTGCAATGATCATGAGCATCTCAATGCCTGATTTAATGCTTCCCCGGTCAACCTTTGACGCGGAAAATGCATGGAACCTGATCTTTCTCGTGCGTCATGTGGTTCCCAGGGCAAAGGCGGCCACTGCCCTTACCCAATTGGGAACCTCCCTCCCAGGGCTATAAATTCCCTCTTCTTCTCCATTTCATTCGGTTCTTCTTTCTCTTTCCTCCCACTCCTTCCATACCCTTGTTCGCTCTGGGGATGAACTTCCTTGTTTCAATCCCTCCATCCCCTGCCTCCTGTACACTCATATAGCCTTGACGAAGCTCTGCCTCGCTTGCCCGAAGATCCTGTATTCTCTTCTTGTGTGCGCTTGTCTTTGGACACCATGGCAACTCCCAACTCTCCAGACTCGCCATGTATTCCTTTTTGTCCGCGGGTAAAAGCTCATGTCCCCGCAAGCCTGCTCCAGGGCTGCTGATTTCTTCCTCTGTGACTTCCGCCGTTCCTCCTCGGCCTGCGAGTCTCTCTTCCTGCAACGAGTACCTCTCTACTTTGTTGTTCTTTCGCCCCGGATCAGGAACTCGATCAAGGTATGTCTCTTCTGTATATCATCAACTTGTCACGAACACATTTAATGACATAACCACTTTCCAGGAGCTCCAGATGCTTTGCACTCCGAATCGAGGAGAAGTTTCTCACTCAAACCAGCACGAAACAACAGAAGAGCCCTTTCAAAGCCTTGCCTCGCATTCACCATGTACACTACCCGGTACAAGGTCTCCCCTTGAATCGTCGCCGTCCCGGCAACGAACTGCCATGCATCGCGGCAGCATGTCGAGATGGCTTTGTGACCGCGCATCGCACCAACATTCCAGTTGATGAACCTCGCGGCATCATGCGAGCCTTTTATACTGGTATGTTACAGCGAGCTGCTCTAACTGAAGAGCAACAAGAACTCTCTTTGTTTCAGGATCCTAACAACTCATGCAGCACCTCCATTGCAGCTCTCAGTGTGACGACACTGGACACAACCAAGGCCCAGCCTCTTGGTGATTCTTATTTCAATTGGCTTCGCAATACGCATTCCTTTCGGCTGCAATTTGATCTGGCCAAAGGTATAGTACTATCTTCGAGTCCACTCAATGAGGCTTGTTAGGGCTAATGACAATCTATAGCAACTACCGTTTCGCAGACGCAGAGTCAATCATTGAGTTATTTGGCTAATGGAGCTCCATACATTGACCTTTCTACCACCGATGCAAGACCGGGAATACACAGGGGACCTCCTTTACCACACAGAGCATCAGTTCTTCCCCACGAAAAGGGCTTCAGAATCCCGACGTACTGCCACCGCTGCAGTGGCCATGCTAGAAGTCCACAGCAATACTGGGCTTCGCTCCCAGGTCAATACGTGGGCTGTCCAGAGCATTCAAAAGAAATATTCACCCTTCAAATTTACGTTGAACCTTTGTGTTGGTAAGGGACACGGGCTTATCGACAAGCAACGACATTCACTTGAAACTGGAAACTCGAAAATATCCCGCCTGAGAATGACATGTCGCTATACGCCACGACCGGCCAGCATATGGAAAGGACAGAAACTGGCCAACACAGTTCCACAAAGATCCGACCTTGCATCCTCCATCCTTCCCTCTCGCCGGGCATCGGTGACCAGTCCCCATGATGGAGAATAAGACAAGGCAATTGACTGGGTATCAGCTTGCAAAAGCTCACCGGGAGGCGGAACCCTAGGCTTGAACTTGCTACATGATTGAGCCGTGTCTGGGCTCTGAAACTGCGGTTGTCATCAACTGCATCTATCATGAGGAATGAACGATGTCCCTATATCCCTGCCGATGTGGCAGACGAGGTGTCCAGAAGCCACCGGAAATTACACGAACTCGCTGTCGACCCGCGACTGAATGAACACATGGAACCTTTTATCGACCTTTAACCCATCAACTCTTTCCACAATCAACACCGACAAAAATTCTAATACTCGACAAACATCACTGAAAAACCTAACGCAAGCTTCAATTTATTCCTCGAGCTGGCCAGCAGCCGACAAAACACTGCCGAATGAAGATGACCCCGGAGATGATCGCAGAACGTGATCGATTCTTGTGTGGGCAAACCACACATCGAAAATCGAAGAAAGTCAGAATTCTCATTGGAATGAACTATGATTGTTTTGGATCCCAGAGCCCGTTGGAAGTACGGTGCTTTAGACCAGCCTGGGGCGTTGTATGGGTAACAACTCCATACAACTCAGGGTCGCCTTTGACAAATCGAACTAGGCCAAGCAATCTTTGCCTGCATACTCCATGACTCCCTGTTCGAGGGACTCAAATATCTCAACTGCAACTGGGGGTCTTCCACGTCGCACTCACCATCCCATATCCACAACGATCCCGAGATCATGCCTATTTTCCGGGACCCAATTACATTGAGCACTACCTAACAAGCAAAGCCCGCAGTGCTGCAGGAGCACACACAAGAAGAACTCGCTGGTGCGGCTGACGACCCAGAAACCGGGATCCGATCAATCTTCTTCAGGCTTGCCCCGCGGTGCTGCTGGAGCACATGAAAAACCCGCTGGTTCGGATGACGACCCAGAAACGGGATTGGATCAATCCCCCTCAAGTTGTGCCTGATCAAGTTCTCCCACGGTGTGCCCGGTCACTTTTTGTTTGAAACTATTGATTCTCTCGAGCTCGTGTCACCCCCCCGGGAATTTCCTTCGTCGGGCCTAGCAGCACGTTTGGGCTCAATGAAGGAAATTCCCGGGGGAGACTCGGGAAACACCACCACCTAGCGGAAGGCAAAAAAAAAAAAGAAAAACCCCAAAAACAACCCAAAACAAAAAAAAAAAAAAAAAACAAAAAACAACAACAACCAAATGACAAAGAAAAAAAACATATTATCACGGCCCTCGAACATGATATGTGACTGGGCTGGATGTCGGCCTGGGACACACCGAAAATTGCTGGGAGATGGCATCAGGGTCCTCAAAACATGTGTGATCTTGCTGTGTGTCGGCAATCGGCATACCAAATGGGCCGTACGGATTTTCGAACATGATAGATGGCCCTGCTCTGTGCCTGCCACTGGCACAAACAAAACCCTCGGGTGTCAGGGGTTTTCGAACAAGATATGTGATGTTGCCGGGTGCCGGCCGGGTGGAATATAGCGTGCACTGCGGTGTGCTCACTGCATGGGTACGGGAGACGGTTCAGTGGGAAATCCCAAAACAAAACAAAAATCGATTGGTTCTTCAAACATTGCTTTCTTGTCTTGTGTACCCGTACCGAGTAGAAATGATCAAAACTCCGTGTAGTTCAGTTTAGTTCAGTATACGAGTCCGATATGATTAAGCTACGAACGGTGGGGCCGTTAAGGTTTTTGCCCCTTGCTCGGTTGCTTCCCTTGGAATGTTCCCATCTTCGGCTCTCTCGAGTTTCACCATGTCCATCTCGGCAGAGGCACGAGAGAACCACTCTGATCCTCGGTTTCTCTTCAGTCAACCTCGTGCATTACAATGGTTCGAAGATGGGAAGTTAATGCGCCGCCAAGATGGTGAGCGCCAAGCTGGGCGATTCGAGCTGTTTCTCGATCTGCTGTATGTCGCGATCCTGTCCAATTTCGCCGATACCCTGGCCGAAGACATCTCGGGCGCCAAGCTTGTGAAGTATATTGTGAGATCAACACTTCATTAAGTTATTTGCTCTCATTAACGCCATAGCAGCTCATTTTAGCCCCCTCGTGGAACGTATGGAGCGATCTGCGCGAGCTTATGAACTCTTTCTACACGGATGACCTCCTGCAGCGCATCTTGATCTTGTGGGTTATGGTGACATTAGTCGTGTATGGCAACAATGCCCCGTTGGTTGACGAGGATATCGGTGCGATGCGCTCTGCCGTTGGATCTTACATGGTCGCCCGAGTCTCTTGCAACATGGCCCATCTGCTCTACTCTTTTGCTAGCTACCACCACCGCCCACAGCAACGCCTCTGGGTCGCCCTCTCCAGTCTGAGTCTGTGTATCTATATCCCACTTTACTTCGAGTCTGTCTCAATTCGGGGCAAGATCGCAGCCGCCGCTGTTGCCATCGTCGTGGAGATCATGGTTTGGATTCTTTGCTACTCGCCGGCTGCCAAGAAGCTTCTTCGAACCAGATGGTCGACTGCTGTGGATATTGCACACGAGATCGATCGCTTCGCGGCATTTTACATCATTGCCCTGGGCGAATTTCTTTATTTGATTATTGTGGGCTCGTATGCTGCAATCGGACTAAATGAGCGTCTTCTCCGAGCAGTTTGGACACTGATCATCGCCTTCTGTCTGAATTGGCTATATGCACATGCAGACGGTGCATTGGATACCATCCATCCACTACGACACTCTGTTTATACTGCGTTCCCCTGGGCATTGATCCACCTGCCTCTCATTGCCAGTCTGCTGGCAGGCGGTCATGTTGCAGCGCAATCCGTCTCCGAGAAGGAGTTTGAAGATCCGCAGCGGTGGCTCCTGTGCGGTGGATTGGGGACAGGAATGCTGTTCTTGTATATCTACGCCCTGCTCCATAAGTCCAATGATGATCCAGGGACTCTTGTTTTGGACAAGGTAAACTATCCAATCCAACAATTCTATCCACTTCATTCGCTAACACAGTTCCAGCCTTTTCGCCTCATCATGCGCCTTGCCGTCGGAATCATTACCATCCTGTTGCCCCTGGCACACCATCTCGATGCGACCTCGGTTCTGTCAATCATCATGGCACTTTTCGTGTTCACCTTGATATGGGAGACCGTCACTTCTCTCAAGAAAGGGGCATGCTTCTGGGAAAACTGGGCAGACACGGATTATCCCACAGAGCCCACAGAGTCTGCGAAATCCGAGAGCACTGCTTGAGGCCATGCAAAAGTCACAGGCTATTCCATACCAGCTCCCCATTCTCATAAGACATACTGAGAACCAAGGAGAGTTCAGCGTCGGATGGTGCTCGGTCGAGATACGCGCTTTTCTCGATTGACGAGCGGATCAAATTACTCAGTGCGATCGACCGGTGCCATGTATGCCTCTTCCCTTCGTCGGATGGCCTGTCACCCTCTATCTATATCCAATATTGATCCGTTACTCTGTCACCTTATTATTGATCAGGCAAGATCCTTCCAAGGTTGGCTCTACTACCTTTGGACGAACGCTATGTCTGTGTTATAAGCTTTATATCCACGCCGAGCATTTACTAACTTAATGCTAATGTTTAATGACTTAGCCAGAGAACCCGAGAATTGAAATGTTTTATGAAATTCATTGATTTGAAAATGTTCGTCGCATGGTATCTGTCTAGTATGAACGAAAATCGTGAGCGATTTCGGATGCAAGTTATGTTTGATCTAACCAAATGAAATGCTAATATCATCAATCCAAAATCTAGACCATGGATTGCTCAACCTTCATGTCGCTAGCCTGGGTATCAGACCGATCCATAGTGTTGTAGCGGCTGAAGTCTCTCAGTCCGCGACGCTCACCACCGGGCTGCTCACCCTTTGCCGCATCCTTGCGCGCCTGGCGACGGAAGTAGACACGCTTGCACCACTTCCAGCTCTCAATACCAAGGAAGAACAGCACTGTCTCGACAAAGACAATACCCCATTCCCATGATATGCTGCTGTGCTTGAACACACTGTGGTTGATGACTGGGATGTAGAGGATGGGGAAGGCGAGCACGAAGCCAGTCATGATTCCGAAGAAGAGGAACTTGTTGCGCCAGATGTCGTGCATCCACTGGGTGAATCGGCGCTTGGAGTCGGGTTGCATCTGGAAGAAGCTGCGGCGCAGGTTCATCATCTCCCAGGCGAGGAAGAGGGCGAACCAGGTCATGCAGGTGAAGGTTGTGGCGCGGGCGCGGAACACGGTGTCACAAGTATATGGCTTGGTCGGGTCGTTGTATTGGGTGTTGCAGCCTGTCGCAAGGTTTCCATCGCCCCAGCGGAACATTACGAGGGCGAATGCAGACAAACACAGGGCAGCCATCCAGACACCATACACGAGGGTGTCGATGATGATCTCCCAGGTGAAAATACCTTGCTTCTGTGAGGCTGTTAGTATGGTTTCTATGCTTAAGGGGATCGGATACACATACGCTTTGGGGTGGGCGGTCCATGACCTCAGGGGCAGCGATCTCCATTCCGAGTCCCATGTCAGGGAGACCGGAGGTAATCATGATGATCCAGATGATTTCAACAGGAGCAATTGGGAAGACAGATTGGTTGCTGTCATCCTTGAAAGCAAGACCAATAAGCAGGGTCAAGGCCAAAGCAACGTTCTCGGCAAGAAGATGCAGAACGAACTTCTGGATATTGTCGAAAATGCGACGACCTTCTTCAATACCGTTGATGATAGATGCGAAGTTATCGTCAGACAGGACCAGCTCGGAGGCATCCTTGGCCACATCAGAGCCGTTCTGACCCATGGCAATACCAACATCGGCACGCTTGAGTGATGGAGAATCGTTGACTCCGTCACCAGTCATGGCGACAAAGCGACCGCGGCGATGCAGGGCATCAATCATGCGAACCTTGGTGTTTGGTGCACAGCGAGCGATGACCAATGGGAGGGTGGGCAGGCTGTCGATCTCATCCTCGGTCAACTTGTCAAACTCAGAAGCTGTCATGACCATGGCGTCAGCGACGTCCTTGGCGATCATGTCCATGTTCGCGGGAATAATTCCAACTTGCGCGGCGATGGCACGCGCAGTTCCAGGGTGGTCACCGGTGACCATGTGAACGGAGATACCAGCCTTGTAACATTGGGCAATAGCACCTGCTGTCTCGGGCCGAGGGGGATCATAGAGACCGATCAATCCATAGAACGACAAGTCCTTCTCAACCTCCTCTCGTGGCAAAGGATCGCCGCCTTCTTTGGCGGGTGAGGTATTTTCCCGACCAGCAAGAGCGAGCACTCGAAGTCCTTCTTTGGCCAAAGCCTCCATGTTGTTCAGAATCTCATCTTTAATATCATCGTCAATGGGAACTGGCTCGGCATCTGGCTTCCACTTGATCGTGGTACAAGCCTCCAAAACGCGCTCGACAGCGCCCTTTGTGAAGATCATCTCGCGCTTCTTCTCCGAGTTCTCCTGACGCTTAGCAAAAATGACAGACATTTTCTTGACACTGGAATCAAAGGGGTATTCCGCCTTCTGGGCCCAGGTTGGCTTTTCACCTTTGGTCCAACGGTCCAGGCCCCAGTCAAATCGAGATGCAAAGACCTGGATCGCGATATCGGTCGGCTCACCGCGAGCTTGCCATCCGTCGTTGGCAGTCTCATGAATGTGAGCCAAATTGGCCATCGAGGCGACATCAAGATAGTCCTTGAGAGTATCGTTGTCTTTCAGGAGATCCTCCGCCGTGGCAACTTCGCCGAGGTTGTCTTGTCCCACCTGAATGGGAGGCTCGGGTACGAGGCTTAGATCACCGTCACGGGGATTGAGGGGTTCATTGGAAGCGCCGACTGAGTAAGTTCCCAGTGATGGAATCCATGCTCGTTTAGCGACCATGCGGCCTTGCGTGAGGGTACCAGTCTTGTCGGAACAAATGTTGGTGACAGCACCAAGGGCTTCCAAAGAGTCGAGCTTGCGAACGATGACGTTTCGTTGAACCATTTGTTTCGTTCCAACAGCCATCGTGATGGTCAGAACAACAACCAGACAGGCTGGGATCATGGCCAAACCAGTGGCGACCGCATAAATAATGACTTCACTGTCGCCGCGCCAGTTGTTGGATCCTGCGACAACAATTGCAAAGATAACCGCAATGGCAAACAGGAGAAGAGCGAGTTTGGACAGCTTACGCTGCAGCGGTGTTCCAACATTGGTACCCAAGAACCGGCCGATGGCATCGGTAGTTGTCAAAGTCCAAGCCTGGACGTACCATCGCTTCTTGGTTTCGCCTTCGGGTCCGCGCTTGACGGGCCGACGCTTGGAGTCTGTTCCACGGAGGGCCTGTGCGATGGCTCCAATTTCAGTTCGCATTCCAGTTCCCACCACAACACCGCGGGCACGTCCTCGGGTAACGGTGGAAGAGCTGTAGGCAATGTTCAGTCTGTCTCCTGGACCGGTGTCGACGTCGAAGATGCTCTCGGCTTCCTTTTGGACTGGCAAGGATTCGCCTGTCAACAGGGCTTCGTCGGTTTCGAAGTTGAATGCTTCAACCAATCTGCAAAATCGTTAGCTCTGTTGTCACATAAATCACCTGGGCATGTTGAAGACGAACCGGACATCAGCGGGGACAGTATCTCCGACTTTCAATTCGACCATGTCGCCGGGAACGATCTCATTTGCTGCGACGGTCGCAGTCTTTCCATCACGGGAGACCACACCTGTTGGAGAACTAAGCGACCGCAAAGAATCCATGGTCTTCTCGGCCGCATAGTCTTGGTATACTCCGACCACAATGTTCAGTGCGATGACGGCAGCAATGAAACCACCTTCGATCCACGATTGGATACCGAAACTGACGGCCATAGCAATGATCAAAACCTAATATCGTTAGTCATGTCCCATGCCGCTTGATTTGGCTATCGACTTACCAGCATCATGGCATTGGCTATCTGTCGGATGACGATCTTAGCGAGGGAGACACCTTCATCTCCCTCAAGCATGTTCTCGCCATACTTCTCCAGCCGCTGCTTGACTTCCGCAGAAGTCAGCCCATCATCAGAGTTGGTTCCAAGTTCCGCAATGGTATCTTCAAACGAGAGACTGTGGGCGGGCTGGGAGAGGGGTTGTTGGGTGTTGTCGGCAGGAGAGCCTTTCTCTCTTTCCTGCGACATATCGCAAAAGGGTGTTTGCTCTAGTTGGTTTGGGGGTTATTGACTGATGTACTTCCTATGAGGCTCTTAAGGGGGCGTCATATAGAAGGTATCCGTGAGAGAATGTGAGTCCATACACTGAGCAGAATTACCTAAGTATTTCTTTGTACAGTTTTAACTTCGAGCTTCGGCTACTCTGATGGGGGATGTCTTAGACTATAAATAATGTCACATTCAATTTCGATGGCGAAAACGCGACCGGGTATTCACTCCGGAAGTAGTTCGGTTGGAATCGCCCAGGGTAGTGAAGTCTGGGGAACCAACATAGTCATGATTTCATCACCAATCAGAGACGGGCAACTTGCTATCGGTAGTGGGCGGACTGTTCTTGGCGCATTAATCTTACTTTTTATCCGTTTGGCGATGACGCAAACGACTCTCGGCGATGTCTCGGCGGCGGCCACGCGACAAGTAGCGGGATTTGATTGGTGCGGGGGACTCTTGGCACGATAGGTCGCCTCTCAGTTTCTGGTTGATTCGTTTGTAACGCTTGGCGTCTTGGCTCTTGGCTCTTGGGATTCCTTGGCACGCCGAGGTCTGAGAACCCCTCCGCTTCAAATCCGCTCACTTTTTCTCCGGAATTGAGGAAAAGGTGCGGCGAATTGATTTTAGATTTCTGCCTCAAGAAATGGGCAGATCTATTGGGGACACAGTGCCTGAATACGCATTTGCCATTGTTGACCTTGTTGACCCGAGTGATCCGATTCAGGTTGCACCATCCTACCTCGTCAACTCTCATTGGACACTCTGAAGCTCATTGGCCGATACTTCAATCCTCCTGTATCTTTTTTTTTTTTTTTTTTGGACAAATTCATCTCGTATCCATATGCTTGGACCCAGTGTCCATGCCCCGCCACTCATGGACGACGATTCAATGCCGCGAGGAGAGATAATTGGGGTTGTGATTGGGGCCGTTGCCCTGTTTTCGCTGATCAGCGTGATTCCGGTGTGAGTAACTGCACGGACGTGGCTTGGCCCCCGCTTCATGCATGCGAAATGTTCTCGAAGTTCTGACGTGCTGATCAATGATTCACTGTTCCTCTAGTACCATCATGTGGTATCATCGACGTCGTGCAGCAGCGCACGCAATGAGTGAGACCCAGGTGGTTCCGCCCATCTATCAGGTACCGATGCAGAATGTCCTGGGCCAACCTGTCTCCGTCGACCGCTGGTTGGAAGAGCAAAACGTTCCGGCCCATGCCCAGCAATATGGCCAAGATACTTGGTGAGTCCCATGTCTCTCGTTCCACCGGTCTCCGATTCCGGCCCCCATCTTTCGTCTCTTGGCGTGGCTGGATGATGTATTGCGGGGACACTAGGGCTGGGCTATGGCCCTTCCGCCCTATGGGGATCGGCGACATCTTGTCCACACGGCTCGAGCCTCTGGGCATCGCAGTCTCGCCCGCCTTCTCCATTGCCAATAATTCTTGTTCCTGGCAAGCGAAAGATAACGCGAAGACGCCGACCCGGACCTTCCTTCTAGAATGATTATACTGACAAATCAATTCTCCTAGTTCAATCTGCCTCTGTCCCCTGGCGTCATCCCCATACCTCACCTGTCCCGACCCTGCCGTTCTAGCCCACGCGCATAATCACCCACCCTGCACATGCGGGGCACACCATGCTCCACCAGAGCAGGTCCTTGTCCTCAATCGCTGCAAGCACGCCTTTCATCTCGAGTGCCTCAAGTCTTGGTTCGAGTACCGTCGGTACAAGTGCCCGATCTGCCAAGCTTCGTATTCGCCAGACGAGGCACGAGGATAATTTCCGGAACCTACAACCAATTACTCTTGGCTTCATATTGTCTTGGGGCTTGCTATTTGTGTTCCTATCGGTTCCTCGATCTCTGTGGGTCGGTCACCTGCTTCACTATCGGCGTTTGATCATCCTGGTTCATTTTCATGCTCTCTCATAGCCTTGCTTTTTAAGATATCCAATTCTACACGAACTGCGTTTACTTTGCATTTGCATTTCCATCTGCGTAAACGCATGCAACTCCCTATGAGCTCAGGTCTTGGCTCTCATCGAGACAATTCACGCGAGTATGCATGCGCCATGAATTCTACCTGAACTAAACAAGTTGGCATTTCTTTGGGCCGATCGATCGAGTGAGTATGAGACATGGGGTAGAATTGGAATTGAGTTGAACAACAATACGCCTCACCTTCTCTATATGGAAACTACTTCCCTTCCCAAGAAGGCCCGTGAACCTACTTCGAACCAAACCAATCAACTCACAAATAATCCGATTTCAAGAGCCGAACTATTGCCATGGTGTCTCCGTGCTTTTCATCGCCGTCCACGAGCATCACGGGCATTGGTGTGCTCTTGTCTAGATCATTCTCCAGATCCGACCGCATGTTCCGATTATGCACACAGAATCGTGTCTGAAACACTTCCGAGAGAAGTATCAAATTCCACTTCAGAAAATCCTCATGAGATGGACATTGGCGCTCAGTCGGGATCTAAAGAAACAAACAACCCCATGCAGATTGAGTCTTATCATAGCCAACGATGCAACTCCTATTAGAAACCAGACCCAGGTATCGAACGTACATCCTGCGTTCTGGCGGTTACAAAGTCAGAGTTCGTTGCTCCCAGGACTGGGTCATCTTCACGTCGAGATCTTCTCGGTGACAAGCTGAGTGGCCAGATCTCTCACTTTAGTTTTCGTGTCATCTAGATTTCTTTTGATCCACTCGTCATCGAGGTCCATTCCGTCGACTAGTTGCTCCACGGCTATGCGAGCCATGACGTCCCCCGACTCGAAGAACCTCAAACAGAGTCCAGTGAAAAGATGAGACAGGCGAGGTACAGGAATATCTCGAATCTCGCACTGAGGGACTAAACCCAGTATTTGTGTGCTACAAGCAGTCGATACTCTTTCGTCGCTTAGCACACTACTCTGGCGCAGGGGAGCGATACCAAAATGCGAGTCGGGGAAAATGATTAGACGGAGATCATCATTTGGCGCCTTGAATGCTTGGAACCCTCTTTTGTATTCTGTGAATAGATCGTAGTCCTCCACTTTCACTCGCGTGAACCCAGTGGTCGAGACCACCTTGGATGCAACTTCTGGCAGCGATAGCTCCGGGACACAGATCTCGATATCCTATCAATGGTAAGAACAAGATAGTATTTTGAGGGTAAGGTGATGGCGAAATCTTACATGAACTACTCGAGGTACATTGTAGTAGTTTAAGACAATCTCCCCAACCACACAAACCGGAATATCTGCCTCGTTTAGTGAAAATAAAAGCGGCTTTATGGGGTTGAGAACGTTCATCTCGCTTGGTTTGGCGCCCGGGCTCATGGTTGATGGGGTAAGCATATTGTCTCTCTATTGTTTTGGAGATACTACAGCTGCCCGTAACCCCCTTGGGTGCAGTCTAGGCGCGCTTTAACCCACGGACCCTTTTTCCATCAACACCCATCACTTTGGCATAATGTTTGACAGAGTCCGTTCCATCTTTGAGAACGTGTCCGCCTCTATTCAGGTTCTCTCTGATCTTCATCTCGAACTCAATCAGCAATAGCTCTCATTTGAAATCCCGGTCTGCGCCAAGAACCTGATTCTTGCCGGTGATATTGGGCGCTTGGTGGATTACGACAACTACCTCAAATTCCTACAAAAGCAGACAGATCGACTTGAGCTCGTTTTCCTGGTTCTTGGCAATCATGAGTTTTACAATGATACCCTGATAGCAGGATTACAAAAAGCCCAGCAGCTCGGGCAGGAGCCTTGTTTGAATGGGCGGCTAGTTCTTCGCCACCGGGCCCGCTACGACGTTCCTGGCACCAATGTTACTATACTTGGCTGCACACTCTGGTCTAACGTTTCGGAAGCTGCAAAAGACATTGTCTCTATGAGAATACAAGACTTTGGCAAGATTCAAGATTGGACCGTGAGCGACCATAATGAGACTCATCAGGCGGATCTTAGCTGGCTCTTGGCTGAAATTGAATCCATACGGGATAGCAACAAGACACAGAAAGCCAAGCGGTCTATTTTGGTCGTGACGCATCATGCTCCCTCTCTTAAGGAGACATCCAGTCCGCAGAACACTAAAAACCCTTGGACATCCGCTTTCGCAACTGATGTTCTCTCCCGCATACCAAACTCGAGTGGCATTAAAGCCTGGGTTTTTGGGCATACTCACTACACTACTGATTTCAAACTTGGTGGAATACGAGTTATAGCAAACCAAAGAGGATATGTACTTCCTGGGAGCAATTTGAATGGAAAGAAGGACGGCTTTGACGTCGGCAAATTCATTTCTGTGTGATCATAGCTTACCATTTGTTTGGGTTAAGATCGACATAAATTCTACGATCAATCGAGCGAAACCGCTTTGCTTTTCTCTCATGCAAGCTTTCTTAACGCAGTGCCCTCTGATGTTTGCCATTGATCTCTACATCTTGAATCTCTCCATGGAGTTGGTAGCCCCCGACTCCACCCATTGAAAGGTATCAAAGCCGAAGGGGGCTTTTCGCATACAAACAAACCCAAGAGACAATGTCATATCCGGGGGAAGAAATCCCTTGCGTCAAGGGAGGATCTGTATTTACTTAACTGGTCTTAAGTTATAACAATGGATCTGGAGAACGATATTCATGGGTGATGCTGGGCATGAATAAGCCAATTCGTGTTCAAAGGATCCCGAGGTTTTCAGTCAGGTAAACAACCTTACCATCATGCTTTTAGTCAAACTAAAAACATTACTAGACCTTATCTCAGAAGACCGTTCAATGGCTGGGGAGCAATGGAGCTAGATGGGGTTCAAATGGTATCACGAGGCCCTCAAACATTAGACTCCTGAAAGAGGGGGAGTTACGCATTGCAGCGCAGAATTGAAACATATGATTGGGTGTCGTAAGTTATCGTAATATTGGAATGTGGCAGCTGTGGATGGCGTTGTGTTGCCACTCCGTTCACGGGTACAGTCATCTTCGAAAACACCCACCAGTTCATGATTTATTGGACTTACCTGAACCAACTTGTACAACATTTATTATCCAACCTTGGAAATCATCTCGAACAGATGGAGTAATTTGAGCAGTGTGAAAGTTGGGAAGGGCCGCAAGCCTGATGTTCCCCGCAAATGCGAGCAAGGGTCGTCCCGTGGTTTGGATTGACGTGGGCCAATGGCATCATACGATTATCACCACAACACCCCATTCGAGCAAATGAATTACATCACTACACTGGGGCACTCCAATCGTGGGGTAATATATAAACCATCGTGTGTTCTTTGTCTTCAGCACCTCTCAATCATCTACAAATTACTTCACAATGAACGATTTCAACAATCACAATTCCCAGTGGGTCTCGTTCCACATTCGTGGCCACCTAGACAAGGGCGACGTCTTGGTTCAGAACACTGTCATCGAAGGGTAAATTAGCCTAGTATCGTTGTTACTATAGCTCCTGTACTAATGTGCAACAGCGGTGAGTTCTACGACGTCAATGACCGCCGCAAGTCCCTCACAGAGGAGGAGATCGACGAAATCGTGATCGCACCCAACGGTGTTGGCGAGATCGGTGCCCAGAGCCGCCGGGGCAGTGAGGGTCGTCTTGACTTATTTCATGATAATGCCAAAATCTGTGAGCTCCATTGGGAGAACAGAGGAGGAAAATACGTCAACTTGGTTGAGACGTTGGACAGTAGTGACAAGTATAGAATCGAGCATGGGGGATGGAGCGCAGAGGAAGGACCTCTCGGACACGTGTTTGTGGACATCTTGCCAAAGAAGAAGTAGTGCTTTGCAGCTACGGCAAGGTGGGAATGAAGAAGTCTCACGCTTCCTCTCATTCTTCGCGTCAATACGCCGCGTCAACCCGAGAGCTTTCCTCTTTCAGTCTGTTTTCGATCAACCCTGTCACTACAAACCACTCAAATCAATGGGCTTCAGAACCCAATTTTCAAATCCAGTCTATGTCTCTTATCTAGCTGTAACCTTCAAGGATTGACGAGGGATTCTAAATATATCAAGGTTGTTTTTATATATTCCCGAGGTCTAGCTTGGCGATGGGTTTCGACCGAGATCTCCAAACCCCGCAAGCCCTTATAGATTTAAATAATTTCTCTCCTTCTTTACATGATTCAAGGGCAAATATATTTGACTGTTGAATTGATTCGTCCCCTTCGAGTGCACTAACATCGAGCGCTACCTTTATGCAAGATTTATGTTTTGGAGATACCAATGCTAGGTTGAGCCCGTGCCCAACCCTGGAATGTAATTGTTTATTTCAAACTCCTCGTCTCCCAGTGAACTCAAACCTGCGGCCTATCCGTTCTCACCGTTCCTTTCACCTTTACAGTCTCTGTTTCGCCCTCGCCCTTTTTGCTCTTCCCTGGCTCATTGACGTATGGGTTCATGGCATCTCCATTTGACCATCCTTCCTGTTTGTATGACATGCTTCCAGGGCCGCTGGGTGTACCCATCCCACGAGGCTATGCAAATGTTAGCAAACATGTACCAGCACTGGGCAGAAGTGATAAAAGGGATTCCAACCTCGTCATGAGCAAAAGCCGAGGTACCAGTCTGCTTCTGAGCTGGGCTTCCATTGCCATTGTTACCCTCTGCACTCTGCTGGTACTCTTGATTTGCCCCGCGGGGATTGGTCGTCGGTGTAGTGTCTCTCTGCCACATATAGAAAGTAATTGGGATACCAAGGCCAATTGATGCTATCAGCCTAGGGGGAATCATATGTATGTTAGCATTAGATCTTCATTCTCGACGCAAAGTCCGAGGTCTGCTTCAGAAGGAAGAGCATTACCATCTGGGGGTGGCCTGCTGGCTGCTTGGTCCAGCAGTGGCAAATGATCTGTGGCCGTGGTTTGCACGTATTCCATGAGGAATCTCCCTTGTGGTCTTGCGTACAAACGTGGATAACATGGTCGGTCGAACGTAAACCATTCTGGTGTGAGAAAGATGTAATGAAATGGAAAAGAGATTGACTGTGGTCTGCATGGCAATATAAGCTATATGAAGCTTATGTGGGGCTTCATCGTTACATCATGTTGGTCTCGATCTTGTTTCCAAACAGAAAACTGTACCATGCATACCGTCTACTGTACCAAACTTGATTCTGCATTTTTCAATGACGCATAACCATGCTCTGCGCCAATATGATGTGCAATTAGTATTTCAACTGTGTATAACTGGCCGGTGGTTGGCGGAATCTTTATCGGAAGCGGTATACGGTAATTATGACGGGCTCCGGGGAGACAGCTCGGATCCGTAGACCTCTGAACAAAATTGGGTGAAATTGATATTTGAACAACGGAGTTTTTAACGAGCTCTTGATTCAAAGATGATCATTTCATCAATAAGTAAATCCAAATCAGTAGCTCGAGTCAATCCAATCACCATAATCACTTCCGAGAACAGTCTTCTTGGTAACACCAGCCGAGATAGAGGTCTCATACTCGCGCTTTGAGGTACTCGATCCATCCCCAGAGTTATTGTACTCATAATAGAATGGTGTAGCCCCATCTGCCATCGTGGTCCAGCCCTTGGCATTGATGAGACTGCCCAACTTGGAGTTCTGGTAGATCACGCGAGACAGAACGCGCCACGGGCGACCGAGATAAACAGCTCCATCAATGCTGGTGCCTGAAGCGGCCTTGACGTTGCAGTGATCGATCGCGTACCATGCTGAATCAGTGCTTGTCTCACGCGAGTTGGCGGTGATAGCTCCAGGGCCGTTGGATACGATGTCACATTCGCCGAACCATGCCGAGGCATCGCCGAAGATGTAGTCAACAGCTCCTGAGTAAGGTCAGTACCTCAATTTCAACTATTTGGGAGAGATTAACGTACCCTCGATCATGCAGTTGGAGTAGTACTGAGTTCCTGCCTTGGCGTATAAAGTATCTTGGTATCCCGAGAACTGGCATCCATAGAAGCCAAGCTTGTCGGCATTTCCGACAAGTCTAGTATTGTCAGCCATCTGATCTTACAGATGATGAATCGGATTACTCACGCAACAGCCTGTACGCCCTTTCCATAGCCGTTCACAACATTGATGTTGTACATCTTGAAGCCATCAGCGACAACATTAACAGTGGCGCTCTTGTCCAGGGATCCAGCCTCGGGCGAAGAAATCGTATGGGTGATCGTAACAGTGTTATCCTTGTAGGAGCCCGTATCGGCTGTTTGACCATAGATCGTCAGAGCGCCCGCGTAGTTGACGGTGATTTGCTCTTTGTAGGTGCCACTCGCGACATAGATGCAAGCTGCATCTGACGAAGAACCGAGCGCAGTCAAGGCAGCGCCAATGGTGGTGTATTTTCCACTTGTCCCGACAGTCAAACAACCGGATGGTGCGCTGGGTCTGCTTGTTCGGCGAACAAGCTCGGTGGGTGCGCCAAGCACACCCGCGCCGAGGAGTAGGGCTGAGAGCAGCGATTGGCAGATATGCATTTAGGAAAGATTTGCGTGGTGATGATCAACGGGAGATGTGCGGTTCCAAACTGTCATTATTATATGCAAGACTTCGTTCTTCTTTCAGAAAGGAGCTCCTGAATTCACCTGTCATTGCGGCCGTGTTTCAAGGGTCGATTTCCACCACCCCACATGCCCGGAGCTATAGTTGAGACGGATTCCCCACTCCGACATAGAGTATTTCCATAAATAATAGCATTGGATATCATGTTGTGGCAGATTGATTTAGGCCGATCCTTCCACTCAAGCTTGATTGGCCCATTGTGGACATCTGGGGCTTGTTTCGCAGTGCTCCGGCGGACTTAGACGGGATATTCCCTAGCGCAGGTGCACCGGATCTCTAGCCCCTGAAGAATCCACCACGCGTCTTGGGAACGGCAAACTATTGATTCATTGCAACATTAGACTTTTCATACAATCTGCAAAAAAAATGCACAAATCGGTTGTATCCAGAACAGATCATCAGTATGTCAAAATTGTTCCTCGAATGAGGACACGGAGTCAGTGTTTCACATGTGGCTAAAGCTCCGTGACGGTTCGAGTCTGAAACATCGATCCTCAGACCCCTGATAGAAGCTCGATATAAAGGTGGTTGCTGGATGATGCCCGATATTTAGAAAGAAAAGTGCTACAGGAGTCATCATGTCGTTGAAATCATCTCTCGCCGTACTTGCGCTCTTCGCGTCGGCGCTAGCGCTGCCGGAATCAACAAAATCACTCAATGCTCGCGCTGCAACCTGCACGCCGAAGGCAGGCGGGTCATCCTCGACAGATGATATACCGGCTATCACGTCGGCTATCGCGTCATGCGGTAATGGGGGCACGATTGTCATACCGGCTGGGACAACGTACTATCTCAACAGCGTGCTTGACTTTGCTGGCTGTGCTGGCTGTGACTTCCAAGTCGAGGGGCTCCTAAAGTTTAGTTCGTCGACAGATTACTGGGAAGGACGTACGGCAATGATCAACATCAAGAACATCGATGGCATCAAAATCCGATCATTGACGGGCAAAGGAGTCATTGATGGCAATGGACAGAACGCGTATGTTTTGCCTTCTTCCTCCCTTCACTTCTCAATGCACTAACAACATGAACAGGTGGGACCTTCTCGCCAAGGATTCCAGCTATGCCCGGCCAACACTCCTCTACATCACTGGAGGCTCGGATATCCAGATCTCGAACCTGCGTCAAAAGAACCCACCGAATGTCTTCAACTCCGTCAAAGGAGACAGCAAGAAAGTGGTCTTCAGTGACCTCAAAATGGATGCCACTTCAAAGAGTGACAATGAGCCTAAGAACACCGACGGCTTCGACATTGGCGCCAGCACAGATGTGACTATCAAGAATGTCAATGTGAGCAATGATGACGACTGCGTCGCCTTCAAGCCAGGAGCGAATGGTATCACGGTCACGGATATTACCTGCATCGGAAGTCATGGCTTGTCTGTTGGGTCTTTGGGTAAAAGCTCCGATGATTTCGTAAAGAACGTGTACGTCTCCGGAGCGACGATGATCAACTCAACCAAAGCTGCTGGGATCAAGACGTATCCTTCGGGCGGATCGCATGGTGTATCGACCGTGAGCAATGTCACTTTCACAGACGTTGTGGTCGATGGATGTGACTATGCAATTCAAATCCAGAGTTGTTATGGAGAGGATAGCGAGTATTGCGCTAAGAACCCTGGCAACTCGGACTTGACGGATATTGTCTTTGATAAATTCAGCGGGAAGACGAGCGGGAAGTATAAAGCAGTCACGGGAAACCTGAACTGTGGATCTAAGGGAACATGTGGTGTTCTCGTTAGTTCCTATACTGTCGAAGCTCTTTCTGGAAAGAGCGAGGTACTCTGTGCCAACACCCCTTCGAGCTTGGGGACTACCTGCACTTCCGGTGCTTCGGGGTAACTAAGCATGAATCAACGGGGGAAGGTGTAAGAACTCTATACAATTTTGCGGTATATAAAATGTGTTCATCATACAGGTAGTAACGCTTTCAAAGCGCACCAGACCAATCATTCGTTTAGTTGGAAGGAGCAATGGTCTTGTCCTTCACGTAGAGGTCGACATACTGGTCGACATCGTAGTTCTCCAGCTGAGCGCGGTCCCAGCCCACCTTCAGCAGCTCATCAACGCGAGCCTGGTCGAAGTGTGCCTCGAGGTGACGCTTGTACTTCGACAGAATCTCGGGCTTAGCCTCCTCGCGACGGAGACGGTGACCCAGAGGAGCCTCAACGGAGATCTCTTCAAGGACAGTGCCGTCGTTCAGGGTGACGGTCAGCGCGTTAGGGATGGTGCGCTTGGTAGGGTCGTGGTAGTCGGTGGTGAACTTGGTGTCCTCAACACAGCGGATGCGCTTGCGGAGATCCTCGAGCAGAGGGGAGGTGGCGGCCTCAGATCCGTCGGCGTAGTCGGCAGCAGTGAGGCGACCGAAGACAAGCATGGTGGCAACCATGTACTACAGGAATCAGCTATGGGCCCAGATTCTCGAATTGCAGATCACTTACCTGAACGCAGTGGTCGCGGTCAGCAAAGTTGTCCATCTCCTTGAACTGCTTGTCAATGATACGGATGCATGCTTCGTGTGTGCGGTTGGTGATCTCCTTGATGTCCTTGGCACTCTTGCCCATAGAAGCAAGCTTGGCGTTGACCTTCTCAGCTGCCTCGATGGCAGTCTGGGAGTGGAACTCGGCTATTTCAATTTATTAGCTTATTAGCTTTATCATCAGTAGTCAATTCACTTACCAGGGTAGGAGACCTTGAACAGAACGTTCTCCATGACGTAACTGCCGTAGGGGCGCTGGAACTGGAACTTCTTGCCCTTGAACAGGACATCGTAGAATCCCCAGGTGGGAGCAGTGAGAACGGAGCGGAGACCACCCTCGCCCTTCTGGACCTTCAGGACTAGGTTCACGGCGCGCTGGCAAGCATCACCGGCGGCCCAGGACTTGCGGGACATGGTGTTGGGGGAGTGACGGTAGGTACGGAGAGACTGGCCGTCAACCCAAGCTTGGGTAATAGCATCGGCCGTCTGTTGCTCGGTAAGATCCAACATCTTGGAGACGACAGCGGCGGTCGCAACCTTGACCAAAACGACGTGGTCCAGGCCGACCTTGTTGTAGGAGTTCTCAAGGGCCAAGACACCCTGAATCTCGTGAGCCTTGATCATGGCCTCCAAGACATCACGGATCTTCAGGATCTTGCCATTTCCAAGGTTTCCACCAGCACGGTTGGTGCGCGAGATCCAATCAGCTACGGCCAGAATACCGCCGAGGTTATCGGAGGGGTGACCCCACTCAGCAGCCAACCAGCAGTCGTTGTAATCGAGCCAGCGGATCATAGCACCAATGTTGAAAGCTCCATTGACGGGGTCTAGCTGGTAAGGAGTACCGAAGACGCGAGTACCGTTGGGGACAACAGTTCCGTCAACAACGGGACCTAGGAGCTTGGCGCACTCCTTGAACTTCAGGGCCTCCAGACCGCAGCCCAGAGTGTCCAGGAAAACCAGACGAGCTGTGTCGAACTATTGAAATTTTGGAGTTAGAGACGAAGCTCCGTCCAACCGAGCGGAGCTACTTACCGCCAAGTCGGAATCCACTTTGTAGCCGTGGATATAGCTGGCCATATCTTGAATTTCGGTGTCATACGGCTTGTCGGAGGGAACTGCCGGGGCAGCAGATTGACGGGCGGCCATGGTTGAGAAGCGTGAAGCACGAGCGGGAATTCGAGGGGCGATGTTGATGGAAGAAGCCAAAGTGGGCAGTCTGGAGATGCGGGCCAAAGTGCGGGGAGATGAGTGGGTCAGGCGTCTGACTGCGGGCAGGGACATTGTCAAGAAATGCGAGAAGGATCAATGTCAAGATCCAAAGATGATAAAAGGAGAAGAGTTGCGAGAGAAGCAAAAAACAAAGAGATTTAAGGAAGAATGTTGGGGAAAGGGAGAAAAAGTACGGGGGAAAGCTTGCAGGCTGACTTCATCCTGCCGAGGGCCCCGGTTACTGTCGGGTAAGGGGGGAGTTTCACCACACTCTTCTTCCTCATGTACGGAGTACAACTGCAAGTCCATGACTATTGGTCAATGGCATTCGCTTTTCTCAATTTGACTCGAATTCACCTACTGCATCTTCACTTCTGAGCCGAATATCGGACATAAGACTCCCCAACCGCCCCATCTGCACCCCCAACACATCCGACACAAAGTAATTATTTGTGTACAGATCGCTTGCAATCTAGCGAAAATCGGATCATCTACAGCTTTTATGTCTGAAGCAAAAGGAATTTTATTGACGATCTTCGCAATTGAACTGTGCTCACTTCCCCGTCACACTGTCTGAGCCCGAGACTGATCTGCGCTCACATGGGGATCTGCATCCCCCAGCCTCCCCTCTCCCTCCCCGGCCCCGGCCGCCACTAACGGAACCTCCCCTCCAGTTCTGCCTGGTCGGTCTCCCGAAGAGACCGCACCACTTCGCCGTAAATGGCCTTGGCGAATAGCGGCGGCACCGCATTCCCGATCTGCTTCCGAGTGTACACCCCGGCGAACTTGTAGTCCAGGGGAAAGGTCTGAAGCACCGCCATCTCCCGTTCGGTGTACGGCCGCTCACCGGAGGGGTGGTAATTGAACTCACCACCTCCGCAAGTGATTGTTTTGGCTAGGCTCTCTGGCGGGAATGATTGTCGGTGGGAAAAACGCCACTGAGTATACGCTCTTTCGAGGTTGTGGTTGGGTGCGTCGTCCGGAATCTGGCTGATGGTGGATGCGATGGTTGCTCTTGGCAGGATATTGGGACCGGGCACGCCATGGGTCAGATCCGCGAAATGGGGTAAAACCTCGCCTGGTCTGTAGTCCTATCAGTTTAGAGACGAGACTAATAAGACTGATTTCTCAACTTACCCCGCAGCAATGATAATCACTCGCTTTCGTTCCTGGGGAACTCCATAATTATCGCAGCCAAGTACTGACCAACGCACAGAGTAGCCTATCTCCACCAGGCTTAAGATGATGCGATTAAAGAATAACGGGAATCGAGTAGGAAGGCCGTTTGTCTCCTCAAGGGTCAAAATCCGGCACTTGGAAACCCGTGCTAGGTCAACCCCGGTAAATACACACGCAGAATTAGCATCGTCATTTGCGCTGTCCACGGTGTGTGCTGGTGACCATGTCTGGCAAGGCGGAGAAGCATGCGCAATATCCACTTTGTGGTCGCGTTTGGTGTTGGTTATGAAGTCGTGGAAGTCAGAACACTCGGTATCAACGTCGCTATGGTTCAGGACATAGGTATCGAGGGCTTTCTGCTCCATGTCATTGGCATAGATAAGCCTCAGCCCAGCCTCCTTGGCACCGCAGGACACACCTCCTCCTCCACAAAAGGTGTCCCCGAATGTGTACGTTCTCTCAGACTCGAGATCGATTATTCTCGTCTTCTGTTCCATCTCTAGAGCTTGTGAAGACTTTTCGGCGGCACCAAACGGCACAGTCTCACCGCGCCATTGCGCTCGAAGCTCGTTGGACCACAATCGGTGACCAGGATCCGCTTCTTTGTATTGAAGCCACTCTATCGCCGTTTGGTCCGCTGTTATGGGAGCACGACCTGGCGCAATGATAACGCCGGCCGATCTCAACGTCAACTTAAGACGACATGTGAAATCTCGAGGGTTGGTTGAGAAATCTGTTCGGAAGTTTGTGAAGCAAATATCGAGAATGCGCTTCACATATCTGGAGCTCATCAGATCTGTGTTCTGGGTGACCCAGATCAGCTCTCTGTTGAACTTTGGCAGGTAACTGTCGCATTTTTTATGAGTGGACCGATATAGCCTTCTGCCAAAGAATCTCAAATCGTCGGAATCTGGCTGGGGAATGATATCGACAATCTTCATGAACGAGTGGTCCTTGAATTCGACGCACATTCCAGCCCGGTAAAAAATTCCCTTGTAGTAGTATTCGGGCAGAGACAGCTCTTTGTCTTGAGTCAAGTCGTGAATTTCCTATTCGAGGGTATTGTCAGCAATTGAGTCGAGAAGCATGGCCTACAGCAAATCCCAAGGCTCCACCTACACGCTCGACAATGACCTCTCCACCCGGGCTATCTGCTGTGTCGACTTGCATGCGGCGCACTGCATTCTGTATCTGGTCTCAGCAATTGCTCGTGGGCGAATATGTGGCCCACGGTCAAGCCTGTTTGATAACTTACCTGCAATGATCTGCGGTTGGATCTGCCGTCTTTCATCACGTCCATGGTCCATTCTGAGAATGTCTGTTTGTCCACGCGGTCAGCGGTTGATTCACACTACATGCCTCATGCTCGAGTCATATGGCTGGCTTACCTGGCCGGCTGCATTGCGCATCTCCATGGCTGGATCCGTCACAGTGGACTCGCAGACTGTCTGGGGAGGTGTCAGTAATTGAATTGAAGTTTCTCGCGATTGATTTGTCTGGCCAAGGTCAATGGTTTGACTGTCGAGATCAACTTCAATGTCGCGATGAGTATGAAGTCCATTGACAGGCGAGTCGGGAATTGACTGTTTTGTGTTGCTGTTAGCAATTGAACCACGATTGAACAACAAGGATCTCAAAGACTCTCAATCTGAGTCTGTAAGAGTTCCTACCTGGAGTTGGGGGCTATTATGAAACAAAGAAGATGGCGAGAAAGCGTTGAGAGAGGAAGTGAAGTTCCGTGAAAAGGTATCGTGGAGCGCGCGAGCGACAGAGTCGTATGTCTCGGCGTTGAGGCATGGTGAATCCTTCGCACTCAGGGACAAATTGCTCATGTCCTGCTCGACGATGTCATCGTCGCCAGTCAAGTCAATTTCCATGCGCACATCCTCGGCCTGGGTACGACTCATCAGCGTCTGACATGGCCCTGACTGCCCATGAGAGCTCAAAGTAAAAGAATCAACCATAATCACATCCCCGTCTGCCAATGACGATCCGCCATCATCATTTAGGGTCATACTATCACGATTGCGGCTTATGAATGCGAATGGACGGGCCGAAAGATGGGATCGATGGTTTCGAGGCGCCATAGGATGGAGAGATGAATGAATGGAAGTCATTCTGAGTGATAATATAAAAGTACTTGAGATTTGAGCTCGATGTCGACGACTGGATGGTAAAGAGAACACCAGCTTTGGTGAAATCTACCTTCGCTCACTGCTTGATCGATAAGCTTTTCGATAAGGAGATTTTCGAGCTTTTGCGTACACCCATAGAGAGACCTACATGTAGGTCTCCTGTCTTATAGTGCGTGGCAATGTTATCGAACTGTTTTGCGCAATTTAGCAACTATAAACGCATACAGTCCTAGAATTTCAGAGAAGCTCCTCCCATTTATTGATTTGTTGAACAAAGCGACAGGGGCATCTCGGATGCGTGATAGTTTAAAAGAGCTACACAAAGCCATGGTCTTCATTGAAGTAGTTATCAAACAATCTCTGGGGTTTGTGATGCAGATATCAAGAGGGAGGAGTATGCTTCCCGTTTTGGAAGTAGGGCTTGGTGTGGAGCCAGAGCCACGCACGGGCCAATAAACGCCCGATTATTCAGGTCTCCAGACTATTCACGTGACAGGCCTCTGACTGGCTCCGGGGTCGGAAGAAAAAAATTTGGTCCACCAAACCAAACCACAGAAACAAAATTCACTATGGAGATTTTCTCTTCTCTGACTTCCTGGGGGTGATTCATTCCTGGCTTTCCTGGTGATGACCATTCTTTGAAACTCCTCTTCCCCCTTTTTTAAACGTGTTTTGGTCTTGGTAAGTTAGTTCTATGTTTCCTATTCATTACCCCCCTTGTCTCTATGATGAATTTCGGTTTTTTTTATAGATGTTAGACTTCCTACACCTGTTGAGGAGAAAACGCCTGGTCTGATTTGAGACACACTGCTACTTTAATCATGTGAATGCAATGGATGACACGAGCGCTAACCGTCTCATTCAATTCAGGACTACCCCACGTCAAGATGTGTGGAATTATTGCGCTGATCCAGGCGAACCCCTCATCTTCGGCTGCCGTGGACCTCCACGAGGCACTCTACCTTCTCCAACGTGAGTTTCGGCCAGAAGATACTCAAATGCGATCGCGAGGCTAAACGCTCTGCATAGATCGTGGTCAGGATGCAGCCGGTATCGCAACATGTGCGTCTGGGGGTCGATTCTACCAGATGAAGGCCAACGGTATGGCTGCCAAGGTCTTCCAGGATGGTGCTAAGGTCACCAACCTCCCTGGATTCATGGGAATTGGTCACCTGCGATACCCGACCGCGGGATCCAGTGCCAATGCCGAAGCTCAGCCGTTCTACGTGAACAGCCCTTACGGTATCTGCTTTGCGCACAACGGTAACCTGATCAACGCTGGAGAGCTTCGGAAGCACTTGGATCTCGAGGCTCACCGTCACATCAACACCGACAGTGACAGTGAGCTCATGCTCAACGTCTTTGCTGATGAACTGAGTGAGACCAAGAAGGCCCGTGTCAACCACGAGGACCTCTTCGCCAGTTTGACCCGCATGTACCAACGCTGCGAGGGTGGCTGGGCTTGTACTGCTATGCTTGCTGGTATGTTCTCGTCGTTTCTTTCGTCCAAAAACAACGCTGACAGATAATTACAGGGTTTGGTATCCTGGGTTTCCGTGACTCATACGGTATCCGACCCCTCATCCTGGGGTCCCGCCAATCCCTTGATGGGCCCGGCATGGACTACATGATGTCTTCCGAGTCTGTGGCTCTGGACCAGCTTGGTTTCACCAACCAGCGTGACATCCAGCCCGGTGAGGCCGTCATCATCGCCAAGGGTGGTGAGCCGGTCTTCCGCCAGGTGGCACCCAAGAAAAACTACGCCCCTGACATCTTTGAGTACGTCTACTTCGCTCGCCCTGACTCCGTCATCGATGGAATCAGTGTGTACCGTAGCCGTCAACGTATGGGTGAACGCCTTGGTGCCCGTGTCCTAGATGTCCTTGGCCCCGAGGTTGTTAAAGACATTGATGTGGTCATTCCCATTCCTGAGACTGCCACCACATCTGCTACCAACGTTGCACAGTACTTGAACAAGCCCTACTGCCACGGTTTCGTCAAGAACCGTTACGTCTTCCGCACATTCATCATGCCGGAACAAAAGACGCGACAGAAGGGTGTCCGTCGTAAGCTCAATGCCATGAAGGCTGAGTTCAAGGACCGCAACGTCCTCCTGGTTGATGACAGTATCGTCCGTGGTACCACCAGTCGTGAGATCGTCAGCATGGCTCGGGAAGCTGGTGCCAAGAAGGTCTACCTCGCCAGTTGTGCCCCTGAGATCACTCACGCCCACATCTACGGTATCGACCTTGCTTCTCCCCAGGAGCTTGTTGCCCACAACCGAGATGCACAGGCCATCGCCAAGCACATCGGCGCAGAGGCCGTTGTCTTCCAAACCCTCGACGACCTCAAGGATTCCTGTGCGGAAGTTGCCCGTGAGAACGGTCAACAAGAACCCAAGGACTTTGAGGTTGGTGTCTTCTGCGGTAGCTACGTTACCCCCGTCTCCGATGGCTACTTCGAGCACCTCGAGGCCGTTCGTGGCGAGGGCCGCAAGGTCAAGGCGCTCGACAAGGCCAAGGAGGCTGTTTCACATGGATTTGCCAACATGACCGATTTCCAGATCGCTGCCAACGGAGTGTCCATGGACACCAATGGCAAAATCATTCCAGCCAACGGAACCAACTCGGTTGCGGCGGCGGCAGCTAAGCGTGCTGGCAACACCGAAGACCACCCCAACCCCAAGGTCGATGACCGCATGGACATCAGCATCCACAACATGGCCGACCATCATGATTCATGATAACGAGTACATGTGAACATTTTCTTTTCTCCGCCGATACGGCAATTTGCATCGGGTGTCTGGGCGTTTTTTTGAATGAGCATAGAGTTACATGCTGAATGGCCGATTGCCATATGATGTTGAAATGCATGAAAATACCAATACCCGGTGTCTCGAGTACTTTTCTCGATCATCTACTGTGAGCTAGATTATCAATGCCACCAAATACATAAAATTTACGAGAACTTGTGCACCTCTGCCAGCGAAAAAAAGCGTGGTGTCACGTGACTCTATGGGCAATGAGCCAGTCACACTCCGCGTCGCTGACCCACCATGCGATCATCGGCGTAAATCAAGTTTAGTCCTCCAGTATCCAGCATCGATCGACCAACTCTACCATCGCTTCTCCACAAATGGCTTTATCTCTTGTCTGAAGTTGATCGTACAATCTGTCTGGTCTGATCATGGCACCCCGCATTACTCGGTCTGCAGCTCGGGCTGCCACTACCTTGGTCCCTGAGGACAATAGCCATCCTACCAAACCAGCATCAAGCCGGGCTAAGGTAGCAAAAAGGTCTCAGCAGAAACAATTCAAATCAACTGCTGTTTCCAATTCTTCTGCCCCTATCACCATCCCCGGAACGACTGTGGTTGATACTCAATCGCTCAATGGTACCAGCGAGGCTATCAAGGAAGAGAAGCCCGTCCTGTTCGATGAGCTTCCCCATAACCTGGGCTCTATAATTAATGTACCAGTTGCAGAATCAAAGCCTACGATCTCCCCTGCTGGATCAGACAAGGAAAACCAATCTGTGGATGAAAAGACCACTGAACTGGCTGCCGATCTTCAAGATACTGTGGACAAGGCAACAACCAAGATTGAAGAAACTCCGGACAAGAAAGCTACTCCTGGCCGAAAGCCCAAAAAGAACACTTATGGCTTGACCCCGGGTTCCTCTCCATTCCCTCACTTTACCCGACCTACCCCCGAGGAGTGTGAAGAGGTCAATCGACTACTTTCTAGTATACATGGAGAAATCATTCCACCCTCAACTATCCCAGAACCGTCTTTGGCAGTCACTGGTTGTGGAGAAGTCCCTTCTGTTCTAGATGCTCTGATCCGCACCCTTCTTAGTGGAGCTACCACTGGCAAGAACTCCGCCATGGCTTTCAACGGACTGGTCAATCGATTCGGCATTCTTTCTGAGGGAATCGGCAAGGGAAGTGTCGACTGGGAAGCCGTACGACAAGCCACCGTCAAAGACGTGTTTGAAGCGATCAAACGTGGCGGTCTAGCAGATATCAAAAGCAAGAATCTCAAAGCGATCCTGGACATTGTCCATGAAGACAATCAGGCACGACGCAATGTTCTATTAGATGCAGACTCCAAGGATCACACAGTCCCCAAGCTGGTACCCGACAAAGCGGAGAGGGACAAGCAATACGAAATCGCCTGCGCGGACCAGAATTTCCTATCTCTCAATCACCTACACAACCTCTCTACAGAGGAAGCTATGACAAATCTCATCAAATACCCCGGCATCGGTCCTAAGACAGCCGCTTGTGTGGTCCTTTTCTGCCTCCAGCGACCCTGCTTCGCCGTTGACACACACATCTTCCGAATTTGCCGCTGGTTAGGATGGCTTCCTACGGGCTCTTCCGAGGTCACTGCATTCAGTCATTTGGAAGTCCGGATTCCAGATAATCTGAAATACTCGCTTCATCAGCTTTTTATCCGGCATGGAAAGAGCTGCCCGCGGTGTCGAGCAATTACTGGCGAATCTAGTGATGGATGGGAGAATGGATGCGTCATTGATCACCTTGTGACCCGCACAGGAAAGCGCAAGGGTAAGGGAACGGCTGCTACTGCCCCCAAGCCCAAAAAGATGGTCAAGAGGAAAGCAGCGAAGATACCGGCCAAGCGCAAGCGAGACAGTAGTGACTCTGAACTGGACACTGAGGAGAGCGAGCTGTCCAGTGTTATGGATATGAGCGACGAATACACCCCTTAATCTTTCCCTGGTGGTCGTGAGGTGACGACGGAGCTCGAACCGATGATTGCATGATCTATGAGACACAAGGAGCTTCGACGTCCCAAATATCTGTATTATATATGATTATTGATATTATTATTGCTGGCAGATTTAGCAGGTCAACAAATTAGCTATCCAATACCAATTACAATTATCTCAAGAGAACCTCAATGAAGTAGTAGCATTAGTTGGAACGATCGATCGGCGGATCTTATACTTCATGTGGAGTGGTTATCGCCTATCGCAAACGCGAAAAACAATCTCTCCGCTGTCCGTGTCCGACTATCTCAACATCAGTCAATTGCGCCAATCCCACGAGTTCCGCCATGGATTGCCTGGCATCGCATATTCCACCATCACTGCGTTCTCTTTTTGAGGCGTATGCGCTTCCCGGTTCGGAGCAGTATGTCCCATACGTCGGTGTTGCGCTGACCTCCCTACTCGCCGTGTACGTGGGGTATCTCTATTACCGGAGCTGGAAGGAGGCTGCAGTCACATTCAATGTGCCTATCCCATCGGAGGTTCGCAAGAGCGGCGCGGGCAAGACCTGGGAGGAGGTTCAGGGGCAACAAAAGATGGTGTTGCAAGATCAAGTTCGGGGGGTGAGTACTTCTTGGCAATGTCTATCCAATGCGCTCCCTGGTGTCCAAAAGCTAACATATGAGGTACACAGAAATGGAACCACCAATTGATTATGAGCTACTGTCCCGCCGATGGTAGAGTGCTTGGAAACGGAACAAAGCCCGCGACTGTCGACGATGTCAACGAGGCGGTTCGGATGGCGGGAGCTGCTCAGCGCGAGTGGGCCAAGTCCACTTTCCCTGAGCGCAGACAGGTTCTCCGAACATTGCTGAAGTATGTGGATCTAGATGGTGTTCCCTGGTTGCGCTATCCCGGGCGCTTCGCTACTATACACGTCCTCTGGAGCCTCCGTTAACATCGCACAGATATGTCCTCGACCACCAAGACGACCTCGTTACCGCATGCTGCCTCGATTCTGGAAAAACAAAAGTGGACGCTTCATTTGGTGAAATTCTTGTCACGGTGGAAAAGCTCAAGTGGACGATTGACCATGGTGAGAAGGCATTGCTGCCAGAGCGACGTCCTACCAACTTCCTCATGATGTACAAGAAGAACATGGTCACATACGAGCCTCTTGGAGTGGTCGGTGCTTGTGTGTCCTGGAATTACCCCCTTCACAACTTCATCGGTCCCGTCATCAGCGCACTCTTCACTGGTAACGCAGTTGTGGTCAAGCCATCCGAGCAAACAGCATGGTGTTCAAAGTTCTTCCTCGAAATGGTCCGCGGTGCACTGTCTAGCTGTGGTCACTCGCCCGATCTAGTTCAAATGCTTGTCTGTCTCCCTGGTGTCGCAGATGCCTTCACCTCGCACCCAGACGTTGCTCATCTGACATTCATCGGATCCCGACCTGTTGCCCACAAGGTGTGTGCATCAGCGGCTAAGGCTCTCATCCCAGTGTGTGTCGAGTTAGGTGGCAAAGACCCAGCCGTTATCCTTGACGACTCCCGCACTCTTCGCAACCTCTCCTCTATTGCCTCTATTCTCATGCGCGGTGTCTTCCAATCAGCTGGTCAAAACTGCATCGGTGTGGAGCGCATCGTCGCTCTTCCAGGTGCTTACCAGCGTCTCATTGAAATTGTCACTCCGCGCATTCAAAAGCTCCGTCTTGGATCCATCCTCCTTGATACCACGACTCCAGACATGGGCGCTATGATCTCTCCTGCCTCCTTTGCTTCTCTCGAAATCCTCATCAATGAAGCCGTAAGCCAAGGAGCCCGTCTGCTCGCTGGCGGCACTCAGCACAAGCACCCAGTCCACGAGCACGGCCACTATTTTGCACCGACCCTACTCGTAGATGTGACCCGCGACATGCGCATCGCTCAAACTGAGCTCTTTGCTCCCGTCTTCCTCCTTATGCGCGCGGAGTCCGTCGCCGATGCAATCGCCATCTCGAACTCGACACCGTACGCCCTGGGCGCAAGTGTCTTTGGTCACAACCAGAGAGATGTGCAGGCTTGCGTCTCTAGCATCTCAGCTGGTATGGTCGCCATTAATGACTTTGGTAGCTACTACGCTGTGCAGCTTCCTTTCGGTGGCGTGCGGGGTTCTGGGTATGGACGATTTGCTGGAGAAGAAGGACTGCGTGGACTGTGCAACACCAAGGCTGTTTGTGCCGATCGCTTCCCCAAGTTGATTGGCACCGCTATCCCACCACGTGTGGACTACCCTATTCAAAAGAAAGAGGGTGCGGCTGGTGCTAAAGATGGTCAGAAAGCTTGGGAGATGTGCAAGGGTGTTGTTGAGACGGGATACCAGTATACCCTAGGTGGGTGGATCGCTGGTCTTCTGCGGTTGTTGAGCAATATGTGATTTCATTGCGTGGCTCATTCATTATGAGGATACCCATTTGGGAAAATCCATTGTATTTCTATTGCATGCTGCCTTGGTTTGAAGTTTGGAATCTCAAATTTTGGTCAATGTACATTCTTCATTCTTCATTCGAATCTATAATCTATGTCACATGTTCTATATGGGTATAATGCTCAAATTAAGCTCTCATGAGATCTTTTGATGCTCATTGATTGAGAGAGGGTTCAGTTTTCTTCATGATCCAGTGTTTCTCACTCTGGAATGGACTTTCTTGGATCCAATTTCCCCATGGCTCACGTTCAGGGCGCAAGACCTTCGCATTGAAGATTTGACCTTCGCTATCTTGCATGTTCAACCCCCCACAAACGAACAATTGGGAGGCAAACCCGTTATCAAGGTCTCTGAGATGCTCAGACAGGAGCATCTGCCAATCTAGCAACCAGTGTGCGAGTCTAACGTTCATCAAATGAGAAGGATTTGGGTCTTTGCTGTAAAGGTTGACATTTTCGACAATCCATTCTGTCATTTCAGATGACTGTGTGGGCACGGACTCAGCGCTGGCGCGTAGCAAAGCCTCAAAGAGGGCCAGGTTATGGCGAGGGTTGTCCCGTCCAGTACGAACCACCGCGAGGAAATGCTCCTGGGGTATCTTGTAAATGATGTCACGTGTGACATTTTGCGGAGAGAAGCGTATGCTGTATTCATCAATTTTGAGAAGGCAACGCAGGGCGCTGAGGTTCTGAGTTCGGATTGCATTTTGGATGCCTTCGTTCACGGCCTTGCGATTGAAGATGGTCTCGGTCGCTTTCCTTGTGCCGTCAGTCCAATTGGACGAGGTCATTCGTAACATCTCCATGAATGCGACATCCTCGGGGAGGAATCCAGTACTGCGGCCCCGGAGAAGATGCTCTGGGAACTCCCGCAGATTGAGTACAGGGAAGTGTATGTCACTGAGCATGCTGGCACAGCGAATATTGGTCGTTTGCATAGGTTCTATCACGAGTTCATATGGATGAGGCCCTGGCTTTGTGGCATTGGGACACATTCTCCTGGATTCTGCACCAAACGGCGTGGACAGCAAGTAATTGAGGAGTTTGAGCATTGGCGGTCCTTGGCCTTTGAACACAGTAGGCGTGTCTATATTGATCTCCCGGGCAAGGAAACGCTCAAGTTTCTGCTGTTGCGCCTTGTCCACTACGACACCAGCATTGATCCATTGTCTGTGTACAGTCAAGATCTGCATTGTCGGGACCTGCTCAAGCACTCTTTCCCTTGTGAGCCATTTGCACTTGAAGACTTTCTTTTGTAGGCGTGTCCTTTCCTCTAGCGAGAGAGGGACGTATTCCAGCGGTCCAACCATCATTTTGTTTATAGCATCGCTCCCGGGGTAGCTGGGCGGGTCGTTCCAGAAGGCGAGAAGAATAAGGGTGCGGTACATGTGCTCGCGCGAGAGGACGCGTGAAAGAAACGGCGAAGCTTGAGGGAGGTTGAGATTCAACGAGTGCAGAAAGATCTGCTCGATCACCTCCGCAGGGAGGGCCTCTAACATTGAAAGCATTCTGATATTTGGTGTGGAAGTATGTGATCGCGACGGTCGAGGGGAGTTCGAGGGACGGTTATATGGACCAGATCTTGAGCGGGAGGAGCTGCTCCGTTGTGGATTCTTGAATGTCCGACCAGGCCGGCGTTTTGCCATGGGAACGGTAGTGGGATTGGAAGATGCGGGCTGCGGAGCAAGCCGCGTCGCAGGCGCGTCATTTGAGTCCATGGGTGAAAGCCCGGCGCGTCGGGAATCCCAAGGTATAAGCAAGGTTTAAAACATTGCTCTCGTTGGTACTGAAGGGCAACTATACAGTGCCAAAGCTCATAGATCAAGAACCACAGAACATCACCTGAGCATGCGTCTCCATGCAGGTGGGCTTTTTTGCCATGTGGAGACTTCCTATTTCGGTTGCAATTGGCCGCCGCTTTATGATATGCATAAAGTCACGTGTTTGTTATCAGATCCTGCGCTAACCCCGATTAGGACGTGTATACATCAATGGTCCATGGAGAGCAAGGAGTACCAAACAAGTCCCCTGCTCGTTATTTGTATCTTATTAGGTCTGTTTGCATTAGAGACGTACTTAAGGGGATCTGCTGCAACATGCCTCACCCAACTGAGGATACAAGCCCCGACTGATATCTTCGTGTTCAACTTCCTATGGACCCAACTCAAGTTTGGCTCACACCCCATACCTCCGGCTCAGATTTGATCTCTCTGATTAGTATCGAGTCAGAACGCCGCCTGGCTTAGCTCCTCTATATTCTTTGAACTTCTCTAGTCATTCAACACCTCTTTTCTCAACTTCGCTACTACACCATCATAAGCAGCACTTCAACAACACCCTCACATGGAGACATTTAGCATGTCATCAAACTCCTCAGACGAAGCCGGGTTGACGCCCGCGAATACCAGTTTACTTGAATCATGCACCAACCCTGAGCTACCGCCGTATCATCCTGCACCTGCCGCAGTCGCTCCTTACAAGGGAGCGACCTTCATCATTCGCGATCCTCAGAGCGGCCTCATTATCGCACTCAAGGATGGCAAGCTGGGCTTGGGCCCTGCGGATAAGGGAAATGCATCCATCGGTTTCGATATCGGGCACGGCAGTCACTGGCGCTGCGTTGAAAACGAGGACCGCTGGCTAGGCTTTAAAAATGCAGCCTCCGGAGAATTCATTGGGCACAACAACAACAAAAAGAAATGGTGCTTCATGGCAAAGGGGGAGGCTCACGGAGATTGGCAGCATTTTTGTGTCCGTCAGCATCCGAGTGGCGGGCAAGAACTGCTTGTGAAGCATTGGGATGGTTTCCGAGCAATGGAAGTGGGCGGCGATGACAACAGAGAGCTGGTGGTTGCCGGTGAAGGACTTGGCGGAATCGCGTGGGAGTTCCTCAGGGTTTATTCCGAGATGTGACCTTGTTGACGCATTATGAGAGACTCACGAACTGGATATTTTCGCTACAAAGTTCCAACCTTGGAAGGTTGATTTCAGTTAGTTTTCTGGTAAACCGGTCTACTTGGGACCCCATTCGGCTGCAAGGACATCACCGGTGTCATTTTGTGGCCAGTATTCCGTACTTTGTTTTGATAATCTCAGGATACGAACGAGATACATACTCAATTTGCAACAGAGCAGGCTGCAATCTTTTGTAACAACAGTCCCCCGGTTTCCCTCATAACGTATTCACCTAAGTAGCTTCCAACCTTGGAAGGTTTTGTTACGACCGAACTGAGGGGTGATAGAACCTTGCTACTGCACTTCTAGCACAAATGAAGCAAACATCTATAGATCGACAAATACACATATTGCTCGTGCATGAATGCTAATCTCGATCTCCACCTGTAGATACTGTTCATAGGGCTGACGTTGGGTGATCAGTTCACCCCGGGTATAATCTATAGCTGTATGTACCCGGAGCACTCCGTAAGATCTTTATTGACTCGACCCTTGGATTTGGATGACATCTGGCTTGACTTTACAGAATTAGCATGTCATTCGTCTTCTCAGAGACCTATAAGTAATGCTTTGGGAGTTTATATATCCTAGGCGATGTCTTAAAGGCATCTTCGAGCTTTCAATGTTGTCTCGTATACGTAGTATAGATTGTCCAGGTACGGAGTATGCTGTAAAGGACAAAGCCAACGGCCGTTCATTGGCGGAAATGCAGCCGACAGAAAACGGCTTGGCGTTAGGGCTTAGCGCGGGAAGGGCTCTGTGGTCACATGATATACCCCGCTCTGGGTCCGGAACGGGCATGGGCTCATATCAAATGACGTCAAAGACAACTTGCAGGTGAAAAAGTAGTTGTCGCAGAATTGGGGGCTTGACACGGGACATTGTTAAGGATTTGCAAAGACGAAATTAGACTTGAGACTTCTTGACCCAGTAAATCTCAACGGCAAATGCCCCACAAGGCAAGAAAAATTCCGTACCTTAATAAGTCGAAAACAAGGAATGAACGGGAACAGCGTCGAGATGACGGAATGATTCCAATCAGGATGAGCACCCCCTGGTACCTCGCCTAGCTATTGGCTCTTAATTAATTTTCAACTGCTGTTCAGCTTCTGAATCTCCTCTCATTCTTCACCAAATTCTGGAATTCTGTCATAGCTCCCCCATCTACGTCACTGGCGTCGGACCCTACCTACGGTCACTGCACCTTGTGATTTCTTGACGCCTGATAAGACAAGCTCAAGTGCATGAACTGTCAATCAATCGCCCTTTTAAGACGCCAGTTACGTATCTTACCTGGTTTGAACAAGAAATATTTGCCTGCTCTGAGCAGATCGTCATTTCACTTCTTTTATTTAAATATCTCCCGTGTCGACCCAGCATTTACAACATGCACCCCTTCAGTGATCCTACTGTTCATACCCACGCTACCTCCAGCTCGGAGTCAACTCTTACATCCAAACCAAAATAATATCAACCTTGATACAACCCAGAGCTATTCAAAATGGGTGCCGTTGTCTCTTGCGTATGTGACACTGCTCTTCTACTCTCGACTCCTACTAACATTCATTTGTTCACAGATCCAAAGCGTCTTCCGCGCTATCGGTAGCTGCCTTATGGCTATCGTCAACGCTATCGGCTCCATCTGCCACGCCATCATCAGCGGTGTTGTCACTGTCATCGACGTGATCATCTCTTGCCTCACCTGCGGCTACTGTGGAAAACGTCGGCGCGGACGTCGATCAGCAGTCTAACACCAAACCCGCCATGATTACACCTGAAGAGCACCAGTCCATGAATGGAAGATAAAAGGATTGGCTTTGGGTTTTACGATTGTTATGCCGGCGCGAATATCTTTCCAACCTTGTTTCTTATACCTGGAGTACATACCCTGAGGCGCAATTGATCTTGAATAATGAATATGAATCAATCATTGGGATCTTAACATACATTTGCATTTAAATCTTGAGTTTGTAGTACAGACATGAAACTAAGGCTTGAGTTGAAAAATTATTTACAAGTGAGGGTCTATCGGGGACATGTATCAGGCTCTATCTCGTAGCGGTGGCGACTCAACATATCGCAAGAGTTCCTGCTTGGCTTCTGTGGGGATATCGTCCCAGCGCTCCTCGAGAATAAAGTTGATAAAGGGATCGCCGGACCCACTCCCATAACGTCTGGCCAAAGAGTAGTGGGCAGGCTGCAGGGGCCACCGCGCAGGGACCCTGCAATTAGCAGAGCGAAAAGGCATGCGTAGCAACCGGCGGAAAGGCTCGATATTGCGTTTCCGGATAAGGCGATGTGTGATGTCGGGCGAGCGCTCTGGGCTGAAATCATCCTCGTCGAGGTAGAAATCCGTAGACAGCAAGTGTAGAAACGAAAACTGCGCGTCTGACCAAGGCAGACGCAAGACTTTATCCGGGATACGACCTGGCTTGATAGCAACTGAGCATGGTAATCGGAAAAGGTCGTTTTCATAGTATATCTCGTTGGGCTCGCGGATCTGAACAGCGCCGAAATGGAACCAAATTGCGACTTTGCGGTCGACGCTCTTGGACGACGGAGTGCGTAAGCTTTCTTCCAGTTGAGCAGGAATCACAATGTCCCCTTTGCCGCGCTTCCCGTCTGGAGCCCAGTCGCAATCCTCCAGGTTCTCAAATCGAGTATCCAAGTTTGACAGCAAAGCTTGGTCCTCCTCGTGAAAGACTAGAGAGGCACATTTGCGCGAGATGGCATGGCTGACATATTCCCGTTGACACCTTCGCATCAATGGAAACGTGCACCAGCGGCACGCTAACAGCGCAGTCTGTAAATGTTGGCGCTCTTCCCAGGACAACGCCCAGAAATCCAGCGGCGGTGGTAAGAAGTCCGGGGTAAAGAATCCCTCCCGCGAGCCGGGGTTGATACTGCTGAACGCAAGGCGAATGAGCCACGTGTATAGCAAAGGTGAAGATAAAGCATGACCAAGACGTGGTGAGGAGCGCGGAAGGTTGACCTCTAAGCTATGAAGGAAGATCAACTGCAAGATTTCGACGGGCAGAGACTCCAGGCGCGAGCACGGCTGGTTGGTCAACAAGTCGGAGAGACCCATTTGCGACAGGCTATCAGAAGCTTATTGTGTGCTTTGCGCAGGTGTCGCCCGGATCAAGATGGCAGAGGAGCTAGCTTTCTCGATCAAGGTTCAGGTTTAGGAAGAGTAGACATGGATCATGTCAATGGAATTGCGCAGGTATTGCAATCTTTGCATACCTTCTTTGCAGCGCCTGACGCAGCAGACTCGTCTCCAGGCTCCAATAAACTGAAGGTACTGGCAAAACAGCGTTCCATTGCTGAGGGAGGGGGAGGGGAAGTGGGTAACTCGAGGTTAGCTGCGTGGCTTGGCATGGCATGTTGGAGCTCCGTGGGCATCGTATCGTCTTCCAATGTTCTACGTGGCTTGATCTTGGTGCGTTGTCTCTCATGCATATTAATGGATCTCTCGCCACTTGATGAATTAGTGTCAATTCACAAAGTACGATTTTTGAGGAACCTTGTTCCCCGGACCCGGTCCACAATATATCCCATCGTCCACGGGTGTCTGGGGCGCTGACTCACGATCAAGAGGGATTTCGCTTGCAGGTCGTCAAGAATTTCAAAACAAAACACTGGAGGTAGCGGATAAACACGCAAAAATTCTATACAAAAGATACATCTTGGAACAATCGGCCTAGTGGAGGGCTATGGGTAGATGTCGCCTGAGCATGGGGCATGTACGAACTAGGACTGGATAAATCCGTAGCTTCGTTGTTTGAGGATCAGTGGAGCTGAGCATCACACAATCTAACGTGGAAGAGCTTGGAAAATAGAGGTAATGGTTGATAGCTGGGAGGTCCATCGCAAATCTCCGTTCGTGCAGTAACCTACAGAGGAAACCACCAACCACTCCGAGGAGCTTGACTGATAGGTCAAGTCCCGTCAACCCCGGAGGAAATGCTCAAAAAAAGAAGACGCTTGGGTTTACATTGAAACAATGATATCGGAATATGGCCTACCAACTACAAGGAACCTTAGAAGCAGATTGGTGAACGCAGAAACGACAATGTATGGTTTCTATACACATCCCAGCCCCGCCACACTATCGGAGGTATCTGATCATACACTGGCTGAACAGCCATATTCTTGGCTCCAAAATTCATGATCACGTAGTGTGATAGAGCGAGGGATAACAAGGCGGATTTGAGGCCACAAGTGTCCACGCTTAAACAGCGGACAGATCGCCGAAGCGCTCCTGGAAAGAGACAAAACATGAGTATCGAGAGGGTGGAAATATACCAGGCGGAACGGTCTGCACATACCTTGTAGCCAGGGGGCATCCACTTGCCCTTGGAGACGAGGGAGGCGGTCTTCTCGTCGATCTCGGGCTGGGCGGAGGCAACCTCGTCCTAAAAACGCATTCATGTAAGTAAACAATCGCACCCTCATTTCCCCGTGCAATGATATACGTACGACAGTGAGATCCTCGAAGGGACGGGCAGTCTCGATGTTCTCGAGGGTCTTCTGCAAGTTCTGCAGCTCGGCCTCGACCTTGCCCTTGGTAGCCTCGGCGTTCTGGACAGCCTGGGACTCGAAGGCATCGATGGCCTTCAGCTGGCGGCTGACATCGTAGGAAGCGGGCTTGAAGGTCTTGAAGTGGTTCTCGATCTCGTCGACGATGGCCTTGTTCTTCAGGATACCGCGGTAGTGGCTGAAGTCAACGGTCTGGGGCTGCTCGGCCAGGACGGTGACCTTGCGGCGAGCCTCGTCGTTGCGCTTCTTGAAGGATTGGAGGGAAGTAGCGGTTTGACCGCGGAGGCCGAGCGAGCTCGAGACCTTGGCCCAGTCGATCTTGGTAGCGGCGCTGCGCTGTTTTCGGGTAAGGGGGTTAGCGGGTGGTTTCCGAGTAGACAGGGTGTTTTCCAATGCGAGGAAAAACAAGAGAACATACAGCAGCCATTGTGACGGGTATGATAGAGGTTGGGGGTGGGGAGGAGAGAGGGGAGTTCGATGTACAGGGAGGTGCCGGACGAGGAGCGACCCGGAAGGTTTGGATTGTTCGGGTCACGTGATGTTCATTCCGAAATCCACCGTTGGCATCTTGATATTGGAGAGGTATACAGTGCAGCACTTCTGTTATCAATTATTTTGCTGAATTAAAGCTAATCGTTACTAGTCAAGCTTTATCTCTCGTCTTTTCTTTCTTTTTTTTTGGCGTAAAAGGATAATTGAGTCAATTGTGGGTTCAACTGCTTTTGTGCTTAATTGTGTACACTATGAGCTATTACCAGACGTATGCCTCTCATAACCCAAGTCTCTGAACCTTATCGGTGAACCAATCACTCATTATATGCTGAGAGCCATGATGGAGTTGACGATATCGTTGTCGTTCTCCCGGAGAGCCTTGACGGCCTTCTTGCGGGAGACGGTTGCTTGTGCCATGACGAGCTCGATATCCTTGGACTCAAGGCCAGACTCGTCAACCTCCTCACCATCATCCTCCTCCTCCTCTTCCTTCTTATCCTCCTCAGGGGCCTTGCCCTTTCCGAGGATCTCCTCCTCGGAGTGGTTGTGGCCGGCGTGGTCACCGGCAGCCTCGGAGGCAGCGAGCTGCTGGGCAGCGGAGGCCTGGGCCTGGGAGTTCAGGTCCTCAATCTTGGCCTCACCGAAGATGCTGCGACAAGTTTAGTAAAGGTTTCGCCATTGAAGCTAAATTGTATTCCTGGGTTTCACATACATCCAGCAGTTGGAGTTGGGGGAACGGTAGACCTCGGGCTGGTTGACAACGAAGAGAACCTTTAAGCTAGAAGTTAGCATTGTCGTTCACAAAATTCCAAATACATCCGACAATCGCCCCCGTTCGCGATCCCGAAGGTATGAATCTGAGATCTGACCATCACATTCGGGCGGGCGGGGTAGAGATTGCCGTGTCGGTCGCATCGCTAACACGTACGTTCTTGGGGCGGCGGAGAGTGACACGGGTGATGCCAGGGACGAGCTTCAGGCCGAGCTTGCCAATGGCCTTGCGGGCCTTCTTCTCACCACGGGAGTGGACAGCGACGGAGGCACCGGCGGGGATGTTGGGCTCATCGCCAGCCTCGGAGCCAGACTCAGAAGAGCTGTCGACGTTCTTAGCGACGTCGTCATCGTGGATTTCTTCAACGCGGGGGTCAGCCATTTTTGCGGTATTGGGATGCCTAAAAGAGGTAAGAAAGTGAATTAGTTGGTTGGTTCGCTATGCCGTCAGGGCTTGAGCGGGCAGCAAAGATTCGGATAAACCCCCACAAAATCACACAACGCCCAAAAAACGGCGGAAATTGATGTCGAAAATGCGAGGATTCGACGAATTCGACATTCCTACGTACCTGAGAGATGAATATCAAGCTGTGGTGGATGGGGATGGATTTTGTTGAGGTCGAAGGTGCGTAGCTGTGCGCAATCCGACCCGAAAATCATTAGGCGAGATCCCCCGGAGCCACACATTGCCCTATCTGGGCATCTAACTACATCACCTATGTAGGAGTCTACTATATTTCTAGCTGATTTGACGCTAGTTATCTTATAGATTCTAGACTCTAGAATCAAAGCGTTTTGGTTTGGTCAGAAATAATACAGCATTATTTACGCATCTGCTCATTCTATTCATTTTTGGTTAGAGCCAGATTTATCCCCGTAGGAACATAAAAAAAATGATGTCCATAGCCCCGGACGGGGGGAGAAAACCAATGACAAAAGGCCCCTTTGCCGGGATATCAAGGATTTTGAATCATTTTTGCTGTTGATTGATAATGCATACAGCGAATTTTGCCAGAGTTATTCCAGCAATGGAAACCCTTCCAGGACACCTCCTTCAACCCATGCACCGAAACCTCATAATCATCTATGCCTTGGTGGCAGCGCGAACCTTGGCGAAAGACTTCTGGACCTCGTAGCGAGCCTGGAGGATGTGTTAGTTATGTGATATTTCCCCATATCTCCCCGGCTTAGACGTGAGTCTGGGCGCATGTACGTGCCCAGACCTTCCGTCTCTTCCGGTTTCCCAAAACGTACCTGCTTGCGGAGGCGCAGAACCTTGAAGCGCTCGAAGTCGGAGAGGTTCTTGCGGCGCTCAGAGCGGTCGGTGCGCTGAGCGAAAGAGCTCTTGGCCCACTTGCCGTCGATCTCGTTCTTAGCCCAGAGCTTCTTGACGGGGCCAGTACCGGCAGCACGGGGAAGCTGGGGGATGGTGAAGTGGGTGAGGGTGGCGGCGGAGAGGGGGAGGACGTGACGGGGCACAATCTTCTTCTCCTCGGTGGAGGGACCGTCGACGAGGACCTGCAAAAAAAATCGCTTGTCAATACATATTGTCCCCGACTCTCAAATCTCCGAATTTCCGATTCATTCATTCGCGATTCCGGGGGGCGATTCCACATACACGGCGGTGGTCCACGATCTCGACGATAGCGGCGAGCTTGCCTTCGAAGGGACCGCTGCGGATCAGCACCACACGGCCAACCTCAACCAGCTTCCAGGAAGCGACCTTGACATCGATATCGGCCATGGCGAAATTCTGGGACAAAAATTCAGCGTCGCGTTTTCGATTGGGATGATGAGAGCACACTCACGGTCGACTTGGGGTATGGAGTCGAAAGGGGTTGTCGAAAGAGTTCAATTGTCGAGAGTTAATCTTGAAATTCGGATGTGCCCACAACTCGCACCGATTCTCGCTTAACGGGCCACTCGCAGTTCTAGGGCTCTGCTGACCTAATCACCCGCAACAACCTTTCTCCGGTCCCGTGCTTTTATCTCGTTTTTTTTCGCCGACAGCTTCTTGTTGATCTCTTCAAGCTCTAAAGCTTGACAGCTTCGACTTTAATGATGAGTCTTGTTTCGTTTTGCTTCAAGTTCTTGCACTTCACAGCATTTTACTAAGGTATGCTCAATTCCGTCACTCTCCCACACCATCCTCATATGATGCGGTAATTTGCGATTGACCTGGTGTCTGTGAGGCCCTCGCCGGGGCTCTCTATACAGCGCTGGCGTGTGATATTCAATTTCTTACATATTCTGATATGGATTGTTATCTTCATTTCATGCTTCCAATGCTTTCCGTGACATTGCGCTGACTTTTGTCAAGATCTAGGACAATCTGACTTGGGCTTCATCCCCTCAACACAACCTTCACAGCCTTTGCATCCACAAATGGTACGTTCACACATGGTCGTCTGGAAACTCCCCGTCCGATGATTAAAAACCTTATCACGCCTAGATAGTAATTGAGCTTCGGTTATGATATTACCATAACTACCAAGATCTCTGAGGACATTACTTTGCAATTCATTGCTTGACATGATTGGTTATGACTATTCGCTAACCTTTCAAAAGAATATAGGAGTTCATTATGGCATCATCGGCTTCAGATAGTTTCAATGGAATATCTTTTACACATTTTCAATCTACATTTCCGTAACAACCAGTAGTACAAGTAACAAGCAAGCTTCACTTCACTTAGAGTCTACAACACCTAGGCCGCGAGAAAAGTGATAAAGTGGTTACAAATGCAAATATTTTGATTACAATAAGTCGTGCTATATCGTTACTTCGGCCATGATGCCCAGAGTTGGGACAATCCATTCGCTTTCACCGATGCATACCTTCCTTCCAAGCTAGCCTGTATCACCCAGTATCCTCCACTTTCCGCATGCTTATATTATGATGAGGCAGAAGCTGCAGATGCCGAGGATGGTCCCTCGCGACTCAGAACCCACATGAAGATGAACTGAACGACGTAAGAGTAGACGAACAAGAACTGGGTGCGGCGGTTGCGCTGCGATCGAGCCACGGGGCGCATCGAGCCAGCATGCATGGCGGAGTCAGCCGAATCAGGCAGCAACACATATTTCAGGGAACGGAGCTATCGTCTAGTTAGTACTCGTGGGGCATCAGAAGGGCAACCATAGCGGTGTGATACATACCAAAAAGAAGGCGTTTGCCATGAAGGTATACGCAAAGACTGTCCAGCCAACCCAGCCGCCGGTTCCCTGGCCAGGGTTCAAGATCTCAGCCGCCACCATGGTGACGATGATTCCTACGAACTTGTAGCCTGAATAAGCCACCAGGTCGAGCAGCTGTGAGTCATTGTTGATGCTCAGAATGTAGGTTGCCAGCTTGAGACAGAGGATCTCAAAGAGAATCACCGCGATGGCTGTGGTGGTGATCGACCCCAAAAGTTCAGGGTGGAAGTTACCCCGGAATCCAGCCAGGAGCACCGACAACAGGATATATGTGACCAAAGCCATGACGGGGATATACATGTCGGGGGAGTTGAGGTCATCGCGCGGAGGGAGGAACATGGACGAGTAGTTTTGTTGGATGATTTGACCGTCCGGTCCGGTCGAGGATGATGCCATCCGGGCTTGCTGTCGAGACCATGGCTTGTGTCGCCAGGGGAAAAGGACGAGCAGTAGCTTGTTCATAACGTAGGAGTTGGAGACGTTGAAATAGTGCTTGAGTGCAGGTATAGAGACATAGCGATTGAACTGAACGGCGTATAAGCATGAGTGATATATCAAATATTAACGATTCCATACATTGGATTCCATGTACTCCTGTCCAGCGGCCATTGCAGTTTTGCCAACCTGGAAGCCCATCTGCGCCGTGGGTTCGTTCATGAACCCGCCGAATCCGGGCCCAGGCGCGTAAGATCCACTACCACCCTGGGCAGGTGATGGCTGATATGGGTTCCCGCCATAGCCAGCGCTTGGTGGCTGTTGAGGAACTGGTGGTGGAGGTGAGCGCATCATCGGGACTGTCGAGACATGTTGCGGGACGGGGTGGTGAAGGGGCGGCGATTGCGCAGGCGGCGGAGCGAACGAGCCGCGATACATGATTGACCTAAATGAAAGAAATGTGATCGGTGAATTTGGGTGGCGAACAAGTGAGCGCGTGACAAGGTAGAAGCGTGGATAGGAAGAGAGAGCGGAGGGCAACTGTTTATACGTGGCTGAAGATCCAATCCGCTTCCGAGCTCCAACCTCGCCCCGTTCCGCCACCAAATCCCACGTCCTTGCCCTGCTCCCACATAAATACGTTCACAGAGATTCTGATTTGTTCTTGGTGTGAACACATTCAATATGCTGGAAGCTTTCGAGATTTTGACCACCTCCGGTGTGGTGCTTTGGTCCAAATCCTACGCCCCAGTAGGCGCACATGTCATCAACGGCCTGATCAACGACGTCTTCATTGAGGAGAAGGTTGTGCCTCAAAATACCACAACGGGAGGAGTGTCGCCAGCATTTAAGAAGGAGAAGTACACGCTGAAGTGGAAGAGAGTGAAGGAATTCGATTTGATCTTCGTGGTGCGTCTGTCGCATGCACATGCGCATGGGTTCGGGGAACTAACTCTGAGTTTATACAGGCCGTCTACCAATCGCTTCTCCACCTCGGCTGGATCGACAAGCTTCTTGAAAACATTTCGACTATCTTCATAGACCTCTACAAAGAGCAGGTGAAGGGAAACCGCGCGCGAATCCAGACCTACCGCTTCGACCCATACTTTGACCAGCAAGTCCGAGAACTAGAAGACGATACTGGTTTCGTAGAGGAGCATGTGCCAGAGGCAAACGAGAAGAAAGACTCGCTTGTATCATCGGATAATGGAGGTCCCCCTCCCCCGCCAGTTCCTGGCCTGGTGAAAGCGCAGCCTAGAGCTGCGCAAGCCGGGGCGACCTCTGACGAGGGTACGCCACCAGCAACACCAGATATTTCTAGAACTTCTACTCCCCAAGGTCACCTTCTTACCGCCAAGGCTGGGCCTGGAGGCCGTGTCTCTCGCCGGGCCCGCAAGGCTGCGAACGCGAGCCCTCACGCATCATCTGGCGATGAGAATACCAGGAAAGGGAAGCCCGCGAAGAGCACCGCGAAGAAGATGCGCAAGTGGGATGCAAGCGGAATGGCAGATGAGGATGACGGGGAGGTTCTCGATTACTCTGCCCCCGCGGATGAGGGAGAGGCTGTTGCTCCGACAGTGGAAGCCGTCTCCGCAGATGATTGGGGTCGCCGGACAGGCAAGGGCCAGTTCGTGTTGAAAGAGCTGGGCGAGGAAGTCCAGTCTATTTTGGAACAAGCAGATGCAGAGAAGTCCAAGGACACCGCTTCATCAGGTGTCGTTGGCTCTGGGTTCAATGCAATTGGCGGCTTCTTCCGCAACATCGTTGGTGGAAAGGTTCTGACAGAGGCTGATCTCGAAAAGCCGTTGAAGGCAATGGAAGAACATCTGTTGAAGAAGAACGTGGCGCGCGAAGCTGCTGTGCGTCTCTGCGAGGGTGTGCAGCGTGAGATGGTCGGCAAGAAGACCGGCAACTTCCAGAGCACTGATGCCGCCCTTCGAGTGGCAATGGAATCCTCGTTGCGGAAGATCCTGACACCGACTTCTTCGCTGGACCTACTGCGCGAGATCAACGCCGTGGTTGCTCCTACCACCAAATCACAGGCTCCTCGGCCTTACGTGATGTCCATCGTTGGTGTCAACGGCGTTGGAAAGTCAACTAATCTGAGCAAGATCTGTTACTTCCTGCTGCAAAATAAGTACCGAGTTCTTATTGCAGCATGTGATACGTTCCGTTCTGGAGCCGTGGAGCAACTCCGCGTGCACGCAGACCGACTGAAGGAACTGAGCTCGCGCGAGAATGCAGGCGATGTCGAAATCTACCAAAAGGGATACGGCAAGGACGCGGCGAACGTCGCTAAGGATGCCGTGGACTTTGCAGCAGCCAACAAGTTCGACGTTGTTCTGATCGACACGGCTGGCCGCCGACACAACGACCAGCGACTGATGTCTTCGCTTGAAAAGTTCGCTAAATTTGCCAACCCGGACAAAATCTTCATGGTCGGTGAGGCGCTTGTTGGCACAGACAGTGTGATGCAAGCGCGCAACTTCAATCAAGCCTTTGGTCAAGGTCGGAACCTGGATGGGTTCATTATCAGCAAGTGCGATACCGTTGGCGACATGGTTGGAACTTTGGTTAGCATGGTCCACGCAACTGGTATCCCTATTGTCTTCCTGGGTGTTGGGCAACACTATGGAGACCTGCGCGGGCTCAGTGTCCCCTGGGCTGTTAGTTTGCTGATGAAGTAAGATTATTGTGTATATTGTTAGATAGCTCCAGGACTCTGGCTCGATCTTCTCGAGGTTTCGCTTATATCATTTTTTCCCCTGATCCTTGCAATGCGTTCCTGGATTGAGTTCCCTCCGTGCGGAATCTCTCTCGATAATACATCCATGGATTTACCTCCAGGGCTATGTGTCTTTGCTACTAGTGGATGTCCATCATCGCCTGTCCAGGTGGACGCTGAACTCGCCCAGGGTTTGATTCTAGGGTCTATGTAGTCACGCAAGGGCAATAGTGTCTATGGAGTGCGCTTGAATCGGTGTTACGAACCCTCCATGGCTTTCTTTTCTTTCTTTCTTTCTTTCTTACCAGGATTCCCAGGTTCGAGACCAGACTCCAGTACCAGCGTCCAAAATTCGAATCGAGTTTGGGCATGAACAGCGAACAGTCTGGAGGGGTTGAAACGCGCGAAATCTTACAGAAAATGACCACCCCAATGCTCAGGTGGCCATTGTATCAAGAACTGGGGTTGAATATAGAACACGCGCTTTGGCTCAACACGGTATGCAATAGTCAAAAAACATGTATCACACGGGCTAATTTATATTTCACATGCAGAAAGGCTGAAAAGCAGCAAGAACTCATCATATCATCATATCGGCATTTTTTTGAATGTCTTTATGGACACAGATCAAACACCGTTCGGCTCATCCTCGTCCGACTTGTCTCCGTCATCACTATCTTCGCCCCAGCCCTCTGCCTCGAGGGACCGGCCGCGAATTCCAAAGCTCATGATGAACCCGATGAAGGATACAGCTCCGAAAACGCCGAAGGCCAAAGCCTCTCCCTTGGGCTGAATCTTAGCGGTGAGCGAGAACAGACCCCCGGAGAGGAATGGACCCACGGCACGTCCCGCTGCGGAGAGGGTCTGTGCAAGGCCATTGAGGGCACCTAGGACGGCATGGTTTGGTGCAGAGTTCGTAACCTGGATGCAATGATTAGTTTTTTATCTACGGGAGCACACTGATGCCACTTACCAAGAGCAAAGCGCTGGTCAAACCACCCACAGAGGCAATGGTCTTGACCAGTAACACAAAGCAAAGTTCGACAGCCATGAGGGCCGATTTCCCGGTCAGGTTGTCGGTCGATCTGCTCTTGTAACCAATGAAGGGCATCAAGACAAACGAGACCACAAAGCCAAAGAGGCCAGCACGGTACGACCATCGGTTGCCCATCTTGTCACGCAGGCGATTGAAGATGCAAATCTGGAAAATTATGGTCACAATGCCAGCAAAGCCTTGGGAAAGGCCGATCTCGGAGGGAGTAAGTGACCGTCCAGCTGGAGGCTTGGCTTGCGCAAAGATGGGGAACAAGGAGTTGAAGGAAACATTGCAAAAAGCAAAGATCAAGTAAGTCAGGAGCAGCAACACTGTATCGCGATTGAAGATTTCATCCCAGCTTAGGTCCTCGTGGTGACCAAGCAAACTTGACACTTCGGATGCAGAATCCAGGTCACTGTCGTGGTCCTCCGCCTCTGAGGCATGGCGGCTGTGCGGATATGGCACTGATTGGGGGGTCGTCACATAGGTAGGGTGACGCGAGTCCCCGGTAAATTGCCACAGCCATGTAAATAGGCTGCGTACTTTCCGACCGATCTTAGGTAGGCTTTCAGCGTCTTCCAGGCTCTCCTCCAAGAAAAATGCGGTCAAGGTGAAGTCCACCATCAGGACAACGGCTGACAGGAGGTTCGGTGCAAGGTATGGGTATGGGTTCTTGTTTCCCGTGAAAGGGTTCGTCTCCATAATCAGAAGTCCACCCAGGAGAGGACCTGTAATACCTCCAATGCCATACAGCACCGGTAGATAGGTGAAGGCCTGGGACTGGTTGCTCCTATCGGTGATCTCTCCGAGGCAGGTGGAGACCAGACCCTGATTGCCATTGACAACACCCATCAAAGCTTGCACCAAAATTGCTTGTCCGAGTGTCTTGCAAAACCCGAATGCGACGAAACACATCGCAGTTAAGATTGTGCCTAGCAGGATGACTGGCTTGCGACCCACCCGATCTGATAACCAGCCCCAGAAATAGTTCGTCGCAAATTGTGCCAAAGCGAATGCTGAGGCAATGGTCCCCACGTAAACACCAACTTGTGTCGGTTCCACCTCGGGAAATGTAGAAGCCATGTCGGGGAGGTATGGACTGATGGAATTCAGAGCCGTCTGTTCTGCCAGCGCAATCATAGCCAACACTGCCATCTGCCTTTTTGGCAGCGGAGATGACGTCCCAGGTGGTTCGGCGGGTTCATGGTGGGGATCGTGAGAGCCATCTGCAGAGGACTCGGACTGGCCCGAGTTTGGTCGACCACGCGACTTAGGCGGCGGGGTATCGAAGGTCTGGTAGTGTTGCGTAGAGGAGCGGCGATTGAGCGATGCCGGAGCTGGGCCCGTCATTCTGGCAACACACCGGTGGATTTCAGACCGAAAGGTGAGTTCTCAATGACCATGCGACTGGAGGTTTTGCCGAGGGTCCTGAGGCGTAGTGTCGTGTGAGAGCTTGGGGGCAGCCGCAACAAGCGCCGTATGAGTATAACTCTGCCCGGTTATTGATCCTCTAGTTCAAGCAGCTTTTCGAGAAGCTGTTTTAGAGACAGAAAAGTGATGAGATGGAAGAGTTGCACTGAGAAAAGACCGCAATCGGGAAAGCAGGGAAAGCAGATGATGTAAGCGGGTCTGGGGTTCGGTGCTGAGTCAATTGTTCTAGCCAGCGACAGTGGCGCAATTATTCATGCATAACTTGGTGATGTGAGTACTAATTTGTATGCATAGCCTACTCTTATTGGTTTGATCATATCCCCTGCAGGTGTTGATCTTGTGTTAATCACATTGTGCCACTGCTGGAGGCTGGGAGATGGGGCCAAGGAACCAAAATGCCAAAGCGTGCATGTACCTGTCAACATTTGATAACCCTCAATCTCACACTGCATACCTAGGTATTTTTATTCTGTTCAATATTGATATTTAGGAAGAAACTTGAACCAATTGGCTGAATCCAGGACTAGTTGCGGAAGATTTCATATGGTCATCAATCAATCCAAATCTCACCAGGCACAGTGATATTCAATATGACGTCAGGGGCTGAGTTTCACATACAACCTTAGTTCACTCAACCAAAGGATCCTTTTCCAGTGCCTGAAATTTCGATTTGGTACTCCGTATCATGTATGGAATTACATATCGGTGTCAGCAGAATGTATATTCATGGAAATGGTAAAATGGTAGGGGAAATCTTTCATGAGCCCATTTGCGCATTCCGACCGCGGGAGGTCGCTCAAAGTATATAGTCCCAGTGATCAACCTTAACTCAATCTACTCCGTATACGGCATCCATCTTATCACCACTGGGGCAGATAATTCAGCCAGATCCATGGAAGTCACCGAGATTAAAACAGTGATGGTCTTGGAGCCTACCAGAAATCGAAAATTGTGAAGTTGAGTTGAAACGAAAAGTTGATCGTGGCCTCAAATCTCTCTCTGCTCATCAATCCAAATAGTGCTGATGATCTTCATCAACCAGCCAAGTGGCCGAGCAGTAACTCAGCCATCTCATCTTCCTTGGTCTAGTGGTGATGATTTCCGCTTGTCATTAACACCGATAAGCGCGGGAGACCGGGGTTCGATTCCCCGAGGGAGAGATTTCTTTTTTGCACTGTTTTTAATTGCAACAGATTTGATTTTTGGATTTTCGCACAGATAGAGCCCCGGGGATTAACGAGAGCGATTTTGGAAGGATTTTGAGAGTGTTGACCTTGGGATACCGCCATGCGTAAAGACCATAAGCCATGACTTGCTATGAATGCGGTCGGTCGTAAAGGAGGTCAGAGGCCCGGAGATAATGTGGTTGTTTGAGATATGTGCGTTATGTGCCGAGGGAGACAACCAAACGAAAGACTTGCCATTACAAAGCAACGAACATCACAGGCGCTAGAGGGCAGAGTTGGTAGCAGTCGCAGAAAAGAGAAAAGGTTCGTAGTCTTTCCATTCCGTACACCTCGAGTTTCTGGATACCTGGAAACCCGGACCACAGTTTTGTCATTACGAGACACCTGATCCAGAGGATTAAACGAATGAATGGGCCAAATCACAGAAATATGCGGGTTAGGTCAAGGTAAAAATTTCTTTGCCGAGCAAGAGTGCTAATCCTATGCGAACTCCGAGACGTGGGAACCAGACCAGCTGGGTTCATCCTGTATGGACACAAAAATTAAAGCGACGCAAACTCAAATGTCAAGAGACCTGATCCGAATATCGAAGAAAAGCTTCATCTATTTCCGGTGTCTTGTCACCGATGCGACTCATATCCGCATAGTTGAAATTGTTATCGATCCAATTCCTGGAAACCGACTCAGGAGTTAAACCAGCCGAGGATGAGTTTATCTCATTCTCGGCGACAGGAATCTTTGAGGTGTGACCCGATTGAGAAGGATCTTCCGGAATAGAGCTGGCGAACGGTGATTGTCGTTGGAGGTTGAGATGTAGCGTAATCGGTTCCACCATCGAAGAGAGGGTTTGATGTACTTTGGTAAGTAGGAGCGGAAGATATCTTCGACGGCCCCCGGGAAGATCATGGATGAGAGTACATAAATGTTTGAGGTAATCCTGTGGACCAAGCTTGAAACCCGAGGAGCGCAGTCCAGCCACCGAGAGACATGCCATGACATCAATCAACGTGCATGCCACTTCAAATAATTTCTCTATCTGGGTTTTGTCAATTATACGGACAATCCAAAGGAAGCAGAATGGCTTACGAGTCCGATACCGTGGGTCTCCATGCTTTGCTTTGATAATTTCCATGTTGCGAGACACAGATCTTCAGCAATCTGTAGTGGGTAGCGAAAATCCATACATTCATGAGTAGGGCTTGTTGATAAAAAGCCAGCAGTGGTTGAGAGCTGCCATATCATGATACGCAGCCATTGTTGAGATACACGCAGGTCAGCCATTATTATGTCGGGTAGATCCAGATTCGAAGGAACTGCACTTTGAATGCGCTCTTGGAGTTGACTTAACGACTCAATTGAGTATGCTGAAGTTGTCCCATTCCATTGACTAAGGAAGGTCTCATCAAACGGACGATACAGATTGACCAGACAAAGAAATCCGGCATGAGATTTGTCCGAGCAAAGATCTTCTTCCAATTGAGGGCTGTCGGAGTTCACCTGGAGGGTGATTGGTCTATGTCGTCGAATAGCATGTGCTCTATCACAAATTTAGCAAAAAAGCCGACAAAGAAAGAAGCAAAGAAAGTGAATGAGTCTTCACCATACCTTTCTGAGATTACCAACAACCAAAACAATCTTGCTTCTGAAGAAGGGTCATCTTCACCCGTTGGTACCGAGGGTGTTTGACTATCCAGTGCACTGGCTGTGTAAAGAGTTGTGGCCTCGCGAAGAAAGTAATAAGCATGCCGCTGATTTCCAAGCCCAATATGACATCCGTAGAGCAGGAAGGCGATGATGATGCTCTGACGGACAGGGTCCATGACCGGATCAATGTGTTTTCGAGCCTCGGTAGCCTCAGCAATCAAAGAGGTCCGCAATTCCTCTATGGAAAGATGATGAGAGTACCCAGGGTACTCATACTCAACATGAAATCCAGTCTGGGTGACTACAAACGCACAGAATGCCGCCACCAAGCAATAAGCATGGGCACATGTGCCAGCGAGATCTGCCTGCTTCCGAAAACTGTCAGGTTGCAAGATCGGCACCGTTCCTCGCATGCGGGAGAAGAAATAATCCGAGCAGGAGTTGACAAGATCATAACCAAGAAGCCCTGGAGTTCTCAGAAAATGACATCTTCCTGCCGCCTGTGGTGAGTGAGGTGTCGTACCCACGAGCCCCTCAAGACCGAGAACCCTGGGAGGCGGGGAAAGGTTGCGAATGTCATGATCCAGACTCTGCTCTATATCTTTTGATCGGAGCTCATTGAGGATATTGGCTGTTCGACCCTGTCGACCTTTTCTCTGTCGTTGCAGTGAGGTACGGCAGACCAAGCCGGCAGACCGACACTGCTTACAAGGATGTGGGAAGATGCATTTGACTTTACGCCGGCGACAGGCATCACATGCTTGCACCTTGACTGGAGATGACATGAGATCTAGAGACCCAGAAAAGAATATCTGGCCAAGGATAAGCGGATTACAAAAATCCGGGGGTGCGGAGGGAAATCGGAGAGAAGCCGGGGAAAGAGGCTCCGATGTGTTGGCCTGGTTGCTCAGGCTTCAGCACCCCCAATCAAAACCTCCGACTTTGCCGAAGTGGCTATAACATTCGATCAGGAAGCTGGCAAATAATTGTAATAAATGCTTTTGGCTTTGAACTTGGATATTAATAAAAGGGCTGAGTTATACGGGCAGAATAACCTATCTAGTAGCAAGATGCCACCTCAAGGTCGGATCCAAGCACGGATGCCAATGTTGAAGTTACCGAAGTTACCGAAGTCATCAGTACAGCTGTGCGTAGGGCCAAAGTTCAATCTGAGGTGTTGAGTCAATTTTATTTTTGGGAACTATGCTGTTTTACAAAGGATTCCAAGCTGATTTTATTAAATTAGTATGTAAAGGGCATTAGGAGACTACAACGATATGATTTATTGATGCGAGAAACATTCTACCGCAATGTGATTTGGTCTTCAATTTCAGATATAAACACGTCCTTCAAAGGGCTTCAAGGTATCATGAGATGGGAAATCATAGTTTCCCACTAGTAACTTCATCCCCGTAGTCTTACTCGCCTGTGTGAATGGTTGCGACTTGTCCGTGAAGTTTAGAACAACCAATGCCTGTGTATCACCTCTTGACTTTACAAAACAGAAGGTTTCCTGGTTTTCATAGTCAAGAACCTCAAATGCACCATGGATAAACAGCTCTCGATGCTCTTTCCTCAGACGAAGGACATCTTTCCAAAAGGACAATACACTTGAGGCATCATCCTCTTGCCTCTTCACATTGATTTCGCTATAGAGATCATGAGCCCGCATCCATGGTTTTCCGGTAGTGAATCCGGCGTGAGCGGAGTCATTCCATTGCATCGGCAACCTGGAATGATCGCGGGCCAATGTGCGAAGACCATTCATGATGAGATCTTTGCGCGTCGTGTCAGCACCACTTGCACTCTGTCTCTCTGCTTCACGGTAATATCCGAGTCCCTCAATATCTTTGTACTCCTCGATAGGCCATTCGCGAGGGGCGTTGATCATGCCGATCTCTTGCCCCTGGTAGATAAATAGAGTGCCAGTCATGGTCACCATCATCAGGGCTAGCATTTTGGCCGAGATCTCGCGATATTCAGGAGCATCCGATGCAAAGCGAGAAACAGAACGTCCATTATCGTGGTTCTCGCAAAACGCAGTAGTCCAACCATCGGTCCCTTCGATGAAGGTCTGCCACTTCTCCACAATGGACTTCATCTTTGTCAACTTCCACGGAGTCAAGATGTATTTCTCCTCCAGACTGGGCCCCATGCCAATGTGTCCAATATCTAAATGGAACACCATGCTCAGCTCTTTAGCTGACGCACCCACGTACTCGAGAACGTTCTTTGGATCCGGAGTGTTGGCCAGCTCGCCCACCGTCATGACATCTCCGTAAGGTGCAAATGACTCGTCGTACATGTCACGCAGAAATTCGTGGATTCGGGGCCCGTTGCACCACATGCCAATGGCAGGTTGGATATAACTCTTTGGATCTGTGATGGGGGCATCTGGGAAGTCGGTATGCTTGCTGTATTTGTTGACCGTGTCGACTCGGAAACCATCAACACCTTTGTCCAGCCAGAATCGAACGGCACTGTTGTATATGGCTTCACGGGTGGCTTTGTTGTCCCAATTGAGATCAGGTTGCTCCTTGGCGTAGAGGTGTAGGTAATATTCTTCTGTTTTTTCGTCCCAGGTCCCTAATAAAGATCTTTGTCAGGTCACAGAAACACGCATGAAAGACAGAAAGTATCGCGACTTACATGTGCTTCCGGCAAAGTAACCCCGGTAGTTGCTCGGAGGCATCCTGTTTCCAGCATCATCATATCGGGGCGGACGCCAGAAGTACCAATCGCGCTTGTCGTTGTATTTGCTACTCCGGCTTTCCTGAAACCAGGCATGTTGATCACTGGAGTGGTTGACGACTAGATCCAGGATGACTTTCATGCCCCGAGAATGGCACGCTTCCACGAGGTTCTCCACGTCTTGCACAGTTCCATAAGCTGGCAGCACGTTTTCATAGTCCGAAACATCGTACCCCATGTCGTGCATGGGGGAGTCATACATCGGGGACAGCCACACGACATCAACGCCTAATGATTGTAGGTAGGGCACTTTTTCGACCACACCAGGGATGTCACCCCAGCCATCGCCGTTGGAGTCATAGAAGGAAGCTGGATAAACCTTGAAAGTAAAGATGTCAGTCCAAGTATGAGAAAAGTCGGGTGGTCCTACTCACCTGATAGACAGTGGCTTCTTTCCACCAGTTGTTTGTCCCTGTCGGGACTGAATTATCCTGAATTGCGTGTGGCGACATCGCTTGACGATTCTTGCTTTCTTACTCCCATTTTCCTTGCTAACATCTTTATACTTTATAACAGACGGGCTCAACTCGGGCGGGATAGCTGCGGGGACATAGTTCAAAGCACCCTGCATGTCCGCCAAGCCTCCGACGGAACACACTCTGCCCGACTAGCCACCGACTTGCCGCCGAGACGGTCCTTTCCGATGCCGTGATTCGCTAGAACGAGACCCCCACACTTCGCTTCCCCAGTATTCTCCAAATTTTCGGGTCCAAGTGACAGGCCATGTGCATTTTCCCCGGATCAACAGTGCGGGTGGTCTGAACTATGTTTTCGCTTTGCTACTGCTGCTTTGGTATAAATCGCATGAATTTCCAGGATGTGTTGGGGGTTTCATAATGCCTGTATTCCTACTGGGGGTTGCTGAAGTGAACTCTGTTTTGATCAAGCTTTTACCTATAATCGTCTTTTGTTGAAGGAAACCTCTCTTCCGCGAGACTTCAAAGCCCAGATCCAGATCCAGATCCAGCTTGTCCTCTGAGACTTGCAATCTGAGCTCACCAATGGTGTCAACCGACGACGCTGTGAAAATGGACGGCAGAGTCTCCCCCGTTCTGGTTCATGGCCAACATGCTGCCAGAAAAGAGCAGTCGATGACCCTCTGGCAAGCACTGCGATTATATCCGAAAGCTGTTGGCTGGTCCGTCCTTCTATCATCTACCTTAATCATGGAAGGCTACGATCTCGCCCTGCTCAGCTCGATGTATGCTTCTCCTGCCTTCAACCAGAAATTTGGCGAACATACAGCTTCGGGTAAATGGGCCGTTCCCGCATCCTGGCAATCCGGTCTCTCCAATGGTGCGCGCTGTGGTGAAGTCATCGGACTTCTGATCAATGGCTTGGTTTCGGAACGCTTGGGCTATCGCCGCACAATGATTTGTGCATTAGCCATGATAACAGCGGTCATTTTTGTTTTCTTCTTTGCTGTCAATGTCCAAATGCTGTTGGCCGCCGAGATACTCGCTGGTATACCATGGGGCATCTTCCAAACTTTACCAGCAGCTTATGCCTCTGAGGTTTGCCCAGTTGTCTTGCGGCCTTACCTGACAACTTTCATCAACATGTGTTGGGTGTTTGGGCAATTCATAGCTGTTGGTGTCAATCGTGGATCGATATCCCGTGGCGATCAATGGGCCTGGCGCATTCCATTCGGTGTCCAATGGGTGTTCCCAATTCCTATCATGATCGGTTGCCTTTTCGCACCGGAATCGCCTTGGTGGCATGTACGCCAAGGTAATGTGCAAGGAGCTCGACGGGCGCTTCAACGCTTGACATCGTCCAATGTCCCTGATTTCGATCCCGACGAGACTATCGCCATGATACAACACACGAATGAGCTAGAAAAATCACTCTCCAGTGGAACAACTTATTGGGATTGCTTCAAAGGAACCAACCTCCGCCGCACTGAAGTGGTTTGCGTTGTCTGGCTAGTCCAGACGTTATGTGGCCAAAATTTGATGGGATATTTTGCCTACTTTTGCGTCCAGGCTGGTCTCCCCACTGTTGAATCCTTCAATATGTCTCTTGGACAATATGGACTTGGTGTCATAGGTACGATTGGATCGTGGTTCTTAATGAGCTACGCTGGTCGCAGAACCATCCATGTCTCCGGCCTGGCCATTCTCTTCATCCTCCTCGTGATCACAGGGTCTTTGTCGTTTGCACCGGAAGAGAACAACGCGGCAAAGTGGGCAATTGGTGTGATGCTCATCATCTTCACCTTCTTCTATGATATCAGTGTCGGTCCTGTAACCTACTCACTGGTTTCTGAACTTTCCTCAACCCGCCTCAAGGCAAAGACAATTGTACTTGCCCGAAGTCTGTACAACATCAGCAATATTGTCGTGAACGTTCTCACAAACTATCAACTGAACTCGACAGCTTGGAACTGGGGTGCACGATGCGCATATTTCTGGGCTGGCACATGCTTGATGTCTCTCGTGTGGGCCTTTTTCCGTCTTCCTGAGCCAAAGGGTCGTACATACGAGGAATTGGATATCCTCTTTGAACGTGGGATTTCGGCGCGGAAATTTGCAAGCACAAGTGTAGATCCATATGCAGGAGAGCCCACGGAGATTCACGAGGCACACGTTGACAAAGATTGATGCGCCGTTCAATGAAGAGGCTTTTGATTATAGCAGAAATAATTGACAACTAATGCATATGTCATTACGTTTACAAACACTTCCATAGTTCTCATAGGCTCTGTTAGAGAATTGAGGGTCAGGGGATGATACTCGGCAAATACACGAGAAAGAGAAAATAAACTATCGCGCTATCGATAGACCTTGAAGCCAAGCCCATAGTTTGTCATATCCACTCAATCGGACCCCTGATTGATCGACCAACTTATCCCAACAGCCAGGAGAAAGCGGGCTGCGCTGAGGCGAGACACATGCTAGAAAAATCCGCGTAAAGACCGTAGAAGTATGATAGTCGCTTCACTCTTGCTTGGATCAGCAGGTCTGCCCGCTAGAGTACAGCAGGATCTATCAATCCCTCCCGGCAAGATTGCCTACAGCGGACTCATTAGTATCTGAATACCTAGAAATCTAGTTGTAATTTGACATGTTCAGAAGTATGAAGCGGAAGAATATTTGTGCGTTCAATAGCCTGACTGGAACGACGTTAACTCTTCTGATTCTGGGTCCATCCGGATTCGATGGAATCCTTGTCGGATATCTAGTTTCATGAAGTAACGCGCTTTCGCCACTCGCTGTATGAGTTCGTTGATTAATGGCAGCCGGTAGATGTCTTTCTTTGTCTCATGTTGTCTGCCGCCTGGCTTCTTTGCCATTAGGATGGGTGAAGGAAAGGAGCCGTGCTCGGAACGATAAAATCTTTGTTCAAGATGTCGGTAATGTAGCCTTTTTTCGAATTCCAGGTTTCCTCCTGACATCTCGTACAGCGGACCGTATCCCGGCTTGTAGTCGTCAACCAGCTCAAGATATGATCTACGCCCGGTCGATATGGCGTTGGATCGTCATATTTTTCTTGGGGAAGACGTCGACAAAGTTATGATACTCCCTGGGGATGGCTGCTCAAACCATGTCCAATTCTGCGGCTTTTCCTTTCTTCTCCCTCATCCCGTCGATAACATGCTGGATCTCATCAATCGACGCGATGAAGTCTTCCGTACCATCATTCTTCGCTGTTCTGTCGGATCCAGCTCGCTCGCAATGCTTGAAAACGGCAAAATTGAAAGGGCCAACTCAGCACTAGGCCCTGCCGTAGCTAGCGCGAGGCTTCGGTTTCAGCCATGTCGAGGTCACTCTCAGTAATCTCCTCCAGAATATCATCTTCAGTTGCTGGCTCTGGTTGTCTCTTGTTCAACTCCCACCAGATTTGAGCTTGTTTGCACCAACAAAAATGGCGCAAGAGGCCCTCACTTGAGTGAACTTTACCACAAGCCTCCTCCCCTCGGAGCCGTTGCTCGTCATTGGCCCAGTTGCTCTGGGAAAGGGCCATGTAGCATCCCAAACAGTAATACCCATGCTCGACTCTTTCAAATTGCTTGTTGTAAAACGGGAGCGCACAGGCCCCCATACAGTTGACTGCTCTCTCCCAGTTGTAACGCGAATGACTGTTTGTTAGGCCCTCTGGCATCGGAATTGACTTTCCACAAGCCAAAGCTGCCTCCTGAACGGATATGATTGACAGAGGGCGGGCTTGAACATGTCCTGTGATCCAGTATTGCCCAGGAAGAGATTTGAACGACCTGAGCGTGGTGGACTCCGCTCTGGTCATGTCGAACCTTCTTCTAGCCCACGAGAGACAGCGCACTTGAGTCTCCGGGCGTTCATGAAGGCACCTGAAACAGCATCGCTTCTAGATTAAAAGAGCGATATGACCTCCAAATTCTCCACAGAAGCTGCACTCTTTGGTGCACAATATGTCATAAACATCGAGGAGAGATTTCTCAGTGGCAATTCCAGTCCGCAACAATGCACGATAAAGGTTCGTTCCCAGATAGACAATAGGCTGATAGTGGAGGAGACCGCTGACCATCTCCCTTGCTCCGAGGTTGACTTGTCGAAACTTAAACACGGAGGCAATGTCGAGATGTGACAGTATTTCATGCACGATCTCGATAGGTAAGCGGCCGATAGAGCCCAGTCCAGTATTTTGACTTCGCTCAAAGCATGATGTCAAGGACATGAGAATGTGGAAATGCTCATTAGCTGGAAACCAGATTACAGACATCATATTGGGGTCATTTGACCCGATTGTTTGGAGGATTTCATCAGACTGTTCCGCATCAAAATAGTACTTCGTGTCAGAGCGGTTGGTTTCTCTTTCTGAAGTAGTCAGCCCCGGAAGATCCATGGTGGTTGAGGCACTCTCAACCAATAGGTTTGATCTTTGCTGTTCACGGAGAGGCTGGACGACGACGCGCCGTCTGGTTGATGAGGGTGACTTGGAAAATAAAGCAAAGTAAAGCAAGTAGAGCCATAGGTATCAAAATTAATTGACTAACCTTGGAAGCCTTTTGATTTCTTAGTACATATAATGCTGGGTAAGTTGAAGCTACTCACATTGTAACAGAGTCAGGTAATGATTATACAACATAGTAAGTCAATCTTGGAATACTATATCTCTAAAGGGTTTAGAGATGTATGTGATCACGGTATAGCCCACTGTCCAGGTATTGTAACTGGTGAAGTTTATAATAAGAGCCCAAAAACGAAAGATTATATTTACGAAGAAGGAAGTAAGAAGCAGGAAGAGCTTCTGCTTCTTATACCAGCGCTATGTAGCACGATTTAACAAAGAATCAAGTGACAAACAATCAATATTACCAACTGTCATCAAGGTATCAATCTTCCAGCAAAATACCAATGATGGTAAGGACCTAAGAGATCGAAACGACCTCATCTCAGTTTCCATATCTCGAGTCAGGTTGAACTATCTTTGCACCCACGATAGGCAGCGTATCTGCGTTTCCGGACGTGAATGGAGGCATTCGAAGCAGCATCGCTTCCAGATGAAAATGGAGACGTTCCTCCCAAAATTGGAGCAGAAGCTGCATTCCTTGGTGCACAGAATGTCATAGAAGCTTGATAGAGTTACTCGACTGGCGAGTCCAGTTTGTAGCACTGCGCGACAGAGGTTTATTCCATGGGAGACCACGGCCTGATACCCAGGGAGAGAGTTCACCATCTCCCTCGCTCGGAGATTGGTCTGCCGCAGTTTGATCAGAGAAGAGATGTCAAGGTGCAACAGTGTCTGATGCACGAGCTCGACCGGCAGTCGGTCAAGTGAGCCCAGTCCCACGTTTGGGAGAGCTCGATTGGAGCCCATCAACAAGAGCGGGAGAACACCCATATGCTCGTTGGGCAAATAGTCAATCACATGCACCCGGAAGCCGTGATAGACTCCAATCTTTTGAGCAACTGCGTCTGCTTGTTGCTCATTGAGCCTAACCTCCGAGTCCGAATGGTTGGTTTCCATCTCGGGGATGGTCAATGCCGGGGAGTCCATAGCGACCTAGGCTCCCTGACTGGAGTTATCGAGCTCTTTCCGGTGGCCGGAATTGATTTGGGTCGGGTGGGAGTGGATAGCGGAGGTATTGATAAGGGCGCTTCTTCTGTGACGTGTGATGATGCCGCCAAAAGAAGCGGATGTAAATGAGGGGGTTGATAATGAAAGACAGATGAGAGTGGAGTGGCGATGAGAACGGGAAAATGAAGTATGAGATCGAAAGGGAATCAAGAGCCCCGGTGTGCAGGGAAGGGAGAAAACAAATGGCAAGACATTTCAGAAGATGTTTTATTGCGTCTATTGATATCTCAGTGCGGAATACTAGGTAAAAGCCACTCATGTTATAGAACAACCAGGTGTAATTTACACAAACAACACGGTGACCCAGTATCAGGTTTCCAGGAGGTTTAGAGACGTAGCTGGCCCTGCCCCAATACACAGCTGTTGAGGTATTCCATCTGTCAGATATCAAAAGAGCTTGCTGTTCTCAGCCTGAATTCAGCAGATGATGATAACATTCTGGACTCGGCAATTTTCTTTTTACCCCAGAGTGATGTCTATTAGCCTATGCTTCAATGCTTGATGAGACTTCAAATTTTGCCATTAATCCAACGAGAAAGTGATTATAATTTGATGGCGAGTACCACCAGGATACATCTGAAGAACACTCGAGCGGTGGCTTTCATCTTTTGAAATGACACTCACCAGCAAGTCGACTCCCGATGTCCAAGGGTGCGAGAGTCAAAGCTCAAACGGAATTATCACAATGATGGAGCCCACCGAAACTCTTCGTCAACATCATATACGAGATACCGAGGCCCATATCATACTAACCCGAACAGGCAATCCTTGAGAGACCCACTCGAAGTCCGACGAGCAAGTCAACAACCTTTCTTCCCTTCTCATCTTCTCGCCGGCATAGTTTGCCAAGTAGCTGCACAAATATGGCACAGACGGCGCCACATGGTTACTCCGCACTGCGCTTCAGACCGCCAACCGACATACCCCCGCTTCCAGGTGATCGTTGCTTGGCATACATGGCCCGATCAGGAAAATATGATGTCCTGAGGACCCGCTAGCTTCCGGAAAGTCCGTGATGCTTGTAAACGATGTTTTCCCAGGCTCCTGGAAATACAGGGCACCTTTTAAAGCGCCCCGTCCGCCCTTTCAGAAATGTTAGGCACCGTTGGACTTCTCATTCAATATGAAATACCAACTCTTTTTGGCTGCTCTTCTCTTGGATGGTCAGAGCTTAGCGGCACCCTCCGCTAGAAAGAATTCTCATCCGTCTGTTGGCTCCCTCGGTTCCCTCCGGGTCCTGCATTACAACAACCTTGGCCCCCAGAACAATGGCACTTCGGTGGTGCTGGTACACGATCGACTGAGCCACGAAGACTCCATTTCAAAGTGCGCTGCTATCGGCGAGAAGGTCTATACCTGGCCATCTGAGAAGTGCGATGATGAAAGAGAACTTCAGTATCAATTGAACTATCTTGTGTTTGCCAAAGACCTTCGGCATGATGACTTCTTGTGGATTTCGACCAACAACGACGGAAACCATTGCTCAGCCTACTCACCTCTGCACAAGAAGATCATTAAAACATCTTGCAAAGAGAAGCTGCCAACTCTCTGCACATCGACGGCGCCTCCAACGACCGACCTCGACCGAACCCCCAGAAACAATACCAAGCTTACTGTGGAAACAAAGGGACATGCGATCACTGGTTATCGTGATGCACGATCTTTCCGGTTCCTCGGCGTACCTTTTGCAAACCCGCCAGTCAAGAACCTGCGCCTTGCACCGCCACATGCTTACACCGGACCAAAGAAGCTTGATGCAACTAGCATGGCAGACTCTTGTATCCAGTCGGTCTCGAGCTTTGGAACTTTAGGCTCTGGTGGCATCTCCGAAGACTGCCTATACCTCAATGTCTACACTCCATTCCTACCCATGAAAGTTACAAACAAGACTTCCCTGCGTCCTGTGGCTGTATACATATACGGAGGTGCTTTCACAAAGGGAAGTGCTGCCATGATTGATTATGATGGTGGCAACTTTGCGAGTCGCAGCGATGTGGTAGTTGTTACACTCAATCACCGCGTCGGGGCATTGGGATTCCTTGCTACCGGAAATAAGACAACCGGAAGCTACGGCATCTATGATCAGATCATGGCGCTGAAATGGGTCAAAAAGCACATCTCTGCCTTCGGTGGTGATCCTACCCATGTGACTATTTTCGGACAATCTGCTGGAGGCCAGAGTGCCGTGGCTCTTATATCATCGACTGCCGCAAAGGGTCTCTTCTCTGGGGCCCTTGTACAGTCAGCTCCACTGGATCTTCCATGGTTCCCTCGCGGGCTGTACTCCGACTATATCGCCCCAGAGGTTGGAAAAGCCGTTGGTTGCAACGACACCACATCCGAATCAAAATTCCTCAAATGTCTCCGATCCGTCCCGGCATCGCGATATCTTGATAACTCCACTGAGTTTCAGAATGCCACCAAGGCAATTGCTTCTGCCATTGCCAATCACTACTACCAGAACACAGAATTGCTCTCTGCTACAGAGCCATTCATGCCCATGGTAGATGACTCGGGATCTGGAGTTATCAACGATCAATTCCACACCCTCCTCCGCAATAAAGAACTGCCTATTCACGTCCCAACCATGTTCACTACTGTCCGTGATGAGTCAAGCCTCTACACGGGACGGCAAGTCCCCAATATGGGCGCAAATCAGCTTGCACTTGATGTCTTGCTCAACGCGACCTTTGGCAGCACACTGGGCTCTAAGATGATATCCTCTGATGCTTTCACTGTGAATCGCTCCGACTCGGATGGTGTACGAAATGCCGCGTCTGATGCTTTGACACACAGTGAGTGGACATGTGCACAAGGTCATCTTCTCAACATCTCTGCTTCGGCCTTCCCCTCGCTTTACGAGGTCGAGATTACGGATGGTCACATTCAGACTAACGTCAGTGTGCCCGAAATCTGCTCGCCCAACAAAGTTTACAATGCCTCCTGTCACTCCTCGGACGTACTGCTTGCGTGGGGTACCTTGAATTCCAAGACGAAGAACGTGAGCCCATACTACAACGAAAAGGATATTTTGCACTCGCAGTTTATTCATGATATCTTTGGTGCCTTCTTCCGCACCCGCAACCCAAATCCAGATCTTGACTTCTTGAGAATCAGAGGCCCTGCTTATGCCCACACTCTTGCGGTTGTTGGTGGAAACTATACTGGATCTCACGGGAACCATGGAAAGCATGGCTATGTTATCGAGCAGTACCATGGTTCGGCGCAGAACTTGTCACTCCTGGGAACAATCCCGTCAACCACGTCCAACTATGCGAGCTCGGACAAGTGTTCTGTTTTCCAGGATTATGGCTTCACATTCCAAAGAGCACATCTCACTGATTAAATGCATTGCGATTGTTGGCAGCGTTTTTTTCTTGACAATTACCTAGACTTACAGAACAGAAAGCTTGGGTTGTCTCAACAATTCTATTATCTATGTTTACTAGAGTATTCGTTGTAATCATGATTCATATGTGTAAGTTGATATGCAAGCCGTAGTTATCCACGCAAACCAAGACCAACGCCGATAGAAAAGTCAGAAGCCAACCACCCTACACCTGACGTGGGCAGCCGGCCCGGCACATCTGAGAAACGCACATGAACCCACCATGAGAAAATAGCAACGCATAGTTCTGTCGTGATGGAGATGGGAGGGGAGATATGATGGAAAGATTGTGAATATCCTGAGAATAAGTGAGAAGGAAAATTTCGTAAGATGGATCATCGCTCATAAATTGGCACCCGCCTAGACGGAACGTATTCCTCTGGCACCGGTGTGTATCGCTTAGCAGCCGACGTTCTTGGGCTTGACCAGCCGTTGTTGGGTCGATGCATGCCTGCGCTACTGTACGATCTTGGTCGCTCGGAACCACTCCCTCCACTGCTTGGTCGGCTTCCTGAACTGCCTCCGCTGTAGCTCCCTCGCCTAGTGTCGTCTGCAGCATATGGGTCGAGGTGTCTTGGAACAGCTCGCGGAGGTGGAGAGTGGAACCTGTAGAGGGGAGGGCTTGGTGCGGCTGGCGCTGCAGCCGAATCACCGAAAATGAAGTCACGGAACTTGACACCCGCTGTTCTTGAGCGGGACCGATCTTTATGTCTGGGGGACGTCTCAGGGTGAGACTTGCTGGAACGTGATGAGTGGCTTTCATGGCTACGGCGTTGACGCTGAGGACCCGGCGAAAGATCTCGGAAGGGTCTCCGGGTGTATGCATCATGAGAGTGACGCCTCGCGTGCCCATTCGAAGGGGGTGAGAGATGACGTTTTTCCCGGTGTCGATGATGTTTTGGTCTCTCATCAGATTTCGGGAACTCATCTGATGATGCCTCAAAGACTTCCGGCTCATCGGCAGTTCCGGGGCTTAGTGGATGGCCGTAGCCGGGCGCTTGGTCTCGGCCTCTGGGGCGATGCGGACGGTCGCCCCACGGAGGCGGCGATGAAACGCGTGGCGTTGAGAACCCGGTCCGAGCTTTGGATTTTCGGTGCCCTGACACGGGAGGGTATTGTCCACTATGATGTCGGCGGTGATGGCGATGCCCACTGGACCGATCAGGTTCTGCATGACTGTGCTGCTTTGACGAAGTGCGACGCGATGCCTTGGAAAAATAGTCATCCTCGTCGGGTAGAGGATCTTTTCCGCTGAAATGATAATGGTAGGTCCCGAAATCTGGCGGTGAAGCGCGTTTGGTGTGCCTTTTCAAATAATCGTGCTCCAGTCGCCGGCTTACCCCTTCATGCCATTCCAGCATCTCCGGGTCAGGCTCCGACGGAAACGCATCCCGGGGGATTTCTTTCGGTAGTGGATCACCGTTTGCGCCTACTAGGTCCCACTGACTGACTGCGTTTTGAAGATAAACCGAGTGCTCATCCGGGTCCATCAACAACTGTATTGTCTGCCAGCGCACGAAGCCAGTAGGAAGTAGTGATGGAATTGTGGGGGGCTCATACGGATTGGCCGAGGGCTGTAAGCTGTGGAAGCATCCTAGCGACTGGTATATGAACGACAAGGCTTGTGTTTTGGTTTCGAGAAACAAAGGGTCGTAATTTCCGCCGACTTTGCGATAGAAGGCCGCCATTCGCTCTGGGGTGATATCGCCGGTGCCATTTGTGTCAAACGTGGGCTACATATGCATGTCAGTAGGTCTAGACAGTCTCGGTCCACGAAGACTCACCATCACTTGCGCGATGCTCAGACATAGCTGTTCGAGCAGCGGAGCAGGGCTCTTGTCGGAATTGATCAGCGTACCCCAGGAGTTCTGTGCAGAAGACATAGGAAGGTGAATCGCCTGCAAGCAGACGCATCAACATCTCATATTCAGGTGAGATTGGGCGAGAAAGATAGGCAGAGACTCAGAGTTGGAGGGGCGGTCAGGCACGAACGGGACCCACTGCGGGGGGAACCAAAGAATGCGATCTATAAACTTGACAGAAACGAGTGTCAAAGGTGAAATGTGGAAATGAATCGAGTATTGTGTTGTGAGATTATATTGATTCTATTGTGATATTCAGATTCAGCTCCCACATGTGACTGATGCCTGACTGAAGCTGTTGCGTGACAAGCCTAATGTGGCGCAGTGTGACCCGCCAGACGTATTGGGAATAATCCTTGTCATGCAACGTGGTATCCATCATGAGTCAACAGGGCATGAGGATAACTTCTCACTCAAATTTCAGCTTACTTACTGCGTGCTTGATAGGCCACAAGAGGTTTTTTCATACTAGACACTGATCCAAGTGACTCAAAAGTCATGGTCGCATGCTCTTTGATCTCATATCTTTGATCTCATCCTGTCCATAATGAAAGATTCGGCCACGAATATACATCACCAGTGATAGATGGGTCACTCAAGTCAAAGTCGATGTCAGGTTGTGCCAAAAACTCTTCCATGCTTTCACCAAGGAACGTCATATCATTGGTCAGGTTTCCGGCTGTTGTATCCGGGACACAGGAGACACTGCTATTCCTGAATGTCCCCAACTGATGCGAAGCTATCATCGGGAGAGGCTCGTTTGAGTTGTCTGTGACGCGGACAGATCCAACTTGTTGCGGAGCTCCCGCTTCTGGTTGGTTGCTTTGGTTCAAACACCGCTTGACACATTCCAAGTTATCATAAAACTCGGCCGCAGCGAGATTTCCATGATCGCTCATCGATCGAAGAATCTCAAATGCTGCCTCAAACAAGGCAAAGTCATTGCTGTTCTCGGGATATACTTGACTGGAAACGACCATGACCAAGGCTGATGAGAAGAGATAGTGTGCATAGAAATACCCGAAGATCGGGAGCGACCCGTTGATCCATTCCTCCATTATCAACGAGTGGGAGTGCCTTGCAGCATGTATGCATGCCTCACTTAGTGTTCTGAGAGTTTGTCGGATGGCATTGGAGTCGTTTTCTTCCGCGTTCGAGCACTTGGATTGAATCAGAGCGTGGAGAAGTACCGGGCGACTTGCTAACATAATGCACTGGTCTGTCTTAGCAAGTGAGATCTTCTTCTCTCATTTTGACCCACTTACCTGGTTGAACTGCAAATGCAAGGAGGCCACATTCTTTGCAGGTGGGCCGTCCCGATGAAGTCGTATCTGTAGAGGTAGGGCCAAGCACCACTGCTTGAGTGCAATGAGGAGTTTTTGCTCCCGCTGCAGAAATGAATCTGCAAACTTCTTGCGACTATAGATTTGGTCTATCACTTGCCCGGTGATTTTGGCCAGTTCAATGCTCGCGACCAAAAACTCTGTATCCGGGGTATGATCATCATGAATGTCGCCAGGCACATTGGAAGGCATCTCGACGTATATATCATCATCGGCAATTTGGATTGGCCAGCCGACTTTCGACCCGTACATCCGGTCAAACACATAAATTGCCCACCACAGCCTTATTCGATGTTGCCGATCCACAGGATTGGGGCACTTGCATTCAGGGATATCATGGTTGAGACCGAGAGTTAATCCCAAGCGCATGGCACTCCCAACTAGTAGAAAAGCCGAGTGTCGTCTGTTTAAGAAAAACGAATAAAGAGACTTGAGAATATCAGCATGGGTCAAATCCCGAGGTGACTCGTCTTACCAAAAGCAGAAGAGATTCAATATGGGCCAAGCTCGGACGCTCAGGCAGAATGGGTATCAACATAATGGCATTGACGTAATAAGCCACACCAGGGACTTTGCACTCAAGACTTGAATTCGATCGCGTCGAGTATACCTCTCCAAGAGCAAACAAGGCAAAGAACTTGCATGTCAGCACGGGATCATCAAAATCAACTTTCCTATAAGCATCTTCGAGCTGGTCAAGGGTCGATTTCCGAAGCACTACATGGTAGACACGGGTGACCTGGCTGAAAACGACCTGGATCAGTAGTCGAGCTTGAGCAAGACTTGGCCATATGATGGCTGGATCGCGCATGCTCATCAAGGTCGACTCTCCTGTATACTGTGTTCGAGCAATATGTGAGGTATTCTCGCTCTTTGTGAGGACTCTGCGAATCCTGGTTGCAAATGCTGTACATGCTGCTTCACAGACATGGATCGGTGGTAATGATGGGTCATACGGTTGAAACCATGCTCTTTCATCGAGCATTGGATTCTGAACGTGTCTGTCTGCTGGTTCGGGGATGTCTACGAAGAGGTGAGTCGGGAAACCCGGGATCACCAAGGGAGGCAACATACCTTGAGCTGGGGGATTACCCCTGGGTGTGAGATATCCGGGTGATTGAGATAATTGGTCACGTAAACGCTGGTTCTCTGCTGCAAGTTCCTCGATGTAACTAGGATCGTCAGCCCTGCACAGAAATAAGCTACGTGGGTCGTACCTTTCATGTACTTTGACCTGCCGATCTCGATTCACATAGTGACACTCGGTAGGAACGCCAGATTGCCGACATCGCTGGCAAGGCTGGCCCCCACTGCACTTTATTTTATGGGAATGGCATCTCTGGCAGCTTCATGTCACATTAGCGACTTAGAGAGTTAGCGCGAGCTGGTGGGACTCACGCGATCGACTTCTTCTGCTTTTTAATGGCTGCATCGGTTTTATGTTTCATCTTGGCAAAGTGCTTGGAAATAATACAATATTGTGAATGTCAGGATGCTGAGATTTTGCCGAAGTGCAGTTGCACCTCAAGTTGCACGGTCGGTGAAATTTCATGTTGCCGAGTGGCGAATCACAGCTTTGCGACCAACGGCGTCAACCAATCTGGACCGTCTCCAGCAGTTTTTCCAAGGTAATGAACTACGAACATGAGACTCTACAATGTGCAATTTGCCTGGTCCAGACTTGAGTGTAGTTTTGATTTGTCTTCCTACTGAAAATTTTTATTCGGACAGAATGTTATGGAAGGTATATTCACAACTTTGAGCCGTGCCTGTGGGCGTGATCGTCTGACCAAGACCAAAGCCATGAAAATCACCTCACCTACTAGATAGGTATCCAAAAGTATTTTAATACTAATCTCGATGCTCCTTCGTTATTGCCTAGGTGTAAGGGTGAGCACCGAAGACTATAGGTACCTGTGCATCGTCACCCATTGCATCATTCTTGCTCGGCATCCAACTACATTTATACAATATAGGACTCGCGTGCTCAAAGAGACCTTGGAACCTTCGGGGAAAAAGAGGTTTACCGTGCTCCACTTTGCTTCACCATTCGAGCAGGTAAATAAGGACGGAGTACTTCCAAGGCTCAGATGAGTTCTTTCATCATGAGAAAAGTCAATCTATCTCAAATGAAGCCTCCCAATGTGGAAATCACAGTACACAACTTATCAGAATGTCCATTCTTCAGAACACACGACAAAATCAATGGCGAGGTTATATTCACACCGCACCAGCAAACTAGTGTTGAGGACATTAGCATTGAACTCACTGGTGAGTATCAGCTCAGACAACCCTGAAGCCGATCTTTCGGAAAACTGACTGGGTGGAAAGGCGTGACAAAAACAGAGGTCGAAAACATGAACTCTCATATTGCGACTTCACCCCCTAAACTGGAAAAGAAATTCTTGTCTATGCAACATCCTATTCCAGATTTTCTATGGGATACGAAACGTCTTGAACCAGGACAGACATACCGATTTCCATTCACGTTTGTGGTTCCAGAGCAGCTTCCCGTTCAAGCCTGCTATCACCAATGCGCGCATCACCAGATCCAGCAGCATCATTTACGGCTACCAGCTAGCCTCGGTTTTCACAGCCAAAACACAACACAAAACCATAGTCAGAGCAAAGACATGTCCCCAAATATAGCGAAAGTCTGCTATGGGATCCGGTTTACAGTATGGAAAAAGAACGAGAAGGAAGACAAAATGAAGAAAATCCACTCGTCAGCCTATCCGGTGCAAATAATGCCATTGAGATGTGAGAATTCTCCGATCTTAGTGCCCCCAAAGAGCAAATATTACCGAATGAGTTCAGAGAAAAACGTGTCAAAGGGTGTGATGCAGCGTTCGTCGGGCAAGTTCACAGCAAGCTCCAATCAGCCTCCAGCAATCCATTACAGAGTCCCCGACCCCAGAGCGGAGAGCCATCAACTGTGTTGAAACTCGATCTTCAATTTGAACCTTCGAAGGAAGGCGAGTCTCCACCGCGTATACTAGCGGCCCAGTTTCAACTCCGAGCTATGACTTTCTTTGCTCTGGAGCCGTGGCAGGATTACCCTGATCTATCGGACATTACCACCTGGGATCGACAAGGATTTTGGTCGGAGTATGTCTCTCTACAGCCCGAGGCCGATATGGATTTAGAATGGAAAACTACAAGTAGCAAGGAACATGACCGAAGGATATTCACTGCATCGATTGAAGCCCGCGTCTCGCTACCCAGCCATCAGATCTACCCCACGACTTCCCATTCTTGTTTGGTGTCTCGAGTATATGCGCTGAAAGTGATACTCTTCTATCGAGCCCACGGAAAAAAGCGAGGCACTTCGAGGCTCTCGCTCTCTGTGCCAGTTGAGGTATGCTGATCGTGATCAGATGACCAAAAGTTGCTCTCAAAGCGACCAAGAAAGAAGAAAACAATAGACATGCCGCGGAGTCCACAGTCAAAATAATACTCAATCAAGCTTCGTGCTCTAGCTGCTGTGCGGTCTATCTATATCGACAATTTGAACATTTGTAGAGGTCCAGCGTATTCATGCCCTACTGTAAGCATTGGCCAGAACCAAGTACAGCAGAAATTGGTTCCAAGTTGTGCTGCAGACAAAAAGCACACCTCAATTCGAACAAACAACAACAACACAAAGCAGAATCCACATTCCAGAGCATCTATCCACCAATCCGACCCCTTGGATGTCAGCCCCTAGGTATCCATCGCCGATAAATATCTGATCTGAGTTGTCGCATTCCTCGATCGGCATGCCACTACCAGAGTGGCATCCAACACAAACAACAGCGAATCCTAGCCCTCATCACTTGCCTGGTAGAAGTATCCTGCCTTGTTTCCCGGCCCGTGGCATGGCTTCGAGTATTTCCACAACCCGGAGCCTTGCGGATCATACCCTGATGGGAAACTCGGCCTTTGATGCCTCGATGGGTAGAATTCCACACGCGGCATGTCCTTGCCTTCGCTGGGGCCCTTCTATTCGCAATAAGTGCAGCCACTGCCCGTGCCTCTCATTCGGATTTGTTTTCGCTACTGTCCGTCACTAGCCATCGGTCACCTATCATCAAACCCACACATTATTATCCCAGCTATTTCTTGGACTGGGACATTGGTCTCTGTCTTCTGAGTTCAACTTGTTGCTCTCACTGTCTTGGCCTCTGGCCTGATCGGTTGACCGAGTACCCCTTGATACAAGCAACCAAAACAAACGCATTATCCTTGCATTCACACACACCACAATGACTCTCGTGCGAGACCCCTGCTTTTGGAAACGCTTTTCCGCCGCGGTGCACATGGACGAAGAGTCAAAAGGAGTTGACCAACAAACACAAAAACAAAAACAAGACAAGTGAGCTTCACCATCCCTCGCAGCTTCTTTACTACAACACACGTCTAACCACTCTCAGACAATCATGGCTCTACCGCGAACGCCGCAAACGCAAACGCTCCATTATCTGCGGATTCATCATCTTTTTCGCGATCGTCTTTGCTGCCATAGCCGGTGTCGTGATATGGTGGCTCGCCAAGAACCACTGGCTCCAACCGGGCCCGGACGCTACAGAATAAAGCGACATCCACTGGGAAAGCTCTAGGGCCGGTTCTATTTCGAAGTTTCGCATAATTGGAGATTTGATATACCCGCCGCTTCTCCAGCGGCATGGCGTTTGCATTGGCATTTTGATTTCAGGTTGGATCTTTGATATTCTTTTCTACTAAAAAAACCGGACATACTATCAATACATACTCGCATCATATCTCGGCAATTTCATAATCTCGTATCACAGCCTACTCCAATGCATCCATGGATTGTTCGGGACGACCTGCCATAACTAGCGTAGTCTACAGCTCTTATCATTTGACCCCAACTCGGCAACAAAATACCCTTGAATGCTCATCCCGAGGTCGTTAAATGCTTGAACACTGATTTTATTGAATACATGAGGGTAACTTGGCTTCAGATACCTACAGTGTGATCTTCCAAAGCCATTGTGTTTTGATCGCAGCAGAGCTGTGTACACAATGTTTGGAACCGAGTCGAGCTCCAACGGCTAACCTCGGACGATCTTATCGCTTCCCCGCATCCCCCAGATCTCGTACTTAAACCCCGACACTCCGACACTCCGACTTTCTTTCTCCAGGCCTCTCTTCTCCTCACACCGCCATAATGTTACCTCCATTTGACTACATCTCTTACCGTCGCATACGGCAAGTTTGTTTACGTCTGCGATAAGCAACAAAAGCTAACTTGGAATAGGAACCATAAGCAACAAGAACGGGCACTGCGCTTCTCGGCCCTTCCCCACCCTTATCACCTCCGCATCACCGCCAATGACAAGCAAGTCATCAACAAGCCTATCGAAGAATTGGTCCATGACATCCAAGACTCGGCTGTCTCTCCTCTAGACGTCCTTCGTGTCTACGGCAAGGTAGCAAAAAGGGCCCAGGAGCGCACAAACTGCATCACGGAGCTCCTGCTCCCTGAAGCTGAGTCGTGGCTTGATTCCGAGATCAACTTGAAAGGCCCTCTGGCTGGTATACCAGTCTCTTTGAAAGACACAGTTCACGTCAAGGGCTTTGATACCTCGGTTGGATACGCGTCTTTCACTGGACAGCCCCTCTTGGAGGATGGTCCCCTTGTGAAACTCTTGAAGGATGCAGGTAGAGTACCCCGAAAATGGTTCCAATGAACACTCGCTCAAACTATTTAGGCGCGGTCCCATATGCCAAGACTGCTTTGCCCATCACTCTCCTCTCTTTTGAGTCTTCCAACGGCCTTTGGGGCATTTGCCGCAACCCCCACGTTCCAGCCTACTCGCCCGGTGGCTCAACGGGTGGAGAGGCGGCGCTCATTGCTCAGGGTGGTCGAATTGGCATCGGATCTGATGTTGCTGGGTCTGTCCGTGTGCCCGCCGCCTGGAGTGGCATTTACTCCCTTCGCTGCTCGACTGGCCGCTGGCCCAAGGCCGGTGTGAACACCAGTATGCCAGGCCAAGAGGGTGTGCCCAGTGTCTTCAGTCCCATGGCTCGTACCCTGGACGATCTGACCTATTTCACCCGGGCCATCATTGGCATGCAGCCTTGGAAGTATGATCATTCTGTTCACCCGATAGCCTGGCGTAACGACCTCGAGTCCGATGCGCAGAACAAGCCTTTGCGCATTGGTCTCATGAGCTCCGACGGTACGTAACTCGGTAGCATTCTCAGAAACATATCTCTGACCTTACAGGCGTCATCCCTCCAACACCCGCCATTGCGCGTGCGCTCTCGACCACCGTTGCTGCTCTCACCGAAGCTGGCCACACCGTGTCCGAGATCACACCCCCGTCCTCCGCAGAACCCTTCGCAGGCCTGAACCTGGGCGCCCAACTCCTCAACTCGGATGGTTGCCACCACTTCAACGTGCCTCGGAAGTCATTTGAGCCCACTGACCCAGGTGCCAGCCAATTGGCTCGTATCGCCCACCTTCCCCGCCCCGTCCGCTATCTCTACTACCTCTACGTGCGCTACATCCGTCGCGACAAGGTCTCCGCTACTCTCATCCGAAACTTCGGCCCCAAGTCGGCTGCCCAACTCTGGACTCTCACCGCCAGTCGTGAGGCGTTCCGTGCCGCCTGGCATAAGTGGTGGGACGCCGAGTCCCAGCAATTCGATTTCATTGTGTGTCCTGTCAACGCCACCCCGGCCCTCCCGCATACCGCCATGCACGATGCCGTCTCTTCCTGCGGCTACACTTTCCTCTGGAATTTGCTTGATTACTCTGCAGGCGTGATTCCTGTGGGTCATGTCGATCCTATCCGTGACGCTCTCGACGCGCCTTACAAGACTACTCTGAAACGCCTTGGCGCCGACCATGGTATCGCTCGCGGTGCGTGGAAACACTACGATTCGGCCAAGATGGCAGGTCTCCCCACTGCGGTGCAGGTGGTTGGTCGCCGCTGGCAGGAGGAACAGGTGCTTGGCTACATGGCTGTTGTGGAGAAGGCGCTGGAACAGCATCTGGACCCGCAGACCGGTCGGAGCTGCAGATATACCCTGTTGGAGATCGACTAGTTGCATTTTTCATGATGACCACGGGCCAGCGGTCATTCGATGCGGATATCTTCCGAGCTCCAGTCACAAAGAGCACCTAATTAGCTGCATGAATAGCATGAATAGCACGAATGAACGTGAGTATTGCGTGTCGAGTCCTTCGTATTTGTAGGCGTGATCAGTGAGTCCGAGACATATCAGTTCCCTCCGGATTTGTCTTGCAATTGTTCCTGGCTGCAATGTAACCCAAAGTGGGGGGGTGATTTAGGGAATTTGGGGGGTTTGTGTGTGGGCTGATCTTCACGCACCATTTCCCCTCTCAATTTCAGTACGGAGGCATTTCTATACCGTCCAGACGTCAATGCCCAAGTCAATAGGAAAAAGTATGCAGGAAATCAAGAAATTCAAAGAAAAGAGCAGATTCCTCTGTGCGATCCCTGTTCATAAGTGAGACCCCCCCCGGACTAAAATAAGAAAAACCCTCTAGACGTGCATGATGTACTCCGTACTCCGTAAAGCTCTCTGCTTTCTCTTGAGCTTCGGGATATTTCCAATCTGGCCTGTGGCTTTGCTGTGAGAAAAAAGAGCTAAGCTGAAGAAGTGGCTTTCGGCCGAGCCAAGAGTTGCTTTTCATGTTGTCGCGGTCTATACGGAGTAACTGTGCACGGGTACGAAGTAGATAGACTCTCAGACAGGCTATTAACGTTGTTCCAAGTGTTAAGATTTCACAGAATAGGGCAATGGTAGGTACAACATAGGGAACCCGTGGACGTGCAGGCTGAGGTCAACTTGAGTCTCAACCAATCGCCAGGAAGTTACTACCGAGCCCTGAATGATCCTGGAGGAATCTCGGAGTATAGGCGATAGTGTTGTGTTAGCGTGATAGTCTTGTTTAGTGTTGTTCAGTCTTGTAATGCACGCACGGGGCTCGAACCCCCTTTTTCAGGGGCAAAAACATCCAGATCTGACTGTCTCTGTCTCTGTGACTTTTGAAAGTAGAGTCATTCGTATTTTGAGAATTTTAAACTTGACATTTTAACTCTCACAGGTGGAGACTGTCAGTTTAAGTCCGGGTCTAAAGGCCTTAATGCCTTACGTAGAGTCTAAGGGTAACTGTTCGACTTCTAGTACTTCGAGTAGTCAGTTACGGAGTATCCTAACCAATTAGACCTCAAATCGGCCTATACCGGCCTAAAACAGCCTAACCTTAGGAACCCCTAAAGATCTCAAAGAAAGCGTCGATAACCTTTCGAAACAAAAACCCAAAGCGATCTGCGGTCACGGGGCTTCACTTTCACTTTGCTCCCCACCATCGCCCGCATATGATCGACATTAATATACGCGCTGTCACTCCCAACTTTATTTCTCTCGAACGATGCATCTGAAATGGCTTCCAGACGAAAACGTACAGAGGGTATTCATTTTGTGAACGCCAGGCCCGCCGACGAAGATGAGAAGTTGAAGGGTCAGCGTCTGGTGCGCGCCCATGTGGGGAAATGGATCTCCGACCAGACAAAGGACCGGGAACCCCGTCCCAACACCCAGAGGGGGTTTGCGCTCGTCGCTCGCGCGAGGGCAATCCCTCGACCCGGTTTAAGAGCTTCCCTCCGCAACTTGCCTTTCCCGCATCAGAACAGCGATAGCGACAGCAGCAGCGATGATGGATGCGACGAGGCCCGACTGATCGATCGCTGGTATAAGCTCCCCGCGCTGGAACGGCTGGAGCGCAATATCTCGGGAATGATGGACCCCTTCGATACATATCCGGCCTCCCGAGCTTTCGACCCAGAGATGATTGACATGTCGGAGCGGTATATCACCGGCGTGGTTTGGCCCGGTCTCACGCCCCGCCCCGGTGGCGTCAAAACGCCCGGCAAGTCGTGGTTCGAGCTGTCCATGGCCAACGCGGAGCTGTTTACGGCCTTCATGTTCGGCTCGTTATGTCACCTCCGCGTGCAATGGCAGAACAATTGGATCCCCGGAACGACATTTGGCGCGAAACAGCAGCGTGCGCTGCAACTGTGTGAGATGGAGTCGATCAAGTTGATTAATCAGGCTGTGCGGAATCCGAATCCTAAAAAGGCCGTCAGCGACGCTGTCTTGTTAAGCGTTATCTGTATGGCGCATCATCAGGCAGAGGAGAAGCTGGTCCAACAGCATCGGAGGACACCCTTTAACCCGCCATTCCCGCGGTTACAATGGATCGATGTCTACGGATGTCTGCCACCAAATATGGTCCATATAAAAGGACTGGTTCAGTTAGTCAAGCTTCGAGGTGGCCTCTCAAGTATACCAACCGAGGGTCTCGCTGCAACAGTCTCATTGTATGTTCTACTTTCTCTATAACTGACGGCCTCCCCCGCTAACAGCCGCCAGCTCGGATATTCTCACATGCAGCGTGCTCTGCGTCCACCCAGCATTTGAATTCTGGCCCCTCGCCGAATCCCGCATGGGAATGTCTGTACAAGAGATGCTCTGCTTCGGCCCCGCCGATATCGCCAGCGGCTTCGGGCATCTGCAGGACATCGGCGCAACGAGCGAAATGGCCGAAGCCTTCCAGGCAGCTCATACCTATGTTAAAATTATAAAAACAAACCCCACCTCCGTCCGCGACGTCTCCCTCCCTAGCCGATCAGCGCAACCTCACACAACATACTCTCCTCTCCGTGGCCCCAGCGTCTGACCTCCACGCCTTCTTCTCTCTCACCCACGCATCAACATATGAAGCCTGCCGTCTAGCAGCCCAGATCTTCGGTGTCGGCGTCCTCTTCCCTATCCCCGCACAAAACACACCCCTCCACCACCTCGCTCGTCTTATCCAAACCCTCCTCCACCAACCCACTGCCTCGGAACTGTGGACTTCGCTCACGACCCGCCTTCCCTTAGTGTGGATCTTGACGTTAGGTGGTATCGCCGCGAGCGATGCCCCAGAGCGCGTCTGGTATACCACCGCCTTACGCGACATTCTGTACAGAACGAACATCAGGAGCTGGCCAAAGTTGAAGGCTGTTCTCGAGTCCATGCTTTGGTACGATGCTGCTTGTGATGCCGCTGGCGAGGCGCTCTGGTTCGAGTGTCAGCCAGTAGTTGGTTTCCTTGCGTGATCCCGATTCGATCGCTATCAGCTGCAGCACGCATAATGTCTGTTTTTGGAACAAAGAACATCTTTCGTTGTCTTGCATGGCGACCTTGTGCTGAAATTTTGGATGACTGCGCTTTTTGAGATCTGTTTTCATCGCCACGTGTCACTCGGTGATTAGATTATACCGATGGCTGACTCTTTGTCTTGCGGAGACTTGTATAGATCTGCCGCGCATGTTCCTCTGGTCTTGAAGCTTTAAGTTACTTGGGCTTGAACTTGCTTTCAAATCTCACTTTGGATATTGTCCGCATTCATGGATGGTAATGTCTCGAACATGAGGAGAATTCCCACCATGCTTTTTAGGTACACCTTTACCTGCATTTTGATATCACTCCACACTCAAATATAACGTTTTCAAAGTTGATGTCTCTGCTCAACCTAAGTTATGTGATTCAACCCTAGACACCGTACCTCCTCCCCTGTCCATCTAGAAGAGGAGCCCTTTCACCAATCTCCTTCTCCCTCTCCCTGGTTTTCCAGGACACAAATATAACCAATCCCGCGCCCACACTCGCGACTAGAACCGTTAGCCCAATATTGACTGGAACAGGATCCCCCTTCCAGACTTTGAGCGTAAGCGCATCAAGTCCCGCCTGTGCAAAGTTTCCAATCCCAGCCAAGCATATCACAAGGCCATACACTTTACCAAATGTCGCAAATCCAAACACTTTTGCAGCGTAGTCGGATACAGCGGTATAATAGAACGGTCTGTACAACACAAAGAGAAAGATGTTTCCGTATGCCGCGGTAAGCTGTGGTATACATCCCAGCACACCGATGACAGTAGCAGTTAGGACGAGGATTGCTAGAACGGTCCTCGTTTGGAAGACGTCAAGGAATGTGCCGATGAAAGGGACAGAGACTAGGCCACCTATTGGGAGAAGAACGTCGAAGGCTGTGTTCAATGTTTTGGCGAGGTGCGGGTTCAGCATATAGTTATATTGGGAGCGCAAAGTTGCGACAAAGTAGTTGATTCGTAACATCATCAGGACCGTAAAGGCGGTAATGAGGATGAACCACGGTGTGCGGATCTGGGAGAGGGCACTGTGCCCGTGAAGGACACCCCAGACGCCTGTGGGGGCAGGAGGGTTGGCTGGGATGGGTATGTTCTGGACCGGGCCGTCGATGGAAAGAACAGATGTGGTATCGTCCAGAAGACTCTGTATATGGCTGACCAAGCTTTGACGGCGGAGGCGTCTGTTTTTGCGCTGGAGCTCGCTTTCATCGGGGTCCAGTGATTCATCCATGCGATCTTCGGCCTCATCTGCGATCTGGGCCTCGGCTTGTTGGGCGAGTTCGCCGGCGGTTTTGTAAGATGTAGCTGGCATGACAAATATTTGCATTGCGATGATAAACACCGGCACGACAAGGTAGACGGCAAAGAAGTTTTTGAGGGATACAAAGTCAGTGCGTTCGTTGAGCAGTCTGAAGAGCAAGAACAGCGCGCTTGAAGCGTCAAACGCTCCTGTCAGCATCGATAGGATCAAACCGGAGCGTTTAGGGAACGTGTTGGATAGATGGAAGGACGGAATAAAGATGAATGGACCGCCCAGTGCAAGAAACAGATATCCTGGAATGTATCCATCGAATGAGAGCTGTTTAGCTGTCCCAAAAAGTATAGCTCCTGTTGCCAAGCAGATGCTGCCAATTATGCTGCTGACTCTGGGGCCATAAGCGTCTAGAATGGTTCCAACGGGTAAGGCTGAGACATTCGTCACTACGGCGGCAATGGTGAACATCAGGTTAAGCCTGTTCGAGTTAGCCAAGCGCGCGACTAATCGAAGAAGAGCTGATACCTGATTTCCTGCCCATCGCATACATCGACATCTCTCTCCAGCTCTGCCTGGGAACAGAGGTTGCGATACACCTTCTCGCGGATAAGGACGGGTTTTAGTGCGGCAAACCCGAAGACCACGCCAGCAGCTAGGAAGCAGTATACGACCGCCGTGCAGACCTGGGCTATTTAAAATTAGTAAAGGCAACCCATATGAAATGCACTTTTGCAATCGCAATCGCAATAGCCATAAAATAAAGCACTCACCAATTCGTTTTGCAGCGCTGACCTCATAGGCTCCTGTTGTATGCGCCCATGGGGAATCCACTAGCACAGGCCTCTCGGGCGCTGGTGAGCCCGCCCGACCTTCACGGGTAGTGGTTGGGGACAGGCCTAAAAACGAGGGACCAAGGAACGAAGCCCGATCGTCATGTGGATCATCTGGATTCTCGTTCCACCCTGGCCCCGCGTACGGATTGAAGTTCAGCCTGCTGTAGGTCGAGGGGAAGGAGGAGGCCACGGATCCATCTGGTAAATCCTGGTAGTCGTCTGGCTCTGAGTCTGTGCCCGAATCAGGGCGGTTTAAGAAGGCTGCGGGGTTGCGTTCCCACCCTTCGAGGAAGGAGATGCGGTTTAAGGACATGGCATTATCATATCAAGTACGAAGTATAGACAGAAGAGTTAGGTTCAGGGATGGAAGTGGTTGAATTGCAACATTTGAAGTAGCCCTGGAGAGCTTCAGAGATAAGAGGTCGCAAGCTATGAAACTGTTACCAAAGCTCCTTGCAGATGCTTGGTGTTATCTCCGTGGATTTTGAGGCCTGGTTTATGAGGCGACAAGGCGACAAGGCGACGACACTTCACCGTTTCTGATAAGGCAACCAGGCACTAAGGCACTCAGGCTCCAATATCAAATCACCAGCTCCTTTCCGCGGACAGCCCTTGGACCTTCCCAAGGATGAAATGATCAATAATTTTAAAGAAAAGTTGATCCCTTTTATTCTGGTCGGAGGATTTGGCCGAAAGAGGCAGCTGACAACACACACAGACACACACACTCCCCCACATATCCAGCCAACGCTGTCCTCTGGGCCGGGCTTAACTTTATAGCCCATGCAGATGCAGATTCGGGAACTCAAAGTGTCCGGTCTCGAATCATATCTTCGGCTTCATCCTCCCTCGGAGAAAGATCGACAGGGTTCGACGCATCCCCATACGCTATCCACGGCTCAAATGAAATTAATCACAGCAATGCCGATAATTCCCTTACGACCCCACCATGCCCACCATGCGCTCCGGGATTTGTCCCAGTCGATCCCCGGCGTCGCCGGTCCAATTGCCAGCGGCACCTAGCGAGAATCCAAAGGATCTAGAGTTTGGAAGTCCCATGTGGGCGCTCTGGGGGTAGAGGTCCAAGCCTCGCTCTCGCCTTTCGGTGAGCATGGCAAATGAAAAGTGGATTTCCAACTGCCCTACGTATATACGCTAATATGTTTTTGAAGCTTATTACGCGCCTTTTTGAGTTATGTCCCTGACAAACCGCGACGAATTTATGCCAAAACTCCGGTAGTGAATGGAGACCATCCCGTCCCAGGAGTCTTTCATTGGCTGGCAGTCCTCGTCTAACGCATCCTCTTTTTTTTTTTCTTTCTCTCATTCACTGTCGCCCCTGATCCAAGGTATTAATAACAGGAACAACAGGGACCTGCAAAAGAGGAAAAAGCACCTCTGGGCCTCATTTCTAACAGATTCGCCATAGTCCACTTAGTACATGACATATGCCGAAATTCCGACGGGTTTGACTCAGATCCTTTTTATTAATATACATATTTTATTTTCTGTTCTTTTCTTCTTGACGATCAGAGACTTTCGATCGGGGCAACCGTAGAAACTAAAGGGGCGGGGGAACGGCCACCCAACCACAACCCTCGTGGCTCGACCTGGTGGGGGGCGTTGCAACTGAACGTTTTTCCCATTCGGGTTATCATCAAGAGATTCTTCCAACTCCAGTTTAACTTAAAACTCGCTCAACAGTTTTTTTTTTTTTCGGTCCTGATTGAAGGAGCTAATCTCCAACCGCCGTTGGCTGTATACCCCAATGCAAAATTAGCATCATACGCAATCCGATCTACCCTAAAACCCCCCACTCTCCGTATGGTCCGGTCTGCTCCCAATCGTGATATAACTTTGATACTTATTCATCTCGGGCCTGGCATTCCGATTATGCTTACTTTCTGGAAGCCTTCCCTTTGTGTTGTACTTTTGACTGCGTAATGAGGGGATGGTGAGTTGAGTTTTTTTTTTTTTTTTTGTGATTTGCGTTGACCCGTCTAACTCGCTCTAGCCTCACATGTCGTCTGCGCCATCTGAAATGTATGCTTGGCCCATGGTCTTCTGTAGCCTCTGCTAATTCTTTGCTCCAGGTGACAAATCTGGTTCGAAATGTTTGCGCTGCCAAAGATCTGGCCGTGAATGTGTGCCGGCCCCCGGCAAATCTGAAGAGGTCTCTTTTCGCCATGGCCAAAATCCTTCCTTGCGGGGAAAGGGACCCCCGAGGTACGGCGAGAGTGATCTCGCTTTCCCCGATGATCAGGTGTGGGTTGAAACGTCTGCCGACTGTACGAAAACCCCTCCTGCGGCTGGTGTGCGTCTTGACTAATTTGCGCTAGTCGACTTCAAAGATGAAACAGAGCAGACCGCAGCTGAATATCATGTTGTACCGGTGACAAGGCAACTGTCACCTGGAAGATCGTCCGAGGAGGGTTCGACTCCTTCCTCTGCGATGGACTCCTCCCTGACGACTCCTAATCTCACTATCCCTCGTTCGAGTTATTTCGACTCGAGGTCTAATTCGGGCACTCCTCGCTCTTCAACCACGCCCATCGGCCAGCCGAGGCTAAGTAATGTCAGCGAAGCATACTTACTTCGCCATTTTCAGAAGCATCTTGCTCCTTGGGTAAGTCTTGATGGATATTTTCCCTGATCGGGACTCTCGGCTAACAATTTAGCTTGATGCATGCGACCCTAGCCGACACTTTTCCACAAACGCTGTTGAGCGCGCTACTCACTCACCATTATTGCTTTATGCATGTCTAGCTGTGTCCGCATGCCATTTATCTAAAACAACCAGCACACTCGCCATAGATGTTGCACACGCCTATCATGAGCGCTGTATCACGATTATGCTCCCGGTTCTCGACAAACCCGAATTCGACATCAGCATCGACATCCTCCTCCCATCAACTGTGATCCTTCGATTTTTCGAATCTATCTCCGGTACGCCTCGCCTCGTCACTGCAAATTCCGACGCTAATGCCACCACAGCACACAGTCCCCCTCATGACGCACAGCGTCATCTCCTGGCCGGCTCCGTCTACATCAGCTCGCACGTCGACTGCGCTATCTCCGGTGGACTGGCTTCGGCTTCTTTCTGGATGTTCGTCATCCAAGACATTCAATTCTCGCTTACGTACCAGAAATGCCTCCGGTTGACTTTTGCGCCCTTCGACGAGGGTCTCCGCCGTTGGTGGAGCGCCAAGCCCACCCTGTCCGATGGTGACTGGACGAACCGGGCAATCTGGCTGTTGGCCGAAACTGTTGACTTTTGTTATAATATCTCGGGCCGAAACCATGATGGCCGACTTGGCAGCGCGGTTGAGACTGCGCTGAGGAGACGTATATTCGAATGGGAGCTAGAGAGGCCGAATACTTTCGCGCCGTTGCATCTTTCTGCGCCAGATCCTGGGAGGGGGAAGCCTTTCCCGGTGGTCTGGTACACAAGCTTGTGGCATGGTATGTAGCTCGTTGAACGCTATTCGGTGTGCTCTGTACTGACTTCATTTCAGCAACTGCAATCCAGCAGATCTGCATGGCCAAGGCATTGATGCTTATTCGGGAATTGGAGTTCTATGACCGCAGCATGTTGCACATGGAACTACCCATGAAATTGAAGGTGAGATTATTGCATCTTCTGGCACGGGCCTGTATTAACATCGACAGGCCGATCTCACTGAAAACCTCCATTTCATGTTCGGCATCGCTGTATCTACCGATGACGAACCTTCGCTGCGTATTACAGCCTGTCATGCATTATTTGCTTGTAAGTTGAACTCGATGTCTGAAAATGTTTGACCCTAATCTTCTCCTAGGTATCGCTTGGGTTGAGGATCCTCTGGTTCAAAGCCAGCTGTTTGATCTGCTTCGTCGCACAGAACGTGAGAACGGCTGGCCGTGGGGTTATGTGCAACATCAAGTCGTACAGGCTTGGAGGCCAACCTTATAGATTAAAATTATAATGATACCCATACTGTGACACATATACAGGGTGCGGCTGTCCATCAATAGAAGTATGATTTGTAAAATCTATGCAAGCAAGGGTATAGAGTAGAGAGTAAAGCTAGAAAATCAATCAAGAAAACCCAAAGGTTGAATCAAACGAGAGAGGGAAGGTAAACAGGCCGTCGTCCACCATGTTCCCAAGTGTAAACCAAGAATCACCACCAGTGGGATCCATGCCTAACTCGGGCGCCATGCCCATCGGCGGCGCAAGTTGCATTCCATTGACTCCGGAAATATCCGAGTACCCGGGGTGTGTTGGGGCCGCAATGGGCTGTATATCTGAGTAGCTTTGTGATGAATCCGTATAGGGTTGGTAGTAACCCCGTGAGTCTACTCCGTGTTGGTCTGAGCCGGGAAGCGTGGTCGGGTATGACGGGCCAGAAGACCAGCTGGTCTGGGGGCTTGGTTTCGTTGCTGAAACACCTGATAATGATGGATCCCCGTAGCTTGACGACCCTGGGCTTTGAGTTGCCGAATAACCTTGCCCAGACATGTGACGACCGGTAGTGAGATTGCCTACTCGAGGGCTTGGTTCACCCATGGCAACCTCACTGAGGAAATGCAGCGGCGTCATACCCTCTGACATCTGTGCTGGTGGTTTTGCGGGATCCTGGCGTGCAATACTTGGTTTGCGATCCGAGCCTCGGTGAATCGAGAAAGCCTCTTTGAGCTCCTGACCCTGGTCTCCTTGGTCTCGCTTCTTGATAAACCAATTGCGCAGCATGACCATGATGTTTCCAAATTTCGCTGCTGCGCGGCCACCATTCAGTCCCGCGGCCGAGCGATAGTGAGCAATCACTTTGTCGAGGTAGTAGTCGAGCTTCAGACTCTGTACATCGAGTATTTGTCCAATGCGACTGTCCGGCGTCATAAAGAGCGAATACATTTTGATCAAACATACCACAGGATATGGCGTCCGAGCCAATGACGTGGTCGGCAAAGATATGAGTCGCTCTTTATCAATCGTGCAAATTATGTCGATACTCTGGTGAATGCAACGGACAGCGGTGTTCAATGCGTCATTCAAAGCCGTGATAGATGCACTGTGCTGCTTGTTACGCAACAATGAATCGTCGCTGACGTTGTAATTGACACTGAAGGCTGATTCATGCACAAACAGATTCAAAACAAGTTCAGTCTGGATCATCGGGCCTTCGGGAAAAGTTAGCATGTCGCTCTGACACCCGTGATTTTCGAGACCAAGACTTACTGCTGTAGACATCCTGTGGAACCTCTGCTCTCCATTTGGCAATTCGGTCCTCAAACATCTTCATATCATAAAAAACCTTGCTACCCGCAAAAGTCGCAATCGATCCGGGGTCTTCGGCTGCAAAATTTGTCCCAGCATCTTCCATGATGATGCCCAGCTTTGCCCACCATTTTAGTTTGCGATCTGAGGGAAGAGCATCGGGGTGGGTGGCCAAAATCTCGAGACACTCGTCCATGTACGGTTGCCATGTGATCAGATGTACTCGTCTCAAAGCCGACGCCATCTGCGCTGCCAGATAATAACATCCAACCCAAGTTCGCCTAGCCTCTGGGCCCTCGGGATCGAAGGCAGGTCCAGTGGGCTTTTTAATAATCAGCTCACGGATCATGTTCAGGGTTCGCTTGTTTTCGGACGGACGACGGTTGAGTCCTAACTCCATGGCTAAGATTGCCGCCATGTGCGTCAAAGAGTAAAACTTGAGTTCTTCAAAACTGTCCGGTGGCATATACCACATGGCGCAGACCATGATGGTCTGGACCAATTCCAAAGACTTGTGACCTTTGACAACCACTTTCTCGGCGATTAACTTGTAAAGCTCATTGACCAAGATAGTCTGTGCCTCGGGATTAAACACGCTGACCGAGACAGCGATAATAGCGAGAAACAAGAACGGTTTGTTGCGACGCACTTCGCCCATCGCTGTGCCCGGGGGGAACACAACAAACGGCATCTCAGGGGCCATCTGATGAACATATCGATCGAAAGCCAAGCTGGCCGTATTGTAATCGATGATCTCCCGGTCAATCATATCAGCAAACTCGTTGTCAGTCGCTGACTTTGCTGGGGGAGCAGGTCCATCAGCAACAGGTCTACGCCATTGTCTCGAGGCCGTAGGAATTTGTTCCGCAGACGGACTCCCAGGGCGAGAGTACCGCGGTGCCAGCATCTCACTCTGCCTTTTCACCTCGCCGCTCGCCTGGCGCTTGCTACCAGCAATCTTTGATTCACTGAGCCATCCCCGCGCTGTCTCCTCGCGCGGCGTAGGACCAGAGAACAATGGCGCAGGGGGGTGTGAGGCCTGCAATGTAGCAGTGAGGGCATCGATCTTGCGCTCCAGCTCCGCAACTCGGTTATCGGTCTTTTTCTGGCGTTTGCGCGTGGGCGCAGTGACTACGCATGTACGTCGTGCTTTGGCGCATCGTTTGCATGAGGCTTCGGGGTGGTCTGGATCAGGGTCACAGCGGACTTTGAGTTGTCGGCAAGGCTCGCATGCACGCGATCGTTTGGCTTCATGCTCGGCGTCGGGGGATGGGTTGCCGTGCTCCGCGTTTATGGATGGCCCCGCTTGGGCTTGCATACCCTCTCGGGGGTGTCGGCTCTCATATGGATTGAGCGAATGGTGGGATGGTGGCTCCGGGTAATCCGGACTTATGGGAGTCGGTCGGGTCGGCATGTAAGGAGGCCGTTGGGCGTCCCCATCGCGGTGCAACTGAGGGTCGATGTCCATATAGTGCAGGACTGATCGGTCGGTGCCGATTTCGAGTAACAGGCTATTGTTACATATTAGATCTTGGGTTCAATAATATGAGTTGTGCGCCGTTGTTCGTGACGGCGGATTCTTTGACGGGAAGCAGCCGGAGGCACGGTGGTCGCAAGCACCGAGTACCGACAGGGATGATCAACATAAAACCCACCTCACAATTCAAATGCAAAAATGATCTCAAATAAAGCAAATCTTTCCCCAAACGAATGATGAAAGTTGATCTCACCTTTCAGATCTCGCAGTGAGGCTTGAGTTCCTCGCCACTTTGGGTTCACAAGTGGATGAAGACTATTCTTTTAGCGGACCTGCCTCACGCACGTGACCCTCGTCTGATCTTGTTGGATGCAATACTACGTTGCACTCTGATTTTGAATTGCTTTCATTGTCAACTAGATCTCAATTGAGATATATCGCTCATTGGGATATCACACAAACGCCAACAAAGAATTACTCCAGACATAACGAAGTATTGAACAAAGATTGGGGTTCTCGTAGTTACGAGAGCTTGTGCACTGGGCACTCGCTCTTCCTCTCGAACCAGTCCACAATGCAGTGTTTGTGGAACTTGCAAAGGCACTCAAGGCGTGCCAAGGTCTGACCAACCTCGTAGTCTTCCATGCAAATGGTACATTCCGCTGTTTGCCCATCCTCGCCGAGACAGTCCTTCTCCGTGGCCACAAATGGCAGCATGCGGGAGGAGGGCGGAGGTTGAGGCAGCGGTGGAGCCTGTCGCCCAGATGATGGTTGAGGGGGCAGTGGTCGGAGATAGTTCTCAATGCAGTCCCGAGTGTGCGCCTGACGTGCCTCCATAGGGTGCTCCGGGCTCAAAGAAGCAAAGCGGCGGCGGCAGACGGGGCAAAAGTCACCTTCCTCTACCGGGCGGCCATCTCGGTGGGTCATCGCACGGTTTTGGCGGGTGCTAGTGGCCGATGACACTGCACGTTGCTGGCCACTCATATTCTGCAGGAACTGCGGTCGGTCATTGGCACCCACAGTTCGTCGTTCCTGGCGTATATCGGGGTGCTGACACTGGTTCTAGAAGGCCACATTAGCTAATTGAACGATGTATGAGACGGACAACAATGCTTACCACTGAAGCTGAAGAGTTGATCATTGTAGAAGACAGTGAGTGCGTGGATCGGTGGCCGTGGGCTCGCATCCCATTATAACCAAGAGGATTGGGGTTGGGATCTGGCACACACGGGTTACAAAGTCGTACCTCTTCTCCGCCGCCAAGAGCAGGATTGATGGCTGACAATGGAGTGGGAGTGTCGCCTGTGAGATCAACGACTGGGGGGAAGCGAGAAGATGATTGAGATGGGGGATCCGGGGAGGTGTCAATGCCATTATCGACGGAATCAGGAGGGCGAACGATGAATTGTCTAGGGATCGTGATGCGATGCGGGGAACATGCTGCACATACTACCCTACCACATTTTCTGCAGTGATGCTTTCTATGCCAGAAGCTAAACACTGTGTTGCAGATTGGGCATTCGGAGACCTCCGAGTCGGCCTGCCACTGGGGAAGAGAGACATCCATTAATGGCGGGGAGTAGTTGTGGTGATGAGATGAAACGGTGCGGGGCTGGCTGATACGCGATGGAGGACCTTCACGGCCAGGCCAGCGTGAGAGTTGTTCAACGGACGGAGAGCGAGAATCAGTAGGAGAAGGAGAAGAGGTGATGTCGATGGCAGTTGCGATCGATGAGCCGGGTGCTGCGGAGATAGATGTTCTTGTTCGGGACGATGGTATTACCATAGAAACAGATCTATGTGGCAGAGTACCCCGAAATCTCTCCCCGTCTTCTCGGCCACCAACCAAACTATCATGGCGGCCCCATCCCTGATGCCGCACGTCCTCGCCCGTGCTGGTCAACCGCCTTTTGCGTTCAGATCCTGGGCGGGCAGGGACCACCCTCGCTCTCGAGCTTCCTCCATCATGAGGGCTATACTCTTCGGACTGGCTGGCCCTGTGAACCTCTGGTCTTTCAGCTGTTCTTGGATCTGCCCGCAATCCCGGCGGAGGGCTTGATCCCAGCGGGCTAGATGACGCCGTTGTTGACGACATGGTTGTTTTGACTCTGAGCCGGCTCAGAACCTGAAACCTCCTGGGTTTGCTTCAACGTGGCAACGAGATCTTGCTCGGCCGTTCGAGTGACACTTCTTCATGAACCGGATGATCGATGTGTCCAACAGGAGGCGTATAATTAGTGACGATATGGGGGATGGAAGGTCCTTTCATGCAACCTAGGGCTCAGCCTCAATGACGTTGACGCTTTTTGCCGAAGATTGCATCCAGGATTGAGAGGATGATGCTTATCATGGAGCCAAGGCCGAAACGGAGGCAGGTGATGAATGAGGCTGATGGTCTCGTGACTGAGTATTATGGTGTGCTCACAGTCAGATGAATGTTACTCTTGGATTGATATGATCTCCTCAGACCAGCCGAACAATGAGATGATTGGGGATTCACCAAAGGAGAGAAAGGAGGATGGATGATGCGTCGGTCCAGAGATACGGTGTTTATCGTGGGGCCAGGCGGTGAAGCCGGTGGCGATTGGCAAATTCGGGGCCGATAAGCGCACCGAACTCTCCGTTCGATGCCGCCACACTTCTCTTCTGGTCTGCCTCGAGCACTGCTTAGGATGTCCATCTCGCTCTGAGCACAACTCAGATTCGGCTTGATGAGCCACTCACAGATACTTCTAGAGTATAGTTGCAGGATTTTTGCATGTCTCATGGCACTGCTGCTAGTGCTGCAAGCCATCCTTATGAGGCCTGGACCCTTGGCCGTGATTGGAGAGTTTAGTATACGAACTCACATAACAGGCTGCCTGAGTACTTGCAATTTACAGATACAGTAGAAGCAATCAAAAAGCGCCAGCACCTCCAACGCGTCCAGAGACTGTTGAGGATGCGACCTAATGCATTCTCACGGGCTTTCACTACCTTACTTCTCCTAACTATAGGCTGCCAAGCCGTCCACTTGGCGGCTGAAACAGATAGATGTCTTCCCGTCAATAATTTATGAAGTAAGCCCGAGGGAGGATACAGGAAATCAATGCCACTGAGGGGACTTCCAAAGAAAATAAAAGGCTTGATTTGAGTCAGCCAACAAGAAAGCTAGGGAAAAATAAGACTATCGGTGCCGAGGTCCCCATTAAGTGTACTTGGGATTGGAAATAAACGCCGTCGCAAATTTTAGAAAAGAGACAGAAAGCAAGGAAATTCGTGGCATGGCATTAGTGCGCCTGGTATGTAGGTACGGGTAAATCAAAAAGAAAGATATTTGAAGGGGAGGAATATTGTTTCAAAATACAGGCTTTGCTTTCTATTTTTCGCCATGCTCGTGGGCGATGGCGTGGGCGGTAGCTTCATCCACGAGTTCGGCTGAACTACCGGCGAACGATGGTTCATCCGGGCTTGCTTCGTGGATATTGTCGTGGGCTCGATGTTGAGGGACGTAACCCATGCTTGAGGGTCGCTCGGTGCGTTTGTCAGTTTGGTGGCTTGAGGCGTTGGACCGTGATCTTGATGTGGATGTAATGGAAAGGCCACGCTCGCGGGATGGTGAACTGTTGCCGCTCAGGGGGAAGCGTGCGGAATTCTCAGGCTGCAGGTGGTGCTCTGAGTGGATGGATCGTTGACCGCCGCCGGTTTCGCGTGATAGTGTCTCTGTGACAACTGGGAGACCAGTTGCATTGCCAATGTCTTGCTCGCCAGCTGCTTGCGTGTGGCGGGAGCCATGTCGACTTGGGAGCTCGATACCACCGCCGACCGAGGTGTTGAGTGGTGGCAGAATAGGTGGATGAGACTCACTTGACGGAGCAAACTCATTGTCGTCCTCTGCGTCGTTGTATGCAACGTTGCCAGCAGACACATTGCGGGACTGGCTGCCCGATGGCGCGTCTGGGTCGTCTTCATACCGTTCATTATAGCCTCCCGGAGGTCCCATACCCGGCGGAGGTGCTCGAGCGCTTCGCACCACTTCAAATCCTTTGGCTTTGTCTTTTGTCTTTCCTTGGAGCAAGCCCCTAAACCATCCTGTCGCAGAGGAGACTGGTCCAGTGGGGTCTGCTGGACCGGTCTTGAGCTTTCGGGTCCCGCTGTGGGAAAGCGGTGGACCACGGACACCGTAGTAGAAGTCTACCTCGCGAACGGCATAATCCTTCGGTTGTCGTGGACCGTCTAATTCCATCTCATCCTTTGGTGCTGAGAGGTATGCTGGCACAGGGGTAGCTCGCCCAGACCTGAGACCACCTTCTCCATCGTCGCCATTCCTCGCGCCTCGTCTGGTGGACATTGACTTCAGGAAGCCCCTCGAAGGACTCTTGCCTTTCTCTAATGAGACACTACCTTCGGGTGTTCTACGACCAGGTCGAGGTGGTCGGTAGTAGGGGTCGCGAGGATGCATCCCAATCATCGGGCTGCTTGGTGAGCTGGGGAAACCAGCTCCCTGGTAGGCGGTTGATGTTGGCGTGGGGAACCCTCCGCTGGCAGCCCTACTGTGCGTACCACCCTGTGAGCTAGCATATTCGAGGACAGCACTCGCCCGGCCCTCACTGGCAGTCGCACGGTTCAAAAGAAGAGCCGAACTACCGGAGAAGCTGCGTGGCCGCGATCCATCGAATTGAGCGGACATGCGGTCGTCAGGGTGGCCGAGCATCGCAGCTTCGGAGCCCATGCTCTGGCGTGCGATACCACTGCGAGCGGTACGCCTGGAGAGCTGACGCATACCGAGCACTTTGGTCAGGCCACCACGTGTAGCACCACCAGCACCAGCAAGGCGCGCCCAAACCTCGATCAACGTCTGCATTGCATTGAGGAAGAATCCAAAGATCAATACCATGGCATGCAAGACAAGGATTAAATAGCCAATCCAGCCACGAGCAGCGTCAGATACTGTTAATGACGGAACAAAGACCACGCTCAAGATGACTGTCAAGAAGCGCACAATGGAGAACAGGCATTGGTACAGGTTCATGTGAGTTGGTCCTGGGAAAGGTCGGAAAGCCAAAAGTGTTAACACCGAGACAACTTCACAGATTGCTAGCATGACCACCTGTGCTATGCCAGATGGCTGCAAAGCTCCGACCGCGATTCCACGAGCGATGTTCAGAAAAATTGGAACAAGCGCAAAAGCCGAAGCATCGTCACAGTATGTATTGTAAAGAGGGCCATAGACGAGCACTGTTGGTAAATCGTCAAAGAGATGGGACTTGGGACGAGTTGAGACAATCACTCGAATGACCCAAATGGAGAAGCAGACCAGGACAACGAGTACCACGGCCGCAAGAGCAACACAGTAAGCGGCAGAGGAGCCTGCCAGGACCAACTGGAAGAAGGATAGGGCGACGATGGGGAAAAGGAGGAAATTAAATACTATGCGGATGAGATTGCCCAAAGTAAATGGCAAGTTTCTCGCCCGCAGGTCCTGGTCTGTGTTGTTGGCCAATTCACGATGTAGCCATCGAAGTGCGAATGCGACCTGAAACAGGACGGTAACGCAGGCCAAAATGGCCAACGTCCATATCATCACGCCGGGCCAAATGTCTTGAGAAGAACCCATGCCAACATACTGGTTCAATCGGTCGAGGCCATAGTTGCCGCTGACAGCGTACACGCCATCGACGACCGGATCACGACCCACGCCGGGCGTGATAAAACTCTGGTTGAACATCAAAGCCGACCACGCACCCTGGCTCACCGCAGGCTGGTAGAATCCCGGATAGTCCAACGAAAGTGCCCCGGTCAAAACCACGAATTGGAGGTACTGCAGGCAGTCCGAGAATCCGGGAGTTACCAGACGAAGCACATCCTCATCTCGGCCGTAGTTACTGGTCCATCTGAACAGATCTGTTGTCCCCCATGGACTGAACATAGCGGCCGCGATGGTGGCGATCCCGACCAAGATCAAGATTACCAAAGGCACATAAGCAATGGCATTCTTGAGGGACGCTCCGAGGTCAGGTGTGACCTTCACCGACACACAGCCCAGCTGCGCTGCGGAGAGATCTCCGGAGCGAATGGTCAATGAAGGTATGATTGTACCGAAGCGGTAGGTTGACAGCATGTCATGTTGCACAGAGAACGCCCGTAACGTGGTCAAATCACTTCTATAAGGTGTATCATGGTTAGAAAATTCGTCGCTGTTCTTGAACAATAACTTACAGATTGTAGTTAAAGACGGGGGCTAGAGGAAAAGTTCCCTGTGTGACCGAGTCGCGGAACCGAGAGGCATTACTGAACGGCGTGAAGCTTAGCACGTTGAAATCTGTCAAGAGCGTGCTATACATGTTGCCTGAGCTGCTCAGATCCTCAATCTTTCCATCGGTCCAATTGATGTTCGTCCAATCCGCAGAGTCCGGTGCCGGGTAATTCGCGGTCCGCGACGAGGTTCCCGACACATTGCCATAAACCGTCACGTTGAGCGGATTTAGAGGGTCGGAGTTGTTGAAAGTGACAGAAACGTTGGTGGGAACAAATTGAAGTTGTAGAGGAGCGGATTCGAGTATGGTTTTTGATAGACAGTTGTCAAAGTCCAACAAGACAGCAGCGGTTGGCGACGCCAAAGTCACCAAGCCCACCAAAGCTATCCACCATAAGGAGGTCCATTGAGATTGGGAGGAGTCGCGCCATGATCGCCGTCGAGTACAGAGTGAACCGGTCCGTCGCGGGCGCGATGTTATCTGAAGGGATGGGGATTCATCCAACTCGATCGCCGAGTCGTACATGTCCGCTTCGGGCATCCGGGATGACCTCCTCGGGGAGGTCAACCCCCGTAAATGATCAAATCCACGTTGTGGCGAGAGTTTGGGCCGGGGTCACCAAATCCAGCCGCCGTCCCTGGGATCGAAGGTCACTCGTGCTTGATGGGGAAACGCAAGGAAGGGAGGTTCGCGTGGGGGAGTCCGAGGGGGAGGTGTGCCTAGAGGTACGAAAGTCTGAGTCTGCCGCGTAAAATCGTCAAACGCGGTACATCCCGGGGACGATCCAAACACACTGAGAACTGAGTAACCAGTGAGAATGGGAAAAAAAAAGAAGTGACTTTTTCCCCCCAGTGGATGTTGTTTTTGTTGCTGCGCCTTGTTTGGCCTGGCCCCAGTGGAGTTTTGATGGCTGACTACTCGACTATCTAATAATCTAATAATAGGCATATCTTCTTTAGCTTAGCTTTTTAGGCAATATTAAAGTAATCAATTGCAATTGAAATGGTTCTTTTTTTTCTCACCATGCTCTGCAATATGGAGGCGTAGCTGAGAATACAAAAATAGTAGTAACGGTGCCCCCCTGTGTAGCCATCGGCATCCTTGTGAAGATATACGGATACTAACCCGTGCCCTTGGGTTTTCCTAGTACGAATCTGCAGTAAATGACTTAACTGAATATGTCTCGCCCCATGTCTAGCCGTGAATATTAACTGCCAAATTTCTCTTGTTGGTGCCCTAATAAGGGAAAACAGAAGAGTAGAAAAAAAAAACAACCACACAGAGTATGTACGATGTTGGGCGCCCTAAAGACCTAGTTCCCTTGAGGGTGGAGTGTCTCACTTGCAGATCAGCGAAGAACAGACTGACATTCGCGGATAACGGATTTTTCGTACTCGTAACTACTGATCAGAAGGTGAGAAATGGCGCTTTTCAAACCGTGAAGCTCGTATCACAGCTTGAGATTTGTACGAGCGACAAGTTCATGGTACCAAGTACGCACGTAGTGCGTTGGGGGCCATGCCAATGAGTTGGGCAGAACTAGTGATATTCGAGAAGTGAGCAGGCTCTGTTGGGTAATGGTTTCCGAGTAAACATGCGCCACATTTTCAGGGTCCAATGCCCTGCTTGGGGCTTTGGTAGCTCCACTCCACTGGGCTGTCGGCAATGGGGTTTTATAGTGAGACAAGCGCGGTGACCTGGAGGTAACGTTCTGTCGGGGAAGCCGGTCTCTGCAAGTTCGCCGATCTGCTCTCGGATGAAGCCCTACGAGTCTGAATCATCGTCGGGATTTGAGACATTGTGCTGTAGACGGCTGTAGAAGGCCGTAGACTATCATGCACGACGGACGTAGATTGAACACCAAATGTCTGGTGACGAGCAATGGCCGGTTGTTTCACCTTTAAAACAATTGTTTGTGTTAGACGAAATCCATCAAACAACATCCTTGCGTTGCTGGTATGATCGATGACTTGCTCATATGAGCGAGCACACTGCGGAGTAGCTATGGCGCCGAAAATCTCCTAGGCCGATGAGACTGATCAGACAGGATTAGAGCACCCGAAAATCGTCTTTCCTCCCTCTTCACCCGCAACTTGCACCACCAAGTATACCTAGGTATTACGGTACCCTTCCTCGTCGTATCACAGCCCTCTACAGTCGGTCCAATCTTAGGGTCCTTACCCTGATTTTGCTTGTTTGCTTCGGTTTTTCCTCCTCGGATGAATCAACACAAACTTCTCCCGGTTCATGATGGGGTTGTCTTGTCTCTGTACCAGGAAAAATCCTTCTGCTTGGGATATTAGGGCCAGGGTTTGCTGGGAAACATACAGAGCGCGACCGAAAATGTCTCTATGGGGAATACGATCTAGAGAGAGCAGTAATGCACTTTGACAGATTGTATGATGCGTGAGAAAGAGAAGAGAGAGAGAGAGAGAAACAGAGATCTATCTACTAGGGCACCGTATTACATGACCTAACCCCATGATCTCCAACACCCCCCACGAACTCGATCTCCTTCGAAAAAATGGCACAAAAAGTGCCGCAAAATGCGTAAAAAGGCGCTGAAAAAGCGATGACTCAGCATTTCCCAAAAAGGTAATCAGCCCCTGTTCTCGGAAGGAGTGCTGAAACACTTCAAATTCAGCTGGACGACAAATCTCTGGAACTGGGTCTTCGCAAGTGGCTTCGTCAGACCATCTACTGCCATTTCATAAGTCGAAATATGGCGTAATTTAACTCTCCCAGCCAATGTCTCTTCCCGAATCTTGTAAAATTTAACCGCGATATGCTTAGTTCTAGCATAAAACTACGGGTTATCGCTCAATACGATCGCTCCCGTATTGTCCGCGTAAATCACAAGGGGTTTATTGAAGAGTTACGCTTATCTCATCTCCATAAGAAGTCACATAATCCATATAACTTCCTAAACAGCAAGGGCTTATACGATATATTCACTTTCCGTAGACGATATAGCTATGCAGGGCTGCTTCTTAGACGTCCAGGAAATAGGCCTCCCAGTAAGTATAAATATAAAGCTAGACGTCGAGAGTACCGCTTCTAAATAAGGTCCAGCCTAGTCCGAGTCTATAAATACAGTAAGCGATCCACCAAGATTAATTAGATCGTTACTGATGCCTAGTTTTTATAAAAAATATATAACGATTTAGACCCTTTTAGATATCAAAAGACTCAATTAATTACACTTTCATATTAAGAGCCTAGATTTCTAACAAAGCGAGCGAGTTTAATAGTCATATAATTAATATCTAACTTCGTCAAGACTATTAACTAAATAAAATAACCAACCTTCTTTTAATAAAGTTTCACCGCCAACATATTAGCCTATTTCTTATATAAGATCAAAAGAATCTTATTATTCATTAACGTTATTGTAAGCTTACAATCTATCATTCCAAATCTCTTGAAGGTTTTCTCAATATAGTCTTACTAAGACAACTAGATATCCTTATTAATATAAAAAACATCAATTCTAATATATCACTTCACAATTTCTTTATTAGAAATATCAAAATACTTAGTGATCTCCTTCTTAAAAAGGTTAACCTATTTTAGATCTTATAATATAGCAAGCAAGTCATTTATATAAATAAGCATATAAATAGATACACTATTAACGAATTTAACAAAGAGAAAATAATCAGACTCGATTTTAACAAAACCTATTACTAGAAAAGCGTTACGAAGTAATGAATACTATTCTCTCAAAGACTACTTAAAACTATAAATGGTCTTAAAAAGAAGACCAACTTTACTAGGAAAGTCATCTCAAACATTCTCTAGAATCTTAATCTCAATCAATTTCTTAAGATCTATATATAGAAATATAGTAATAATATCTAAATAATAAACCTTAAGGTTTAAAAGGATTACAATTGTTATAAAGACTTTAAAAGTCATTAACTTTACGACAACAACGTAAACTTTATAAAAGTCGATACCCTTAACCTATCGAAAGCCTCTAATAACTAATCTTACTTTATAAATGCTATTATATTTAATCTTATAAACTTAATAAAAAGTTATTAAAGCTTTCTTCTTCTTTTTATCATAATTGATAATCCACTAGATCCTATTATATAGATAACTATAAAACTCTTTATACAAGATAGTAAGCTATTTCTCCTTCTTAACATAATTCATAGTATCTTTCTATCTAGTAGAGATATAACCGACGTTATTTAGAGTTAGTTTAAACAAAAGAGAGTATTTATTAATCACTATAGTAAATAGAATATCTAAAATCTAAAGCTCTTTATTAAAAAAACTAATAATTTCCTAATAAAAAAGGCCATTCAATTAAAGACTTTTAATAAATACATAACTAGACTTCCTAATCCAAATAGATCATCTAAAAAGTAAATCTTATACTTAATCTTTTGACGAAGACAATATAAGAATCACCCAGAAAATAAGCTTAGAACTAATAATAAGAATAATTTTCTTAAAACTAATAGAAACAATATTCCTAGGAATCTAAGGATTATAATACACTTCCTCGTCCTAATATACTTTCTCTCTAGTCAACGGAGTCAACTAAAACTCTACAAAAACCAATAAATCACTTCTCTAAAGATAATCACTAAGTCTACCTTCTTATACCTCCATTTATTTACCAAAACTACCCCCCATTTCAACTGGTTCAAAAACTATCTACAGATCAGAAGGAAAGAGATTACCATATAAAAGCTCCAATTCATTATCATCCTCAACAGATAGAGTAAACAAGATAGAGCGATTATAAGAAATAATAACAATCTAGCATTCTATTAAAAAATTAATAGGAATATACCTTTAAAAACAATCAAAAGACAACGGCGAAATACGTCCCTATAATCCTAAATTATAAATTAGTTCTAAAAGAGACTCTCTTATAAAAATCTCGTTAAAAACAACATTACAAGAGCATTCAATCTTCTTTATCTTGATATTATAAATCACATAATTATTATCACTATTATAAGCAATCAGACAACTCTTAGCCATATACAGATCAAACTTAATATCGCACTTCTCCTTGGAGATAAGAAACCAACACTCACAACCTAAAGCTCAAAGATAAAAGATATCTAACTTATAACCAAAAAAAACTTCAAATAGAGTCATCCTAATTTTGAAATACCAAAGACAATTCACAATATAATTCACTCCTTAAAATAAATAAGACCAGAAATATTTTAACAATTAGTACTCCACCATAACCGCCACCAATAATTCAATCAAATAATAATTTTTAATCTCTACAACGCTATTAAACTACTTAATATAAAGAAGAGTCAGATCCCAAACGATTCCTTATAAGACATAATAAGCTATAAATAGCTTATATTCTTTAACATCGTCACCATAAACTCATTTAACAATAATACTAAACTAAGTTTACAAATAAACTTCTACTTCTATAAAATAATCTATAACCTCTTTTCAAGATTTAATAATAAAGATCCAACAAAAGCGAAAGCAATTATCCATAACTATCATAAAATAGATCTCACTATAATAACTAGTAATAAAGATTAGTC